TAACTCGAAGGAATTAGGGTTCGGAAGAAGATCGTCGAATAAGATATCGAGAGAGGTATTAAGGGAGATATTAAGGGAGATATTAAGGGAGATATCGAGAGAGATATCGTAAAATTAAATATTAGGCTCTAATATAATAGGACTAGTACTATCTAGCGGATGACTCGCTAGAGAATATATAATATCTTCTAAGTAGTCTTTAACTACCGGAGGGGGTAGTATAGATCTAGTACGAATCTTAAAAGGATTATTAAATTATAGGATATTATACTTATTTTCCGGGAGAACCTTAGTATCTAGTAGATTCTCGTATTCGTTATAAATAAAATTAATCGGAATATATCGCTTTTAAGACTAAGATCTAGATTAAGATTAACCTTAAGATAGTACCTATAGATTATAGTCTAGTATAGGTAGTGCCTTTAGTATCGGATTCTTATTAAAAATAATATTCCGGGAACGCTTAATCTTCTTAGTATATATATTATATAGTATATAATTATCTCCTTTATTATAAATAATTAATCTCGCTTTTTATATATACGGATCTAGCTTTATAGGGCGTTTTTCTTTTAGAATTAAGAACTAGTATTAATAGCTAAGTATACGTAAATTACTAAGATTAGGCTTCTTCCTATAAAAGGCTTTATATAGGGATATACTAATCTTCGATATAAAGAGTCGGTTTATAGTATAGTTAATTCCCCTTAGTAGATAACCCTAAAGGTATTTCGGAAGCTAGTATTCTAATATAATAGTAATAAGGGGTTTAATAAGATATTAATTTTTAATCTTAGTAATACCGTTTAGCTATTTTATATAAGAAGGAGTAGGGTCCTAAATAATACTATTTTATAAAAGATATACGCCTAAAAGCCGATACTCTAAGGTATTATTACTATAAACCTTTTTAATTTAATAGCTAAATTAAGTTTAAAGATAATTTTTTAGCTATAATATAATTAAGATTAGACCTTAGACGTCGATATATAAATATTCGCCTAGTTTAGACCTAATAGACCTTTCCTTTCTAAAAGGGAGAGTATAACCCTTACCCTTAATATATAGAGTATAGGGAAAAGTAACGCTAGTACCTTTCTTTAATTTAATATCTTTAGTATAGGTTTCTATTTTACGAACCCTATTTTCTCTAGTATAATAAGTACGTTAGTAAGCTAGGTTAATAGAAATTATAAAAGACCTATTTCTATTTTTAGTAGTAAAAATAGAGTTTAGAGATTTAGTTAGTATATCTAGATTATTAGAAAGTATAGTATCGATCTTATTAATTCCTAGGTAGTTAAGCTAGTAGTATTCTCCTTTATAAGTTATAAAACTAATAGTAGTATTAGAACTAGACTTAATAGTAGAATTAGAAGCTTTAAAAGTTATAATATTATTTTTAACTAAGGTACTAATATCTTCTTTATCTAGTATAGATATAGAGATTAGGCTAGCCTTAAGATCTAGGGTAAGCTAGACCTTATATAGGATAAAAGGTTTAATATACTTATCTAATATATTTAATATTCTTAAAATAACGTCTCTATAGCCTTTAGTATAAAAAGTATTATCTATAGCTATAGATATTAGAACTATATAGGGCCTAAAATTAATAAAGATAGACCTATAAGGGGTTATATAGGTACTAGTACCGGAATTAATTATCTAGTAAAAGATATTATTATCTTCTATAGATAGTTAACCTTATTTTAATACTATAAGTATACTAAAGATAGTATCTTTAAAGATAGTATTTATAAAGAGATTATTATATTTCGTAACTAGGTCTCTAGAAGAAGCTCCTTATTAAGGGAAAATAGTATTAATAGTACGGTTTAATAAGATAATACGACCCTAACTATCTACCTAACCTATAATCTAGCCTAGCTAGGGAACTAGGACTTACTAAATAGTATATTATTACTATAATTATTAATAAAAAGAAACTATATTAGAAAATATACTAGTTTTCTATAATAGATAATTCTTAGAATAGTAATTTCCTAGGATATTATAATATTTATAAAAAATAATATTTTCCTCCCTTTTAAAAGGCTTCTTTTTCTTCTTATTATTATCCTTACCCTTAGGCTTAGACTTATCTTTAGAAGAGGAAGTATTTCTACCTTTTTTATTATTTCTACTAGACTTCTTATCCTTAGAAGTATCCTTAGTAGAGGTAGTATTAGTAGATAGGGTTAATTAAGAAACGTTAAAAGAACGATTATTAGTCTCTACCTCGATAAACTCGATATATACCCTTTCTATAAAAGTCTTATCTTTTTCGTTAACTTATAAGTTCTATAAAAAGGAAAGATAACGAGGATTCTTAGTAATAATCTTTTTAAACTAATATAGTTTAATTATTTAAGAGGGCTCTTTATCTATAAAAATAAAATTATAAAAGGCCTCTTAAAACCTCCTTATAAAGTCTAAGGGAGATCTATTCTTATACCGTAGGTTAACCTATTTTAAATAGTAAATATAGGCTTATTAATAAGACTTTATTATATATATCTTCCGAAGCTTACTAAAAGCTTTATATATATCTATAACTTAAGTAATAACTAATAACGGTTCGGGTATAAGAGTTTTCCGGATATAAATAAGGGTTCGGGTATTATAAGATTACTAGTTATTAAGCTTATTTTCGTACTTTTTCCGAAGTATCTTATTAATTTCCTTAATCTCTTTTATTCTTTCTCGGATATCCGTAGTAGTAATCGTAATATTATCGTCGCGCTATACCTCCCGTACTTTAGTAAGTAAAGCCTATTCTATAGCCTATTAAGAGACTTTAAAGTAGTTAGGTTTATTTAGGGAGGGAATATTATAAGAGATTATCCTAATATAGTATCTATTATTAGTAAGAAGGGCTAGATATATAGCTATCTTCTAATCTCTATAGTTAGACTATCCTTTTAGTTTTAGGACTAAATCTATATAGTTAATTTTATATTAACTAACGGCGAAGTCCCTAATATTAAAGGACTCTAATATATTAGTAGTCTATATAGGGTTCGGCGGTTAATAGGAAAGTCGAACGGCTAATAAGGTCTATTTAGCGGTTAATAGAGAAGTCGAACGGCTAATTAGATATAGCGGTTAATAGAAGTCGAACGGCTAATAAGATAATAAGATCTAGTATTCTACCTAGGTATTCGGATACTAGAGAGAAATTAGGATAACTATATAGAGTATATTAGATAGGTAGGGTAGGGTATTATTAGGGTAACTAGTGAAAAGTCTACAAAAAATACCCTATAGTGGGTCGGTGCGACGTAGCACTAGGTTCTCGTCGGAGGAATTAGAAGATACGAAGCTTACAGTTATATAGAGGCTCCGATAGTAAAGGACTTATAACCTGATAGAGATGATCCTATACGACTACTCATAAGAAGGAGTGGACTAGAAAATCTTATATTATGCGTAGAGAGAGAAAGGAAGAATAGGGAAAGCTAGCTAGACTAATATACTAGGAGATCACGTGTTCGCAATAATCTAAAAATTAGGATTATATCTTAATAAGACTTAGAATAAAAAAAGACTAATAGTAATATTAGTAATATTATTATATATAAACTCTATAGCTTTTAGTAGTTTAGACTAACGTTTCTATTAATTGCGGAGCGAAGCGAAGCAATTAAATCATAGGCTTCGTATATCACGTGACTGGGCCCATCCACCTACGGGTCCGAAATCCATAGTTCTAATGTTATCGGTGAGAATCGGCAGAATAATTTAAATTCCCTAACTAGGAAATACTAAGCTTATAAGAGAGGAAGAGAGGAAGATTTATAAAGGAGAGCAGTTTGATTTACATTTGGTCTATATGACCTCGGACCTAGTCGCTTCGCTCCGCAACTATTATCCGACGGCCTACGGCCGTCGGGATCGCTAGTAAAATACTTATAATGAAATGGGTATATAAAGATGGTAATAATAATATATAGATAGTTATATCTCTAAGTACTTTTTTTAAAGTGAGAATAGATAGTTTAAATAATTTATACTAGTTAATAATTATGATAGAGGAGAATTATATATATAAACTAAAATATAGGTAAAAGACGGTTATTTATTTAGGCGATTTAGCTACTTTATAAACGCTAAGACTATAGTTTTGTATAATTTCGAGCCCGGATCTTACGCTTAAAGTTAGGCTTTACGGATATCTAATAAAATAGGTATAAAATCCTAGATATCCGTTATCATTCTAATAAGTACTTATATAAAATAAGTATAGATTATTAATAATTTAGTCTTAGAAGTATACTATATTATAAGTCTTTTTATTTATAAAATACTACGTATAAAGGATAAAGGGGATTATATTATATTAGTAAGAGATTAAGAAAATTTCCCCTATATTAGTATAAAAAGATTTTAAGTTAGACTATAAATAATCTAGATACTAGATTAGATTTAGTTCCGGTATAAAATCGCTAGTCTCTTATCTATTAGCTACTATCGCTACTATTCTAATAAAAACCCTAAAAGATAGATAAGAAAGGAACTCGATAGAAACCCCTTTATCCTTATACCTATATCTCTCTTTATCTATCTAAAAACCCTATGATATGTTTTATAGAAAAGGGGGGATAGTTATTATAGTATTTCTTTATTAAATTATTACTACCTTAGGCTTCTAATATTAGGACGGAGGAGACTCTTCCGAATACCCTACGGGTATAAGAAGGAATAGAGATGATCTGGTCCCGAGAAGCGGGGAAGCCAAATCATAAAAGGAGGAGAGGCGAGGAAAATGAAAAAGGCAAGATTTAGTCTTGCGAACAACCCAGAATCTAATACCCCTCGCTCCAAACCCATATCCTCCTCGTATCATTATTCACCTAGTCAACAAGCACTGCCTTGACAAATAGTTTCCTTAACATCGTGGGCTTTACGGAAGCCTACGTGCTTCTAGTAAAAAGATTTAGGGGCCGGTTAGGCTAGAATTTCTTCTTTTTCTACTACACTAGAATGTCATCCATGCTTCAGAAGAATGAACACCACCCGATATACATGGATGCCAATTTCTTTTTATCTGTTGCTTGGATAATCAATTCATCCACTTGTCCATCCACCGAAAGTGCAATAGGCTGCTTGGACATAAAGCCACGGAGTTTATTTCGAACATCTTCCAAAACACCGGCCGGTGTGTCCGGAACATTCGCATGGGTGCGCCGCTGAAAAAGATCTGTTAGCAGAGGCAATATGTTAGGAATGAGAGGTTAAATGTCCTCACCCTTTTCCCGATGAAATCGGTTGTCGGATCATGTAGAAATGTCTCAAGCACAGTCATCAGGGCATCCTCGTTCTGTCGTAGGAGACTCAGTGTTATCTCACAAGTTCTCCTGAACGGACCTATCCCCTGGAGATTAGCACAAGAATAGAACTCAGGATGTTCGAACTGACCATTGTATCCGTAAGCGCCAAAGGCATCAATCATGTTATGCGTCAGCCGAAACGGTACCACTTCAGGCTTTTCAAAGGTTTGACCCTTGTCAAAAAGACAATTGAAATCGACGTGCAGGAGTCCGCCTGTACCTTCTTCGAAAGAAAGGTTCTCGCCATGTCTATCGCCTAGACTGTGTATAAATCAGTTAACTGAATGGAAGTAGATATGACTCTTCATTGAGATGTAAGGGGAAACATACCCGAGCACATATCCCACCATTGACATAACGGCAGAAGATCGGGTATACCTTAGTCTCGCTGTGAACCATGCCTCTGTTTCGGGGAACATTTCGATGAACCATTCATGGAGTACAGGGGGAAGTCTGCAACAATTAGTATAGAAATCCATGGGAAATGGAACCAACATAAAAACCTTACTTTGCCAAGATCTTAGTGGTGAATAAGGGCAGCTTTGTAAATGACCGATCAGCGCAGATATCGTTCAAACAATGCCTGATCTCATTATACTATTGCATCTGTCAATAATCTGACCATTTCTCTCTTCATTTTTCTCCGCTATCAAACTCACATTTGGCGAGATGCCTCTCTCGCGTAGCAATTTGATGACAATCTCTCTTAGCGTACGGAGGTTATCCACCCATTCTATAAGACCGCATTCTTCGTTCAGAGGTGTCACAGCATATGTTTTGATGTCTGTTCTACGTCAATGCCTGGAATGTTGTGAAGCAGATAAAATTACTCACACATGCGACGCTTGCTTGACTCAACGTCTCGCTTCAAAAATCGATTGATCATGTTGTTGAATTCCATGAGACGTTGATCCTTGCGTAAATCGTCTTTAGGCTTGCAGAGCGCGTTATAGATCTTCCCATCAGATCCCCGCAAGCTGATTTTGCGTGGCTTTTGAAGCGAGTTCAGAATTTGAGCTTCATCCAGAACGGCTAATCTTGGTTAATTTGATTCTCGGTTGATTGAAATATGGAACATACCCTCAATGGTGGTTGGATCCCGGGGGAAGGCCCTGAAACTTTTGATATATTCGATGTTCTGACTGGCAGGAAGACTTGGGATCAACATTGCCTGGAAGGGAACCACTAGTCGACATGGCGCGACTTTATGATTAAAGCCTAGATTGCGACCGAGTAAAACCCTGGATGTCTTCTCCTCAACCGAGGTAAGACAGAGTTGGAGTAGTTCCTCTGAGAACTTTGTACCTTGGGTGATCATACGGCGGATTTCCGATGCTGTTGAGGATTCTCCTTTGGACTTGTTACCGTAGTCCTGGGCGAAGTTAGTTTCTGTATTCTAGATTTGAGCCAGCCGGGACTAACTATGATTTTCTGTAAGCAGTTATATCCTCTTTTGGCTCGCTCCTTATTGGAGGACTTGACAACGGCAAGAACTGTCCAGAGACCTTGCTGTGGGAAGTTGTGAACCGCCTTGGCTACAATTCGGGTCAGTAGATCATAGACCGTGGTGTTGGGGTGACAGATCCTGGCAACCACTTGGGGCAGAATTGTGAACAACTATATGACTATTAGCTGACGAGGTGGGAGTAGTGCACTGTGTCACTTACTAGAGCCGCCTGCAAGCGTTTGTCAATAAACTTTTTCAGTTGTGCATGCATCTCATCAAGGCTTTTCTTTCGCTGGGCCTGTGTATGCTTCTGGAATTCCCTAGTAAATTGGTCATTAGCATTTCGATTGGCATCATAGAGAGCTGTTACTTACTCGTTATCGCCCCTCTTGGGATCAATGGGCTGTTCAACGATAGAGGCATGTTCAAGCCAAAGGGTTAGAAGCTTGGGTAACGTTTGAAACACATACTTGGTCCCATATGTCAACGAGCGAAGATAATTGTCGATGACAAGCTTGGTAGCCTCTCCACTCAGGCTGTGATATTTGTTAGCACCAGGTATGAAGTGACTAAGTTCGATCAACTGACTATATCTGAGCTTCCTTTCCCATGGGCTTGGCTTTTTCAGACTCCAAAATTTTGTTGTAATGTTTCCCCAGGTAGTAGTGTGCCCTTTCCCATCTATTTCCCCATCAGAATGTGACCAGATCGAAGCGTAATGAATTCCCAACTTACTTCGGGTACAGTTTGATGGCCTCTCGATACCTCTGGACAATGGCCTGAGAGTGGGTTTGGCCAGCCCTGTCCGTCCATTTGGCGAGCATTAGATGAGCCTAGAATGATCAACATTGTCGTCTACGTGAAAGGCGTGGGTTAAGCAACGTACAAGAGCAGTTGACTCGTTTTGGTGCTGTCCACGATTCGAGAGAAATGACATGGTCTCGATATCGACCGAAGAGGATCTAGCCGGGGTGGCTTCATTGGCAGAGATTGCTCCTTCGAGAGTTTGAATGGCTTTCCGATGATGCCCATCTTTCCAGAGAAGTCGCGCGTGTTCGATGGAAGCAGACCTATCGTTCAACCGTGCAGCGTTGAGCATCGAATGATATGCTTGGCTGCTGAAATTGCCTTTCCTTGAAAGGCGAGCACTGGTGAGCCATGCAGCAGATATGTGGGAATCCGCGAAATTGCCACTAGATTGTGTTTTTAGTTATCTTCTGGTGTATTTTGTAAACCATGAACTCACGCTAATTCCATGGTGGCTCGTCTCAACCCCAATAGGTATTGTTTATCAGAAAGGTAACCACCCAAAACCTCCAACCGTCTGTCTAGGGTGTTTAGTAAATTTGGGTGGCATTGATCCGACTGTGCTTTGGCGATTGCTTCGACCTCGGACAAAGCATGTAGCCGGAGCATGTCTGCATGGCATGATTGAAGTGATGCAACGGAATTGGTCGTCAATGATCGGGCAACGTTGAGCCTGAGCCCATTGATTTGATCAGTGAATGCTCCGTGTTGCTTTTGACGAAGAGCGTCAAGAGCTGAGCCTATACCGACATTGAACTCCTCAGTGCCTTGTCTGGCACAAACATCAAGATAATTCTTTAATTTGTCCCATCTTCCCATTATCCACGAAGCTTCAACCGCGAAGGGTAGGAATCGTGAAGCCGCTGGGCCGCTTTCCTTCAGAACCTCGAAACGAGTAAGGATAGCATCTAGAAAACGGTAAGAAAATCTCTCACACACTCACACACACACACACACCTTGTTGGCCGGATTCTTTGAGACAGGTCACTAGGTTCCACTGCGCATCAACGTTGTCGGGCTCTTTCTCCAGTTGGAGCTCGTACCAACTCTGCGCCGTGGCCCATCTCCCTGCTTTCCGGTGTTCGAGAATTTGCTGATCAATGTCCAAAGCCGACAAATGGCTAGAAATGCCTTCAATTCCATCAGGTTCGTCAATTTGGCTATAGATGTCCTGTAATCTTTGGTATAGAGGCTCAAAGCTGGCTCGCTCTTGCAGTTCTCCATGAGCTTTAGCCTTTCGAATGTACTGTTCCCAGTGGAAGAGTGCTTTGGAGAATGATTTACATTCAACCGCCCGCTTAGATATGATCTCGGGCGGTATGGAAGATAGGAGGGCTTCAACGGATTTGATCTGTGACGAGTATTTGTCAATGAGCGTGTCACGGCTTAGATCCTTGTGGGAACGGCTCGTCTGGTTAGGACTGTGATTGAGGCCAGCAATGTGCTTTTTCTTCCCTTGTAGCCATCTAGACAGATAGTCCAGGACTTCAAAGACGCTCTGTAAAATGATGTTATTAGAAGGCCGGTGAAATTACAGCGAGAGGCTCACCTGGCTACTACTTATGATTGTTTCCCGAGCATTGTTGTTTGTCTCCGGAACAGGGTATGACAACACGCTCATTAGTTCGTTTTGAAGGTCCTGCTGTTCTTTTTCAGTCCCCCCCACAATGCGATTCAGGACCGCAAATGGTAGGAGGAACGCAGAGATGGAAATGTCCTGACCCTTCACAACACGACTTGATATTGAGAAGACCATTTTTGCATTGTCTCCATTCCCAGTTCGCAGAAGATCTTGCACCAGTGTTCGGAGCCACTCACTGTGGGTTAATCTCGAGGAAAACAGCGGATAGTTGACCTCGGGATGATGGGTCACCACAGTAACCGTATACGTAGATGTGAGAAACGGCGTAAGTGTGTTGCGAACACTTTCCGGAAGCTCCATCCAGCGTTGATACTTTTCATCACCTTGCAAATCGCGAGAGCGTTGGGTAAACACCGCATTCAATTTACAAAATTTCAGCAGGCCTTGCATTGCCCATGCCAGAAATCCCTGAGCTCTGGTATTGGATGCCGATAAGAATGCCTCGACCAATACATGCTGGAGGAAGAACAGAATGAATGCGACCGTCTCTTCTATTCTGTCGAAGTTGGACAAAACAAGTATATCCTTCTTCTCTTTGATTGTTTCAACTCGATTCGGATCGAGGCAGCCAATAAGCCCTAGACACCGAGTCGACATCAAAGTAATGCTGTCTGATGTGGTACTGAATTTGACACAACAATCCAACAATGACCTAGTCAAGTGCGCGATCACAGGGTCCGGCTGTTCACTCAGAACGGAGTCATGGAGGAACTCCTCATTTGCCGACAGAAAAGGAGCTAGTTCCTTTAGAGCTTGCTCAACAACGGTAGCATTCTCACTCTGGCAGCGACGTATCAATGCCAGGAACTGGCTTCGCACGTCCATTTGAGCTCTCAGGTCGCTGATTTTGGCATCAAAGGCAGCCATTTCCGGGATAGATGCAAGGGAAGGCATGGTGTTGAAGGTATCTCGTACAAGATTCGGATGTCTTGTCAAGATATGATCGATGAGTTGACATGCGCGATCCCTACTCTCTTCGGTAAGGGTATCCCAATATCTGATCACAATCGCTAACGTTTGATCAACTATGGGCTCAAGATCCTCCTCGCTAAGAGAACTAATCAATGTTGTCCATGCTGAAAATGCATAGTCGCATAGCTCCTTGATCTCCAAGGCAGATCGAAGACATGCACAAACCTGATAATTAGAAATGTAACTCAATCTCAAGCCTGACGGATACATACTTGGGGTAATGCACTGCTGACGTGACCCTGGGCAATGTTGATCATTTCCTCAATGGCTTTGATGTTCCTTCTTTTCTCGGCCAGGGTTTGTCTTACTTGGAAGTCGTTGATGGCATTTGCAAATTGTGTGATAATGCCAAGGACGTGCTCTTCAATAAAGTGACTTAGATCTGTCTTTTTTGATGAACTTCCGTGTGCCGCCTTCCGCGGAACGAACGTGGCGAGTCGATGAAGGGCTTGATTGAACTGCACTTTGATTAGCGGTGGGAGGCTCAGAAGAAATAAGTATAGAAACGTACTCTCTGTTTCTTTTGCTCGCCCGCATCGCCCAGGCTTTTCAGCAAGTCACAAGCAATGAGGATTGGCTCGATTCTTACCAACTCTGCCAAAGATCGGCCCTTAAACGCGGGATCTATCTCTGCTAGAAGAGACATGATCATACCCTCAGGGTTGTCAGATTGCTGGGACAAGAGAAAGGCAAGAATTGCAGCTAGGTTGTTCTTTTCCGAGCAAACATCAAAAGCCGACTCTCCTTCGTTGCGACTGGCCCCAATTCTACAGATAATGTCTCGTTTTCGGGTCAAAACCAGGTACGGTAACACATGGACCTCTGTTAGTCGGAGAAACCCATCAACCTTCATGCCAAGCAAATCACATAGCTGTTCCGCCATATGCGGGCGAGGCTGAAGATTCTTGACAACAGTCACCGCAAGGGTCCTCCAATAAGGCCGAAAGAGGGCAGCTGGCGTCAAGGAAAATTGCTGTGCAAGTTTAGATAACTAAATAGCGTTAGTTGATATTTAGTTGATATCCTAGCAATCGGAGTAAGTAATCTCAAGAGCATGCGATTGTTTACCTCATTGTAGGCCACGGCACAGACGTATGGGTTTGGGTGACCCAGGTATTCCAACAGCCGAAGTAGAATGATGTTTTTCTCCTCATCTTCTGATACACTATAGAAAACAATGAGATGAGAAAAAGCCGCCTTGAGGAGAAACCCACATTGCCAGTCCACAGAGTGTTATGATACAAGCTTCTTGCAAGGGCATGTCGTCTTTTCCGGAGAGATTCTTAAGCCATTCAAGTACAACAACAAAATTAGCTCGGCGAATCTCTGTGGGTAAGTTCGAGCGCACAAAAGCCACTACTGAGCGTCTAGAGAATAGTCAATATCCAGTTAACTTTCATCGAGAGTGAGGAAAATACCCAGTTGCAACACGCAATTCTCTGATTGAGCTTCGGAGAGAGTGGAGACAGAATTCTCCGGAGGCAGAGGCTGAGATATTCATTTGATTGGAGTTCGGAGCGTGTATCAGAAGTTTCCTCAACGCAACCATTGAGGCTATCCGTGGGCCAGGCGTACGTGTAAGCCTAGGTAGGATGAAATTGAATAGTAACCACATCTGCTCGAACTCGGGGCGCTCCTCATTTGCCACAAGATCATGCTGATCCTGCTCCATATCGCATGTTTGACAAATAAGCGTGTCTTTTCCCATCACCCTCGAAGGTTTTTTCAAAAGCTTCTCTGCGGCCGCACAGCAGATCTTGCCCAGCAAGTCTAAAATTTCGGTTTTTTGGGAATCAGAAAGCCTCTCGTATGATATCCTTTCATGGGAACAGATCAGTATTTTATGTACTAAGATTTACCGTGTTTCGTACTTACTGGATAGAGGCGTGCATATCTGCTATCGTTTTGCCGCAATCGCATTGAATGATTGCAGATATCTTCTCCACAAGTACATGGGCGAGGCCAGTATTGGTAGATTCGATAGATAAACCGGGAAGACACAAGCGCTTGGATGGCCGATTGACTTGGTGTGAAGCTCTCTGGAAGGGCATAGCTGACTGCTCGGAAGTATGTTTTGCTGTTGGCATCGGCGCTGAAAAGAGTTGGACATGCAAGGCCTGGAGCGAATTCTAACCTGGTATTAGCTCAATGACCCACTTGTTCTGGTGAAAAATTTACCAAGAGACACGACTCAAGGTGCTGATTGCAACTCTTGACATCTATTAATGCCGGAAGCAAAGTCTCTCTTAGTTGGAGCACAAGTGACTGAGAGTTTTTTGCTGTCTGTATCAGCTCATCTAGGAAGCGACTTAGAATGACCTGGGTGGAAGGTAAACTTCCTATGTTTCCCAGGCTAAGAAAACCAGACAAGCATTGAGACCAGGTAGAAGTCAAGCCTATGTTTGGAAGCAGGCCAGCCAAAGTCGAGTCTGGGATGCAGCACCGATGCAGAGATGCTAGATACTGCAAAGGCAAACTTTTATCTTCCGAGGTGAGATGTGGTCCTCTCAATTTCAGATATTCAAGAATAGCCCGTCCAAGGCGATGGAAACTATTCAGTAGCCACGAAAACCTTTGGCGAAGGATGAAGCCATGATGTTTTGCAAGGTGTTGGATTTCGCTCTTTGGGTTAAACGAATCTAACAATCGGCATACTAAGGAAACTGTCTGTGTAAATCCCCCAAGAACTGTTTTGCATTGGAACAAAGCAGGAGAAAGACCAAGGTCTTGGATCTCCGCAATGAGCGATCCATCCGCACCGGGCATCGACAACCCTCTAGAACGTGTTTCCAGGGAACTGTTACGTTGAAGTGTTTCAAGAGAGCAGATAACATCTAGAGACAGTTAATCTAGTCTCATTAGTTGTTGGGGCGGGGATCAACGAACCTGACGTGCAAGCCCGGAGAAATGCAGCAGCGGCATAGTTGGTAGGCAATGAACGGTTTTGCTTGAACTGGGAATAAGCTAGGCTCACACAAATAACTTGGATTCTCTCTTGGACAGAATCAGATGTCCAGATGCTGCCGAGTCGGATCAGTCGCAAGGTTAACCATGCGAAGAGAGGAGCATGTATGTCCTCGCCCAAAGTGGTAGGGTCAGAAGGTTCCCACAGAGCTTGAGGAGCTCTTGCAATGCTTGCGTGGATTATATCTAAGCAGTCGAGGACTTGCCCTTCCAGATCTTGATCTGAGTGGCTCTCGGTTGAGCTAATCTCTAGACCGGCCTTTAGGACAACGCATATGAGCTTATTGACATCAGTGACATCCTCATCAACGCGTCGTTGGTTCTGTATTTCACTAAGAATTTCCAGTCGTAGCTGTGCAAAGGTCTCTCGGGTTAGGTGGGATTCATGTCCCTGAGTTGCAAGACGCGGTGCGAAACGCGAGGCAAGGATCGACGAGACAGGCTCTGGTTTCCGGGCACTGCTAGGTGCGGCCGCCCGTTCATTCTCTGCCTCGGTTGCCATATGGGACACACATGTTCATAAAATAGGTATTCAAAGTTAGAGCCTTGCCTGTATCTAAGATCCTAAGGCTGGACTGGCGGGGGGAGGTGGGAAGTTGCGTTTGAAGAATGCAGATACGCGAAGTCGGTTGATATGTCAGTTGACACCTGAGGCACCACAAATCCATCACCCTCAAGCATATACAGTGGCATTACAGCCTGCATATATATAACATTATGAATGGAGGTCTAGAATTTTAAATAGGCGTGTTGGTTATGAGAGAGAAAGTCTACTACTCTGATGATGCCTTTTGCGACATGGCAGAGGTTCCCACAGGGCCAAGACACTGAGAGGGCAAAATCAAGTGGGATAACTTGATCGCAGGCGAATGTATTTAGTTTTTATTCCCCATTTTCTCTCAAGCGAAAAGAAAAAGGATTCCCTCCATGGGATCTATGTATTAGGTACCTGTACATGTAATCACTTGGATAGGTACGTTAAACGCTGGTTGGCCGACCTTAACCTTGAAATTTCTGAAAATCAGATTCTCAGACACCTCCGCATTCACTGAGTCTACAAGTCAATCCAGGACAAACAATCTGAATTAGCTATGGAATCTCAAGGTGATTTCGCAGTGGCGGAGGATTCGAGACATGGATATTTCATGAAACAAGCCCTGTTGATGGTACGATACTTGTCACTCGTGGCCCGGATACTAAAGCATGCTCATGCGGATTCTAGGGGGAGAAAGCACTTCAATCAGGCGAAACTCCCGTGGGTTGTGTTCTGGTACACAACGATCAGATTGTAGGATTTGGCATGAATGACACGAACAAATCTATGAATGTGAGTGACACTTTCTTGATGCATACTGATATTTGCTCATATCTCTCAGGGCACAAGACATGCCGAATTTATAGCGATTGGAAAGATGCTTCAAAATTACCCCCGGTCAGCATTGCAATCTACTGATCTTTATGTTACCGTTGAACCCTGTGTGATGTGTGCCTCTGCATTGAAGCAGTATCGCATCCGTAGTGTGTACTTTGGGTGTGCCAATGATCGATTTGGAGGCACTGGAGGCGTCCTTTCGTTACATTCCGAGTCTGTAAATCCAGATACGCCGTCGATTGATCGTACAGGACTAATTGGATATAGTTCCTCAATTGACCCGACATACCCTGTTTATGGTGGATTGTTTATGAAAGAAGCAATCATGTTGCTTCGTCGTTTCTATAATCAAGAAAACGAGAAAGGTACGACTGCGCAAATCCCAATGTTAACCACCTACTAATTCCACCATAGCCCCAAACCCAAGACCAAAAAAGAATCGCGAGTTGAACACCAGGTTTGGAGATGACAGCCAATAAAGACCAACATAGTAGATAGGAAGACTGGTATCGGGACTTCTTCCAACCACTACGCCTCAATTGCATTATACAGGACTATGTAAATATAAAGATGGATCAGAACGTGAATCTGTGTTGTGAATATCAATTACGCCCCCAAAAACACACACAAAATCGGATATGTGTACAAATCTGCAACACTGAACGACAATGTCGATCGATCTTTTTTGTTACTAGGTGATGGTTCATGAAGACCCAGTGCGCTCTGCCTCCAACTCCCGCTCGGCCTGCTGGTAGTACTTGGCAGTGTCCACGCCATGCTGTTACAAAAGTCAACTTCATCCCATCCAAATGGAAACTGGATACTTACCTGGTCATGATTGACAAGGTTGAACCATGGGACGACATGAATAAAAAGTTCTGAGTACCGCGAGTTGCGGGCGGCCATGCCTTGTAGGTAAGATGACATCTGGGATTTACCATACAGAGGTTCGCCCTTCTTGACCTTATCGACCATCTCACGAGTATCCATTTCAACTTCTCTGGTGTTCTCAGTGAAACCATAGAAGCGCTCTGTGAAGGTGTGAGTTGCGTCATTCGAAAAGGGTAGAAAATATGTGGTTGGAGAGAGGTGGCTCACGGCAGGATCGCTGATAGAGGACATGGAGTCCACCAAGAAGACCAACAGCTGTGGCGAGGCGCATGACAGGTGCAAAGCCACCACGGCCTACATGCGATGGGCTGGCTCTCTCCATGATCCAGAAGGAGATGGGAGCAGCCGAAGCCATCCCACCAGCCACGGCCCAATCGGAAGGCCGGGCATATCCGAATACCCGTCTCAAATGCCTGATAACGATGTGAGCTAGAGACAAATCCTTAGAATCCGAGGTAGAGCGTACGGGTCGGAATCAATCAACTGTGGGATGCGTTAGCAAGCGACGTTCGCGAACGGACACACAACTGAGGAGGGCTCCAGTCCATATCAAATCAACGTACCGGGTAGTCGGTGTTAGCCCGCTTGGAGGGCACAATGGCCGTTTTGGTATCAGTTGCCATGTTGCTTGAAGTATGGATGTGTAGCCTTGAGGTTGAAGTTCTGGGAGTTGGAGGAGAGGAGGACGAGACTAACCTGATTGGGATTAGCGTAATGAGGGCGGACAGGACACCCGATAGCCAATCATAAAGCAGGCAACAGGCTACTCGCGTCACGCGTCAAGGCTACATCTGATTGATGGACATGGTTTCCAGGGCGGTATTCTTAATTAAGGCTGAATTGTTCTAATCCAAGTGGCATTCGTTCCTATCTCGCAAATTACTGTCATCTTAAAGCCCATACATTGCCAACACCACCCCAGCTGGAGTTATGGATACTTCAGAGCGAGAAAACTCACCAGGCGCTGGTGACCTAAACGACCTTTTTGATTACGACGTTGGCTTGGATGAGATAATACCAGATACCAACACCAACACCAACAATAAAGCTTCTGGTACAGGAGATTCTGCACTTGGGTTAGGTCTTGATGAAGAAGTCAAAGTCACAAAGAAACGACAGCCTGTGGCCAAGCTAGACGAGAGCCGGTGAGTCTGTGCTTTTCTCCAGGGCCGCGCGGATGCCAATATTGATGAATGTACTAGACTTCTCTCAAAATTGGGTATCCCCAAACTGCGATACACTGCTACACAGAAACTGAGGTTCAAAGGCAAAGGGCATGAGGTTTGTGCTGCCCCAACAAGTTTGAAGCTAGCATAACTGACTTGGGTATAGTTTCAAGACGCCGCCCGTCTGCTCAACTTTTATCAACTATGGCTCGATGATCTATTCCCACGCGCAAAATTCGCAGATGGTCTGACAATGATCGAGAAGCTGGGACACTCGAAACGCATTCAAGTCATGCGGCGAGAATGGATAGATGAGGAGAAGCCGAGGCTTGTTGAGGAACTTAATAAACTCGGAGAAGAGCGAATCAAGAACCCGGGTTCCAATCACCCGACAGATTCTTCCAATCAACCGGTAGATTGCAAAAGCATTGCCGATCAAGACCTGTTTATCTCAGACCCAAGCGAGAGCGCGCGGCCTATCATCAGTTTCCCCGAACTTGAGGACGATGATTTGGATGATCTCCTCAGAGAGCAAGATGAGCCAATGACCAATTTTCGCGCAGAAATGCCTGTGTCCGTCTCACGAGTACCCAATGGCGACGATGACTATGACGCTGAATACGAAGCGATGAAGGAGCTAGGGATGTAGCCATGAAGTCTTACTGTACAATACCTCTTAATGATAGCGATGCCATGTTTGTTCAACCTCGCAGCCAACGCCACCAGTTTCATATTTATGCCATCACGTGGGCTGTGGGGGTAGAGTTTAGATGGGTATCAAAAGAGTGGACGTTGGAGAACTCAGAACAGAATTACTAATGATTGTACCGCAGGAGAAGTTTCAAATAGCATGCTAACTGATGAGGGTGATTAGGATTTGAATGAAAATTGTTCCTGTATTGACCTGGGAATAAACCAGCACAGAGCAGGGATAAAGAGATTAGGTGGAGGTACGCTGGCAGCAAGGAATTCACACGCTGGCAGGCTCCGTGAATACAGAAAACTGACCACCAGCACCGGCCCAGTTCAATTTCTTTCCACGGGTAGCAGTGTTATCAATGACGGTGGCAACCTCAATGTCATCTTGTGTGCCTTGTCCAGTTTGATATGTGGCAGAGAATCCCCATGACCACGCACGGCCATCAGCATCAATCGCAAGGGAATGATCCGAGGCCGCTGCAACAACCTTGGCCTTGATGCCAGGAACCGGGGTGGGTGCGATCAGGATACGGGGGCGATTACGCTCATCTTTGATGACAGCATCGTCAGAAAGTGTGTCGATCTTCAAGCCGCTTTGGAAACCGTCAAGGCGGCCCCATACCAAGCATTCACCATCGTTGGCAATAGCAACCGAGTGATGAGCACCACCACAAATTTGGGAAATATTTTTTCCGCTGAGTGAGTCGACAAGGGTAGGGTGCGCAATGGCGGCTTCGTCATCGCCCGCGCCCTCGCGGATGGCCGTTGCACCGAAGCTGTTTAATCCCCAGGCATAAACCTTGCCACTCGTGTGGACGGCAAATGAGTGGTAAGAGCCACTGCCAATATGAACGATATCCTTGGGGAGCCCGAATTCACGAGGTTGAAGGCCATTCAACCTATTGCGCTCCACAATCCGACGGCCTAGTTGATTCTGTTGTCCTGAGCCCCATGAATAAACGCGACCTTCATCGTTCAGGGCGAGAACATGATTGGCTCCGCAAGTCAGCTGCTTGATTTTCTTCAAAGACGGGATCAGACGTGGGGTGGTTTGGACGTGAGAAGTCGCGTCGAATCCGAGGATTCCATCGTTACTCTAGAATAATTAGCAGAGGTTTTAGAGGGAGGGAGAGGGGGCAAGGAGCATCTCACTCGGAAAGTTCCCCATCCATATACCAGGCCATCGTCGGTCAAGGCGAAGCTTGCGCTATCAGCGGCAGCAACTGCAACGAAGACAGTGCCTTTGGGGAAAGCGGTGACGGGAATGGCTGTGGGAGTAGACTCACGCGGGTTCAGCCCGCTATCTTCATCTTCGGAATCGGAATCGCTGTTGTTTTCAATGTCTTTATATCCGCCGTTCCAGGTGGTTTCTCTTCCGAGCGCACCCTGGTCGTTCACACCCCATGTGAAGACCTTGTTGTCATGCGTCAGAGCAACGCAGTGCATACCACCGACAGCAACATGCACGACTCCAACTTCTTCGATAGACAGTAGCTTGTTCAAACGTGGGCGCTTCACATCGATGACATTCTTGGCTGTGCCCAAACCTAGCTCGCCAGAGCTGCCCTCACCACAGACAAATACATTCAATTTAGCCTTGGGAGCCTCGTTGATGACAGCTTTGACTTTGGCCTTCAACTGCCGGGGTTGTGCGACACGAGAACGTTTGATTTCGCGAGGCTTCTCCTCATCCTCGTCAGCTTTGCGCTTCTTTGCAGTAGTGGTGGTTTTCGGTGTGGAGGTTGCCATTTTGCGTGGCTTAGCAACTGGCTTAGCAGCTGGTTTTTGAGCTGGCTTCGCAGAGGTCTTCGCAGAGGTCTTCGCGGCAGGCTTCGCGGCAGGCTTCGCGGCAGGCTTCGCGGCAGGCTTCGCGGCAGGCTTCGCGGCAGGCTTCGCAGTGGGCTTCGCAGCGGTCTTCACAGCGGTCTTCACAGCGGTCTTCACAGCGGTCTTTGCAGACTTGGGAGCTGTTGTTTTCTGAGTGGTTTCAGTCGAGGTGGCCTTTCTAGTGCTGGCGCGGACGCGAGTGGTTTTTTTCTCGACCGTCTCCGTCGAAGATTTGGCGGCCTTGGACGCGATGTTCTTTTTGGGAGGCATGTTGTCTTAGACTAAGCTATAGAGATAGCAAAGAATGAAGGATAACGGAGGTGGGTGGGAAGGAGGAATGCTCGAGAAAGGCGAAATCCGAGATGAAAGAATCCCAAGGGAAAAGGTCGCAAAGGGAAAAACAAAAAAAACCCGAGATGCCAAGAATGCGACATTCTCCCCAGCCCCCCAAAGGTCCCCCCACAGGGCCCGGAGAACATGGTCAATTCTTTCATGTCGTATGATGTTCAATTAGTTTCATTCTTCGTTTACATTGTTTTAGTGAGGTTTCATTGAAATTATCGTAGCCCATGCACCTCCAATCAATGAGCATCAGTCTGTTCCTTCTGTGCGAATCTTTCCACACATGATCACATTCTGCCCCAATGGCATCCATTTGACATCTCGGGGGTTCAGTGCGGCATTGGGTGTGCCCTCTTTGTCTTGCTTCGAGTCGGGGCTTACATTCACTCCACCGCGCCCGAGGTAGGTGGGAGCAACTGTCACAACAATCGAATCAATAAAGCTCGTATACTCTGGATTCAACAGTTCACTCAAGACCGTGCCACCACCCTCCACCATGACACTCTTAATGCCTTCCGATGCCAAGGCACGGAAGATGGCCTCCCATCGTAATCGCCAGTGCTGGTTATATTCAACAATGCGGAGGTAATCTCCACCGTAGCCTTTGAGCATCATTAGTGTCTGGGGATTGATTTGAGCTCCCGGGGACACCACGACCCATGGGGCTTTGCCTTTGCCTTCCATGGCGGTACGCAACATGCGACATTCAGGATGAACAGGCCACCGGCCCATGGGATCAATGATTACTGGTCTTGGTTGCCACATTCTGCCCAGGCCTCCGAATCCACCGGCTCCTTCCAGACGGCAGTTCAGACCCGGATTATCTGCAAGAACAGTCCCTACGCCAATGAGGATAGCATCATGTCGGGATCGAAGATAGTGTGTCATCAATTTGGCCTCCGGTCCAGACAAGACTGTTTGCATCCCTGGTTGAAGAGAAATCTTGGAGTCCATTGACGACGCGTATGACAAGGTAACATGAGGGAATTCCCGACGCTCCGAGTGAGGAAGATAAGGATGTAAGAATTCTAGCGAAAATTGTGGGAAACATAAAGTATCTGGTGGCAGCGAAGATGATGAGATCGGAGAAGCTGGTTTGGTATGCGTGAGCACCTCATTGACGCCATCGGTGCCCCGAGTTTTAACAATACCATGGCCTTTTTGATATTCGTAGCCCTCGTGCGCGACCAAATTTACCTCTGGGTTTTGTATGCGCCACTTCGCGGAGATGTTGCGAACATCTGTCACTGTGAAGAACCGTCCTCCGGCCTCCCCAAGTTTATCCGGCTCCTCTTGGAATTTGGTGTAGATGGAAGAAGGGAGATACCCCTTTACGGATTCTTTGCGCGCATACTCCATTAATCCCGAGTTTCGTTTCACGCGGTCAATATAGTCGAGGTCATGCGAGTGAGTGCTGCAACTGCCCGGCGTTCTCGCGATAGTGACGGTCGAGTACGCGCCCTCGAACCGGACCACTTTGATTTGGAAGTTACAGATGCCTCCCTCTCGAACTCGCTTCTTGCGAGGGCGTTTGCCCTCGGGCAATGGGCGAGTTTCGGAAGTGCGGTGTGTTGGACGCCGTAAACGACACATATAATAGTCTGTAGTGCAATGACCCTCTTTGCTCGCGTTTGACCTTTGTTTAACCCATACATTGTCAATGAAGGGCCAATATGTTTCGAACTCTTCTAGACTGATCTCTATTGGGTCCTTGCACTCGAACAAGACCTTGCGTATGCGCGCTAAATTCGGTGGATTGTCGAGAAGGCTGGCCTCGCTGGTCGGGCTGTGAGGGTCACGGTGCTGTGTTGACACGTTCGCGGCATCTAGATCGCCGGTCGTCGTCTCGGGTGGAATATCTCCGCCCATCGGATCCTCTTGTGTATCCCGTGGTTCATCTGTGGACAACGCATCTTTCACAGAAACGCCATTTGCCGGGGAATCCTCGTTGGGAGGTAAGCTCGGGAGGGATGCATGGTCCATCCTAGGGAATGTGGCAGCGCACAGGTAGATGTTCCCAGCTATGGCAATGAAAGAGCCATTTCACCGGGAATAGCCCCGAACAGTAAGAGATAAAAGATGGTGTCGGAAGAGAAGCCTCGCGAAGAACCTAGTGGGGCGGAAGCAACCGCTTTTCCCTTACGTAGAATGTATAATCTAGGCCTATGTTTATATGATTTACAGATACCATACAGAGTGGATAGAACAAGACATTGCATTTTCCTCTGCTGTGAATGAACTCGCACCTAATATGCTCCGATATCCGCCCCGGCACGCGCTAGAGTCTCATAGACTCGTGGCGGCAACTTGTATTTAACCATTCCCGAGAAAACCATGAGATCTTTAGCCATGACAAGCAAAGTATCCGCCAATCCCTGGCGCACTTCACTGTCGTACATCCCAAAGGCTCGCTTTTGGCGTTCGTAGCCAATACATGTGATGCTCCACATGATAACATGCCCGACATTGCGTGAAATGATGGGCGGCAAAGATGAGAATGCCTGGGCTGTGCTTCGAATGTACGACACGGAGCCTTGCGCTTGCAAGGGAAGAACATTCAAAGCATTGATAGCCTATTAAGTTAGTAACTGGGACAGATGAAGGACTGGGTGTACTTACATCGAGTGCTGGCGCCCATCTGCCAGCTTCAACTTGGGTCTTGGCCTCCATCATACGGAGCAGTAACCCACAAGCATCACGGTTGACTTGCCGGATTTGTCCATAATACATTCTGTCCGAGTCATAAAGACTGATCATGTTCTTTGCAAGCACGCCTGGATCGTCGACGGAAGTCAAGCTAAGGCTGCTTCCGGCTTCCATTCCCTCGCCGGCTTCGCCGCCTCTGGGACGCAAAGGTTGCAGCTTCGGCATAGCACCACCTAGCTCTACCGCGATTGCATCCGACAACGCGCGGTTGATGATGTCAATGACACGGTCATAGTTCTCAGCCAGGTGATACAAAAGCACGGCATCTGTAATCAATCCCTTATCGTCTGCTACGGCGGCAGCTTGAACCGTAATAGTCTTCAAAAATTCTTGCTGGTCAACAAGTTTGATCAAATCAAGACGTTGCTCAATGGCACCCTTAAGGCGAGTACCATCTGCTCGGATATCGCCGAGCAATTTAGCAAAGTCCCTGGTTTCTAGAATAAACTCTCGCAAGGCCTCATGGCAGACTGATGCCTGCGATTTGCCCAAAGCACCTGGCAGATCCGCATTGAGGCAGATTAATGTGAAATAATCAATGGCAGCTTCAACAAATCCAGTGCGGAATTCCCGGGTGTATTGGGTTAAGAGATACCCGAAATTGATCTGGGGGTATTGTTTGACTGTAAAGGAAACTGTATAAAATTGAGCAATAGGAAAAACAGATCGCGGGGGATGCTTACGAATTTCTTCACCGGAAGTGTAAAAGTCAGACACGCGCAATAGTCCATAATAAGACAGGGCGATGGCAAAATGAACAGCAGTGACTGGAGCATAGGTGCCGAGATAATGCACAGCCTGTTCAAACATTCCTCCCAGAATTTGCAGGAGGAAATAAGTTCCATAGCCACCAGGTCCATCGTTGCCCTTGACGAAAACTCTTTGGCCAATCTCTTGGATATCGGTCTGAATGTCTTCCAGACCGAAGACGTCACCTGCAACCTCTTCTGCGCGGTCATCCTCTCTTGCAAGACTGAATTGGAGCCACATCCAATCCTCAACAGTTTGTTTCACACCATCCAAACGACGACGGGACAGATCACACCGACCAATGATCTTGTAGCATGCCATCCGGTAAGGATCGACTGTGTTTTCAGGTGCGTTCCGTGAACGTTGCTGAAACTCGCCATTGATCTTTTGCTGCAGGTCTCGAGGTAATCTCCTACTTTGCGCGAAGGTTGTCATGTAGGTCACGAACTTGTGATCTAAAGATCGGAACCCGCTGTCCCGACTCACGTACTCGGCTGCTTCAGCCACAAATCCACACCGGAGAAGATAGAAGATAAGAATCCAGCAATAGTCTTGATTCACCATCTGTAGCTCAGTACCGTCAGGTGCCAGGTCCTTTCTGGCAGCTTGAAGACGGATGTAAGCGCGAATTTTGTTGATCACAGTTGGAATTCCTCCCAGCTGTGCTTCACGCGGATTTTTGGCAATGGCAGTCTCTACTTCATCGAAAAATATGTTTTCAAGGAAACTCCTTGAGCCTTCAAGAATCTGTTTTCTGAGACCGATGGCTTTGAGGGATTTGGAGGATTCTTCGAGATAATCTTTGGCGTAATGGCGCTCTTGAATTGCCCCCGGCTCTGATGGGTTGACGATGTTTGGATTCTCGTGTACAATCCTTATCAAGGCTTGGTACGCATTGAACAGTTGTCGAGGTACCTAGGAGATAATTAGCGACACGCACACTGCAGCTTTAACAATCCAACATACATCACCGCCAGCTTGCAATTCAACATATGAGAACTCATCAAGTATAGGATAGCATTTCCCTTGGAGTCTGGCGAGATTCAACTGCTGAACTTTCTCGGCATAGTTGCCCATCTTTTCCCGTTGGAACCTGAGATCGGGCGAGTGAGGTGCAGTTCCTTCATTCCGCTCTGCTGAATCTCCAAATATCTGACGACTTGCCAAGCCGGCTCCAGGTGTGCCAATGACCGACTTTTCAAGACCCGAGCGCCCAAACACGCTTCGGTTGGACGCGGAAGGTCTGGGATAAATGGCTTGCTTGGATTGTCTTGCCGATCGCCCGAATGCACCGGATCTTAATGTACCGACACCAGACTGGTCAAGCCCGAAGTGCTGAAATATTGTTTGACGTTGATCCTCCCAGTCCATGTCAACCTTCTCTTCCAGAAAAGCATCGAAGTCCCGCTGGGCTCTGTTGAGACCCTCTGCGATCATCACTTGTCGACCCCGTTGCTGGATATTTCGCAAGAATCTCTGGTTATCTGGGTCGAAGTGATCTGGCTCTTTTGCCGGTACCGCTAAAGATACCTGGGGATCCATTGATTTGAGGTCGCGCAATGCTCGACCAGGAGATATACCGGAAGCTGCAAGCAGATAGTGCCTTGGCAAGGTTAGTAAATTTTGCGCAAAGGTAAATATGAACTCACGCTTTGCTGTTCTTGCTGTTTGGAGTATCCTTTTGTCCCCCAGCGCCTAGCTCTCGCGCTTTCCTTCGAATATCATCCAGGCCTAACTGAAGGCTGGGGACGTCTTCAAAGTTGTTGTTTTGAACCGCCAAAGACAATGGTCGCTTTTTACCGCGTTCCAACAGGCTGTTGAAAAATGCAGGTTGTGTTGAAGGACCATGTTGTGGGTTGCTTACTTGGGTTTGTCCCAAGATCGGGCCTTGAGCGGTTTGTTGCTGGGCCTGCGTTTGACCCCCGAACAGAGACGATGTTTGCGCATTTTGTGTGCTCGGAGCAGAGAGATTGGTGAAAGGACTCGCAGTCGATTTATTTGCACCAAAGAGACTGTTCGAACCGTTCGACTGTGGAGCTGTCGACGTCCCAAGACCACCCCCTCCGAAGAGAGAGCTGGTGTTGGAGGCCATGGACGATAGACTTAGTTGAAAAGGGTTATGACTGTAACGAGTCTATTCGGATTAGATTTGTATTGGTTAAGCTAAGACATGTCAAAAGGCAAGAAAACTGAACGCACCTAGCTGTAAGATCACGATTGGTAATGGGGTTTGCTTCGGTTACCATGAATAGATCTTTTGCAGAGATTTGGTTGTATATCGATGAAACAAATCCAGTGAGTAAGGACTAAGAGACGTCAACAAATATTTGAAGAGGCTGCCTTGAAGCTCCGTCTAAACAATCCAACCTGGTATTCCGGATAATCTATTGACCGGCCGACCGAAGTCCTCTTGTCCCCGCCGGACAATGGATGCATATGTACCTAGGTAGGTAAGGAACATGAACCAGCCATCATATCAATTACAGTACATAGATTGACGAAAGAACATGCCTGTGTTTCAATCTAAAACATTTCGACGAGCACCTACGGCATCATCATCCTTCGGTGAACGGCTTGGTGCATTCTACCGGGCGCGACTTGCTCGACACCCTTTTATTCTCTTTGGACTCCCATTTATGGCGGTTATTGTAGCTGGGTCTTTCGCATTGACGCCTGCTGCTGCCTTGCGCTATGAGCGCTATGATCGCAAAGTCAAACAGCTAAGTCAGGACGAAGCATTTGACCTTGGACTCAAAGGTCCCGACGGAGAAGAGGGAATCAAACGCAATCCGCGGAGAAGGATCCTAGGCGATGAAAAAGAAGAGTACTACGTATGCTTTGGATTATTTCTGTTTCTTTCTCCACCAACCCAACGAATTGATTGCTGATTGTATGTGTTTACAGAGACTCATGGCCAAAGACCTCGACCAATGGGAGCAGAAACGAGTAGAGCGGTTCAAAGGTGAACCGGATGGAAGACTGTAATACCAACGCATCCGAGTGCTCTGGCATCCTCTATATAGCCCTCCGCTTCCGGTTCTTATGCGCTATCCATGATAGTGGGGATCCTCTTCTATCCCTCTCAAATCTGTCACCTCATCTCCCACATACGACAATACGTGGCATCCAGGTATAGGGGTAATCCAACCTTGGCCTGGCATATCTTACTCTGCAAAGACATGGGCAGCAATATCCTTACCATTTTCGCGTCTGATCTGCTAGCGCTTAACTTCGATATGGCATTCTGCCTCAAGCCCTACGAGGTTTAATCCAAATAAACACTGCCAATGGCCAGAGTCCCTAGACTATGATACTTATTGACATGTAACTTCTTACGTCTACCTTTTTACCCCTTACCCTATGGTTTGAAGGGTATGCTATCGTAAAAGCAGATGGCCTAGCAGATACACGTCTCTTAGGATCAGCTATGCGTGACTGTTTGTTCTTTGCCACTACTCCTGGAAATATCCACCTAAATATATTACATAGAAGAAAGCTGGAATCATTCGTGATCGCCCTATCTAAGTTATTTCTCTTTTTTTATTCGCTGGTAGAATGCTACCCCTTATTCAGCTCAAATAGCAATCCACGGCCATAACTTAGTCGCCGGTAGAGGAAATATACCTAGTGCGTATAGTTATCTGCATACATATGCAGGTATTCCTATGTAAATGGAGGTGCGATATCTCCTGGAAGTACATATACATACTGGAGATGAACATAAAAGCACCTAACTAACTAACTATGTAGTTAGTTATAACTATGTACTCCGTACCCACAACATAGTTACATGACAGTATGTACTCTACGTATACGGAGTACACATACATATATAACTACATGTATACATACATAGTATATATATGTATCATGTATCAGTACCTAGAGGTATCTTAATGTATCCAATACGTATATATGTAGTGTGTATGGAGTACCGGGGACGCAGATGGATGATGATGTACAATTCTGTACGGAGTACATGTACTCCGTACCTACATGTATGTACTTAGGTATGTATGTATCGAGTGTACGTAATAATAATGGAGCTCCTAGGCTCGGGCCGACCTTCTCACACATCAGTCTCTCCAGACTCCGTACTTCTACACAATTCGACATGCGATTCTTACTTCTCAGCGCCCTGGCGCTCCTAATTGCCGTTGCCAATGCCTCTCTCTCAACTGATATCCTATACTGGCCTATAGGATCGACACAGCCATCTATCCTCGCGCATCTATCCTACGACCCTATCTCGATGAAATCGGACATAATCTCATACCATCCACCGAAGGTTGATCAAAGCGACAGTCTAGTGCGTCTCGGTCTTTATACTTCAGCGACAAACCAGAAGCAATGGGTCGGCAGTCTCGTGTCTTTGTCGTCTCTCGCTAGTGAACCAACATTCCGCCTTCACCTTGGTCCGGCCAACGAAGTCTATTCTGTCTCCCTGTCTGCATCTTCGATCACCCAGCACCCAACATCTGGCCCTCAGGTCAATCTTATTCCGAACGAATCTGGGACCTCCCCCCATCTGAATCGGCCAGTGGTTGTCCGTCCCGATGGCCAAAACTCAGACCAACCTGAAGAGAAGTCTCTTTTGCAAAAGTAGGTTGCAGGCAGTCATGATCTTTTTACATATGCTAATTGATTAGGTACTGGTGGGTTCTTCTTATCGTTACTTTCATCAGTATGTCTGGGGGTGGAGGGGAAGGACAATGATGTTCCCTAGTAAATGTTAGGCTGGAACTATTTTTTTCTTCTTCTTTTCTTTTCTGAAATTTCCCCTTATAGGTGTTATGTTATGTTATGTTATTTTTTTTTTTGCCTCCGGACACTCATGCGCCTTTGACTTGCGTGTCCATGTAAAAGTCATAGTCCTGGGGTACATAGGCCCAAGTTAGGATATGACGGACCTAGTATATATATAAATATATATATAATATATATTTATTATATACATGTATGTATCTTTCAGGGAACAATAAGAGATCAAGCTGCATAAAATGTAATTGACCCCACCTGACCATCCTCTCTTTTCTGCCTGGGCCTGGACAAGAGCGCTGCTACCTAGACTCATCAGGCAACGAAGTGTCTGTGCTGGATTTTAGGAAAGCTTCATAAACCTATCACCCCCCCCCCCTGTTCCCCCCGCGCTCTCCCCCCTAAAGGACTGCCACGCAGAGGATGCTTCTCCAACTTCCCACAGAGTTGATACAGCTCATTCTTTGGCACTGTGACACACCGGGCTACTTCCAGGCAGCGTTTACCAGCCGCAGACTCTATGAGATTGCTTCCGGTAGCCGGGAAGTCATCTTACATCAGCTACATCATACTCCTGGCTGGAACCAAGGCATCGAGACCCATCAGACCAGGTATCTATTTAGCGAATTGATGAGACGATCGTTCAAACAGCTGGATGGCGCCGAATATCACATAGAAGCCAAATATGAGTATCAGAACCGAGCACTTGACTGCCATGCATCGACGTTGGAGGCATCGGAAGACAGGCTTCGGGCATTGCTTGTCTTCAAAGGTGATAGTTCTGTCTACCTGGTCGATTTGAGCGATGGGAATGGGACTCAAGTCGAGCTGGAATCCCCAGGACAGACTATCGGGAATGTCGAGATCATCCAAACTGCCTTCGATGGAGATCATGGAGTCTACGTATTGCATCGATTTAAGCCATTCTTGGACCAGGAGCTGGACACAGATCACCCATTTGTTAAACACGCCCTTGAATCCTGCCCCAATGGAAGTATTCATTTGGCCTATCACCATTTGAATCCCCGGAAACATAGCATTCGAATGTGCGATTTTCCTGAATACCGGGACTATAGGCCATTAGCTCTGTCTGTTACGAACAGCAAATTCGCAATCTCATGGCAAAACACACACGACTCCTTGGACCATGACGTTGTGCTCTACACTTGGCTCCCCGATGAAGATGACGACGACAAGACACGACACGAGCAAGATGTTACAGGCTGTAAAGTTATTCGTTCGTTTCCTCGTCCTATCAAATTGAAATCGGCCTCTAACAGCTCTAGATGCCGCTCTTGAGACATATGCCTTGACTAGTTCAAATGACCAAGACCCAGATGTCCATAAAGCTGGGAGAACAGGCCCTGCAGTGAGATTGGCATTCAACGACCGAGGCTTCCAATTGCTCTACCACTACCGGGCTCAAAACATCTACGGTGGCTTCCAGAGACTTCATCGCCTCCCTGGGCGAGATCAGGGAGAACCAAGGCCACCCGTGAATGTAAATGCATGTACGGTGCAATTCTCCCCTTCCCTTTCGCTCCAATTCTCAATTGCAATACCATTCTTCGGTACTCACGAGTTCGGAGATACAAGTCAAGGAGAACAATGCCATTGGCAATACCTCTCCTTTGGAATTGCGACTCACCGAGTTGAAAAATGGACAGTAGCATGTCTGTTGAAATCCGAAACCTATACTGGACAGCGATGTACCCACGTGTTGAATCTTGACCGCGGAAGGCGTTTCAACAATTGGAAAATCATGGCACAGCTTGTGGGATTCCAGGAATTGACAACCTCGCATGGATCTCGCGTGGCTACTTCACGTCATGGAACTCGGATTGCTGTCGCTAACTGGAAAACCCTTTATATCTGGGCATTGAATCCATCTGAATTGATCGAAGGCAATAGCACCGGCTTCTATCCACGTTCATGGGAATCCTCTATAGGTGTTATCGGGTTAAGACCAGTTGTTCTCCAATTAGAGGCGGTCTGTTCGCAATTACGGTTCACTGAAAAGGAAGACGAGGTGATTGCGATTACTGATCGTGGATTGATGTACCTGAGTTTGGGTTATGGCAAAGGCCAGGGTCGGAAACCATGCGTGACGAGTAGAACGAAGGTGCCCGAGTGCAGTGAGAATAATGTTTGAATACCGAGGACTAAATATGATCCATATGGCAAGTATGTGAGCATTGTTTTGAATTGTTGAGGTCTTTGAGTATGGTCAACATAAGATGCCATCATTGTCGTCTAAGCTCCTCCCTGTTTATCCAAACACCGGGAAATGCAGAACAGCTGTATGGCATTGTACATAGATCAAAAGAAAACCATGGCCCTGAGAATGCAAAGTAAAAGAAGGGTATCCCAGTTTCATCATCATAGCAAAAAAAGAAAAAAAAAGCAGAAAGGGACCATTTAACAAGTTTGTTCTACTTCATCTCAGAAGCGAGCCATTCGAGCACACTCTCATAACAGAGCGCAAATTGACTCAGATTCTGTACCATACTTGGTCTTTGTCTTCGGAAATCTTCGACAGTCTTTGCGATTAAGTCAAGATTGTAATCCTTGATCCACTCAGAAGATTCACTGGGGTTTTGATCCAGACCTCCACCACCGGTAGCTTGCGCACGTTGCCGTTTCAACATGTCCAAAACACTATCGACGGTGCAGAAGGCCCCCGTACGCCCACACCCTGCACTGCAATGTACCAGGACTGGTCGTTGACCCCTCGGTTCTGCTTGCTGGCTGCCAAAACTGGAATTGCTGGTGGCACGAATGACCTTATTACATTGTTCAATCAGATGGAGCAGATGGGTAGGCTGGGATGTTGTTCCGAAATCCGGCCAATAAGGATACTGAAGTTGGGTGATGTCTCGAAGTGGTTGAAAGGGAAATGAAGTATGGCAAATGCTGAAATGCCGTACAATGATAGCTGGGGTTTCGTTTGCATCGTCAGATCGTTTGGTGAATGTCTCCGAACTACCGATGATTGAATCAATATTTTCGTCCTGGGATTCGACATAGATGTGCTTTTCTGAATAGGCCTTGACTTCGAATGGTCCATATTTCCCAGACTCCCAGTATCGATGACACTTTACCTGTCCTCGCTCAATTTCTGCAGTGAGGGAAACGATGAGTCTAACATCTTGCTCCCATACCACGCGCCAAAAGTCCTGAATCCCGTTAATATTAGACTAGCAAGCGATACCAAGCCTGGCACTCACATTAAATGTATCAGGAACGGGGGCTTGTGTAGCGATGTATTTGCGATTGGTAAATTCGGCTGAAATGTGATTTGCATTCACGTAATCACAGCCTCCAGCTGGGATTCCTTCGAGGCGGACGCGGGAATGATCGAATGGATAAATGTCGTTGTAACGATTCTTCGTGCCTTTCTCGATACCTGCGACGCGATACTTGCTGCCATTGCCATCTCCCTTGTAGGTTAAAGCTTGTTTCATGCGTTCCAATTCCGTTTTCTCCAAGACCAAGAACTTGTCCGAGACAATGTGCCCTTGGTCCTTGGTATCAGAAGCGTCCTGCAACCAGGAAGGAAGTTGCCGTCGTTTTTCTTCAGTCAAGTGATCGGGCTGTTTCAAAGTCACTTGGCCAACCCCGCCAAGCAAGTCCATGTTCTGCCTAATATTTCCAAAGAATGGATTGACGGCAGAGGATGATTCTGGCAGAGCACAGCCACCAACGACAGGGGCCACAGATTGGAGATCGATTCTCATAGGAGCAGAACGTTTAGAAGGTGGCCCGGTTGTCTGCGCTTGTGGCCGTTGAATCAAATGTGGGAACCGACTTGAGAACCCCTGAAAGCCGGTTCGCAAGATTAACCCATCTCCCTTCCAATCTTCTACCTGGAATTTATTGAGAACGTTCAGAAGCGGTGATACATCCTTCGAATCAACTGCCGCAGAATCATAGACAATGATCATCTCACACTTTCTCCAACGAGCGAACTTCTGTTTGTCAACATCGTCTGTGAATGTGCTTTCTAGTTTTTGGGTATCAAACGATCGACGCTTGAGTAGGGTGGTAGGAATGCATAGATTGAGTGATCCCTTGATATTGGCTTGTCTGAAATGAGCAAATGGCCGAACATCAAATAGCATGATACTATTTGACTGAGATGATCCGAGAAGAGCGGCGCAGCGCTCGGGTGAAACCCAGGGAAATGATGCAGGCGGGGCTGAAGTAGTATTAGTATTAAGTAGTGAAACACCAACGATCCAGGATATCACCTTGCGGGGCGTGCACTGAATTCTTGCCATTCATAAGCCTAAGTCCACCGGGTTGTCCGAATGAAATGTTTCCCAACGGATGTGAAGGTGAAGACTTTGACCATGAAGTGATCTGAGGGGAAGGGGATTCATGCAAAGCTGACTCTCGACGTATGCGATTGGTCTCAGGCTCGGTCTTCAGTAGATTCATTAATCCGGTTGAGACCGATTCTTGAGAAAACACGGGTAATTTTGGACTCGGTAAAGGTTGTGCATGAGGCAATGTACCCCAGTTCTTCTGTGTAGATAGCCCTGGAGTCTGCGGAACAGCCATACCGAAATAATTGGGACTTGATAGTTCTGTGAAAGTAGCGCTCGACGTTATGCCCGAATTAGATGGTGACATGGTAGGCTGGAATGATTGTGTGACACCACCATCATGACCACCTTGAGCACTCTGCACCCAAGGCGAAGAAGGTGAACGTCCTGGGCCTGTCATGGCAGGCGAGCTACTCCAGAACCCTGTCGAGGTATAATGCTCCTGATGCCTGCGATTGGCAAGCAGGGTCCCGGTGATCAGACTAGCAATTGCTTCCTAGCTCTCGGTACAAGGTGTCAGGTCTAAAGACCTGGGAATGAGGCAGAATCGCTGGTCATAAACGTAATTCGATGCAATGACGGCAAATCGATGGCGCGTCTCAAGTATGGTGAGGACGGGAAGCACACTTTGGATGTAAGGATCTCGAAAGATATGCAACTGACGCAGGAAAAGACAAAGAGGGGCAACAAGAAGCGAATAGACCAGGGTCCAGCCTAAGGGAAAAACCGGTGGCCAATGGAACAAAAAGTGGGGGATGAACAGGTTAGAGAGAAGGCATCCGTCATTGCATGATTAATAATCGGTAGCCTGGGCTCCAGGACTGAAAGGCGAAGAAGAAATTTGGGGACTTCGAGAAGAAAGTTATGACGTTGCTATGTGGGGATCACGGGTTCACTTCAAGGTCACTCACTAAGCCTCACCTAAATGCTCCACATATCCATTTCACCTTTTCCACCAACCAGTTTCGTCAACCATTTGAACCACATCCACCCCGCACTTATCAACATTCCCAGTCAGCTTCCCGAGTTCAGCCCCGCGTGTCCCATTCTGTATATTCTCCAACCCGAAGAGCGAGTCCAACAGCTGCAAGATGTTTTAAACACGGATTTTGGACAAGCTTAGAGAGGGAACATCGAAGCCCTCATTCACCTGTACGAGATTGGCGAACTGGGACCACGCCAGCGAACTGATCCACCTGTCTTCCTGGTGGATGGGGTTTGTGTTGAGAAGGACCCTTGGCAAGATGGATCAGTCCTGGCCCACGCATTGTAGTGGTGTGAAGTGTGTACCTAGGTATATTATATACAACATATTATATATTATATATCATCTAATATCTATATTATTTTGGCTCATCATGGAGACTGATATATCTTTGGACCTTAGTCGTTCAGCAGATGACACAGGCAGATGACACAGCAAACTACATGTATATACCAGGCAAATATCATATAACCCTTCTCGAGCCTCTCCCAGACGTCCTTGAGTGTATGATATTATGAAGAGCTTCGGGGTGATCATTTATTGCGTTTTCTTTTCCCTATCAGCCTCACCAGATGATACGGTCTGTCTCAGAATCTGTCCATTTTGTTTTCGAATCAGTTCTGAATACACCAGAGATGTCACAATCCAAGCTATATCGATGATCACTTGAGCCTATACACTTGATTTCCTCTGCCCCTTCTTGGTGTTCTCTTTCCGTATTAGTGCTCGGACCTTGCCGCCTTTTGCTCACTGAGTAAAACTGAGCACGCCCCTAGTTATTACATAACAATCATTTCTGACGTAATCAAATGGGTATATCGTGTAGCAGAAATCGGAGAATCGTCAGTTTTACTATCCAATATATACAAAATATGCATGGGAAAATATAAAGAAATACATGGAGGTACTTGTTGAAGACTACTCCATGCATAAATAGTCATAAATGTATATGAGAAAGACGACTAGAGAGTGGAAAACTACATGGAGGCTATAAAGGCGATATAACATGACCAAATCCCATATTCTTGTCCCTTAGGCACATATAGGTAGGTACAAAGTACATTATCCAGGCATATCTGCTAACTACATAGGTGCAGCTGCATGTGTACATCCTAAATAGTACCAAATTCGTACCTATGGGTATATACCTATATGTATATGGGTGTATAGTACATGTAGAGCACATTTCAGTACTTGAAGTCCCGTACTTGGCATGCTGTACTCTGTACACCGCTGCTCCCCCCCCAAGAATACTGCGTCACCAACCCCAGAAAATGTTGGTTCCTCTTCTTCCAAGGTTTCCTTCCTTCAAAGTAGAAGGAGAAAACAAGGAAACCCAGTTCCTCTTCTTCAACGCTTCTTTGAAAGCTACTACTCTCCTCTGTTAATCCGTGGTACAATTTCCATAGCTATAATTATAGCTCCACAAGATTCGAAGTGAAGAGCAACATGGCTTCGCTGCCCTACCGCCGTGCATCTCGTCAGAGCTCTCGGAAAGCATCCAGTGATCCTAGGGAAGATTTGGCAGTTCATCTAGACCATTATATTGGCATTGACGTCGGAACTGGCAGTGCTCGTGCCTGTATTATTGACGCCAAGGGGGACATTGTGGGGTTGGCTTCAGAGAATATTGGCCTCTGGCAACCGGAGCACGGTTATTATGTGAGTAGACCCGCAGGAAGTGTGGCCAAAATTAGCTCTCATTCATTTTCTAGGAACAATCTACCTCCGACATTTGGCATTGCATTTGTGTTGCTGTTCAGCGTGCTGTAAGCCAACACAACATCAATCCTGACACGGTTCGGGGCATTGGATTCGATGCCACTTGCTCCTTGTCGGTTTTCTCCAATGAGACCGACGAACCAATCTCTGTGACTGGTCCTAACTTTGACTCTGACCGCAACGTTATCTTGTGGCTGGACCATCGCCCCGTGGAGGAAGCTGCAAAGATCAATGCTACCAACCACAACTTGCTCCGCTATGTTGGAGGAAAGATGTCCATAGAAATGGAGATCCCCAAAGTTCTCTGGCTGAAGAACCACATGCCTAAAGAGCTCTTTGAAAAATGCAAATTCTATGATCTGGGGGATGCGCTTACCCACATTGCGACCGGCAACGAGAAGCGAAGCTTCTGTAGTGTGGTCTGCAAGCAAGGATACGTACCCGTTGGTGTTGACGGGAGTGTAAAGGGTTGGCAAGAAGATTTCTTGAGAGACATTGGCCTGGGCGACTTGACTGAAGATAACTTCAAGCGTATGGGTGGAGTGGATGGGGTGGTGAGCCTTTCCTTAAATTGATGAGAACACAGTTCGCTGACTGCTTGTGCTGCGCAGAATGGGGACTATTTGAGTGCGGGTGAGTTGGTTGGTACTCTCTGTGAGAAAGCTGCAGCCGAACTGGGCCTGCCAGCCGGAATCGCCATCGGTAGTGGTGTGATTGATGCCTATGCTGGTTGGATCGGTACTGTTGGATCCAAGGTCGATCTGGGCTCAGGTCAATCGAGTGCAGATGTCCCCAAACTTGATAGATCGGAAGCCTTTTCTCGTCTTGCGGCTGTCGCAGGAACCTCAACATGTCACCTTGCCATGTCTCCAGATCCAGTCTTTGTGGATGGCGTCTGGGGCCCATATCGGGATACCATTCTGCCTGGATACTGGATGGCGGAGGGTGGTCAATCTGCCACGGGAGAATTGCTTAAGCATGTCATTGAAACCCATCCGGCATTCAACCAGGCTATTTCGATCGCCGAGTCATACCATGCCAACATCTACGAATATCTGAATGAGCATCTAAAAGAGATGGCACACGGCGAAGGCGCCCCATGTGTTTCCTATCTCGGACGACACTTTTTCTTCTACGGCGATCTGTGGGGCAACCGCTCTCCTATTGCCGATCCCAACATGACTGGATCCATCTTTGGCCTGACCAGTGACAAGTCGGTTGATGGCCTTGCCATTTACTACTATGCCACTTTGGAGTTCATTGCGCTACAAACGAAGCAGATTGTAGAGACAATGAACAAGGCCGGCCACCGGATCACCTCGGTGTTTATGTCGGGCTCACAATGCCAGAATGATATCCTAGTCAACCTCGTTGCATCTGCTTGCGATATGCCCGTGCTGATCCCTCGGTATATTCACGCTGCAGTATGTCATGGTGCTGCTATGTTGGGTGCCAAAGCTGCAAGCGCCGATTCACAGGGCAAAACCGAGGACCTGTGGGATATCATGGAACGAATGAGCAAACCAGGCAAGAAAGTGTTGCCAACGGAGGATAAGAACGAAAAAGCCTTGCTAAATGTTAAGTATGAAGTCTTTCTGGAGCAGTGTTTCAAACAACAGAAATACCGTTCCCTGGTGGACAATGCCGTGGGGGCTTGGAAGTCCACCTGATTCTATCTACATGCAAGGCTCACGACGGACTGTTCTTTCTTTATTTACTCGAACCACAAAATTTTTTCTCTTTTTTTTTTTAACAATCTACAACTTGTACGAGTCTACCTAGCATCGTTCAGTACTCTCGCAGAATCAAAAGTTTGCGCCGCGAACGAAGCTCAAATTTCTCAGATAACAATTTCCAAATCACCATGCATGCGGAATAACAGCCCAGGAATGAGCCCTAGATAGGAGTTCCGGAGAAAGAAGGTGTAATGTCCATATAAACCTGGTAGGAAAGAAAAACACCCGAGAAACGTTCACCATACAACATTGATCTACCCAATCCAATGAATGTGCTTCAGAGCCACTATCATCGGTAACCTGTGCTCTTTCTCTAGTAGGCTGGTCCACCTCGTGTCCGTCCGATGGTGTAGAACTTCTCGGGACTGCCAGTGCTGCCCAGTGCCAGTGTATCAAACCGGTCCACACCCATGCTGTCCATGTTCACAAAGCCCGACAGATAGAAGCCAAGTACAACAACAATGTAAGTTAGTACAAGAATTGATCCTTTGAAATAGTTACTCTTTCCTTCGCCATATACATATGACAGCAAGAAGACACACAGGATAACGGTAATCATGTCCCACTGAGGGAAGATCAAACTGTCGGAGTGATCTTGTTAGCCATGGCTCGTCAGATGGGTACAGCACGGTCAGATAAATCTTACTTGAATGAGTGGCTGACAAGTTCTGAGGGGTCCAGCGAGCGGCCATAGACCGCACTGAAAAATACCACAGCAGGAACTTGTAAAAGACAAACTTGCAGTGCATATGCGGATCCAATTTCCATCGACAAGGCGATGTTGCCATTCATGGCGAAGGAAATGGCGTTCTATGGGTGTGTGTTAACAATATAAATAGATACAGGGCCACTATTCAACGTACCAAGAATTCCGTAGTGTTGGGTACCAACGCGAAGAGAGTGATACCGAGGAATTTTTCATCAATATCCACACTCTCTAGTACAATATCAACTGTATTGACAAGGATCTCAGCAATAACTGCATAGAGGACAGTTGCTCCCAGAAGAATGATAGAACTTTTGATCTTGCTCCAGTTGGGCGCATCGTGTCCTCCGCTAGCATGTGCTGGTTCAACACTTAATCCGAGATCTTCGAGCTCTTCTCTAGGAGTAGGTCGGGATTGCTCTGGAGCAGAGCGACTGGCTTGACGAATAGAAGCTTGATGGTGTTGACCAGTGGGTTTGCGACTCCGGGTCGCATCGCGAGCAGCCACTGCTGCGGCTGTTGCCGCCACTTCTGTGAACTGACGTACTAGGCGTTCATTGTCTTCCTTGGCCATAACACGTACAGATTTCGGCACAGGGCAACCGTCCTCGCCATTCGGGTGGGGGGCACTAGATGCGGGAAATTGCTTCTGAGTTCTGCAGCAGATTCACTTCCAATATCTTCCCAATTACCTGAGTTAATGTCTTCCAAGCCAATATGCTTCAAGGACTGACCTAAGATGCGCTTATATAGCTGAGATTCGCGAATCGAGTCTTTAGATCCAGAAGCGGCACCAGAAGCAGCACCGGAGGCTTCGGGTTGGCCATTCGGGAAGAGCAGATGCCGTGGTTCGTAGAATGAATCTTGAGCGGATTGGCTAGTTTGGGCATGTAGATTCTTCTTTTCTTCCATCTCTGAAGCCCATATAAGAGCAGCATGCGTCCTTAGAGTAAACCATAGGCCGATCCCATACGCCAGGAACAAGAAGACAGCGGCGAACCACGCATATGGCTGAACAGCCTTTTGAAAGAATTCATCATTGATAGCGGCTGTTTGGGAGAAATAGCAGCGACGGCAGTCTCGGGCACCTGTATCGAGGGAACTGACACACGAGTGGCAGTTCAGCTCATGCTATATACTAGTTAGTCGAAGTCCGTTTATGAAGGGAAGATAAAACATACACTGCCATAGACCTGATAGAAGAGAGTAGGACCAAAAGCAGCGATCACCGCAAACAATAGCATCGTTGAGGTCACCCCTGCTGATCTCACATTGAACCGTTGAGTTTTGCGTTTGAGTGCACCGAAGCACATGGACAGACCAGGAAGGAACAAAATGCCGACAAAAATACTGCCAATAATGCTTCCTTCAACAAGCTGAGCTTTACCCTCGGTCAAAGCAACACAGTAGAGGTATACCTCTACAATAGTTGAGAAGAAAGCATTGATGGCAGCACCTAAGCCCATTGAAGACTGAGCGGAGATTGATGCAACAGCTTGTCCAATGAAATAGGCTAGAGGAATGATTGAAAGCAGGGCGAGAGGGAAGACCAAACCTGGATGCGTAAGCCAGTTCTGCAAACCCAGGAAGTTGCCAAGAATATGATAGTCGAAAATCACAAATGCAACCACACCGAGAAGGTTTATCAGGAAAATATTGGTTCCATCCACGGTGTACTTCCAGTATCTCGTTCCCGCAGCTCGGTAAGTACAAAGAAGGATGGAAGACGAAGATGTGGTTGTGCTCGATCTCGCATATGTGGAATCGGAATGGAAGGAGAGTGCTAGAGGATGTCTGCGTAGATGGCTCACCAGAGTTATCGTCACACGGCCCATGGGGATCCAAAAGACCAGAAGCCAGCAAACTAATGACACCATAAGCATCAGCGGTCCAACCAGGAAGTAGAAGAAGACGAAGAAGACGACACGACCCAACGTCCATTCGCCACGACCGAAAAGACGACGCTTGGATTGGCCAATCTGGGAAGAGTCCTCGCGTTGCCCACGCTGAGGTCGTCCAAGCAGACTGTCTTGTTCGCCGGCCGAATCGACGCTGTTTCTTCGCCTACCGACTAGGGATCGATCTCTGCGAGGCCCGAAGAACAGGCGACCATGTTCCAGGTCGCCATTCTGCCATTGCTCATACTCGCTGATACTGCGTCCCTCGCCCTCATCTTCTTCTGCATAATTTTCATCCGTCTCCAAAAGAACGAATGATCCGAATGGGTACAATAAATATCGTGAAAGACCGGCGAATACTCTTCCGTATGCCACAGCACTTGTTGAGTAGGCAAAGAAAAAGCAGGCAATAGCGGCCAATAAAGCAAAAAGCGCAAGCCACCAACCAAAGAACAAAGACCATGATAGATTGGTCAGGAAGAGCATGGGACTTACGTGTCCCCCCGGAGATGAGTGGATATCACCCTCGGCCGTTTTCTCCACAGAACGGCTCTTTTTGTACAGTGCAGGCTTCCAGAGCCTGATACCAAATGGGTGTGTTTCATTGATGGCCTGTTGACGGTCTTTGAGTGTGAAGCTCTCAGCATCGCTGGCTGCACCTTCGTCATCTTCCATGTCATCTTCCTCATCGTCGTCCTCACTCCCCGCCCCGCTGTTGGGTCCGGCCTGTTTCAAGGATGGAAGTTCTTCTTCAAAATCCAGACTCGGCTCGGGTAAACCTGTTTCACCTGTGATGTAGCCCTCTGAGTCGGCTCTCGCTAGAGGACTAGGGCGGGCACTGGGACGTCGTCTCAAGGTTGAGCTTTGCGTTCTTAATGGACGTATCCTAGGAGATTGTTGGGTGTTTGTGCCTTGTTTCATGGTAATATATTGTTGCACCTCATTGACATCATCATCGGTCGAGAACCCTTGCCCCTTGTGGGGAATTTGACGCTTGGAAGACATGCGACGCGACATTGAGGGCTTTCGGGACTTGTCGGGGGTAGTATATGCGCGACTTGAACTTTCTTCTTGGCTGTCATCCCGTAATTCGGAATTAGTCGCTTCAAGTGAAGATGTTTCGAGCGTACCTGCAATTTTGCATCAGCCCAAGCTGTCATGGTCGAATGTTACACCGAAGGCAACCCTACCGTATGTTCTCCGCACCGAGGCAGACGATCTCATTGGAGGTGTCATGTCAGAAGCCAGGTTCTCACTTCTATCCACTGCAGATGGCTGCGCAGATTCGGTAGAGCCAGGATTCCCTTTATCCCCAGCCATGGCCCTGTGGTTTGACAAGCACGCAGCGAGAGTAGAAGAAGAAATGAGGGAAAGAGAAAATATCAAAAATGCGACGAATTATTCTCTTTTGTGCTGTTTCTGTTTTCCTCAAGGAAAGAGAGAGAGAGAGAGAGAGGGAAAAATGATCAAAGCGATAAGACTCTCGAAGTTGTTCCCAGTGACATTACTGAACCAAGTAGATCTAAGTGAAACGCAGATATCGGAAGTGCCAATGAAAGTTCCATTAATTGAGATGCATACAGGCCATTGCAGGTCCAGGTAGGACAAAACTCGTGGAAAAGAGTGAGTTGAAGGGGAGAATGGCTCTTTGACCGTTGCCTTGGGTAGTGTCCAATGCAGATGACCTGATCATCAGCCCAGCTTCAGGTGCCCAGGTGACTGCCCAATCATATCCACAGATGACTCATTGAGCGGGGAGCTACCTAAGGTCTCATCCATGGAATAAGTGCATAGTGTTTGGCTAGTTTGGCTAGTTTGGCTATTTTACTCAGTTTGTACAGTTTGCTTTGTATCACTGGCCTTGATGTTTGATGTCCTGAGATTCCAGGCTTCAACCCTAGCGGGAAATGTGACCTGTTAGTAAGCAACACTGGACGCCGGGGCCACTGGACCTGAGCTTCACGTACAGCTAGACTGCTCAGCTTGCCTAACTCCAGCTTTAACTTCTTCTTCTTCTTCTCCTTTTATCAAGCTACATCTCCCCTTGACGGTTTATCACTTCATTATCGTCTAATCCGGAAGAATAATATCCTTTTCTTTGACGCAGTTGTATTCTGTGGAAGACAGGCAACCCTCGAGTCTCCATAGCGTCATCACTCCCATTCGCCGCCATGGCTCTGGATAACTACTATCGCAATAAAATCGAGGGCATGAAGCTCGAGATTATTCAAGGCCAGGCTGTTCTACGACGATTAGAAGCGCAGCGTAATGACTACAACTCGCGAGTGCGTCTACTGCGCGAAGAACTCGGCTTGTTGCAACAACCCGGCTCCTACGTTGGCGAGGTGGTGAAGGTGATGAGTACCAAGAAAGTTTTGGTGAAAGTACACCCTGAAGGCAAATACGGTAGGCTTCGCCCACGCCATTCCTTTTGTTTTTGATGACCGGCATCATGCTAACGGCTACGGTTTCCTTGATTACAGTGGTGGATATCTCTGATGGCGTGGATATTAGCAAGCTCGTTGTAGGAAAGCGAGTTGCTCTTTTGTCTGACTCCTACAAGCTGGAGAAGATGTTGCCATCTTCGGTCGATCCTCTGGTTGCACTCATGATGGTTGAGAAGGTCCCTGACAGCACTTACGACATGATTGGTGGCCTAGACCAGCAAATCAAGGAAATCAAGGAAGTGATCGAGCTTGGCCTCAAGCACCCTGAGTTGTTCGAATCTCTAGGCATTGCACAGCCGAAGGGTGTCTTGCTGTACGGTCCACCCGGAACCGGCAAGACCCTCCTTGCTCGAGCCGCTGCCCACCATACCGATTGTCGATTTATCCGAGTGAGCGGTTCGGAGCTGGTGCAGAAATACATTGGAGAAGGTAGTCGAATGGTCCGTGAGCTTTTCGTCATGGCACGAGAGCATGCACCAAGCATCATCTTCATGGATGAAATCGATAGTATTGGATCCAGCCGGATAGATTCAGCGGGAGGTGGTGACTCGGAGGTGCAACGCACCATGCTGGAATTGTTGAACCAGTTGGACGGGTTCGAGCCAACAAAGAACATTAAGATTATCATGGCGACGAATCGACTGGACATTCTCGACCCGGCCTTGCTTCGACCTGGGCGAATTGATCGAAAGATCGAATTTCCTCCTCCATCGTGAGTTTGCACACGTTATTTCGCACCTGTCTCTCCAGGAAACGAGGCTAATTTTACCTTTTTTACGATTATAGAGTGGAAGCTCGTGCCGACATCTTGCGGATTCACTCCCGATCGATGAATTTGACCCGTGGGATCAATTTGACTAAGATCGCCGAGAAGATGAATGGATGTTCTGGCGCCGAGTTGAAGGGCGTCTGCACGGAGGCAGGCATGTATGCACTACGCGAGCGTCGCGTTCATGTCACACAAGAAGACTTTGATCTGGCCACTGCCAAGATTCTCAACAAGCACGACGACAAGGAAGTGGCCGTCTCGAAGCTATGGAAGTAGACAAAGCTCGAAAGAGGTGGATGCTGGGGCTTTGTGGAACGATCGACGGCAATGTATCATTAGTCCCCATCCTACCCTGATAATTCTCACCTCTAGTGAATGCATAATTGTGCAACGTGTACTCCGTATGGATCCGACCCATTGGGGTGATAGAGAGAGGGTTGTGAGTGCTCCTGGAAGCTGAGTTTATGCTTGGCCAAGGGGCGTACACATACAACTACGGAGTAGTCCATACTCCGTAAATTCTGTATGTTGTAAGGCAAGGATTGCTGCTTTGTTATCTCTGGCAGGAAACCCAAAAAAAGGGAATCTGCAGCACACGACTTGGCATTCCTAGCCTATCTCCAATGCACATACTCCGTACTTCGTACGGAGTACGGAGTAGTATGTACATGGTAGCTCAGCCTCGAGGATAGGCTTGGCATAGTACTGCGGACTGTGTAGATCAGTGAGAGATGTCTCAATCGGCATTCGCTTGGCATGGAAATCAGTGTCCGCGGATCCCTTGATAGCTATTGTCTTGGCAAGGTTGCCAAGAAGAGGATAGTGAATGTATCGTCATACATTGTAGGATCCAAAGTACCTATCTACATACAACATAGGAGGTAGGAATGGTTCAAGTGTTTCACGAGTGACACCGTGTACTAGGTATCTACTCTAGTCGGGTAATATGCCTTCAAGTGCAATCGAAGGCCATTGGACCCCGCAGATACCATTGGACATCGACTCCGTACATCACTATACAACATACAGTCCTCCGTACGGAGGAATCTGTCCACGTACGCGGACTTTGGGGCGCGTGACCAGCGGATCATTTCCCGAGAAGTGGAGAGCAAATGAGTTGGTACCTGAGCCCCTTGTACCAGATACCGGATCCACTTAGGGCCACCCCATACTTTCAGGAAGTACTCGGCACTTCTGGCGGATCTGAGAATATGTATCTGTACTCCGTACAGAGCCTCCCTTGCGCGACCAAGACACGAAGTTAGCGGTTTAGAACACAGAGTTGATACCCCAGTAGAAGTCTTCTCTCGGAGGTGTGACGAGATATGCATAACGCCTTTACCCGAAAGAAAAGAAGAAGCAGAGAAAAAAGAAAAAAAAGAAAATAGACCCAAAAAAAAGAAAAAGAAAAAGAAAAAGAAAACACCTTCATAGATCACGGACCTGCTGGATTTGGCCCTTCCGCTGACCGACAGTCCATTTATGGTTAATTGGCATTCTCTCATCTGGTCAACTCCAATCCCCAATTCTCCGGATCTCATCTTCCGGCTCTATACTTCGTGTCGTTTCTAAACGATAAAGGATCAGACAATCCATTGCACCCCCTTTCCTTTAAACTACTTCCTCCCCGCATTTTGGGGTTTGTGGTTCCCCCTTCATTACCTTTAAACTTTCCCTCTATAAATCTACCGGACTATGTTCGATCTTTGGTCTTCTATAGCGTTTGCGATTGATCCTAAGCGAACCGAAGCCATGCCCGCTGTTCTACAATCTACCATCAATCTCCTTGAAAGTGAGCTGGTCAAGGCCCGCGCTGCCCTTCAGGAAATCCAACCCAATGCCTCGCCATTTGGGGTACTGGGCGATGAAGTCGCCGTAGGTGCCATGACTGCTTACAGACAAGACCTCATCGGCCGAGCCCCCGACTTCTATGGGACTCGCCGTCTGACTCTGAAGGAACTTGGCCTGGCCCCTGTTGTGCGTGGATTGTCCACCGAACGGGTGCTATCAAAGGTGTCGCAATTTATAGCACCCGCACGCCCAACCCGAACGTCGCTGGTGGATGTTTTGAGCAATAGCTTGATCCTCGACCAAATGGCTCCTTATTTATCAGTATCCTCGTTGATGGCTTTAAGTTCAACCTCACGCCGTTTGCACTCTGTGATCACCCAGACTCCATATGTGTTCCGATATCTTGATCTGTCCCGCTGTCAAGGCGCACACCTCGCGCAGGTATCGCAACATGAAAACGTCTCTCGGCCAGAGGACGAGATTTACTCGGCACCATTAAGGCATATCTTTACGAGTCTTGAGCACAGAGGTATTCTACAAGATGTGCGCACTTTGATTTTAGACGGTCTGTCAGTGCCAGCAGACTTGGTGGCCGATATCATCTTAACAGACCGATTTAATATTAATATTTTGTCTATTCGCGAATGTCACCACTTGGATGAACGCAAACTCATGCAGATCATTCAACATGCCATTCGCCCGACACGTCCTGCAGGCATGCCACGAGTGAAGGGTATTTATCATTTTTCCGCCACACACACGGGCCCTCAAGCAGTGGTACGACCCCGATACCGAGACTGGTGGGGAGCCCGTGTGCAGACATCGCGGAGTCCCAGTCAAACTCCGTCCAGCTCTGATCAGGATGATGAATCTGGAACGATTTCAGTGAAGGACCGGCAGAATGAGTGGTATAGCCCATCAGGGAAGATTTTCAAGCACAACCTGGAGGAAGGCTGGGCTCAAGTACTTCAGAAGTGCGAAGGGATCATCGCGTTTGACGCTATTCTTTGTCGTGGTCCGAGACACGATCCCAGACTATACAATTCAACCACCGAGGATGACCCAGCTGTGATGCCGTTGCTTGGACCTGCCGTGGCTACTGTGGCTCTCGGACCCCGTGGATGTGACGGATGCCACAGTTCTCCAGAAGGCCCGGCTATCTGGGGCCAGTCCCCAGATATCCAATTTCCGATGCTTAGCCCCCCGCCATTGCACTTGTCTAGCACTGCCGCGGCTAAACAGCCCGAGCTAATCCCAGGCGAGCATCCAGTCCTCATTGCTCGTTGTGCAGATTGCCTCACCAACCGCTGGTGTCATCGGTGCAACAAGTGGTTCTGCAGCAACTGTCTACCAAACCCACAGCGTGTCCGAGCAAATCTGTCCCCGCATCAAACTGCAGTCCACGCCAGTGCCGCCGAGGCACAAGAACGCGAGGTAGGTTGACACCTCTTCCTACTACCAATATTTCGGGTCACTGATCCTTCTCATGCAGAGATTGGAACGAGGCGTAAGCAAAGATTGCTGGGAGTGTGGTCCAACTGTGAGTAGCTCCTTTGGCTTCGAGATCTGGCCTCGGTCTTACCATTGTAGTGCATTTCCTGCAAGTTGCAATGCCAGCACACATGTCAAGGATGCCAGGGTGATTATTGTATTCAGCATAATGAGGGATGCTCAAAGACACTGGTAGGTGTTGTTTCCCCCACCAAAAGAAAAAAGGTTGACCAATCTGTTTTTCCCTCTCAGTGTGACTGGTGCAATACCACTGCCCGTGGCCGAATGCGTGGCCACTTTTAACACAGACTGACAGAGATCCATAGATAGTTTTGGAATCTTGTTTCGTTTTAGTACGCAACAGCCAAGCCCTCCACTCCCTGGGAAAGTTGGAATACGGGAGGGGATTGTATAGTAACTTGATTTTAAAGCGAGGCACCAAGCGTGGAGGCTTCCAGAATTGACCTTCTTATCTCTTATCGGACGTACGGACCGCATTAGTGACCTTTCTGGCAAAACCTTGGATTTTTCGTCCGGCAAATGATACATGGGGCTATCCTGTACATAAGGAGCCTTGGAAAGACAGGTGGGATGATGTCTAGCAACAGATGAAGTTACTGTACATCATGGTCATTGTGATATCAGAAGAACGTAGAACCATTCATAGGAATACGTGTCGGGTATGTAGCTAGGCGTCAGGCGGAGAGCACAATAGTGCGGTTTTGTCGCCTTCGCCGCTAATGCCGTCTGTCCTGGCTGCCTCCGAATGTTTTATTCAATGGCCATTTTCTCTCCGAAGAATATCGATCTCCATCATGGCGGAAGATACTCTTAGCTGGTCCTCTCGGCTGCTTGTTGCATCGCCAGAGCGGGCACCTCGACTCACCGGTGATAAAATCACTCTACCGCAATCTGCGCTCGAACAACTTCTCGCTGCCGCTCCGCTCCAAGTTGTTCCGTCCGGGAATTCACGTGTGCTCACGTCGTCATTCGACCCATTCAATCCACACACATTTGCCGTTGAATCGCGCGCGCGTCAAGAAATCGAACAACGTCAGCAGCAGCTACCCCATCCGTTAATCTTCCGTATCGTCAATCCTCAAAATGGTCGGTTCATCTATGCAGGCATCCGGGAGTTCTCTGCCGAAGAGAATGAAGTCGCCCTAAGTGCATTCCTCAGAGATGCTCTTGAGATCAAGGATGAAGAGTTTCGGGTTGAAAATGGGGAGATACACGAACCAGTGTCTTCACATACTGTGACCGAACCTTCACCACGGACTGGCCCCGCGGTTACAGTACATGCAAAGCAACTACCGAAAGGCACGTATGTTCGCCTCCGCCCGCTGGAATCTGGATATGACCCAGAAGACTGGAAGGCCCTGCTAGAGCGATACTTGCGGGATAACTTCACGACCCTTACAACGGGTGAGCTTCTGACTGTGCCGGGCACCCGGAGTGAGTCATTCAGATTTCTGGTAGACAAAGTATTGCCCGAAGGCGAAGGAATTTGCGTGGTGGATACAGATCTTGAAGTTGACATCGTAGCATTGTCAGAGGAGCAAGCCCGTGAAACGCTGCAGAAAAGATTAGAAAAAGCTTCACGTGCGCCGGGTAGGACTGGTGGCAGTTCAATCGGTGGCATCCTTAATGTTGGAGAAGATGCCCTTGCGCAGGTTTTGCCTGGGGAATATGTGGATTATGAGCTTCGAGATTGGGATCGTCATGATACTCTCCAGATCGAGCTCATTGCGGACAGTCCGGAGGTGTATCTTTTTGTTAGTCCCTTTTCTAACCGCCAAAGAAGTCGTCCAAGAACAGACATGCATGTCCTAGGAGATTTTTCAGGTCATTCGCCCAAAAAGTTCGACCTCCAGCCATCGAATGTGGTTTTGGAAGGCGCCGAAGCTCTCTATATATCGGTTCATGCCAACTCCACAAGCAGTGAATCAAATGACATACAACAGCGCTTGCCATCACAATACAAGCTACGTGTCACAGTGAATCCAGTGAATCGATCGGGTAATCATGATGGGATGGAAGAGTCCCATGAGCCCGGTGATGTGCAGTGCAAGAACTGCCAACAATGGGTCCCTGAACGGACACTTGTTCTCCATGAGAACTTCTGTCTCCGCAATAATATATTCTGTTCGCAATGTGGTACCGTTTTCCAAAAACGATCTTCAGAATGGCAAGGCCACTGGCATTGTTCACACGACCACAGCCATGGCAACGATGCCTCGAGCAAAGAAAAACATGACGCCGTATTTCACCAAACACATCATTGTGCCGATTGCGCTGCAGAATTCGAAGGACTTCCTGCTCTTGCACAACATCGTACGACAGATTGCCCGTGGAAATTGATTTTGTGTCAATTTTGCCATCTTGTTGTACCACAGAAAGGGGAATCCGACCCCGATTTTCGTAATCCCGAAGTGATGCTCTCTGGTCTCACTCCACACGAACTGGTTGATGGAGCGCGGACAACCGAATGTCACCTCTGTAATAAGATCACTCGACTGCGGGATATGAACACCCATCTTCGTCACCATGACCTAGAGCGCCTATCACGACCCGCACCTCGTATATGCATGAACAGAAATTGCGGCCGGACATTGACTAAAGCTGGGAATGAGTCTGTCGGTCTCTGCAGTTTTTGCTTTGGACCACTGTATGTGGACACACATGACCCAGAAGGCAAAGCACTGCGACGTCGAATTGAACGCCGCTATCTCTCCCAAATGATGACTGGATGTGGCAAGCCGTGGTGTCAAAATGAGTACTGCAAAACAGCAAAACAGAAAGGGTCAAATGAGTCCGATCCTCATATCCCATTGAATGTTGCAGAAGTAATGAACTTGACACGCCCACTTGTGGAGGGTCTCAATACCCAGCCAACCGCGCCAAATACAGCGGCTTTATATCTCTGTGCTGATGAGACGAGCCAACACCGTCGCAGTCTCGCAGAGTTGATTGCAGGAGAGAGCGCCGAAGAGAACAACAAAGCGTATGATCTACCATGGTGTATTGCGGGCGTCGAAGCCACTGGTGGAGACTTGGAGAAGGCAAGGGACTGGCTGTCCAAATGGGCGCCGACTCAAAGCGCATCGGCTGCATGAAGTTTTTAGATCTTGATATCAACCCGATTTAATGTGAGAATATGGGCTTGGTATTCGAAGAAGTGAATATTTACATAGCTTATGGCTAAGAACGAAGAGCTATCTAATAATGCATAATGAATGATGTATGATGTATAAACACAGCTCGATTTTCGTGATATTCATGATTAATGCAAAGGCTGATCTAAACCCATGACCTCGGACTTTGTGGTCACTAGTACATAGGACCATCCACGTAAGGCCATTGACGCAGATTTTGTTGTTCAATGTGCCCTCCCTTCAAGCCGCGCCCGTTTTCGCAGCTAGCGAGCCGGTGCCGCGCGAAGAGAAAATACCCATGATCCCAAAAACAACATAGAAGAGAGCCAACGGATACGCGACTAGACCTCTCATGCCACTCATGCGTGCCACAGCACAGAACATTCCGGATGAACTGTAGGTGCACCAACCTACAGCGGCAATGGTCAAGAGATAGCCGAACATAGTGTCCATGGGAATGAGGATACCAATGAGACTGGTGAGAACCAAAGGAAGGAAGCAATAACCCAGCACACTGGCGGAGCGTGGAAAGGTCAAAGTAGCAGAGAAATGGCCCGCGGCTGAGGCACCGGACATGGAAGGTTTATGATGGGGATTGTAGTTGGTAGGGTCAGCGGTGTTCGGGGTCGGGACGGTGTCAAGAGCTGGAGACATGAGACTGAGAATCAGATGCAGAGCGACGGTACCAAAGACAGCGACACCGTAGATATAGCCATAGAAAACCTTGCCCGAGAGGAGGAGGAACGTCCCGTACAATACGATGTAGAGTAGAGCCCCGTAGAGATCGCTGTCGTCCATAAGGTGGTTGTCGATGGAGGCAAAAGGATTTAGAACAGTCAAAGTCTAGTTAATGAAATTGTCAGTATCCAACACTGATCATCTAAGGTAGACCAAAAACACTCCATCAGACACGAAGTAAAGAAGAAGCCACCATCCCACGTCTCCTGAGACTATGCGCCGAATAAAACATTAATGCAACTAACCTTGGTTCGAATATGTTCAAAGTTCACACCTAGCTCCTCAAGCAACGGCGGTTCGCCATCATATCCCTCCGTCCCAAATGCAGCCAGCCAACCCGTCCTCAATCCGCCCTGTTCACCCATCCGCCCACTAACGCCAGCGGCCGGAGATCCAAAGCCCCCATATCCACCACCGGCAGGGTAAGCCTGCGCAGAAGGATTGGGAGCCCCGCCAAACCCGGTGCCATAGGATGCTTGTGAGGGGGTTGTATGACCGGAAAACGAGGAGTAGGACGAAGGGAAGAACTGGAGATTCTGCGGTGCGGAGCCTTGGGGAGCGTAACCTTGTTGTTGTGAGTAGTATTGGGCCATTGCCGTGACTGGCAGCGCAAGGAGCTGAGACTCGGTACTTTTTGTTATACGTGAGATGTCCCTGGGGTTCTTGGGGAGTAACAACTGGTAAGCATGGATTGTTGTAGAGCTTCAAAGCTCCAAATGGCCTCAACCCATGGTCATAATGTAAGATGACTAAGCGTCTCATCGTCAGGACCCGCGCAGGTATTAACAAACTGCACCTTTCTATGGAGTACACCAATATATACTTCATCCTTACGTAAATCTACGTAGAGGAGCCTGGATCCTTTGTTCATAGATTGGAATCTCAAAAGCAATATATGAGTGCTATGATTTGAGTCGCGATAAATCTACTGCTCAATGTTTAGAGGAAATTGATACCGATGCCCAACTGCAGCCCCTTGCGGCCTTCTTCGCCCTTTCGCAACACCAAAGGCAAGGAAAAGTTAAGCTCAAAGCGAGCTACGGGATGGGCATACACGATACCAAAGCCAGCTGCGATACTGGGCAGACCATTTTGAAGTTCAGATAAGGTTGAGGCCATAGCATTTTGGACCTCGCCATTGGTAGTAGGAGTGGCTTTTTGCGAGGTTTGCAGAGGAAGGAGGCGGCCACCATTCAAGAATGCCTGGAATCGCACAGGTTTCTCAGCGCCAAGTCGGGGAAGTGGGAACAGCAAATTAGCGCTTCCGGCGGCGTATACATCACCACCCAGTGAGTCAACACCCTCACGAGGACCAAGTCCGCAGAGACGGAATCCACGGACATCCGTAGGTCCCCCAAGTTGGAAACGATCGTTCACACGGGAAAGTTGAGGGCGGGAGTTGGACTCCAGTCCGAGAGGGTAGAGAAGACCAGCACGGAATCCAGTGGTGAGGCTGACGCCACTGTCACCTTTTATTCCTGGAATTGGAACAGAGATGGCGCCCTGTGTCTCGATTTCCGATTTCCAGAAAGCGACGTCACCCTTGAGTGGACCGAATCCAGCCAATTCATTAAAGACCTTGGCGTAGTAGCCACGAGACGGCAAAAAAGTATTGTCTCGCTGGTCATTAACCCAGCTATGGAATATGCTGCTCTTTACGCTGTCACCTGCATCTGCACGTACAGTAGGAGATGCGTTCTCGGCAAGACCAGTAAGTTGCCTCCAGAAACCGTTATATCCAAATTCGTGGCGGTGGCCTGATTCGGACATCCATCGGAGCTTGCCCCAGCCGCCCTTGAGAACCTCCTCGTGGCTTGCCCAGGACTTTTGAGTGGAGCTCGCAATGCCGCCAATTTCCAGGCGGAAATCGGGATCGCCTAAAATTGGAGTCTCAAATGCAGCCTGGTAAGCGGATCGTGTTCGGGTACCAAGCGAGGCGTTTAAATTCAAAGTCTCGGCACCACCCAAGACATTGCGCCAGAGAAGATTACCGTAGGCCGAGCCCTCAGCATTACCCAGATCTGTTCCTGTCTTCATCAGCACGCGGGACTTCTCCCGCGTCGCTAGGTGGACATCAATGTTGCGCATGCCATTGTGGCCTTGCGATTCATCTAAGTAGATCGAGATGGGTTGCTGGAACAAATCTAGGGTAAGTTTAGTAGGTATACACCGCCATGATTGTCTGAAAACCTCGTACCGAATCTTCCGAGTCTGTCTGCGGTGGCGGATATCTCCCGCAATGCTTCAGAGAGTGTATAGGGCCGACCCTTGTTTGCACTCAAAAGGGGGTTCAAGTTGCGCTCGAGGAAGCTTCGTCGGGTATGAGGGGCACTTGTGACTTGAACAGAAGAGATAGTGCAAGGCAACGTCGAATTTTGGTCGATCTAATGGGTACACAATCAGCCGACGAACCCTATGAGCAAACAGGAATTGCTAGGCATTCCCAGCTCGTTAGATCTTCATGTCAGTCATACCAATTCAGCAAGTCGATTCTGAGCCTTCTGGTAGATAGCTTGCATGCGCTCATTCACGGCCTGCTGTTGCTCCTCCAGCACCTTGGGGTCTGCGCGTTGTTGCAAACGCTCGAAGACCTAGCAGCAGATATACATTAGTAAACGGTGGGATTCTAGACGATTGAGCTGCCTTAGACATGCACTCACACTCTCATCTCCATCGGGAAAAGAGGAAGACATTTCTGCGGCTGCAATGGCCAGAACTTTTGGCTTCCGGGGAACATACCGTTACTCGTGCCGAACCCGCAAGACATGGACCTGCACGTGACCCAACGCTGAATGCGAGCGCCTGATTGCGACAATCGCCTTACTCCGCAACTTCCCTGCTATTTCTTCCCCCGATTTCTTTTTCACTGCATCTTCAAGAGCCAGAGTATAATTTGGCTCTTCAATATCTCGTCTCAGCTATCATCGCCAAAGATGGCAACAAAAGCCGCTTTCAAGCGGGTAAGTGGCCAGACCTTAGGCTAACCAGGTCTCCGTGACAGTGATAGTGCCTAACAATACTATATAGCTCACTCGTGAATACCAGAATATCCAAAAAGACCCCACACCATACATTGTAACTCATCCATCTGAGACCAATATCCTCGAGTAAGTAATAAGCTTCCCTTGGAATTTCCGCAGAACTCCGAAGCTAAGCTTCCTTAGATGGCATTACATCCTTACGGGACCTCCTGGAACTCCTTATGAAAATGGACAATACTGGGGCACGTTGATCTTCCCTCCAGAATACCCATTTGCTCCTCCCGCCATTCGCATGCATACGCCCAGTGGCCGATTCCAACCTTCCACTCGACTCTGTCTCAGCATCAGTGACTTCCACCCAAAATCCTTCAACCCCGCCTGGGAAGTGTCGACCATCTTGATTGGTCTTCTTTCTTTTATGACTAGCGAAGAGATGACAACAGGGAGTGTCAGTGCTTCGGAAAGTGAGCGCAGAGTGCTTGCTGCGCGGTCTAGGTGGTGGAATGCGACGGGAGGAGGTTCGCACGTCAACGCCACTGCAGGCGTCACTCGAACTTCCAAGGGTATCAACAATGTCAAGGCTGGAGATGGAGGCTTGAAGTTCCGCACAGAATGGCCTGAAGTTGACCAGGAAAACTGGGCTTGGATGAAGGAGCATCGCATCGATTCCGCCACTGGCCAAATTTTGCCAGATCCCGATGCGCCCACCAAATGCTCCCCCGAGACAAGTGCCCTGCGTCGACGACCTAACGGTAGTACTCCTAGTATCGGTGCTGTTATGGATGGCGGACACGTTGCGCGAGAGGCAGGTCAAGGCTGGGCTGGACGAAATCGAATCTGGATTGGCGTGGCCTTCTTCTTTGGCTATGCACTGATCTCACGACTATTGAGCGATATGCGGGGATGAAATTGAATCTGCATATGTTAGAATACCCTTTGTCTTCATTCTCCCACCCTCTTCCTTTTCTTCTCTTCTTCTCTTCTTCCTTTCTTTTTCACTTTTGTCTTGTCCTTAGCGGGTTCGCAAGCATCATTCGGGCGCCATCATGATGGGTTCCTATTCTTTTCAAGGGCAATGAACATTTACTAAATCCCAGAAGCAATGGCAATTTGATTCAACAATCCAATGGTTACACCGTTGGATCATCCCAGACGATTAGCGCCGCTGAATCGGGCTTGTGCTCGCCCCGCGTTGGCAACGTAACTACGCTCCTTTTCTCTTCTAAATCCGCCCTTGCCCACTGCATAGCCTCTATCCTCTTCTTTATTGGTTTGTCTGTATATTTTTTTTTGCCTCTCTTCCTCCACATTCCGAACTTGCCCTGGCCCTCGGGTCCATATGATGGATCATCTGCAGCCCTTCACCTTTGGGGGTTCGTCTCGGCATACTCCTTCAGGTTAGTGCTTTTCTTGGGTTTGATATACCTTACGTTGCAGGATACTGCAGGGGAACCCGGACTTACTCAATCCTGAATCCGGTGACTCTTTGGGAGGCGACTTCCTATCGATCTTGAGTTGTGATAGCGCTCTCTGGAGTAGGAAAGTGGCCCGTTCCTTTTTTTCCCACTTGTCTATGGCCTTCCCCACCAGTCAGCATGTCAGAGTTGCACCAGGACTCCGTCAATTGTCAAGAGCTTGGGCTGAAGTACCCGACTAGAACCTAAGGCCAAACCTGCGCCGCTGGATCGACCTTCCTTCACATTCATTGATCACGACGATGACTTGACCTCCAAGAGGATTAAAGATGTCAACGCCCGTAAAGCCATTCGATCTCATGTGATGCGCGATGTACGCCGGCGCGAGAGACTCGCTGGTTTGAAACGCACATCCAGACAGAATCGCGGGCAGCCCGACGCGTCCAAGGCTGCTGTCGATGAATCAGATGGGCAAAGGCTGGTGCTGAGGGCTTCATCTCAATCCTCTATTTCGTCTTCCATGCTGGACACAGACTCCGGAGACAGTTTTGCCTTGATATATCGGAGAGGACGCCCTGCTAAATGGTGTGCTGGTTATCCTTTACCTCTCCATTCAAACCCTAATCCACCCACATCATGGTTTCTCGATCCTTTCTTTACCTTGCCGGGTACCAGCGAGCTTCCTTCTATGGTTGCACATTTGGTGTACTACTGTAAGCCCTGGTCATTTCCCATTGTTCTGATTCTACTGGCTGCTCATGCTTCATGGACCCCCCTAGAGCTGGAGCTGACTGTCGGGCGAAGGGAAAACTATATTTGTGCCGATGACTTTCCCGAACACGAGCAAAGATTCAAATCAAGAGATGGAACTGATGGTTCGATCCTCATTCTCGGACCCAGGCAGTTTCTTCGGGCTGATGAGCATGTGCGCTGCACATCGAGCGGTCCTCGCAAGCCAGCGATCGGGTGTTTGGGATGCAGTGCTCGCCAATGATCCTGACTATTGTATGATGAGAGCAAAGTCCTTTCAAGAAATGAGTGCGAAGGTACGGGATCCAAGTCGCAGGCTCAGCAACGAGGCGTTTGATACTATAATCAACCTCCTCACTGGCTCAGTATGGATTCCGATCGTGAAGACTAGTCTCTACGCAACATTGTTGCTGACATCTCACAGCTAATCATCGGGGAGTTCAATGAAGTCCACACTCATCTAACGGGACTTAAACATATGGTTGATCAACGAGGTGGGATAACAGATGACAGTATTCGTTCTTCTTCAATGTTGTCTGCCATAATCACGTATGTGCCGTTGGCTTACTTCTTCTGTCGAGTCCCGCTCACTGTGAATTAGCACGGACATCAAAGCTGCCTCGGGTCTCATGACCAAACCCGTCTTTCCCTTAACTTGGGATGCGCAGCCAATTCCTTCGGAGATCCAACAACGAATCAGGCCACTGGCTTCGTCTACTCTCAACAGGCTTGGCCTGGGATTTTCTGCCAATACACTGCTTAGTCCCTCTTTACTGAGTATTATAAGTGTGTTGCGGGACATGGTATTTTTCCACATCACTTATCAAACGAATCCGGCAGTCATAAAACCCAGTGACCAAGATTTTTTCCGCATCCTCAATTGCGAAGCAGAGCATCAACTTCTCAGCTATATCTATGTAGAAGGTTCCCTCAACCCGGAACTTCATCTTCATCCCATTGAAGCAGTCACTAGAGTGGCTTCCATCTGCTTCCTCAATGATTTCTTGATCGTCTCGCCTTCGTCGTCTGGACTGGGACGAGCCCTTACCAAACATCTCAGGACAGCCGCGGGTGATTGCAAATTGTCCCTGCTGGTGGGATTACCGAAACAAAATTTTGAGCTCTATGGTTGGACATTATTCATTGGAGCCCAAGGAGCCTTTGGTCAGCCCGAGAGATCGTGGTTTGTGGAACGACTGGCTCGTATTGCAATGATATGTGGATGGCATTCGTGGGAGCAAGTTTCGAGATTGATGGCTGAGTTTTTTTTCGTGACTTCAGACAGTTTGAATTGGCGTTTGATTTGGGATGAAGCAATGACTGGATTTGTGCTATCCGAGTCGGAGGAACTGGAATTCTCATCTTTTCTTGCCATGGATGCATCCTCCTTTACTTAGCTCCCAACGATGAGCACTTGTATATTTTGCAGGGGAAAAGGTCAGCAGTCATAGTCATAATCTACGGATAGCAGAAAAGAACAAGAAGAGCTCGTGAGGCGGATATAAAAGGTATAAACCGATCGGCAGAGTGATGAAGTATAAAAAAGGGAGCTTGTTTACTTGGCACCGCTTTGGTGATCAGCCTATCACGTGGTGGCTTTATGTCATCAGAAAAAAAGTCCGGTCCGCTCTCTCCGGTCTCTTGTCCAAGTCGATCTCACCTTAGATTCATACCCTGAAAACTGTGGACTTCATATTCTCTTTCAAAATGGGTTGGTTTTGGGCAGATACTCCGCAAGCTTCCGCAGCTTCGATTCCACATGCGTCCGCAGCCGGTTCTCCTCCAGTTAGTCTCGCGCATACTATAGTTTGATCATCTAGACTGACTCTTATCTAAAGCCGGGATGCCCGATGCATGAATCGGCCGCAAAGTCTTCGCCCTCTCTAGCACCTAATGTGGAACTCCCAAGCAGCTGCCCCATGAAATCCAAAGATTCCCCATTCTATTCGGCCCCGAAATCCACACCGGCGCAAACACCACAGCCACCTACCGATACCACGGCCCAGCCTTCAACCTTGTCCAAGTTGAATCCTCTCAACTACATGTTCTCGTCTATATCCCAAGAGCGTGCGGCGAACCAGACTGTTGATCTTCCTGTTGAACGCGAGGGGTCTTCCATCCCGAGAGGCGATGGTGAAGGCAACTGGGAATATCCGTCCCCGCAACAAATGTACAACGCTATGCTGCGCAAAGGACACACAGATACACCTCAAGATGCAGTGGAGTCAATGGTTGCAGTGCATAACTTCTTGAACGAAGGCGCTTGGGAGGAAATCGTGGGATGGGAGCGTGTATTCGCCAAGGGCCTCAAGACCGGATGGGAACATTGTCGCCGCGGCGAAGAAAACTTGAGCATGGCCTTGACCTATGCAGATGAGAATGGGAAATTTGATCCCACATCCGAGCCTCGTCTGCTCCGGTTCCAGGGTCGGCCGCAAGAGTGGTCACCCAAGGCCCAGTTCTACCAAGCACTAAGCTGGGCGTACCCAAGCAAGTTTGAGTAAGGTCCATCCTCGCAGCATTCAAATTAGGCAAGATGCTAACTTTGCATGATTAGGACAAGCCCTCCCTTCGACCGCCACGATTGGTATGTCATCCGCCAGACACCCTCAGGCCCGAAGGAAATCCGATATGTGATCGACTACTACTCTGGAGATCCAGACCCTCACGGTCTACCTGTCTTCCATCTTGATATTCGCCCTGCGTTAGATACACCGACGGCCGCTGTCGAGCGCTTGATGAGATGGGGAGGCGATGTGTGGTGGAGGGCTAGCGGCTCAACTGCCCGTGAACAGGCGTCACGCTAAGAATGCTTAACGGCTACAAGGACCAAGCAGTCTGCTTCTCCACTCTATCTCTATTTTGTAATCCTTTGAAGGCATGGCGCTGGCGTTTCACGGCTTATCATAACTCACCCTTGTACTATGTTTGTTTTCTTACTCCTTGTCTTATATCACAATCTTGACCTTGCTCGTCATTCTATAAAAATAGACACATGACAATGATATCTTCATATTGATTGTACATTTCCCCAAATATTACAAGTCTCGCTTGTTCCTTGCCTATTTTGTTTTGTGGATACCAATTATGATGGTTGTCTTCTTAGGTACCATTCAACAGGCATGCCATCTAAGCTTTCATATCAACAGAGTCAGGGTGTGGATGGTGTTTTTTTCTAAACAAAAAGTGAGGACAAGGGTGTAATAGCCTCATATATTAGGAGACAATTGATCGTATTTGACGCAATGCTCAACACTCTCGATGCTGGCCTGCAGCATTCCACGAGCTTCCAAGCCGACCCAAACCCAGAGCATCGAGTAATCGCCCGAGCGCACAGATTGAATTAGTGTACTCCCGGATCCTAGCTGCCGGAGAATAGGAAGTGCACTAGAAAAGCGTAATGTTAGCTTCGGTCGAGTAGACCCAACTCGAGAAAAAAGACACTCACCTCTTGAATAGATCTAGGTTGGGGTTCAGACTGCGCCCTATTCCTTCAAGCAGAAGACATGAAATTACAACATTGACGAAATCCCCTTCAAACCGGACGTGGTGCCCGCGGACCATGGTCAATACCTCACTCAAAATATCTCCAATCTTGACACTTCCCAGGGCAAAGGTTCGAGACTTAATGCTCAGAACCAAATGCTGCATTTTCAAGGCAAAGACCTCCGGATCGATAACTTCCTCTGGTGTCCGACATCGCTCGACCATGAGCTGGCCGGCTCGGTATCCATCGAATTCGGCAATGGCTCTAAAGAGGTCTAGGAAGTTCCGTCGGTTCTTATCATTCAGTTGGGTGACAAGACCAGTGTCAATAAAGATCAGTTGTGGTCGATATCCCTCGTAATTGAGTTGGGAGAGAGCAGCATTCCAATCATCAGGGTTACTGAGATGTGGGCGTAACCGCTTAAGAACTGCGTCGGTCACATCGACTTCGGCCCGCGTCGGGGCATCGAACGCGCGTGAATGCTTGCCGAGGGAGAGATCCAGTTCGCTAGGTCGGTAGAAACGAACCATGATGTTTCCCGGATGAAGGTCGGCATGGACGAAATTATCGATGAGCAGCATATGTAAGAATGCATCCAGACCTTCATTGGCAATATCGTGCTGATATACACCTCCCCCGATATCCAAAAAGGTGGCCAACGGGATGCCCTGGGCAAACTCCTCAACCAACACCTCGCGGGTGGTGTATTCTAAGTATGGGTATGGGAACCAAGCGGTAGTGCGAGAATTGAATTTCTTGCGAAATATGACGAGATTGGTAGCTTCAATGCGGAGATCTAGTTGTAGTTTCATCATTTGTCCGAACTGTTGGACTTCGTCGGGGAAAGACAGCCAGTGCATTGTGGGAATGGCATTGATCATATGGGCGAAAAACGACATGATTCGCAAGTCCCTGTGTATCATCTGCTCAACCCTGGGGTGTTGTACTTTGATCGCGACATACGATGATGGCACCCGCTGCGGGGAACTCTTGACCAGCACATCAACGTTCTTCCGAACCTTCTCGCCCAGCGTTGGTGGTTTAATGCCCATTTCCTCTTCATTGGTTGCGGCGAGGCTCGGTTTCAACTTTGCCTTGTAGACCTGTGCAATCGCTCCAACCCCTAGTGGTTCCTCCTGGAACTCTTCAAATATGTCCTCGAATGGCAGTCCGTTGAATGCCTTGCGGATAATACGTTTCGTTTGGTGAAGTGAATGAGCGGGAGCATTTGAGTGAAGTGATGACATTATATTGCACATTTCCGGTGGAAAGATATCTGTTCGTGACGCAGCCCATTGTCCGAGCTGACCAGGAAGTTAGCTTGTCAGCTCAGTCTCAATCAACAACCTTCAGGAAAAATATCAACCTACCTTGATAAATGCAGGGCCAGCCCGCTCCATTGCCCTTACCAAGAACCGATACCACCACAGGGTGCCAGACCGCGCGCCATTCCGGTCTTGCAGACTGCGACCAAGCCAGATAGCCGGCACTGTGGCGACGACCGGAATGAATATCATGGCGAGGTGGACAAAACGAAACCCTGTAGCAATAGGATCATATATATAACAATAGAAATAAACCCATATTGTCTGGCAGAACCGTGAGATGCCTTGCGCATCAGGTGAAACCGTCTTTCGAACTTCTTCGCGCGAAGCCTCAAGCATCTGCATTTCCGCCGTTTTATTATGATCATCATTCTCTTCTGCCAGTTTCAGAAAGGCTGCTGGCGCCAAAGCGGACATGAGCACCCCGCCTATGATGGGGGCTTTTCGCAAGGTGCCTTTTCGCGATTGACGAAGCCATAGCGGGTTACAGGAATGTCGTGAAGACACGCGCAAGAGTCCGTGTTTGAGACAGAAACGGCCGAAAAGACCGGCCGCCCTCATGTTCTCATGCAGATGTGTGATATTAACATAGAAAATGGATGTTAGTCAATGAAGAAAAGTGGGCAACGCCTCGGGATAGAGGTTCAACATGCTGATAAGCACGTGCCACATACAACGTCATATCCAACTAGTCGACAAACAAGACAAACCACCATGTGACCATCATTCGGTTTCAGCACTTTTACAGTCCGGAGTACATGTATCTACAATATACCTACCTAGGTAACGTATATACATTGGCTTGGCTAATTATGAACAAGAATAGACTCATTGTACGGAGGTACATGGCTTTGGCTCAAGCCCTAGTTTATCTTCCGAAGCCATCGACCTCCGCATTCCACAGCAACATTCCTCGCCCTTTAGCCGCTTGCTACTAGTCATTTGACAAATCCGGCAATGTCCATCACAGATTGAAGTTCTATGTTCAAGGCGAGAAAAAAAAAAAAAGGTGGTTGATCTTATTTTATAATGAGTTTCTCAGTACCTGCTCAGGTTGATAGATGCCGAAAACGGGTTGTGAACCCTTTATTCCAACGACCGCAACTACGATTTTGCTCACCATTAAATTGAGCCATCATTCCTAGATATGGATAACGCTTTCCTGCCATACTATTTGGCTCTTTGAACTAAGTGCCAAATGGCGCCTGAACGGTTCATCATGAGTCGCACTCGGAATCTTCGCGATGTCGAGTCCAACCAAGAAGATCAACCTTCTACCTGGCGCGATTGGACTTTCGTCCTTCTATGGAGCATCATTGGATATACATGCATCATTCTGACAGTTTTGGCTTACTTCAACCCCGGCCTTGTATATTTTGATGTTTTTTCCTTGCTGTTTCGCAAGGAGATTTCTCCATTCTTCGCCTTCTCGCAGGGCAATGGTCATTATTCCAAGCCCCAGGGATTCAAGATAGTGGCTATAGTCCCCTTCCGTGACCATGAACGTACAGCAATACTGGATTGTTATCTGCAGGTATGTACGGGTTAGCGATTATTCCATGGACCAAGGCTAATATAACTCCAGAAAAACCTGGTCCATAACCATGGGTTCCTTGATCAGGTCGTCTTTGTGCCGCAGACCAATGATGCTGTTAGCTTGGAATGGCTACAATCGATCGTTAACCGCACATCTGACTACGCTCTATCTCCATCTGGCCGTGGAATGGAGTGGAATGTCGTCAAGGAGAATGTGATGTACATCCAGATCGATGGAGACACTATGTTTATAGAGGATCATGTCATTTCAACTATCGTCAAGACGAAGTTGGAAAATCCAAGGTCGCTGATAGTATCGGCTAACGTGGTAAATGAAGCAGCTCTCGCATCTCTTCACAGTCATCCGGGAACTGCACTCCCATATTTGCCCGAGCTGTATCACGTGGAACTACCCAACAAGTCAAAATCACAACTGAAGCATGACTGGCGTGCTTCGAGTCTTCCCGGCTGGCAGGGCCCGGTGAATTTCAAAGTCCACAAAGGCTTTGAGCCACCCTTCGAAGGGCATCGCTGGCTACTCTCCACCGATGCGAGCACAGGTCAAGATCCTATTGCAGCATCTGTGTACACTGACACTGGTCCGACCCTACAGGACTGGACTGTGGGTGCGCAGCAACATTACTCCTTCTTGCATCACCTGGAACACAATCACTTAGGCCGCTACAAATTCCCGATATGGGTCGACCCAACAGAGCCTATCAGCGAAAACTTTGGATGCTTTTGGGGTAATGATGCAGTGGTTGCGCATCATACTGTCGGGCATGGCAATCAAACCATATCTTTTCATGGTTGGTATCAACCAGATGGGACTCGTCCACATGTCATTATTGATGGCAAGGGTCTTGTTTCGCATTATTCTGCACGCCAAGGTGCGGCTGGCCTGGATGCTACAGATCTTATACATCGTTACCGAGCGTATGCGCAAGAGAGGGTGTGTTTGCAGACTGCTTGATGCCAGCAACCTTGGATTGCTATGTACATATGTTAACAGGCTTGAGGAAACCCCATTGGAGAGTGTACATATATACATGTATGTATGTAAATACCGATAATATCGTTCCGTACACGGTTTGAAACTGTGTTCCATAATTAGAACCTTGATTTGCTTCATTTCCCCTAAAACACCTCTCTGCGTCTAAAAATAATATGAGTTCATTAGGATTGTCCTCGTGGGAAATCTCATGTTCTTTGAGGGTTCCTCTGGGTCTATGTCGGAATTGGATAAGGTCTTTCAGTGTAAAACTAAAGCGCACATCAAGCATAGTGACATATCCTCCAGACAAACCATATAGTAGCTGCCTATCTAGGAATTTATGTCGGCTATCAGCTGTGAGGCATGGACCTTCACCAAGTCCTCCAGCATGTCTCTATATCCCACAGGAAGTGTACCAGACTGTTTTCAGGTTAGTTAATGACTAGTATTATCCTAGAATAGCCCTGGAGAAAACTCACATCGTTCGTCAGCAGTCCTTGCACAAGTACAAAAACGTTGTCCCGGTCTTTGGTCTCCTGTGACTGGTTTGACTCCTCCTGTTTCCGATTGGAAGAGTTCGTTTCCGCGTATAGGGCCACCTTGAGTAATTCGGTGACCTCTGTTTTGTGCAAGCAATCCACAACAGAGGCACAACCCAATTTGTTTGTCGCCATCAGAGCCAGAGCAAACCAGCCTTCACTACGAACAACAGGCCACTGAGTTTGCGTGATCATTGCACCTATTGGGAGTGCAACACCCTGGTGCAGAGTGAACAACCGGTCAAGCAAGGTCATTGCTTCTTCATCCCCATCGCGAGCCTTGGGGGTAATGGTCCGACAGATTGAAGCAACTGTCCGACCAATTTCGGTCTTTATTGGCGTAGAGTCTGTCTTCTCAAAAAGAGACAGAAGCAAAGAGAGATAGGTCCGCTGGTGAGCCGGGGAATCTGGGTCATGGGAAAGAGAGGCGAGAAGAAGGGAAATGTTATCCATCGAAGAGATGATCACTTGACGTCCAATACTTGCGGCCGAGAATTGAACCTGCGGAACAGATTCATAGGCCCACAATCGGGAAATAGCAGGAATGATACCAGCTTCTCCAAGAATAGCTTTGTTGTCGCCGGCAATTGCAAGGTTTTTCAAGAACCCAAGAGAGGAGTGCAGAACAGCGCCGCGAGCATCACCATTGAGAACGGATATCAGTTCTTCGTGGATTTTCAGATCCCGTACCATCACCTGGCAGACCTTATCGGACCGGGCAAGATTTCCAAGCATGACGCAGGCACAAATCTGAAGCTGGTCTTCTGTACCAATCACCCATGATTTCAATGTCCGTATAAGAGGGGAATCAAGGGGATAGTATTGAGCAAATAACGGGGAGGCAGATACTTCAGCCAAAGCCTGGTTAATTTTGAGGCGAAGCTGAGCGAGAACCTTGACATCTTCGCTCGAAGATTGATCCAATTCAACGAGAGATGAACGGTGCAGGACGTCCAGGACACCTTCCACCATTCCGTTGAGAATGCAAGAAGTTTGGAACTTTTCTTTTTCAAGATATGCAGCAAGAGCAGTTGCCAATGACGAGAAATGCGCAAATTCTATGGTCTCGTCGATTGCAAGCTCCATTAGCAGTAAAATGGTACCATCCGGAGATTGTTCAATGCCTTCGGCTGTAATGTTCTATGTTAGATTTAAAAGTGTGTCAGATTTGATGCTAAGCGTACCTTGTTCTGAGGCCAATTCGATCAAGTCATATGAGAAGTTCAGTAGAGCCTGATTTTGTTCGAGCTTCCCTTCTTTTATCAGCCTCAGCAATATGTAAGCTGCCCGATTAGCAGCTATCTGAGCATGTGCCGGCTCTTGAACCCCATTAGCAAGCCATGTACTGCGAGACGGTTCATTTCGGACATACCGTAATCCATGCAAATATTGTAAATGACCGGAATAGCAACAAATACCAAATCCGGATCAAGGAAATACCGAATGATAGCAAGAGTGTAGTTTCCTTTCACGACGATTTCCCTATTCTCATCTTCATCGACGTTAGCATGTTGTGCACCAAACTAGCCGAATACAACATACCTGTATCGGCACAGGAGTTCCCAATAACCCGCAAAGAGTGTAGTAATAAGCCGGTATCAATTTCATCCTTCAAGGAAACCACGTCTAGGAAGAATTTTAAAACACCAGACTGGCCAAAGGGGGCGCGCCATGAAGCTAGATCCTAATTAGCAAATTATAAAACTAGCATAAGGATAAGGTTGACTCACGATCTCTGCTTCCATTTGCGATAATTTCAGTTGCTTGCACCAAATAATCCGAGTTACAAGCCCAGAGCTTTTGCAGAGTAGCGTTCACGCTTTGCAGGGTCTCGGCGTCCCTTCGCCCGCGTCTTGTGTTTGCATCCGCCTCTTCGAGAGATGCATGGAGCTCCTTGAGGTCGAAGCTATTTCTTGCCTCGTCAACCTCTTGGGCTTTCTCAATAATGTCTCGCAGACCACGGAACATCTCGTCTTGCACTTCCAAGTCCAAAGTTTCCGTACGGGGCGGCAAAGAAGACAAAGGCCCTGATAGATTCGAGAGGATTTTTTCGACAGGGGGCAATTCCAGATCGCTTGTTTTCAAGATTGAAAGCTGACTAGATTCTCCATGAGTGGCCTGTTGGGCGGTAGATATACCTGGGGAAGACATCTTGCCAAATCGAGGCCAGGCAGTTGCCTCTCAGATGTGGAGTCAACTGAGGGAATATGTATAGACTGGACGTAAGAAAACACAGGGTCCCTGCCTGGATGGGGAAAGGGTTCTCTCAATTAGATGGAGAAGCCTGGACGGCAGCCTGTTGATCCTGTCGCAACAATTTCCACACTGACCAATAGGGTTTGCTTTGATGAGAATTACAGGTAGGTCTGAGCAGACATATGAACCCGGCAATAAACACTTGACGTCAGTGGAAGACAAATGGCCTCTTGCAAGAAATGTGGCACGCCAGCCAGTTTAGACTGGCGAAGGAACGGAGTGTGCTGCCTGAGGTGGATTCAGGCACCAACCTCATTTGGGTTAGCCATATGCCGAGTAATGTACATGTATATGACTCCATATACATGTATCTACAGGTAAATCCAACCATTCATCGCTACTACGAGCTAGGTATACTTAGGTGATCAATTAGAGGGGGATCTTGGAATTAAAGATATCTATATCGATAATTGATTCCTCCGTACCTATACTCCGTCTGGTATATACGGAGAGGTCTGTTAATCACTTCCCCTATTAATACCTTGATCTCTGGGGTTGTAAAAGAAAAAGTTCATCATCCATATATCCACATGCCATGTATTTTTTTTTTGTATTTATTTGCCCAGAATTGATTGTTCGTTATTCAGAGGGGGAGAGAACAAAAAGAGAAAAAAAGAAAAAAAGAATGGAGCTGCGCGGAATCGAACCACGATATTCAAGGAATGACTGCATGACAATTCCCCTTTCAGGGAAAATACCATAAGCTTGATGGACTAACCATTATCCTACAGCTCCTCACTAGTGGCCTATGGCTCCTAATCAGGGCAATCAAACTATGCTACATAAACACGTTCCTATCTCTTCAAATGCATATTACTAGTCACCGAGTGTCCGGGGGATTGAAAAGATAGTAGGGAAGTCCGACCACAGAGACATTCCGCATTCACGCTTCGCAAATATTCAGTCTGCTAATCGTATCGGCCCCTGCCAACCCCATTTGTTGTTCCCATTTTTGAAGAGAATTTGTTCGAAATATTTCTTTAGGGTCTAGGGCATGTGGGAAAACGTGATCTCGGTCGGGCCGTGGAACGGCGTTTCTGGCTCAGGTTGCTATACTCGACCGGACCTCATAGCTGTATGCTTACAGAGGAATTAACTCGGCACATATCGATTAATTTAACTAATAGATGGAAGATAATCCATACTGATAGGCTTACATATATAGGTAAATACATATCGTTCATACGCTTTCGATTTGGTCCGGAAAATATCAGAGCGGTGGAACAGCACGCTGCACTGGGAGAATTCAATGTCCAATGGTCCCTCCCAAGGGCATGAAAAAGCCACTTATTGCTCTTGCAATACTCCATTGATACGGCGATTAACCTATTTGGTTTCACCGTCCGATCTAAGGACCTCGGGACCCTAGGATCATTGCTGGTGCCTTCCAATATAGGAGAAATGTACACACACCACTGGCAGTCCCCATTACATGCAAACTGTTATAGTTGGAAACCATTGGACTAGACCAAGTACTCTTGTATTACAGAGGGATAAGTATCCACTCCAATGATAACCCTCAGCTCGTGCGATCGTGAACCAAGTCCTCCGTGTTGTATGTCGATGTCGTAGTCTACATATGCAGGTAGTTACATGTAGTTACTGTACATGTAGTTAGTTACCTATAACTACATCATGTACCTACATGTAGGTATATACATAAGGTACAGCCCTGGCGGGAAGCCGGCTTATATAAGGATCCCGTTTGTCCGCTCAAAACGGCGAGGTTACCTACATGGACCTAGCTATTTGTTTGGCTTTTGTATCACGATGATCTTGTATTGAACGTCTTGGGAGTATTGGATATAGAGAGAAAGAATCGATTCAACAATGTTACAGTTCCGAGTCTTCGTAACCGAAATACATCTACTTTTGACAACGTAGCCAAGATGCGTTGGAGGCATGGCAAAACACCTGAGATTAGTGACCCGGTCCGAATGCCAAGAAGCGCATCGCTCAAGCTGGCCTTTGCCGCATACAGCACGACAACATCCCCGAGTCCCTCATTTTTGCTATTAACCTGTGCTCTCTTCACACTTGACCTCCCTCCTCTCCTTTGTGAATGAATTTTTCCTTCTATCAATCCCACCATGACGCGCGCTGTCCAGACCCTCTCCGTTCTTCTCCTTGTCTCTTCCGTACGCTCCATCTCGAGGAACATCATTCCGCATGCACTTGCTGACCATCGACTAGCTTTACCTCTCTCTTTACCTTGGCCTCGTTCCCTTGAATGAGACTATCCAGATCGAGATTATTCCAGTTGTGCGTTACTTATTCTGTCAAACCTCCAAACCCTCCCCCTTCCCCCAAGTCCAGCCCTCAAACGGTGTCCATGGAAAGAAGACTAACGCTCTCTCATAACCACTCCAGCTTCCCTTCTACGCGCTTATTGTCTTTGCTTGCTACCTTCTCGCCCGTCTGGGCATCGCAATCCTCACATTCAACGACGTCCCGGAGGCACACGCCGAGCTACAGAAGGAGATCGAGCTCGCCAAAGTGGAGCTGCGACAGGGAAAGGTTGAGGTTGATTAAGTATGAGATCGTTATGCGCTTGAAGAAATCCGATAAACAAGCGCTTGGACCCCGATTACAGGCAGTCCGAGTCTCGGTCTGAGTCTGGGAAGTTCGTGTTTTGGATTAGTGCGTGAATGCGGAGGCTTTGGTCTACGGATGATCGAAAAAGCCGCGCCTGAGTGATATAATCCACTATGCTCTAGTGACATTATGTTTCCTGCTCTCAATGCTATAATCTTATGATACCCGTTCTACAACATACAGTTCCATATCTACGAAACAACATCGGAGGCATCTGAGCCCATTTCTCTAATTTATGGCCAGGACAAGCAGGCTGGCAACGAGAGACAATTACGTTCTCGGAGAGTTTGGCGCATGAAGCGTGATTGCAACTTCAATTGAGGAGAATCATTCGGAGGGACAGCCTGCCGGTCTGTCAATGAGCCAAAAAGAAAGGAACTTTTCTATAGGAATTCGTCAAGGATATCGTAAATAATTACATGCTCAGGTTTATGCACCTGGACTGAGCATGGACAGTAAGATCGAGGACCAAAGGAGTCACCAATATAGACCGTCAGAGCGCCGCGCAAATTGAAATGCTTGTGATAATGCAACCATCCGCTTAGATGAGAGGGTTCTCCTTGGCCAGAGCATCGTGCTCCTCGATGTCCCTGTAGAACAGCAAGTCAGCCACGATCAAACAGATAGAAAGCTTGGGTTATGACATACTTAGCCTCCCAAGGGTAGCAAATCCAGACATCCTCGGTGGTGACCGAGGCATGGTAGCGGCCGGTCTCCATCATATCGGTGGGCAGGACACCCTTCTTAGCCTTGTCCTTGTTCTGTATCAAATGTCAGTCAATCTAATTCCAACCTCAAGAAACAACATCCGGCGCAGGGTCAAAAACATACGTGCAGAACAAAGACAAAGAAGTTGGTCTTCTCGCCCTCGCGACCGAGCTGCTTCTGAGCAAGCTCGACATCCTTCTCGAGCTCGCGCACAGCATACTCCAGAGTTGTACGGGTATCATCAACCTCGTCGACGATGAGGATGTTCTTGCCAATCAAGTTGGCCATCTCCAGCGAGCTCATATCCAGCCATTGCGTGCGAGTAACCTTAGTGCCAGGAACTTCCTCGGCATCTCCACGGCCCAAGTCCTCGTAAAGGGAGAGGCCAATAGCCTGGATGGGGATGTTGGGGTCACCGGGTTGCTTAAGGAAAGATCTGTGGACGAGTGGGGATCAGTACATTGGGCAATCCAGATAGAGTCCGTGTTAACCTACCGAAGGATGCGGGCAGGAACGTAACCACCACCGCCGATGGCGATCATAAGATTGGGGTGGAACTCCTTGAGGATCTGGGTCGCCGAGCTCTGGCAGAGCTTGTGGACCTGTCGAGGGTCTTTAGTTAAAGTTCATGAAGGATTGTGGACTGCGATAAGACAATCTGCATTGCGGGGTTGAGGGGGAGAAAAATTCCGTGGTTGTTCTTCTGTATGTTCGGTGTCTTTGACTCTGTCGCCAGAGAAGACAGAATAATGTCAAGTCCATGGACTCGTAGTGGGGGGTCCTTACCTGGTTGTAAGTGACATAGACCTTCTGCGGCATCTTGACGATATGATCAAAATTCGAGGAGAATAGAGACAAAGAAGAATGAAAATAACTAGAGATCTAGATAGAAAGATTGGATGTCAAGAATTTCGTCCAAAAGGTCGAGACAGAGGGGAAAAAGTAGGAAAGAAAACGGAGATAGAGGGGAACCCAAAAAAAAAAAAAAGAAAAAAGAAAAAAATCGGACCGAAACGTTATCGGCCCGTGTGCGGGGCTCTTATCCATTGAGACCCTATACTCATCTAAACCCTTGCACCTACATGTACGGAGTAGGTATATCATTCCTTTCAATTTCACTAAGTATACCAACTGGGCTCGGGAATTTCATGCAAAAGGGCATAACGTCCCAACTCCCGGTTCTTATACGCCACCGGATCATGAAGAGTGTGCACTCGAATATCCCTCCAGAATCGATCCAATCCAACCCTCGAGGCGGTGGCCCGCGATCCAGTTACTTCAAACACACCAGAAGTGACCCTAAGTCCAATGTCTGTCGCGACTACCTTGACGCTTGCCACCCACTCGGCAACCTCCCCACGCTCCTGGGCCGTTAAGCTTGACTTTCGGGTCTGATACTGGCTATAAAGCCTCGAGACTTGGTCACCTGCTCGATCAGCCAAGGCCTCTGTGGCACGCAGATGTGCAAAGAAATTGCCATAGCGCTCAAGGATGTAAAACTCATCCGTTGCAGATTCCTTGTTGTCCCCACCGAATGGCCAAGCGCGCGTTGCACTCGTGGTGTATTTAGAGGCGATGTCCAAAGCACCGAGAGCAATACCCAGGTAAAAGTTGCTGAAAACCAGTTGGATACTGTGAAAAAGGAGCGCTTAGTTATACGGCTTCCGTGGGGGGATTGGGAAATGTGCTTACGTTGGCAGAAGTAAAGTTGGGAATGCAATCTTCAGAGTATCGTCGCGAGGCTTCTTGGTAACCTCGTCCCAACCTAGGGCATCCGACCATGGAACCCGGACATTCTCTATCTTCACGCCTCCAGATTCAGTCAAACGCAACCCGATGTTGTGCCAGTTGTGAGCAAACTGGATGCCGGGCTGTCGAGTCTCCACCAAAGCAAATATATGATCCTGAGTGTCATCCAATACTCCCTCGAGAACCGTTAGATCGGATACAACACCTCCGGTGTTGAAGAATTTACTCCCCGCGAACACGATGTGTTCTCCATCTGAAGTGATCCTCAGGTCACTATCACGGGGGTTCACAGCACCGCCGACGAAGTAATTGTTTGAGATGATCAAACGATGGACACGGTCCGCTTGTTCGGGAGTCCCAACTACATTTGCAATGGTAGACCAAAGGAGATGATAGCCAAGCAGCATACCAATAGACCTGCAACTTGTTAATCGCTATACCCAGAAGCAATGTGGGATCCTTAGGACTTGCCCGTCTGCCTTCGCAACCTCTCTTATTGCCTTATATCCGACGCTCCAGGGTTGCTCGCCACCACCATACTTCTTAGGTCCCATAAGCTTCGTCAATTGGGAGTACTTGAGTAGAGCCACTTCGGCGCGCGGCGACTTGTTCTCCTGGTCTCTTTGGACTGCATCCTGAAGAAGCACCCTAGCGACCTCACGGGCTCTGTCAAGCCATTCTTCTTCATTGTCTGGTAGCTTGGACCATTTGGACTCGTATCCAGCGTAAACAGCGGGATCTGTCGCTGAAATACCAGATTTCAACATCGCGGCAGAGGTAGTAGTGATACCTAGAAAGGGGTATATGGTTCGATCAGAGGAGATAATATTGAGACAAATAGAAGATTATTACTTTCCACTGGGGGATACGAAGTGTATAAGTAGTGTAGCCGGCCAGTTTATTCTGAAAATATCTTATTACAAACTCACGCAAGATTGCGCAATGCGTCTCCCACATGCGCATATACATAATAATGTATGCGTGTTGGTCCATCGAAGGGAGAGAGAGTCCAAAGACCCCGAATTCGTCAGTTGCATAAAATATGTCGTTATCACTATCGAATTAACTTCATTATCTCCCGTTCAATCAATTCTTAAATTCACTTGGATGGGATTGCCTCATCCACCTCGGTCCTAACGTCATTGGCAAGTCTTGGAAGTACAACTTGAGTTTGGATACTACAATCACCGTGTCGGCTGTTATGGCTTTCTCTTTGCCCGGACTGGAAGAAAATCGAGATGTAGATCCACCAGACACTCCAGCAACATTACGCCAGTAAGAAAGGAAGGGAGAGTCCACAATACTGGGAAAAGTCTGAATGTATGGTATCCCACATCTTCTATCACACGATCAATTCTAATGAGGGCGAGAATGACTCCTATGTCCCGAGTATCAAGGGGCGAGGTTCCAATAAGAGGGTTCCCAATCCTGAACGACCTGAATTCATGCAAAAGCACAACTATTGGTGGAGTGGCGTATATCATCTAGTCGACCTCCAAATGATGTGCTGGGTTGGACTTCACATGTGTCGGTCCCCAGCGTGCAACACATCTTGCAAGTATGAAAATGAACACGGTTGGTTGCTTAGGACATTGGGGATTGCTCTTTCTTGAAGCTGAGACATGCCATTTTTCATACGTTTGCCCATGTAGATACAAGAACCCCTTGTAGTACATTGGACCAAGAATCCTTGCTGAGCTGGAGTTGCTGAGCTGGAGTTGCTTGCCCATCACTTGAGTCTGGCACCCTCTGCGTGAACGTTGATGGCTTCATTCTGTAGTTCAGACACCCGTGACCAAATGCCCCGAGAATGGCATCATACAACTTGTGGGGTCATGGCCAAGCCAAGGACCGAGGAGAAAAAAATAGGACCTGAGAGCCTCATCTTTTCTCTTTTGCTTTTTTTCCCGGGGGATCTCGTAGAAAAGCATGGTCCCAAGGGATAATTGCACGAGGCAGTAAAACCGTGCCGTTTTATGTGAATCACATGTGCAACAATGTAAGGTAGACTCCTGTTTCACTCATTTTCATCCAGAAGGTTTTGAGGAGACCAATACTCTTTCTCAGGGCCCTGGGAATCTAACCAGACTAGACCATCTGCGAGTAGGTCGTCAATTACTGTTTGTGCTCGAGCCTTTTCCCATTTGAGGTTCAATCGCAGCATTGAAACGCTCACATATCCCAGCACCTGAATGACCTCCAATACTGTCGCTTGGTCGGTGTTGAGTTCTTTGGGAATAGACCGAATGTATTGCTTGCTGCCAACATTGACGATGGAGAACCCAGTGCCAAGAGGCTCAAGCGACCTTACTGCACGTAGAATGTCATCGCTATAGGGCAAATAGCTCGGTCAGCCACTTGTCAAGATTTTAATGGTTCCTAAAGGGATAAGCGCATACTCTGAAACCTCAAGGCCACTTCCGATCGCCTTGCCCTTCCCCACTCGCTTGCGACACTCCTCAACGCCAATCAACCCACCATTTTCACCTCTAGTCTCTCTGCACAATTCCACAACTCTGACTGCAACCTCAAAGTAGAAATCATTCATATCTCCACCTAAAATCTGGGTCCAGAAGCTACCCCCCTCGCCGAATCCGCGACGGCCATTCTTGCCCTTGACGTTGCTTGCAGCGAGAGGATCGACACCGATGGTGTTACACATGCGCGCAAACTCTGCTCGAAAGGTTGGGTTCGATTTAATCGTAGTGCTATGTTCTAGCGCGAAGGTGTGAAGTAAGGACTGGAACACCGACAACTGGGTCTGTAAGGAGGCAGTATGGGTAGAGCGGAGATTGGCGCCATGAGTAGCATAAGATTGTGAGGCTTGAGTTCGGTTTGCAAAGGCTCCGAGGCCAACACCACGACGGGACATTATGTATGGAGTGAAATGATACTCAAGTTCACTGGGCAGCCTGGTTGGTTATCCCAGACATCGGAAGGCTGGCCATGAGGTCATCTGATAAGAGCGAAGCCCTTATCTTGGCTAGGATAAGGGCTTTTGCTATATCTGGTTAGCGGATAGCGAATTAGTGGGCTAGCCGCATGCGGCTAAAGGGACCCGCACTCACACAAGCGAAGTCTCTTCTTACATTCCTTTGCTGCGAACTTTTTCTTCTTCCTTTGACATCCTTCGACAACCCGCCGACTCTCGACCTCGTCCGGACCTTCAAAATGGCCGCTACTACGTATGATACCCAATGACTCATTCCTAAGACTGATGCATTCTCTGCTTGAGTTTGTGAGGTTGCAGGTATAGTCGTCCTTCTCGCTGGGGATGCCAGCCGTTGTCGACCGCGATGATGGCTAGGCACCAGCTCGATCCTTCCTGCCCTCTTATCTCAATTCCAATTACCTCCGTGGCATGAATTGTCTATGAAGCAAAATTCGGATACAGAAGATGGGTGATGGAGTCTTGAGGTTGAAAGCGCCTGGCGCCTTCTCCTCCAAAAGAATTGTTGTGAACTATCGTTCCCGAGTGTTTTTAGTGCGGTAAAAGCATATTACTTCGGGAAGCGAAAAGTGTCAACAAATTTCCTGAACATTGTTCGGGGTTTTGTCGGATGAAAGCACCAATGGCGACTTGTGGGTGATCCGGGCTTGCGAACACTGTGCTGAAATATGCATGGCTAGTAACGAGCAGGGATTGATCATGTAACCCCAGTGTCTTGGCTTTCACTGATTAAAGACATTTCGTCGAGTTTTTCTATGCCTTCAGTTGAGAATGTGGCGCTATATGCTGCAATTCTTTCACTCGGCGAACTGTCTCAGTCTTCATCAATGCTTGACAGACTGTTCTAACATTCCATAGCTCCGTTCCTACCCAGAACCAGGTTCTCGTTCCCGAGACCCTGCTGAAGAAGCGCAAGTCCCAGGAGGCTGCTCGCGCTGAGCGCCGCGCCGAGGTTGAGAAGACCAAGCAGGTTAGTTTTCCTCCTCTTTTCTCGCCAATTTCCCCATCCCTCTTTTCCAACTATATGATGCATAACACCATTCACGATGACTAGACCGCTACCACGGTCAATGCTGTCGTCTGTCAACCATCTTTCGGGTCTGACATTAGTTCAAACAAATCCACTTGCCATTTTCTGCACCGGATTGTGAAGAACCTACATGCTGACTGAGATTTGCATAGGCCAACAAGGAGAAGCGTGGTGTCATCTTCAAGCGTGCCGAGTCCTACGTCCAGGAGTACCGCACCGCTGAGCGCGAGAAGATCCGCCTTAACCGCGTTGCTCGCCAGGAGGGCAGCTTCTACGTTGAGGATGAGCCCAAGCTGGTCTTCGTTGTCCGTATCAAGGGTATCAACAAGATCGCCCCCAAGCCCCGCAAGATCCTCCAGCTCCTGCGTCTGCTCCAGATCAACTCTGGTACCTTCATCCGTCTCACCAAGGCTACCCAGGAGATGTTGACCATTGTCAACCCCTACATTGCCTACGGTTACCCCAACCTGAAGTCCGTCCGCGAGCTCCTGTACAAGCGCGGTTACGGAAAGGTCGACAAGCAGCGCACTCCCCTGACCGACAACCAGATCATCGAGGAGCACCTCGGCAAGTTCGGCATTGTCTGCATGGAGGATCTGATCCACGAGATCTACACTGTCGGCCCCAACTTCAAGCAGGCCAACAACTTCCTCTGGCCCTTCAAGCTGTCCAACCCCAACGGTGGTTTCCGTGCTCGCAAGTTCAAGCACTACATCGAGGGTGGTGACACTGGTAACCGTGAGGAGAACATCAACGCTCTCATCCGCCAGATGAACTAGATTTCTTCTCATGAGGGTCCGGGTGGGGTGTTCTCTGGGCGCCCTCCCCAAAAATTTTACAAAAATTTACGACTTTACTGTCTTGGGTTGTTTCTTGCACGGGCTGTTTATATCCACTAGTCAATTTTCTTTAGCGATACTATGGTCTGGGTTTTCCGATCAATTTAATGCTTCAAACAACCCAATCCCATGGCCATGGGCCTGTTCCTCTCGTATTGACACAGCTCTGTCCCATCTTGTAGTTTCCTCTGAAGGTATGATATTCCGTTCCGTACGGTGTACTCCACACATCCCAGACTGTGAAGCCGAGGACCCGAGGTCCGAACGTCACAGTGCTGACCTATCGTACCACATCGAGTCTCTCAGTTCCACTGCCTGGCTTGTGTCAAGCCTGTTCTTCAAGCGCTTTTATGAGTTATGAAGATCATTCTAATCTCTCGGGCCTTTTGTTAGCCCATCATCGAAACAATCGACTTCTTATCTAGTTCATTACTTTGTCCAGAGCTCGCTCGTAGTTGTTACAATCCTACCTACATAGGTATCAAATTTACCCACGCTGCCAATTTCACCGATTTCCATGGCGATTATTTAGGGATAATCTCAAGCAAAGGCAAGCAATTATCTTCCAGGTCTAAATGTAAAGATGTATATCCATTCCAGATCTTGTAGTGATATATACTTGACTATATTGCGATACCAATAATGTCTTTTTTTTTTCACTTCAGGGTGTATGATTCAAATCTTGATGACTTCCTGAACCTTTCTATTACAATCAACCACAAGACGAAGTTGTCTTCCTTCCCAATTTGAGTCTGGTGCTGGTGGGTCATATGTAGCCGGCCTGAAAGCGCCATCGCGAAGTCTTTCGGTAAAAAGCTCATAGGACGGGTAATCTATTCGAGCGGTTCAGTCAGTGTGTCCATTCACCAATGAGCATAAGAATCCCAAAGGGAATGCATACAGCCATCCACAAACTGATTGACCTGTTCTTCGGTCATTCCGGTGCCTTTAGCCGCACGAAGAGTGCGCTCCTGTTCCTGACGCCATTCGTAGACGAAACGAGGGTTTGCGGCGTCGCTAAAATAGGTCAGTAAATCGATATTGCTTCGATCAGCAGGAAAGTACTTACATATGAATCAAAGCATCGAGCTTTCTGCAACGAGAATATGTTAGCAAAGCTTCTATGCTGTAGTCGCCCATTCTTCAATAATGGAGTGAACCCACTCTGTCAAGACATCATATCGTTTCAAAGCATCATTTACTGCCTTGACATCTTCGAAGTTGACGTGGCCTAGCCGCCCATTATACTCGCCATTCTTCCTTTGATTTACAGCAGATTCCCATTTCGCGCGCAGGGTTTTGTCATCCCAGGCACGGAATCCAACACACCATCCCTCGAAGATCACGACTTTGACCTTTTCCGGACCCTCTGCATTGACGACCTTCCACTGTGTGGTTGGAACGCGATCACCTTGGCCCTCGAATGCAGACTTATCGTACTGTGGAATGGCAGTTGGGCGCTCGGCTGCAAGTGAAGCAAATACTTCTTCACCCAATGCGAGATCGTGGGTTGAGGGTTGTCCACGATGCTGTAGAAGTGGGTTTGAAGGATGCGCCTGGGCCAGAGCAATTTGATCGATGTGGGTCAGGTAGATATCATCAAGCGACAATGTCACGACAGAGAGCGAGTATGGTTCTGAACGGAGGGTGTGGTTGAGAACGGACACCTGATGAGGTCAGTATTTTGAGCGTTTGTTCCGAGGAGACCGAACGAGATCCCGAGGCATCATAGGGGGATGTTCAGCCCCGGATCAACCCACGAGAACTGTCTTGCCGGCACCTTGTACGCCATTGAGGCCAATAAAAAACGGTGGGGTAGGATTGCCGCGGTGCCGCTCGGTATGAACGCGCAGACGATCGAGAAGAAAAGGGATGCAGTACTGCGATTTATCGTCCACAATTTCAGACATTTCTGCGATATCAGTTATCGAATACTTGTAGCTTTTAGTCGGTCTCTGTATATATCTATCGGGCATGCGGGAAGTGTTCCCCGATCGGCCGAGTGAATCTGGGGAGGATGCCCCGCGGGGGTACATTTAGCCGCTATGTATTTTGGGCGGTCTTTTCGACCTGTTCTTATAGATTTTATAGAGATGATTCAGTGTATTATTGACCGATTTTCTTTTCTTCTTTTTTTTTCAAAAAAAAAGAACAGTTACATGGCTCACAGTGCACATGGTAATGACGTCGCCCATCACATGTCTGAGTCAGCACTCGGTCCAGGGCTACATCGGTATACTCCTTAGGTCCTCCGTAGGTACGGAGGACTCCCTACATACATAAGGTGGATACCACTATACACCGGCATAGCCGATATAACAATAGAGATCTCTACCTAGATACTCCCTACGTACCTTAAAATGATGTATGGAGTATATAATACCCCGGTTGTACATGTAGGAACGGCCATAGATATTAAATTACAGCTGCCAGAGTACTTAGATCGGCATGTGATACAGACCAATCTGCCATGTAACGATACCCCCATGTTTCATTACAAAACCAATCCAAACGTGCCGAGGTTCCTCAGCTTGCCGAGTTGCTTTAAACTCCCCTCTTTCTCCAGCTTTCTCCTTTTATTTTCTGGTTTCATATCCATTTGACCTTCGGACAAATATTACTTACTACGCAACAGAATGTCCGAGTTGCGATTCGATAACCAAACGGTGGTCGTCACCGGTGCCGGTGGTGGTCTGGGAAAGGCATATTCTCTCTTCTTCGCCTCAAGGGGTGCAAATGTCGTCGTGAACGACCTCGGTGGCTCTCACAAGGGCGAGGGCAAGTCAGGAAAAGTATGTGCAATGTTCCAGAACCAGAGAGGCCGACACTGACCGCACCCAAGGCTGCAGATGATGTCGTCCAGGAGATCCGCGCTGCTGGCGGTAAGGCCGTCGCCAACTACGATAGCGTCGAGAATGGCGAGGCCATCATTGAGACTGCCATCAAGGCATTCGGCCGTATTGATATTCTGCTGAATAACGCTGGTATTCTGCGGGATATCAGTTTCAAGAACATGAAGGATGCCGACTGGGATTTGATCAACACAGTTCACACCTACGGTGCATACAAGGTGAGGATGAGGACACCCGGACATATGAATGATTATCCTGGCTTGTGACTAGAGCTAATGGATGATTATCTATATAGTGCGCAAGAGCAGCATGGCCTCATTTCCGGAAACAAAAGTTCGGCCGTATTATCAACACTGCCTCTTCTGCGGGTCTATTCGGTAGCTTCGGCCAGGCTAACTATTCAGCCGCCAAGCTCGGCCAGGTCGGTTTTACCGAAACCTTGGCCAAGGAGGGCGCCAAGTACAACATTCTCGCTAATGTTATTGCTCCTATCGGTTAGTTGGCGATGAACATCTAGTGCATGATTGGCAAAACTAACCCCAAAATAGCTGCTAGCCGCATGACCGCAACTGTCATGCCCCCAGATGTTCTGGAGAACCTCAAACCTGACTGGGTTGTTCCCTTGGTTGCTGCCCTTGTGCACTCATCGAACGTTACAGAGAACGGTGGTATTTACGAGGTCGGCGGTGGCCATGTTGCCAAGCTCCGCTGGGAGCGAGCTAAGGGTGCTCTCTTGAAGACTGATGATTCCCTCACTCCCGGTGCTATTGCCCGAAAGTGGAACGATTTGAACGACTTCTCCCAGCCAGAATACCCTAATGGCCCTGCCGACTTCATGAGCTTCTTGGAAGATGGCTTGAAGATGGCCAGTGCCCAGCCTGGAGAGGAGCCTGACTTCAAGGGCCGTGTTGCTCTGGTCACTGGAGGTGGTGCTGGCCTTGGTCGCGCATATTGCTTGCAGTTTGCCAAGCTTGGTGCCTCCGTTGTCGTTAATGATCTTGTTGACCCTGAGCCCGTTGTTCAGGAGATCAGAAAGCTGGGTGGTCAGGCTGTTGGCAATAAGGCCAGCTGCGAGGATGGTGATGCCGTCGTCAAGAGCGCCATCGATGCCTTTGGCCGCATTGATATCCTGGTTAACAATGCCGGTATCCTGCGCGATAAGGCATTCACTAACATGGATGACAACCTATGGAACCCTGTTATCAATGTGCACCTGCGTGGTACGTACAAGGTGACGAAGGCCGCCTGGCCCTACTTCCTCAAACAGAAGTACGGTCGTGTTGTCAACACCTCCAGTACCAGCGGTATCTACGGCAACTTTGGCCAGGCCAACTACGCCGCTGCTAAGCTTGGTATCCTGGGTTTATCCCGCACTCTTGCCATGGAGGGTGCCAAGTACAACATCAAAGTCAATACCATTGCCCCTAACGCGGGTACCAACATGACCCGTAGTATCATGCCCGAGGAGGTGGTCCAGGCTCTCAAGCCCGACTACGTTGCTCCTCTTGTAGTCCTGCTGTGTTCTGACATGGCCCCTGAGCCCTCTACCAAGGGTCTATTTGAGTGTGGTAGTGGCTGGTTCAGCCGCACCCGCTGGCAGCGCTCTGGTGGCCACGGCTTCCCCGTGGACGTTAAACTTACCCCCGAGGAGGTGCTTCGCAACTGGAAGCAGATCACCAACTTTGAGGATGGTCGTGCTGATCACCCCGAGGACGGCCAAGCCGGTGCGGAGAAGATTATGGCCAACATGTCTAACCGAGCACATGGCAATGTCTCGGCCGAGAACGAGACCCTGAAGAACATTGCGAAGGCGAAGGCTCAGTCAAGCGAAGGTACGCCTTTCAATTACGAGGACCGCGATGTGATCCTGTACAACCTCAGCGTGGGCGCCAAGCGCACCGACTTGCCTCTGGTCTATGAAAACAACGATCAGTTCCAAGCTCTTCCCTCGTACGGTGTGATCCCCTGGTTCAACACCACTACTCCCTGGAATCTGGACGACTTAGTGAAGAACTTCTCTCCTATGATGCTGCTCCACGGCGAGCAGTACATGGAAGTTCGCAAGTTCCCCATCCCCACCACCGCCAACACCTTGACCTACCCCAAGCTCATTGATGTTGTTGACAAGGGTAATGCAGCCATCGTTGTGGCCGGTTACACCACCAAAGATGCCAAGACCGGCGAGGATCTGTTCTACAACGAGTCCAGTCTTTTCATCCGTGGTAGCGGCGGATTCGGAGGCTCCCCCAAGCCCACGGTCCCGCGCGCCAAGGCTGCGACTGCTGCATACAAGGTGCCACAGCGCCAGCCCGATGCCGTGGTTGAGGAAAAGACCTCCGAGGACCAGGCCGCGCTATATCGCTTGAATGGCGACCGCAACCCACTCCATATCGATCCTGAATTCAGCAAGGTCGGTGGGTTCAAGACCCCCATCCTGCACGGCCTGTGTTCACTTGGTGTGTCCGCGAAGGCTGTCTTCTCCAAGTTCGGTGCCTACAAGAACCTCAAGGTGCGCTTCGCGGGCGTCGTCCTGCCTGGCCAGACCCTCAAGACGGAGATGTGGAAGGAAGGCAACACCGTCCTCTTCCAGGCCACCGTTGTTGAGACTGGCAAGCCCGCCATCACTGGCGCTGGTGCCGAGCTCCTCGAGGGCGCTAAGGCCAAGCTGTAAAGTATGAAAATGTTTGGTCGAAGCGATATCCCCATTGGCAAAGCGAGCTGGAACACTCAGATCGGATTGTTGACTGTTGTTTGTATATACTACCTGTGTGTTGGCTTTCTTTCTTTCCTTCTTTTGGTTAATTATCCCCATGAGACCAATGAGATCAATCTGAATTTGGTATTCCAATCGAATGTGCTCGTTCAACACCGTAAATGAAACGAATTCCACGTGTGGGCCAGGAACCGCACTCAAGATAGAGTCCATAGACTACTGGGATGACTTGTCTCGGATTACGCGTTGCTCAGCCTATGAGATTGTAACTAGGACTCAGAACTTTGCAGTGAATACTGTGAGTGTGAGTGTGGTTAGATTTGATTAGAATACATCCAAGACATGTGCATAGACATCCAGAGGCCAAACATCCCTGCGACGACATAAAAGCCCCCCCGTGGAGGGCGTCTTATGTAACAAAATCCTTCATTCTGTTGAGTCCTCAGAACTCCCTATTCCAAGCATTCTTACCCAGATCCCGGACATCCACCTGAGTCGATCTTCAACTACCATGTAAAAAGCTTACAACAATCATGGTGCTCTCGTTGCCAGTCCCCGGCTTCTCCAGATCCTCCACATCTCCCCGCCCCGCCGACAACACTCGATGCCGAGAATCAGCCTCCGTGTCCTCATCCAGTTCCTCATCCAGTCGCAATGTCCAAAAATCACCTGGTCTAGGACAGAATCACCCTTCATCTAACAGCCACTCCGTCACCCTCAGCGAAGCGCTACGCAACAATCCTTTCGGCAGCACATCACGGTCCCGTGACCCCGTTCAGCTCGCGGCCCACCAGACAGAAGAACAAACGCGGGAACAGGAGGAACTCAATACCGCACTCGAGACTCTGGTCCGCGTCTTTCCCGATATACGGATAGAGGTATTCCGCGAACTGCTGGTGCGGTTTGACGGACAGAGCCGAGTGCAAGTGTGTGTGGAGGAGCTACTCAGACACAAGAAGAAATGGGTTTCAGGACGGTGGAATTTTCCCGAAGGGAACAGTGAGACCAAGACGGAGGGAGAGGCTTATGTAGGCCGTGAAGGCGTTGAATTCAATAGCCATGACGCTGGCGATGACACCCTAGTCCCTCCCGAGGAGCGTTTTCGGTCGGACGACTACAAGGCCGCCGTGCGGATGGCTATGATAAAAGAGTTCAGTGGTCTGAATAAAAGCACGGTTGAGGCTGTCCTGGCCGAAGTGAACTTCAGTTATGCGCGGGCTCGACCGACCCTACGGGACCTATCGCGTCGGACATGGCGCGCAACGTTCAACAATATATTGCCGTCCTTCAGGCGAAGGAAGGATCGCGAAGAACATCCGCTTCTGGTCTGGAATCGTCGAGTAGACGGGGAACTTGCTCCTAGTCTGAAGGGAACCGGATGCAAGGAGTTGGACGCAGAGCTCTACGATATGTTATTGGTCCCACTCTTGCGACACCAACGCGAAGAACAGCAGGATCAAGATTTTCGGATTGCCTCGGAGCTGAATGAAAAAGAAGCACAGACAGCCAATGCTCTGTACGAATGCGAGTGTTGTTTCGCCGATGTGACATTCGAACAGATCGCGACATGTTCGGCCAACGCTCACATAATTTGCTATAACTGCATTCAGCGAACGGTTTATGAAGCACTATTTGGACAGGGTTGGGGTAAGTCTGTGGACCTGGAGCACTGCACTTTAAAGTGCCTTGCACCATTATCCGTTGGGTCGTGTGAGGGATGTCTCCATCCGCAAATTGTCAAGCAAGCAATTCTTCTTGACACAGCTGGCCTTGAGACATATCGCAAGTTTGAAGACCGGCTCTCTTCTGAAGTACTCATGAAATCTCAGCTCAAGCTTGTTCGATGCCCATTTTGCTCCTACGCCGAAATTGATCCTGTGTACCACCCTTCGCCCCGTGGTGTCCGCTGGCGGTTCCGCCGTGATGGGGGCATTATCCCCACAATTTTGATGACTATTTTACTTCTCGACCTCGTCCCTTTACTTCTAATTCCTGTTTTAATTCTGTTACTTTTGGACCGAGCCACCGCAACGGCGGTCTTCGGCAATGCCATCTGCAATCTGTGTCTCAAGATCCGACCTAAACGGTTTAGCTGTGCGAATCCCTCCTGCTTACGCAGTAGCTGCATGACATGTCACAAAACGTGGCGAGATCCACATGTGTGTCATGAGCCTTTACTTTTGGACTTGCGAGCTACTGTGGAGGCTGCTCGCACCGCCGCTGTGAAACGAACCTGTCCCCGGTGCTGCCTCTCATTCGTCAAATCCTCGGGCTGCAACAAATTGACCTGTGTCTGTGGCTATTCCATGTGTTACTTATGCCGCAAAGCACTCGGTCCGCCTATCCGAACATCTGCGCCTCCCCGTGTGCCCCGTGATCTGGGCGCTTTCGATGGTCCGGGCGATATACCCGAGGATCACCTCGGCGGCGATAGTGCAGACAATATTTCCGAAGACGATGAAGCCGAAGAACCAGAAGGCTACAAACACTTTTGTGAGCATTTCCGCATCAACCCGGGATCCCGCTGCACAGAATGCACCAAATGCAATCTCTATCAAGCAGAAGACGAGGAAGCGGTCGCGCGCCGCGCGGGCGAGAAAGCCGAGCTTGAATGGAGGCTTAGACATGGTGAATCCGGTATCAATCACACCTCCCCTGTTGGATCCCGAAACATAAACCAGGATCTCTCGGCGGGTGCAGATCGCCATGCCACAAATCGTCGCGCTTCGGCTTCCTTTTGGGGCCTACAGTTCACATCACTGGGTAAGCCATGGGCTTACTGGTTCAGCGATGTATGGGCAGGTGGCCGGTGGAAGCTCGAGGGTCAAGCTTTTGCGGACTGGATCGTGGAACGGGTTATTGAAATTGAGGATACATAGCTTGTGCGTGCGTTCGTTCTCTACGCGTAAGACGTCTTTTTCTCTTTCGCTGCTTGTACTTGATTGGGCTTTGAATTGGGGTTTACAGTAATGTTGTTTCTATGCTTTTCATCCTTCGGTTTTCTGCACAGGATGCTTGAATTGTGGTTAATCGGCGGAGTTTTGGACGACATGATGATTGATGACCTTACTTTTGTTTTTGATATCTGCGTGGGTTTTTACTATTGTCCGACATGCGAGAATTGTACTCTTTTTTCCTAATGCATAACTTGATTTGACAAAAGCCATAGCAGTGTGCGAGGGACATTTCACACCTGGAGGATACAGCGTTTTGTCTTAGGAATCTTCAAATTAGAATTGTATGGAGGCCCAGTCTGCAATGTGTCCTTCATAATGTAGCGAGAAAGAGCACTTCGTTCCCCTGAATTCACAAACCAAGAGACGGAAGAAACAGTCTAATAACCCGGATCAACCTCACAGAGATGCTTAGGGCTCCGGAACCCATCCATGTTGACTGCGTTGATGAAGTCTTTCGTCTTCTGATCATCGCCACTACAGATCGGTCCACACCAGACAGGACGGCTGTCATGACCGTATGGCTGCAAGATATACTCTTTGTATTCGTAGTCCGCATCGACAGCAGAGCCGACATCACACACCGGGATCGTGAAGATACCCTCCCAGGATGCAGCCGCCGAGCCCGGACTTGCCCATGCATTTGAGATAGCATCCGACGCACGATGAGCAGCGGTGTCGGCATCATAGTTGTAACCGGCAACGTTATAGGCATCCAGAGAGGAATTAATAACATCCTGTAGGAGTAGTAAGTATAAGGCGACGTCAGTGATAGTAGGGCTGTCCATACTTACCTCAATTCGGATGCCACTGTATTCATCCTGGCCTAGCTTCTCAAGCCCGGGGGGAGTGGCAACCCATCCCCATTGGTGTGAGGTAAGGGAGATCACATCGTTCTCCTGCCAGTAATAGAGGTACCAGGCTTTGCCGTCGCGGCAAATTTTGGATTCTTGGGGGCCAGACCCAATGCCCTGGTTATCGTCGCAGGCACCACCACCCATGATGAAGATCTTTTGGGTGCGGTACAGTTGATTGATAGCAGTACCAACCAACATGTTGGTCATTGCATCAGTGACAGCATTCTTATCGACACCGGGGAACGCAAGGAACGCTCCGCCAGAGATATAGCTGCGGATATCCACGTCGCCATAGGTCTGACCACTCATCAGCTGGTTGTTAGCAGTGGTGAACGACTTCATCGAGTCAACCACAAGGGTGCCCAAGATACCGCCCAGATCGGCAGACTTCTCAAAGGTGTCATCCGTGCTAGTGAGGTATCAGTATGGAGTACGGGAATGCTAGACAATGAGAATAAGGGCTGAAGGGTCACATACTGAGAAGATAGAGCATTGCTACCAGCGGAGACTCCCCCACTGGTGAGTGCACTACCAGCAGCAGCCAAGGCACCGCCAACGGCAGGACCGAGTCCAGCAAAGGAAGCACCAATACCAACAATGGTAGTGAGGAGGGTCAATACCCCCTTGAGCGCAGTAACGCTCTTGACATCTTTATCTCTGTAGAAAGTGGTGGCCCACTCATCCTTAGACAAAGCTGCACCAAGAGCAGTAGTTGTAAACGACTCGCCAATACCATTGAATTACGAATGGAGGCGGTTGACCGACTCAAGAACATAGTATGTAGGTCGAATGTCATCACCGCGATCATTGAGCACTTGGTTATCACATAGCTGCAAGTCGCAGGCTGAATTCGAGCCATCATCACGACACGACCAATCTGGATTTCCCATTGCCCATTGACCAAAGGCGCCGGCGAAGCCACCAATGTTGTTGGCTATCAGTTCCCCATTGCTATCCCACCAATTGTTGATCCAATCCCCGGTATTATAGGTATCCCAGTCGTCGGTACTTTGGCCGTAGTAGTCAGATATGGGGCCGCAGCGTTTGTGGTGCATCTTGGGAGGAGCTGCCTGCACTGCGGGCAATAGAAGAAAGGCCGCCCAGGCCAACGAGGGTAGCATGATTTTGGATCGTTAGTTACCTGCTTGGAACAGAAGAAGCAGACCTCGGGCTGAGTGACTTTATAAATCGGGCCCCATTGTCCCTCAGGTGAGATGGATGATCCTTTGCCGATTTAGGAATATGGATCTATTCCTTTTTGCCAGATCCATCCTCAGGGCCAGTTCCAAATAGATGAGCTAACACGGTGCACGGAGTACATTAAGGCCTGTCCTTTTGGCCTGAGATTAGTTTCCCCGAGAAAAGTGCGAGGCGTACGGAGGACGGAGCACTCCGCTGAATTAACCCCAGCTCGTGAAAGAAGTGGACTACATATCCACTCAGGATTCTGTCGAGATTTTGATTGGCAGATCTCCCACAGTGTATATACAACACAACGATACGGGGGTTTGGGGGGGGGACGCTACACCAGTTGCCATTTCGGGCAAATGGTCGGGACTAGGAACTGAGATGGCGAGCATTCTCTCGTACTCCGTACGGGGAGAGTATTATACAAGGAATGATCACACCATGTTGGGCCATCCACCCCTAAACCCTTTGGAGACGGGATCTTCGCTGTCGTATGTGCATTCAAATGAAAAGTTGCAGTGAATGCCGCCCCTGGGTTGTATGCTTTGATGAACATTGTGAGCGAGAACTTATCAGTAGCGCTCAAATCTACCCTGTTTTCTCCTCATCCAACTGCCCCTCGGCTCTTTTCTTTGCTTCCTCCTTCAAAAATTGATCGTCGGCTCGGTTCAAGCCAACCTGTGGCATCAACCCAACAGCCAGGCAGAAAGCAAATGCCGCGAGCGATGCACCGACAATGAAGATGATCCGAAAGCCCTTTTGATATGCCGGTGTTAGAACATCACGGATATGCTCCGCCTCCTCTGTTGACAATTTCGATAGATAACTCTGCGGACTAGAGAGAAGGGAGCGGGACTGGGTTTCATCGAGTTCGAGAACTGAGATGGACGATGAGACGATATTATTTCTAACTCGGTTAATAGATTGAAACAAGATCAAAGATGTGATAGGGGTCATACATGATTGTTCCTGCAATAGCAAGCCCAAGAGTGCCACCGAGGTTGCGGACGAAGCTGTTGCTTGTTAATTCCATGGATTGGCTTGAGTATAGGAGCATTACTCACTTTCTGAAGGAGGTTATCACGGCCATATCTCGCCTTTCAACGCCAGCTTGAACGGCGATTAGAGAGCTGCAGGCAATTAGCCTCATTTCTTGGACCAGAACGTGAAGGAACACATACGGTTGTAGAGTATTTCCAACCCCAACACCAGTCAAAATACCATATCCAATCTGCTTGCCCAACCCCGAGTGCCGATCGAGTGTTGAGAAAAGACCCAGACCGACAGCCCAAATAACCCATCCGAAAAGAATGCATTCTCGATAGCGGCCGACCCAATGTACAACAAGGCCGGAGCCTGTACTGCTAACAGCTGCGAAAGTCAGTCCTGGCCCATCAACGCAACCAAAGGGATCTCATACTTTGCATGAGAGTCACAGGCAACAGCATCGCAGCCGCCTTCACTGTCGAATATCCAAATACAAGCTGATAGAACGTGGGGATATAGTAGACCTGGACCAAAAAGTTCCACCCATTGATGAACATAGTCAGACATGCACCGTTCACAATTCTAACCCGAAAGATGTGCATCGGAATCAGTGGGGTCGATGCGCCCTTCCATTGCCATGCGACGAAGGCTACAGAGACAGAAAATCCAACGACTAGTGTTGCAATAACGTGCGCCGAGTTCCAGTCGTACTCGCCGCCGCCCCATGTCAAACCCAGCAGTAGGACCGAGGTTCCTCCGAGAGCCAGAAGCATACCGAAGAAATCAATTGCTTTGAGTTTGACTTTCCAGTCACCAGTGACCTTCCGAAGAGGCATGAAGAATAGAACAGCCAGCGTGGTCAACGCAGTCAAGGGTAGGTTCAACCGAAAAATCCATCGCCATGAATCCTGTGATATGGAAGCTAGTGCACCTCCGATGACAGGACCAATGCCGTTAGCGATGGCAACCACAGCGCCGAGGATACCTTGGTATTTCCCTCGTTCCCGGAGAGGGACAACGTCGCTGACGATCATCTGCGCGACCGTCATGAGGCCACCGCCGCCGACTCCAGTGAAAGCACGGAAGACAATTAATTGCGTGGCTGTCTGCGCAAGAGATGCTGCTAATGACCCAAAAAAGAAGATCGCTAGGCCGACAAAAAGCACATATTTGCGGGACCAGATGTCAGATAGCTTCCCATAAAGCAGTTGGAAGCATGTAGAGGTTCTGCGCCGTCGGTGTTAATGTGGATAGTATCAAGACTGAGCGAGAAGGAATTACCCACACAAAGTAACCGCCTGAAATCCAGGAAGTCTGGTTGCTAGCTCCCAGTGCATTGCCTATAATAGATAAACTGGCTGCCAGGGTCGTCTGGTCCATCAGCGCCAGGAGGTCAACACTGGAACAGGCCAGGAAGATCTAGAGGCACATCATTAGCTCGGCTACATTGCTTCTTCCAGCGTATACTGACCGTGATAATGGTGCGCTTGGGCACATAGTTGGTTTGTTCATTGAAAACCACATTGGTTTTGTTTTCTTCAACTGCAATGTCCGCCTCCGTTGATTTCGGGGTGTTGTCGAGCCCCCCTGTCATGGCCATGGCGTTGATATGAAGGGATACAGCAAACCGAAAAGACCTAGGCAGAGAAGAAAAATATAGCAGCACACTTGCAAAGAAGCCGATCAATCAGATCAGCATGGTCCATCTAATCTATTCGTCACGCCATTCAAGGGATCAGCACTTAGTCTGAGCACCTTGACAGAAGATCAGCGTGTTAGAGTTGACAAAAGTAGCTCAAACACCCTCAAGGTCCTTCTTTCTTGCATACCAGGGTATTCTCCGAGCAGAAATAACGATATTCCCATGTGAGGACCCCCGGGATCGAATCCATTCCTGAGGACCTTGTCAAATTCGGCGACAAATGAACGATGTTGATTCCAGAACATTGCCAAGTAAGACGAGAATCCCAGACCATGACGCAGGTCCAATGCAAGACATTCCGTTTTCAATCTTTTCGAGGTCTGTTCCCTATGACACAGCGAGTAGCGAGTTGCCTTATAGAGTCCGATCTGCAATTGAACCACATCGATAATCCCGAGGTCGCTCACCATTTTCCTGTTCATCGTAGTCAAAGCCCCAAACTTCCGGTGCTTGCAGCATCCATCGAGGACTGGCCCCGCAATAGAACGTCTCACATTGAGTCCGGGCCAGGCTCCTCATATCGGAGTCATACGGCGGAATATTCAAGGCTGGTGGAGTTGTGAAAGGTAGATCTTACTTTCCTACCTCTTGCCAAGAACGACGCAACAGGACAGAGGGGCAGGTGGTGCTCGCTATATAGAACCTTTGTATATAATTGTCCCAAAGGGATCCGCGACTTTTCTTTCACCATCTGTTTTTACCCTTTTGACACTAGCTTTCATCCCTTGGAAATATCTCTGGCTTCAGGCCCATGCAGTAGGGAACTGCTACTCGACGATCAAGATCTATATATTGCCTGCTGTATTGCCTCCACCAAGTTGGTCCCCGCAAGATAGTGAATTCTTCCGAGAGAATGACCAATATCAATGAGTTCAATGTGTACTTTGGCACCGATTCGCTGAAGAAATACTTTGACCCGGATTCTCAGCCCCCTCTGCCTCTGGTAGAGCTTCCGCCTCATCTGAACCCATATCATGAAGATGGAGTGCGGATATATGCTAAGATGATGACGATGCACCCGGCCAACAATGTTAAGGCGATGCCAGGTAAGAGACGGAGACGCCCTGGTAGATTATTAATCTGAAGTATAAACTGACCGAAGACTAGCTTTGAACATGCTTGAATCTAGTGTTGTCCCTGGCGAGACGGATCAGATCATCGAATATAGCTCCGGATCAACGGTGATTTCAATGTCCATGATTGCTCGAGTCATGCATGGAGTGAATGATACTCGGGCGTTCCTGAGCAACAAGACTAGCGATGCAAAACTGAAATTGATGCAATTCTTTGGCCTTGACATTACCTTGTTTGGTGGACCATCTCAGCCCGAGCCGCTGGATGAGCGAGGGGGTATTCAAAATGCTCGAAGAATGGCTCTGGAATCAGAGAAAATCGTCAATCCCAACCAATACGAAAACAGGAACAACTGGCAGTCTCACGTGCGATGGACTGGGCCGCAGATTTTCAAGCAGCTGCCTGAAATAAATGTTCTATGTGCTGGAATGGGCACTTCTGGTACCATGACCGGACTCGGGACATATTTCAAAGGCGTGAAGCCATCGGTCTACCGTCTTGGTGTCTGCACAACTCCAGGTGACCGGGTCCCTGGCCCCAGGTCATATGCTCTTATGCGCCCTGTGGAATTCCCCTGGAAAGCCGCCGTAGACACCATCGAGGAGGTTGGATCGGCCGAATCTTACACCTTGTCTTTGAATCTATGTCGAGAGGGATTAGTCTGTGGTCCCTCCTCCGGGTTCAACCTTCAAGGATTGTTCCAGACACTGGCAAAGCGCAAAGCCGCTGGAACCCTATCTGGGCTAGCAGGACCCGATGGAACGACACACTGTGTTTTCCTCTGCTGCGATCTGCCGTACCAGTACATCGACGAGTACTTCCAAAAGGTGAACAAGCAACAGTTCCACCCAATCCGAAATGAGGTAATTAACAACCCCATGACGTATTGCCGTTTGGCGAGTCCACCAAAGGCTAACCTGTCAACTTTCTAATTAGCGCCTGACAAAGGTTGATCTGCACCGATATGACGAGAGTTGGGAGCGGGATGCACTGGACGTGCTACCGGAATTTTATGGATCCCCACGGTCCCTTGCGCAAAGCCTACTGAGCGAGATTATCCTTAAACCACAGAATCGAGTTCTGGATCTGCGCCAGCCAGGCGATTTCTATGCGTGGCACCTCCCCGGTTCGATGAACCTGCCATTGTCAAGTGTTGCGCCTCACAGCCCATCGCCGTTTTCGGACCCGGGGGTGTTGGAAGCGCAGTGGGTGGAGCTGGAGAAGATCTTCAAGGATGACGTCTTGGTATCCGATCTTGGTAGGCATCACGTTCTTGTGGTATGCTACGATGGGGACTCGGCACGCGTGGCCACCAGCGTTCTTCGAGCGAAGGGCCTCGAAGCAGACAGCGTGCGTGGAGGCCACCGTGCACTAAGGATGTATGGAATCGGGAGCGAGAATTCCATCTCCACCAAGATGCCTCTCGGGACCACTGTTTCCGTTGCGGTGCCCCTTGAGTAATCGACCACAATCGATTTGCTGCGGAATGTAGGGTTGGATCTGCCATGTGAGGCACTAGTCCCAATTGCACCTGCTTCGACTTCTTTTCTTTTTTTTTGCTTGACATAAACTGTCTTTGATCAAATTGTTTTATGGCGCATATTAGCAAATGACTCAATGAGAATTTTATGCGGATTTCCATTTCACCTTCAGAGTAGGGGGAGTCGGTTTCCCTGTGGCTCGAGCCTCGCTCCGCATGCGTTGAATAGCTCACATTCGAGTGAAATCGCGGCACGTTCGGAAGACGACATGCAAGATATCTGCCAGACGATCTTCGAGGGGATTTGATGTCACCGCGTGCAACCACTCCTATGACAGATGTCAGCCCCGCAGATTGTTTCAGGCGCAAATGTGCTCTAGTTTGAGCCTTTGATGTTCAACCAGCCCCCGAGAGATGATTGCAGCCCCCATCTCTCCAGGAAACATGCTCAATTGTGAGCAGATTATCTCGGACCATTGACGAAAATAACCGCAATCCCTGGAATGCGCACTTAGCACCCCCTCAGAGCGTTAGAGCGTCAGCAGGTTCCTGGTTTCAGTTCCGCAACCGACATGCCAAAAGAATAAAACTTGCTGCAGCCAAAGTTGCCAATCACTTGTGTATTTCACCTCCAGATTCCTTTGATCACACATCCTGTAGTTCTTGGTGGCCCTTCTGCCCACCTATGAGGGAGATGGAGATGGCCGAGGGTACGCCCTGGCTCGATCAGCCGGTGATGCTTCATTCGTCTCGCGCCGACCAATGTAAACTGACCGAAGCACAATGTCATTATCGCAACTACTATTGGCGATACTGGTATGCGTCTTCTTCCGTATGATCCTGCTATGTAGATATACTTATTGGAGATCGTTTCTTTTCTTTTTAGGTACGAAGCTGACCATGTCTATGCACTGAACACCGTCTGTTTGATGTGTGCAGTGATTGGAGTGTTCACCATCTCGAATCTTCTCGTTCGATTTGCACCAGATAGAGTGAAGAGAAGCCGATCGTGGCGCATGTTCACGTCTGTTTCGCGATATTTGTCTTATCGTGGGTATCGATCGTCTGCGCTGCAATATTGGACTCCAGCATTGGGTGTGCTGGTCCTGGGTGTGGTGGGCGCCGTGTTCTTCTTCGGTGGGTGTCCAGGCATTGAAAGGGGTGACATGAACTGTCGCTGATCCTCAACTACAGCGATGACGCTCGGTCCACAGCCTTATTACTGGCCGACAGATGCTTCTTATGGAAGTAGTCCTCCAATCGCAACTCGATCTGGCTGGATGGCACTTGCGCTGCTGCCATTTGTGCTGTAAGTGTTGGATTGAACACATGCAAATTGCCTATTAATCTTCTCTTAGGGCACTGAGTACAAAAGCCAACATGATCTCCGTCTTCACTGGAATTCCACACGAGAAACTACAAGTCTTCCACCATTGGACCAGCTATGCCATGTTTGTCCTGGCCTTGATTCACACCTTTCCTTATATCATATATCATATCTGGAAAGGGGATATGATGCATCAATGGAAGACAAGCGTCGTATACTGGACAGGAGTTGCTTCTCTCATCTCCCAGGCATATTTGACTCTAATGTCTTTGCCATTCATTCGGTAAGCTCGCATGTACCTTGATATGATAGATGAAGTCTGAACATCTCCGCTACAGCAATCGATTCTACGAGTTCTTCAAGGCTACCCATATCTTCATGGCTATAGTGTTTATCGTGTTCTTTTTCCTCCACTGCGACTTCCGACTCTCATCCTGGTATGTAAAACCATTAAACAGACCCAAGATGACCATACGTTAACCATACAACAGGGACTACTTCGTTGCCTCGGGTGTGATCTATTTCCTGAGCCTGATAGCCGGTCATACGCGCACCTATCTAATGCATGGCATTCACACCGCGACCCTCGAGCTCCTTCCCTGCGATCTTGTCCGCGTTGCAGTTCCATCGATCATCAAATGGACCCCTGGTCAGCATGTGTTCATGCGCTTCCTCACTCCAGACCTGCATCTATTCACCGCCCATCCATTCACGATTTCTTCCGCATGTCACAACCCTGATGAGATAGGCAAACCATCAGAACTAGTATTTTACATCAAGCCCCGCGGTGGTATTACTGGACGCCTAAAGGCAATGGCAGCCAAGAGTCCAGGCTGCTCGAAGAAGATCCTCATTGAGGGTCCGTACGGTGGCATCAGCGAGCCACATATGGCTCGATTTGACACGATCCTGGTGATCGCTGGCGGCTCGGGGGGCGGATTCTCACTGGCTATAGTTGACGAAGCGCTTCGCCTGACGGGAACGAACGTATCCGAGACTGAAAAAAGAGCACACTCCCGCCGGAACCTCCAAGTGGTATTCTCGACGCGTGACCACGCCATGGCAGACTGGTACATCGAGGAAATCGAATCTCGGCTCTCGGAATCTACCACCTTATCCTCGGACTCGGACAATGGGTTTGAAACTGCAGTCTCTGTGCACGTCACTGATCAGCGGAACTCTGGGATCCCCGCCAGGTCAGAGCCTGACGATTTCAAAGGCACCGCTGGTAAGCTACCCCCGGCGGAAATCACTACCACGGGAAATTTCAGCTTGAATGTCCACCGCAATGCTCGGCCCGATCTTCCTGGTCTGATTGCGCGATCTGTTGCCATGGCACGCATCCAAGGGACGCAGCTCGAAAAGAAACAACGCATCGGGGTCTTGGTTTGTGGTCCTGCTTCTATGCTACACGATACTCGAAATGCAGCGGCTCTTGCGCAGTCTAGGGTGTTCGGAGGTGAGGTTGAGGAGTTATATTTACACTCAGAACCTTTCGTGTAAGGCTTTGTTTTCCGCATTGATATCTTATAGCACGACTAACTGATTCTTACAGGTGGTAATGATGTTCTTTTTTTTTTGTTTGATTTCTTTCTTCCTCCGGAGTATCATCGGCTGGAATGGTCTTCTTTCTGTTCCTTTATTCACCCTACTCTTTATTGTACCTATTTGTAGCCTCAAGAAACGTAAAGATATTGATCTAGGCATCAAGTTCGATCCCATCCTTTCCTTCATAATGAGACCCAGAAGGAAACTATACACTCCCATAGAACCATCAATGATCGAAGAAATCTATAATATGATATGGACAGCCAAGAAATTCAAACACCATCGACAGGCCAAGTCTTAACTGTATCTCAAATAGATACACAACAATCTAAGTATGAACTAGGTACATAATACACTAGAAGAGATTGTGCCCAAAATAGCCAACGCCGTGGCCACATCATAAAGCAAGTTAGGGGCATGAAGACCCGAGACCCAACCCCCAGAATTGAAAACGCCGAGCATTAATCCCAGAGATAACTAGGTATGTAAGTGTGAGTGGAGAAATGAGAAGAGAATCGTGGGATCAAACGAAGATCAACCACAAAATGCAAAAATCGACATTCAATGAAAAGCAAAACGAAGAAATCATCAGATCGTTAGCACCCACCAATCTCTTTCCTCGGCGAGAGCCAGGTAGTTTTCTGTCCAGCATATGATGCAATCAAATTCACCACCCCTTTTCAACTCTTTTCATCAAATAATCTCTCATCCGCACATTGACCACACCACCAACGCCGTATGCAGGAACGATCTTCCCCATGCGCGCAAAGCAACTGGGCACATAATCACGACGAATCCTCGCCGCACGGTCTGTCCAGCGCAGTCCTCCGACCGGCTGGCGATTATATAGATCTAGGCCGAGGAGGTGCATGGGCGTACTAGCGAACTGCATTGCGGCAGGACAGGCGAATTGTGCGATGTTAGACTTCATGGTAGAGCTCGAGGCAAGGAAATCTGGAATTGAGGGCGCGAGGAGGGCAGGGATGTTGAAGGATGCCCAGATTGTGATGCTGTCGCGGAGGCAGAAGAGAGCGTAGGAGGTCTTGGGGATTTGGAGGGCAGGCGCTGTGGGTGTGGAGGAAGAGTGGGATGCGCGGAGGGCCGAGACGTGCTTTCCGGGGATTGAATTTGTGTTTAGAGTCCCGGATGTAGCTCGCGATTGGGACGGAGGAGAAGCGCCGAACATTTTGGCGAAGCGCGCGTCTTTATAGACGCAGATTGTCATGTTAACTATTGTCGTCGCGAAGAACTTAGGCAGACCTGTGTCAATGGTATTATATGGCTCATTATGCGTTGTGGACCGGATGGTATCGATTGTGTTTGCTGTGAGGTAGGTCGAGGTGTACAGGGTATAAATGAGGAGGAACGGCGTGCTGAAGAAGAAGGCACTGGGTCGAGCGACCATCGACCGGAGGCAGTTGTTGATTGTCTGGCTGATCGGGAAGCCCTTTGAAGCTTTTTCCATGATGGCACTGGAGTGAATCATCAGTTGATATTTGCGAATAGCTTCGGCAATTGCGATGGGCACTTACCGATCAATAATTGTGATGAGTGGACAAGTCAGTGCGCCAGCTGTTGCGGCGCTCGCAACATCAACACTGAACCGCTTGCCCAAGTCTTCGGTGTTCCATTTTGAAGCTGCAGGGCGTATGATGGGACTTGGTGCCTGACTATCCTGGCGCTGTTCCTTCACCGTTGCCATGGTTTAATATTGTATCTTGCACGAGGGCATTCCGGTTCATGCGACGGTAATGGAGGCAGCAAAAGTAAACTAGGAGTTCATTGACAAGAGAGAAACAAATCTAGGGACATTGAATTACAAATGCAAAGATCTCAGATTCCACCGGGATGTCTACACAAGTGACTCCTCCAGCTTCGGACGAGAACGCCCCGGGCGCGACCCGGCGCCCGGGGCTCCGATGCCGGCCGTCTTATCTACCGGATAAGCGATAAGCGATAACCCGACGAATTAATATTTTAAGTTCATGTTTTTAGATCCCCAACGCCGCCTGTTAAAACTGTCTAGTGGGCTTCAATGCCCTCCATGGTGACATTGACTGCTCCAGCTTGCACCAACTGAAAGAGAGTTAGCCAAATTCAAGGGCAAGGGGGATAGTGGATACGTACCGCTCGCTGCAAATCATCAATCAAATCATCCACATCCTCAATACCCACACACAATCGAATCAAGTCTTCAGGCATAGCGCGTTCCGCCCGCGTCTTCGCGTCAATGCTAGCATGACTCATACGGCATGGCATACTGATCAGACTGTTGACACAACCAAAGCTGACACTGATAGCCCAAAGCTTGGCGCTCTCCACAATACGCTCACTAACGCCCGTATCACCGGTCTCGAATGAGAGCACGGCGCCGGCGCCCCGCGCCATGGAATTGTGGAGTTCGTATTGTGGGTGGGACCGCAGACCGGGGTAGCGCACTTTGAAGCCGTGAGATTCGAGGAATTCAGCAATTCGTTGGGCATTGCTCTGTTGCTGGTCCATGCGGACCTTCAATGTCTTCACACCACGCAGCAATAACCACGAGTCGAAGGGTGACAGGCCACACCCTGATGCATTGATCGGGAAATACAAACGTTCTCCGAGCTGAAGGTCATTCACGGCAATGACACCGGCCATCAGGTCGTGGTGTCCAGACAGATATTTGGTACCACTCTCGTAAACGACATCGGCGCCAAAATCTAATGGGTTCAGGAGCAGGGGAGACATCATGGTATTGTCCACAGAGACAATACAGTTGGGGTTGGCTTCATGGGCAGCGGCAGCAATTTGTCCAATATCGACGATCTTGATCAGAGGGTTCGTGGGAGTCTCGAGCAGCACCATGGTCGTCTTGGAGCTCAAAACCCCTCGGACCTTTTCTGGGCTTGTCGTGTCGACATGGTGCACAACAATTCCACCATTGGTCGAGAGATACTTGAGCAGACGGTTGGTGCCACCGTAGAGGTCGTCACCAGTGACCACTTCATCACCGGGGCGGAGGAGCCTTGTGATCACATCCAGCGCTGCCATGCCAGATGAAACCACAAGGGCGCGCTGTGCCGACATGATCTTGGCCAAGTGACGCTCAAGATGTGTGCGAGTAGGGTTACCGGATCGTGTATAGTCATACTCTCCGCCGCCGCCGCCGGAAGTTTGCTTGAAGGTAGCACTCTGTATAATTGAAGATGGTTAGTGCCGAGTTTCAATTGGAACTACTATTTTAGTTGGATCTATACCTGATAGATGGGAACGCTGCTGGCATTGTATTGGTCACTGCCCTCGGTGAAGACCAACTCAGTGGCAATATTGTACCGACGACCGGTGTGAGGACTAGACGGGGCAGGAGATGGGGGCAGGTCATTGCCCGACAGGTCAACTGGAGGGAAACCCTTCTTTACACCGCTGGATGACCCCGATGCATCATTGGGAAATCCGGATCCTGAGGCCGACATCGGTAGAGCGGGGCAGATAGAAGGAGTAGGAGGAAGGGTAATTGAGGGATTTGGAAGCAAACAAGACTCAAAGATACTGTGTTAAGCAGAGAAGGGAATAGAAGAGACAAAAGTGAAGAAGAAACAGGAGAAGCCAAATAATTCGGCCTCGTCCTTCCCCCGGACAAGCTGACTCCTCCATCCGGTCGCTGATTCGTCGAGACGCTCCAGTTGCGATTTCGTCATCCGCTAGGCCCAATTGGGCGTGCAAGTATGTGGGGATGAGTCAAATCACCAGGCCATCTTCTCTTCTGCATTGCCGGAAAGCACTGCTCGTTTGATAGATAGACATGGAGTCCATCATTTGGGAGAGAGAAAAGCCATTCAATATCTATCCATACATTGACCAGAACACCCGGGGCACAATGGCTGGACCGCGAGACGGAAAGAGTCATCCAGCAGAGTGGGTGTCTAGGCCTGATACTCTTGATCTACCAAGGTAAGTTCGGTTCTACCTTCTTGCAAGAAACAGATGGTCGGCCAATCTCGGTCTCAAGTCCTTGAAGACCAACGTCCTTCTTTCGACAGTCATTGCCATCACGGGAATTTGTGTCCCAATTGGTTTGTCGTTCATCCTCAAGCAACTTGCAGGAGCTATATCCCTTCAGTCCTTCGCTGCCAGTGCAGCCCTGAGCGCGACTAGTCTTGGCAGCAGTTTTACCATTCTCTCAAGTTAGTCACGCAGCTAGCAACAACGAGGCTCGGCATAGTTAGCACTAGGCCTGCGATTAGGCCGAAATTCTTGTATCCATCCTCTATCCTTGGACTGGCCATGGTTACCCGAGGTGAAGTGGGATATCTGATTGCCTCGATTGCCGAAAGCCATAAAATATTCACTGATGAATCTTCCGCAGGATCATCTGGGATTTATCTGGTGGTCATCTGGGCAATCTCGCTCTGCAAATCGATCGGTTCGATCCTCGTTGGGACTCTAGTTCAACATGTAAAAAGGCTGCAACGGTCAAGAGGGAATATAGGAACCGACCCCCTAGGGGCTTGGGGAATTTAACTATCTTAGATGTATTGAGTGATGGTTATACTCTGCTCAAGCTCCAAAATGAGACAACCGACGATGTAACGAAGACATGAATAATGTTTCAAACAAACCAAAACGGTCCCAACAACGATTGTAATGTACATACAAGGGCTACATTTCCTCACACGGCTAAGCCAACTCCATGATCAGACCTTGTTTGATTCGGTTCAAGGCGCTTCGAGGGATGGGATCCTTCTTGTCAAAGCTCGCCTTCCTGCGTTCTGCGGGAGTCCAGGACGTGATATCCTTTGAGTCACCACCAAGAGGCTCGTCCTTGTTCTCTCTTAGCTTCGTAATTGCCTGTTTCCAGCCCCAGGGATCATTGGCTCCAGCTGTAGCCTCGGGAATCTCAACCTCATCTGACGGTTCTTCATAGCATGGGTCATTCAAGCCATAAATCTTGATATCGTGCTTCGCAGCATAAGCCTTAATTTTGGGCTCATGCTGCGGCCAGTTGATACCGTAATCTTTCAAATCAACCATGAAGCGGATGAACATACCCATGACAGCGCCAATGTTCTTGATTTCAGAGTCGGGCTTGAGGATGTCATTTCGCTCCAGAGTCGCGAGCATGGTGAGGAACATTGTACCGAAAGCAATAAATACCGCGTTCACCGTTTCTCCATCCTCGCAGCTATATTGCACTCATCAGCAGCCTTTCAAAACTTGAGGGGGGAAGAGAGACAAACCCGACTAATTGCATGATAGCACTCATTTGAAAATACAGCCCTGTCCCTTCACAAATAGCCCATTGCATCTTCCAATCGCCAGTAGCCTCCTCAAAATCCACGAGCAGGTTCTCCACCAGCTCCATAATCCCATAGCCGAAATAATCGTTGTAGACATGCATCTCGAAGTTATCCGGGTCACGCACGGAAGTCTGTTGTCTCAACGCCATCCACTTGGATATGCCGGCATTGGTGAATATCCATTTTTCATTTGGGTGCTCGGAAGCAGGTTCAAGGGTGGTCTCCTTGTCAGCTTCCTAGTATCTGGATCAGCGACTGTTTTTACTGTAATGTGACTCCGGAACAATTCGAATTCTTCAGGATTGATGCCCTGGAGAACCTAGATCCTCTGCTACGTAATAGCAACATACCGCGTCATCTCTCTTCCTCTTCTCTAGCTCTTCCTCGTCTGTCTCATCCTCTTCATCTTCATCTTCATGGATTTCCGTTCGCCAAGGCGCGCAGCCCAGACAAACATAGGTAAAAGCGTCGACACGGTCGGCGGTCCGCAATCTGAATGAACAGTCTGCGTTGCGCGATACAGATACTGCAGACCAGCGCTTGTCAAGAATAGGCTTGAGTTCTGCTTCGGCTGGGTCGATATCCGTGACTTTGGACTTCTTTGCGCCCTTGGCTGGAGCGGAATTGGTAGAATTTCTCTTGGGAGGCATTGTGGCTAAATATAGGATTCAGATATATGTACGGAGTCTGGATTGGAACAGATGAGAGGGGACGGACGCAAGAGGTGAGCGGGTTTTAATCTGCGATCTACCCGCGACGGCCTCGAGGGGACGCGACTCGACGCGTCGAGGATCCTGCGCATACACATCACTTTCCACCTTCGACACCCACCAAGTACGGCGTACCCTCTAAACAAGTGGTTTTCCACGTGTCAATCCACTTGAAGTACAAGTCATATGTCAAGATACATTGAAATTCATATATACTCGATCCAAACTCCCCCCGGATGCCAGTCCGTGAAGCTCTCCCAACGTAACAGCCTAAGTACGAGACAGGAGTAGATATCGTAAGGTGGAAGAGAAAAAAAAAAGACAAAGACCAAGAATAAAGAAAACAAAGCTATCAAGCTCCTCAATGTAAATCCATGAGACCCATCCCTAATGGCAGAACAGACCTCGAAAGAATCCCACAAACGCCCCCAGCAGAACCCACATCGCCCCAAGAGCAATCCATTTTGTGCGAACCGGGAAAGGAAAGCCCCGGAAGATGATAGTATATACCAGTTTAGCAATTAGATTAATGTCTGCCAAAGGAATTGTATTCCTGGGCCACAAGTCCAGCCTCCAAAGGTGAAGCGTGCGTAAGTGCGTAATCATGAAGTGATGCATAGTTCATGTCGTGGTTAGGCAGCCAAGTCGCCAAATCCGCCGTTGATGCCGAAGAATTGGAACCTGTATACAGAATGTAAGCAAAGATCAACTAGAACCAAAATTATGGGAACATACCAGTCCTCGACATTCAGTGTCGTCGGCGCGGTCGGTCCACTACGAGAGCTGCTACTCCAGGTATCATTGTCTTGACTAGCAGCATCCATCGCTGCCCCACTCATAGTTCCATCAAGACCCTGCATGGGCGGCCAGGCTTGCTGATGCTGGCCCTCCATACCGAACATTTGTTGCGGCGGGGTGGGCTGCATTCCCATTGCCCCCGGCAGTCCCGGCATCATCGACGGACTACCCTGCGAGACGGACATACTGCGACCCGGGACGGGCTGCGGCTGGTTGTTCATCATGGGAGGGCGTTGGGACATCCCCGCGGGCATTTGTGACGGGATCTGGAGGGATGGGTCGACTGCGGCAGGCTGGGGAGGCGATGTTAGTTCCGGAAAGAAGGCGGTGCCGTCTGGGAACAATTGGTCGGGTTGGAAGTTCTCCCAAAGGGATGGGGAGAGGTTAGGTGAGGTACGAGTCACCAGGAAGAAGTCAGGAGGTGTGGCGGGCAGAGAGAATTGGCCGTTGAATGGCGTTGTAGGCCGGGTGTTGGATCGAGAGTTGCCAGTACCGACCAGGGAATCGTGAGGACCGCGGGCATTGTTTGGTGATTGATGGCCGCCGAGAGTAGGTGGATTCAGTTCCCGGGAAGGTGTGACAGCAGGCGTCTGAGGCCGGGAGCGTTCATATGACACCGGGGGTGTGGGCCCACCATTAGGTATGCCAATATCCATGTCGTCAAATTTGCGCTTTGGCGGGTCCGGCCTTTTAGAGGTTGAGGATTCGCCGTGCCGTGTTCGCTGATGTCTCCGGCCTGCAGCCTTCTGGAGTCGTTCTTCAAGCACCTTGTTTCCGAGGATAGACTCGAATAAAGTGTTTACCATTTTTGCCACCAGCCAAACCTTTGATACATCCTTTAGGGCGGACATGCACACATTGATCCTTTCCTGGCAGGTGGCCACAATTGAAGGAACCGAGGAACGCATTTGGTACACATGCATGATCAACGCTGAGAATAAACTGTATACGATGAAGGCAGGCGTGTACCGAATTTCCCCATGCGCCTGAAGGTTCTCGACTATAGACGTGATCATGCCTGCAGCTTGGAAGGCGATTGTTCGCGATGGGTAAGCCATTTCTTCGACCCTGTAGTTATTGGGCGCGGATGAGGCAGGCGGCATGTGGGCTCTGTGGAGAAGACAGAGCGTAGTGTAGTAATTAGAGTGCAAGAGCGCTGCCCAGAAATGATGCCGAGAGCGTTGCCAGCATACTTCTTTGGGGCAGTTCTGCAGCCAATCGGCAAGCGCCATATCGGAGTGAGTGAGGTCCATTGCATTCATACGCCGCGACTTGGAGGCCACAGAGTACTGCTGTGACAGGACCAAGCCCATGATCTCGCACAACTTGACATACTGCAGGAAGAACTGGACATGGACAGGATCTGCTGGGTATTCGGCGGGAGTATCGAGTTCATCCTCGATGAAATCATCTTCTGTCACCATCTCAACATCCGAGTCATCCGTATTGATCCCAATGGGTCGTCCCAACGCGACAGCCACAGAGCGATCCCGGGTGAACAGAGTCCACCAGATTCGCTTCCAAAGTCTCTTGTCCGGTTTATTGAGCTGGGACATTTCGACACTGCGGTGCATCCCGGAGCCCTGGGCCACCACCATAGCTACCCGTGTCCAGTAGAACACATTCTTGGTGACATCTACTGCTAGTCAGAAAGACGATTAGGATCAACTGATATGAACAAGACTCACCTTCAGGCCCCTCCCAGTACCAACCCAGAAGTACCAATGCCTGCACGATGGTGACACGGTCATCCTCATAATTCGCATCATACAATGCCTTAGCACGCTTATAGAAAGTCATAGCCGCAGGGGTTGTCGAGCCATTCGCATCCATAAGCTGTTGGTTGGTGCAGACTCTCGATCCTGCCAGCAGAATCGCCTGGAGTAGTAGCAGCGATGGTGGGTTCTTGGGGTCGCGGTAGTGTCGCATGAAGCGACTCTTGTTGATAATCGGCACCACGGGTGCAACCCACTTGAAGTAGGCGTCCACTAACTCATCACAAAGTGGTTTGGGCGGGAGCAGGAATGCGCCCCGCTGATGCAGAATATCGATTTCCAAATTGTCCAAGTCTGTCAACCGGGCGCGGGATCCTCTGATATTCGGTGGGAGAGGATAGTGCACGACATCTGCAGTTCCATGGCGATCTTGAACCAAAAGTGACAGATTTGATGATTCGCCTAAGTACGCCACCCGGCCAGCCTCCTTTATCGGAGCCCGGGCAAATTTAGGCTTCATGAATTGGGCATAAGCATTATCAGTCGAAGCTTGCTGGGCCGCCTCAGCCTCGGAAAGGGACGTATTAGGCATGCCGTCGACGGCCATACGGTTGTTTCGGTATCCAAAAGCGTTGTTCTTTTCATCCGAGTCTGAACTTTTTTCTTTTTCTCTGGGCGCAGGAACAGGGCCAGGGCCAGAGCCTGAGCCGACTGGCTCCTCGGTACTCGTAGGTCGGAAATGCGCTACCGCGGCGTCGACAATCGAGGAGGCAGTCTGAGGTGGACTATCGTCATATTGAGCGTCCTCTTTGTTCTTGCTCTGGTTCGTCTTCTTTCGTTTCGGGGAAGGGATTTTACACTCGATCGAGAAAGCGACACAATTCGTGCAAGGCACCCCGAGACTGGCTGCATCGCATCGGACCTGTTGGGCGACAGCGACGGTTAGAGCGACGACGTGGAGAGAAGAGATGCAAGGGGGAGAACTCACCTTCCGAGCATGACATGTCTTAATAGAGCGAAAAATAGAAATGTCAGTCACATTGTTCACCAAAAGACTACAGGGGAGTGTATATGCGTATGCATCGCGATAAGAAACTGAGCCGAGGTGCGTGAGAACCTCGGCTCCAGAGTCGCGTCCCCTCGATAAAAATGCAGACGTACCTCACACGCGCGTGATGCACGTTGTCTAAGATTAGATAAAACGAATTAGCAGATATTCAAGAATGCTTCTAAAACTTCAAAGGTTTTCCTTTCTCCAGGGGAAAGCGAAAAGCCTGCAAACCCCCCCCTCCCCCCTCCCATCTCAACGCCCGGTTTGCGCACATCGCCGCGACCCTCCCAAAATATCACCCCCATAGCAGTGTGTGGCCAAGATCACCTATTGACTAGAAAGAGCAAGCATATGCCTACCTTCTAAAACTCAGCGGCTGGCCTTGGGGGCCATTGCGCACTGTGATGCCCGAAGTTCCCGTGGAGCCTGCGTTGCTCGGGGCCGGGCTGGGGTGATTGTCCGATAGCTGATCGGGGTGGAATTCAGTAGTACTCATGGCCACACAGTCCTCTCCATCCAACCTGGGAGTGGGTAAACTTGATCGAATAGTCCTGGGAATGGGAAGGTTGGATGCGCTCGGAGGGAAACGATCTCAGGATATAAAGTCCAGGTTGAGTAGAGATCCCCACGGGGTATCACGGTATTAAAAAAAAACAACCAAAAAGGAATCCCAACAGAGCCACGCGATCAAGAACAGAAAATCAGCAAGAGAAAGTACCGGAAGACAGAGGGGAAAGAGAGAGAGAATATCAAAGTTCTGGGGGAACCGTTGGGACGTGGCAACAAGGGCGTTGCAGGGGGGCATTAACTGGGGGTCATTGAATGGGACCATCTGAGGTCACTGGTGGGGTCCCCTTTTTGGGTCAGCACTTTGCTTGCAGGATTTGATATTGGATATTTGATAGATGTTTTATGCTTGATCTTTATGTTTTGTGTGTATATTCCGTTCTATTTGGACTTGCGCATATATATCTCCCCACCCACAGGTAGAGACGAAGTAAGTGTATAGTCCCCTCCCTGATTCTCGAACCCAAACAAGGAAAAGGGGCAGTAAGAACGAAGAATCCAAATTGCATGCGAATTGACTAAGCGCTAAATCCCGAAATTATGCAAAAGCCATCTGGAGAAGTTGGGGCGCTGAGCAAGACCTACGAAGTGTTTACTCCGTACTCCGTACTGATATTGTGACATTTCGTATTGGTACCCCGAGTCAACGAGTACCGGTATGCTGAAGTACAAGATGCAAGTCGTATCGAGTCGCCAATTACCACGTCCCAATTATCAGCCCTGGGGACGTCCCGCTAGGACCTTATTTAGGGCCACTCCACAATGCGTGGAAATATGGAAAGGACCCATGGCTTCAGCCTCCATTCGGGGTTCGGGCCCATCCGATTTGACCAAGGGGTAGCAGATGCCAGATTGGTCATAACGTGCCAGGTCCTGGATCCTGCGTTAGCTTTGCGCCTCCAATCCCGAATGATAGGTAAATAGCCCAGAGGCCAGCACGCGGGAAGATGCGGAGAGGCGAAATATCATGTGTGCAGGGGGAAATAGGGGAGTTTTGGAACTCAAGAGACCAAATACGGATATATATGCAATGCGCGGTGTGACCTGCCCACTGGCCACCGCTTAATGTACAACGTACAACGTACATGTATACATCGTGTACTCCGTAGGAGAAGACCTACTACGGAGCACTCCGTACCAACGCAGTAGAGTTCTGCGTACTCCGTACTCCGTACTCCGTATGGCTTGTACGGAGTATTAGCGTCTGGAATGTTTCAGAAGTATTAATCTAAAAAAAGGGACTCCCTAGTAAGTTGTAGATCATTCTAGCCGATCCTTCGAATTCCCATCAAAGCATGAGATTGCGGGGGATCATGAAACGACAGGGAATGAGGGGAAAAGAACAGAAAAAAAAAAAACCCGGGGAAGTTGCGGGGAGGCGAACTTGCACCAGATGTAATCAAAGGACCCCCAAAAGAGGGAAACATGAGCGCATCTGGTGAAGGGGGGCTTCACAAGCAGCTCGTGATGCCTCGGTAACTTCTCGACCAATGAGAGTGCTCCCTGGGCTATTCTGCAACGTCAGGCACAAGGCGACGGGAATCAATCGATGTCCGAGGGCCTACGGAGTACAGTTACAGCCACACAAAGAGATATCCCGAAACAATGGGGGTCTACAACATAAACCAGATCAAAGGTGGAGATCGGGAATATGGGAAAGCATGTGTGCATTATATTAACATATATCTATGACGATCCATTCTTTGCTTTGCCCTTGCCCTTGCCTTTGGACTTGGACTTCGCCTTAGACTTGGTATCGGACGTCTTCTTCGACTCCTTGCCCTCGCCACGGGCGGTGGCTTCGACGGTCTGGACTACGGCCGCCATGGGGCTGAAATCCACGCCGCTGACAAATTGTTCGCTGAGGAACTCCAGGCCGGCCACAAAAGTACAGAGCGCACTCGCAATGCAGAAGTGGCTGATGGTCATACCGATATCGAGCCATGAACCTTCATCACGCACCATAAAGAAGAAGTTGAGCGTCATGATGTCCGAGATCGCCATGACAACCATGAAGAGCGCACTCGGAGGTACCTCCAAGCGGCGGTTGAGGATGCCCAGATTAGCGCTGATGATAGCAAAGGGGATGAGGATTTGGAGAATCAAAAGGGCGCCCTGGGCGAAGGGGTCAAAGACGGGGATAAGGCGACGAACGCTGTCGAGAGAGAAGGTCGAGATCGAGGCGACGTTGCCAGTGCTGAAGAAAGCTGACTGCAGGAGAAAAAAGAAGAAGAGTGCCACGCGAACATCGGAGAGAGTAAGCGCCCGGTAGTAGAATCTTTCACCGTCGATGATCGTCACGCTAGTACTCTTAGGTTTTGTTATAGTGCCTGTCGTATAGACGTAGATCGCATGTTCCAGGCGAACCCAGGTCATAATGGTCATGCAGAACACAAAATAGAACAGCCCCTCCCACGAGATTGTGAGGATGATAAAGGTTGGGGAGAAGGTCAAGAAGATGATCATAAGCCGGTGCAAATAGTGGCTGTTCGGATACAAACGGTGGAAGAATGGTAGAACCAAAGAAGTCACTGACTTGGAATTAGTATCTTGGTAGAAAGCACATTCTCATGGTCCTAGGACACTGCGCGGTAAACTTACCTAGGACAACCCACCCAACTACGAGGTTCCCAAAAGGTAGGCCTTGGCGGGCCTGGAGAGAGAGCACAGAGGACCGAGTGACGATCACAGCAAGCATGACCATGCCAAGTTGAATTCCCATGATGACTCGTGAGCCAACACGGCCAAGAGCACTTGGTTCTTTCAATGCCGGCTCACGAGATCCAATGATGGCATCTTCGAACAGCAAATACAAGATGCCAGTAAGGAACATAAGCAAGCCGCCATAGGTACTGCAAACAAGTCAGTTACCAAAATCTAATGAGAACAGAGCGGGTGCTTACATGGTATCAATGTTTTCAACCTTGATTACTGGCAGAAGAGTGAACAAACTCATCAATCCACAGCCAAGGGCCCAAGTCACAGACAGGAACGCATGCTTGCGAATGAAGCTGAATCCATGTACCACAGGCCACAATGCACCCAGGGCAAAGCAAACAGTGAAAATTTCCCGGTGGAAATAGGATTGGACCATTGCTTCCATCACACCGAGGAATGCGAGTAGCTGGAGTCCAAACTTGAGGTATCCAGTGAAAGAGCGCACATGGCCCAGTATGATCCCGCGACCCGCAATCAGAGCCTTGCGGCGCGCGAATACCTCCTCCCAGAAATAAACGGGGAAAGATACGTAGAAGTAGTAGCGCCATGATGAGCCTTGGTAGAGGAAAACCGAAAATAAGGCCACTAGAATGGATGAGAAGAATGAGATGCTCGCGGTCGTCCGATGAGTGTCTGACGTTCCATGCAAGACATGAAGATCAATCACCGTGGTCAGCGCATACGCGATCCAGCCCAAGTATCCAACAGAGACGATGGTCCGCAAGAATACCCAGTCATATGTTTGTAGGTAGCGCAGGCCTTCAAGGGCAACACGAAGAAGCTCCGCAGACACCACAATTGCCTCAGCGTGGTCTCCACTGGATATGAGTGCCTGTATGCTTGCCAGTCTGCCTTCAATCGAGTTCTCGTGATAGCCCGATAGAGGTTCGTAAGGCACATACCTGATCACTGCGTGCCTCTTTTGCTCTTCTTTGACGCGGTACATTTCTAAGACCCCCTGAGTGTTGGCGAGAGCGGCCAGCGCCTTCTCTTTGGGGTTTGCATTGATATAGTCTAGCGGCAATTTGCCAACTGAGTTGACAGGGAAGTCAAGACCGACTAGGTAGGCCATAAGTGCGGCAACATCGGCCTGTGCCACATCGTGTCGGCGGACCTGGTCGAATCCCCAATCGGCCGAGAATCCATCCTCATGCCCTTCAGCAATGCCGCTAGCTGAGAGCTGGGGTCGCGCAACACCAGAACCCCAAACAACCAAGGGTGTCCGGGTGTTGTCAGGATGACCATCACCATGGCTGCCTGTGTCACTCATGCCATGGTCTGCGGTGAAAACAAACGCCGTTTTGTCATCACCGTAAAAGTCGTCCATCAACTTTGTGACTGCTTGAACTCCCCGATCCACCACCTGGATGTTGTGTAGGTATTCGTTCGAGTAAGGTCGGAAAGCGTGGCCAGTGGTATCCAAGCCAAGCAGGTGGAGAAAGAACACCAACTTGTCATCCCGCAATTTCCGGTCCAATTCTGGGTCCTTCTTTGCCGACTCAAAGAGGCTCTGGACTTTAGAAAAGACCCAAGTGTCCAAATGTGTCGCATCCACGGTGAAATCCTCCAGTTCTTCACTGTACATTTCTGCGTCGACCCTCCCTGGCACGGCACCCTCCTTGAACATTGGTAGAATATCGGGACTCCCCCAGCTCCATGTGTGTCGGCTTTGGTTGAACACACTATCGAAATTCACTGGGTTCATTTTCCACCCTGTGGTGACGGAGGACACATCTTCATAGAGACCTGCGATAAGCGCAACATGGCCTGGTCGAGACTCGGTGGGAACACGGGTGTGCGAGACACCAAATGTTCCATGGGAAAGGACTTTCGAGCGGATAAATGGCGATAGTCGAATCAATTCGTCGTTTTCTGGATCGGCATCGGGGGATGGGTCGCGGAACGCTTGGAAGGCCTTGTCTGCCCGTAGGCCGTCGGCAACAAAAAGAACGAGACGTTTGGCTGGTGCGGGGGCTGCTGATGATCTTTCAACCCCATATGATCGCATGCCACTCACAATTGGACTGACGAAGTAAATATCGAAGATCGAGTATGTATAGATCAAGTGGAAGACCACTGCGAGGGCCAAGAACCCGACGCGGCCGAGACGCGCCATGATCCTAGTCTCTCAGGTATTCTGGGTTCAAACGAGTGGAAGTGGTCCACTGCCACAAAATTCAAGGAATCACAAAAAGGAGGTATGAAGGTCAAACGCAACACGACAACTTTTGGTGAGACGCATCGGGGAACTTGGGGGCGGTGAGAGCCAATCACAGGCCTCCAATTGTGCCGTGTTCACCTAGCACCACAGCTATCTACTCCGTACATCGCGATACATCCGTTACTGGCAGCTTCTATGTTGTAAAAGGCTGCAGATCTCCCGTGGACACCTCTACGAGCTTATAGTCCGAAACAGAGCTTGTTTCGACGTTGTCTAGTTTCACGTGGCTAGTGCTTGGCTACATAACACTACTATGCTCATGCAGTACTTCGTTAATCAATATGACCACGGGCAATATCTCCTCGTTCTGCTTCAAGAGCCATCCTCACTTTTGCTTGTTGGGCAAGGTGCCCGCTGGCAGACATTATCCTCTGCGTAAAAGTATGTAAATATAAGCACACAAGCGTTTCCTAAGCTTGAGAGAAGTTCTCGTTGACACCCATGAGCTTTATGATCAGAATAAAGGCTTCAATTACATTCCCAGCCCTGGACAAACTCCATGAAAAGAGCCGGACTCCTTAGGGCACCTTGAAATGGCAAGCGGTATCAGCACTGCTATTATGCTGGGAGAGATCGCCGTTTTGTCAGAACATCGATGACGCGTGTGTAGAACTTGGCCGCTTGTCCGCGAACAAATGTGATATCCACTGTCAGGAAGTCTGGCAGCATGTTGACCAGGTCGCGATCGCGGTTAGAGTCCAGGAGAGGCAAATACTGGAACTCGGTCTGGTTGTAATCGGCCGAGGCCTTGGGCACAACTAAATGGAAATGTAGAGCTGCAAAGTGGTTAGAAGGAAGTCCAAATATGAAATAATTGGGCAACTTACTTCCATTGATGCCAGTTTGGATACAATCGTATACGTGTTCTGAATCTCTGTTCTTGACATCGCGAACGATCAAGCCTGTTAAGTCACTGTACAGGTCTTCCTTCAGTTGTGCGAGCTGGGAAGCCTGTGCCGCTTCAGCGCTGGCAGCTGCATTAGCACGGTTGGAGGCGCCACCCTTGATGGCACTGCCAGGGACCTTTGCAGCAGCACCCTCGAGACTAGCAGCTGTGTTGCGCGCCGCTGCGAGCTTTGTCTGTAAGGCTTTGACTTCAGATTGTGCGGAGGCGAGCTGTATCCGTGCTTCATCGGCCTCGGATTTGAGCCGAGCCAATTCAACATCACGGTCTTTAAGTTGCTTCTGAAGCCCACGGCTTTGAAATCCTAATTTTCGCTGGGTCTCCAATTCGGCCTTCAGCGAATCAATCAATTGATTTGATGCTAAACAGGACGTATTAATTTGTCTGCTCAAGTGGTGATAAAACAACGGAGAAACTCACCTGTAACAACAGTCTCATTTTGCTTTCGTAGTTTCTCCATGTTGGTGTTGGCTTCGACAATTCCAATCTCCCGCAGATTGCGGTATTTACTCTCTAGGGCATCATGCTTCTTGGTCATGTCACCCAGCCTGCGCCTCAATTCCGGGTCGCCACCCTGTTCGGAGTCAGTGCCTCCTAACTTGCGTTTACGAGGAGAAGAATCTTGTGAGTTGCGTAATATCGATGGCCGCGGGCGGCTATTCTTGATTGGGGATGCCGTGTTGCGCTTGTAGCTCGGAGTCTCGTTCACGAGCTCCGCTGGGGGCTCCTCGTTCTGTTGAGGACCTTCGGCTTCAGATTCCTTCCATTCCTGGGTCGCAAGACGAGCTGGAGAGGTTGTTGCGTCTTTTTCAGTGTCATGTCCATGGAAGCTAACATGTCGAGCACTACCCGGGGTAAACTCGAATCCGCCGTCGGTATGGAGCTGTGCGCTGACCGCGCGGCCTTGTCCCCGACCGCGTGTGGCAGGCGCCGCGGCCTTAGCCTTCGTTGCCTTGGGTGGCTGTTTGTTGGTATCTTTAGCGATGGGGGAATCTTCCTTCCGGTCGTGTGCATCATCATGTTCGGGAAGCACGTTCTCCACTGCTTCCTCTGCAGGCGTCTCAGCGTCCTGGGCTGCACGGCTTCCTCGAGGTCGTCCTCGGCGAGCGGGCTTCTTCTCTGCAGCTGATTCTGGCTCATTTACAGTTATTTGTTGTTTTTTGGTTCGTGTAGTAGGTTTGGTGGGTTTGGTCTCGATGACATTCTCGTGTGAAGTACGCGGTCTGCCTCTGCGTCTTTTGGCGGGAGGCTCATTGGAGGTATCTGGTTCTTTTGCTGTGGCTTGCATGATATCCTCGTCATCGGAGCCTACTAGCCCAGACAGTTTGGAAGGGGCTTTTCGTTTGGGTGGCATCTCGGTGTATAATTGTTTGACAGTCGCATGCTCGCGGGACGCGCACCGACAACAACACCCCCAACACCGTCTCCGCCTTACGACATGTGACTGGCATGTCCCCCGGCTCCCGCGCCACAGCTCCCCGATTGATCTTCGGACTCGGCTAACTTCTTTTAATACTGTACTCTAGTTTACGTCTCGTTATCCTTAATCATTTCACTATTTAGGGGCTGTTCCTTGCGCCATTTCCCCCCACTCTATCTTCACACTCCATCTATTCCCTTATCATCATGGCTTCAGCCGGTGGTCGGAGATGGCAACAGTTCTTCCAAGAAATGTTGATGGTTGCAGGCACTGTAAGATTATAGTTTTGGTTTCTGAGAGGATTGAACGCTTTTAACACGTATAGTCTGCGTCCGCCTACTTCCTCATTCGCTATCTTCTATCGCGTCTTGATTTCGACCCGGAGAGCCAGAAGAAGGAGGAACAACGACAGAAGTCCGCTGCCATCTTACGTCGATTGGAGGGTGGGAATGAATCGGATGATGAGTCGCCGAGAAGGGGCGGTGCGAAACGGGATAAAGGGCAGCGAAAGAGGGAGCTTACCTTGAGTCAATATGAACAAGCGATTGCGATGGATGTGGTTGCGCCAGAGGATATCTCGGTATCTTTCGAAGATATTGGCGGCCTTGACGAGATCATTGAGGAGCTGAAGGAATCGGTTATCTACCCGCTCACGATGCCTCACCTCTACTCGTCCACGTCGTCTCTGTTGACTGCACCTTCTGGCGTCCTCCTATACGGTCCGCCTGGGTGCGGAAAAACCATGCTTGCCAAAGCCCTAGCATCAGAGAGTGGAGCATGCTTTATCAACTTACATATTTCAACGTTGACGGAGAAATGGTACGGCGACTCCAATAAATTGGTCAACGCGGTGTTCTCGCTGGCGCGCAAGCTACAACCTGCCATCGTTTTCATTGATGAGATTGATGCTGTACTTGGAACCCGGAGAAGTGGCGAGCACGAGGCAAGCGGTATGGTTAAGGCAGAATTTATGACTCACTGGGACGGTCTAACGTCGGCAAATTCGACGGGGGAGCCCCAGCGAATTGTTGTTTTGGGGGCGACCAATCGCATTCAGGACATCGACGAGGCCATTCTCCGAAGAATGCCCAAGAAGTTCCCCGTTACCCTTCCTCCGGTCGCCCAGCGTCTTCGCATTCTCAGCCTGATACTCAAAGACACCAAGGTTGATCGCGATAATTTCGATCTACACTATCTGGTCAAAACTATGGCCGGTATGTCTGGTAGCGATATCAAGGAGGCATGTCGAGACGCAGCGATGGTTCCTGTACGGGAACTGATTCGAACAAAGAAGGCTAATGGGATGCAAATGGATACGATGGACCCCCAAGAAGTTCGTGGGCTTCGCACAGAAGATTTCTTCTCTCGCGCCGGTGGGATCAAGGTCATTCCCCCACCTACCCTCCCATCTACCCCAACTGGCAAAGCTGCCGAGAAGGGAGATGGCGATTGGAGTACTGAGTCTGAAGCCGCGTCGGAAGCCGAAATTCAACACTCTGTGATGGCTGAGCCACCAGAGTGAATGTAAAGCATCCTGGGGCTTTTATTGATATTTTCCCTTCCCTTGTCCCGCAGCGCGAGGACTGGGCATTATCCCCTGGAACTTCCAAACTCCGGATTAATGGATGGCCATGAGTTTGGGGGTTGGCCTATGCGGGTGTAATCTTTTGTGTATGGCCGGCTTGTTAATAGAACTTTCGATGTATACAAATGTTGTTGGATACAGCAATATAATCTCAATTTTGCTCACCAATTGAGTTCATTCAATTAGCTAGCTACCTAGGCCTACCTAGATCTACCTAGACCTACCTAGGTGCCTGGTAGATGTAAGGAGATGACATACACATTTTGTGGAGAGAATGCCCCGGGGGTACGTATGTGGATGGAGATGTACCTGTACACGCAATAGGTGGCCTTGACTGGGCATTGTCATGTACCGTTACTTTGCCAAGCGGCGAAGTCACCTGCCGATCGCCTATGCGCCCCAAAGATCCGAACCAACTTGCTACATTGTACAGAAGGTCGAACACTTTGATTTCTTGTACAGCCTTCGGCAGAACCCCTCTGTCTGTAGATTTGAGAGCAATTGGCCTGACTTAGCCCGACTTGGCTTCTGGATACTCCGCGTTCGAGCGCTTTGCGGGTCGTTATCGTCACGCCTCCTGGCCTCCTATCGCCAACTCTCCCTCAACTCATTAATCCGTTTTCGAAGCTTAGGTATTTTACCTCTTTACCTCGTTATCATATTTTGGATGCACACTTGGCTATATGGCCAAGGTATCCTGCTGTGCTTCCTGATCAAAGGCCACGAATGCGACTCCGGGGCGGATGACGAATGGGTCTCTTAGATTGACTGATGGCAACCGGTGCCTTGGCAGCACACACTTCTAAGGGGGCTTTTCTTTTGCATCCTTGATCTTGTTGGATTCATAGGAATGAATTCCCCACAAAGCTTTGCCCATGCTTCCCCAAGCTCCAACATGGTCAGCGCAAGCACAACTTCAACATCCACAGTTCGATCGCGCCCTCGCCGCTTAGTTTCATTAATGGATGATGAAAATGACACCAGCAATAATGCTACAAATTATTCCTGTCAAAATGATCTCCAGCCGTTCTCTTCGGGATTCTCAACTACCCTTGCACCGTCCGAGGTGGGAACGACTCGGTCCCGGGGAGCGACCCCCTCGCCATTATCATCCCGTGGAGCGTCACCACTTCCGATGACACGCCCATCCCGCGCGACCGAATCCATCAATCGTGGTGCTCGAAATTCCCCCATCTCGTTTGCTTGGAATGCATCAAAGTCACCGTCGTCGGGAGGTGCTGCGGACTTTCTGGACTCCTCGTGGTCCTCTCTCCAAAGCCTGGCATCTTCGGTGCTAGGGAGCGATACTGGACGTGAAACCCCGAATAATGCGGCGACATCCCACAGTCGAAGGAAACCATCGCGGTCAGACGTATATATCAAGACTGCCCCCAGGTCAACGTGGGGCCCATCGGCACCGACCGCTCCGCAAATTGGAACCGGGACAAAGGAGGAGCGACAAGCTTTGGTGCAGGCCAAAAAGAGAGAAGCGCTACTCCTTGCCGATACCGATCTGATTGCGAGTCGCACAATTCCACACAAAAGACGGGACTCTGATGCCACTTCGCATCAAGCATTTGGGCCAGAGCACGACGAAGACGCCTTGGCTTATATCCACAAAGTGCAGCCCACAGACACCATTACCGGTGTGACGATTAAATATGGTTGTCAGGCTGCAGTGTTTCGGAAAGCGAATGGGTTTTGGCCTAACGACAATATTCAGAGCAGAAACACAGTTTTATTACCAGTCGATGCTTGCTCTGTGAAAGGTCGCCCTGTTCCTAAAAGGCCTGTGGATCTTCTGACCCATGATACTGAAGATCCAAGCGACAGCTCTATAGTCCCCGTGGCTACTAATACCGATAATATCTCTCCGGAAGAGGCGTCTACAACTACAGCTGGGGCTGATGCCAATCACGCTTGGAAGCATGAGTCTTGGGTGAACATGGATGGGTTTCCAGACCCAGTACAAATCGGGCGCGTTCCTCGAAGAGCATTAGGATTCTTTCCGCGCACTCGTCGAAAATCCGTATCCTATTCGGACGCAGAACCCCCAGATTTGTACCGGGAAACAATCACACCCCCGTCTCCAACTGGATCCCCGCCCCTACTCTCATCCTTCGGTATGTTGCCACGATCTCGACCCAATGGCGATCAAACCAAACCCAAGATCATGCAACCCACTCGCCCGCAGCATCATCGCCAACGCAGTAGTATCCAGTTGTCTGGCACTGGTGTGGGAACCCTCGATCCCACTTCGACTGGTCCCGGTCCCGCATTAGATGGTTTTACTCGATTCTTCGCGCAGCACATGCCTAATCTTGCTCCGGCACAACCCCGTGATAATTTCCGGGACGCTTCTTTCGAGTCTGCGTCAACCGGCACATCCAATGCATCGACTGGTCTTGAAAACATTGGAGGGGCTTTTGAGGGTTGGGTTCGAAAAGTAGCAACGCGAGCCAAAGCCGGCATCAATGAACTGCAACAAGGATCACCCAATCAGTATAGTAGCAGCAGGGGCCGCAATATGTGGCGAATGGACGACTTAATTGAACTTGACGATGGGCTGATGGATGATCGGAACTCTCCCAGCCCCTTCAAGGGTGCATCGCGGAGATCTGGGTTACAGGGCAGCTCGTCCTCATCCTCATCCATCCGATACAACAGTCCTTCTGTGGTAGCAACGAGCAGGTCTCGTGCGGCTGGATTTGGGTCAGGCTCCGGCTCAAGAGCCTATGGCGAGCGGGCCAAAGACGATTAACGTGTTTGATTGAATTCTCAAGCGTACATAATAAGAGTCTCCGCCTGTGAACTTTTCGGGGCGAGTTTCGCACTTCTTTTCTTCGTTGCCCGCATCGTTTTCCCTATAACGACTTGGTGATTCAGTTTGACTTTGACGTTGTTCAGCCTCAATGCTAGGTCATCTCGATATTTCACCAGGGAGCGTCGCATGAGTTTGAACAGGACAGGATGAACCCCAGATACTATCTTTCCATCTACAGCTCATCGATGGAGCGAAGTCGCTGCGTGGCGGAATATAAACACATCGGAACAGAAGCACAACCCCTGTCATATATTTTCTTCCTGGCATGTTGCATGCACAATACCTACAGCGCTCTTGTTGCTACCGCGGTGGATTTTCTTTCTTCTTTTTTTTGGCCATGTCACACTGGGCTTTCAGGCTGATCCTCCTAGAATAAACTGTCCAAATAGACAAATCCTTCTACAGTAATACTATCAAGCTTATTTGTTTGATTGTGCCTGAATAGCACGACTACCTCTTAGTCTAGATTGCATATTAACCCTTCCAAGTCGGTGGCTTCACCTGTGTACGCAAAGATCTGTACATGAAGCGATTGGCTCTTAATTCTCCCTTGGAGAGTCCTAGAATCTATCTTTCCGCCGTTCTCTCTTTTCTTTACGGGGGTTTGCGCTGTATTTTCCACCTATGAGCGCTCGTTTCGCCCAAACTCATCGCTCACAACACAATATGATCCCCGTGGGGGGACTCTAACTAGGACAAAATCTCCGGACGGAGCCTGTTTGGGACAGAAAAGAGGTATAAAAGACTGTGGTTTGCCTATGACTTGGTCTTGAACTGCATCCAATCTTCCAAAATGAGGCCAGTCACACTGATACTCCTCTCACACATTTCCGGCGCTATCGCCAACCTGCTCTCGCAATCTACAGGGACTACCGCAAGTCCTCCAACAGCAACCCTAGCTACAAGCAATGGAAGCCCCAAAACGGTATTCGTAGGCCGATATTCTCCAGGATTCAACCAGAATCTGTTCTTGGGCATCAAGTATGCCGACGAGCCAGTTCGCTTCACACCAGCCGAGCTGAAGAGGGGCTATGCATCTGCGGATAGTAGCTCTGGAGCATACAGTCTCTCTACAGCAGGACTCAGCTCTTCGAGCAAGCTAGTGTACTACAATGCGACAGAGTATGGCTACGACTGCCCTGCGTATGGATCCGATACCACCAACCTAGTAAACAAGGGCCTTATCACTTTGAATGAAGACTGTCTGAACTTGAATATCGTTCGACCTCAGATCGATGAGAACCCCAGACTGCTTCCAGTGATGATCTGGATTTTTGGCGGTGGCTGGACGCAGGGTGCCACTGCGGATCCGAGGTATGTCAGTCGGGGAATATAGTCCTGAGTACAGGTACTCAGAACTGGGCAGTTGCTCAATGATTGCGGCTAACTTGGATGCTACACTCTGCTCAGATACAACATGAGTTATATTATTGAACAGAGCGCCTTGAATGGAAAGCCCGTTCTGGGTGTTTCTATCAACTACCGACTGGCGGCATTTGGATTTCTCGACTCGAAGGAAGTGAGGGTAATCAAACCAGATTCAGACCTCGATGTGGCGAATCTGAGAGGCTGACTCGAGCTCCAGGCTGAAGGAAACACCAATCTAGCTCTGCGTGACCAGCGTATAGCTATGCGCTGGGTGAAGAAGAACATCGAGGCGTTCGGTGGTGATCCGAACAAGATCACTATCTGGGGCGAGTCTGCGTGAGTCACTAGGACCATCTTTGGGATATATAAAATGCTTATTCTTGAATAAATAGGGGTGCATACAGTGTCGGCGCTCATCTGGTGACCAATGGTGGGAATAACGAAGGTCTCTTTAGAGCTGGTATAGTCCTCTGCAGATATGCTCCTGGCTTTTGAGAGCACTGGGCTGAGCTAGCTTAGCAATTATGGATTCTGGAAATGCAGTCGGGCCACCATACAACGGAACAGAATGGCACCAGCCCATGTATGACCGAATCGTCGAGAGAGCCGGGTAAGTCAATATCGAACAAGTCTCGCCCATAGACGCTGATATACTGCCCAGATGCACCAATTCCAGCAATAGCCTACAATGTCTCCGCGAGTTGCCCTATGCAACCCTATACAGCGCTGCATACGAGGGATTAGAATGGTTTGCCACTATTGATGGATCATTCATCACCCATTACCCACAGATCAGCTTCCAACAAGGCAGATTGGCTCCAGTGCCTATTTTGTTGGGGACGAATACCGATGAGGGTACTAGTTTCGGCACGACAGGAACGAACACCGATGAGGACTGCATCAACCAACTGACTGGTAAGCATTGTTGCATGCCTCAGCTATGTATACCATGAAGTTAAGCTAAACAAACACCATAGCATCCAAGCGATGGGTCCTTGATCGTTCGCAAGCCACCCAACTCCTATCCTACTACCCCAACATCTTAGCTCTCGGCTGTCCCTACGGCTGGGGGAATGTCAGCTGGCCCGCATTGGGGCTGATGTACAAGCGCTACGCATCCATAGCCGGGGATCTCACTATGGTTGCCCCACGACGAATGCTGGCCGAAACAATGGCCGGCTTTCGAGAGAATGTATACTCGTACAGATGGGACGTGGCGGCTCTAAACAGTTCGACACTGGTTGGGGTGCAACACTTTGCAGAGGTATGTTGTACTTTAGCTGACCTTGAACATTGGCTTTTCGGAGAGTGAGTTGATCATTATATCTGACTGTATAGATCCCATTCATCTTTGCAAACCCAACCCAAAGCACAACGCCGCTGGGATCTGACCCGGCACGCTTGGAGCTAGGACAGATGGCAGCTCGGATGTGGACGTCATTCGTGGCAGACTTGGATCCCAATGGACATTCTGGTGAGTGGACATAGTCCGTCAGATTTGTGACTACGTTGCCTAATAGCTGACCACCTCATAGTGTCGGGCACTGCCGAGTGGCCCAAATATGCGTCCCGCGCGACGAACTTCGTTTTCCGCTTACCTCGTAATGAAAGCTATGTTGAGGCTGACACGTATCGTGCCGCTGGAATAGAGTATATCAATACCATCGTGCGCTGATGCGGCATAGGAGACAGGCTAAGCCATATCATCTACAGTGGACTCAAGGACAAGAGATATAAATAGAAGATATGCGCTGGACCAATTGATGTTCGTCGTTGAGTAACAAGTCACGCCAATGGACATGTCGCAAAAAGACCAAGCTTTGATTTTGCTATTTAAGCAGCCTTTCGACTGGACCAATGTTTGTTTGTTTTCCTTCGTTTGATATATGCATGTCCGAGATCTGACTGGAAATCGAGAATGACAATTTAAACGCTCTTGGTGCCGACCTTGAGGAGCTCGACCTCGCTATATACAGTTAGTTCTTTTATTCTTTGTAGCAACTGGTTGCATGATAGGGAGGTAAGTAAGGTGGTTACTCACAAGACAAGCTTCGAGTTGGCGGGAATCAGACCAGGGAAGCCGCTAGAATGATTTGATATTAGCGCAAGTGTCTCGAGGAGAATTAAGGGTAGGGATTAGAATGGTCAAAAGGAATCGTAGGAAACGTGAAAGATTGATCCAGGATTGCATTTGGTTGGGATATTACATACCGGTCGCCGTAGCCGAAGTCACTGTTAAGAGATCAAATATTAGCTATGTTCAGTCCGTGTGCGCAAACGCGCGAAGCTCCAAATGGGTACTCACGGGCTGATGGTCAGAATAGCCTTCTCACCGAGGGACATCTGGGGGACACCCTCGTCCCAGCCTGTATATTGATCGAGTTAGTAAGCCAAAAAAAAAAAAGGCTATGTGGTATCTCAGACCACAAGACGCAGTTTGGATCGAAACGCACCTCGGATAAGACGACCGACACCGATAGGGGTGGCGAGAGGACCACGACCGGGCTTGTGGGAGGTATCGAATCTATATTCGGGCTATATTAGCAGCTTGATTCCATGTGAACAGGGTTCGACTTACTGAGCGCCCATGAAGTGGTTGTCAGCCTTGTCAGCGTCGTACAAGCAGCCGGTGTAGTGGATGGCAACGTGCTCGCCCTTCTTAGGGTAGTCGACGCCGTTGCCCTCAACCAAAGTTTGCTTCTCAACGCCCATTGTGAATATAATATGTGTACAGAGTAGTGCGAGGAAAGGAAACGGGCGCCTTGGGAGGGGCAGAGGTTTACCCACTTTTTCTCCAAGGCGGAACCAACGTAATGCACCTTTTTCCCCTGGGGCTACGAGGTGTATACAGCTCGTGTATGCGCAATACCACCGGTCTCACGGATGTGAGTGGTCAGGAATAGATCCGAGACTGCTTCGGTTCTGCGCATCATACCAATAGCATGCTTGCTTGGCTTTAAATGTAGAAACAGCGAGAAACAGCGAGAAACAACGGGAACCGACGAGAAACAACGCGAAACAACGCGAAACAATGCGAAACCGCTCGGAAGTAACTTCGGGTGGTCGTAGGGATATGATCTGCATTCGGCGGGGAGAATCGTAGGTTTGTACATGTCATACGGAGTAGAGCTGAAGTCATTGGTGTCGTCATGATTCAGTCCGGCATGTTGCTAAGATCAGACCTTTCGTCCAGTCTCTTTGGTCTGGACTTGAGAAAGGATTACATTGCTATTTGTCTCCGCCATGCCCCGCGGAGGGGTAATTAATGGTGGGGAAGAAGTCTCTGCGACGTTGACGCCAAAGCTGTGCGGCATTGACCTAGGAATGATAGTAGAATCGTTGATTGAACACGCAGTCAGTGCCATCGATATATATATAACACAGAGAATCAGACTTATGACCAAAACGCCATTTTCCCCAAGTCCTCCACTGAAATAGCTGCAATCTGCGTGTTCGGGAATCGAGCATCGGGCGGCGATACCGACGCTTCCAATTGTAGGTAATGCAGCATGGAGATATCAGCGCGACCCAGGAACTCAAGTACACGGTGGAAGTTCAAAGCAACCTGGTCAACGCCGTGGCTATCGTCAGAGAGACAAAAGCGACCGCCACGCGCCACAAATTCCTAGCAACCCCAAAATTAGTCATGCACTATGTCACGAAAGACTGCGTTCTTACCTTGCAAATTTCTGCTTTGGGATAAGGCTCGGTCATTCCCTTGCGCAGTGCAGCCGAATTGAGCTCCAGCATACCGCCGTACGAGGCAATAAAGTCCAAATTCCGTAGGATCTTGCTCCAGACTCCCGGCCAGGTCGTAAAGCTGCGCTCCATGTCATCGCTCTTCAGACGGATCAAATCAAAATGACCCACGACGAGTGGCTGGAGTTGTTGCAACATGTCCAACTGGGCATCGAAGTAGTCCTCGAATAACCGCTCGTCGGTTCCGCCAGCTAGCTCCCGCGCCTGTTCGTACATGGGCCGGTCATAGTCGATGGGCACGGTGTGCATGTGGTGAACCGAGCCCACGAAGAACTCAAACGGGAATCGTGAGAGCGAGCGTTCAATCAATTTGCTAGAAGCCGGTCGAATCCAGTCAATCTCAAACCCGATGATGATCTTGATCTGGGAGGCATATTTCTGGCGGAGACGCACTGCTTCGTCCCAGTAGGCGGCTTCATTTGCTGCATGGCTGTCTTCTGTTTCACCTGATTCGAGCTACAAGAGCGATCAATACATCATTCGATATTGAATGTGTCTTAACGCACCTCCTCGGGATAGAAATCTTCTTTATGGCGGGGCATATGTTCGGTCAAACAGAAGACTTGCATCTTCTTGCTGATGGCAGTTTGGATCACATCCTCCAAAGAATTCTGCGCATGACCAGGGCAAAATTGGCCGGAATGACTGTGATGAGAGAATGGCATGTTTAATGGAGATGTCTCTGCAACTCTAGGTTAGACTGATATCTGAAGTGAAACCCGAGCAGGGGGAGACGAGGGTAGATCGCGTTGACGCTTTCGACGGTCGCTCTACGCTAAACTCACGGATTCTTATAACTTGGGTGTTTCTATTGTGGAGGAATATGTTCGAGTCGTTTCAGTCGGATTGTCCGCGTGGATAGACGATAAGGACTTCCGGCCCGCTTTCCCCCCGACGACTCCAGACATCGCAGACTGCGCATGTTAGACGGAGTACGGAGTAAATAGTCACTGATTGTCGAGTGGACTGGGTCTTGGCTATTTGCTCTGGTAACTCGCTCGTTCTTCGCCTTGGGTATTACTTTCGGTTTTGTGGGCTAACTCGGCATCTACATATAGCCTTGGCAATGCCATTACTGGCCACAAGAATGGAAAGGTCGTATCATACACGAATGATGAGGTCTCTAAATGGCGTAGACTGCCATTCTGATGCATGGATATTCCTTGTCACTGCCTCATTCTCAATTGCAAGAATTGAGGCAGCATCAGTTAAACCTGACGCCAGATATGGCTCAGCGACGGACTCCAATCTACTCTCACAAGAGCCAAATGAGCCTCCAGCTGTCAATCGATAGTCATACGCCAGGACTATTGCAGAAGTGTATGCCAATTGGGTTATTGGTCGCCGTCTAGCGTAGAGTCAGCCGAAACCCAGCAGACCAATTGGAGAGCGGATAAGATCATTCAAATAGGGCTTGATCAATTCATCCAGCGGCCAAAACTGTAGCAACAACATACTCCCCATCATGGGAAATAGATAGCTTTGCGACCCTGCCCTCACTCAATTCTCCATCTTGCGTATTCCCAAGATAAACAATCTCAGGCCTCCGGCTCACATCCTCTCCAAATTTGCCCCCATCCTCCTGGATCCTCACCATGACATCCTTCCAGCCAATAGAAGCTGCACCGGACGGCGCAGCTTTACGCGCCGCCTCCTTTGCCGCGAAGCGCCCCGCAAGCCAGCGCGTTATGTCTGCGGGCACCGGTGGTGGTTGTTGATGGTATGCGGCGCGTGCTTTGAGGGCTTCGCTGAAGCGCTTATGGAAGTCATTCTGCTCTTGCTCGCAGAGGATGCGGCGCGTGAAGCGCGGTAGGTAGTCGGGTCGGGCGAGGAGACGGGCTATTCGGGGGATGTGGACGATGTCTGTGCCGACGTTCAGAGGGAACGGGAAGGGAAGGGGTTTCATTTTGTTTTTCTGTTGGGAGATCGAGTGTATGACGGGTGTTGTAGGAGTTGTGTAGGTAAGGTGGTTAGTGGAGGTGTGGAAGGTGAGTTGGGAGATACCGTTGACGTTCGAGCTTGACTAGGACGATACATAGTGGAATTACCCAATTCACCGAAGTAGCATAAATTGCTAATAATAGGGTGTTTCTCGGAGTGTGTTTGTCTTATGCTGCTTACATCTAATCGTATTTTGGATTATAGCCCGTCGTTGCTACAGCGCTTCCACTAACTACACACACAAGCAAATTGCTCGGAGCTTTAGAAAGCAGCGTCCATGGCGAAAAGAAGTTCGCAGAGGTCTTGTTCGCTACAGACTCCGAGCGACCCGGTGCGTAATTATATTGAGATAATCGCACCATTCACCTTCTTTTCTTCTGCGATTGATATTGCTCCATGACAAGATACTTTCAAAGAACTGGTGTTAGGAGGAAATTTTTCTATGCAGCGTACATGCCTGCTATGTACAGATCAATCAACTTCATCGGCCGATTTCCCAAAATCAGTCCGAGGAGCTTCTCGAGAAAAAAAACTCCCCGCCCGTGGTCATAAAAACGCTGCGGAAGGGCGGATACACATCGTTGCGCGCTAGAGATGGCATGAGAGCGGAGGGGCAGTTTTGTTTCAATTCAGAATACTAGCTGCTCATGTTCGACCGCTCCATCAATATTAACCGTATCGAATGGCTGTCTAGTGTTGGCCGGCGGCGGGCTTCTTCTCGCCACCGTCAACCTCCTTCATGAAGTTCCTGTGGCATATGCGGTTAGTAAAATGGTTCAATGACTGCTATATGAATCCGAGTTGTGATTGGCGGTTCATGATAGCCTGCGATGGTGCCGGACATACTGGACGAAGTTCTCCTCATCCTTGGAGGAAGCGTTGATGGGGGGACCCTGGGCGGTCTTGGGCTTGTCACCACCGGAAGTGGCAAGGTAAGAACCGGCGAAGATGCTGCCGAGGGTGGCCATGGCGAGCTATTGAAGGGGCGGAGGGAACCCGGTCAACTTTCATGTTTCACAAGTATCCGCACGAAGCGTGACAAGAAAGGGAGAGCGCGTGGGGGTATCCGCCAGGTAATGGAAACTTACGACGTGGGAGCCGACCTTCTTGCCGGCGATCTGGTAGTAGACAACCATTTTGTAGGGTTGGAATTGAGGTACAGCGAGAGGTTCAACGGGCAGCGATGTGGACGGAATCCTCAGGCTTGCACCAAACGACGAGGTCGGCACGGATACCGCCTTGCCTGATTTGGTTAGGCTGGTCACATGATCTAGACCCGGGTGCATCCGACATTCGATATCATGTGATCTGGCTCCGGCACGAACGTCACAGATGCATTTGCATATGAAAAGCAACTGGAAACATGCCCACTAAGTATGTACCGAGAGGTTTAACAAAGGCTTACAAGAACCACAGTGCCAGCAATTTTAGCCCGAGAAGTTCGGCCCTGAACAACATGTGTCGGGTTCGGCCCTGAGGCATCTTCTTTATAACTTCTACCCCAGATCCCGAGCCGGAGGTTACTACCTAGGTACTATTCCGCCGTCAACGCTGTATATCCCGGCTATATCTGTGGCTTCGGCTGTAGAGTACGGTTAATATAAAAACATCTCAATGATATCTCCATTCCTCCCATGCATAGCTCTCTCTCGTTTTTCCCTTTTGTTCTTTTTATGCTCTTCTGCCTTTCAGGGTTGATTTCTCACACGCACATAGATGAGAGTGGCTCCAACGGCGATTGAACCCCCTAATTGAACATATTATACCCTCTGACCATTTTCGCAATGGTCTGGGGCGGTCGTCAACAGGATGAACCCCAACCACCCCCGCAGGAGTTACTGGATAAGCCTGTAGTTCGCGGGAAGCTCCCCGCCAAATTGCAACTGCTGGTCGATCGTGAGGATGATTATTACGATGACCTCTATTCTCAATAGTATGTGAAATTCTGCCTCTTTTGTATTGTTTCCCATGGCTCAAGAATGATGGTTGTGTGCTCGGAGAGCCGGAGAGAAGGGGAAGAGAGCCCGAGAAAGAAGCCGTTTCCGTCCCACTCCACTTCCCGGGCGACCGCTCGATGACATATTCCATAGCTCTCCGCAAAGTCATCTTCAGCAACTCCCCACAAGAACAAGTCAAAGCCAAAACTAACGATGGGCACCTCTGTCGACGGTAGCTCGGTCGACTCGACAGAAACACCTTACCGTTATGCTGCGTACGCCAACCGTATCCGCACAATCCTCATCTCCGCTCATCGCTATGTCGCCTACACTTCAGACATTGGCGAGTCCTTCCGTCCGATTGCACACCCATGGCTTGTGCGATCAGCCTACGGTATCTCCTGGGCATACCTGCTAGGCGATGTTGGTCACGAAGGCTACAAGGCCTACCTCCGGAATTGGAAGGCACTGGCTCCCACTGGCGAAGCATACAAGGATGCTAGCCAGCCCTCGCAGGACCAGATTATCAGGGGTATGGCGACAGGCAATATGACTATCGGCAACTCAGCCGAGTCCAAGGATGCGCCTGCAAATTGGTCGACCCCGGAGATCCCACTTGCGGAGGATTACCGCCTGGTCATGGCCAAACGGGCGGTGTTCCAAAGTATTGCTAGCATGGGATTGCCTGCATTCACAATCCACAGTGTCGTCCGGTACTCTGGGCAGATGGTGAAGGGGGTCAAGATTGCGTTTATTCGTACCTGGACGCCGATCGGGGTATGTGACAGTTCCCCTCTAACATGATCTATACTTGGGATGGTACTCAACTGGGCTAACACGATGCTAACGTCTTTTTTATTATAGCTCGGTCTTGCTGTTGTCCCCTTCCTTCCCTATCTCTTCGATCACCCCGTTGATGAAGCCGTTGAATGGGCCTTCCGTACTGGTCTTCGCGCTTACGCCGGCGAAGCAGCTGTCCGCCCACTGCCAGGCAAAAGCCTTCCTCCCCTGGAAGAAGAGGAAGTTCGTGCTGCTGCTGCGGCCAATATCTCCTGGGAAGAGTACAAGGCTGAGCGATCACGGGCCCGTGAGCTTCGTCGCCAGGCAAGCGAGAAGACCGGCGGTGGTGGCATCGCATCGCTGACGAGCTGGTTTGGAGCCTCTGACTCGGACTCGGACAAGAAAAAGAAGGAATAAGTTAGATACAACCAGTTCTCCTTACCTCTTCTTGACTACTTGTGTCTCGAGCACATGGGCGCATCTCCCCTATCACTTATTGTACATATCATTTTATTTACTCTGATCTTCTGTTTCTTCTGATATCCATCGGGTGGCCCATATTTTTGCATTTTGACTGATCTTCATGATCAAAATACATATTACCATCGTCCATTCCAGCTCAGACATATTTGAAAGTATGAGGGTGGCTCTCAGAACCAACAATGAACTTTTGAGATAAGATATTCCAATTTCTTAGTGGGCCCCATCAAGAGACCGATAGTTGCCCAACAACCCAAAGTAACATAGCCCACCGAGAGAGATTGTCTCCTCGAAATGGGCCTTTGAATCAGCGCAATTAGCCTATTAGTTTGCCGGCGAATCCATGGTTCATCCGATCAACGCGACCCACCTTCTTACTTGGGAAGGTGCAACTTTATCTTTAATTTCATATCACTGACTATCACCCCGTAGAGCAGCATTCAGAATGTTCCCTTCTTCTTCTTCTTCTTCTTCTTCTTCTTCTTCTTCTCCATTTGGCAGCACGTACCATTAACTCATTCACATAAGGGAGATCAAGGGTTTATGTGTCATTCGGCACCTCGAATCCCTCCACCCGAACTGACTTATCCCGATATTGCACAATCAGGCGAGCCAGTCTCAAGCGGTCATCTCTACAAAGAATCTGAGCCTGCTTTAAAGGGTTTCTCACAATCAGCCCCTCATAGTCATGCTGGAATTCCACCTCTGCCTCCCATTCATATATGGGACTCGGCTCTCTGAAATAATAAGGCCTGTCATGCCTCATCACTACCTCGTACAATTCGCGAAAATCTCGAGACTTTCCCGTCTTGATCTCCCCGTTTGAAAGCACCACTATACTTGCATGCCACGGCATGTCACCAAATAGGTCACCTTGCCGCAGTAGGGGAATGGAAATCTTGTTTCGCCCTAACGAGGGATGAATCGAGAGACGGATATATTTCCCGAGCGTGGCATCAATCACAGCTTCGTATGCCTAATGATACAGAGAGTCAGCGAGTCATTTTGCTGGCATAATCGGATCGTGAAGTCCAACGTTGTGTTTAAACTTACGATGAGCCGGTTGATCATTGTTTTGGCCATCCCAGATACCTCGGCCGCGTAGAGCGCCGGGTCAGCCGCGACAACAGGGTCAAACCCCTTGGCCCATTTGAGATCTTCTGAAATGCGACTGAAATAACTCTCGTATGTTGTCTTGGTATCTGGATTTGTCTCCAGCTCATGCTCAATATCAAATCTTGGATCGAAGTATGTGGATGACATCAATTTCTCCCTACAGGTGGAGACAAGGCGCAGGTATTCTTGTTTGGAGACGTTCTCGCCATCTCCCAGTCCCAACAGATCCATCAATCTAATGAACTGAATTGAAGAGAAATGTTTCTCTTGGGCCATTTGGCGCAGCTCCATGCCGTAGTCGTAATATTCGTCATCGGGCACGCCGACCAAATCTGCGCCGTCAGTCTTGATCCAACTTCAAGAATGCATCATGCATCCACTACTACTCCGTACACTCTGAATAGAATATAGCATACCATTATACACCGGTCCATCACAAATGAGGATCAGTCGCGCGCCGTAAGGGTAAATTTTTGAGATCTCCTCACACAGATGATTCAACTTCGCCAGACCCATTCCTTCACCTAGGTCAGCCCCATCTCCTAATACTTTGTCTTTATTGGGATTCTTCCATGGAAATGCAGGTAATATCATGGTAATCGGATGGTTTGCCGTGATATTGACCTTCAGCTTCTCCGGCACGGACTCGAACACCCTTCCGACCTCTTTTTGATGGTCATCCGAGCTCGAATGCAAGCAAAACCGCTTTAACACCGCAACGATTCTCTGAGGGATTTCATCTGGAGCGTATTCAAATCTCATGGTCAAAGGAAGAAGTTGGTTGATGAGTCTCGTGGAATGGCGGGAGTTCGGATATTATTATCTCTCGTCCAGATCGACCGAAGGCAGCGACACGTAGTTTACTCCATACAGTAATTAATTATTAAGTTTTCTGCACCTTGAGATGCATTCTTACCTGCATTGGTATCTGTAAAAAAAACCAGTACATCAATTGATACATGCGAGATCTCTGCAGAGAGCGGGGACTCTGTACGGAGTACATGAACTCCACCGTGTAGCACTCGAGGAGTCACAGTTTAGATGTGAATTCTCATATACTGCTCACCACCCCCTCGATTATTTTGCGAGGTCCTGGCGGAACTTTTGTTTTGGTTACTCTGTACTCCGTATATGGCGCTTTTCTAAATAATATGGGCCAGCCAAACATCTCCTCGTCCAGCAATGCTGTCGGGGTATACTCCTCGACGACCGATTCGTCCTATACAAGGTCGGCCACGACCTACACTACTCCTACCGAAGAGTCCCCGCTATTTATACAGCCCGATCCCCGTCAGCAAGATGAAGAACGCAAAGCCGAGAACAATGAAATTCCCGATGGAGGTCTTGTGGCCTGGACACAGGTCCTGACTGGACACCTCGTGGTGTTCAATGTATGGGGCTATATCACATCGTAAGAGGGCTCTATCACATCCAATGCCGATCCCCTCCATTGATTCATGTTAGATATGGATTTTTCCAGGAATATTACGTCAAGACCCTAGATGTCAGCCCAGCCAATGCATCCTGGATCGGAGCGGTGCAGATGTTCCTCGTCCATTTCCTGGCCACATTGTCCGGCCGGGCGATGGACGCGGGCTATCTCCGACAATGCATCGCCCTTGGTTGTCTATTCCAGTTTGCTGGTGCGCTTGGCACGTCCTTTGGAACGAAGTTGTGGCATTTTTGGCTCGCGCAAGGCATTGTCAGTGGAATCGGCCACGGACTCGTCTTCAGCCCCATCATCTCACTGTATGCGACATACTTCAGCTCTAAGCGAGTCATGGCAGTCTCGCTGGCTTCATGTGGCGCAGCAACTGGGGGTATGGTTTTCCCCGTGGTCGCGTATAAGTGTCTTGACAAGATTGGATTCGCATGGACGGTCCGGATCATGGCGGCCATTATCCTGGTCAACAGTATCATCATTGTCAAATTCACCAGGTCTCGGATTGTACCTCGCAGTCCCCCTCCCTGGGTTGATTTTAGTGCATTCCGTGAACGCCCTTACCTCCTATTTTCGATTGGTTCGTTCCTGATCTTCGAGGGTATCTACTTCGCATACATCTATGTGAGTTTGGTCTTGTGTCGCATTGTGGACCGAAGTTACTAACTACATCTACAGTTGAGACAATACGCGCAAGCTCATACAGGATTTACAGCATCCGATTCACTTCTCCTTCTGATCCTGATGAACGGAGTTGGTGTTCCATCTCGCATCGCATCGGCATTCGTGGCAGACCGGTGGCTGGGTGCGGTGAGGACGTGCATTGCAGTCTCCATCCCTTGCGGCATCGCCATTCTCGGATGGATTGGTGTTCACACTCACGTTGGCATGTTCATCTGGGCCACGATCTACGGATTACTGGTCAATTGTGCGCAGAGTCAATTGCCCGCTGCCAATGCATACTTTGGATCTAAAGACCCGGAAAAATCCGGCACACGTGTGGGCATGATCACCACGATCAATAGTATCCCACTGCTGACAGGACCATACATCGCAGGACAGCTGATCGCCCTGCGAGGGGGTGATTACCTTTACGCGCAACTGTTTGGAGGCATTTGCATCTTGACTGGAGCATTGTTTGTCGTCGGGTCTCACTTTTCGGGAGCCTAAAAATACTGTACATGATGTTTCAAGAGTAAACCATGCTGTGTATTGTCTTACTGCGAGGATATTAAACAGCAAGGTACTCCGTACGGAGTATAGAGTACTGATAGAATAAGTCTCACTCTGGCTGAAGCCACAGCCTGTAGTCCAGACGTATTTGCCTACAACTACTCCGTTTTCTACTATACCTCCATGCAGATACTGTCTCGTACACTCTATCCTCCTTCTGTACATCATATACAACACGCATATAATGATTGAGAGGAGAAAAAAATCGGTGTGATGAGATCGGGCCCAGACATTGCGTTGGAGGCCTCGCTGTCATACGGTATTCCAGTCTTCAGCCCTGGAGGGTTTAGCGTATCACCTTATTTTTGTCCGTCCTGTTCTCAGACTCATCTTCGCCCCCAGGAGATCATTTAAAGCAGGGATCCTCCGGGTCAAAGGTCTCAAATTGCGCAACCTGCTCTCCGGAATGAGCTCCTTGCTTCCACGTTTTCTCCAAGTCGCCTCACGGGCCTTCTCTTCCTCCAGCCGAACATTACACGACATGGCACTCAGACCTCTCCATTACCACCTTCCATTGTTCCCAGGCTTCCAACTGCTGGATGTTGCGGCTCCACTCGACATTCTCAACATCCGCTCACAGTACCCTGACACGGATGGCATCACTCTGACTGTATCAGCCGCAACTCAAGACCCAGTCTCGGTGAAACCAATTCCGCCGCCCAAGGCACCATGGCGATTTGATATCCCAGCCTCCAACGTCAACACGACTTGCAACCAGCAAATGGTGCCACAGTGTACCTTTGCCGACGTGATTGCTGCCTTGAAAGCTGGAAACGTAGCCGGTGATGGCAGTAGTGAGATCAAACCTGTCGATGTTTTGATTATCCCCGGTGGTCCAGGAACACGTCTTGACCGGATTTACGGCACTAATACTGCTCCATCTGAAGTCAAAGTCCCCAACACGCAAGAAGTCCAAGATTTCGTAACAGCTGTCGCGCCATATGTGCGCCACAGTATCATTACGGTTTGCACGGGTAGTCATATCCTCTCGCAAACTCGACTTTTGGATAATCGCCAAGCGACCACAAACTCAGCTCGCTACGACGATGTCATTGAAAAATCAAGCTGGGTGAACTGGCAACGCAATAAGCGGTGGCTGCGTGATACGGTCCCCGAGGATGCAGTGTCTGATACGTCCCTGCGGCCCGGGATCGAAATCTGGTCATCTGCCGGTATTACTGCAGGAATAGATGTGATGTTGGAGTTTATTTCGGCGCATTACGGTGGTATCGAGGTCGGCATGCAGACGGCCAAGCGGATGGAGTATCGTTGGGAGCGAGAACGCGAAGCGTCTTACTTCTTGTGAATGAGACGCCAAACTACATCACCAAATGCATGGTTTGCCTCGATATCCTTGCTCGATACTCCAAAGCTCATCATTATCTGAAGCTAAAGGTCTAGGCTTTTGGGAATGGGATACTCTCCGGCGATGGTGTGCGAAAGATAGCTGTAGAGTTGGATTCGAAACACTACATATGCCATCCCTTAAAGATGCACTGTCAGCTGTGTCACCGGTACAGAACTATAGTCTGTCCTTAAAGTTGCAAGTACATGATCGACCCGTCTTTCTTCAGCCTCGCGTTCGCCAGATCCCGGGATACTTTGACTTCCTGACGTATCAACAGTCAGCAGACAAATGGACGAGAATGCTACATGGACATGTTACCTTCGTTTCCTCCACACATGCTTTGTTCCTGTGAATGCTTATTGGTTTCCTTGTATCCCGACCTCTCGTGTAAAGTGTCTACAGACTCAGCCCAACCAGGAAACCTGCCAGGCGCCCCGCAAACGATCTAGATGGTGTACAAAACAGTCAGTTCCTCGGTCATCAACACGGAGAATGTGTCAAAAGGTAAAAGCGCTGCCTAGTGTGTCGATTGGTCGGATTTGAGCCGTTGTTGTTCGTCTGCTCAATCAGTTGCCCAATTCGGATATACGCAACCAGTTACCCTCCACGCCATGCACTAGTTTCAGCACACATGTATTCAGAACGTAAGCAACTTGTACCTCATCGCAATAGTATTCTATCGATGTATTTCGTACAAGACTTGTTGGGAGAAAACTTAACCAGAAATCATGAGAGGGATGTCTGGAAGTTTCCGCGAATACATCCCTATTAAGAGCCCAAACACATGAGGAAATGGTGGCAATAGAGGCTACTAAACTCCAATTCAAGATATTTGTGTAATTCTGATATAAGTTCCCAATATTTTGAAGAAAGAAAGGGCAAATTCACCCCTTTTTAATCCCTGGCTTCAAATCCCGACAACCATCCTGCCAGTATACCATGAGCTATACCAAAATGCTAGCCACAACGATAATCGAGGTCTCCGCACATCTAGATATCATCTCCACCGATCTTCCTATCTCCGCCTCAAAGACCCGAGTCACCTTCCTCCCCAAACCACACGCAGCCCCCCTCAAAGCCGAACCGTTACCCACCTATGTCGACGCGCCGACAACATGTCCCATCACAACCCGCCTGACGGCAGAGAAAATAATGGATATTGTGGAAACCTATGGCTCCCATGAGCGTACAACTGCAGCTGGAGAATGGCTCGGCCGGTCGTCGTTCACACCACGCGTGCAGACACATATTGCGGTCAACAGGGTGATCCCTATGGTACTGCCTGCTTTTCCAATGAAGAGCAACAATCGCATGGACAAGGTTCTAGGCCCTCTTCCAGATCTGGGGGACGAGCTTGGACTGGCACGGTTGGCGAATCTCTGTCGGGATATCAAGGCTGTATACCGCCCCGGTGCGATTGTGGTGATTGTTACAGATGGGATTTGTTATAATGGTATGCTTGGACTCGCCGTATTCAGCCAACCAGTATGAGGAATTCAGAAACTAACTCGGGCTTTGAATCTAGATCTTACAGGGATTTCGGATGAAGAGGTCTGGGACTATGGGAATCGACTGCGGAAGATCGCCGTGGAGAAGGGATATGCGTGTATCCAATTCCACCGCATTATGAACATGTTAGGGCTCTATACTGGTGCCCAGATCTCCAAGGCAGAATATGTGAGGCTTTGTGATTTATCGAGGACAGAACTTCATCGGCGGTGCGGACGGCCTGGATTTGATGTCGACAGATTCTTGAAAAGCGACGAGGATTATCTCCGGACTTATAACGGTAAGTATATACAGTCCTCCGTCCAATACTTGATATCTAATTCCATGCAGGATACGATAAGTTCATGAAAGTTGATTTAAAATTCAGTCCAGTGACCAAAGATTGTACGGGCCCTAAACAATATAAAAAGAGAATCAAGACGATTGCAAAGAAGATGATTGTCCGCGGAGTGGTAAGTAATTCAGTTGATTCTTTATTTAGACAAGTAACCCGATTACTGATTTCATGATCATAGGAGTACGCCGAGCTCGTACGCCAGATATACCCAGACTCACTCCGTCTCTCCATCCACCCGTCATCAGGGCAGACGAAGCTGTCCTGTCCCCTTATCCCACAGGCGAACTCATTCTCCATGAGTCCCTGGCACTGTAGCGTTGCAGTGAGAGCTAATGGAGCCTTTATCACAGCTCATAAAGCCTCCCATCGGGAGAAGTTTGACCTGGTTAACAGGGATGGTCACCCATATTTCTTTCGTGAAAGCTCGCCGCTCTTCCTTTGGGAGGCCTCGGTGGACTTTGAGCACCATTACGGGCAACATTTGGTAATTCGGACACAAGATGCGATTGGGCACGACCTATCTGACTCTGACTTGGATAAGTTGGCGCTTTTGGCAATTCAACACACAAGTGTGACGTTCATGTCTATATGATTTGGATATTCGGACAGGAGAGGTATGCATAGTCATCTTAGTTAGCAAGAAACGGTCATTGATCACTTCCCCGGTAGATCAAAACAATGTCAATACGGGGCACTTTGTAGGAATTCACACGGAGAGTGTGGCGTCTTTGTCTTGCAGACTGCGGCAATGTTGATATGGATCCCTCGCTTCCAAGGGTTCTATATAATGATAATCAAGTCCTTCGTCCAAGGAGATATTCTTGTAAACTTCAATGTAGTTCTATCGACGAGAAAGGGAGAGTCCATCACAACAAGAAGATTGCTATATGTGGTCCCAAGTCTCGAGTCCACAATCCACCGATGTAGCCGCCTTGAAACAATTGGACTTACAGCGTTCCAGATCTTGCTCCTATAAGGCATTATAAAAAAAAAAAGTAAAAAAAAGGATTCTACTCGTCTCATTGACAGCCTCACATCCACATCTACAAGGCCACAGGGTACTTGGGCACATTTCATACATCTGTACAGAAATAACAGAAAGACTAAACGCAAAAGACAAAATACATACACAGAGAGACGGGCAGAGACAGGAAACAAGGGCATGAAGGACCAAAGCCAAAACCGGCTCAGGCAAAAGATTCCACCCAGTTCCAAATTAATGTGCAAAGTCAGAAGGACCAATGATTCATAAGAGGGCCTCCAAGCCAGCCAAAGAGGTATAGAAAAGAATTCGTCCCAAATTTGGTTGTCCCAGTGCCATTGAAAGTAGTAAAGGGATAGGAAAAAAAAGTATTTGGTGAACAAAAGGGGGAATATTTCAGGGAAAGAAAAAAGAGAAAAAAAAGACGCGACACACGCAGCGACAATTGGTAGTTGCTCGGAGTATCATGCTGAGAAGAAAAATAGACGGTCAAAAATTGCACAGAAAGAACAGATACGTGGTATGTGACATGTATTTCCGTGGGGGATGATGGACAATGAAGAAGAAGTTGTTTTGTGCAGTCTCTGTCCCTGCCTCTGGCAGAGGATGGGGAGGCCCTCTGATTGTCGTAGGGTCCAAAAGGGTGGGGGTGATGAAAGGGGTGGTTTATACGTCGTGTTATCGAAAGCGCATCTAGTTCCATCCCAAAGAGTTCTCCGCCATAACGGGGGCGCTGATCATCTGCGAGCGAGCGGTTCCGCGACTACCTTGGCTGGGAGCACGGCCACCGGCAGCGAACATCGAGCCACCGGCAGAACCTCCCTGGCTCATCTGCTCGACGGTCGAGCTGGAGCGCTGGTGCAGCTGCTTTCTCTTGCGGTAGCGGCGGGCAACCCAGAACATACCAGCACCGTACGCCGCAGCACCAGCCACGACACCAACTCCGATACCAACGGAGCTAGCCTTGGCCTTGGAGCTGCCGGTAGAGCCATCGCCGTTGTCATTGTTGCCATCATCCGAACCATTATCGGTGCTGCCGTGGGTGTGGCCACTAGTCGACTCACTGCTACTACCACTAGGGTAATTGCCAGAAAATTCAAGAGGGATTGTCGGGTCAACCATGGCCATTAGGGACTGAATAGACTCGCTAGACTGGTGGTAAAGAGCAGAGTTGGGGTTGACTTTCAGGGCTTTCAGGGCATCGACCTTATCGCGGGGGAAATAGAAGATAGCAAGTGTGGCATTGTATCCGGTAGCCTGCCAGTTGTAATAAGGCTCAAGAGCAAACATAACTGGGCTGTCCTTGGCAGAGAGAGCTGGCAAGGCCTTTTCAATGGCCTGGGGGGTGTAGTTAAAGATCTGCGACGACGACAACGGGGTAGTTGCCACAAAGGACCAAGGCAACTGGTTGTTGAATCCAAGCTGAAGCAAGACAGTATCAGACGGAGCCTCAGTGACGTCGTTTGACGGGGTGATAGAACCGGGGAGCGATGTTGGCTTAGGCTTCTCGGTCTCGCCGGAGGTAGAGCTCTCAGTAGTGGCAGCCGTAGGCATGATAAGGATGGTCGATGGCATCCAATCATTTTCATTGGGTGCAGAGGGCGCAGGCGTCTCGATTGGCATAGTCTGGGGCTCCACAGAGGTCTCGGCCGTGCTCGATTCGCTCGTCGATGTTAACACGGGAAGAGGGGGTGACGATGGGCGGAAGGTAGGCGTGGGAACCTTCGGTGTCTCGTGAGAGCTACTGGCGGGAACAGATGCAGTAGTGGTAGATTCCAAGACAGGGGCCGAAGCGGTACTTGAACCAGAGACGGTGCCGGATACAGTGCCGGATACAGTGCCGGAGACGGTGCCGGAGACGGTGCCAAATCCAGTGGTCGAGGTAGACTCCGAGCCGGGCAAGTGCGGGACGGGAATCGACCCAATAGAGTTGGTGGGGGTGGGGATACCACCAGTATTGGTACCTTGACTCAAGGTAGGAATTATACCAGTGGATTTGGACGGCAGAAGGCTACCGTTAGGCATTGTCGCAGTCGGGATCAAAGCAGTACTACCGGCGCCCGAAGAAGTAGAACCATCGAGTAAAGAATCCACGCTGGACGCGATGCCGTCGAGGAAATCATCTGCACTTGAAGATGCGGTAGGGGTGGGGGTAGTCGAGGGCAAGCCAGTGGTGGAAGCAGGAATGCTGACTGGGATGGTAGGCAGACTATAAACTTCCGAGGACGGGGTCGCACTGGTGCTGTTGCCTGTGGAAGACTTCTCACCCAGGCCCAAAAGGTCAAGGAGATCTAATCCCGAGCTTGTCGCGGTTGCGCTTGCGCTCGGGCTGCTAATCATGTTGACACTCGAGGCAGCAGGCGTTGCAGTTGAGGAGCTGTTGGTGGTTGTATCGTGGAAGAGTTTACTCAGGCCTGATCCTATTTCACCAAGAGGACCGTCGGTGGTTGTAGCGGATGCAGGGGTAGACACTTTGGACGATGAGTCGGGGGTGGGGATCACAGTTGGGAGAGTTGAAGAAACAGAGCTGGCAGTTGAAGAGACAGAGCTGGCAGTCGAGGAGATAGAACTAGCAGTCGCGGAGATTGAACCAGCAGTCGCGGAGATAGAACTGTCAGTCGCAGAAATAGAACTAGCATTCGAAGAGATAGAACTATCAGTCGCAGAAATAGAATCAGCACTCGAAGGGATAGAACTATCAGTCGCAGAGATAGAACTAGCAGTCGAAGAGATAGGACTAGCAGTCGAGGAGATAGGACTAGCAGTCGCAGAAATAGGACTATCAGTCGCAGAAATAGGACTAGCAGTCGAAGAGATAGGACTATCAGTCGCAGAAATAGGACCCTCAGTCGCAGAAATAGGACTATCAGTCGGGGGGATAGAACTAGCAGCCGCAGAGATAGAACTGGTAGTCGAAGGCGTGGAGCTGGTAGTCGAGTCGCCGCCAAGGATGCCACTCAAACCTGATTCCACCTCACCTAGCAGGCTGTCGATAGGGGTTGGAGTCGGAGAAGGCGTGGTCGAAGCCTTAACTGCCTTGTCCACGGTCGATCCCTCCTTGCTCGTGGTTTCCGCGTCGGCGGAAGCGACCTCGGAGTTCTCCTGAGAGGTGTTCTCTGTGCTCGAACCCTCAGTCTTCTCGGTAGTCGTGGTTGTGGTAGCAGTTGGCTCGCTACCAATGGTCGTAGTACCGGTGATACGGTGGGTGATCTCGGGGTTCTTAGGGTCAATCGAGATGGTTACAACAACAACCTCTTGTCCCTCTGTGGGTTGGATAGCAGCAGAGCTCTCGGGAGTGGGGGTGACCTCTGATTGGGTGGAAGAGCTCTTGGTAGAGACAACTTCATTGAGGACACTGTTGATGAACGAGGCGGGGTCAGCATCAGCGTTTCGGACGGCGTTGTTGCGAATCGTGCGCTTGACATCCTGTGGGAAGTCCCAGCGCGGGCGCTCCACATCGGCTTCGGGGGCATCCTGAGCTGCGACAAGCTCAAGGCCACCTACAGCTAGAAAGGCTGCAAGCACAGAGATGGCGTTTGGTCGCATGTTGAACGATTCTGTACGTGATAGCCCAGAGCAAGTCCAAGGTCGGTGTACAAAATGCGATGGATACCGTCTGTCAACACCTCATGGAAAATTGTATGGTGTGACAAAGGTTATATCGCCTGGAATATCCGGGTTTCCAATACAACCAGACTTCCGACAGTTGTGATATCTTCACAATTGCAACACGGTGATTATCAAGACTATCCAAACGTCTCGATGGCAACCGATGAGACAGACCGAATGGGCGCAATCAATAACTTCGACGATAAATGAATGGAAAGGGGGAGTTCAATAAATTTGAAACGACCCCCAAAAGGTAAAAAAGCGAGTGTGGGCTTGAAGAAGCTGTAAGGAGCGAGCGACGACTTTCTGTAGAACCGCCTGGGCAACGGGATCAAAGAAAGGGAAAACGGGCGATGCGGGCGACCGATGCAAGGGGAATTTGCCCTGGTCGAAAACGCCGTCGAACTAGGTCAACAGGCGAACACAGCAAAGCAGACAAGGGAGAGAAATAAAGGAGTGAATAATGAGTGAATGAAGTCGAGGATCGGAGAAGAAGATAGGATCACTCTTAGGGGGGGGGAGGAATGGGGGGGCGGGACACGTTGTGGCAGCGTCAACAAGGGTAATTTACTGTAATTTACACTTTTTTAGGGTATTTATGATATGGCCCGGGCGTTTTGGCAGGTGCGTGGGTTGTGGGCACGCACTTGCCCCTGAGCATTCCCCATTTTCTGGGTCGACATTTTGTGTATATACGGTGTTGTATGTACGGAGTACCTACTCCGTACATATAGGCACATCAGGTATGTACTCGTCTGAACCCGTATAGCTACCTAAGCTACTATAAATACGGCCGACAAGATACCTAGGGACCCTGCACGCCAGATATCGCCAAGGCAAAGTAGTCAGTCAACCAGGTAATGGACGATGCCATGCATTAAGCCGGAGTGGGAAATTAATTAGGGAAAGAATAAGCATCCCTATAGGCCCAGCTCTTGATCGGTATGGAGTACCTGTACCTCTGACTGCATCTCGCCTTGACATGTATCATATCGAGACCGTTGTACAGGTACTCTGTACTCGGACCCTATTCGCCTTCTTTCTTTCTCCCACGCCGATCGGCTCTGCAACGACCAATTCAATGTGGAATATGTGCTGGCCATTGCGAATGTCGGGGTTGACGATCTTTGGGAAACACGATGAGATCGTACTCCGTACCTCGATTCATGTCCAGATTGAGCGGGGACTTAGAGTACAGGTATAGTTTATGGCATGTATATCATATATATAATGTCAAAAAATATACTCCGTACTTCGTATCAACATGTGTTATACATATATCATATCTGATGCAATGGCTCAAAAGAAAGAAAGAAATATACTCCGTACAATGTATCGCAGTCTGGAGAATGGACTCCGTACGGAGTATATACTCCGTACTCCCGGGCACAATGGCATAATTGTGCACTCAAACAGCAAAAAGCCCAGAAATTCCAAATCAGGGTCTGGAAAGCGTTTTTCATTTCGCAGGCCGATCAGTAGCCCCAATAGCCCCGGAGACCATTGACGAAGACCCAAATGGAGTCGGAGCTAACCCCAGCCAAGCCGCGCATCATAATCTAAAAGATCAAAATGCGCACATCTCAAGGCCTTTCCCAGCACCGTTTCCGTCCGTCGCAAGGTCTAGCCCCGGGGGGCGTCGACTAAGTGGGTCGAGTCCACACACGCGTTCCTGGAAGTGCCCGCAAGGCCCAAGTGCGTGGCTCTTGGGGGCGCTTCTTTACCACCTCCAAGTGTATCCGATACACAGGCCTTTGCGCCAGGCACCCGGCTCACATTACCATTCTCGTTAGTGGCTTCAGCCCAGTCTCGTGCACTTAGCTCTTTCCGGCTTGGGATCAACAAAGAGATCGAATCAGAGGTGCATCCTAACTAGCCGCTGTTGCACAGAGTCGGTAAAAAAAAAGAAAAGAAAAGTTGGATCGTGCTGTGGATGCTGTGTCTGAAACTTGATTTTGTTATGAAGTACTCCGTACTCCGTGCCTACCTAGGTACATACCTAAGTACTGCAAATTCACGGGACCGATGTTTACATCTGTCTATAAGTATCTTGAAAGGTGACATCTCTGCTGGTTCAAGCCGTGGAAGTAGGGGATGAGCCCTGGCTTCAAATTGGGTCGTTAGTACTCCGTACTCCGTACGGAGTACATACTCGTATCCAACAGATATTAAGGATGTCTCACCCCGTACGGAGTACAGAGTACACAATTAGGTTGTCTCCAGAATAATACGGATTAGATTAATGGGAACTAGCACGAACACCTGCTAATGGTCTATTCCACCTGATTAGCCCGTGATATCGACAGATTGGATAGACCACGTGCCTCTCCGATCGGAATGGAGGAGTTGCGATTTCCCCTCACTCCTGTCGTCATTTTCAGATGTCCAGCATTCTTGTGTTGGAGATTGTGCTATCCAATGCCCAGTGGAGGGAACCTTCCTAATTAGGCCGAGTCATATTCGCCTTCGAGAAATGCCTCCTTTTCCTGCCCTGAATTTCCACCGATGATCCAAAACTAAACCTTCGGGGCTGTGGCTGCATGGTGCACGGAATCCCAAATTCGAGAAATCTTTCAAGATGCAGGAACAAAGAATTGACCCCTGGGGGGTTAAATATAACTAGCTCCGCCCCATTCTCTTTGTCGTGACACTTGTAGATCCCGATTCAGCGCAGGGCTCTGACTATCTTCTCTAGCAACACCTGAATATAGTACTCCGTACGGAGGGATCTTGGAAATTAACCATCTCGTTGTGCCCATTTATAGGTACCTACCCGGAACGGAATATGCTTTCCAGGGGCTCATCAGTCGTACCAGGGACGAGTGGCAACGCTAGTCCTGTTCCTGAACGCTCTGGCTTCCGTCTCCACCCGTCATCCTTGGTTTCAGCGTGTATTGCCTGGAAAACAACAAAAGTTACACGTAGTCAATGGTCGATCGCAGTGTAATATTTCTCGGCTGTAAATTACAAGATCATGTGATCGCTACGTTCGCACATTGGATTCTTGTCCCGGTGGAGAAGAAAAGCAATGAAACAACTCCGGTGGAGTTGCTCTGCCTGACAACGGATTGCATATCCACGTCATCTTCATCTCCGTAGTCCACTTCAAAGTTTAGAACTGCGTCCATTGCCACCCTTGGTAATCAAACCAGAAGCCTCGATTTCCACGTCCGTTCCCTTGGGGAGAGCCTTCACGCAGATGCAAGTACGGACCTAGAAGGGCCAGGCCCAATGTTAGTGAGAAACGGTCCGCTTTGCCAGGTATACACGTGGGGGGAAAAGAGGCGAGTTCCAAACTGGATCATATCTCCTATTGGAACGCAATTTCCTTGAGGTGATGAGTTACTTACCGGCTTGGGGTCCGAGAAGAAGGTTTCATAGACTTCGTTCACACCAGGGTAATCAGCCATGTCGGTGATGAAAATGTTGAGCTTGATGGCATCGCGGAGACTTGATCCGCCAGCCTCCAGGACGGCATTGAGATTGTTCAGGATTTGTCGCTATACGTTATATGTGTCAAAAAGGAATAGGTCGCAAGTCAGATGTGCGTGTCTTACTGTTCGGTCCTTGACGCTGCCTTTCACGAATTCACCTGTGGTCGGGTCTACGCCCAACTGGCCAGAACAGTAAACCACGTCACCAACGACCAGACCTTGGGATAGGTATGGGGATGGGGGTGGTGCACTCTTGGTGCTGACGGGGGTACGTGTTGCCTTGGACATTTTTAAGGGATTTGGGAGATTTGGGAGATTTGGGTCACGGAGAAATCAGAGGGGAAATTGTTGAGACCTTCGATTTCGCCCCCTGGGGTTTCTGTGGGGATTGCTAATCGATAGCACCTTACCCCACACTCGATTTACCGAACACTCCACGGCGAGGTGGTGTGTAGAGGTCATCACTAGTTATTCTGTTTTTCAGTGGGATCGTTGGCGTGGGATGGCGTCATTTTGGATTTTTTTATGCCGTTGGGGGGAGTTCGAGAATTTCGTCAACCGATATCGGCACTCGTGATATATATCGGCATGCAACATCCTTGAGTCACCCGAGGGGTGTGTACTTGACCATATATACCACACCAAAACAGTAAATATTTCAGAGACGTCAAAACGGAGAACACCAAGCCCAAGGACAAAATAGCAACACGCAAAGTGCTTGCCGTATGCATGAAACCACCGGAAATTCCAACCGTGGCCAACCAACACCGGAAGACATGTGGGATAGGAGGTGATTTCTCCACTGCAATTGCTTGGCCAATTTGAACCCTTGTACCAATCCCATCTGATTGAAAGAGCATCGCAGGGCACGCTCATAGAACGAGAAGATAATATGGAGGGTTTAGTCCGATCGGTGGACTATTGCTCGCCCACAAGCAGGTGGTATTATCGGACTAGAAGGTAGGAAATATTATCTGCTATCGTTCCCCCTCACAAGAACAAGAAGTTAAGTTGTCCACGTACACCTAGACATCGTAAATATGCGCAGAGATACGTAGGTAGCATATACTCACCAGGAATACCCCAGCGCAGGGTACGATATACTATATCCGAAGAGCCGGCTACTTCCACGTGCCATTTATATAAAAAACAAAACTCAACGCTAAGTCAAAATCGACATATAATCACCAGAGGATTGATATCATCTAGGCCCAAGGCATTTTCCAGGCAGCGTTATCATATGTTACGAAGTATACTGGTGTTATAACTGGAATGCAGATACACGAAAGCAGCAACAAAACATTCCCCACATTCTATCTCTACCATAGAGAAATGGTGCGCTTACAGAGACCATCTTATATCTTTTGAATGCGATTGAGGGACCTCATAGGGTTATGACAGGATCGAGGGAGGTTTATCCATGTGATTATACAATATAGGAGCGTTCATTGATATCCAAGATAGAAGGCCCTTGAAGGGCCTCGGTAGGTCGTAGTCAAATTTGGTTGTACAGGTTAATAGAGCAGTTAATGACAGAATATTCCATCATCCCAGCATGTTAGCTCAGGGGAAGAGCGCCGGGCTCATAACCCGGAGGTCCCTGGATCGAAACCAGGACATGCTATGTCTACTTCTTTTCTTTTTGCTTTTTTCTCTTCTTACATTCCCCATATTCATCATTATCTAGATGCTTAATAAATTTCGGATTCATAACCACCCAGCATGTTAGCTCAGGGGAAGAGCGCCGGGCTCATAACCCGGAGGTCCCTGGATCGAAACCAGGACATGCTATATGTCTATTTCTTTTTGCATTTTTTTCCATCTTCTGGATGCATCACGTCATGCGTACCTCAAACTACCTAATATCGAGCATCTTATCATCACCCAGCATGTTAGCTCAGGGGAAGAGCGCCGGGCTCATAACCCGGAGGTCCCTGGATCGAAACCAGGACATGCTAAGCATTCGATTCATATCTTTTTCTTTTTAGAGTATCTTTTTTCTCGGGTTCCCGCTCGGGTAGACTGTAAATTTGCTCGGGTAGACTCAAACTTCGGAATAGCCCAATTAGGAAAGACACATTTACACCTCTACTGGGCTATCCTTTTTCTCAGGGTCCTTCACTTTAAAATATGTTTATTAGGGCCCCTTTAGGTTGGAAATTTAGGATTTTAGGAACTTCAGATTATATTCAATAGGTGTTGGGAGGTTTGGTATTTCTCGCTCCTAAAATTTAGAGTCTATCCGAGCCGTATGCCTCTTTTTTTTTCTTCTTCTTCTAGCTGTAATGACTAGGCTATAGGCCCCTTCAGGTCCTAATCTTTCAACCAATCAGCATGTTAGCTCAGGGGAAGAGCGCCGGGCTCATAACCCGGAGGTCCCTGGATCGAAACCAGGACATGCTATTTGTCTATTTTCTTTTTTTGTCATTTTTCTCTTTCATGATATCTTTTTGTCCCGTCATACTCAAATGATATTCCTCTTCGTTCGGAGACTCTGTAGACTTGAAGCAATTGCTTAGGCTCGAAGCTCCTATCCGAAAGTACCTAGGCATGTACCTCATTTTTGACTAAAACGGGATTATATACGGAGTACCTAGGTACCTACCTAGGTAGGTGTAGTAATAATTTGTTATACAATGTTTTCATTTTTTCCAAAGTGGTACCCGTTTCATTCGTAACCCGTCTGCGGTCCAGTTGGGCACAAACCTAGCCGATCTCAACAAATAGTGTACCGGTATGTGTCATGTGTCATATTCTAGGTGACTTTCAGGACATTTCGAGCACTCACACTAATGAAACCACATAGTTACTAATAAACGACGTTATGTACCTAGCCATGAGACAACATCTCTGCTATGCTGCATGTCTAAATAGCCAAACTATTATATACTGAGACTCATGGTAGGAGGGAGGAAAACTTCCCATAGAAAAAATAGGCACATACCTTTTAGGTAGATATAGCCATATACTGCGAATTTGATAAGAATAAAAAAACTCGCCGTACAAGTCACATATAGAAGGGTAGAACTGATTAGGAAGTTCTCTGTAAGTCTTGCCATTTTGATATTGGGCAAATGACTACTTGAGTCCATAATCTCAAACTTACTTCAACCAATCAGCATGTTAGCTCAGGGGAAGAGCGCCGGGCTCATAACCCGGAGGTCCCTGGATCGAAACCAGGACATGCTATACCTCTATTTCTTTTTCTTTTTTGCTCCCCGTCAATTCTCTTGAGAAACCTGTGTCTTCGTCATATTATTCTTCTCTGCACTTGCATGCAGGCTATCCTTTTTCTATACTTCACTATTTACACATTTCACTTTGAACAACGCAATATAATCGAGAAAAGCTTGTATGTAGAGCCAAGTGTACATATGTGATCTCGAGGATCTCTCTGCTGAGATTGCGCGCTGAACGTGCCAATGTCTCTTCAACGCCAGACTCTACTCTCGGGAAAACCCGTCAAGTATGTCAAGCAGAGAGTTCATTTTCATCACATTATGATGTCCGTTAGTTTCCAACCATGCGAACTATTCTCCGCTTCCATTGCTTCCCTTGACGGAGATCGCAAAGCGACCAGCAGGGTCGTCTATCCGCGCTTTGCGAGCATAGGCATGTCGATGAAGGGTGTCAGCCAATTCAAACTGGAAAAAGACTTCCTCTCGATCAGTGAATTTCAGTCCCAGCTTTCGGGAGATTGTAGAACGATAACCTCCCATGCTTATTTCGCTGAGTTCACCGCAGTGACCTTCTTTCACGATGGCATTTTTACCAGCCATATATTCTTGCAGTTCGCCAAATTTCTTCTCCCAGGTTTCCTGGGTGTGCTTCTGTCTCAATTCATGAAGATCTTGGTAATACTCGCGAAGAGCAGGATCGGGTGAGTTACGAATGTCGTTGAAGGTGTCTCGTAGGTTCTCAGCCCATTGGCGCATAACTGGATTCTTATCGAATAGGTATTCCCGAAAATCAAACCTTCCACACACCGCATCTGTATTAGGAACGCCAGTGAATCCTTGCCATAATGGCAGCGCGAGATTGATATGGCTACCGGCCTAGAGCCTTGTGAAGTTTGTGGGTAAAAACTCGTCTAAATGAACCCCTCTTAGCGTTTAAAACATCAGACTCATCCACATTTCCTGTAGGTTTATGAGGAGTTCACTCTCTCCTGTGGTAACAGCATCGTGGGTAGCAAGTGTAACGAACACTGATTCCATCTTCGCATTTGAATCCTATATTGTGTAATGCAATGAGCGCTGGAATCCTCGACGATATGGACTTTTGTGAGTGGCGATTCTGACACAGACTTTGATAGCTTGGTCGCCATAGACCCAGAAGCAACCAGGGATATTCCATCTCCACAGAATGTGGAGGTAGACACCGACATAATCGGAATCTTAGGGATTACCCCGGAGTCCATCCAAGCTTGGGGAACAGGGTTAATAAAGTTCCAGGAAGTCTCTCAATCCTAGTTTGGGGGAGACCTATCCTGAATAGGTGAAATGATCAGTTTCACATATGTCTCTCCTAGCCGGAGACAAGCTGCTCCCAAGAACATTTCCCATGTCGATGGTATCAAGTATATCTGCATATCTCTTGTTGTATTTGGCTCTGACCCGAGAAATAAGTTGCCGCAGAATCGAGGTGCGATCGATGATTCTAAGATTTTTGCACTGGAGTGAAGGTGGGATAGTCTGATGAGTAGGAATGCTAACCTTCTTCCTCTATTAAGACTTGAGGGCTGAGATTTATAGCGTGGTTCCAAAAGTTATGAGTATTATACGTGTATAGCGTATCGACAGTAAAACGAAAAGCTGGATTAACGAACGCGAATCGAACCCGTGAGGCCGCTGGAGAAAAGCTACCATATAACCCAGGGAAAATAATAGCTTATGATTGAGATAGTGGGGGTTTTTAATCTCTATACATTGGATAATTATCGAGGATGTATTCTCCGTTGCATCGAAAGCATAAAGCACGCATATAATGATTTCTAATATGACCGAAGCTCCCGCATTTTGTGCAGAAAAAACAGAGATGTTGATCATATCCGTCTTGTATATAAGAGCTGTAGTTGTGAATGGTTCATCCATGATATCAATCAACCGTATCGGATCGGGTGGAAGGTTTAGGATGAGGGTATATTTGTCATTAAGAAAGGTGATTGTGTGAGGCATCTGGGGAAAATGAACATACAAGACAGCCATTGACTTGTAGTGGTGTCATATTGCGCATTGAAAAACAAAAACAAAAAAAACAACCCCAATACCATGCTCGTAATATCCCATAACTCCTACCTACATGCCGCATTGGAAGATGAGACGTCTGCGATGACGATGTTCATCTGTGACATCATTGCTGACATAACTGTCGCGGGGGAGCCGAGCTGTGGAAGCTGATTGGCCGTACTCCACGACGATCCGGAGTCCTCTGGTCCTCTGGTCTTCTGTCTTTGTTTCATCGCCCCTTGGTCCCTTCTGCTTGATGCTCTATATGGCAGAGAAGCTCTGGGAATATTGCCACTGTCCAATTTACGACTATCATTTTGGTTTTTAAGAACTCTCCACAGGATCAACCGGGCCAACATCAAGACTCCTCTCTTATCACTATACTCCACAAGTGGATCAGATCGACAACAGGAGCCATCACTTACAACGGTATACTGTGAACATTATCAGACTTTTGATAACGCTAAGAGCTATTTCTTGGTGGGTTTGACGGAATATTCCCGAGTTCTGGCGCACGCGCCCAAGGAACAATCATGAGTTCCTCGGTTGCAATATCAATCAGAACGCCCAACACTCGGGTCCTTCGCCCACCATTCGCCCAATTGGTGCCCACCCATATCTCACAGAGTCGGAGTATGTGGCGGTGTGCACGAAATAGCCAGGACAAGAGCACAGAGCGCACATCGCAGCGTGGTAGGGATGAGCGATACCCTCCATACAACCAGCGGATGTCCGAGACTCGATATGACACCACTACTAATCCCAACCCTACGAACTCAAGCTGGAGCTGGGAATCCTGGCGATCGCAATCAAGCTTCTCAAACCTATCTGCTGGCTCAGAGAGGGAATCCCGGGATTCGGATTCAGGGCACACGCAAACGCACATCGAGTTGTTGAGAAAGTACATCGAGGCAGAGCCGTACAGCGCCTTATTTGGGCGTAGATTAGATCCATTTAACAACTTCGGCCAATATGATACTTTATGGAACGGCTTTTTGCAATCGTTATCCAGAACAAAAAAGTCCAACAACACCAAATCCCCACGAGCAGACAAATGGCAACCAAAAAGTTACCCCAATCATGTTGGACTTCAGTATGATCCCATCAGTGGACGTATGGTGCCAATATCATCACTCACTGGATATGGATCAAGCAAATTTAGAGCAAGACCCAAATCCCAAACAGTGACGGACTGCCCCCAGGTACTGAAGTCGAGGCAAACTTTGCCTCGGACCCCAGTTTGACAGAAAACGGACAAGTCCAGCCAGGAAGCACGGGATCAAATCCTATAGCTCTGTTGAGCTCGCAGTCAACAAGTGATTACCCTCCAGGTAGCGAACTGGAGACAATTTTCAATGCAACTCCTATCATATCTCAGGATGCGCATGCCAAGACTCAAAATTACCAGGCAAATGAGAGAAAACCTGATATGGGTTTCGATTGTCCCCTTGGAAACGAATTAGACTCATTATTAGTTTCTGAATCTGATTCTTCAGTACAAACCCAGCCGGACAGGTTCAAGGTAGATGAAACCCCCAATGGACTGAACCTGGATGCCGGGTTGAGCGTGGGCACCAGCGTGGAATGCTCTCCAGGCAGTGAACTGGAGGCCAAATCCATCTCTCATCCTGCCAGCCGCTGTGTTCGGAGCCCTCCGTCTAGATTAGAGACACAGTGCCCAAATAAGCAACTGGGAATTTCCGTTGATTGCCCGCCTGGGAATGAGCTAGATGCTAAACTCTCTTCCGAAGCTACTGGGTTTATCCCCAAGACAGATAATCCTACCTATAAGGATATCAACAAAATCACTCATACATCTCATCAAGGAAGCTTTGAGTGCTCGCCAGGGAGCGAGAATGAAACACGAATTGTGTTTGAATCAACCAGCCAGGGCGTTCCCGAGTCGAAAGCACAGACTCCAATTAATTGTCCTCCTGGAGGTGAACTGGAGACCAATTTCATCTGCAATCAAGCTTCTGCCAAGGGAAAGGTTTTGCAGGCAGACATGTCCCCTAGCGTTGATAGCTCCCCCGAAGCCAATATCGCTGTCGATTGTGCACTCGGGAATGAGTTGGAGGCCAAGTTCATTTGTGATATGGCGAGTGCTAAGAGTTCTGATGGGCGTGAGGATATGGGGGCCTTGAATGCTGACGAAATTCGTTCTCGTTACGTTCCTTCGGAATCAAATACAAAGCCACCCCTGTTGGAATCTGATGCTTCAGAGGACCGTGTAGGCGATTCTATCTTGCAACGTCAGAACCCAGCCATTGAAAACACAGAGCAACCACCGATTTCTCACAAAAGGAGCCCTAAATTTCATATTCTTGCTTTCGATACGTCGACATCGCAGGTTTCAGCGACGGAAGCAGACTCATTCTTCGGTATCGACAAGGATGCCCGACCAAATGAAATTTTATTCCGACTACACAGCCCTGCCAAGTTCATACCCTATTTTAAGAAGATGGAGGAAGATGGGTACGAGATTGCAACCGGCGGGGGCAATATTCTCGTCTTCCGCAAGGCCCAGAGCGATCCTAGTCATACTTTACCCTCCAGTACCGCGACAAACCAAGACCCATCAATCCATCCAGATGTTGTCGAATATCTTCTCCACGATTCCCTAGACCCCGCCAGCGTATACCCCGGGGGTCCAAACCCACCCACCACTGAGGTGAGTGGACAGTAGGACCGTCCCTTCAAGTAAATTTTTAACAAGTCGACTTAGCCTCCGACGCCCGGACCATTCAACCTCGAGCCCGAAGTAACCCAGAATTCGGAGTCTACGTTTCGCAAAGCAGGTCGCAGAATGCTCCTAGCAGGCACTATCACTGCAGCGACATGCTATGCCATCGGAGTCGTAACGGAGTTCTTCCGCACCGGTGGACAGGATGGGCGTGGAACCGATGGGCTCACTGCATTTGAGGCGGATCGGCGTCATCGAGAGTAGACCGTATTCATGGTGGATTGTACTCGTATCTAGTATGATCATTGGCAAGTCAGACATCGTTTCAACCTCAGGAAGTAAGACTGTGATGCATATAGAGCTGTAACTATGACTCATGTGTTGTGACTTGCAATATTGGCTTTGCTTTTGAATTGTGAGATGAAGACAAGTATCATGCTAAATCCTGGAAACAAGTAGATGAATGGAAAATATGGCGGGACTGCAGCATATTCATCCTCGTTTATAGTTCATTTCCTCTCTTTGTGAGGCTATGCCCGATTATAATACTGCGTCTATAGCGAAGAAACCGTGTCAACAGAGGATATTAGCGAGAGAGCTTGGAGTTTGATTTGATCAGGATGCCTTGATTTTTTCTTTTGAACAAAATTGTATTGGCAGTAAAAATACGTAGAAATCTAATGCAGTATCGTGAAAGTCCCGCGCAGTCAGTGGCAGGTAACTATGCACTGTTGAGATGCAAAACCAGTGTTTTGAATAAAAGATATTTCTATACACATCCAATTTGTAAGGGCCACACAGTGGTCATGTCGGAAGGATGCGATTAACATAAAAAAGAACAAACCCACCTATGTGCATTCATGCCAAAAAGGACTGAAGAGAATCAAACGCCAGGTGTGAGAGGAAATGGACATTAGACTTGAAAGCCCATCAAGCAGTCAATGCAAAGCTGAGCCCCATTAACCCCATGCCCGCAACGGCGAACCCAATTCCCATTCCGCGGTGATGAGTGAGACCGAGTCCCTCACTGAACAGTTGCAATGCAACTGAAGTCATGACCCCGGCGGTGGCGGCGAACATGCCCCCGTATATACCCCACGAAGGTCCAGTGACATCATCGCTGCCGTGTTGGCCAGTGCTCCAGATCCAAAGAGCAGCTAGACCAGCACCGGCGGGTTGACTGATGCCTCCCAAAAGACTGGACCAGAACATGGCTTTCCAACGCGAGCCGAGAGCGAGGTAGAGAGGAAGTGCCATGGCGAAGCCTTCTACAATGTTGTGAATGAACAATGCCAAGAATACTGTCAGTCCAAGAGTTGGACTGGCATGGTTGGTCGCATATGTAATAAAACCCTCGGGAAGTTTGTGCAGAGCAATGGCAAGCGAGGTCTGGAGACCAATGGAAAGGAATGCGTTTTGAGGGACATGATGATGGTGGGGGTTGCCAGTGGCAGATTTGGGGCGTGTGGAGCTGATGTCGTCCCCATGATCGTGGGGTTCGCCATGATAATGATTCTCGGAATGGGTGTCTAAAACTTGAGACGAAGCAGATGAGGCGACGCATGGGTGCATATGATGTTGTGCCGAGATATTATCAAAATATCCCCCATCCGGTGGGACAGACGTTTGTTCATTGCCAACGTTAGTTTCCGCGCGGGAGATTTCCGACTCTAGTGGCACTGAGATGCTGTCACGATGCAATAGGCTTGGTCGTGTATGTTCATTAACGGTAGATGGTGGCAGCACCTTGGTGCATTCGCGGCCACAAGTTTGAGAAATTCCAAAGCACGGGCCGTTCTCGTCACAGGTGGGCTTGACGCCGCCCATAAGAGAAGTAATGCGGCGCGTTAGCATGGCCTGCATCGTTTCGCGGCGTCTGGGCGCTGGTTCAGGATGTTGGCTGCGCTGGACCACCGCGGGCATTGATTTGAAGGAGAGATTCTGGCTAGGGCGTAAAAGCGGAGTTTGTTCGGTATGTCCATTCGTATGGCTGTGTGCATGATGATCCTCATGTCGGGGCTCAGCGCGCTCGGGATCACTTTCCGATTCGTCATGAGTATGTGCACAATCAACAACATGAGATGGAATGAATCGGTGTGCAAATGCAGATACAATCTGAATGCCTGCTACTCCAGCAATGAAAAGTCCAATCAAAATATATGCAGATACAGCGGGTGAGAAACCGGCGCGCGTTAGGTACTGTTTCGAGGTGGGGAGCATGCTATAGAGGGAGGTGAAGAGCTGCTTAGAATTAGCATTGAAGACTTGCATGAGAAAGACAACTCACCATAACCCCGGCACTAAGACATAGCGAAGCCGACAGAAAGTTACTACTGTTGGCGATCTGGAAGCTCTTGCGATGGGAAAGCACCCGCACCACCACATCGACGCAGATGACAGTCGAACCGAGGACACAAGCTGAGTACAATTAGTGATTGTAAAACAAAAGACCGGTGACACTTACCGACGCCTGAGACGGCGCTCATTACCCAGCCCCGAAGATCGTTGGCAGCCATGGCGAAGTTGAAGAAAACGGAACACGGTGATGTAATTGGCAATGGGCACCGGCGGGGGGGCGGTCAACACTTCGCCTCTTTGAAGAGCAGTGAACAGCAATGAACAGCACTGGAGGGCAGTGAACAGCAGTGAAGACGTTGAAGCCATTGAAGGGTTTTATGCAGACCTGAATGCATCTCTCGTCCCCAAGGTTCTCATCTGCGCCCCTCTCATGGCTGGGATCTGGGATGTGATTGACTGAGTGTCCAAGTATGCAGCGTTAAGATGCAGAGGATCGAAGAGTCAAAGGGAAGTTGCCTGACTGCTCTCTGACTACGGAATATCTCATACCTAGGGCATCCCTCTACCTATAAAGTATCATGTCGGCTGATATTGGATCTGCAAGGCCAGATCATCGAGGGCATCTTGACGTACGCAGGGGGCACGAGGGGGAGTCTTGGGACAAATGACCATCCCCGATGATTTGAATCAAGAACTATGCCTGTGATCGGGACTTAGAAGACCGGAAGATAAATGAGACACCCTTCTCCAACAATATAGTCGAGGGTGCACCAGTGAACCCTCTGATTGGCCCGTGACTCTCCGTCTTTTCATTGTCTCCGGTTCCTGGCTTCTCTCAAGTCAACGCTTCAGATCAAAACATTAGGGGAGCCATGTCTAAAGCAACTCTGGCCGTCATCGCTGCTGCTAGCGCAGCCACTGGAGCCGGTGTCACTGCACTGCTCTTCTCCGGCAAGCCCTCCAAGCAGCAACAACAACAGAATCTGCCTCCGACACCTACAACCCCCGACCTGAAACTGCCCTCAACAATCCCAGCCCCGACCCTGGCAGCCAAGGCAGCCACTGGCCCTGTCGATCCCGCAGGAATCCTCCAATATGGTTTCCCGGGACCAATCGCCGACGAGTTATCCTCCCTCCCACTCCACGGCGCTTACGACCGACGCACACGTAACCCATCCTGGGTCGCGGAACACATCACACCGGAATCTCTGGCCGTGAACAATGCCGACCGGAAGAAGAGCACCTTTGTCGAGGACACGACCATCCCATCGATGTTCCGCGCCAAGTTGTCCGACTATTTCCGCTCGGGCTATGACCGCGGACACCAGGTGCCAGCGGCGGACGCGAAGTGGTCGCAGGATGCGATGGACGGAACATTTGCGTTGAGCAACATGTGCCCCCAGGTCGGAGAGGGCTTCAACCGCGACTACTGGGCGCACTTTGAGACTTTCTGCCGTGATCTCGTGAAGCGGTATCCCTCCGTCCGCATCGTCACTGGCCCGTTGTACCTGCCTCACCGTGACCCCGATGGCAAGTGGCGTGTGAACTACGAAGTTATTGGCAACCCGCCTAACGTCGCTGTGCCGACTCACTTCTACAAGGTCATCTATGCCGAGGATGGCACCAACTCGCCCACAAGCAAGGTTGCGCTCGGTGCTTTCGTTCTGCCCAATGCGCGCATTTCGAATGATAAGCGTCTGACCGACTTCGAGGTTCCTCTTGAGGCCGTGGAGCGTGCCTCGGGTCTGGAGTTCGGCTCTAAGTTGGATCTCAGCCGCCGTCGTCGTCTGTGCCAGGAGGTGGCTTGTCAGGTCACCGTGCGCGAGTTCAACAATGCTAAGAAGCGCTCTTGAACTTGAAGCCGCAGATGAGGACAGACTGAGTTCTCCTATTGACTTCCCACATGGCTTCATTGTATTTTTCAGAACATTGTATTTGCATGGTTCGGGCGTTCATAACCGCTCCGGGCGGCAGTATCAGTATATTTTTTTTTATCGTACACACAATCCAGAATGGTCTTTGATCTCATTTCTGAATCTCAGTTGCTCAGCATTGGAAGGCAACCCCGTTCTTCTTCCCCATATTACCACCTTTGCTAGCAAACCCGGTTCCCTCGGAGGATATCTCCACCAGACCGGGTTGGATAGCATCCTTATCCTTCTTCTTAGACTTCTTGGTCCCATTCCCATTCCCATCTGGTTTTGATTTGGCCGTAACATCCGCCTCACAGACATAGCATAGAACTTGGCCATGCAGAGCAGCTGTTTTCTCCTGCTCCTCTTTCGAGGCGTGTGGATCGGGGACATGGTGTTCGTGGGGGGTCATGAATTTCGTTACACATGGAGAGCATATGACATGGCCGCAAGGCTTTGTGACTGTTCGTAGGGAACTATTAGCATCCAATAACTGTATCGACTTCCTTTCCACATACGTATCGCCTTGAGCCCATTACTCAAGTTCTTTTTGCAACTCGGACACACCCTGGATACAGTTCCGTCCGAAGCCTTCTCTTCTGTAAAATGAACCTCGACAAGCGACTTGAGCGAGTAGCTATGCTTACTCTCATCTGTCGAGCCGGGGCAGATAGGCGTCAATTTGACAGCCTTGTTAGCGGCTATTTCATTCGCATCCGTATTCGGCGTGAGAGATGGTACCCAGAAGGAGGGGAGAGCCGATTTGCTGGATTCAGACTGGAAAGCAATGTTAGCCAGAGTCCTCTCTCCCATTGAGAACCAGAGCTTCTCTAGCTTCTAGCCAAGCCACAAACCTTCTCCATCTTCAACTCCCTCCTCACCCTATCCATCTCCTGTGCAGCAACCCGCGCCATCTCCTCCTCGCCAAGCTCAAAGACTCTCTTTCTCTTACCATCAATCTCCACCTCTCTCGCCTTAAACTTCTCCAAAGCCTCCGACTCCTCAGCCTTGCGCTTTTTCCCCACACCCGCACCACCCTTATTCTCCAGCCCCATAGAGACAAGCTCGAAATCCTTCAGATCTCTTTCTTTCATATCAGCGAGCGAGCGCTCTTCATCCTCCGCAATGCGTTTCCGCGCGTCGTCGCGCTCTTTTTCGAGTCGCTTGATCTCCTGGCGCTGCGAGAGGAGATCGTTGATCGCGCACTCACGGCAGAAGAGGTCACCATTGCTGGCGCATGCGACCACGGGTGCTCGCGCCGGTTGTAGACATAGTCGGCACGAGCCAAAGGCGAGGAAGCTGTCGCGGCCGATTGCGCTGTGTTTTGTACCCCATGTTGAGCGCAGTAGACCGCGCTCGTAGGAGGTGAAGTGGGGAAGAGAGGTATTCCGCTTGGAGTGCGCCATTGAAGGTTGATGCTTTGGGGAAGGGTACTTCTTTGGTGTCTACGGGCAGCTTCGCAGATGGCGTAATGGCTTTTTGGTCGGGGAGTTTGCGGTCGGTGGCTGACGGAGACCCGTGATTGGTGGGATGGAGTTACCGCCTGGTTCACCGCTTTGATAGGTCTGGTCACCGTTTCTCTCTGTACGCTTGTCTACACCTGGACATATATATATATATTTTTTTGAGGGAAACAGAAAGAGAGATAGCTAAATCATGGTCATAATTCGCTTTTGTCTATCGATGATTGCAAAGTCTCGGACTCGAATCAAAAGCATACTCGAAATGAAATGCCGAGGCCATGAAGAGATCACAACACGCCCATGCATGTGGCCTGTATTGCAGGTCCAATTCAACAATCCGACAGAAAATGCATAGAATTCCCATTCCCATAAACACAAATACAAACAAAGATACAGAGAGATGCTCGATGACCCAGACCGAACCGAAAACTTATCGCAAAACCGGGATTCACCGTATGTCAATGCAGGAGCAGAAAGAAAAGTCAAGCAGTGAGAGAAAAAAATTGAGTTGCAAAGTCTGAAAAAAAAAGGGGGTATAATAATCGTCAAGCAGAAGATCAAAATCAGAATGGTTAGGATGTACAGAAGAAGGAAAAGAAGATAGGGGTTGATAGGAGGAAGAGGCGATGAGAGATCAGGCGCCTACGGCCTGCTCACGTAGGTTTTCGCTGGATGGTGTATCAAGAATTCGTTCATTGATAGACGTAGAAGATGGAGAGGGGGAGCCGTCGTGTCTTGGTGCGGAAAGATGGCCCTTGGAGACTGTGGAAGAGGGAGAAAAGTTGATGGGTTCGGTGTCTTGGAGATTGGCATCGCGAGTCGGGAATGAAGTGACCACTGGGGAAGCCGGGCACCCGATATCTTCTTCTGGTTGCTCTTGCTCTTCCTGGGCATCTTTGAACTCTGCCAGATCGTCGTGGGTGCGCACGCTTCGGCCGGTGGCGGTGCTCGTGCTGCGCAGCGAGTGAGGTCGTTCCGGGCTGCGGTCGGTCACCATTGACTCACCGCTGCCGATAGGAGTAGGTTCTGATGTCCGTGGCTCTTCATGTGGAGTGGGCTTGCGAAGCTTGAGGCGCTCTTCCGGGGGTATGTTTTGCCATTCAGAACCGAAGGTGATGATCGACGCTTTCTTGCCGTGTACGGTGAAACTGGGTGCCTTGCGAGGAAGAACTTCGCCTTCACCCGATACTTGATCGTCTTCCTCCTGCCCAGTGCTGGATATCGAGCCGCGTTTTTTCTTTGAGTGTGAGTGGCCTTTATGAACATGCGAATCACGAAGGGTGCGATGAAGGCTGCGACGTACGCGACTGGGTTTATCGCTCTTGTCGCTTGGGGTTGCGTCAGCTTCGCTGGATTGTCCGAGGATTGCGTCAGGTGCGATCTCTTCGTCCCTGCAAATTGATGGCGAGGCCGGCAATTCTAATAGACCAGCTTCCCTTAGAACGCGTTCTTCACCGTCATCGAAGCTCATAGGCAATGTCAGTTTTGACGTTTTAGATGCAAGACTAGCTCCATCCCACCGACTAGCACGGCTGAGAACGGATGCTTCACGCTCGAGTTTGATAGTCGTCGGATCGGGCGAGTATGACTTCGCACGTTCGGGGACACCCACAGCAGAGCGCCGCCGACCGACGCGAGATATGTCGGATGAAGTGAACGATGCCGGGATACTGGGACGACGAAGTTCCTGTTTCGAGGGTTTCGCCAGTAATCCAGTCTCTGACGGCTGCTCGGCCGGAGTCGCATTAGTCTCAGGGGTATCATCCGAGACAGTATGCATGATACTACCAGCTCGATCCACACTTGGCTCTGATGCCAAAGACGGCCCAGAAAGAGAGGCCAGACGTGCTCCATCCGACTGTGATGGTGTCGGTTCAGCAACCGACCCGACCCTACTCTCAACTGCTTCATCGTCCTCCCCTAAATCTCGCAGGAGAACCTGGCGGTAACATTTACTACGCCAGATATCTTGTCTCACCCATTTGATTTTGGCAGACAACCGGCCTGCAGCCAGGATCACGCTTTCGCGGGCCCGAGCATGAACCGGAGTGAGAAGCTGCAAGTGTCGAGCATTTTGTAACAGGTCTTCCAGTTGCTTTTGCAATACGGACAGCTTTTCGTTTCTCTCTTGAATCTTTTGGCTCATCAACTGTTGACGGGCAGCAACAAACTCGGCAACAATGTCGGTATCTATGCTCGGCGAGGGAGGCTCTATGTCCGTCGACTGGTGAGATTTTTGTGAAGAAATCGAGCTTAATCGTTGGCTCTTGCGGTATCGCTGACCTTCATAGTTAGTGGCGATCATTCCCTTGGTGCGCACACCAGTGGTTCTGAAGGCTGCAGCATAATTAAGATGCGCAAGCCAGTCATTCATTTCGGGCTCAGAGCTAGCAAGGAACGTCTCCTCCATCGCGTTGTGTCGTACAAACGTGAATGCGTATTTGTGCTTTTTGTAACTCGAGTCCATGAGGGCAACGGTGTCGCCAGTTGACACGATATTGTCCGGCTTAAACTCAGCAAGAGGTGGGTCGAAAACAAGAGTCCCACGACGGCCATTCTTGACATATGCCTCATTCTGTCCCATAAGTTGGCGCACCCAGTTCACATTGCGGAAGAAGTAGAGCTGAGAGAATGTGAGGATCGCTCCCCATTCCTGCCAAGGTGATCTGGCTTTCTTCTTCTTAGGATCTTTTCGCCAAAGCAAGCCGACCTTGGCAACTTTGATATCCACTAGACCGGGATTCGAGTCGAGCGGACTGTCCAAGCTAGCCGGCATGAACGCATCAGGACGAGAGCGCAGAGAGATGATTTGCAAAATCCCAGACTTGGTGAAGGCCTGGTGAAGAGCATCCATATCTGGTGGCCCCGCAGTACCAAAGTGATTGTACGTATCATCTAGATTCATGACATCCTTTAGACTGGGGCGTAAGGAGCTCAATTTGCCTTCCAGGATGAGCGAATATGGATCGACAGGCTCCCGCGCAATCCGGGCAAAGTTCTCAGTGCTAGTGCTTTTGAAAATAGTGCGCCGTGGCTTTGCCAAATGGCGTTCAGGCAGATTAGCGTCTTCGACGTGGATGAACGGAGTGTATGAGATATTCTCATAGAAACATTCAAGGATGTCCTCCGAGATCCCCTCACTCCGACTGATCTTGATGTAGTCCGCTTTTTGCATCTTCCGTTTGTTGTTCTTATTGAAAACGTCGGTATGAAGGATCAAAAGGGAAAACGCAATAAAGTATGCATTATCGGAGGCTGTGAAGATGCCTGGGTTACATTCGTAGTAGCGATCAGCAAACGCCTGCACAAAACGATCAATTTGCTGTGTTTCTTTCGGAAGCTCGACTTCCATCAAGAGCTTGCGGATTGACATGTCGAGGGGGTCGCCAAAGTATGAGAAGGTTCTCATATATTTGCGTAAACAAATCTTAAAGAACTCCTCATCTGATTGTGCAAGAACACCCGCTATTATACCACGGGGTAGTTTTTCTTCCAAACGCTCTAGATACAAAGCGGGCGTATCGTTTTCTTCTCGTTTCGGGATTGCTGGTAGCTCTGCTTTCAAGGTGGGGGTAGATGCCCCGCCAATTGCGGGAGAACCATAGCGAGGAGCGGGCGGAGAGGAGTTTTGTCTCAATCGCTGCGTGAGATTGAACATGTCACTGAAACTCTTGCGGCCACTGGTCGAAGTCGAGGTGCGTGCCGAAGACGCTAGATATGGGGGTATAGACAAGTCATCTTGATTCTCGGCCAGCGATCCCATGGTGGAAGAACGTCCTCGGTTTTTGAATGATGGATTGGATCGCACCGAGCGAGTGGAGTTTGTCGAGTCGTTACGAAACAGCGGCGGTACAGGTGTGGTAGCAAGTCCCACGGTGGAACGGGACGGTGAATGCAGCGGGGAAACTTGGTCATGACCATCTGATTGCTCGGATTTCGGTGTATCTACCGGAGGGAACTTATGACGACTATCCACACCTCCAGCTGACTGTGAGACTTTCGGCGGCAGAGGGAAAAGAGGGCTTCGGTTTCGTTTCAAGCGTGGCATCCGGAATCGCTTGGCCGTGGTGGAACTTTGGCTGTCGCGGGGGAAGTACTTCGGGTTACTGTCTGGTCACCCGAGCTCTGATCTGATCGGGACGACTCAGAGATGCGGGGATCAACCACCGACGAGCGCTGAGAGTCGCTCGGCTGCTGCTGATTCCCGCCCCGGAGTGAGTTTATTGACAACCGTCCAGGCTCTTCGGTGATACTTTGCGACATAGCAAGGGTCGAATCGGCCATTTGGGAGTCGGTTGATCCTTGACCTCTCCGACGAGATTTCGCAGGTTGTTCCATAGATATCCGGGACATTTCCTCCATGGACTGTTTTCGAGACGATGGCCGAAAGCTGAGCTTGGATCTCTGTTTCACGGGTTGGTCGAACTCCTGACTGGTTGGGGCAGTGGTAATGATTTTTGGAGCTTCAGTCGGTCGACACAGTCAGCTAAATCATCCCACCAAGCAGATCGTCAAGTGTTGTACTTACGCGGCAAGGAAGGAACTGGGGGAGTATCTTGGCCCGCCTTGACGTAAGACTTTGACAGTTGGGGGTCGGATGCATGGCGTAATCTCATGAAGCTGAATCGCTTGTGGCGTAAGCCTGGAGCGTCCCCCGACGGTGCTGCGAAGTCCGAGTGAGCTATGCCATTTGATCCCTGATCATCCAGTGGTGGAAGTGCGGTGGGCTCTGGGGTTTCCAATAGACTGGGCGAGCGAGGGATTGACTCGGACAATCTGGGTTCAGCCGGGGGCAAGGACGAGGGAGGTGTTCACTGCGACGGGACTGGGTGGGTTCGATCGTGCTCTGTCTCTTGCCATCGGCGACGAGACGCAGTCCTTTCCAATGCATGATGGACAGAGCGCAAGGCTAACAATCCATGAAAATGGGCACGTTACCACGTTAGATGATGATGATGGAGGACATGGCGTGGATCCTGACGCGGTGGGATCTGGTGGAGAGAGAGGTCGTCAGCCCTCGCAAAAAGGGGAACGCGGGAAAAGGAGGTTCTAGATTTCCTTTCTGCCGCCCTTTTTTGGGGAATTGTTTCGGTTTATTTTTGGATTGGAGATTGAGAAAATGCCGCCATCTAAAGGGGAGAATTGGAAATGAACAAGGCAGACGAGTTTGCATTCAGCGACCTGAGCGTCGGGTAATTGCCCGGGGTTTTGAGATCGCGTCCTTGGTCCTTGGTACTTTGGAGGACTCCGTGGTAGATCGTAATGGGCTATATGGGCTATATGGGCTAAATGGGCTATATGTGCTTAATGTGCTTTTAAGGTATGGAGTATGGAGTAGATTGTGCATATTCTATACATCCAATAGCCCAATGGTCCATTTCCTATTCGTGGATGTGTGCTGTGTACTTACCAAGTCGTATACAAAAAAGAGTAGGCCACTGACGTAGAGCAACTGCATGTCATCTTCTTCTTTTCTCCGTTGGATCTTCCCAATTGCAATTCCACTTCCACTCGATGAATCCGATCCTCTCGATCATTCCTATTCATCCGCCCTATCCCGACACTCTTGCCCTCTTCTCCGCATCCGAGGCTCTCACAGATCCCTGTGAACCTGTGAACCTGTGAACCCCCCCAACTCTCTTCTTCCTTTCCCCTGCTCAGAGACTCGGCATGCGGTTCATCTCTTCAATATTGGTCGCGTCGACCTTTCTTCCTCTTATCTCCGCCGTCCCCGCGGGTTCGAGTATCACTCCACCCTTACAGCCTGTCCATCTCACCCATTCCGATCCACGCCCATGGGCTCGATTTCGTGACTGGGTAATCGGTTCAATATGGGATGTGGACCACATGGGCTCGTCAAAATATCATTCACCACCGTCAAATATCTACAATCGGTATGGCAGTGATGTCGTCCTCCGTTTCCACTTGCGCCAGCCCGATGAGGCAGCAGCATTGGCCTCCGCCTCCCAAGTGCTGTTTTTGGACATTTGGGCCACAACCACGGATTTCGTGGATATCAGACTTGCACATGAAATGGTGTGTTCTGAATCGATCTTGCGACGATCGTCTGATTAATTCTTTTGTTAGATCCCTTCCTTATTGGACCTACTACCTGCAACACTCCGCACCTCCTACACTCCCCTCATGGACAACCTCGCCGACCAGATCTATGCTTCGTATCCCTCGCGTAACCATGAAAACCCGGACTTTACTTCGGGGATCCCATCGGGTGGGCTGAAGACGATATCAAATGGTGACCTATTCTTCCAAGAGTATCAGCCATTGTCTGTCATCACGCAATGGATGCGGTTGATGGCGTCGATGTTCTCCTCCCACGTACGAATGACTAGCGTCGGTGTGTCCTACGAGGGTCGCGATATCCCAGCGTTGCGACTCGGCATCCCTCCTACCGTAGAACCCGCATCGAACCCTCGCAAGACCATCGTTATTGTCGGTGGTTCTCATGCCAGGGAATGGATTAGTACCTCCACAGTCACCTATGTGGCATATAGCCTCATCACTCATTACGGCTATTCGTCCGCAGTAACGCGGTTATTGCATGAGTACGACTGGATATTAATTCCAACTCTCAATCCCGACGGATACGTTTACTCATGGGAATCGGACCGTCTATGGCGCAAGAACCGCCAGCCAACGGGTCTCCCACTCTGCCCAGGCGTCGATCTAGATCGGTCCTGGGACTATGAATGGGATGGCGAGTCGACCCGTTCGAATCCTTGCTCGGAGAATTACGCGGGCGCAGAACCATTTGAAGCGCTGGAGTCGCAGCGCCTGGCGCAGTGGGCTCAAAACGAGACAGCCCATGGCCGTGCCGAGATCGTTGGATTTGTCGACTTACATTCCTATTCTCAGCAGATTCTATATCCATACTCATACACCTGCTCGTCCGTGCCTCCGACCCTCGAGAGTCTGGAGGAGCTGGCCTTGGGTCTAGCCAAGGCAATCCGCCAGACCTCACACGAGTCATATGACGTCACCTCCGCGTGCGAGGGGATACTCACGAACAGGGGAGTCGGAGTGACCTCGGGCGGGAGTGCTTTGGATTGGTTCTATCACAAGCTACATGCCAAGTTCTCCTATCAGATCAAACTTCGCGACCGTGGTAGTTACGGATTTCTCCTGCCTTCCGAGCACATTGTGCCGACGGGCAAAGAGATCTTCCATGCTCTGTTGACATTTGGCAAGTTTGTCTGCGGCGAAGAGGCCTCCGATATCAAATTTGACGACTGGATGAGTGATCAGATACCTTTAGCCGATGGCGTCTGATTCGGCCCTTGAAGGGTTGGAGTATAGGATCGGCCCTCTTTTGATGATTGCATGTTTATTTACGAAACCCTTTTATAATCACGTTATGTCTGGAATTGTCCAATTCTGTATAGTATGTTGTCTGCACCCAGGAATGCAATGCAGAATGTCTTATAACGTGCTCATAATGCTACTGAATACCCACACCCTTGATCTCGTAAGACTCAAGCCAATCGAAGAAAGACATAGACTATGTTTGACACGGAATCTGTTCTAGAACGGAGAGCAACAAGCACCAAGAATTCGAGTTCCAAGCAATAATATTAAATAATCTAGCTCTATGTTCAATGCGTTGCCTCCGCCGTGGCTTCAGACCTTAGGAATCCCCCGACGTCAGTTGCTGGAGGATGGCGGTGGCCAAGGCCGTGACGGACATCTTTGCTCCCAACAATGTCTGGAATGACATTTGCAATCCAAATTGATTGAACAACCAGTTGCGCAAGTCAGTACCAACCATACTGTCCAGACCATATGACCCCACAGATCGGCCCTCCAATTCAAACTCTTCGACTGGAATCAAAAGCATGGCAGATAGCTTCTTGATAACGAAGTCGCAACCCAGAAAGATTGCTGCAGAGTCAATTTCTGCAGAGTGAGCCGCCAGCATCGCCGCGGCCATGTTGTTGTCTCCACCTGCAGATTGCTTGCTCATGTCATCGACAGTGGTGCGCAGAGACCCAAACCGTGCATCTGAGTACCAATAAGCCGCGTCCGTGGAGCCCGATTCGCGAATGGCGGTAGCCAAGAACGTCGATTCCAAACCGAGGATGATCTGACTGTCGCCGAGAGAGACGTTCTTCCCTATAGTAGGAACAGGCTGCATCATTGCCGTCTCGAAACCGCGCAGCATTTCGCGCTCATCTATACCGTACATGGCCTTCTTGGCAAGCGCCGTTTCGATGTTGCTATTCTCAGCCACGACTCCAACACCAAGAACCATGGGGAGAACTAGTGATACAGCGGGAAGACCACGCAGATTGCGATGCCAAGCTAGAGCATCGAGGTAACTGTTGGCGGCACAGTAGTTGGCTTGGCCTGGGTTGCCCAAGGTTGCTGAGATGGAGCTGGTCATGACGAAGAAGTCCAGATTATGGTGTTGTAACGCGGTATGCAGAGCCTGTGCGCCCTTGGCCTTTGGCTCGATGACTGCTTGGAATTGGGACAGGTTCATACTGTCAAACATGGCGTCTTGCAGCACCATGGCAGCATGCACAACGCCGCGGATCTGACGCGTCTTGGTGACCTCAGAGACAACACTATCCACATCGGCCTGGTTGGACGCGTCGCCTCGGTGGACATCGGCGGTAGCAGCGGCTTCACGAAGTGATTTCACCAACTGTGTATTCCAAGATCAGCATGAGCACCATGGTTTCTTGTTTTTTTTTTCTTTGTTGAAGAGATTAAAAGAAGGAAAAAAAGGTGCTTACCGCTGCTGCATCGGGCTTGTCTGCCCCAGAGCGAGAGAGGAAGACAAAGTTCCTTGCGCCACGCTCCATCATGAAAGCTGTTAAGCTGCGACCAAGACCACCTAGGCAGCCCACGAGAAGATAAGCGGCGTCGGGAGAGAAAGAGATGGTTCTTTCCATTGGCTGAGCCTACAGGGTGTGTTAGCAAACATCCAGCTCCATATTATTGTTAGCAGTTCCTTACCTTGACCTTGCTGACGCCATAGTCATACTTGATGACAGAGGCTTTGAGATTTGAAGACTTGACATAGGCAGCGTCTGAAATGTCGACCAGTGCGGGCTCGCTCTCGAAACATCCGTTTGCTTCCAAAAACGCAGACGCGTCGCCGAGTAGTCTCGTAACAGTTCCAGGATCCCGCTTCTGTAATCCAGAGAGCCCAGTAGAGAAGAATGAAGCCCCTCTGGAGAATGGAACTACATCAGGAGCCCTGTCAAGCACTCCACCGTCAAGCACGAACCTAGCACCAGCTGGGATCGACCGCCAGGCCTCTTGGGCGAGAGGCGTGAAATCGTTTGAGATGATCACATCGGCATTCCCCACTTTCTGCTTGAGATTTCCATAGATCGAAGCTGCATTGCCCGCGACTTCAATGCTGTCAGACGCAATGGTGTAATGCTGAATCAAGGCCTCTTTTTGGGCCAGTGTTGTGGCGACAATGGTCAGATGCAACTTCAACGAGGCTGCGATAACAGAAATGGCAGCCTGGAATGAAGCAGATGCCGAGGGGAGTGCGAGAATACGTTCGCCAGTTCGTGCATTTGCCAGCCCCTTGATAGCGTTGAGAGCGCCAACAAGACTGGGTAGAGAGGCTACTAGGGCAGGTTGGGCCTGAGCATCTCCAAGGAACACGCAAAGGCTCAGTTGAGCCTTGATTGTTGTTTGAAGGGATTCAGAAGTGAACACAACAGCCTTGCGCCCTAGTATAGATTGATCCAATCCGGCGTGTGCATTGGTGACAGTCCCGGACACGAGCGTAGGGGTAGTGGTGCTGGCGTATTCGACAAGAAGCTGCACTTCGCCCTGCTCCAAGGGGCCGTTCTTCTGATCGCGGAAGACGACCTGCCCGTCGAGGACTTTTCCTTTGAGCGTTCTGTCTTGAGGGAGAACAATTTCGTGTGGCTGGCCGGAGTTGGCAGAGAATTGCTGGTTCAACTGCTTGTGGGGCACCACGCGCGGGATATTGAAGACTCCATCACGAAGCCAGAATTCAGTGTCAGAGCCAGAATTCTTGGTCATAACATGGCCCAGCTTGGCATTGAGTGCCTCGGTCACAGTCGCCAAATCTTGTTCGCGATCGACGTCCAGCCACAAAAGTTTCGCAGAGGCAAATTCAGATCGCACGACGCGCAGAAGGCCCGCGCACATTCCCGCATTCAAGGACACACCTTGATTCACGCCGGAGGTGAGCCATACAACAGGGATTTCACCAGTGAGGGCGGACTTAAGGGATTGGAATGTGCTGTCATTCAAATCCGACCAAAGAGTACCGGCAGAGTCGTCGATAATGATCTTTCCAGTGCGGGCTAGGTCGGCTTCGCTAACGTGGGAGATGTTGTCAGTTATCACGACATTATTGCCACTAAGCCCTGAGGGTGACCATGTCCAAGGCTCGTCATTGCTTCGGATGACAGTGATGTGTGACGCATCAACAGCGGGGGCGTTCGGCGTCTCCCCCAGCAGAGTTGAGGCAATCACCGACGTCTCTGGGCATGGATAGAGGAAGTCGATGCCCGAAAAGCCGGCTTTCCGTAGTAAAGACTCAAAAGAGTCGACCGATGTTGTCGGAATGGAGAAGAGGGCCTGTCCCTTTTGTTCCATTTGAGATGCGAGCTGCTCAAGCAAGTTTAGATCAGGCGCATCCTGTTCCTTCTTGACGATGACCAGATTATGGGGTCCAGCCAGTACACCATTCCAGTCGAATTCTTTGTCGCTGTTCTTGGTGATCACTTTGACATTGGGAGAAAGATGGCCAGACTCGAACTCTTGTTTGAGCTGGGGCGACGCGATGGCGGTCACCGATGTGAGAGGAGAGGCCGTGGCTGAAACTGCTTGAACAATTGCAGCATCGTCCTCCGAGATGATAAGAACGTTGGGAACATGTTTCTTATGACTCAGAAGCTCCAAGAACTTCGTGATCATGTCTCCCTCTGTGCTAGCTGACTCAAATATGCCGGTAGCCTGCTTTGAGGTCAAGGTGGTCACGTCTGGATTCCAGACTGTCTCCACATAAGGCTCTCGCTCTCGCTTTGTGCTGTTTTCTTGGGGCACAGCGGCTTCATATGAGACACACCGCAGGTTGCGGCCATCCAAAATCGTTTGTCCGTCTGCTCCGATCAGTTTGGTGCCGCAGTCGAAGTAACGACCATTTTGCTCATCACACCATCCAACTGCCTGGCCAATAATGGCCTCGTCATTCTTCTGGGGCCATACGGTGATCTCCTCAAACTTGATGGGAACCACGCCATGCTGCATCTCAGCGTACCGACCAGAATTGATGGAAACAATGACCAGATGCAAACAGCCATCGATGGTCGATGGGTGCAGCAAATAGCGGGATTCGCCTGCCATGGCGGCAGTGCTTTTGGTCAACACACTGACATCGCTCGCAGCCTGCCGGATATTTTGGTTGGTGCGAATGTTGCTCATAGTCTGGAAGGTGGGTCCGTATTCAAAACCGACTCTCTTGAACCCGTCGTACCAGTGTTTGGCAGCAACGCGCTGCTTGAGGCTGGCAGTATCGACGGGGTGGTCTCGATCGCTTGACACGGACTGTGGGCGATGGTTGGCGGCAATAAGGCCTTCGCAATGAACGTTCCACTGGCCTTCCGACCATGATTGCACTGAAAACTTGAACCAGGTTTCATCGATTGCATCAAAGCGTAGCTGCGTCTCAACACCATCTTCATTGTCGGGGATGGCGAGTGCAACAGTTAGAATGACGTCTCGGAATGTCACACTCTCAATCTGCTCGCCTCGGAGGTCACAGACCTGCCACAAAGCCTCAGCAGCCATTGACAGGTGGGCAGCAGCGGGGAAAATATCTTCGTTGCCCAACTGGAAATGAGGTTAGCACCATAAATGAAACTGCAAGCAGCAAATCTTTTGTTGTGTGATACATACCCGATGGTCCTTGAGCCAAGGAATGTCTCGGTGTCGAAGGAAATTTTTCCAGGCCATGGATTTGCTCGAGAGACCGAACATCTTGCTTCCCAGCAGGTCATGGCGTCCATGCGTGGGATGCCGCTGCTCATCACTCAGTCGTGGCTCGGCCCAGTACGTCTTGTCGTAGTTCCACTGGTAAGGCGGCAGATCGACGAGCAGCCTGGGGAACTGCTTTTCCTCGCCTGTCCAGTTGACTGCTTGCACGTCGATGGGATAGTTCTGCAAAAAGAGAGCACCTGCAGTTCGAAGGAGCTGCTCGGCGCTGTCCTTGTTACGCACCAGCGAGGCTGTGTAGGTGAAACCTTTGAGATCATTTGCCTGGCAGATCTGTTTGAAAGGACCCGAGAGAGCAGGATGCGGGCCAATCTCTACCATGGCCTTCACGCTGGTTAGAGCTTCATGTTGCCCCAAAGCAACAATGGCCTCGTCGAAACGAACCCGACTGACCAGATTACGGCTCCAGTACGTAGGCTCAATCTGCTCATTGGTGAATTCGGCGCCAGTTACTGATGATATCCAAGTCGTACGGGGTCGGCGCCACGAATCTTTCGCATCGTCGCTTAGAGCGGATGTAGCTCGGATCAGCATGTAGTCATATACCTGACCAACGGGAAGCATATGCTGCGAGTGATAGGCTCGGCCGGTGGGCAGCTCTCGTGCAAATATCTGCTCCTCCTGGAGCTTCTTGGCGAGTATGGAGATGGCCTCACATGATCCGCTGAGGGTCGTACTCGACGGCGAGTTTTGACAGGCGACCGTGATGGAGCCGTCCTCTGGGAGCCAAGCCTGCGAATCCTCTGAGCCTAGTCCCACAGCTAACATGGCGCCAACTGGAGCGTATTTTGAGACTGCATATCCGCGCAGATAAGCAGCCATCATGGCCTCCGGGGCTGAAATGAAGCCAGCGGCGTAAGCAGCGGCAATTTCACCAGACGAGTGGCCCACGGTGACTGTTGGCGTGATGTCCCACTCGTCAAAGAGGTCAACGATGGCAATTTGGACGGCTGTGCAGACTGGCTGAGAGATTTCAGCGTCGTTGATCTTGTTTGCCTCCCCTGCTGGCTGTTTAAGCGCATCCTCCAGGCTCCATTGGGGACGGGCAAAGTCGAGACTTTGCAGGACAGCGTCAAGGGCTCGGATGGTGGCAAGGAATGAGGGGAAGGCCTCCATTGCGGCGGCGCCGAGGGCGGGCCATTGAGCACCTTGTCCAGTGAAGACAAAGCCAAGCTGTGGAGGCGTTGCCAGCGCTGTTCCGAAGGTCATCGACGAAGTCTGGAGGGCTTCTTCAAGGGTCTCTTCTGTAGTGACAGTGAAGCCTCGTACAGGGAACCGGGATCTTTTAACTAACAGAGTGTACGCGAGGTCTGGCAAGTGGAAATCCGACGCGACGCGCGCGTGTGCCTCGATGTTGCGCTCCAGAGTACGGCGATCATGAGCAGAGAAGCCAACCAGATAAGGTCTCTTGACGGAATTACCCGAAAAGAAATAACTAGCCTCTTGCTTGCGGCGGCCAACAGAGAAAGGACTCGCTCCTCGTGGCTCTTCGACAATGACATGCCCATTGGTTCCGCCATAACCAAAGGACGAAACGCCAGCACGGCGGATCAGCGAACCATCCTGGGGCCATGTCCGAGTATCCTTGGAGACCACAATGTTCCACTCCTTTTCAAGGATGGCTGGGTTCACATTCTCCAAACCGTAGACGCCTGGGATAATTCCCGACTCCGTCATCATGGCCGCCTTGATGATTGCAAAAATGCCGCTTGCCGCCTCGCTGTGGCCTATACTGGGCTTGACACTGTTGATTATGCTTGTTAACTGGGTTCTAATTTGATTTGCCAAGGTTTGAGATAAACATACGCTCCAACAATCAATGGCCTATCAGCGGGGCGAGTATCATTCATCGCTGTGGCAATGGCCTGTGTTTCAATCGGATCGCCCACGGGCGTTCCGGTGCCGTGGCATTCGACGTAGTCCGTTTCAAGCGGGTCAAGACGTGCCTGTGCGTAGGCAGCACGAACTACGGCCTCCTGACCCCTGATGCTGGGGTATGTGATGCCATAACCAGGTACCTTGCCGTTTGAGTTGACAGCGGAGCCTCTGATAATCGCCCGGACAGGATCGCCGTCACGGAGCGCATCAGAGAGACGTCGTAGATAAAGTGCCCCGGCGCCCTCCCCTCTACCGTATCCGTCTGCCGAGGCATCAAATGTGTGACAGGTAGATGTTGGGGACAAGACGCCGAGCTTAGCCGTATTAATGTGCTGGTCAACTGTTAGAATGAGATTAACTCCACCAGCGATCGCGGCGTCGCAATCATGCGCGCGCAAGGAGTTGCACGCCTGATGAACAGCATAGATAGAAGAAGAGCAGGCTGTGTTAATAGTCGAATTGGGGCCCCTTAGGTCAAACACGTTGCCCAGGCGAGTGCTGATAATGCCTGGGTCAACTCCTGTGGCAGCATAGCTATGCCGGAAGTCAGCCTCCTTGAATGACATTTGCTGATAGTCGGCGGTAAAACTGCCCACGTAGACTCCAGTGTTTGACCCTGCAACGGATTCAAGGGGAATGCCTGCAGACTCGAAGCACTCGTAAGTCACCTCGAGCATCTTCCGCTGCTGCGGGTCGAGCCACATGGCCTCGACAGGAGATATATTGAAGAGGCTGGGATCGAAGTCCTCTAGGCTGCCATCCAGAAAGTACCCTCCCGGTACATTGAAGCTACCTGGACGATCCAAGTTCTCATGTAGGTATGCATCGATGTTGAAGCGGTTCGCCGGCACCTTAGCAGTACGAACTGTTCCCTTTGCCTTGAGCAAGTCCCACATGGACTTGGAGGAATCAATGCCACCAGGAAGTCGGCATGCTGATTATTGTTAGCAAGCTCTTCACGTGTCAAATAATCGAACACTGACCCATTCCGACAATGGCAATTGGCTCTAGGGCCGGAGATTCTTCGATATGCATTTCGACTGTGGTGTTAAAAATGGACCTGGAAACTTGAGGATACGAACACACTGATGTGTGATCTTGGCAATATATACACCTGCATCAACATGTCCAATTTGACAGCTGCAAGTATATCGGTGATCTTCCGCAATCATCGGCAATCATCAGCAGTCGTCAGCAATCGTCAGCCGGGGAACCGGGTCTGCTCTTCCATGTATGCATATGCATCCACGGCGGCGACTATGCACGCGGGCCGCGCAACTCCGCCGATTCCTGGCTATGCACCCCGAACAATACCGCTGATAATAGTTAGTGGATGTTTCTGGAACCAGCTGTCCGAAGAAGCACGAGGGGATTGTCTCCGCTCCCTCATGGAGCCGCTATCCCTCGATTTCCCGTCATCGAACATACGCTGTTTTAGCGCTGGAAAAGCTTCGCACTACAACAATCCACCATCTTGAATATGTCCATAGTCAGTGAGACTCACTATTATCAGGCCCTTCTGGTGGCTGCCATTGCTCTTCTATGGGGGGTGATGGCCTGGAACGGGACCATTGTGGCTCTCGTTACTGCTGCGTGGTCTGGAGTACTTGACGATGGACGAGTCCTGCGAACCAATTATACGGGTATATTCTTGATCGATTTTCCCATTTCGGTGCTGGTAGCTTTCTTCTTTGCCGGCACCAATGGATCGAACCCTGACTATCAACTATTTGTGTTGGACGCATATTCCATCCTGCAACCTGCATTTGTATGGCTTTATGCAGAGGAATTACGGCTGGATTCGCAGCAAATTTGCACCAAGTAAGTAGAGGAATTGCTGTTTTCTTTGTACATGATACTTGACGATTGTTGACTGCTATATGACAACACATAGTCCGATCGTTTGGGGTCTCGTATGGCAAGCCTTTGGGGGCGCCGTCGCTTTTCCAGCATACTTCCTCGTTTGGCTCAAGACTCGCGATGATATCAATATCGTGCGGAAGGGGGTTCAGAAGAGCAGCATGGCGATGGCCTCTGCGAGAGCCATCCCATTTAGCTTTCTCCTTGGCGCCGTGCTGCCCGCCGTGATTGGCATGATGCCGTTGTGGTCTGCGAGGTCCGACAATATGCACCAGATAGTGTTGGCATTATGGTCGGCAGACCCTGTGTGGGTGTCACTTATTCAACAGCTACTGGTAAAAGCTCAAATGATGTGGATACCCAAGGCAGCCCCAGAACAGACTGATATCACATCGTGGTGGCTGCGAGTCGCCTTTTTTCTTAGCGCCACTGTCGCCGGCATCACGCACATCTACGCTCTTGGGTCGCTGATCCAGTCAAAAAGTGATATTATGGCACTGGCGCGCATCTATTTGCCCTGGCCGGATCAATATCCTCATGGCGCGGTTCTTCCACTGAAATACGGGCCCTGGCTGTTTCTGAAGTATGACTGGGTTCTCATGTCGCTAGGATCGGTTGGTTGGGTCTTTTTCCAATTGCAGAAAGCTCAATCGTCGGCGGAAAGCGATTGGCACTGGGCATTTGTGGTTATCCTGCTTTTGGCTGGGTGTATATTGCTCGGAGCTGGATCGACAGTGTCGATGGCGTTATTCTGGAGGGAAGGTCTGTTGCAAAGGAAGAGATGGAGGGAAAAAAGTAACTAAAGCTGGGCGAATTGCTCACAGAATGCATTCTACCAAGAGCTGAGTAGGTAGTACGGAGGACAAAGAGTTCAATGCTGGCTGCCAGGTGACTTGGCCCGGAGTGCGGGATTCCGCAAGCCGAGTTTCTATTTTCTTTGTTGAGCCCCTCACTCATATGCCCATTTTTCTTATTCCGTTTTTCCCTTCGCAATAAATCCGATCAAGTAAGCTTCTTTCGTCACTGGGGCACCTGCGGTCATCTTTATCACTGTGTCGTGGCTGATAATTTAGATTAGACATCCAAATGGCATCGTCTCCACGCCCCAAACGCCAAACCCATGGCTGGCGGTTCTGGGCCGTGTTTCCAGGTCTTTGCTTCTCCATCTTTCTCGCAGGACTGGACACTTCCATCGTAGCCACGGCCCTGCCTACCATTGCTGCAGACCTCAAATCTGGAGCCCTGTACGTTTGGGCTATCAATGGATATTTCCTTACAACGGCAGCGGTACAGCCGCTCTTTGGCCAAGCCTCAGACATTTTCGGTCGCCGAATGCCCATGTTGCTGTCTATCGCTCTCTTCACCCTGGGTAGCGGGCTCTGTGGTGGTGCCTCAAACACGCCCATGTTGATTGCTGCCCGGATGATTCAAGGTCTTGGAGGAGGCGGCTTGTTTGTTATGGTCGACATTATCGTGGCTGATCTCGTTCCACTCCGGGAAAGACAGCTCTACATGTCGATTGTTATGGGAACATTTGCCCTGGGGACCTTCATCGGACCCATCATCGGCGGCGTTATTGTCACAAAAATATCTTGGCGATGGATATTCTACATCAACCTGCCCATTGGCGGTATAGCCTTGACTTTGGTCTTGGCTTTCCTGCGAGTTCACTACAAACGTGAGGGCACACTGGCCACCCGCCTGAATAAGGTAGACTTATCAGGGAACCTGATCTTGACCGGGGCCGTTGTCTCTGTCCTCATCGCTCTGACATGGGGTGGCACATTGCACCCTTGGGACTCGTGGCATGTGCTCGTTCCGCTGCTCGTAGGCGCCGCTGGCTTGGTCGCCTTTTTCGTCCATCAAAAGGTCTATGCTCCAGAACCGACTATGCCGATGCGTCTGTACAGTAATAGCGCTTCGCTGCTGTCATACATTCTTACCTTCCTCCATGGCATCGAGATGAGCTGGTTGAGTTTCTTCCTGCCAGTCTACTTTCAAGTTCTTCTTGAAGCCACCCCTCTTAGATCCGGGGTTGACCTGCTCGCCATTGTCATTCCATTGATGCCGGCTGGTATCGCTGGAGGACTGATCATTGCCAAGTATGGTCGGTACAAACCGACTATGGTAGCCGGCTATGCGCTGCTATCTATCGGGGTCGGGTGCCTGACGCTCCTGGATGCCGACTCATCTACAGCGAAATGGGTCGTCTTCCAGTTAATTTGCGGTATTGGAGGTGGGCTAGCCTTGACGGCGACGCTTCCTGCTGTACAGGCACCGCTGCCAGAGTCCGACGTGGCCATCGCCACGGCATGCTGGGCATTCGTTCGCAGCTTTGGCTCTATTTGGGGTGCAGCCATTCCTGCAGCTATCTTCAACTCACGCGTTGACTCGTTGCTTCACAAAGTTAGCAACCCGGCAGTTCGCGAACTCCTCAGGCGTGGCGGAGCGTACGAACACGCGACTGCCTCCTTCATGAAGTCGTTTGACAATGACCTCACGACGAAGCAGGAGCTCATTGAGATCTACACCGCGGGCGTCAAACAGTCTTGGCAGATTCTAATTGCCTTTACTGTCATAGCGGTTCCTCTTGCCTGCTTGATCAAAGAAGTGCCTCTCCGAAAGGAATTAGTCACTGAGTTCGGGCTTGTGGAGGACGGCGAAAAGGAGAGTGTTCCTGTGGATGACAGCACTGAACTTGGGGCTAGAGCGACAGGAGTTGACCAGAGCGTGGCAAGATGAGATTCTGACGTGGCGATTACCTTTTCCGAATGTATTATACCTCCTCTCCGCTCGTATATCAAAAGCATTGTTCCTATCTATCCCAGAGAACTGCATAGATACTAAATTATGCAAAGTCCCGGCTCATATAAATTATAGAGCCCGATGAAATAACACCCACTCGGTGCGAAGAAACACAATGAACTGTGCACTATCCCGAGGCCGGCTCTACTGCCTACATGTAGTCACAGATGTTCATGTTCTCTGTGGATAATAATGAAATTCTCTAAGCATATTTCCTAACAGAAGAGCACCAGACAACACCAACGTGGCAGTAATTCACACATGTTCTATATCTGACAATTCACCCGCTCCATGGAAGGCAGGAACATGTACGGAGTACTCCAGCGAACTTGCAGACATTCAAGTAAGTAGCTCAATCTATCGAAAGAGAAGGCTGATATCAATCTAGACATGGTGCTTGATTGGCTACAGCTCCGAGTTGCTGTCGCTACTCTGGGCTGCTCTGGCTGACGTGCAGTAGCGCTCCCGTAAGCAGTATTTGCCGGGGGCCAACGGCCGTGAACACGCAGTTCCGGGAACACCGAGATATATGTTGTTTATCTTGAGACTTCGGGGGCTAGGCTTTGACCCCAAGGCCGGATGAACCAATAAGGGCTGGCTGTGGGCCCACTGAGACCCCCGAGATCGGCAGAAGAACATACACCTACCCACAAGCAAACAATTCCCGGCACTATGTTGTCTGATTATCGGGACGACGGACCGCTGTATTCCGTCTTCTCGCCGTGCTGAGGCGAACCAGTTAGCCGGTGTATCTAGACCTCCTCCACCGGGAGTTCGCCGTGATAGCGCCTTGATATATACATGATATCGTTATCACAAGCCAGCATGGATCCAGGCAAAGGTAGCATTGATCAGACGCTATGATTAACCCAAGGCTGTGTCTAAAGCTCTGGCTGCCAGTGGCTCTAGCTGTCACACAATCTGCAGGCTATGTTCACAGTCAAGATGGAGGTTGCTCGTGCAAGGTCCTCCCTGGAGATGATAATTGGCCTAGCCAACAAGATTGGGACAGCTTGAACAAAACATTAAACGGTGGCTTGATCGCCTCACTGCCCCCAGGCAGTGTATGTCATGATGAGCCATTCAACAATTATGATGCGGATGCTTGCGCTGAGCTCCAGAACAATTGGGAGAAGCCAGCGTTGTCACAGTAAGATCGATGTTTCATACCATTATGATATCTTGACCCCACTGACGTTTTCGCAGCATGGAAAATCCTGCCGAGGTATTGAGCATGTACTTCAAGAACTACACGTGCGACCCATTCACACCTCGATCTCAGCCGTGCCATTTGGGCAACTACGTCAGCTATGTCGTGGATGTTACAGATGCAGATGATATCAAAACCTCACTGGAATTTGCCAATAAGCATAACGTGAGAATTGTCATCAAAAACACCGGCCACGACTACCTAGGGAGGTCGACCGGCAAGGGCGGCCTCTCCCTATGGACTCACAATCTCAAGTCGACAGAGTTTATTGCCAGGTATGAGTCTTCCCACTATAACGGGCCCGCAATGAAGCTTGGAGCAGGTGTTCAAGGATTTGAAGCATACGCAGCTGCCGATGCCGTGGGCCATCGTATCGTGGGTGGCGCTTGTCCCACGGTGGGAATTGCTGGCGGATACTCGCAAGGTGGTGGACATTCTCTGCTGTCTAGTAGCCATGGTATGGCCGCTGACAACGTTTTGGAATGGGAAGTCATCACTGCCAACGGCCAACATCTGGTGGCAACTCCCGACCAACATTCCGATCTCTACTGGGCACTTTCTGGCGGCGGTGCTGGCAACTACGCTGTTGTGCTATCCATGACATCGAGGGTGCATCCAGATACCACTATATCGGGCGGACAACTTGTTTTTGACGACAAAAAAGTGGGCTCTGATGTTTTCTGGGAGGCCATCAGTGCCTTTAACGCCCTGCTGCCGACTTTCTCCGATGCTGGCAATTCCTTCACTTATGGGATGACGGCTGACACGTTCATTGCCTGGGCTATCACTATGCCAGACACGGATGTGGAGCAGTCTAACGCCTACCTGAGACCCTTTTTAGAGGATCTCGAGAAACGTGGTATCGATTACCAGTACAGTCCACATGTTGCCAAGGGCTTCTATGAGCACTTCTCGCGGTCTCTGGGTCCTTTCCCGGAAGGGTTGCTCCATTATGCCACATTTACCAACAGCCGTATGCTGACGCGTGACTTGCTGACCAACAAAGATAGAAACATCAAAGTCACGGCAGCGTTGCGAAACATCAGTACAGTTCCTGGATACGTCACCGCGTGCCAAAGCTTGAGCGTCGGTGACAAGTCCCACCCTCCGAATGCGGTATTGCCCACATGGAGAGACGCACTCTTATTTTGTGTTCCATCGGGTAGCTGGGATCCTCAAGCCTCTCCAGCGGAAATGGCAGCCCGTCAAGACCTTGCCGTGAATTACATCCAGGCGACGTTGGACGCAGCCACACCCGGAGGCGGCACCTACATGAACGAAATCAATTATATGCAGCCTAATTGGAAAGAAGTCATGTACGGCTCCAACTATGAGAAGCTATTGCAGATAAAGCACAAATATGATCCCGATTTGCTTCTCTACGTATGGCATGGGGTTGGGAGCGATGCGTGGGTTGAGGGTCCGGACAAAAGACTATGTCGGAACACCGGGGACTTGGAGTATCAAAGTGAACATTTTTTGGACACTAGCTTTACCACAATGCGATAGTCTGTTAATCTAGTTCCCCCTTCTGCTCAGCAAAACGAAGGAATCTATGGTATTACTTACCTGGGTATGCATTGACATGATATATAGCACGTCCCTAATTACTTTTTTCGTTACATTACTCATGTATGATAATGTAGATTTCATTTGCCCGATGTAGTTCGCTTTAAAAAAATGCTGCTATGTGGGATAGGCTCCCAAAGCCAGCAGCTTTATACAAATCCACCCGGTAGATCTGTCCTCGCGGCTTCCATGAAAATTGTCCCGAGAAGTCCTCGAGGCCTGGCAGCTTGAAAGGTAAGGCCACAAACCGGCAGTGCAAACAAGACAAAAGAAGATGTGACGGTCCAGATCCCGCATTCCCTGCGGGCGCAAAGTAGTCACCTGTTTCTCTTTGAAATTGCACCTCGCATCTCTCCCTTTCTCCTCCGTTAATCGCTTCGACCCTCGCACTATTTATGGACTAAGTTAAGTCAATCATTGTAGGCCGGCAGGGAGTCGGCAACTGGCGTATCTAATCTCCATGACTTGAGACAGCACGTTCAGCCTCCTGAAGTGTCTCCTTGTGACACAGGAGCCATGCCAACCCAGCCCCAGGACCAAAGACAGCACTGATGACGACAAGAGTAGCCATCAAAGATGCACTTTGTGATCTGGTACCTGATTTGCGCTCTTCGGATTTGAAGATATAATAGCCAGTAGCAAACAGGCTGAGGTAAATGACGGGGAAATCGTACTGAGTGAAGATTACAGCGACAGCTGTAAAGGCAAAGCTCTCCGACTTTACAGATGAGTGATTGGGCCAGTATATGCTGCTCAGGCTGAGGTTCGGGTTGAAAACGGCCCAGAAGCATACACCCACGTGAATGATGGCACTCGCCGTGCCTACGATACCATAGGCGAGTTTGACAGGGCTGTTCGTCGGCCTACCGATACGAATGGATGGAATTGCAAAGCTCGTCAAGTCTTGGAATATACCCAATGTGTGAGGTAGAAGAAACCAGAGCACGATTGCGTCCTGAATTCCAAAGGCCGAAGCCCCGGCCAGCGGAGCGATAAAAACTGGGAGTGAAATGGCAATACTCCAAGCGGCAGAGAAGGGAAGTGCATCTGCCTGCGCATCCGAAAGAGGGTGTTGGGCTTTTGGTTGTCTGTTGAGATATTGCTCTAGGTAGATTGGTAGGATTGATGCCGCCCCGAGAGAGTTATTGAGCGATTGCCACAGAGCAGGACTATGAGTATAGGGATTAGCAAGTGCGATGAAACTAGAGAGGAAAGGAGAAGCTTCTAGTGAGCTTGTGACATACTAACGCAACGAGCCTGTCTTCCTATTGCGCCGATCTTCGACCAGTGTCATCATATTCACTACCGCGAGAGCAAACACCAGATCCAATAACAGCAGTACGGGCCCCAAATTAGGCAGCTCCGAAGGAATGGCTAGCGACCCGAAGAATGTGACGAGAAGTCCCAAAGAAAAGTCAACAGGCCAAAATCCCGAAAAGCTTTCTTTGAGCGGAGAACCAGATGGAAACTCTCCCTTCAGTCTAGTCGAAACCCATTCGAGAAATTTGCCATTGAACACCATAAAGCCCCATTGCGATGTGAAACCAACAATGGCCAAGAGCCGAAAAATAGCGCGGTGGTATGATACAGCCATTGCACAACACAAGGCTATACAAGAAAAAAGAAAGACTGATACACTAGTAACCGGAATATGCCTTCTATGAGTGTGCAGAAAATCTTGACATTCAATCATAAAAAACCCTGTATTATTATGAGCAAGTGGAATCATAAGATAACACTGAAGATTGAAGTGATTCGGCATCTCAGCCATCACATCTACAAAACGGGACCCGCCTGACCGATCTTCCTATGTGGGTCCGGAGATGCGGCCCGCTGCGGCCCGAATCCACCGATCCTCACGAAGCGGCATGTCCACGGAATCGACAATTGGGCCTTCAGCCGCAGACAACAGCTGATGCTCTGTTTCCAAAAACATGAATGTCCACTGCACTACAAAAAAGGCTATAGCTCACCCTGGACAGTGCCCGAGGTCGATCAGTCCCTACTTTGATATCGTCAGTACAGTCAATTATGGGGTCAGTAGCCGAAGCTGAAAAGGTCGACGTGGTGGTTGTCGGTGCCGGTATGTTCGAAATTGTTCTTTCCAAAGCTTCTTTTTACACCCCAACTCTGGGATTGTATACTTATTGATGTGGCAATTTCTGTAGGATGGAATGGGCTCATAGCAGCCAAGACATACTTGGACTTCAAGCCCTCAGCCAACTTGGTAATTATTGATGACCAGAGTACAATTGGAGGTGTATGGAGTGCGGAAAAGATATATCCGACTCTGTATGCCCAGATCAATTACGGTTTGTTCGAATACTCGTTTTACCCGATGAAACGTGAAGGTATCACGGCAGATGGTTACGTATCCGGGGAAACGATTCATCAATACTTGTCCGATTTCGCGCAGGACTTTGACCTCGTTCGAAGAACACGCCTCAAAACAACGGTTATGACCGTTTCTCAGCTTGATGACAAAACATGGCACCTAGAGCTTCGCAGCAAGCCTCCCGTCGAATGCAAACACCTGATCTATGCCTCTGGTGCTACCTCGCATCCTGTTATGCCCAAATGGCCAACAGACAACAGCTTTAGCTCTCCCATAATTCACTCTGCAGATGTTGGAACACACCTCAATGGATTGGATAAGATCCAAACTGTGACTGTTCTGGGAGGCGCTAAGTCTGCGTACGATACGGTTTTTCTCTTACTGAAGGCCGGGAAAAAGGTAAACTGGGTCATCAGAGAGGAGGGCTCTGGGCCATTGGCTATCATGCCTCCCACAATCTTTGGCTTGATTAACACAATGGATGTCACAACAATGGGTATCACCCGCTTAATGGGAGCAAGCATTATGAGTACTGATGGGTATGGCCATCAGCTCTTCCAGAGAACTGTATTCGGCCGCTTTTTGGCCTGGATATTCTGGTTGGCTATCAATTGGGTCGCTGAAGTTCACGCTGGGTATTCCAAGTCCAGCAATGCGAACAAGCTCAGACCTCATCCATTTGGGAATGGGTGAGTCATGTTCTCTGGTTTCTTTTTCTTTCTTGTTTGATCTCAACCCCGATCACAACGGCCATGAACTGCTCCGCTAACCATATGACACAGCATATTTTGGGCTCACGCTGGAGTTGGCGCTGCTAGCGTACCCAATTTCTGGAAAACCTTCCACGCTGGAGATATCACCGTCCATCGCACCAATATTGCTTCTTTTCGCGATAATGACATGGTTCACCTGGACAATGGCACATCATTCCAGTCAGACTACATCATTTTGTGTACCGGATTTGACAAGTCATACCATGTCTTCAGTGAGGAAATGCAGCAGAGATGTGGCTTGGCTTCCACCACAAATCGAAAAGTTGAGATACGCTGGACCAAACTAGAAAGCGAAGCTCTTAAGACAGTGGAAGAGCTGCTTCCACAGTTGCGCAATCCCCCGGCGGCTCTACAAAAGCCTCGTATTCTTGCTAAAGAGGCGGGTGGGCGAAAGCTCATACATGGCCCAAGTCGCCACTATCGCCGGTTGATTGTCCCCGAGCTTGCAGCGTCAGGAGACAGATCAATTTGTTTCCCCGGATTTATTCACACCATCTATACGCCCCTTGTTGCCGAGACACAAGCCCTCTGGAGCGTCGCTTTCTTGCTCGGCCTACTCGATCTCCCGTCACAGGAAAATATGGAGGCAGAGGTCGCTGAATGGAACGTTTGGACCGGCAAGCGTTACATCGCTCAGGGAAAGAAAAACGCTTATGCTATCTATGACTTCCTTCCTGTAAGAAAAAATCCGTTTTCTTATTTTGATACAGCTCTGAGCGTGATGCTGACTTGCTCTAGTATATCGACCTCCTGCTTGGCGACCTCGGGATTAAGAGAAATCGCAAGACAGGTTGGTTTGCAGGTCTCTTCCAAGCGACTCACCCACGGGAATATAAAGGTTTGATTGAAGAATTTCGCCAATTTTCGCATGTCAAAGGCAAATAGACTACCACCACTGGGATGCCAAAGGCAATGAGTCATGCCTGAGAGGAAAAGAAGGTAGCAAATACAGTCCGCTGTGAGCCTTCACAGAAAGTTGTGTACTTTACCACGTCTGTCTTATGGTTCATAGAATTGAAGAAGGATAGCTTGCATATATCTTGTTCAGTATCAAGACCGCCAGAATTTGCGCAAGGGGCACTGAAAAGTACGTTTCAGTATTCCCCAAGAAGATGGATCTTGACGGTTTTGGTATGGCAATTATTTAAATTGTTCCTTTTTACGAAAGGCATAAAGTAGTATTTCTTTCCGAGGTGTTTCCGTCTTATGTCTCTACCACCGAAATCGCTTTGTTCATTGATATACCGAAGTACTTGATTACTGAGTGACGTGACATGCGAAAACGTAACTATTCGACAGAGCCGGTGGATATTAAGAGTATTGTCGTTGATGATGATGATCTCATTGACGATAAGGCTTGCTTAGATATATGCTGTTATGCGGGATAGCGTCCCAAAGCGAGCTTTGATGACGATTAAATAATGGTGGTGCGTCCCTGGTATATAGGTCCACCCTGTAGAGCAATCCTCGGGGCGTCCTCGAGACTTCCATGAGGCTCTCACAAGCCTCGAGGACTCGTCGCCTGAAAGGTAAGGCCACAAACCGACCGGCACAGTGCGAACAAGACAAAAGCCATTTTAAAAAGAAAGTCAACCCATGGAGAGCCAAAATCCCGCATTTCACACGAACGTTACCTTACACGCTCCTACGAGTTTCCTATATGTCAAGACAAAAATACTCGCTACAAAAAAATAAGATAAGAGGAGAAACATTATCCGAAAGCGGGTAAGCTGATAATCATGGAAAGCCTTTTCTGTAGTATTGAACCAAAGGATTCGTGATATCGGGACTATATCATAAACTCCGAAAAGAGACTTTATAGAGCATTGATCTGCAGTCAACCTCAGTTGGCCTCGCAAGTTCCCTGATGAACCCAAGCAAAATTCCCATCTGGGAGGTCTGCAGCGGGAAGGAACTCCATCATTGGGGCGTTGGCAATAAAACTGCTCAATAGGCCCGGAAGAATCTTGTCACCCAACAGGGGGAGAAGCCAATCTGACAGGGCTCTGTGCCACGGTGTAGCATACGTGTGTATCTTTGCCACCATGGCGCAGAGACCCACGAGTTCCTTCATGCGCTGGTATTGCTCCTTCTGGTACTCAGAGAAGGCAGAATTGAGGGAGGTGCTACTAGGCTTTGGGCCGCGGCACATCTGCAGAACGCGTTGAATATTGTTGATGACCGATGCTGCGCCCTCTATAGCTGCGTTACCCCCTAGTGCCATATTTGGCTGAACCTATGTCGGAATGAGAAGCGGTTAGCCTTTGGGAGAAAATCTCTTGTTGGAGGAACATTTGAGGAAATAACTTGTTAGGGAATGTTGCTCACTTTATGCACAGCGTCACCAACGAGACAGATACGATCATGATGCCAGTGCTCCAACAAGCCCTCTTCAAGCGAGAGTACAGATGCACGAGTACGGCGTTTCCAAATGTCGGAAAATACTAAGCCATTGGCAATCGGTTTATCACTGGCGAGCTGCGCCAAGTCTTCGGCATCCTTGGTAGTGTAGCGCTGGCGCGCGAGTCCAGTCAAGGGTTCGTCGAGGGTAAAGATGCAAAAAACGTATGTAGCATCTGGCTGACACACAGTGATACAGCAAATGCCCTTTCCGTGAGAAAAGATCAGATTGCCCACTCCGAGCTCTGGAAACGCTGGTGCATTGACAAGAAGTGTCTTATATCTTGTCTCAAGAGCTGAAAATGCCGATCAAGCCATCAATTAGCACACATTATGAGCATTGGCAGCTTTGGAACCAGCACATACAAGTCTGCTCTTCAGCTTTTATAAGACCTGGCGATTTCTTGTCCGCGTGGTCCCACATGATGCTTCTAATCAAACTGTGCACACCGTCACAGCCGAGAACCAGATCACCCGTCTGGACCGTGCCGTTGGCGAGGTGTACTTCAACCTTATCGGGAAACTCCAACACATCGGTGACCTCAGCTTGAGTCACGATAAATGACTTGTCTGGGAGGGCGTCGTATAGAATCTGCAAAAATTTCCGTCTCTCCAGCGGATACGTACCAATTCCATGACTTTCAAAACATTAGCTTTGAATTCAGCAAAGAGCCAACCCGTGATCAGGCTGGCGGGGGAGACAATATGTCGTAAAGAATAACCTAGAACCGACTCACTTTTCCTCAACAATGTGCAACAATGAGCTGTCCTGCATCAAACTACCATCTGGAGCACAATTCAGGACACGGGTGTATGGCACAGAAGCAAGCTTGATGGCATCCAGACATCCAATCTGAGACAGTATCCGCATGCCATGCGGCCACATGGAGATGGCTCCGCCCGTTGGCGGTGCGACGTCTGCATACTTTTCCAAAACGATATGGTCAATGCCTAGCCTCTGGAGATAGAGCGATGCAGTCAGACCAGCAATGCCGGCACCGACGACAATGATTCGCAATGGCATCTCGCCCTGCGTCATAGTTAAACTATACCTGTTGCTTTCGTATCGAATATTGTAGGCGATATCTTGACACGCTCATCGCAAGCCTAGCAGTAGATAGTGCTTTTCACATCTTTAAAAAAAAGGGCTACCGGGACACGGCGCTCCGCTCGCGCAAATCACGAGTGCGCAAGAGTCCATGGATTTCTGGATGACTGCAGATCTGGGCGGGTAGGTAGATCGGATGGATGCAGTGGACCGCAAGGGGTGGGCCTCTTATCTGCAGCGCCCAGCACGTGATTGGAGAGCGGCATTGCGGGACCGAGATCACCGAGATCGGGTGCCTGAGGCTGCCATCCCGGAGATTGCCGATCTCTCGAGTGTATCCGGACAACAAAGAACACAAGCCATGTCGCCCAAGGCGAAATATTTTGCTGAACATGTGACATAATATTGGATTGGGTCTTCTTTCCCTCTGTCTCTCTCTTTCCTTAGTTATTTCCTTGTCTCTCTTTCGCTCTGCCCCTTTCCATAGCTTCCTGGATCCGCCCATTCTTCTGCTTCGTCCCATCACTAGGTGGAGAGATCCCATCGCATGTCCATTAAACGCACAATCCCTTGCCAATCGAGAATGGCAAGCACGCTCTCTCTGAGCGCACTGGCTTTGGGTAGCGTGGGCATAGTCACTGCATTTGCCAGCAAACAATATCTCGACCGATCCTGCCCGAGAATCCCCATCAACAAAGTATCTCGGATGAGTGCATGTCGACAACTGGTGGACAGGGCATGTAGCGACCCCTCGGACGCCGACGTACCAAAGCCGTGGGGAGCAGCGAAATCGGGTCTGCTAGCCTCGTGGTCGGAAGCCAGCTCGGATGGCAGGAAAAGTCGCTGGCTGCCATCCTATGTAGCCGTCCAGATGGATGTGCCGTTGACGCTATTGGCATCCTACCAAAGTGAAACCAATGAAATCGGACTGGTCAGGGCCGAAAACGAACCGTGCACCGCAGATGGGATGGCGCGAAATCTGGTTGCCGCCTTTCTCGATGCACGGTCGCGCGGTCCCGATGGATGGCTCATAGACCGGAACGTGCCATCTGTGTCTCTTGCTTCCGGGGGTCATCTATTCGGAGACGCGGCCGGTCTTTCTGCTTTTATGTTTGATAGCTGGAGCTCCAGATCTGCAAAGTCAATCCAGCCTTCTGTTCTACCGGCGAACGCACCCACCCCGAGCGCTTTCTTCCCCTCCAATGAGGCACTCATTGCATCCCACCGCTCATCCCAACCAGAGTCAGCTGGCACAGTCATCTACTGGAAGTTCCCCCAAGGCTTAGTCAACGCATTCAATGGTGCGGCCTCTTACGGCTGGCCATGGCGATTAATGGATGGTGGCTTCCAGGAATTCGTCGTGGAGAAGATCTCAGATGACACGGCAAGAGTGACCTACGTCTCAGTGGAATGCTCCAACTTGTATCCTGGGGGCCAAGTTACACGGAACTTTAAAAGAATGCCGTGGGTTGTCTACGAAGCTCACGTCTTATATGCCCAGAGTCTCCTCCTAGGGGCTGTTCGGCAGTTACGGAAGGCAAATTCGGCGTAGATATAGACACCGTGTATAAGCCTGTCAAAGGAACTCACGCCACTCACAATTAAAACATACACCCAACCCTCTCAAAAACGTCTAGAAACCAAATAACATCTGACCCCGGCCTTTCTTCCTGCGGAATAGAATATCGCGTATGGCCATTCTCACGAGATCTGAGTGGAGGCCGAGTTTCCAGTATCTACTTCATTCTATTGGAGGGAGTTTCTCAGTGATAGAAGGAAAATATTCCTTGATCTAACGAAAATTGCTTGGTCATGGAATTACCTTTGTCGAAAGTGTTGCTGGCGTTGCTAATGTTACATAGGTAGGGGCTCGAGGATAGCTCAAAGACAGTACAAGCTCTCCTTGAGGACAGGAAATGCACAGATCGTGGACAACAAACCAGTAGATCAAGGGCAGACCAGGGCGAGAAGATGGCTCACAAATCGAACAAAGATGTCAATCTGCAATCTGAAAATATATCCAACTCTTATGTCGAAAATGGAACTGCAATGGAAGAGGACGGACCGCGAGCTGGAACAGTGCGGGCCGCGGGCCCCGTAGCTCGGAGACTCAGCGATTGTTCCCTACACCAGTGCCATATGCTCGTGCCCATAAAATGGCCTTCAAGCCATGAGAAAAGAATCAAGACTATCGCCTTCTAGCTCGTCTTTACTTGCACCATCAAAACAAAAATGACTTCCCAAGAAACCTCAACATCTCCCGCGATCGAGGGCTTCGCTCGTCTCGAGCCCGCCTTGATAATCCGAGTATGACATTCGCTGCACCTTGAATTGTTGCAAGTATGTTTCTAACGAGTCCTGAAATCTAGTGTGAGCTGGCTGGTCAATTCCCTTGTGGCGATATCTACACTGGTTCGAACCTTACTTGCGTGGTATGAAGACTTTCTTCCTGGTGCTTCTTTACCTTTAACTTGGACTCCATACTGGTATTGTTTTATACTGACGTATCCAACTCTACAGCCATTCTCCGGTGGTTACATTCGCTCGGTCGAGGGCTTCGAGCCCAAGATCGACGTCGCTATCAAAGCCGGACAGGATTGGTTCCGAATTGACGCCAATAAGAAGTACGGGCGTTTCACCATCTCCGCGGTCGCTGCCGATGCCGAAGGTCAATCCGTGCGAGTCATTGCTGATGGCTTGACGGACCTCAACGAGCACACTTTGCCGTTGCTTCTGGGAGACCCAAACGGCAAAACAAATCCTTTTGGCTTTGGACGTACGTTGCTATTATCTGCGCCATGTCATGAAAAATGATTTTCTAACCCTCATTCATTGACAGTGAACCACATGAAATTTGAGACCGGGCATGAGGCGTACAAGGCTCTCGAAGGCATGATCTTCACTTCGAGTCAGCGCTTCTTCAAGGACGAGAAGACAGGCGCCCTATTCGCTGATCTCCGAGTCTCCCGCATCCTGGGTGGCTCGGGATATGAGTGAGATGAAGTATTTATTGCATATTCTATTCAACGAAGAGAACAAACATGCCTCGTATCTCCTTTCGATCCTTGTAGTCCGAATTGAGAGATTCATTTTTCTTCCTGATTTCAAATATCTAGCTCGGTAATCCGTACTCCCTACTAGCGCTCACTGATTCCTTTTCAAGCTTGCAGCCCCCGGGGCCGTCTCCGTGATCCATCAGCAGTGCTGACGTTGGACCTGCATATGCAGGAGTTAGTTCAACGCGCCACTTCGACAGTGACATTTCCATCCCGGCCGCAGTATCACAGCGAGAAAGTACATTCGCATGTACTCCGTACTGGTATCACGTATTGACTGAGACAATCCTTCGGGAATTTCGGGTGAAAGAGGGTCTAGTTGTTCGAGTTCGCTTGCTAGACTTTGCAAGATGAGATCAACTTGTTTAATGACTTATGAGTTACATTATCTCCTTTGTAAAATCTTATTCTTTAGACTTACCTCCGATAGGTAACTATGCGGTTCCTCTCCAAAGAAACCAGAGCGTACAGCCATGCAGTGGTATATGTACTGTTGATACCTTAATCTACCTGCAATAAGAGAGCTAGATATATTTGCCAATGTGTCTCATGCAATAAGACATGCATGAATGTCAAACTTTATGGTCCCAGGGAATATACCATATAGGCCAGCTGGGCGGCTATCAGTATATATGTAGGGGCATATATGCAGGGGCACATGTAATCCTATCCGGACTAGGCATGTAGATCTATCGCACAGTAGTTAACAAATCTGATGATTTTTAGGATTAGGGGATTATTTGGATCTGTTCAAGTGAAGAAATGAGTCTCCATAAAGATAAAATAATGATGTAAAGATAGCGGGCATTGCAATACATCTTTGCGTCCTCTGTGACGCATTTCCCTGTTTAACTTTTCTTTGTCTTGTGCTCTAAATACAAATATATAGACATACAGATAAAGCCTGGGATTCTGTAACCTCCGAATTACGGAACAATGACTTCATATAGCCTCCCTAGATGCTGTTCATGCGCTTACACGCTCTCCTGGCCTCTTCTAGAAGAGCGGGCGGAATAAGATCAGGCTGCCCAAGGTCACCAGTAGCGCTGATCAAAACGCGCAGTACACGGGCATAGTAGTCAGTGTGGACCTCTTGCTCGCCCTGCTTCATCAGATCAAGGCATCTCTTGATGGCTATAGTGACGGGCCACACGATAAACTGGTCTAGTTGTCGGAAGGCGTCGAGCCTTTGCCCCCATAGCTGTCTTGTGACTAGCAATGCGTCGGCAACATCTTGTGCAGCCGCCATGCATTTTGATGTAGAATCTGCCATCAACGCGGCCGGTAATCCATCCTCTCGTGCCTTCAATAAAGCCGTCTCGTGCAGACACATTTCAACTGCGTCCATGTTCATACGGAACACCAGTGATAGAGGCTCGAGCGAGCTATCACCACCTAGATGACGGGCAAGCAAGCTTGTGCGGCAAAACTTGATGGCCTTATCAATTCGGTAGTGGGTTTCCCAAAAGGCATAGGTTACCTGACCCTGCAAGCTGGGTTTTGTATGATCGAGATACTGCCTATAAAGAAATATCATGATAGTATTACCGACGAACGGTGAGATTGGCGTTTCCAGTGGGACTTCATTGTTGAAAACCTGCTGCAGGGTTGGCATGGGAGCTAAGCTCGAGTGTGCATGGTCGCTGGGACTTGGTAAAGGCAGCAGGACCTGAAAACTCCCAGTTAGCCTTCTCTATAGCAGCCAGGTATAAGAAGTTCACAGAGGTCAACTCGCCTGCTTATCAAATGCCGGGCTTGCATTTACACGAAGACTAGAGAAGGCGTCGAGTATATAAAGTATCCAGAACGTTCGTCGTCTTTCTTCGGCTTCACTAGAGTTGGCGGGAGGAGGAAGAAGCTGGGTCGGCAAGTTCCAGTCAATCCTCTGTTTTGCTGAATTTTCAGGCTGCTCAAGGCTCATAATTTTGCTTAGGCCAATGGCACGTCGAAGAGTAATCCAAGCGCGGGCGACATTAGGACGTTTTAGCTCATAGAGGGTCAAAAGGGTGCAGGCTTGCAGCGTGTTAATGCTCGTAAGAGATTCGCCGCTTTCTTGTCTCTCGCAGACATCTAAAAGGCTCCGCGCTTTCTGATAATTCGTCTCCGCTTGGCCGTATCTTTCTGGCGAGGATGAGGCACCGAGTGTTTGAATAGCGTATGACAGGGCCTGTATCTCGATTGAAGGTGGTGTTTGGGATAACTCTCTGTCAAAACGGGCTCGATCAACTATAGGAAGACTTGGGTGCAAGACATCGAAGAACCTTTCGTGCCTTGGGACAATGTCAGCGTAGCTCCGTGATTCCCATTTGATGCAACCTTAGACATGTCGTGACTAGGCTTATACTCACAGTGCTTGTGCATATGGGTCTAATGCGCTAGCCACGCTGTCGCTAGAAGGTGTAGGTGGTATATCTGATTGCATGAGGTCAAGATCGACATTGTCAGTCACTTCGCCCAGGGCTTGCATCATGGCCTGGTCGGTGGACAAAGTAGCAGCGAATGTAGCAAAATCGAAGTCAGAAAGACCAGAGCTGCTTGATCGACGGCCATTCAAACAGAAGTTAGCTCAGCCGTATACTAGAAAGATCCAAAAATCACGAAACATAACGGGTCGCACTCTTACCAGTTATTCGAGGTGTTTAAATCGGGGACGCTATCGCTCGATAAGCCCCGATCGTTATCCAAATCATGAATGCGCACATGGTGTAGTTCCGTCTGGTCTGGAGAGCTTCTGTTAGATAGTGCATTTGTCGGCTGTTGAATTTGCGTGTCATCCCAAGGGATAGGGAGCGACGGAGGGTTCTGCGAAAAGGGGTCCAGGGCCAACTGCGCCTCGGCTTGATCTGTTCAATTCAATAGTATTAGGCTCCGTGCTTTCCTCGTCTATCTAGGTACTTTGTGATCTTGATGGTGTCTGTACTGACTTAAGCGATTATTTAATGTAATGAGAAACCTCGACAAATCCGTTTTGGAAGGTGTAGGCTTTGCACGCGACGAGTATCGACAGTTGATGCCTACTTTTGTGCATCGTCCACACACCGGTCTTTGTTTGTCGCAACGGATCTTGCGATCACGACAGGCACTTCCGGACAAGTCAGCGAGGAGATCCTGAGGTTTGGTCTAGAGCACCTACTCGCAAGCCAGCCGTTTTGGCGTGGGGCTGTACGAACCAGACAGGTCTCCAGACGAGCCGTCGACGGTGGCTGGCAAACGAGGGTTCGCATAAGCATAGATCGAATCGGACATGACGAAAGACAAACTAAAATGAATTTCGGGAGAAATACGTCGATCATGGAGTGATATAAGACGTAGCTCGGACGCGATGGATGTGGAGAACAAAAGGAACCCCGACGAACATAGCCCCCCTCCCCGAAACAGAAAATGGTCCCCAACAAACAGTCAGCAAAAAAAGGCCCCCACGCGGTGGCATCTGGCCAGGAACACATTTCCTAGACCCGATTCGGTCTCGCATACTATCTACCAGGGCACAAGGCCATTCTTATCTGTGAATGTGGCGGTCGGTCCGTCTTTACTCACTGCTAGCTCGACGATGCGCTTGGCCCCTTCCCGTGCCGTGACGCCTTCCGGATGGTTGTTGGTGAGATCGGTCTGAACAAAGCCCGGGGCAGCCAGGTTGACGAATCCTCCCACATCCTCGAGCATGCGTGAGTAAACGAGGGCCATACGGTTGACGGCCGCTTTGCTGGACATGTAGGCTTGGAGATCGGCGTGGAAGAACATGCCTTGGCGGTTCAGGCCTTCAGCCAAGGATCCAAGATGGCTTGAGACAAACACAACCCGCGGAGGCGTTGGACTAGCCTTGCGCAAGAGCGGCAGTAGTGCCTCTGTCAGGCATGCGGTGCCTACAACATTTGTCGTGTAAGTTCTCGTATACACCTCGCGTGTCGACAATTTGGTCATGCCGGGTGCCCAGGCGTCTAACAGTACGCCAGCGTTGTTGACAAGCACGTCCAGGCGACCATATTTCTGCTCGATTGTTTGCACCGCAGAGGCTATCGAATCGTCCGAGTCCAGATCCAGTGGAAGCGGTTCCGCGGAGTACCCCCCACCTGTAGCTCCGACGCCATGTCAGCAGCGATGGTCGCATTGCGACAGCCTAGGAGCACGATATAATCATGATCCCTGGCTAGCTGAGTGGAAATCTCACGTCCGATGCCTCTGTTGGCGCCTGTGACAAGGGCAATGGTGCGGTCCATGGTAATCTTGCTGTTCTGTCTCGTAAACTGATGTGGTATAGGCTGGTGTCGCTTGGTCGCTTCTCTACAAGTATGCAGATATATATACGGAGTATTGCGCTCCCAATTCTTCATCTCCCCCTGTTACACCGGCATGCTGGGACCTGGCCTTGTGCAGACCGAGCTCATTCGGAGGGCCGGAACCCGCCCTGCCGCCTTACAACTTCACCGGCCAGAAAGACGAAAACGGGCCACTTGACAGTCCGTTCTCTTGACTCCACGTAGTGCACATGTATGTCATCTCCAGATCCATTCGGAGACCCTCTTCGGGCTTCCTCTTATTGGTCTAGCGAGAAAATCCGAGAAACAAAGTATATACACGCCACCTATCAATGTTGGCTGTCGGGTCGGTCCTCGCCGTGCCGCCTAAACCCGAGAGGGTTATGTGGCTTGAGACAAAAATGGTAAGAATAGCCATCGGGCATGATTGGCACCGTTCCTCCCATGTTTAGGTATTGAAGAACCACGCATGGCAAGCCTGTAGGCTGTACCATGCGTACCTAGATTTACGAACTTCGCTAAGTGTGAAGATCCTTCTCATTGAGAATCTTTACGTAAATATGGGCTAACCTGTGGAGATAAACAGGCTACCCAAAGAAACAAATGAAGGTGTGGGTGATACATTTGGGGGCCATTCTCGCCAAATCTATCTTCGTCGTGCGACCCGCAAAGGTGTCGCATGTTCTGGATGATAGCCTGAGAAGTAGTCATCGAATACCAGATCACTGACCTGGGTATCGACAATCTCCAGGTCTCCAAATGTGCGGAACAGGGCCGCTGCAGTAACGTATAACTCGCAATATGCCAGTCTGAAATAGCACTGACGTTAGTCGAAGAACCATTACAAAGTCTAAGTTCACTTACGGCATTCCAATGCACTGGCGGCTGTCTTTGCCAAACGATACTAAATAACGTTGGAGCCGATTTGACTCGGCTGGATCGAGCCAGCGTCCTGGATCGAACTTATTAGGCTCGGGGAAGATTGCCGGAGAACGATGCATCGTCCAGCTTGACATGCCCACTGTGGTCTAGTATAAGTGTCAATGTGCATTCGCGAATGTCGCAGGGCCGATTTGAGCTTACCCCAGGCGGGATGAAATAGCCATTGAACTCCGCGCCAGATTCGGGAACAATCCGAGGTAGCCTCCCAATGACTCCATAAGAGAGCCGTAAGCTTTCTTTTACCACGGCAGCCTGCGCAATCGAGTTAAAATCGATCTCAGGATATACATACTGTGATAAGGGGCATCTACCAGGTAAGGGAGCTTCTCCAATACAGACCAGCTCATGTCGGGCTTGTCCTCTGGGAACGTGTCTACCAGCTCCGAGTGCAACTTTTGGTAAATCTCTGCATCGCTGATGACATAGAAAGCCATGATGGACAGTGCATTGCCGGTCGCGGCAGCAGCCGCTACAATGATGGTCAACGCAATATCTGTCATGTCGTCGACACTGGGCGGCGCATCCGACTCCAGGAGCTCATGGAAGATGGACCTTCGGAGCGGTTTTTCGTGTCCGCCTTCGACCTGAGCCTTGACGGTAGTAACGTTACGCCGAGTTCCCTGAACAATGTTAGGAAAAGGAAATTGAAAAATGTATTCTCAAGCAAATCGAATTGGGTGAGTCCTGACCTCAACCATGGTGTTGTATCTTCTTAACGCTGGACTTAAAGCCGACGAGACCCAAGAAGGAAGCCGCAGCGCCAAATTCTCGATTGTTTCAAACTGCATAAAGAACCAAAATGACTTGAGAACCCCTCGCACCATGGACGAGAAGTCATGGCCGCCTCCCTCCGTTTCCAAAAGGCCATAGCAGTCGTGGAAGGAATAATCGCTGGCCACATCAATACTCAGGGCGCTGAAAAGATTATGGAGCTGAACGGTACCGCAAGTTCTATCCCCAGCACAATCTAGGTCGTTTTGAAGTCTAGCGATAAGCACACGAGCCTTTTGTTGTACCAGAGGCTCCAAGTTCACGACGCTCTTGCGAGAGAAGAATGTGTTCAAAGGGGCACGACGGATAGAATGAAGTCTATTTCCCACCGTAGTGAAGAATGCAGCTGGTGCACCAAAGACGCGATAATACTCGGGCGCCTTCCAATACTTTGTTCCGACGTGGTATATCTTGCTGTAGTTTTCTGGGTCGTTCAGAGATATCTCGTCTGGGGTGATACGGACCACTGGCCCATATTTGGCGTGCAGACGGTCGACTTGCTGATAGAAGCGGCTTTTGTTTCCGTAATAGCAGTAGAATGTCTGGTATAGCTGTGTCACAGCTGCAATTCTTGGCCCTGGGATGTGAGACAGAGGGTGCAGGGTAAGTCTGTACAGTGCTGTGACGGCCATATAAAGAAGCAACAGCACGAACAGGCCCAGTTCTAAAGACATAATCATGGTGAGAGAATTATACCGACTAGTTATGACTGCGAGACATGAAGAGTTCAATTCGAATAATTGGGAAGTATCAGCTAGCAGCACGTAGCAATGGATTTGGCAACGCAGGAGAGAATACCTTCCGGGGTAGATATTGTCTCAAAAGTCCATCAGTGCAACGCAATGCAATTAACCATGATTCCGATATACCTAGCAATGCTCTTAGATGTCAGCATACAGTCCAATGGCCAGTTGCTTATGGTGCTGAAGGCGGCCCGCGCTATTCCGCCCCCGCATGTAAGCCCTAACAGCCCTGGAGCCTTGGCGCGCGAAATACTCCAAACAGAATGGATGGTCTGATCTGTGCATCATTCGGGAGAGGATCCGTCGAGATTCTCCTAATAGTAGCGCAATACCAGCTCAATCTCATGAGGACCTAGGTGCTGCCGAGATGCTAGAGACCAAACTTTGTAGGAAGGGTGGATATTCAGGATGAAAGCGTACCCTACATTAAATACCCCGATGTGGAATATATGCATGTCCAGGCTCAAACTTTCTAAAGCCGATGGCTCTATCTATAGAGACGCGAGATGGCTCAGGTAGATATGTAAAATCGGTGGGAATGAATGGATATCTGGTGTTCTAGTTCAAGAATAACGTCCGATCTACTGCCCACTGGATTGCCTCTGCAGTCTTAGCGAGAGTACGAGCGTCTCTGGGTAACTGATGACCTCCTTCATGCGTCACGACCCGCGAGACCTTGGGGTCACATATACCCGCCAGATTCCGCCCGTGATCCGCATAATCGTCCTTCATACCAATCACATGAACTGTTGGGATACCAATCTTTACATCGTGGATGGACGGATGATAGCGGAGCAAGACATCTATGCTCTGTCGGCCTGAACCGTGGAGATGCGCTCTTCTAGCCTGGAATTCCTGAATGACGCCAGCTGTTCGACAGTCCTCAAGCCAATTGACGTTGTTATCAATCTCGCAATGTGCTGCATTAGACTGGCTCTGATACTTTGCCTCTATAGTATCCACATGGCCATTATACATCAGTGTCAATAGACCGGCCTCCATGTCAAAAGGCATTGTGGCGGAGAGGAACACGGCGACTTTGAAGACATCGGCCTCCGGATTGACCTCTGCCTCATGGGCAATTATTGTCGCTGCCACTGCGGCACCTTGTGAAAATGCGATTACGCCGTCGAATGGCCCCTCCTCTCGAACTACATCCATGATGAGATTGTAGGCATTCCATACATCGCTGGGGACCGGCTCTCCGTGGTAGCAGAGGTAGGGCCCAGGAAAGATTTGGTCAATGCCTATGCTCAGAATATACTCGTCAGTAATGTGGCATCGAGTTGGGGTGTTTTGGACAATCATCTCACCGGTGGCCGGCTCTGCTGCCATCTCGCCGTCCAGAAAGTCGAATTCCCAATCTGTAGGCAGATGGGCTCTCAATGGCTCCAGTTGAGTCTCAAGTATCTGAGAATTCGTGCCATGTCCGTGAAGGCAGAGGAAGCGCATCGTAAAATATCAATAGAGTCTCGAAAGACAGGATAAGATGCAAGGCTGCGTGATATTGATGAACGTTTTGTTGATGACGCGACGATTATGGGGACACTTGTTAGACCTGCATCAAAAACTGAGTATATTGAGAATGCACAATTAAATCTTCTCAGCGAGAGTCAGGTACCTCGTTTGCCCAAGTAAGATGATCCAACTACGCGACTCGGTCTTCTTCGCGGAGAATGGCGGACCGAGAACCCCAGATTACGCAGACGGAGAGCCTCGTCGCGTGTTACCCGATCATCGGTACCCAATCACTTCCTCAAACAGGGTCCCCGGAATTGCGGAGGTCTATGTCACAGTGAAATGCATGTGGAAGCCTCATGCAAGAGCGGCAGTCGTTGTCACATTGCGTGCACAGGGCCATCAGCCGTATCTGCTCCACCATGGCAATCTCGGGGGAACATCGGGATACATTCACGGTGTCAACCTCAGAGACGATGATTTAGGAGATTACCTAGGTATGACGTCTGCTAACACATTGAAGCGGGTATGAAGTATCAATACACAATAGGAGAGTTGTTGTATCTGGTCAATAGCATATCCAGTCAACGAAGAGATCGAGGTACCTACACAGGGACTTAAACACCACGAGATATTGTAAGATATCGCCGAGAAATGCAGAAGGCGGCTGCGTAAGCTGACCCCAAAGGATTTTGAGAAATATATAGGCCGCACCAGTACTTATAGGCTGTTATCCCCAAAGGAAGACGAGCCCCGAGCATATATATGCTTTCTGTTTCTCTAACTCCAGTCCAACATCCAAACATTATATCCATATCGTTTGAGACAATGGCGACCCACAGGGAGTCTACTATGGGGGATTTTCAAGATGCTTCCATGCCAATCGCTATTGTTGGCATTGGAGGCAGGTTCCCGGGCGAAGCCACGAACCCAGATCGACTGTGGGACATGGTGTCTAGTGGTCGGAGTGCTTTGACTGAAGTCCCCAAGGATAGATTCAACATTGATGCGTTCTATCATCCTCATGCGGAGCGTCAAGGCACCATGAATGTCAGAGGAGGGCACTTCCTCAAGGACGATGTCGCTCTATTCGATGCTCCATTTTTCTCTATCACAGCCAAAGAGGCACACGCGATGGATCCCCAGCAAAGGCTTGCCCTTGAGGTAGCATATGAGGCTCTTGAGAATGGTAACAGTCGCTCATATAGAGGATACTGCCCATGGAAATACTGACATTTATTTAGGGGGTATGCGAATGGAAGATGTTCTGGGGTCTTCCATCGCTTGTTACATGGCTTCCTTTACACGAGACTACGCCACACTACGCGGTCATGATGCGGAAGATATTCCGTGAGATCCCCATTATGCGTAACCATCACAGATGCCATTTGCTGACTAGAACTCACTTGCAGGATGTATGAAGGCACTGGTAACGGTTCGGCCATGATTTCCAACAGAATATCGTGGTTCTTTGACCTTAAAGGCCCCAGTCTGAGTTTAGACACTGCGTGCTCCTCATCTCTGGTGGCACTACATCTTGCTTGTCAGAGTATTCGAACAGGGGAGAGTAAATGTGTGAGTAGAAAAAAATGTCAATTCCTTGATTTAGCACAGCGCTGACTGATACAGGCCATGGTGGGAGGTACTAATCTGATTCTTATGCCTGAAATGCAAACGGCAATGACATCTCTTCACTTTCTAAGCCCAGACAGCAAGTCTCAATCTTTTGATCACAAGGCTAATGGATATTCAAGAGGCGAGGGGGCCGCCGTGGTTGTGATCAAGCCACTTGCAGATGCAATTAAGGATGGAAACACTATCCGGGCTGTCATTAGAGCGACGGGTGTGAACCAAGATGGTAAAACACCAGGTATGTGTACTAATTATCATTTTGCCGTTCTCGGTTTCGACAACGAGGCTAAATTCGCATCCAGGTATTACACTACCCTCAGCTCAGGCACAAGAAGACCTCATTCGATCCACCTATGCGGCAGCTGGCTTGCCCTTTGATCAAACAGGATACTTTGAGGCACATGGAACAGGTATGGAAACATAATGCTCTCTGTCATACGTAAGTTTTCCACTAATAATCCTCACCAGGTACACCATCTGGGGATCCGCTTGAGTGTGCAGCGATCGGGGCCACTATTGGCGCCAGCCGTCCGAAGGACAGCCCCCTCCTTGTTGGGTCTATCAAAACCAATATCGGACACATGGAGGGGGCCAGTGGTCTGGCTGGATTGATCAAGGCTGTATTTGCCTTGGAACGAGGCCTTATTCCACCAAACCTCTGGTTTGAAAAGGCCAATCCTCGTATCCCGCTGGCTAAATGGGGCTTGGATGTTAGTACAAACTCATTTCCTGGCTCAAGAAACACGCCAATTTAACTGTCAATTCCAATTACTAACATAGTTATGCCATCTTTAGGTTCCGACAAGGCTGCAGCTGTGGCCAACAGAAGGCCTACGCCGTGCGAGTGTCAATTCCTTCGGATACGGTGGCACCAATGCGCACTGCGTGCTGGATGACGCCTACCATTATATGAAGCAACGCTCACTGGAAGGATCACACAACACAAGCGAGTTCCCCAGTATAATGGAGAGCGAAGGCAGCACGACCTCTGATGATCTCAGCGCTAGCGCCGGTACTACCTCTCCAGGCAACAGAAAGGAGCCTTCAACCCCAGAATCAGAGCTTGAGGATTTGAAATTAGCCGATCCAACTTTACTCCTGCGTCCTAAGCTCATTATGTGGACATCTCATGAGCAGGCTGGCATTGATCGAACTGCGACACAGCTGATGCAATATTTGGCCAGCCAGGATGAGACGGATCCCAGTCTGTTCGCTAATCTATGCCATACTCTTTCGACAGGACGCAGCCAGTTTCCCTGGAAGACTTACACAGTAGCCTCAACGATCGAAGAACTTTCATCGTCACTAACGGGCGGCTCCCATCCGAAACCAGTGAGGTCATCTCAATCTCCGACGCTTTGCTTCGTCTTCACCGGCCAAGGTGCCCAATGGTATGCAATGGGGCGCGAGTTACTATCGTATGAAACTTTTAGAAGCAGTTTAGATGATGCGAGCGGGTTCATGAAAGAACTTGGAAGCGAGTGGGACCTCCTTGGTAAGTTTGTTTCAAAGCATATAGATTAACCTAACGAGATTCTGAAATCACTGACGACTATTCATCGATACCTCAGCCGAACTCAGCGCATCAAAGGAAGAGTCTAGAATCAATGAATCTGCAGTCAGTCAACCGGCGTGCACTGCCCTGCAGATCGCGCTTGTTGATCTTCTGGGAGAGTGGAGCATTACTCCATCGGTTGTTGTTGGCCATTCTAGCGGAGAGATTGCAGTAAGACGATACACACGGAGACGACCAATGATTTGATACTAATCAAATTTCTGGCAGGCCGCATATGCTAAAGGCGCCATCTCACGTCGTCAGGCGTGGACAATTGCTTACCATAGAGGTCGTCTCTCAAGCACTCTACAGAAAGAGGGTGCCATGCTTGCCGTTGGGTTGGGAGAGAGAGAAGCCCTGCCCTTCATTTTGCAGGTTCCCCAGAGCAGCGGTGAAGTTGTAGTTGCCTGTGTCAACAGTCCCTCCAGCGTAACCTTGTCTGGGGATGTGACCGCGATCTCTGACATCCAAGCGCTTTTGGATAGTGAGAAGATCTTTAACAGAAGACTGGCCGTCAAGACGGCCTATCACTCTCCGCATATGAAGGCACTGGAAAGCGATTACTTGCAAGCGCTGGCAGATATCTCCCCAGGAGATTCATCCAGCCGACGGCCCACTACGATGTTCTCTTCAGTCACGGGTAACATTGTTGACGACACCGCTCTTGCCAGTGCTGAATACTGGACATCAAATATGGTCAACTGCGTAAAGTTCAGCCAAGCTATGCAAAATGTGATTGAATTCAATCTCAGCAAGCGCCGCACGGCCGGAAAAGCTCAATATGTTAACATACTCATCGAGATTGGACCTCATGCGGCACTTCAGGGCCCATTGAAACAGATATTGGACGCAAACCGGGACAAGCTAAAGCGAGATGTCGTTTATACATCTATATTGCAACGAAATACGGATGCTCTGCGGAGTTGTGTCGATGCGGTAGGAAAGCTAGCTCAGCGCAACTATCATGTTGACATTGCCAAATTGAATGAAGAGACCTCAGCTTCCGGTGAGAAGCCGCGTCTTCTTACTGATCTGCCACCATTTTCGTGGAATCACTCTACACGATACTGGTACGAGTCGGCGCTGTCTGCGGCATTCCGACACCGCAGGCTGCCTCGCTTTGATCTGGTTGGAGTACGCACCGAACACTCAAGTGATGTTGAGCCTTGTTGGATGAACTATTTACGAGTCTCAGAAGCTCCCTGGATTGAGCACCACAAAGTTCAAGGCACCATCCTATATCCTCTGTCTGGAATGATGGTCATGGCAATCGAGGCGGCCCGTCAAGTAGCTGATGAGACCAAGGAAATCGATGGATTCCAGATCCGGGATGTTTCTGTTGGGAAAGCAATGGTGCTTGCGCCTGATGCCCCGACCGAGACGAGAATTCAGTTTAGACCACGAAGGATGGGAACTCGATTGCCAGATGCCTCCTGGAACGAGTTTACCATTTCGTGCAGAAGTCGCCAAGGGGTTTGGACGCAGCATTGCACAGGCCTCATTGCCATCAAATACGTGATGGAGCATAATCAGACCTTCTACGATGAAGATACCTCTCTGTCGGTGAGGCATCGTGAGGAATACAAGAGGCTATGCAATGCAGGTTTCAAACCTGACGACCCGCGTCAGGTTTACGCTTCGGTAAGTAATCCAAGGCGCATTATCGAGCTCTTAACTGATCAATTCAATAGTTAGCTGAGCTTGGACTTCAATGGGGACCTACCTTCACAGGGCTGGTCCACATAAGCTCGGGCGACTATGAGGCCCACTGTGAACTCGAGGTTCCCGATACCAGAAAGTTCATGCCGGAGGGCTTTGAATATCAGCATGTAATTCACCCTGCGACGTTGGATAACTTCATCCAGATGGTGATTCCGGCTTGTACACCCGCTGGTGTTCAGCTAGAGAAGGCCAAGATCCCGAGATTTATCGAAGGACTCTACATTTCCAACAAGATCAGCTCAAAGCCCGGCACCAGATACTATGGGTACTCGAAATCCAAGCATTATGGCTTCAACGAGTCTGTTGGAACCATTGTTGCTTCAGACGAAACCTGGGAGAAGCCACTGGTGATCATTGAGGGCTGCAGGATTATTTCCCTAGAGAACATGGCCCAAGATCTTTCTTCCGATTCCAGCTCTGCGAATTTGTCCCTGCGAAAGCTGGGTTCTAATCCTGAATGGAACATCGACATTGAGCATCTTCCTATTGACGAGGCTCAAAGACTTTTAGCCCCATACGGAACAATCATCCCCGACGTTGATACAAACATGATTCGCGATCTAGAACTTGCTTCATTTATCCTTTGCAAACGAACAATCCGCGAATTTTCCGGATCGAGTACAGAGACTTTCTCTCCTCATCACCGTTTCTTCTACGAATACATGGAGCACCGGTTTAAACTCGGCGAACAGGGCATGCTGGACTGTCAAAGACCGGAAACAGACGGCATTGACTGGCTGAAGACGACCGAAGAGTTTGATGACGCCGTTCTGGAGCGAGTCTCCGGAGCATCCATCGATGGCCGACTTCTCTGTCACCAGGGGGCTCATTTCAGCGAGATCTTGCGCGGAGAGCTGGAACCTCTCCAAGTGCTAATGCAGGACAACCTGCTAACGCAATACTATCGCAATGCGCTAGGGACAAACAAATGGAACCCCATTATCGCCAAATATGTGCAGCTCAAATCGCATAAAAAACCATTGAGGATCTTCGAGGTGGGTGCAGGCACAGGAGGTACCACTAGCGTGGTGCTGTCAGCACTCGGCCAGCGAGAAGAGGCTGCTTCAAGGTTAGAACGATACACATTTACTGACATCAGTGGTGGCTTCTTTGGAGCGGCGGCTGCTGACTTCGACGAATGGGCACCGTTCCTGGAGTATAAGATCGTGGATATCGAGAAGGATCCTGCACAGCAGGGCGTGTCAACCGGCACCTATGACCTAGTCATTGCTAACAACGTCTTGCACGCAACAAAGTCTATCAGTGCCACATTGGCTCATTGCAGGGAAATGTTGCGACCGTAAGTGATATTTCCATGTGTTCGGACTCTTACCATTACTGACTGGGTAACATAGTGGCGGTGTCTTACTGCTCGGCGAGCTTACCACAACGCTGGCCAGAGTGCCCATGATTTTTGGTACCCTCTCCGGATGGTGGAACGGTATGTTACGTTCAACCCTGCAATTATCATGGGCTATGCTGACTGGCTCTAGGTGAAAACGACGGTCGCAAATGGGGTCCCAGACTTACTGAAGCGCAGTGGGATGCGCAGCTGCGTGAGCAGGACTTCAGTGGTCTGGATTTATGCTTCCGCGATCACAGCACCGATGATTACTCGATCTCGCTTATGATGTCCACGGCAAATCCCCCACCAGTTTCAAGAATTCACGATGACGTTGTAATAGTCGTTCCGCCGAACAGCAACGCTTCCGTGAACAATGTTGCTTCGAAGCTGGCCAATGCGCTGGCATCACAGCTGTCGAGCGTCAGCATCCTAACACTCTCTGAGGCTGCCGCCGTCGACCTTGCCAATACAACTACGATTGGACTCCTCGAGGCAGATACCCCGTTCCTACAGACAGTAGACGCAACGGGCTTCGAACAAATGAAACACGTGTTGCTCGGATCCAAGAAGACTCTCTGGATCACACGAGGAGGCGCAATCGACAGTCCTGAGCCTGCTGCAAATCTCATTGCTGGTCTTGGTCGAACAATCCGAGCCGAAGTTCCAAGTTTCCTCCTCACGACACTTGACCTGGACCCTCTTGCCCCAATCGAGGATGATGAGACTGTGGCTTTCATCGAGCATGTGCTTCACTCCACATCACTAGAGGAATCCGCGGGGTGCCCAGATTGGGAATATGCAGTTCGCGAAGGGCGCATCCACTCCCTTCGACTGACTCCAAACAAGACGTTGAATGCCATGTTTGAGGCCAGCAAAACTGACCATCCCCCAGAGATACTCCCATTCCACCAGGCTGACCGAGCCCTTGCTCTAGCCATCAAGACCCCAGGAATGCTAGACACGTTCCAGTTTGTCGATGACGAGGAATACGCGAAACCTCTTGGCAGCGGGGAGGTTGAGGTGGAAGTCAAGGCTGTGGGTATGAACTTCCACGATGTTATGATCTCGATGGGTCAGATTGCAGACACCGATCTTGGTGTCGAGTGCAGCGGCGTAGTCACTCGAGTCGGTGACGCTGTAACCAAGTATCAACCCGGTGACCGCGTCATTACCTTCCGACTGGGCTGCTTCAGGACCTTCCTGCGCAATCCCGAAGAGATGTTTGAGCTCGTGCCGGATACACTTTCTTTCGAAGAGGCTGCATCCATCCCCTGTGTCTATTCCACCGTGTACTATTCGCTGTTCTACGTCGCTCGATTGAGCAGAAACGAGACAGTCCTGATACACGCCGCGGCGGGTGGTCTCGGGCAGGCTGCAATCATTCTGGCGCAGCATATTGGCGCAGAGATATTTGTCACTGTGTCTTCTGATACTAAGAAGAAATTCCTCATGGATACCTACGGCATCCTGGAAGATCACATTTTCAACAGCAGAGACTATAGCTTTGCTGCGGGCATCAAGCGCATGACAAACCAGAAGGGGGTCGACGTTGTTCTGAATTCTTTGGCAGGGGAGGCGCTACGTCAGACATGGCTTTGCGTCGCGCCCTTCGGTCGCTTTATTGAGCTGGGAAAGAGAGATATCGGTAAGTTCGCGACCTTCACTTGTTTCGTCGTCCTTAGATGACGTGGCTAATTCCTTTCAAAACAGTTGGAAACACCGGTATAGACATGAGTCAATTCATGCACAACATCACATTTGCCGGTGTGAACATGCTATCAGTCTACCGTGACAACGTCCCCCTCTTCAGCCGCATCATGAGCGATGTGATGAAGGCTTTGGATCAGGGAATCATCCGTCCGGTGCAACCACTGCAAATCATGGACTACAGTCGTATTGAGGAAGCGTTCCGAATCATGCAATCTGGAAAACATATTGGAAAGATGGTTCTCACTGCTGGCCCTGATAATCTCGTGCCGGTGAGTGCATATAACCCCAGTTCTCCCCTCTTTAACCGAAAACACGATGCTAACTGCTATCCTAGATTGTGCCATCGAAGATAAAAGCCTACTCATTCTCGCAGACTGCCACATACTTAATCCCTGGTGGTTTGGGAGGCCTTGGTCGATCCATCGCTTCCTGGATGGCGGATCAAGGCGCCAAACATATTGTCTTCACAAGTCGATCAGGAGCGACAAAGCCAGAAGCTAAGAAGCTTGTTGAGGAGCTTCACGCGCGCGGTGTCAACACACTTGCATATGCTTGTGACATTAGCGATGCGAATCAGCTGCGAGATATCATTGCGGATGTCAAAACCAATCATTTCCCTCCTATAAAGGGAGTCATTAACTGCGCGATGCAGCTTCAGGTGCGTTCATGCATCCAATATAGTCTGAAATGTTATCTGACTTGATGATACAGGACGTGCTCTTTGAGAATATGACCGTCGAAGACTTCAACGCTGCCATTTCGCCAAAGGTCCTCACCACCAAGAACTTGCATGAACTTTGCCCGAAGAACATGGACTTCTTCGTCTGTCTCTCCTCCACGGGAGGCATTGTAGGCTCCCGGGGCCAGGGTAATTACAACGCTGGTATGTTTTTCCTTTGATATGATGGCATAGCCGGATACATTCATTTGCAAAGAGAGTCAAAGGACTGACTTCGACGTACAGGAAACACATACCAAGATGCAATGGCCCACTTCCGCCGATCTCAGGGATTACCTGCAACAAGCATCAACCTTGGCGTTGTGCTCGGCGTCGGTATCACAGCGGAGCGTGGTGAGATCCTATCCTATCTCAAGACAGGCGCAATGATAGGAATCCACGAGCAAGAGGTCCTAGCGGTAATCCAAGCCGCCATTTCAGGACAGATGCCGGCTCAGGCTGTCGTCGGACTAGCCACGGGAGGCCACTTGGAGAAAAACGGACACGATGATCCATTCTGGTTCAGCGAGGCTCGGTTCGGTCCACTTCGCGTCTTCGACACCCAAGAATTGCAAGCACAGTCCGGGGGCAGCGGCGGTGACTCTGCTGCCGATCTCGAGGCTGCGCTGCGAGGTGCTGCGACACTTGCTGAGGCGGCTGATGCTGTGTGTGTGGCGCTCGTACGCAAATTGGCTAAGGCGATGATGATGGAGTTGGAGGATTTGGATCCCAGCCGACCGGCAAATTCGTATGGTGTTGACAGTCTTGTTGCTGTTGAGATCCGGGCTTGGGTGTTCAAGGAGGTTAAGAGTGATGTGTCGGTGTTTGACATCTTGAGCAACAAGCCACTGGCTTCGCTTGCCGGCACGATTGCAGCAAAGTCCACTCTGCTGTCAGCATCGATTCAGGGCGTTGAGGGGTATATGTAGAAGGGAGGGTATCGGCATAACCTTTGGGCAATCGAGATATTCTGACGGTGGATTTCCTCTCTGTAGATACCTAAGGAAGAGGACGTGAATTGATGACCGAGATGGTTGATTCGTTGCGTATGTAACCCAGAAGAGGCCCTGGGCATAATCTACCTAGGCCACATCGATAAAGTCAGTCGTATACTGAAAGCTACCCTTCCCTTTGGTCATCTTGAGGGCGTGCAAACCTGATATCCAATCGCATACCAGAGCATCCACCCAGTATCTAGAATCCATCCGCAAGCACATCGCGTGACGAAAAAAGCAAGGAAGTGCAGCTGCGCCTTTTGCAATAGTAATCGTATTGTTGCGAGACGCAGCTAAGCCCCGAGCTAAGGCTTTACGAATGGCTTTTCCAGGCTTTCTTTGGCCCAATAAAAGATGATCCAATAGCCTTTACGATGCGAGGAGTGTGCAGCACCGCCCGGGAGCATCCACCCACGCACCCTATGTCCTTTGCTTTTCCACATTGGAGAAGTTGATCAAATACAACCTTGGCACATAGACCTGATAATTGCTGGTATAGAACAAGATACAGAGTCAGGAGTAAAAGAATCATGAAACGAATATCATTTCTCGTAATCATCGAGACATCTAATGGGAAAATAAGATGATAATGGCCCGTCCATAGAGATTATGATAGCATAGAGAACGCTCAAATTCCACAACAATGAAAGAAAAGGTATATAGCAAACTAGAATAGCCACGACACGAAGTTCTTGTAGAACCAGCTTGCGTCGTTGTGCTTCTCTGCCTCGGTCTCCTTCCGGGCGAGATATAACGCCTCCTCGCGATCGATCTCGTCCTTGCCGGTAAAGAGATCGGCGGTCGCGGGGTCCACGCCCTTGCAGCGAGTCACGAGCTTATAACCAAAGATCATGATGAGATACAGAGGGATGCCAAGGTAAGCGGTGATGAAGTTCTTGTAGTCGAAGTTTCCATACGACTCGGGCTTGTGGATGAAGACATCGAAGTTCTTGGTGAGAGCAACGATGATGCAGAAAGCAAGAGCGAAGTAGGAGCCCGCGGCACCGAAGGGTGCCTTGTAGGCCAGGCTTTCATCGGGGATATTCTGGGCCTTGCGTGCGCGCACGAAGTAGATATGGGTCACCAGGATGGAGATCCAGGTCAACAGACCGAAGATGCTGACCAGGTTCACGAAGTATTTGAAAATGGTCTTGGCGTCGCTGCTGACGTTCATGTAGGCTAGCAGAGCGATCACGGATGAAATGGCCAATGCATAAACGGGGACGCCGCGGCGATCGGTACGGGCGAAAATCTTGGGAGCCTTGCCCTCGCGGGCCAGACCATAGATGGTACGGGTGGCGATGTACAGATCGGAGTTGGCTGCCGAGAAGACGAAAAGCAGGATGCAGGCATTCAGGATGTGGGGCAGAATTGGGATGGTGGCAAGCTCGATAGCAACCACGAAGGGCGATGCTGCGGCGGAACCCTTGGCCTTGTTGTCACTTCCAAGAGCGAAGAGAAGCTTGGGGGAGTTGTAGGGAACTAGAGTGCCAACGAGAAGCACGCTCACCACGTAGAATACCAGAATTCGGTAGAAGGTCAATTTGATGGCGCGAGGGATTGTCTTGCGGGGATTCTGAGCCTCACCAACTGTCACTCCGACCAGCTCAGTACCCAGGTAGGCGAATGTAGCAGACACCATGGTCGACCAGAAAGCCAAGAATCGACCAGGTGCGCCCTCCATCACATAGGTGTTGAAAGCACCGGGACTCTTCCAGTAGCGGAAGCCTTTGCGGTCATGATCTGGGCCACCACCAAGCATGAGGATGAAGGACAGGAGAATCAGGCCGACAATGACGACTACTTTGAATGAAGAGAGCCAGAACTCGAATTCACCGAAGAATTTCACACCGAAGTAATTGATCGCGACGACAATGACTAGGAAAATGGTGATCCATACTCCCGCGTTGACCTTCTCCGGTGGAATCCAATACGCGATGACCATCGCACCAGCAGTCATTTGATTTGGTGATAAGATGATATATTTGAACCAGTATCTGGATTAACGTTAGCCGACATCACATGGCGAGGGATTCGAGATACGTACGTCCAACCGAGGGTAAAACCAAGAGCAGGATCACAGAATCGGACGGCGTAACCAGTGAAGCCAGACGGCAATGGGAGCCAGGCGGCCATTTCTCCGAGAGCGCACATAACCAGGTAAACAATGAAACCAACCCACGCGTAAGAAATCAAGATTGCACCGGGCTATTCAAGTTAGCAAGAGGGTTCACGAAAAGTCAATTGTCAAGTCACTTACGCCAGCCCTATTAAAAAAAGTTTTGGTTAGCCTCGATCTCAAGAATGTGCAGCCATTGCAGGCATGGAGGGGGTTAACCACTTACTTTGCGAGAGCCTCGCCGGTTCCAATAATCAAACCAGTACCGATCGCACCACCGATAGCTGTTACTGTTAGCGAGTGTCTCGTCATTGGGATACAGCATTGTCCGTACCAATCATAGTAATGTGTCTGGCCTTCAGTGCACGCTGCAGGCCGACATGGTTGGGGTCATTCAATCCGCCATTCTCAATCTCCTCACTCATCTGCTTGGTGACAGGAGTTTCCGAGTAATCCTCGATTTTGACGGATTTCTCCATGGTGTGTTCGACGCGCCGTGGTCAGCGCAGACGAAAGGGGAAAGCCCGAGATTGGAAGTAAAGTAAGGGAGATGGGAGGTGAGAGATGGAAGAGGTACGAGGGAAGCCAAGAATTTAAGGGAAAGGCCAAGAGCGGCAGGCACACGAGAGATAAGCAAAGGAAAAACGCCCTGAAGCCAGAGCTGGAGAGACCGGGGGACCAAACACAATTAAATACTACCTCAGAGGGAGTATCCACGAACGGAAACATCTCGGACTTGCGTGGCCAAGACTATTTCATGGGGTAAATAATTAAAATCCTCTCAACGTTGCACTCTTCTGTACGGAGTATCAACCCACTCTTGTTTCTTGTTTCTGGTTTTTTTTTTTTTTTTTTGTACTTTTTGTACTTCGAGCCACACTGTGGCGGCTGTGCTCCATGGATTACCTACATCCATACGGTACATGTCTAGGCCCTTCTTGAACAGAGGGACCCGAAAAAGCCTTATGAGGCTCTACATGCGGCAGAGGTACTTAGGGGGCTACTTACTGTATATAGCCGTTTCGAGAGAGCTCCTTACTGTATACGGAGTACTCACGGGGATACCGAGTACATACAGGATCATCCCATTTGACGTTGATAAGAGAAACTAAGAAAACCCAAAAGCGGAGACCCGCCAAGACGGGGGGAGGCCATGGCTCTGCGGGGAGAAAGAGCGCGGTTTGCATCGGCTTTTTACCTGAAATTTTTAGGTTGGCTTTCGGACCCCCCCGGGGTTCCCCAGATTCTAGTTTTCTCGAAGCCATGCCCGTCGATTATAAATGATTAACAAAAGGGGGGAATATCTTAGGTAGGTAGTTATAAAAGAAAGACAGATCTATCAATACTGCTAGAATACATAGAAGCCATTCACGTGAGCCTCGGTTACACCCTGACATCCCCAAAAAAAAAAGGAAAAAAAAAAAAGCACAAAAACTCACCAAAAGCCGCCACCTCCTGGAGTCAGCCACCCGATAGAACTTGATACCCAATGCAAAAAGAATTATCCAAATTGTTATCTGCCAAACTCTAGGGACGGCCCTTGCCAAGACGGAATTTAATCTTGGCACAGGAACGCTAACCTGAACAGGGAACCAGATGCACGTTTTCGGGTCTTGGCATCTCCATTAAACCCCATGGTCTGTGGTTCGGCCAATCAGAAGTAAGAAAGCGCACAGATTGTCCGGTAGGAATCGCAACTTATCTCTCTTGGCGGCGGCGTGGCCTGCTCGTTAATCTATGGGGGAAATAACTGGTTGGCGGGGGTTCCTGGGGGTCTGACTTTTCTCAAAGACCTCCCGTCCCATTTGCCAGGGACCCCCCTGGTGGAATCAGTAGTTGGGGTACAACATACGAAGGAACAGGGGTGCATATCATAACATAATACCCGGTTGCTCGGGCTTCTTTTCGGATGTGGGATATAGAATAGCCAACCGTACGGGGTCCAGAGTAGTCCTGCGGAATATGTCGATCGTCCTCGCCATCTTACTGTGGGAAATAAACTCTCACAGTAAGCATGTTATTTGGTTTACTCCTGGCCAGCAACAGTGGAAATGCCCAGCCTACATGGCGGATTCGTTCCATTCTTTGCGCCACTTTTCTTGAATTTTTTCGGTACGCCGGTGAATCCTTAAATACGCCTCGCTTGGGAAGAAGAAACTCCGATAGAGCAAAAGAGCGCTAACTTCGGTGCCGAAATTCGAGCGGTGTCCGGAGTGCTTAGACGTGGAGCAGGCATCCTTTCACACTTCGATTGTTGAGTCCGCTCCTTTGTTGAACTTGCCGACATCGGTAATTTGTTTGTGACCTGTGGCAGTTGGGTCCCCAATACCTGGACCCCACGTATGGAGTGCGAGGTACCCACGTATGGAGTGCGAAGTACATACCGAGTAGCTATTCCCATTCTCCGGTGTGGACTCGGCGGTTGGAAATAAGCATTATCAGTAGAGTAAACTCACTGGAACTCTAGGAACGTGCGGCTAAGATATTCCATATTATCTCAGTAATCGATCAGCCGAAGAACCAAAGCGTCTTCACGACCTGGCAAGTAGACCACTTCCAGGTTTGCAGTGGAAGATCCCGAGGGGCTCACGATGTATCTCCCAAATGCCCACAACATTCAAAAAGGGTTTCTGGTAGTTTGGTCGACAGGAAAGGCGAAGCAAGAATGTAAAGACAGAGAATTCCAAAAAGGGGAGCAAAGAACGAGGTGATCAAGAAGGCCACCACAGTAATAGAGGGCCCGAGTAATCTCCTGACAGAGTACTCCGTATTTGCATCGAGGTCGAGGATTAGAATGGCATCGGTTAGGCACCTATCTACTCGGTGGGCATTTAGGTAATGCCAATGATATACCCACCTGGAGATTGCGCTTACTAGGCAATGACCACAAATAGGCCAGCAAATGAAGCGAACTTCAGATGCTGCCCCCAGGATCCTGAGCTCCGCTGACCCGTCACAATGGTTTCTTGCCAACACTGCGAGAAGCCAATGGGGATCTGGTTAATTTCGAATATGCGGAAGAGGGCTCTTTATATGAGCCCATCGATGTTATGGCAATATATAGCGTCGTGACACTGCCGAAAGAAATGAGGCTATCGGCTAGACCGGATATTCATTCCTCCAATGTCAAGGGCTGCAGATGCAGAGTGTGACCCACAAGGTTTGGGTGAATCGATTACCAGCAACATGGCGGTGGCAAGACGGAGCAACACTCCCTCTCAAGGCTGATGGGTGGGTTCATGCAGGCCTCCCCTGTACGGGGTATTCCGTATCAACGGTTGTATTGATTGGCCTTAGAGGGGGAAGTAAAGGTTTAACCTGGATGCTCTTTCTCACATGTGGGAGTCAGCCGCTTACTGGGTGTTCAGCCTCCGACGGCGTATCTCCAAGTTGGGTTTGGACTGGGTGAAAAAGGGGCGGCCTGTGTTAGTACAGTGAGAGCAACTGGACACCGGGGGAATGACTCGTATTTAGTTATGGAGGTGGCACCAACTGAGAAGAAATAGACAATGGACACCCTGCTGACATTCGAAGATGTACTCCGTACGAAGTACTCCGTAGTCAATCCTTCCAACCACGCATATGTAGTGAGCAAGGAGACGGAGCCAGTCAACATAGCCTTATATCCGCTACCAATTCAAAGGAAGCACTAGTTGCTGTCATCGAAGCATGTTCGTGGAGACACGTCCGAAGCTAGCAGCTAGGGCACTCTTTCAACCTGTCGATGGAAGCCATCTTCACCAACACCATGGGCGGGAAATGTGATGAGAGTCTGCATGTGGGGGCCATCTGGTCTGCGAGTCCAAAGCGCAAGTTGGCTGTTGGTACGAGGTGAATGTGCCTGGCTGCTGTGGCATGCATAAGTGCGAGCCCAGCGATCAATCGAGGCTTTTTATTGGCCGCTGAACGCCGCAGCGGTTACAAGTATTTTTATCGCGCTGATCGAAGAATTGTGATTCGTAGATTGGAAATGGAATCTAGTATCATTAGGAAAGAAATGAATTCGATTCTTGTTAAAGACTGAAGAGATGCGGGGAACTCATTGTGGGATGGTCCTATATCAGATGGCAGTCATCCAGAATCACCTCGATCTCTTCAACGAAACAGAATAGGGGGTCCCTCATCTGGACTCCTTCTGCTCCCTATTCGATTCCAATTCAATCATGGGTGTTATGCGTCTCCCCCGCCCAACGGGCATCTATGTCCCCAATTCTTCAAGAACCCTCACGAACGACATGATCTCTCCGCCCCTTTCCCCAGAATTCAGCTTCGATTCCGAGACAGTTACACCCTCCCTCCTTCCAGCACTAGAATTCATTTCTATCAAGCTTCAGCAAAGAATGATGCACGTCACCCTCCTGCTTGGCCGCGGAAAGCCCTATCCGACCGGCCAGCCCTCCGATTTGATGATCATCCCCGTGCACCCCATTGAGTCACAAGCATGGCGATTCCTTGAACGAGTCATTGCCAAAGCCTCAAAGAAGTTCTCCCTCGGCCCCAGCTGGACCGATGCCCTTGGACGAAGCCAGTATGAGCGCCAGGCAAACGACCACCTCGTCCAACAATCGATCCTCCAGAACGAAGTCGTCTTCAGCCAGGAGGGTCTCACTCTCCTCAACATGGACCGCATTTATACCTTCAAGCGCCGCATGTGCATTCTTTCTAACCGTCCCTTCTCCCGCAACGACGAACAATCCATCTCATCCTGCATCCAGCTGCTCCACCGTATAGTCGCAGATTTCGCCGGTCGCCCGTTCACCAAAGCTTTCTTTCATCGCGTATATGAGCAGCTCGATGTCCCAGATGAGCAGCTTACTGCCGTCGCAGCTGCTTACAAGAATTTCCACAACCAGGATGCTATTATACTTCCATTGCAGGCGAAAGTTCAATCGACCGTTCACCCGATAGTCCAACAGACCATTCCAGTCCAACCGATAGTTCAACCAAAAATTGGAATAACCCAGGTCGACATTCCAGTCAAAGCCCCGGTAAAAGTACCAGTCAAGGTTCAGGCGAAAGCGCACGTCAAACCCCAGCAGATCATTGCGAAGCCCAAGGCCGATCCCATCCCGATTCGGGTGAAGGCCGAGCGCCCTCGCGAGGTGAAGAGGTCACCGATCCAGACTGTGCGTGGTCGGAGACAACCTCCGCCATCCAAAATGCGAGGACAGAACAAGAGGGGGCCCAAAACACCTCTTTCCGCGTCAGATGTCACTCCCATCACGCGAAACGAGTGGAATATCCTTGTCAGTAAGGATATCCGTGTGCAACCCAGAGTCACCAAGTGGACTCCCTCGCCGACTGTGCTGGCTGCTGCTTGTGCTTGATTCTTAGTTGGATCAAAGCCAAAAATAAATTTAAAAACAACATACTGTCAAAAACACGACAGTCTTCATACCTTGTCGTGAGGTTTAGACTCGCCGATGGCTCCAATGCCATTCATCGGACTTGCTAAAGCCTAGCTTGGTAAGCTGGGTCACGAAGGCACAGCAGAGACTGCCATCCAGCCTGTGTTGTTGAATCGTCTCTATGCCTTCCCCATATCTGATTCCATCAATCTTGGACCCTCACAGGCCATTTTGGTGAAGGACAGATTAGCCGGTCTTGCGATGCTGGGTACAAAGACCCTGGTATTCCAGACCGGTGGCAACCACTTATCTGGGCACCATGATAGTCGCCAGAAGTAATGATGAAATGATAATGATTTTCTTCAAAACCTGTTAATGACGGACCCTGTCAGGGGAGTCTCAACGTTTTCAATTCGTGATGTATATATATATATTTACAACCTGACGATCATGAATATCAATTCCTTTTCAATTTAGAACCAAGCGCACCATTACCCCTAAGAGATGGTAAACCGTTCGACTTAAAAACCCCACAATGTATAGATGCTAGCCCTACAATATCCAATTCCATTGAACCGGTGGCTCTCCTTGTGTTTGCCGAGGTCGTGGCCTTGATTCTGGCGGCGACCGGCGAACTGAGACAGTTACCCACCTCACCCAATCACCGAAACGGCGAAGGATTGATAGTCTCAATGCCAAGATATTAGGCAAGTAAGTAAATAAGATTAGGCAAAAGCATGAAATTAGCACATGGGAATCCAACTTGTGAATAATCCTATCATCGGGGCTCTCCGCCAACCCTCTGCCAGCCTATCACATGACCCATTCAATGTAGAAAGTGGATATCCACACGATAGGGCTGTACGCTCTCTCTCTCTCGCAGCAAATTTTGTCCCTGGAGCTCCGTAGAGCAGAGTGCTTTGTTTTCTAAAAACCCTTCCACGTCTGCTTGGCCGAGACGGTCTTGGCAGGTGTTATCTCCGGCCTCTGCTTAAGCTTTCGATGTGAACCCCTCTTCTGGGTTTGCAATTTGAGTCTTAGGTAGCCTGTCGCTCTATCATTACCTTTTCCTAAATATTAAATGTTCCGTTACAGACACTCGGGCTAAACACTGCTCAAGCAGCGAATTCCACAATGTCGGCGTTTAATGAGCCTGCCGACATGGCAGACCCGCGCGGTTTGGACGACCACAAATGGAGTCTACAGCCACTGCTTCGCAAAGCTGAGCGCTCGCATAGCAAGATACCTGGCATCAGAAAGATTCCTCTGCGTGCTCTTGGGATAATCGCACTTATTACCTTTTTGAATATTCTAGTTTGGGTTGCGGCAGCCATTGTACTCGTATGTTCTGCGATGAGGCCCTAGTTGTGATATTGAACTTCCGTTAGCTAACGGCTCTGTAGAGTTATCACCCGTGAGTCTTCAATGCTTTACTAGCATTCGGTAACTCAAAGGAAATTCTAGATACTAATTCCATGTATAGCTCGTTGGTTTCGACAGCTGCCCTAGCCTATTCCCTCGGGTTGAGACATGCGTTTGATGCCGACCATATCTCTGTGTGTCAAACCCGATTAGTTTGAAGAGGACTCAGTAGCTAACAATACGGTCTATAGGCTATCGACTTAATGACTAGAAGACTCCTGGCCACTGGACAAAAGCCCGTTACCGTGGGCACATTCTTTTCACTTGGTCATTCAACGTGAGCATAACCACTCTGTCTTCACGCAGGATCAAATCTAATTCCCATCCAATCCAGTATTGTAATCATCACATCTATTGTTGTTGCAGCTACTGCGGCCGCTGTCTCCTCGCGCTTTGACAGTTTCAGCACGGTTGGTGGGATCATTGGCACCTCTGTGAGCGCTGCATTCCTCATCCTGCTGGGTTTGATGAATGCATATATTCTATACAAACTCGTCAAACAGATGCAAAAGGTCTTCAGCCTCCCTGAGGGCCGTGAAGATGAAGCATGGAAGATTGAGGGAGGAGGAATCCTGTTCTCAATCCTGAAGAAGATGTTCAAATTGATTGATCGGTATGTGTGATATGCAAGCCGTCCATGCCTCATGTGTCCCACGATAATTTCTAATTTATCCATAGTCCATGGAAGATGTATCCCCTTGGGATCCTTTTTGGTCTTGGGTTCGACACCTCCTCTGAGATCGCTCTGCTTGGGATCTCATCAATCGAGGCAGCCAAGGGAACCTCTTTCTGGGTGATTCTCATTCTCCCGGCTCTGTTCACCGGTTAGTACCCTCGCATCCAACCCGATGGATCCCAAAGTCCTGGATTTGTCTAACACGTGTCAGCCGGAATGTGTCTCCTGGACACAATCGATGGAGCCCTGATGTTCGCTCTATACATCCAACCAGCGGCGAATTTCCTCCCGAAGAAGCCAGCCAGCACCGCCTCAGACAGTGCATCAACAGTCAGCGATCCAGATGAGCTCCCACAATCGCACAATAACCACCGTGATCCCGTCGCATTCCTATATTACTCCATCGTACTGACCACACTCACCGTCATCGTGGCGATCGTCATTGGCGTGATCCAGCTGCTCAGTCTCATCTTGAATGTTACCGATGCCAAAGGCAAATTCTGGGACGGCGTCCAAGTTGCCGGTGACTACTATGATGCTATTGGTGGTGGTATCTGCGGTTGCTTTATTGTATTTGGCGGGTTGAGTGTCTGGGTTTTACAAACCATGGCGCAGGTGGATGGATCAGCGACATGGCAAGAATGTTGTGAATGATGAAGAGCGGTATCGGGATGAAGATGACACCCCTGACGATGTTGCTGATAGTAATCCCTTCGTGGCTGAGACGACGGCTGGTACTCAGCACGGAGGCACTACTACAGTGGATGCTAAAGGAGCTTGGTCTCGGGTTGCTGTGAAGGAGACTGCCGAGCCGAGGATTGAAGAGCACATTTTATAATTTTGGGTGGTGCTAGCTAGTAGAAGCCGGGTTTTAGACTTGAAATGGAAGTGTTCTCAACATATCTCCCATGGCCCCCGTAGACCACGTATCCAAGTCAATGGGTAAGATAGGTACTGTTGGTGTCTGAAGATCAACGAAGGTGCCTGAGGCTCAGGGAGATTGCCCTATGGAGGTCCCATCTGGGAAAGAGCGTTCCACCTCAGTATCGCGTCCAATCTGCTTCAGTCAACCTTCCCTTTTGGGAAGGCACCTCTTGTCGCCCACCCAAGTCCCCAATCGCCTTCAGCCCTCCCCCGGGTATAAATACTGGTCTTCCCCCCAGTCTTTCTCTTTTCCTCTTTTCTTCTCCTCCAACTTTTGTTTTCTTCGGGGTCTCCCCTCCCCCCGCTGACTACCATCCACCTTCCGCCTTCTACCTTCCACCTCAGGCACCGATGACCTCAGGCAGCTATGGTCACACACCATGTCAATCATATAGGACCACACCTTTTACCCTTCATCCATCTTTGACAGTAGGCATGCTGACTTAGTTTCAGGTAGATGGTGGGACCCCCACAGGGGCAACAACATTCACAGTGATGATCTTCTATCATATCCTTGTTCACCTATACGTCTACTTGTTTGTTCTTTTATCAACCTATCAATCCTTTCATCCATCAATGTTTGATGTCATCTGCATATATCCATTTATTCTTTTTTATCCATTAAGATCATTATCCAGTGCATCCTCCACCCACCATAACTCCTATCTACTGTGCCCATGTTCACTGTGCCCACCATCCAATATGTTAACCCTCTACCACGGGCCTTCCATCACTGGCCCTTGATTGGTTTGATCTTTCATCACATCCCTCTTTCCTCCAAAGAAGGATACGTATACTTACTTATTCCTAGGTTTGGTGGTGGGATCATACACAGTGTTGATTGACAGCAACAACCATCTACAGTGCCAACAACTGTTCTGTGATTGACCACATAGTCCATGCCTTTTTCTTGATGTTTGTCTGCTTGAAGTTGTCAACATCCATGTTTTTATCCTTCCTGGGTTTGACCAGCAACCAACTCACATATACCTATCATCATCCACTGTCCACTACTCACTGTCCACTGTCCACTGTGCCCACCATCCAACATTTCAAACCGTCTCCTATGGGTCCTAAATCATTGGCCCTTGATCTTCTTGATATAGACGATAACTCCCCTTTCCCCCCAACAACCTTGGAAGGATGTGTCGCTTACTTATTGTTAGATATGATGGTGGGAACATCCACAGGAACAATCACAATACGGTCACAGCAATCCTTTTTCGGGCCCTGTCCGTCTATTTTGGGTCTTCACATCTTGAACATCCACAGTTGCAACCCTCCTAGTGCTGCCAGTCAGCCCCGGACTTTTATCTCTGGGACTTCCACAGCTATAGCCGTCCGTTCTAGCCTTACCTATGGGTTCTGGGCTTTCATCTGGAACATCCATAGTCATGACTATGTATTCTGGCCTTGCCTTTTCGCTCTGAGCCTTCGCATCTCGAACCCACATTTACAACTTGCCACTATGAGCCTTGCCCATCTTCAACAACCTTCGACTATGACCACCCCGTACCGTACACCGTTCCCTGTGCCCACCATCTGCCGTGACAACCTTTTACCCTACAATGAACACACAATCTGATTACATCAATGGGTCATTCCTGTCATGTAATCATGACAGTCACAACTTATGGTCTCTCTGCCTTGACCATGCGCCATGCACCACAAACTACTCACCAACCTCAAGCCAATCATCGCGCACAAACCAATCATCAACCTCAAGTCAATCACCAACCTCAAGTCCATCACCAACCTCAAGTCCATCACCAACCTCAAGTCCATCACCAACCTCAAGTCCATCACCAACCTCAAGTCCATCACCAACCTCAAGTCCATCACCAACCTCAAGTCAATCATCACCCACAAACCAATCATCAGCCTCAAGTCAATCATCAAACTCAAGTCCATCATCAATCTCAAGTCAATCATCGCCCACAAACCAGTCATCGCCCTCAAGTCAATCACCAACCTCAAGTCAATCATCACCCACAAACCAATCATCAGCCTCAAGTCAATCATCAAACTCAAGTCCATCATCAATCTCAAGTCAATCATCGCCCACAAACCAGTCATCGCCCTCAAGTCAATCACCAACCTCAAGTCAATCATCACCCACAAACCAATCATCAGCCTCAAGTCAATCATCACCCACAAACCAATCATCAGCCTCAAGTCAATCACCAACCTCAAGTCAATCATCACCCACAAACCAATCATCAGCCTCAAGTCAATCATCAAACTCAAGTCCATCATCAATCTCAAGTCAATCATCGCCCACAAACCAGTCATCGCCCTCAAGTCAATCACCAACCTCAAGTCAATCATCACCCACAAACCAACCATCACCCACAAGTCAATCATCAACCTCAAGCCAATCATCACAGCAGGTTCCTTGGTCTTCATCGTCCCCCATCTACCAAGCCAGTCACTACAAATCAACCATCACAGCAAGCCAGCCATCATGCTATGGCTCTTTCAAGCTTGTTCAGGACCATGCAGCCACAACGGTCATTACCATTACCATTACCATCCATCGTCTGATGTGAAAACCACGAACCAAAATCTTCGTTTTCCACCCTACACCGTGCAACCATGCAAATATAACAATCATCCGCTGAGTCCGATCCAGCTTCCATTATGAGAGCTATGACAAGCAGAATCCAACCACGTTGGTCTTTCTTTCTTGACCATGCATCATGCACCATCTACTATGCCAGCCATCTCCCTTGGGGCTTCCCTCTATACTGGCAGATCTTATTTGGGAAATCCCTGTCACTGCTCACAGTCTTCCTCTCAGTTCTGACATCTGGGCCATAAGTCTCAAAGGCTTTGTTGTTCTACTTCATCAAACAGCTTCCTATCAACATCACACCTGGTACCATGAACCATCAAAGCCGATTTGCCATTTTTCCAAGACGCCTGATTCCTCTTTTCTTGGCCAAAATTGCAATGGCAGCAGCACCGCAGTCTTTCTATCACACACCATAGCCCGACAATTCTTGTTCCAATTCAGAGTCTCAATAGACTCGATATAGAATTAGCTCTCCAGCTATGAAGATGAACATTAGGACCAAACCATTCATTTCGACTACTGTAGCTTCTACCAGGATCAGAGCACACGTATCGGGGGTCAAAAATTCCCAGATGATCTCACACAAATGGAGCCACGACATCTAAGTACGTTTCCATAGTTTGCGGCGGTTCTGTGGATTTGAAGTTATTGTGAAGGAAAAAAAAGTCAAATCCACCTGCTTGTCTCATAGTTCAATAACGACTTGACTCTCGCGGTTGACTTCATAGATAGCAAATCAAAACAATTGGTTACGGTCATACACTAGTTGCTCTTTTTTGAATAACTGATTGGGGCCTTGTCTACATCTTTAATCTAAGATGAGATAATGACAGTCTTGTCTTACATTTGAGTATGTACACAGTGAGGGATATCTCCTGGTCAACTTCACGGATTTTACTCCGTACACATTGATGCCTTAAGGCACCAATGATATGACGTCAACTTCATCCCCGTGGTCTCCCAATCCCATCCTATCACCATTCTAAGCAAATCCATATGAGCGCCATGAGCCTACTTCTGTTTCAATGAATTGTATCAGTGGAACTTTTCTCACTTGCTCACCATGAAATCAATGTCTGTGTGGGAGCATTAACAACAGCAAAAGAATGAGCTTACCCGGCTGTTCCTCGCACATATGATGATTTCACATCATAGGTCTATCAAATCTTGGTTCCACTGGTTTCAATAAGAAGTCATGATTGTAGAGCCAAGCTCCTCCTCAAAGGGCAAGACGGGTCATGCCTCCATATTCTCATCCCAGTCACCTATCTTTATTCTGCCAACTCACCTCTCTCTGGAGGCGTTGGACGAGATAGAAGGCCGGCTGGTTCAATATGGTGGAAATTTGACCTATGACATTGCCGAAGCCGCCCTGGTACTGGGGAAAGTGACGCGTGCAAAACGCGCAGCCTTGGAATTGCGCTCGCGTGGTGTCTGGACAGAGGAGCTTGCTCCAAAGGCAGCTTCAAAAACAATTGCTGGTGGCACAGAGCCCCCCTTGAAACGCAAACGTACAGAACACTACGATGGGACCAAGAGTGCTCCGATTGAGATCATCGATCTTAGTACCGGGTCGGAGAACGAGGATGGAGTTATGGCCCCGGTCCAAACGCCAGAGCCATGTGGAAACTTAGTCACAGTCCTGAAGCACGAGTGGCTAGAGGCTTCTATCAAATCTGGTGAATGTGTGCCAAAAGGTCCCTACATCATCTACCGTGGGCGAAAGATTCCCACTCCCGCCACAGCAAAGCAAAAGCAACTTGAAATAAAGTCAAACCAAATCATCCAGCGTGCAAAGCAGGATGCTAGTTCACCGGCACCATCAACCCAACCATCAGATCACTTCCAAGCAAGACGCTCAAAAGAACCTCCCGGCGGAGCTCCCAGGCGACCGCGACCAACCTTATACCGACAAACGACTTCCGAGCAAGAAGAAAACAGCCCACGCCCGCAACCAGACTGGGTTCGCGATCAAGTCGTATTATCATGTCTTCGCTCAACGCCTCTTCACCCTCCAAATGAAGAATTCATCTCGCAGCTTGTCAAGATTAGACACATCCGGGAACTCACTCTCGACGAGATCGGCGTGCGGGCGTACAGTACCTCTATCGCAGCGGTAGCAGCGTACCCGCACCTTATCCGGCGGCCGAGCGAGGTCCTCGCTTTACCCGGGTGCGATGTTAAGATCGCAGACCTATTCGCACAATTCCAGCAGAAGGGTGGTTGCGAGCACACTGATGATGATGGAAACGTTGCCGCCGCCGATGCACTGGAGACAGACCCTGTTCTCCGCGTTCTGGACTCCTTCTATCAGATCTGGGGCGTCGGCGCGAAGACAGCGCGAGAGTTCTACCATCGCGGCTGGCGCGAGCTAGATGACGTTGTTGAACATGGGTGGAGCACGCTATCACGGGTCCAGCAGATCGGAGTGAAGTTCTACGAAGAGTTCCAGGAAGGGATTCCTCGTGCAGAGAGCGAAGCCATTGCGAATATAATCCGGGACCATGCTAGTCGCATACGATCGGGCGGCATTGATTGTGTTCTTGTTGGCGGATACCGACGGGGCAAAGAGCTCAGTGGAGATGTTGATATTATCTTGACTCATCGTGACGATGCCGTGACTCGGAATCTTGTCGTAGATATTGTTGCGAGTCTTGAGGCTGAGCGGTATATTACTCATACGCTTTCGTTGCATTTGACGTCTTCGAATCGGGAGCAGCAGACGTTACCCTTCCGGGGGGATGATACGAGGAGGTTTGATACTTTAGATAAGGCGTTGGTTGTCTGGCAAGATCCGCATTTTGAATCTACGAATGCGGGTGCTGAAGGGAGTCGGAAGAAGAATCCGAACATTCATCGTCGTGTTGATATTATCATATCGCCCTGGCGTACGGTTGGCTGTGCAGTTCTCGGCTGGTCTGGGGACACGACTTTTCAGCGAGATCTACGACGACACGCGAAGAAAGCACACTTGTGGAAGTTTGATTCCAGTGGGGTGCGAGATCAAAGTACTGGGAACCAGCTTGACTTGGAACATGGTGGAGAGACCTGGGAGGAGAGGGAGAGGCTTGTGATGGAGGGACTGGGGGTTGGCTGGAGGCCACCGGAGGAAAGGTGTTCGAGATAGAAGCTAGATATAGCGAAGTTGTCACTTTCCAATAGGAGGGTACATAAATTGCCCTAAAGAAGAAATATATGTATCAGTTGGGATATTAAGGCCTTTACATCGTACAGTTCATGTCATGGAATCAATATTATACACATTATGCTTAAAAGCAACTACAGAATAATTTCACTACACTTTTCATGTGTTCTCTACGAAAAGGGCCGCTCTACCTATATTGCACTCATGGCGAACCAACCAAAGAGGAAAGGATACTGATTCATGTCATATCCAAGTTTCTCAACCTCGAATGTCTCGGCTACAGCCACATCATGCTAACAGAAAAAAAAAATATATCACAGCTTCCCCACACCAATCGCATGGCTAGAAGGACAATTCAGAGGAAAGGAAAAGGGCATAAGGTACACAAAAGATACAAATCTACCAATCGCTTGGCATACATGCACAGAAGCGAATAGAAGGAGCGCAAAACAAACCGCCACTATAAATGCACAATGCATAAACAGCCCACAGCGAATCAATCATCACGCCATAGGCCGAGAGCTAGCCATTTCACCATACCGCCCACGACTCCGGGTAGTGTCGTAAGCATTGAGAACACGCATCTGACCACCATCGTCGGCCTGAGAGAAGGCGTAGCCACGCTGCTTGCGCATGCGCTGAACCTGGCGGACCTTCCGGATGGCCTTTTGGAACTGCTCCATACGTGGTCGATAATCCTGAACATTGTATTTCTGAATTTCCTGGACGTGGTGGTAATGCTGGGGGTAGTACATGCGCTTGGCGTACTTCCAAGCATAATCACGTAGAAGGCATATGCAGGGTAGGACCAGGGCCATCAGGTAGAATATGGGGGACTTGAAGAGCTCGGGAATAGTGCCGTAGTATTCCTTTGAGAATCCCAAGGCGGGCGCGGCGTAACCGTACGCCGGAAGGAAGATCAACCATAGGGCCATTGATCCTGGGATGGCGATGAAGGTATACTTGGTCCAAATGTTGGTGATCAGAGCGGCTTTGCCGAGGACAGTGGCTAGCACGGCGGTGTACAGAGATTCGCCCCAGACCCAGTGTCCAGCGACTTGACCATCAGCCATTGGAAGATCCCAGTAGTAGATCAGCTCGGAAACAATGTAAAGAAGGAGAGAATGGAAAAATCCGTTCAGAATCCAGGCCCAGAAGCTGTGTTTCTTGAAAAAGACACCTTTCTGGCCCAGCTGGTACAGCTGAGGGTAGCGATCCAACAGCCGGGCAGAAATGAACTGGTCAAAGATTCCCATAGCGAATGGAGGTAAGACGGTGAAGAGCACGTTGTAGAAGGAGAGCGTCCAAGATTCGTAAATAACCTGTCCAGAGAAAGCGTTTTGGAAAGAATACTATGACAAGTCAGATATCACTGCTAATGCTCCAACGAGGTTAAACTTACCCAAAATTGAGTCATGTAAAGCGTAATATTCTTGTAGAATGAGTAAAGAATCACTCGACTGATGCGGGAATAACTCCATGCTCCGTGAACCAGAAGCAATTTTCGAAGGAACCGGAACTGGCCAATTGCAACATCAGCAGATCGTGCGGCTTGAAGACCTTCGACACCGCTGATACCAACTCCGACGTGGGCGGCTTGGATCATGGATACATCGTTAGCACCGTCGCCGATTGCCAGAAGGAGGGCCTTCTTATGACGCTTGACAAGCTTGACGACCAAGGCCTTTTGAAGGGGGAAACACGACTAATGAACACGTTAGGAAACAAATAGAAAAGAAAAGTCCTTGATACCCGAGAACACTTACCAGCAGACAACAGCTTTGCAGATAACCGCAAGATCCAAAAACAGCTTCTCCATATCTTTCTCCAAAGCGAAGGTCAATGAGCGTCCATCAATGACCAAAGCTAACGGTTCAGTATCTCCGGAGGCCATCTGACTCATTACAGCATCCATCTTCTTTTGTAAACTGTCACGGGTGGCAGGTGCCGACTCCTCGTTGATGATGAGAAGCGTCATATCCTCCGAGATGAGCTTGCAGGACATGCCAATGTTGATGGCAGTCTCCTGTCGGTCACCGGTCAGAACCCAAATCTTGATGCCTGCAGTTTGGAGGGTATGGATAGTGTCCGGTACACCATCCTGCAAGCGATCCTCAATAGCCGTGGCGCCAAGTAGATAGAAGTCCTTCTCAATCAATTCAGCTGCTTTGTCCAATTCATCCGCACGGTTGCCTCCAACAGTGGTCGCAGCCTTGTCGAAGATCTGATACCATTGCTGGAACTCATTTTCTGGGATTTCTCGCATAGCTAGACACAACGTCCGCAGACCATCTGAAGCATACTCCTCCAGGTGCTGGAGAGTCGCTTCTACGGTAGGGTTGTCGGGGTGCAGACGCTCAAGAATGACCGTGTCAGCACCCTTGCAGTAGATACGGATCTTTCCATCGGGACACCGGAAGATAGTAGACATTCGTTTTCTAGTGGAGTTGAACTCGCACACTGCCAGCAGTTCGTATTCAAGCTCCTGTCCCCCAGTCTCAAACAACACTGATCTTGGTCTTCGGTTGGTGAATCGGAAACCCAGCGATGCCGCTCCGTCTACCAAGGCACCCTCGTCAGGAGATGCTGCTTGGTACTTGATCACATTTGGATCGCTGCTATTTCGCTCGGGAATGACCGTGTGGCATGTGGCAAGGAGAGTAAGCAGCTCGCGAATGGCATTCTGGCTCGGATGCGATTGAAGGTTCTCTCTGAGTTTATTGAAATCATGAATACCAACCTCGCCGCCATCCTCCATAGTAGCACGTCGATCTTCAGGAACATCATCACCATATTGGATACCGGCAACGCTTATTTGCTTGAACTCCATCATGTTGCAGGTAAGCGTACCGGTTTTGTCGGAGAAAATGTACTCGATCTGCCCAAGCTCCTCTACAAGAGAGGATGTGCGGCATGTAGCTGGAGTATCGGTCTTATCGTAGTAAATGTCGAGATCGGAGTTGATGAGGAAGGCCTGGAAGTATTTGACGATTTCAATGGTGACGAAGAGAGAGATCGGAACCAGGTTCGAATACAACACCCAATAAGTGAAGATGTCCATGAAAAACTGTTTGACTGTATTGACGTCGCCATAGTCAAGGTATGCAAGTTGGTCACCTCTAGTTTTCCGAATAGCAAGGTCGCCCACGGAACTGATGACACTCAGAACAATGAGAATGCTGACAAGCATCAAGATCTGGATGTTGACTGTTCGCTCAACAGCTGTCCTCTTAATCGGGGTCGCTGTCGCATTTCGCATCAGTTTCGTCTCGTGGCCACTGAAAACCACAATGCCATGGATCCAAGGAGTGTTGCGCAGAGTTGCACCACGAAGCAACAATTGATCCGGAGCCAAGGGCAACTCTTTCTCGCCACCTCCAGCGTTCATGGTCAAGGTGGCCTCGTAAGTATACAGGCTGCTGTTTGGCTGTTCTGAGCGTACCCGTCCACTCAGACGACTCAGATCACTGGGGCTGACCAAATGCGCAGTCTCGGGGATAGCTTGCTTGATTTTGAGATTGGTCTCGCCATCCAAGTTTGCCGTCTCAATGTAACATAGACCCTCGGGCTCCGATGATGCAAGTAGGACCAAGTCGGCCGGAAAAGGCTGCTCAGACTCAACCCGAACGATATCACCAACCACAACATCCACCCATTTTGTGTCATGGAAGGAGGATCCCTTGAGTACTTGGGTTTTTGAGAAGTTGAGTCCTCTATCTGACATTCTGCGTTTGTAATCCTCCACTAATTCTTTAATTGCCGACACCGCCAACACGATGGCCAGCGGAACAATAGTTGTGAACCTGTTTGTCGGGGACACACCAGGAATTTGTTGCAGAACAGCGGTGAACAAAAAGAACAAATTGGCGTATTTGGAGAATTGTTCGAAGAGGAATTTAGGGACAAACGTGATGACGTTGTACTTGGCGGTCGATACGTGGTTGCTGACGAACCTATGGACGGCATTTGCGGGTGGATTATTGAACTGAATCATGCGCGGGCCCATTGTCGAGGGATCAGCCTTGCGTCGTCCAAAGATATTGAAATCAGATGCGTGCAACTTCTTCTTCTTTGGAGGTGGCGCTCGAGAAGAAGTACTATCAATCGTCCCTCTTCTTGCGCCTCCTCCTCCCTCTGTCAATGGAAGGTCCATTTCCGAATACTGCGACGATCCCATTCCAAACATATATTTCGCCCTGCCCATTAATCCGCCACCCAGCCCGAGCACGCTGTTGCGCTCGTTTGCTTTGCGGACATGGTGTGAACTAGCGATTCGGTCTTCGTCTGCGTCAAGATCATAATAACCCGAATGCCCATCATCAAAATCGTCCACGGAATAGCGCCGGTAGTTGTCCAATCCAGAGCTTTGGGAGAAGCTCCGATCTCGCCGGCCGCTGGAGTAGGGGTCGTTTAAATGGAGGCCTGGGTTAACAGGCGGATAAGCCGGTCCAGACGCAGCATCATGCTGCATCGCACCCTGTGGCGCGCGAGATCCAACAAAATTATCGTACGAGACAGACGGGCGTGGTTGCGTTTGGCTATACGGTTGTTCGGAATCGTCGATATTGTATTGTTGTAACAGGTGTTCGTCGTTCACTGGGGGGCCTTGGCCACTGTTGTACATAGGGCCGGGATCCAGTAGCAGGTCGTCATCGCGGCCAGCGGCTGAATGCGACCCGGGAGGCCTACCGCTGGCCATGATGGCGCGGGGAAGCTGACACCCTCACTGTTCTAGCGCAGTAGTGATGCCCCTGAGGCATTGATCGCAAAAGCAAGTCGACAGAAAGCGCTGTTCTCGTTCTGCCGGGAAAATTAATGTTGAGAAAGCAGGGATAGCGAGCGAATGAATAAATTCGACGGGGCTGGGGTTGGGAAATTGTGGGAGTAGAGTAAGACTTGAGGTGGCTTAGCGGATGGAGGCAGCAATTAAGCTATGTTGATTTGATGCGCGGGTAGGCGGTAAAGCGCCTCGCAGCAATCAAAGAGATCGACTATCGAAGATATGCGCTAATTGTTTCTTGACTAGAAGTAATGTACGGAGTATAAATTTACGGAGTGCAGGGACTTGATTTTCGTGCTTCAATCGAGGTGCAGTTCGATTTATTGGCTGCGTCTGGTCTACAACTGATGGAGCTAATAATAGGGGACTTCTTGGCAGCCGGAAATATACCTCGTATACCAGCGCCATATTGTACATAATGCAGCTGAAATAGATACGGGGTGAAAGACAGGTTTATGCTGATAGGAGAAACAGAAAGAACCTCTTCGTTCCATTAGACCTATCTTGCACTCAATGCCTACGCTAAGAAGGAAAAACGAGAAGGAGGTCCATTCATCTCCTAGCACCCGTTAAAGGCACATCCGAGTCACGTGGCGGCCACCGACCTAACATGCTATGTATGTAGCTGATGGGCATCCCTTGTGTCATTGATAAAAACGCCATGCAAAACTCCAATCCGCCCGATCATCAAAGTAATGGTATTACATGCTGTTCACTCGAGCTGAACCAACCGGTCATTTTCGGCCCGAGACTCATCAGCCATGCCAATCTTCGCCCGCTTAGCCAAGTCGGCTTGAAGGACCTTGTCAATGGCAGCATTAATCTCCTTAACCTTCTCCCATGCCACGTTGGTCTTGTTCACTATGACCATAGCATCGGCCGGTGCACCTCCGAACTTTGAAAGGTAGCAGACATCACCGGCGCTATTGATACCGATGACCAGATCTGCCTCCGCAGCCTGTTCCTCCTTGAGGGTGGCATCAACAATGACATGCTTGCTGTCGTTGAAAGTGTGGAATGTAACTGAAAGAGGTTTGTGGGTGATGTTGAGGGCAACAGGAACACGCTGCTCTACCCCGTAGACGATGACACGCCCATCCCGCACCACAGCATCCGGCCGGCGGAAGTGTTGCAGTCCAGCCATGATTGCAATACAGGCTGCATCAGTAATGTTTCCATCGAAGTCGATAACGTGAACATCGGCCCGAATCGCCCAGCAGCTAACTCCCTTCAGAATACACAGCGATTCAGTGTCAAGGGCGTTTGAATGGCGGATGATACGGTCAAGAGTGTTGGTGGCGTAGGCTTCCAGGTCATTGGATCTGCAGAGGTAATCATGAGACAAGTTCAGTCTATATTAAAGATGCGGTGCGGGCCATACCGTCCATTCTCCCAAGCAGGTGAACCCATTGCAGTCAGCTCCATGTTAATGTTGAAGAGACCGTCGAAGGGTCGATCTTCGTGCGGCTTAGTGACTTCAGCGGAGATGCGAACGATAATGCTAGAAATTCAATCAATAAATGTTCATGTGAGGCAAACTAACGAAAAATCTGGAGCTCACCTCGTCTTCCCAAGCTGCAGCTTGACATGTCCGTATTCTTCACCAAAGGAAATATTCAGAGGACGATATTGGTCAGGCTGGCGACCATCGAGACGAACATCCTCACGGAGCGCCTCGAGAATGAAGTCGCGCTCCGCAATTGAGAGTGGCGCTTCTTTCGACATCTTTGGTGGAAGTCGAGCAGCCCCGGCGCGGGGATCAAAGTTGCTTGCTTTTTGGGACCATTTTGCCCGTGCAGGCCGCATTGTCGTGGACCGGATGAATGTAATTCCGAGTGCTTCGCCAATAGCAAGCGAGGTTGGTGAGGGCGGTGGGTGTAGCATGAGGAGAAGTTTGGCGCCTGAGGCGACTACGCAATCCAAAGCTGGAAACCATCGACGTCCCAGAACTTCTCAACCAACTCAGTGACTTCACTACAAAATGACTACAGGTAGGCTTTTAGAAATTGATATTCCATTTTTGAAGAGCAATAGCTAATATTCTCTAGCCCACCGACCTACGTTTGATCCGGTACGACCACTTTTCTCAACGCGACTCTTCATGATCACTGACTGATTTCCAACAGGCGCAAGGAAAAGAAGCCCTTCGTGGCCCAGCCTATCACCAGCGACTTCTACCAGCACACAAACATCTGAAAGTTCGGTATGTACAACCATGATTGGCGAAACCCCAAGGATCGCTAACCTTCTGTCAGCCAACCTGGACAAGGCGGCGACGCCGATGCCGACCCATCGCCCCGTGATCTTCGCGCAGAGCTTCTCCGAGCTGAGGCAGCACACTTTGCTAAGAAGAATGGCGTTCCAGTCGATCAGCCAGCCATTGCTGAATCAGTCCCCAAGAGACAGCTCGAAGCTGCGCCCCAAGATGAAGCCGGCGGCGAGGCCCAGGAAGAAGACCCAGAAGCCAAACGCCGACGCATATTGGAGGAGACGCGTGACATAGATGCAGATTCGGAGGAATCAGAAGAAGACAGTAGCGATGAGGATAGGTGGGTTGAGCCCAGGATCTCCCAGGAGCCTTGCGGTGAACGTACTAACAAGCGGCAGTGATGACGAAGACGAAGCAGCCGAACTAATGCGAGAGCTCGAAAAGATCAAAAAAGAACGGTTGGAGCAAAAGGAGAAAGAGGTATATTGCTTTCTCACAGCCTTGGATTCAATCATGGCGACTAATGCGAAACAGGAACGCGAACGAGCAGCGGAGGAAGAAGAGCAGCGAGAGGTTGAAATCGCACGCGGTAACCCTCTGCTCAACTCCCAGGATTTCAACATGAAACGACGATGGGACGATGATGTTGTATTCAAGAACCAGGCTCGTGGAACGGAGAACAGAGATGGCAAAGAATTCGTCAACGTACGCTTACCTTCCTTAGGCCTGTTTTATAAAGCTAACCTCGTGTGTTTCAGGATCTTCTTCGTTCTGATTTCCACAAGCGCTTCATGGTATGTCCCTATATTCGCTACTTTTTTCATCCATTCACTGACCCAAATTCGAAGGGTAAATACGTTCGCTAGAACATCACGAAAATGTTCAGTCGTTCAAAAAGATAATTTAATTTAGCGAATGTATTCTACGTTTTCTCATGCCCGATGTTCCTTGGAAGAGAATTGTTAGGTGCCTCTTGAATGATCGTATTCCCTGCCGCAAAATATAGAACTGTAGGTTCCCTCGGTATCTAGTATCTTTCATTGTTCTTTCGACAGCTTTCCTATTTCACATGCTGAAAGTTGTTTGTGAAGGTTGGAAATGTAGGACAAGATAGTATCTAAAAAGAGAAATCTAAAACGACTATTACTCTCCCACGTAGGGAGTATATTGCATCGACCTAAAGAGTAACGGGGCCAACAATTGCTATGTCGCAGAGGGAGCATTGTTTACTATGGGGTCACTTCGGAGTCCGTGCTCAATTAATAATCAGAAGCAAAGTGAGCCTTAGGTTCTCAAGTGTGACCTTTGGGCAGGCGGTAAGTCAGGACAGAACGTCCACCAATCATGTCATGTAGACATATTTCCTGCATGGTCGGCTTCGCTTCCCGTAAACCTTCCAACCTCACCGCCCCCACCCTTATCGGAGCTAATCAAGATGGATGCATCCCGCTCGGTCTCCTCTTCTTCAGCCTCATCTTCCAATTATTCTGCTGGAGAGACAACCCCAAAAATGGAGTCGCGTCCAACTGCTAAGGCGCTGCTGAGTGAGTTTTTGACTGTCCCTTTGAGGCTTCAGCTGTTACAGCTAGTGTTCCAACACATAGTGCATTGACGCTAACAATCCAGCAGATCGCCTCGACGGCAACATCTCGCAGCTGTTGCAGCGATTTGAAAATATCGTGGCCATTGCGACTGTAAGTCATCCTCACCCGTTCCTCTGTCATATAGCCAATTCTAATGTCTCAATACAGGCCGACAATTCCAGCCACACGTCCACTGCTGTTGAGAGCTACCAGATCGACGTGGAGTCTACTGCTCTGGTGAGTTTAGACGCACTGCCCAAAAGCCTTATTCGGCCACCCTTGGCTTTCCGGACTACCTTGAGAATTCAATGATGCCTTCAAATTCATTTCAATTGATTCCAATAAACTAACATCCTGCTACGTTAGATCCGTGCCGCGGAGGATCTCCTCGCCATGACGCGCCTGATGAAAGAGCTCTGGCTCTTCGGAAAACTCGACACGATCGGCGAAGACGAGCGTGATGTCCAGCGCCGGGAAAAACTGGAGGAAGATGTGCAGGTGGTCCAGAAGGCTATCGACGAAGGCCTGTTGATGCCATCCTTGGAGGGCCAGGGATCTTCTGAAAACTAAGGATCTCTCCTTCGAGAAGTCCTGTGTGTTATCCTTTGATGCAATTCGGCGTTTGATACCCACATAGTCCATCGAGACTGGCGTTCGATTGGTGTTATGGCGAGCTCAGTTCACCTAGGGTGTTACCTGATTAGCTGAATTCAATCGTTATTTTATTTTCAATTCGCTACTAAGTTCAAACTGAATTAGAAATTCACTAGTATCTGGGTCTATGGTGCTCATTTAGACTGACTGCAGAATAAATACACGCATCTAAAAGCCAAAGCTAGACCGGGTTGCATGGTGCGGGGCGATAACCCAATCTCCGATAACAATTTCTCCCCTCGCGACGCGAAGCTCCGTTCAACGCCCCTCTCTCTGACTCAAAGACCACAAACAACCTCCCTCCGCATTGAACTCCCCATCCCCAAACCACACACAATCAAATCACAAATCAAAATGCCTCCTCATAATCCACACCCTCTCCCCTCCCTAACCCTAATCGTGGCGACGACCCCCATCCGCACCGCGTCGTCAACAACCAAGGACGAAACAACGCGCCTAGGCATCGGCCTGAAGGGTACACTCCCATGGCCACGCATCAAGACCGACATGTCATTTTTCGCACGCGTGACATCCCGCCCACCAACACCGGGGACGACGAATGCGATCATCATGGGCCGGAAGACATATGACTCGGTACCTGCTTCGCTACGTCCGCTCGCGAAGCGGATCAATGTTGTGATCTCGCGAGATACGACCGGGTCTGTTAGTGAGGGCGTGATTGCCGAGTTGGGGAAGCGGAGGGAGAAGATTGCGGCCAAGGCTGCTGAAGCACGTGCGCAAGAAGCTACGAGTGCGGAGAAGGAGGCTCTTGAGCCTCGACAGGAAGCTGTTCCGTCTCCGGCAGAGCCAATGACGGATGCAATTGTTACACCGAGTCTGGCGGCGGCATTGGAGCAGCTGGACTCGGTGTATGCGGCTGATGGGAGGCTAGGGAAGATTTATGTTATCGGTGGTGCGGAGATCTATAATGCTACGTTGAAGATGTCTGCTGCGGAGCTGCGGGGTCGACCTGTCAGGGTTGTTATGACGAATGTTGTCCGGAAGGGGACTGCTGATTCGTCTGCTTCGTTTGACTGTGATACTTTCTTCCCGTTGGATGGGCTTGATAAGGGGAATGGGTGGAGGGCTGCTAGCTCTGAGGAGGTTTCGGAGTGGGTTGGGGAGGAAGTTGATGGGGAGTGGAAGGTGGATGGGGATGTTGAGGTCCAGATGGTTGGGTATGAGAAGTTGATATAGCTCAGGGTATGGAGATTTTCCCTGTGAATAATCGGCAAATCAAATATGTCCAAAACCGTATATACAACAAAACTATACACAATGCCGATGTTGGCTGATTTCAGGATGGGTAGACATGAAATGAGAGGCTAAATGCAAGGCTATGCAAGACATTTGAATCAAAGCGGCTCGGAAACGCCGGAAAATGCAAGGAAAAAAATATTGCAATCGTCGATAAACATTCATCGATTAATCGCTATTTTCCTTCATGAATTTCACGAATGACTTCTTATGGACCAGGCCGGCGTATTTACCGTCCCGAGTAACACAGAGATAACGAAGACCGAGCTTTGCGAAGCATTGGTAAACCAAGTCGATAGGGGAGTGAGTATCAAGGGCAATTGGAGCCTGACACGTTAGTATGAGCTGAGAAGTTGGAGGTTAATTGAAGACTTACTGGGTCAATGAACCGACTGAAATCCACTTGCTCGGCATCCTCATTCTCACTATCATAAATCGCAGTGGAAGCGTCCATGGTCATCAGGCAGATTGTATTTTCTTCCTCCTCGCCTAGCGTATCCAGTGCATACTCCAGATCAGGTGCTGGGATCAGACCGGTCAGGACACCATCTCGTAGAATGGGAAGTCCGCTATCCAGCTCGCCTGCCATGAGCAGATGTTCTAGTTTCGAACGGAGCTCCGTGGCTGGCAAGAAGGGCGACGCAGAAATATCGATGATGCGGTTCTTCCGTACCGGTCGAACTATGTCTCCCAATTCGGCATCGGAAGTTGGTTGTAGCTTACTATCCAAGAAGGGATAGGAATTCATATCCGTCAAGAGATCCTAGTTTCAATGAGTATAACTTCGGGATTGGGATGGAGGGCAGGTCTTACATAGATGCTGCGTGGTTCAATGGCATCCGCAGTCCACTTAGCGCAAAGCACCGATAGAGAGAACGGAAGGACATGGTTGAGACTTCCTGTCAATTCGAACAAGATCACTGCCAAAGTAACCGACAACCGGGTCACACCGCACATGGTCGCTCCAGCGGCGATTAAGGCATAGACCCCTGGCGTCACGCACGACTCAATACCATTACCCGCAGGACAAGAGTCGAACAAGAAAAAGGTAGGGTGTCTGAGAGCCCAGTATTGGATCAAATGCCCAACAATGCGTCCCATCAAACCGCCAACCACCATGGATGGCACATAAATACCAGCGGGCACTTTGATGCCGAACGTGATGATAGTCAAGAAACTCTTGATAACAAACGCCGCCAGAAGGTATTTAATAACGTCAAGAATGCCATCTGCACGAGGACACAGTCCCGTACTTTCCACATCCGATTCGCAAGGAGTAGCTAGCTCAAATAGAAGTTCGGTGACAGGAAGTCTGGTGTATCGATTCCAGAAGCTGACAAGACCTGTGATCAGCGCAACGAGGAAAACTTCAAGCATTGGCCAACGCTTGATCACTGGAATGCGACGGAATGATCGTGCCCACAGGCTCGAGGCTTTGATAAATAGCGCACCGGCGGCACCTCCCAAAATACCAAGAGCGACAAATATAAGCATCTCGAACATCTCCCAGTCGGATAGATATCGAACCTCAAAGAGAACAATCTTGCCTGTTCCATATGGATTGAGGAACTTGAGAGTTAAGGTAGCTGCGATACAGCAGAAAAATGTCCTGAAAAGGGTCTTGGGTGGGAAATAATAGCTGACTTCCTCCAAGCTGAAGAGTACGCCACCAATAGGAGCACCAAAGGCGACAGCAACACCGCTGGCGGCACTGGCGCTCAGAACCTCACGTCTCTTGCCATCATTCTGGTTATACTTGGCGAACAGACGACAACAGATATTGCCAACGCAAGTGGCGATATGGACATATGGGCCTTCTTTACCTAAGCTCAAACCAGAGGAAACACTGAAGATCAAGCCAATTGTTTTCACAACCAGCGTCTTGAGTCCCATATACCCGTGAAGTACAAAGCCACTGTTGATGACCTTAACTTCTGCCACTCCACTGCCAGCAGCAGAATAGTAGATCATCGCTGGATGGGACGGGAAGCTGGGCAAAGTTCCATATGAGGGAGAACTCGTTTCTACCTCCGAAAGAGGTGAGTCCGAATCATCGAGCCCAATCGCAGATCTTGTACCACGAGAGTCGGCACCCAGATTTTCATCAAGCGTAGCGAGAGAAATGGACGAGGGAACCACGGTTTTCGTGAGCAGCGTTAACGCACACGATATGAGAGCCAATGTCACAACCCAAAAGATGAACATTACGAGATCAATCCACTGATTCCCAGGATCGGATGAGAAGATCCTAGACCAGGGTCGCCATTCATCACAAACAGCTAGACCTTCACAGCAGCTCCGCCGATTGCGGAAGTACTTGGTCGTGCAGAAGCCTTCCTTCAGATCAAATACCGCACCCTCGGTAACATCGACGAAATAAGCAATGCAGGCCGTGATGCATCCAATGAGCGCGACCAATATCCACCCTTGCGCACCGTCAAAGGCCGCCAGCAATCGACCTCGCACATCTTTCCTTTGGCGAAGTAGGCGGAGCCGGGCTCCATCGGCGATACTATCATGCACCCAATCCGTAGAAGTGAATTGATCGTACCAAGTTCGCTCATCCAGAAACGAAGATGCAGTCAGGTTGTCTTTAGTGGACGGAGGGAGGCTGGCGGGTCTACTATCGTTGTCTACACTGCCTCGCCGACTCAATCGCCTACCCGTGGAGTTGGCACGGCTATGATTTCGCGTCCGCCGTAGACTACCGGCCGCCAAAAGGTGCCTGAGCGAGTCCGGGCCGGTACCTGACACTCCAGAAGTGCTGGTGTATGATCGGCGAGGAGCTCGTCGCCGGACGTCCTGGGCGGACCCGAGCAAACGGGTTGTTTCCGAAATTTCTAAGGGCGCATCAAGGGACTGATACTCGGTATGCGTCTCGGAAAGGTAGCTTTGAGATCGTCTGTATGTAGTTGGAGAAGGAGGAGCTGTTCGTGCAATGTGTGAGGTTTCGGTATCCTCTTGCTCGCGCGAGGCAAAGCCGGATTTTGGAAGAGATAGAGGCATGTCGCCGAGAAGCTCTTAGGCTTCAATTATATACAGTGGGGCTGGCAATGGTCAGTTTGGCAGAACTCCAGGAGACATGTCGGATCTGATCCACCTCCGACGTAAGGTGCAGCGGTGAAACGAAAACAACGCGAGTAAATACAGCAAGGAGCCCGACTTACTGAATCGCATCTCTCTTCGGTTCTCTGGCAAAAGACCCAAAACCATCAAACACACAAGAGAATCCAAAGAGGAGAAAAAAAAGGATCCGAGTGTAAGATAAGGTGACCATCCCATATGATCGAATGACGGGACGCGTCAGGTGAAAGCCATGACCCACTAACAGCCACCCCATCGGCGTTGTCATTTCGGATTATCTTTTAATATATTTCTACCCATGGACGCTCGATGCCCAGCACTGGGTCATGATTCGATGTTATGATTTCGGTGCATGTCGGATGCGTCTGATCCCCGCGTTTCTCCGTCGATCAACTCGGGGTATCGCGTGGATGGCGGAAGGCTGGTTGTGTCAACGCTCTGCGGGTTGGAATTTCATGATTCGACGAGATGCAGCCACTGTAGGCCCGATAACCTTGTTTCTCTTTGGTTGCTCAACGCGCGGGTCAAAGAGTCCTTGCTACTTTGGATACAACTATAGCATGAAAGGGCATGGTATCGGAAGCGACCCAGCTAACCGAGGAATTATTACGCTTGCAACTCTGTGGCTTCAACGCTAAACTAGGTCACGAAGAACATCTATACTATCGGCATCTTCGTCTGAACTAGGTTAGAATGTCTCTAACATTCTCAACCTTGAGACCTTGAGACATACATCGACCTCGGCGCAAAGGGGTCATCATTGTCCTCAGTGCTGCCCAATCCGAACCGCGCCTGGCGCTGATCTCTTGGCAACTCTGTGAGGTCGACGTCACTGTGAGGGGGCCGGGGGGACTTCAAAAATAAAAAGTGGCAAGAGTGTAACAGTCTCGGCATCTTTCAAATGGTATCCTCGATCTGAAAGTCCCCATCCTAGCACGGGGCTGATTTGAGGCCCAATCCACTGGTAGGCGCCGAAGGCTAATCGTCGAACATTGCCACATTGCCTAACATCTGCCATGGAGAGATCGGTAAGTTCCGAATCATCGGAAGCTGGGTCTAGTTTGTCATTTTGGGGATAGAGGGATAGCTCAACAAGGAGATAGCCATGGCAACGCGGGCCCTTGTCGCCCTTCCGATGCTATAGATTTGGCGTATCAATAAAATTGGCAATTTCGATGCCTGTTGATCATTGGCAATATGCTACATCAATCTCATAAGCAGACAACGTTCTCCATAATGCCAAGGGAATAATTTCGGGGTTGTGTCAAGGCTTGTTCAAGCTTGTCTGTGATGATCTCAAGACCGGCGTACTATACTCGGCACCTACCAAGGTGATCCCCTTGTAATAAGTAGGTCTATATCGAGAACAGCTCCCAGGTTGTTCGTCTTGACATCTCTATATATCGAAACGTATTCACAAAAAGAGAGAACACGAGAATCTTGTGGCAAGTCTCAACGTTAATTAGTGTGGTGGCCTGAGGTCTTTACCTCTATTGCACACACTCTCTTTTTCTCTATTCCAGCCCTAGAAGGAATGTCGGCTGCTGAAAATAAACCCAAGCATCATACTCCACCTCGGCAATTTGAGTATAAGGATGCTTCAAGCAAATGTATTTCAAATCTAAAATGATCCTGCCTTTAATATTTTCTATCTCGAGATTACTATGTGATCTCCCTCCAACTATGTCTACCTTACAGTTCTCATTGCTCACTCCGGAAGGATCGAAAGCTCTTATTCCGCGAGATGAGAAGCATGAAGTGTTTATATAAGGTTATGGAGCCATGAACAAAGCCAAAAGAAAGTCACTTTATGCAACGTTCTATCGCGCAGAGGCCTGCGGTAAGACTGTAAAGCCAAGTGCTAGGGGGCTTTTGAAAGCAAGGAGTCTAGTCTAGTGAAGGCTCTATCCACTGGCGATGGGCTATTGTCGAATTAGGTTGGATTGATTTGCTCACTAGGGAAAGCACAACTTCAACGATTCATTTCTCACTCCTTGTGCCTATAACTGGCGAGGCCGAGATTAGCGGGGAGCCGATGGACACAAATCACTATTACCATCACCCAGATGCCCCTATTTTGAAAGTATCTGGAGGTTCCAAAAGTAAAGCGGCTGTTCAGATCACATTTGACCCTACAATAGGCACTTTGAACATGGTCTTGGGGAGAATAAGGATCTTCCACATCCATCAATGCTACCTACATATACATCGTACCTGTGCGGGGTTCAGATCTGGCCCCTAAATGACGAGGTTGGAAACCAATTGGTGGAGAAATCTAAAATAGATTACTTGTAGATAGGATGGTTGGAGATGATATCGTGTCTTCTGTTCCCAATCTCTGGTCTTAATATCCAACAAGCGAAGATCCACCAATTTCCCTTTGGCCCGCGGAACTTCCCCCACCACCTTTCCAGGCTGCTTATTGTTATAAGCCCCGGCCTCCATCCAACTGCACCGTGCAATTTTATCTTTTTGTTTAACCGTCTCATCATGGCCGTTGAAACGATGAACGATAATGTGTTCACACCGTACGACCAGTTCCTTCTCTTTGGGGATTCCATCACTCAAATGAGCTGCAACCAGGAGGTAGGGTTTGGATTCCATGCTGCACTTCAAGAAGGTGAGTTCTTCCTATGGCCGATGTGGAGATTTGAATAATAAACTCATGAATTAAAAAAAATAGCCTACAGTCGGAGATTGGATGTGGTCAATCGTGGCCTTGCGTAAGATTATTCAAAGCTATACTAGACGATGTTATGCTAAAAAAAACTAGTGGATACACCACCGCCCATGCTGTCAAGGTATTTGGCAAGTTTTTCCCTACGCCACAGACTGCTACTGTGCGATTGATGGTAAGGTCCTTGGGGGGAGGCCCATTTGAAATCTCAGAGGTTCCTCAAAAGACAATTCGACTGACATCCAGTAGACTATCTTCTTCGGCGCAAATGATGCATGCGTTGAAGGCCACAAGCAGCATGTGCCCCTAGATCAATACAAAGAGAATCTGAAGACAATCATTCAGCACCCAGCGACGCGCGCGCAGAACCCCCGACTCATGTTGATAAGCCCACCTCCCGTTAATGAACATCAACTGGAGTTCTTTGATGCTGCAAAGGACACTCCCTTCCCAAGCAGAACGGCTATTTTGACCAAATTATATGCAGCTGCCGCGCGGGAAGTTGGCGCCGCGCTCAATATCCCAGTGGTGGACTTGTGGTCGGCCTTCATGAAACCCACAGGTTGGAAGGAGGGAGACCCTCTGATTGGGTCGCGCGATGTGCCGGATAATGAGACATTGGCTGGTCTTTTGTCTGATGGTACGTGGAACATCTATTCTCTGCTGTGCCTCATACTCACTAATCATATAGGTCTTCATCTGACTTCGGCTGGTAATCGTGTCGTCTATGAGGAAGTAATGAAGGTCATCCAGGCCAACTGGCCGGACCAGACCCCGGAGAGTCTTCCCATGGTGTTCCCTTCGTGGAATGACGCACCAAAATGAAAATCAGTCCTAGCTTGCATTATGTAGAAGGAGAATATAAATGCAAATCATAGCAGGTGCTTTAACAGTGGGAAGTATAGAACATGAAAGTATAGGGTGGAGTATGTATACGGAGTGTAAGCGGTCTAGCCCGGCGATCGTCCCTCGTCACCCTTCTGTACCTGTCGGCCTTGCGCCCCGCAAACTACACTCTTCACTCATCACAACCATTTCTCCTCACCTGTTCATCAACCCAGGAGTCTTCGATTTCGCGCTCCTCCTCCCATCCCAACCCCTGATAACTGCAAATCTGGCAATTTCGCGCCACTTTGCTCACGACTTCGCGCCACTTGTCTCCCACTCTGACCGTCGACCGTCAAATCACCGGCAACTGTGCCTAGCACATTGCACACACACACACACACACCATACATTGCAAATCTTGCTTCGCGTCGTCCTGTAAATCTTGAATCATCTGTTTATTGTCCAAAAATCCCACGAGAATCTTTCCTTCCGATATCAACATTGTGAAACGCGTTCCCTTTGTTCGTGCGAGCACCGCTTTCTATCTTGCCTAAACTCGCTGGATGTTTTGATAGGGTCCCTGATTACTTGCCCTTCACAGACAGGGTGGACGGCCGGTGGGCCGTCTCACAGATTGAAGGCGGCAGGAGATACTTGGAGAGCTGCTGGAACCCAAGTGTCGCCTTTCGCGCCTTACTCTTAGGGCGCATGAGTAACGACCATCATTTCAAATATTCCTCGTTACTTTATCTGTTCTCCTCATTTTAGTGTGAGTTCAGGACAAAATATTGGCTATGGATGCTCAGTATCCTTTTGCTTCTCGCGATGATATTTGGCGAGTGTTCGATGAATTGAAGGAGCTACACATCACCCAGTACGAGCAAGGAGAACGACTCGCACAGCTGGAGCGTCGCCGCGACGAGGATGCTCGGCTGAGAAGCGCTTGGGGTCCTGTGTCACCATTCCCGAACTCGGTTGGGCCAATCGCTCCAGGTAGTCCCCCTTCTCCTTCACGAATCAATTCACCACTTACCAAGACATCTATCGCAGACCCCGCTTTCCACACTCCCCCAGATGCTTTCAAGGGATTTGACCAGGGACATCACTCCGCAATGGCCAACTCTGCTATAGGATTTGACAGCGAAGAGGAGCCTAGACGGGGTGCCTCACGAGCCAACAGTGTCCGTTTCGATGAAAGTGCCATCCACGGGTACGGCCAAGCCAGCCGTTCTAATGATCTTCCTCTTCGGACCGGTAGCGGATTAAGTTCTCATCCACTCCTCGAGCGGACATTTTCTCACCAATCTGATGGAAGAATGAGTTCATCTGGTCACTCGCATCATTCCGCTCGCACGAATAGCCTGCGCCTGAACACCCGCTTGTCGGGTACCACACATATGGAATCACCTTTGATCCCCCCTCCTGGCCTCTTCTTGCTGGGACCGGTCCCATCCATCATTCGATGTTGGTTGACGGATACTTTCACCAATGGCTCTCTCCTGTATGCAGCTGTCTGCTCGGGATCGTATGTCTCAACTTTGGGTCTCTGCATGATCCGTGAGTTTGGGATGGAAGACATGATTGTACGTGAGGACGATGTGCAGTACATCAAGCTTCCCCTTTATCTTCCGGAAGCCATCATTCATCCATCTTCGTCGCGCCCAGGCACTCCTACTCACCAAGTCCCTGCGGTGACCATCCGTTTTGTGGTTCGCGAGACAGAGGTCGGCAATAACTCAATCCAGATCATTATTGGAAGCGATGTGATGCGCGCCCACAATGCCGACATCTTGTTCTCACAGGACAAGCTGATCATGGTGGATGATGAGCACAACCGCGTGTCTGTCCCTCTAGTGCGTCCTGAGCAAGATTCGGTCTTTAAGTCTCTATGCACTTCTCCAGGTACTCCTAATTCTGGGGATTCCTCGCTGGGGCCTCCTAGTAACGGAACTTCATCCGTTGGTATCATTGGCCGGCCTGCCAATGTTCAACAAAAGCCAGTTTCTGCGCCTCCATCAGCTCGTTTGCCTGGTAGTGAGAATGGCGATCCCAACAAATCCAATGTTCAAAGCCAGGTCCACGCTCACTTCTCTACTAGGACGCGCTCAGCCGCTCCTAACGCGGCGAGTTCTGAATCTACCAAAAACGACGATCTGCCGCCTTGGGGTAGCTGGCGTCGTGACGCCAAGAAACCCACCAGTACTTCTCAAAAGGCCGCCGAAAAACGCGAGATGAAAGTATTCCGCACCGGGAAGTCCACTAGCCATGCAAACTCTACGACTTCCGCTTCGGCCTCTAGTACTGCAACTGAACATGCTGACAAGTCGTCTCTGGCACTTACTGCTGCCCACCATTCCGACAAGCATGGTGCACTCAATCCCGTGGGCGGTGCATCGGCATTTGGATGGCTTAACCAGCCCCACAACGCCTCATCCTAGATGAGATAAACTAGGATTGGCTTTTATGTTTGATTACATCCGAATCTGAAACGATCTCGGTCTGACAGCATGATATGGAGGGGTTGTGATGCTTCGGAAAACTGGGAATATCTGCGGCAGGCACTACCAAGCTGGCCACCAGGAAAGGGAGAAACCGTTTTCTTTTAGCTGGTAGCATTGTCGAACCGCAGAGATAGCAGGGCCATGAAATACTGAAGGAAAAAGAAAAAAAGCATTATCGCTCAATTCACACCTGGGCCTGTTCATTGCCAATACCATTCGGATCTTATCTCATCTAATTCGTAGAACTCCGCATCGTACATAGGTATCTACCAAAAGCCCCCATCCACTCCAGTCAACCGTAGCACAGATCGCCCCAAACTAAATTTTTGAGAAAACGCCCAAAGCTCCCTTGGTACTCTCCTTGGTCTCCTTAACAAGTCCACTAATAGCCCGGAACGCTTCATGCCCAGCATCCCCGACAATCTCAAACAGCACACCCTCACTACTCGTAATCACAGCCCCCGCATCTCTCAATCTAGCAAGCGCAACCCCCCTCTCCTCAGAATTAACACTACTTACCCCATCAACGAGGACATAAACCCGGTGTCCGCGCTCCAGAAGATCGAGCGTCGTCTGTGTCACACAAATATGGGTCTCAAGTCCAACGATGATCACATCGAGCTGCGTCTCACTGGCCGCCGGAAGCAGCTTCTCTATCTCCGGGGTTATCATCGAGAAGATGGTCTTGTCTACGTCGGCGCGGATGTGCGGGCCGTTGAGACGCTCTTGTAGTTCCGACACGGTATTGCCGAGCTTCTTGCGGCTTTGGGTTGTTACGAACACGGGCATTTTCAGGATTGATGCTGCCTGCAGCATTTTGTCGGTTATCGAGACGCTGGTAATGTTTAGGTTATTTGGCTCTTTTGGTTTCTTGCGCGTTTGGAGGGAATCGTACAGCTTGGGGAACTCGTAGATTTGAGCGCGGAATTTCTCTTGGATGTCGCAGATGCTGGGGTTTATATTGTTAGTCCCTGTGAGAGCGGTTCTGTTTATTTGGTTTTGGGTGTTGTTGCATACAAGAGTACCGGATTACCTGTGATGTCAGTGTCTTGTCTTGAGCTGGGATTGGGGGTTTCTCTTACGGATTCGAGATGCGCGTGAAAGGCTAGCCATGATTGTGATGGATTGAGGAACCAGGTTCTGTGAATGGATTAGATATTGAGGATGGGATATATGGGAAAGTAGAAGTAGAGGTGAGTCGGCGGGGGACGGGCAATCGGGGAATCGGAGATGCGGGGAAGCAGTCGGCCGAGGGAAGATGGCTATGCTCCAAGTTGGACTCCCGGATTTCTTGTCAACGTCTTGAATCAATCATGGTCAAACTTTTGATTTGGTATATAAACATCACTCATCTACTCATCTAGGTTATTTACAGCTTGACCTCATGCACCTTGGCCCGTCCGACGAACCAACTGTCATCGCCATTGCCCGCCGCTGTGCGGATGGCGTAAAGCTCATCGAGGAATGCCGGAACGAAGCTGCCTGGGCCACGAACATACTCTTTGGCTGCTGCGTTCTCCGCTGCAATTTCGTACATGAGAATGCCGGACAGGACGGCGAGGAGTCGGTCAGCGCGATGAGCAGTCAGGAAGCACCCGGAGATTGTGCCGATAGCACAGCCGGTCTGTAGATATTCGTTAGTTGTATACTCAAAATATGGATCTAGAAAGGTTGCGTACGCCGGTAACTTGTGCCAGATATGGGTGACCATTCTCAACGGCAATGACCCGCTCACCATCACTAAGGTAATCTGTTGGGCCGGTCAAGAGAACAACATTGCCTTGAGAGGGTTAGCCTAGAGAAACAATCGTTAGAGGTTCATGCGTATACTTACGTTCCCTCCGAGCCAAATCCCGCGCCAATGTAGCTTTTTGCTTGTCGTCAAGTGTGCTCGGGCCGCTGTCCACGCCACGCTGTTGAACAGCATTGCTACCCCAAACTTGGCGAATCTCGCCCTCGTTGCCCTTGATCAAATCAAAGTAGCCACCAGTCATAAGTTGGGTCACAGCGTCGCGGCGAATTTGTGTCGCAGCCGCACCGACTGGGTCATAAACCACTGGGTTGCCTCGCTCATTGTATGCACTAATCGCTTTGAGGTAGTTTGAGACACTGTCGCTGGTTAAAGTCCCCATGTTGATCAGAAGGGCACCATCAAATTTGCACAGGTCTGTGGCTTCATCGCCGTATGGGGACATGATGGGAGATGCGCCACTGCGCAATGTTAGCATAGAGTATGTCATGGCTTAGTGGAATACACTGACATAGAAAGGGCAACATTGGCCACAAAGTTCGACACAACAAAATTAATCATGTTGTGTACGAGCGGATGCACCTCTACCACTTTACGGATGATTTGAGGCACATCCTTCAACAAGGCCTCAGCCTCATTGGTCCTAGGAGGGTTGGAAGTCAATGCAAACCGAGGCGCATTCTTGATGAGCTCAACAAATTTCGCTGCAGAAGCCTTGGGATCATCGGCCGCTATGATAGCGCTGACAATGGCCACCCCATCCAATGCTTTATTCGGTGACTCGGATTGGTAGATTACTCGCTGCACATTGGAGTGATTGATACCGCCAATAGCAACCGTGCCCACGTCAGAATCTTTAATGCCATCCAGAATGGCTTTTGTGCCTGCTGTCCCGATGACTGACTTGGTATTAGTTTTGCTATTAATGGTCAGCATCAACTATTCAGTAGGGAAACACTGTGTTTGAAGACTCACGTGGGGGTGGCAAACATAGTACCAACTCCGAGATAGTCAGCGCCATCTGCGATAGCCTGTTTCGATTCTTCAATGGAAGACGTAGTGACACCAATAATAGAACCTTCGGGAAGCAGCTTCTTTGCTTCTTGGAACTCTGGATTCAATATCAGTACATGTATCTTTCACCAAATGGTGGCAACACACTCATATCATCTTGACCAATGTGCACGCCTTCACACCCGATGGCAAGCGCCACATCGATTCGGTCATTGATTAAGAGTGGTACATTGAATTTCTTTGTGATTTGATGCAGTTTCCGGGCAGTCTCTATCATGACACCAGTGTCATTGGATTTCTCCCGATATTGCACCACCGTCACACCTAGCGTATAGCTTAGTTAAGAAACCCACAGAATAGCTAGAATAACACTTACCTCCTTCAAGAGCACTTTCTACTACGGCACATAGATCTCGACCCTTCAGAATGGCAGGGGTCGAATCCGTGACCAAATAGACAGACAGATCTACGGGCATGGTGGCTTGGCCTTCGGACAAAGGCTGGTCGGAGTAATAGAACGGATGTCGTTGAATTGACAAAGAGAATGCCGAACTGAAGAGTTGAATTGGTGAGGTCAGCAGACTATAGCTCGTATAACGCTGTATAAGTGACCGAAGGAGATTGCGGTTATCGTTGTGTGGTGGGGTTCGAGTTTCGGCCTGTAGCTCAGCCGATGTATACAACTTCACTACGCCGTATGGGCTTCAATGTTGGTTGGTCAAATGTGTTGGTTTTTTTCGTTTGAAACAATGGGCTGACACCTGAAACATCCTCCAATCGTGGAGAATCCCCAAGATCCCTTGCCGTCTCATGTGACTTGATCATTTCCAATCCTGTATACTCCGAGTTATTCCCGGCACGTGTCAGCTGACATAACCATGGTTTGTCAAATTTCTGCCTTTTTTTCCTTTTCTTCTTTCTTTCCCCAACAACACACACTCGCACACATAGGCATCGAGTTATTTTCGAAGCCGGCATTTATCTCCCGCGTGGACTTGCAGTTCGACGCTCTTCATATTTCATCACTGGTTAGTTCGGCATCGCCATCATTTTCCACCGTCCACCAAAAGGTCTCCGACCTCTGACTCGGTCTCCCTCAAGAACTTCGATTGTTCCCAGAAAGCCACACGTTGAGAAGTTTGTTGCGAACTTGTCTATGTATTCGTCCTCCGTCCAAAATTTCGAACATCACCTGCCGCTCAAGCTGCAAACGTTTCGCGCGCCGAAACCTTGCAGCATACACCTCAGATCCTGTGGCTGAACACCCCGGATCTTTCCTCAACCCGTTGTGAATATCTCTTGAGAAATCACACCCTATACTCCAAAACAAAAAAAAAAACTTGACACGCATGTCTTGTCTCGTCGACGAAACTATCATTCAGAATTCCCCCAGCTTTCTCTTAAGCAATCCCGCTATTCCCTTCTCGTGAAACAACCGCTCAACTAAACCATCATCATGGCCACCGTCAACATTCGCCGGGATGTCACCGATCCCTTCTATCGCTACAAGATGGAGAAGCTCCAGGCCAAGGTCGAGGGCAAGGGCAACGGTATCAAGACCGTTGTTGTCAACCTGAACTCGGTTGCTCAGTCTCTCAGCCGTCCTCCTGCCTACCTCATCAAGTACTTCGGCTTTGAACTTGGTGCCCAGGCCAATGCCAAGCCCTCCGATGAACGTTGGATCATCAACGGCTCTCACGATGCCCCCAAGCTCCAGGACTACCTTGATGGATTCATTTCCAAGTTCGTGCTCTGCAAGAAGTGCAAGAACCCTGAAACCGATGTCACCATCAAGGACGAGAAGATTACCCTGGATTGCAAGGCCTGCGGTCAGCGCTCCGATGTCGACCCTCGCCTCAAGCTGAGCACCTTCATTGTCCGCAACAACCCCAAGGGAGGCAAGAAGGAGAAGAAGAAGTCCCGCCGCGAGCGAGAGAAGGAGAAGGCTGCCAATGGCGAGGATGCTAGCCCCGGCGACAGCAACAACTCCGAGAATGGCGAGGATGGCGATGAGGCCCTCGAGGCCAACAGCGATGATGAGGTGACCCGCCAGGCTCAGGCCATTGAGGCTGAGGCCGAGATCGAGGATGATGATTGGGCCGTCGACGTTTCCGAGGAGGCTGTCAAGGCTCGTGCCAAGGATCTGCCCTCTGACCTCAAGCGTGCCCTTGTCATTGATGATGGTGACGATGAGGGTGCCGACGGCCCCTCTTCCTACGAGCAGCTGGGTAGCTGGATCGTTGAAACCGCTGCTGAGAAGGGCGGTGTCACCAACGTCACCGACGTTGAGATCTACATGAAGGCCAAGGAGTTCGGCATCGAGAGCAAGCACAAGACCGTTGCTGTGCTGGCCCAGAGCATTTTCGATGAGAAGATCGCCAAGCAGATCGAATCCCGCGCTGGTCTCCTCAAGAAGATGATCACTTCCGAGCGTCACGAGAAGGCCTTCCTCGGTGGTACCGAGCGTTTCGTTGGCCAGGATCACCCCGCTCTTGTTGCACAGGTCCCTGCCATTCTGTTGGGCTACTACCAGAATGACCTCGTGTCTGAGGAAACCCTCAAGGCTTGGGGTGCTAAGACCAGCAAGAAGTACGTCGACATCTCGACCAGCAAGAAGATCCACAAGGCTGCCAAGCCCTTCATCGAGTGGCTCGAGACTGCTGAAAGTGACGAGGAGAGTGACGAGGAGAGCGAGTAAAGCGAGTAAATGGCAAACGTCCTGTACGCTACCGTGCACCATGCACCATCTGCCAGTCGCTATTTGCTATCCGCATTTGTTCTTTGGGGAAGGGAATTCTGAGACCTCCACCTGCTATGTCCATTGTTTATGGACTCAGCAGATCGGTTGTCATTTTAGTTTAGCTTACCATCGCCACTCCTTCATAGTCAATATCAATTGGGTTTAAATCCTATCATCCACAAAAAGATAGTTGTCCGTTTCTCAGGCATGATCTGAATATCTCGTTAGCTCGATCTAAACTATATCACAGTACTCTCCTCTGTCTATAGTTGTCGCCAAGCCGGAAAATTCTTGGTGTCAATGGCATTTGAATACTACTACTACAAGTAGAACAAACTAAATTGATATCTCATGCCACGCAATACCATCAAAAATGAAAGCAAGGACTAGAACACCATCTCTGCAAGCTTGACCTGCTCCCCCTCACCATTAAAAGAGGAAGTAGCAAAACCACCGCAATGTCCAACATCGCCAGTGGTAATCAAACCCGCTTTCACGCGATGGCGCATGAAAACAAACCACGCCAAATCCAGATTCCAAGCTTCCATTGCCCGAATCGCATCCTCAACAGACACCATAACTTCACCGTGAGCAGTATCATCCGCAAATGTAGAATTCCTCGAAGAAAGGAAGTAATACTCCGGCCCAACAAACAACGCAATCCAACCACCGAGCATCTCGCAAATCCTATCTCCTACTTCTAATGGCAGTCGTACATGCGAGAGAACCGTGATAAAGAGGGAAATCAACGCACGCCACAGACGGTGGTGCGGAGTAAAGAACCTCGAGCCGGGGGCGGAGGGTGAGAGCGAAAGAGACGAGGAGAGGGCGAGGTGTAAGGTGGATGCCAGATCTCGTGATTCTGCGGTGCTAGGTGTGGCACTAGGGGCCTGAGATCTGGCACGGCGCTCATTTGCAGCCTCGCCGTCAGCACGTACTTTCTCCCACACGCGGCGGTACAGCCGGTCCCAGCGGGAGAATTCGGTTTCCACCCGCGTGGCCATGAAATCGCCTGCGCCTTTGCACATTGCTTCTATTGCTTCGCAGGCTGTCACGGTCACGAAGGTTTCTTCTTGATAATCTGGAGTTTCCGGGTTGCGGGTTGGTTCTGCGGATGGAGTGGCGATAAGGGATTTAGAGGTTTCGTTTGCTGGTGATGAGGGGAATATGATTCGGCTGGCTACTGTGGGCCAGAGGTCGTTGATTAAAGGAAGGAAACTCGTTTCGTTTTGGGAGAGGGCAGGGAGGACTTCGATGAGGATTGAGAGGAGGGAACGGCGAAGGTAAGGGGATGGCGAGGTTAAGTGTGACGGGATGGATTTGACAATGTGGAGCAGGAGGGAGTGGGTTTTGCTGAGTGGTTTCTCGGCATCTTCTGGTTCTTTGGGGGGTGGGAGTGGCTCATCTGATTCAGCTTGGTTCAGGAGCTCTTCGACAGAGGGCTCTGGTGGAGGTTTGTCGTATGTTTCTGACCATGGCTTCTTTGGATGCGGGATTTTCCCATTGGCGTCTGCCAGCTCATCTTCAGCGTGGCGCTGAGCTTTGCGGTTGGCGATCGCCGTAGCGATGCTCGAAATCGAGAGATGCTGGTACTGAGACTTGCGCGAATCGTCAGATCCATTGTCTTTACCCTCATCGATTGTCAGTAAGGATGGCTTCTTAGCCCCTTCCTCGACGATCGCTGCTAGAGTTTTGAACATTGTCTCAACAAGTTTGGGATAGCCGTGGTATAGATCCAATATGCCGAAAACCGAGTCGACCAGATCATCCAAGTAGGGTATCAATCGTGCGCCACAAAGCTTGACCATCATGAACAGCACTTGGGATGGATAGGGTGAAACATCAAAGGTATTCAGTTTCAAGGCGACCGAGTTCACCAAATAGTCCACATTTTCAATGATCATAGCACTCGTGTCTGAGTAGTTGCAGGCATTGGTCAAAATGTTGAGACATGTCATTGCATGGCGCTGGAGATTGGGATTCGGTGATGCCAGCAGCTGTAAAGTCGGATAAAGCGCATCCATGAGCTCGGGACGGAAAGCTTCGCCGAGTTGCTGGGCTTGAAGAGCAACAGATTCCAGAGCGAGTGCTGATGTACGCCAGTCGTCTGTTCCTTCAACTGAAAGTTCATTTAGCATATTTAATGAGACATAATATAATTCTTCTATCATTCCGCCACGGTCAACTGACGAGACGGATCCCTCAATATGATCAAGAGAAATAAAATCATCAAAGCTGGATGATGCAGCGGCGCTGTCCCGTAAGAAAGTCATCGCTAACCAGAAAGGTGCAATGGCAGAATCACTTGATGTCGTGTGCATGCGGTTCACAATTGACCGAGTGATCTCATTTCCGGATTCAGACAGATTCAATCTTGTAATCATCAACCGTAGATCTTTGAGGGTTTGCTGCTGGCTTTGGTGTTCTAGAATAATTGGTGGGAATATTTCAGATTTGGCATCTGTGCTGAGCACCTCCCAGTTGAAGGCAGTGTCCATTGAAGCCAACGGCTGAAGGGCGTTGGTGCTCTGCCGGACAACGGCACCAACACTATCACATAGACCGGAAGCCAAGCCGCTGGTGAGTAGATCGGATCCAGATTGGACTTGAGACAAAACCTGGAAGACTGTGGAGATTTGGCGAAGTCCCCATTGCTTAGCTGTTTCATCGTTGCCTTGCATGATCCGAGGGAACGAGGTGAGCCATGTATGCAATGATTCTTTGAGGGAATCCAGAACTGTGGAATACGTTGTAGCAAGATGGGTAACGCTCTTGTATGCTTCATTCGCCCCTTCATCCTCTTTATCTGCAAGAACCACAACAGTTTCTACCATCATAGGGAGAGCCTCTGAAAGTGTGGTCTGGCACTCTTCAATAATCATCAAGGAGAAATTTAGAACCGCAGTTTGGACCTCTGCTCTCTGATGGCGGCGAACCTGGATGACATTGGCCAATGCCAGCTTGATCTGTGTGGTAGTGGCCTTCAACCAAGCTTCATCCAGAGCTATCTTGTCGCTTTCCAGCCCCGGTGGGGCGACCTCCGAGGCGACACGGTCATTAAGAACGGACCTTAGAAGCTCTGTAAGGATTTCTAAGGAAACTTGGAGGAGTTTGAATGATCTACGAGCTTGTGTTGTTGGCCTCAGAACCTTGGCCAGTGCCGACACAGTGCGCGGCATGATACTGGCAAGCACCACGCGGTCTGTAACTCGAGAATAGAGTGCTTGCAGCGCTCTGGCTGCAGATAGGCAGAGTTCATCGGATCTATCATCGACGATTCCCTCAAGCAGGATATAAACTGTCTGGTCGACAACTGTCGCAGTGCCGATCTCGTGATAGATTGTCTGTTTCGGAATAGCTCCTTCCAATACTGTGAATATAGCACTGAGACAGTCGAATCCAGCGATGCACAATTCTTCCGAGACCTTAGGTTTTGGTAGTTGCTTCTCTTCCGCCTTGCTTGGAGATCCTCCGACGATCAACGTCAGCAAGATTATTAGTTGCTTTCCCATGACAGGAGACAGCCGTTGTCGCCATCCATCAGCGACCAATATTCGCAAGCATTGAACGGCGGACTCTAGGCACCGGGCGGGCAATCTTTGGGTCTCGTTGAATATGTGCGAAAGTGGAAAGAACGCATATTCAGCCAGTTTCTCGTCGAGTGTGTTTCCTTCCGCAAGTTCCTTTAAACAGTTTTGTACTGGCTCAAGAGCTCGGGATACATCGGCAGCGGAAGCTTGATTTCCTCGAAAACGGAGACCTACAGAGCTGAGCTCGACGCATGGCGCTCGGAGCTATTTGAGGATCAGCATTGTACATTGTGTAGCCCAGGAACCAAACGATCAGATCATACCTGCTTGAAAGATTGCTGCCGGAGATTGTCCATTGCAGTTACTCAACGCCAGACAGCGTTAGAGATGCAAGATAGTCGAGATTAGGGTGAGTGTCAGTCTCGAAAAACCAGCTAAACACTCAACACCCCATTGTAAACACTGTCTAGCGGGCCCATCGCAATCGATAACTGTGGGACTGCGTCACAAAACTGCACCGCCTGGTCACGATCTGCCAGCAGAACCAGGCGGTAGAGGAATTGCATCCAAAAGTGGCAAGATAATGTCGCACGTGATGCATTAGCGCGTCTCGACGCGTTGGAACCTTGACAGCTGCCTGCGAGACAGCGCTAGCCTAGTGCTGGGTGTTGCCTTGGCTATTGCAATTGTAGCTTTGGTTTCCTCAGACTATATATTCAGACAATTTTAGTGTCTGTCTAACCCGGAGAAAAATATCTATGCGGGTTTTGCGCATTCCAGAGCTTGCGCAATTATCGCTTTTGCGCTCGAAACCTAGTATCTGCAGACGTCTCGCAGGACAGCACAATTTCTTGACATCAATCTCACGATTACCTTCGGTTTTATCTTCTACTACTTTTTCCGCCCAAAAAACCCGCAGTTTGAATACAATTACACTCTCACCATCACGAATCATGGCCGATGATAAGAGCAGGAAACAGGCTACCCTTGGGTATGTACGAGATAAACAACAGACGATCGGGTGTGTCGACGGTCTTCTGATGGCACATGTGCCCTTTGGCTCTGCCCTCTCTCGGGTTATAATTCTGTCCAGCCTGCTAATTCATTCTACTCGTCTTACAGGAGGTTCTTCGGATCGAATGCTAACCAGCCGCCGAAAAAGCAAACTACACTGGCCTTTGGTGGAAGGAGACAGCCGGCAAGCAGTGGTTCTGCCGATGTAGAGATCAAGGATAACACAGGCGATGTGAAAGTGAAAGATGACATTGACTCAGCACCGACTGGTACCGTCAACGGAGGAGAGACAGCGAAAGGTCTGAAGCGGGAACAGAGCTCCGAGGTGGAAGCCAGCGATGACTCTGATATCCAGCCGGTCACCAAAAGGCGGCGCAAGGCCTCGATCAGCTCTTCCGGAGCTTCCAAGAAGAAGCAACCTACCTCTCCCCAGAAGCCCCCATCTGCAAAATCAAAGGCTAAATCGCCGTCACCAAGCCCGGCTGCGCAAAAGCCTGCCGATGTTACTCCTGAAGAGAAGTCGCCATCGGTTGTAGAAGAGGAGGACCCGTTAGAAAGCGAAGATGAAGGGGACCTTAAGCCAGAGCTCACGAAGAAATCCATCGAAAAGTTCCAAGCTAAACTGAAAGGCAGTGGTAACGATCCATACCCAGACTGGAAAGCCGGCGAACCTGTTCCTTATGCTGCTCTCTGTACCACCTTTTCTCTTATTGAGATGACCAGAAAGCGCTTGGAGATCACGGACCACTGTTCTCTTTTCCTTCGCCAGGTTCTTCGCCTGACTCCTGCCGATTTCCTACCTACTGTTCAGCTGATGATCAACAAGCTGGCTGCCGACTACGCCGGCATTGAACTGGGCATTGGAGAATCATTAATCATGAAAGCTATTGGTGAATGTACCGGCCGCAGTCTCGCCATCATAAAAGCCGATCAACGGGAAATCGGAGATCTGGGACTTGTCGCTGCCAAGAGTCGATCAAATCAACCTACCATGTTCAAGCCCAAACCATTGACTGTACGGGGAGTGCATGAAGGCCTGCTTGCGATTGCCCAGGTCCAGGGCCATGGATCTCAGGACAAAAAGATTTCTGGTATCAAGAAACTGCTCGCTGCAGCCGATGCTGATACTGCTGGTAAGGGAGGTAAAAGCGTGGATATCACTAAGGACAAGGGTGGCCCTAGCGAAGCCAAGTTCATCGTTCGATTTTTGGAAGGTAAATTGAGGCTAGGACTCGCAGAAAAGACAGTACTGGTCGCTGTTTCTCGAGCAGTCCAGGCCCATGAAGCCGAATCAAGCGGAAACAAGATTCCGTCTACAGAAAAAATGGTTGAAGGTGAAAATATCTTCAAAACTGTTTACAGTGAGCTTCCTGCTTACGAAGTAATCATTCCTGCCATTCTTGAGCACGGCCTTTTCAAACTACCTGAAATTTGCAAGCTTTCTCCTGGAATTCCCATCAAACCTATGCTTGCCAAGCCAACAAAGTCTATCACTGAAGTGCTTGACCGATTCGAAGGCAAGGAATTCACTTGCGAATACAAGTATGATGGAGAGAGAGCTCAGATCCATTTTGTGGCTCCCGATTCTATCCACCAATATCCCGGGGCTCTGGAGACGTTGCAAAAGGACAGCAAGGGACTTTCATCAATCTTCTCCCGCAACTCGGAAGATCTCTCCAAAAAATATCCCGATGTTCTAGGCAAGCTTGATACGTGGGTTAAAAACGATGTTAAGAGCTTTGTTCTTGACTGCGAGACTGTTGCATGGGATACGGAGGCCAAAAAGGTTCTTCCTTTCCAGCAATTGATGACTCGTAAGCGCAAGGATGTCAAGGCAGAAGACGTGAAGGTTAAGGTGTGCGTATACGCTTTCGATCTGCTGTTCTTCAATGGAGAGGTGAGACTATCTGTGCCTATTTAAAGCAGTCCTCTGGATCTCCAATTGTGTTTGCTAACTATGTAACAGCCCTGTGTGAAGAAGACTCTACGTGAACGTCGGGAGCTTATGCACCAATGCTTCCAACCGGTTGAGGGAGAATTCCAGTTTGCCCAATACGGCAACTCTAATGTTCTCGATGAGATTCAGGAATTACTCGAGGCTAGCGTTAAGGCATCTTGTGAGGGTCTCATGGTAAAGATGCTAGACACACCAGAGAGTGGTTATGAGCCAAGCAAACGGAGTCGTAACTGGTTGAAGGTATGGGTCTTCCGTTCATCGATTACTTCAATCGATGCTAATCTTGATATAGGTCAAAAAGGATTACCTCGCTGGTGTAGGTGATTCTCTCGATCTTGTCGTCCTCGGAGCCTACTACGGTCGTGGAAAACGCACTTCGGTCTATGGCGCCTTCCTTCTCGCTGCTTACAATTCCAACAACGACACATATGAGACCATCTGTAACATTGGCACTGGCTTTTCCGAGGCGCTTCTCGAAGAGCTCCACAAGACGCTAGTTCCTTTGGTCATTGACCGCCCAAAACCCTTCTACACTCACTCGACCGTCCCCAAGGATCAACCGGATGTTTGGTTCGAGCCGAGACTGGTCTGGGAGGTCAAAACAGCCGATCTAACACTCAGTCCACGGTACCAAGCCGCTGCTGATGAGTTCCAAGGGACTACCGGCGGTGGAAAGGGCGTGTCTCTTCGATTCCCGCGGTATATCAAATCCCGCGACGATAAAAAGCCTGATGAAGCCACCACTACCCGTGCTGTGGCGGAGATGTACCGAAAGCAGGAAGCAGTCACCAAGGACCATACGAGCAAGGGCGGTGTGGATGATGACTTTGAGTATTAAAGCGTTTTCATCAGGTGCATTGGAATATAGCGAATACAATTGAGTTCATTGGGTATCAATATTGCCTCTTACAGTCGTGTGTATTTCCTAGTTTGAGTGGCATCACCAGATGAGATACTCCGTACGGAGTACATCGTTAGGGCTTACCGTGGTGCCACTTGGAGGAAATGACTTTTTCATCTATACGATCCTGAAGGCAGCACTGATAGGTACCAAGTTCCCCGGCTTATTCGCAATCTAAAATGGGCCCCTTTTCTAGAGCAATGGCCCCTGCCGATTGATATCCAATATCATGATCCGATTCCGCAATTGCGGATATCAACCGGGATATGAGCGGACTCCGCGATGCTTGGCGCTGCAACCCAAGAAGCCGGACGTTGCCCGGCCCTGCATCGACCCTGCATCCGCCATTTTTGTGCGCGGCACGTCTTGTTGGCTGCCCCGAGTTGGCTGATAATACGAAATAACAGCACACATATCCGTCTTGGCGCTGAAGAATGTAACATGCCCCCCTTCGTCGGGGAAGTGCCGTCTCAGCCCACGGCCACTAGCTGCCTGGGCGTGCGGAGTCACGGCACTTAAATAAGAGTGTCAATCCGGAATGCTGTCTGTCTTTGTGCACGTTTTTCTTGAGCTGCGTGCGTTCGAACCTGATCATCGACATGCGTGTGTTCCAGCTGGCGGCCCTCGGGTCGATCGTCGCTACTGCGGCGGCTATCACTCCCGAGTCAGTGCTGATCTTCCCACAGCTTCATTCTATTCTTGACTGGTTATTGACTTGGTTTGCAGAGAAATGATCGCCGCTCCTAGAAGGAGTGATGCCGTTCCCAATCCATCGGGAGTGAGTTTGGCTATTGCACAACATAGATTACATGGACCATTGTGACTGACCAAGTATAGGAAGTCGCACTTTTCTCCACCTCTGAATACTCCTTCGAGACTCATGCTACATCCTCGTGGTGGAGCTTGGTGGATTTGAAGACTGGGAAAATCACTCAACTTACAAATGACAGCGATGTCTCCGAGATCACTTGGCTCGGTTCTACCGATTCGGGTCTGTTGTATATCAACGGCACTAATGCCGAAATTCCTGGAGGTGCCGAGATCTGGGTCTCAGACACCTCTGATTTTACTAACTCGTAAGTCTACATGCAGATTCCGACGGAAATTCACTAACTTCTCTTTAGTGCCTACAAGGCGGCTTCTCTCCCGGCGCCACTTGGCGGCCTCAAGACGGCCATCACCAAGTCTGGAGACATCAACTTCTTGGTGTACGGAGAGTCTTGGGCTAATGGAACGGCATACAACGAACAGCTTGCTTCCACTCCGCTAAGCACAGCACGTATTTACGACAGCATCTACGTCCGCCACTGGGATACCTGGCTGACGACGAGATTCAATGCCATCTTCTCCGGAACTCTGAATAAGAAGAGAGTTGGACATGGAGCCGCATCCCGCTATGCTTCTAGTGGATCCCTTAAGAACCTCGTCACGCCAGTCAAGAACCTCGAGTCACCTTACCCCCCATTCGGCGATTCTTCTGACTATGACCTCTCCGCCAATGGAAAATGGGTTGCATTCAAGAGCAAGGCACCTGAATTGCCACGTGCGAACCACACTGCATCATACATTTATCTTGTACCCCATGATGGCTCCAAGAAGGCCGTGGCAATCAATGGTCCAGACAGTCCTGGAACACCGAAAGGTATCAAGGGTGATTCGGCCAGTCCTTCCTTCTCCCCAGATGGCCGTCGCATTGCATATATCCAAATGGAAGAGGACGGATACGAGTCAGACCGTCAGGTCCCTTACATCTATACCCTTGACTCCAAGGACGCCATTCGCTCATTTGCTAAGGACTGGGACCGCTCACCTTCTCAGGTGAAGTGGACCGCTGACGGGAAGAACCTGATTTTGAATACCGAGGATGCTGGACAATCTCGACTCTTCTTGCTGCCTACTAATGCTGGTGACAATTTCAAGCCCAAGAACTTCACCGACAAGGGTGTGGTAGCCGCTTACTACAGACTGCCGAACGGAGAGTTCTTGGTTTCTGATTCGGCTGCTTATAATAGCCGGTCATTCTACACCGCAAAGCCTGGCAAGGGTGTGACTGGCACCATCTTCTCTGCCAACAAGGTGGATCCCGCCTTGAAGAACATAGGCCCCTCTGATCTGGACGAGTTTTACTACAAGGGCAACTTCACCGATGTAAGTTGATCAAGTCCTCTTCGATCAATGAAGATGTACTAACCCTTTATAGATTCACTCCTGGATCGTGTACCCCGAGAACTTTGACAAGTCGAAGTCATACCCTCTCATGTTCTTAATCCACGGCGGTCCTCAGGTCTCTTGGGTGAACTCCTGGAGCACTCGATGGAACTTCAAAACCTTTGCTGACCAAGGATATGTGGTTATCGCACCCAACCCAACTGGCAGCTCTGGATTTGGATTCGAACTCCAGAATGCCATCCAAAACAATTGGGGTATGTCATCTCTGCCCATCATTTCTTATACGCGGATTACATTCTAATGGTCAACAGGAAGCTACCCTTATGATGACTTGGTCAAGGCCTGGGAGTATGTCCGAGACAACTTCGACTTCATTGACACAGATCGCGGCGTAGCGGCTGGCGCCAGCTATGGTGGTTTCATGGTAAACTGGATTCAGGGTCACCCTCTGGGCCGCGAATTCAAAGCGATGGCGAGCCACGATGGCACATTTGTCGCTGACGCAAAGATTTCAACCGAAGAGTTGTGGTTCATGGAGCATGATGTATGTGTCTTAGTCGTGGCGTTTATTCTATTGGTATACTGACACTTTCAAAGTTCAATGGCACGATCTGGGATAACCGAGACAACTATCGTCGGTTTGACCCATCCGCCCCCGAGCTCATCAAACAGTTTGCTACTCCACAGCTTGTGATCCACAATGACGAGGATTATCGACTTGCTGTCTCAGAGGGTCTGGCACTTTTCAACGTCTTGCAAGAGCGAGGTGTTCCAAGCCGGCTGCTAAACTTCCCCAACGAAAACCATTGGTAAGTCCAATTCCTTTGAAATAAATTGTCTTGTCGGTGAGTCAATATAGCTAACTCGATGGTATTTGTATAGGGTCCTCAACAAGGAGAACAGTCTTGTCTGGCATCAGCAGGTTTTGGGATGGCTTAACAAGTACTCTGGAGTTGACAACGAGGGCGCTGTCAGTCTGGATGACACTACAGTTCCCGTTGTGAACTACAACCCTTAGTCCTACCCAGACAGTTTTATATTCCTGTCATCTTATGATTAGGGTGTTGTAACCTGTTTTCGGGGTCTCCAAGTGGATTATTTCAGTATGTAAATATACATTTGTCTTTTTGAGCAACGTGTCGCACCCTGTCTCACTATATAACACATTGGCAACGAAACAATGAAATCATTGAATATAGTTTCAAACTTCGTTCCTGTAGCGATTGTCGTTTGTGTAAAATTGTTCGTCTGTCTCGTGGAATTCGGCAGGTTGCAAGTTATAAAAACCAGCTCGACAAACGCTTTTCCTTCAGCAAACGCACCTCCAACTTTTATCTTCTTTGTCAATATTGATCATCTTCAATTCCACTCTTGTTGGCACTCATCATCATGCCTCCCAACCTTTCCTCCCGTAAGGGCAGCAAGAAGGGTACGTCCCGCGCTCTATGATCTCGCCTATCATCGTCATCTTCCATCAGGAAGAAGCAAAGGGCCACTGAAAAGGCTAACAAACTCTTGGCACTAGCTTCCTCCAAGACGAAGACGCCCAAGACCGAGCCTTCCGAGACCGAGTCCTCTGCAAAGATTCAGGTCCCAAGTGAGTACTGGAATCATTTGAGCTATGTCAACTCGAGACCCTAAGCAGCCTTTCCTGGATCGCACTATATGAGATAGATTCTCTAACCTTAACCACATGGGTACAGACATTAAAGCCGAAGTATCTTCCCCCTCTGCTCCTGCCGCCACTGGTGAGAACGAGAGTGAGTGCAGCAATGATATCCTATCTCAAGCACATTCAGAGCCTATCTCCATACGCAGGAAATGGGTTTGTATTCTGTCTCGCCCACTGTCTACCGAAAAAGCTGTCCGATCTTTGTTTCCCGAAATGGACTCTGGGATTGTTATTATATTTCCTCTAACAACATACCTACAGACACTCCCACTACTCCTACCCCTAGTACTACCAATGGAACTACTAAAAAGACGAAGAGTGAGTTGGACAATGAATTCAGCTTTCCCCTCCACTACATGTCCCTGTACTACGAACGACATAACCTTGTGTCTCTGCCCCAGTTCCAACGCCAATCTTGCCAATGGCCCTACGTTCTCCTCCCGAGATAGGGTCTGGGAGTGGATGTTTTTTTCCCCCTCTAACATAGATACAGAGTTCTCGCCCGAAGTCAAAATGGAGGATATTCCGGAGGCCAGCCCCAACATCGCAAGGCCCAGCAACCCCATCTCGAGCATACTCCGCCCCAACAACCTGGATCGGTTCTTCACTTCAGTAGGCCCTTTTGGCACCGAGGATGAGTCCTCGGATGCCTCCCTGCTTGAAAGCATGGCCGAACAAGCCAGAACCGTGAAGCATGTGAAATTCTTTATGGGCGATTCCCACGACAAGCACTTCATTCCCGTCGAAGTCGTCACTCTCACTGGTCATGAGAACTATGCAGTCTGGTTTGCCGGCATGACGTTGCTCCTCCGCCAACACTCGGTGTGGCCTCTTACAGTTGGAGATCTCAAGCCCTTGGCTCCCTCCCACCCTTTGTACATGTGGTATGAGCGTATGCTCGACTGTGCTGTCAGTCTTATTTACGCCAACGTCTCCAATGAGATCCGCAAGTCCCGTTGTTTCCTTCACTCCGTGGCTACCAATGATCCCGATGAGTTAATGGCCCATATTTGGGTTCACTATGGGGGGCCGGATGGTGACGATGTTTCTCCTGCGGAATCGGAGGAATCCGGGGAGTCCGAGCTTGATTAAGGGTCATTGGCGTCGACCGTGAAGTTGATTTGTCTGGCGGTGGTATTTCCACACACCTACATGGTGATAGTATGCCTACTTCCCTCCACTCTTTCAAGATCTGGTGTTTACATGGAAATTTGCAGGTATGGAGGGATCTTATTATCTAATTTTCTTGAATTTCGAGATGTGGTCGGATTTCTTATGTCTATCTCAGATTTTTACACTTTATCTCTGCCTATCTAAATCCGCTAGCTTACGGCATTCGACCTTAGATACGGGCATCCGTAAGTTCACCATGTGTATAGTTAACCATAGACATCTATATGCTCGCCATAACAGTGGATAGCTTATATATAGCACATGCCCTACTCTAGAACCCATTCAAGTTATCCTGGGCCGTGATCACATCCCCCTTGTCTACAAAGTCCGCCAACACCACATTCGGCGCACGCCCGTACAGCCCCGCACAAAGAGCGGCCTGAGCACCAATACTCCCCAGTCCCATCGCAGCATTGGTCGTGTCGGCCTTTTCACGAGCGGGGATCTTGACGCCAAAAAGGTCGAGATCAAGAAAGTGATTGACAATACCCATGCGGCCTGTACCGGCAGCACCAGCGGGCCGGTCTATGCTGCAGCTCGAGAAAGAGGAATCGGTCACGTCATAGGCTGTCTCGAAATAATATGCAAATTCATCTTGAATATAATCTACTTGTTTAGTGTCGGCCCCGTAGTCTGATGGTTATTAGAGGGTCAATTTCATCATTTTCACAGGTTACCGTCTGGGTGATAGATCAACATACCCAGGAATACGACCAGTCTCTTTCCGCTAGCGATCAAATCCCCCAGCGTGGGCCAGTCGGCAATTAATAGCGGATCGGTGGATGGAACATAGGCGTAGTCATGAATGCCACTGCTGATGAAGGTATCTCCGAACTCGGTTATCGAGACCGAGTCTCCGTTGGTCAACAGGAGAGTGACTACTTCGTTCGGATTCGAGTCGAGCCAGTTTTTGATGGTTCCCAAGAACGACTTGAGAGGCCCTGCATCCTCGAGGAAACATGATGTATGGCACAGCTCTATTGTCTTATTGTTTAAGACCGAATGGTGTGTTTGTGCCTGCAGATACCGGATCCCCATGTCGAGTTGTGCTTCTATATCGATGTTCTGATTCTGCTGGGGTAGATGCCCGACAAAGGGTGAATCATGGGCGCCTACAAATGTGATGTTTGAATAAGGTCGCGTGCAGTACTCCGGGCGACCGTTGCAAGTTGTCGCGAAAGTTGACATGGACGTGCTCGAGGTTGATGGCGACTGGGATGCTCGTGGTACTAGTGTTTCTTCGCCAACTGCCACACCACACTGTAGGAACAGGGCAGTCAACATCACACGTTTCAGTCCATGGATCGGGGCCATTATGTTTGGGATCGCGACTGTAGTTCAGAAAGAAAAGGTGCCAACGCTGTTATAATTCTGATATTCTAAGCCTTTGGAGGCACAAAAATCGCGATATATGGCAGCTGTCGCCGGTCACGCAGGTACAACACCTGGCCTCGCCAGGGTGATAGGCTTGTGCCGAGGCTAACATTCCGGAGGTCGATCCATGTCAAATATGGACATCTGAGGCAAAGAAAGTAAACATGGCCATTACCATGCTGGATATGCCATCTAATGCTGGTGGGATATACAATGAGTAATGGGGCATGATCGTGAACATCCTGTCTCGGTGATATCCCCCCGCCTTGTGACTGGGCGATGTGACTGCTCTCATTAACAACACGACTTGTTGGTGGTCATTGCACTGTTTTATATTATTCCAGATGATTCTGGTTCATTGGAACACACAAGTGATTGGAATAATGATATTAGATGTCGCATTCAATCTTGTTACCGGTTGCCTCGGGGCTTAGGGGAAATGGGCCCGCACGAACCGCCAAAATGACACAACATACGGTCAGAGAACAACAATGTGATCCATCAGGCCTGGAGAACCTCAGATTGGACAGCTTTGAGCCATTACGCCCGATGGGACTATTCCGAGAATTTTGTGCCCAATGCTCACAGACGCCGGAAGTGCAGTGGCAAGGTGTCTACGGTGTAGATTCTCCACCTGGGCCTCCACCATCGCCGATCCAGCCCCTATATTTGGATTTCTATAGGGCACTGGTCCTACACGTGAAGTGACTAGGCCTCGAGCGTTGAACAACAATGCTGCACACCGATCTTGGGGTGATGAAGCCGGGTTTGGCTAGTGTTAGGATTTGCAGATACTCTGCAGGAGACCTGCAGCGGTGATGTGTAGTCCAGACCCCACAGGTATGTTGGGAAGGAATTAATCTGACTACTTCTCGAGATTTAAGTATTGCGACGAGGCCTTGGGATCCATCATTCATTGAATCTTTTCCCTCGTGGCCCTCCAGTTCTGCCAACATGTTCCAGCCTTATGACCTGACACCATTGGACCATGCCGGGCCCGTGGTGCATCTCAACCCGACTCTCTCGTTTAATTTGACAGGCAAGAATCGTTTGGAGGTTCTTCGACGAGCGGAAGATGCTCTTGATCGTTTACTCTCTGAATTTCCCGTTCTGACTGGGATGGTCGTGCCGTCTACCCACGCCGATGGTAAAAGCAATGCCTTCCACGTACGGCCTGCCAGTGCGGACGAAATTGAAGATCAGCCTTTTTTTATCGCTCATAACCATGTGGAGCACACCCCTCTTACTCTGAATGGACGTTTCAACCCTGCCCTGACGCCGTTCCCAATCCTGAGCCCGCCACGTAGCCCTTCTCCTGTGCTACGATTGAAAGCAAACGTGATAGGAGATAGGCTACACTTGGTTTGGTGCTTTGATCACCGGGTTATGGACGGCCTCGGGTTTCTTACTTTGCTCACTACGTTTGCCGCATTCTGCCGTGATCCAGATACATCGGGGCGATTGATCACGACCCCACATAAACAAGAGAGAGCAAGACAGCACATTGATGACATTGCATCTACAAGTGAGCGACTAGGTCTCAGTTGGACGCGTTTCCCTCATCCACCAAGCGAAGATGAAATGTTCAAAGATCCCAGCCAAGTGCCGATCAGTTCTTACCATGTACTCGATGCCCGGAAGATAAAGATGCTGTACGATGCCTGTACAGTGATCCTATATTCTCTTCCTGAGCGGTACAGGAGAGGTTTTCCGGATGTTTTCTTCCCACCGAGTCTGGTCGTCACCGCGCTAGTGGGCTTTTGTGGCAGCCGCGCCCGCTCGCGAGCTTTCCCCGACCAACAGAAGCAACCATCCAACGTTTTCGTCGCGGCAAATATTCGCAAGGCAGCCGAATTACCATCGTCATATCTCGGGAATGCGATCTTGGCCGTGGAAAGTGCGTGTGATAGCGCCGTGCCACCTCCGCGTGAAGCCTTAGAAAATATCCATGTGCCAGGGCCTCTTGGTACAGCAGAACCGGAGGATATCTGGCGGATTTGGAACACTGCCCGAAACCTTCAGCAACAATTCAATCGTCTTGACAGTCATCGAGTGCAAGGCATGATCGCCACTATGTCTGACAAGCGTGATTGGAGTTCATTCCGACCTGGGTTTGGAGTGAATATGCACGTGTCTGACATTAGAGCAACTTCGCTTTATGTGAATTATGGTCCGCTCGGAATTCCCGAGTTAATAGACCTGCCTTTTGATGATGTTCCTGGCGTATGCTGGATAATGCCCCCTCATCCGTCCGATCCTCCATCGTCATATCCTTGTTGGAGGCTGCGAATGATCTTGGAACGAACGGCGATGGAGTGTCTATCCAATGATCCCCTTTTCCAATGGGTGACAACTCCGAGCCCAGCTTCCAGAAGCGCCAAACTTTGAGACAAATATGTGGTATAGATTGTGGATTGTATATAAATTAGACTGGATTTCGGTACAACATTGTGCAACAAATTAGAGAATGGAAACGTTTCGATGACTATATTTTCTCGTCAGAGAGGAGGAAAACGTCTCTTCGTGAGATTACTTGTATTGTTTTCTTAATTGGCATAGGAAAAATGCACATATCGACTTATGATGACGAACAGATAATAGTAATAAATATGCAACTAACTCTAACCACTACAAGTCTACAAATCCCAGAGGGCCAAGAAATACCTTGAGCAATGCGAGCGGTATAGCTCCTAGTAAGATGAAGATACGTATGTCCATGGGTATGTTATTATTCAAGAATCCAATAAATTTCCCTGAATTTATGCGTATGTCACAGTTATAGCGTGAGCTGCCTACGGCTATCCATGGAGTTATACCGGGCTTATGAAGGCCAACATGTTCAGAAAATCTTCAATTTTGAGAACTCAAGATCAAATTCCTCCATAGAAATACCATAAATAATCAATTCAGAGCTGAAAAATTGGTTAAGATCCCCGAGTGTGATGCTATGAATGTGAAATGTACCTGGCAGCCACTTGTGGCTGGTGCCCGGCCCCTAAAACGGCCCCGACCCAGACAACGGAGCTCTGAACCCTCGTTCTCCACTGTTCATACCCCTCGAGCCCGACACTTTACGCCTTCAATCACATATATTGCATTGTCTCGTCATATCCACCCTATTCCCCAACGAAAATACCGATCAATCTCGCAACTATCCTCCCCCCGCACGCCATTGCTGATCCAGCCTCGAACTTCACCCAAAGCTAAGCAACGGGAGCAATGGTCATTCCGAGATCCCGCTCATGAGCGCGATGGCTGAGGGCAGTGAGGATTGGTCGCGCGAGGACGAGCTTGACCTGGGCCAGGGAGAAGATTCCCGACGACCCGACCATGGCGCCCTCGACCAAACATTGTCTTCCCCGCAGAAACCAGTCAAAGAGGAATTGGACACGATAGACAATGCGGAGGATCATGATTCGGAGAAAACAGTGGAGCCAAAGGATTTCCATCTTCCAGAAACTCCTCGGCCGCGGCATGCGGACTGGACTGTGACAGAAAGCGTGGATGGAACAGGCTCGAATCCCGATGATTCCCCATCGCTACATGTTAGTAGTACAATTGGTCCGCAACCTGGATAGGTATCTGATTGTTTACAGGGATCTATTCCATCTTCCATGAGCAGCAGTGCTCTCGCTCTCCGAGGATCTCCGCGAGCCAGCCCGAGCCCGGCACGTCGCCCCTTTGACCTTCGCTTTCAATCCCGATTATCTTCATCGCCACAAAGTATATATAGAGCTGGCTCACCCTTCCTAGCCCATCTTCATTCCCGGCAGTCTTCGATTACCAGTCAAGCTTCGCCGACTCCTGAAACGGAACCCGAACCGATCCAAGGCCCTTGGGATGTGGTACGATGGACAAAGTTGCGGAAGATCACTGGACAGGCATTTTCGGAAATCGGGAAGCGCAATTTCGGACGACCGACTTGCCTTGCAGTCTCCACGTCTATTGTGATAGGTACATCCAAGGGCATCGTTCTTGTGTTCGACTATCAGCAAAGCCTGAAGGCCATCATAGGAACTGGTACACCAGGTTTGTCAAAAGAAGTCTACACCCTGCACTTCATTTCGCTGACTATAGCCTAGCCGTTGAATGTGGTGCTGTTACCTCTCTAGCTCTGTGCGCCGACCATTCTACCGTTGCAGGCGGTCATGAGTCGGGTGATATCTTTACCTGGGAAATTTCGCGTTCGGCCAAACCCTTTCTTCATGTTCCGCCCATTCCGGCTGCTCAAGTCGACACTCGAACATCCGATGGCCATCTTTCGGGATCTGCTGTCATCCATATCGGGTTTCTTGGCACCAGACGAACCGCGCTGGTCTCGGCTGACACGCGGGGTATGTCGTTCTCACACCTGGCTACGAGAGGCATGGGCGCAATGGGGCGAACGGTCAAGACGACCCGGATCTTGGGTCGATATCCTCAGCCAAAGGCTGAGATGAAGCCTCGGAAGCCCAGCTCCGTCCTTGCCTTCTCCCCTCTGCCGCTTGGCAATGTAGAGCAATCTACTGATTCTCTGGGTCTCGTTGCTATGCTGACACCATATCTCCTGGTCATCGTGTCCACGACGCCAGTGGCGCAAACCCAACATAAATCACCGCGACCAAAAGAAGTTCCCGCTCACAGTGCCATGACCGGCGCGTTAGCATGGTTTCCAGCCATTCGACTGAAGGGCAAAGATACTCAAACTTCAAATACAAAGCTTGTATACTGTTGGTCCAATGTTTTGACCGTGCTTGAAGTCACAGAGGCTGAGACAGACGAGCCTGTGGATAAGGATAGGCCTCCCAGCCTTGTGTTCAGAGCGCGCAGCAGATGGAGGGCAGATGAGGCCATTGTGGCCGTCCAGTGGCTCAGTCGTTCGGTGCTTGCGGTTTTCACAATAACCCAACGACTCCTGATCATCGAGGATTATTCAATGCATGTGACCGATTCTATCGATCTCGCGAATAGACACATATATCACGCCGATCTCTTCTCATCACAGCTTCATTCACTAGTTGAACAGCTTGACGAAGAGGATGAGTCGATGCATGGTGTGGTGGCCGATGCATTCCACATGAGCTTCCGTTCTTATAAAGGGCGTTTGTTCTTACTTGGTTATAACGAAGCCTTGGTAGGCAATTTATCGAATTGGGCTGATCGATTGCTAGCACTTATGGAGGCAGGTGACTTCATTGGAGCTATTCGACTAGCAACTTCCTACTACAAAGGAGATTCCGAGAAGCTGACGGTCGGCCTTCCTGAAGAGGACAGTTTAAGACATCCAATTGTCCAAGAAAAGCTTTTGGAAATGATTTCTGCATCCCTCAAGTACGCTTTTGGTCGGAACTCTGAAGCAAGCAATGGCCGAGTTGAGGATCGACAACTCGAAGAGCTAGCTGAAGTTTCTATCACGGCTTGTATTCTCATGGCCGATGAAGAGTTTCTTTGGGAGGAAGTCTTTAATTGGTATGAGGAACAAAACTCGGCGGGTATCTTCCTAGATTCCCTTGAACCTCGCATCATTGATGGAACGCTGCGATCGCTACCCCCGACAGCCGTCAAGGCCTTGATCAACCACTTCATTGGAACTCACTCGGTTGGTCGCTTGGAGGAGATCATTTGCCTTCTCGACACCACCACAATGGACATCGATCAAGTCACAACGCTGTGCAAGCAGCACAATCTGTATGATGCTTTTATATATGTGTGGAATCGCTGTTTGATGGATTATGTGGGACCTCTGGACGAGCTATTAGGTCTCATTCCCTCCCAGTTTGAGCCCTTGGTCAATGGTGACTATTTGCATGAAATGAGACGGCAGAACAATGCAATGAAAATGTTCCCGTACTTGTCATTCACCTTGACGGGTCGCGTCTATCCTACTGGAGACGACATGGATGAACTCGCAGCTTCACGGGCCAAAGCCGACTTGTACCAATACCTTTTCTCGGGTGGCGGGTCTGATGCAGTGCCTGGACATAGCGAGGGAGCAGAATCATTCTCTCAGCTTCGCGCCATGCTCAAGTTCGACTCTTCCAGCTTCATGAGCATGCTCAACGAGGCTTTCGAGGATAGTTTCCTGAACGAGCCCGAGAGCGAGGATGTTTCCGCATCGGGCATGTCAATCAATCGCCAGTATCTCATCGGCATTTTACTTCAGGTGATGACCGATGCCTTCTTCACGCCTTTTGATACTATCTACCTGGATATGTTTATCGCACGCAATCTTCCCAAATACCCCCAGTATATTCTCCTCTCTGGCACAACTCTCCATCAGGTTCTGGTCCGTGTGTGCCAATACCCCGAGCAGGAGATGGCAGACGATTGTGAACTGAGTGCGGAGTATCTGTTGTCTTTCTATCACCCACCGGATATCCAAAGCATGATTCCTATGTTCAAGGAAGCACGCTTCTACCGTATCCTCAAGTCTACTTACCGTTCAGAGAAGCAATATTCCCTGCTGATCGTGACTTATCTGGAGGATCCGAATGACCGTGAAACCATCTTCGCCTGTCTGCACGACTGCCTCCGTCCAGGCTCAGGACTTGGCAAGAAACAGAGACGAGATGTGGTAGAAGTAGTCAAGGAGCACGCTAGGGGAATCGCTGAAATCGATGTGACGCAGGCTGCACAAACAATGCAAGATCTCGCCCCTAAAACACATGCCACGTTTTTGCGAGTTTTGGAAGAGGATCCTCAGAAACAGTATCAGTACTTGCTGGTCTTAATCGAGCCACAGGCTCACACTACGGAAGTTCGATCTTCGCCTGCTATCGAGAACTGGATGATTGAGCGCTATGTGCAGCTTCTGTGCAGGTACAACCCTTCACATGTCGCAACATTTGTCGACGGACTACGAGTTGGTGACATCCACTTGGAAGAGCTACTCCCATCTATCGAGGAAAGTGGTGCTATCGATGCTGCTGTCATTCTCCTCGCCCGACAGGGCCAAGTCCGTGAGGCCCTTGATCGTCTTGTCGCACACTTGAGCACTCTCGAATCTGGCCTAGTGGGTATTCTCCAGAGCGTACGCGAAAGCCCTGACTCGGCAAGTACTGCCGAGGCAATTAACGATTTGATCGAGTCTCTCAACAAGTATGCTGGAGTAGGCACCTGGCTGTGTCAGGGCCAAAGCAAAACGGCAAAGCAGTCGCGCACAGGCAGCGCAAACGGCAAACGAAACGTGCCAGCCCTTGACCAGCCCTTAGCATTTGAGGAAACCCTCTGGCTCGACCACATTGAAGCCGTCGTCCGCATCGCAAGCAACGTCTTCGCCTTCATGCAAGGAAACAATACCCCAATAACCGTCTCCTCACAACCAACAGCATTCCTCGGCGGCGAAAGCGGCCGTCTCACGACTTCCTTCCGCACCCTCGTTCAACAAGTCTTCACAGCTCTTCTGGCAAGCACCGTCAAGAGCAGCCCCACTTCAACCGAAAGAATCGACATGTCCTTCCTACGCATCCTCCGCGCATTCCTCACTCGCGCTGCAACCTGGTCCCCTTCTCTTCTCGAGCTCCGCGCCGTGCTCGCCTCCATCTTCTCCGCCTACTCCTACGAGAAATCCCTACTGACCCTCGCAAACGGCATGCTAGACCGCGACCTCTTCATCCACGTGGATGAAGTCACCCGCCTCCGCCAGCAAGGCTGGCGGCCCCGTGGTCAGGTTTGCGAGATCTGCCGCAGCCGCATTTGGGGCCCAGCCGTTGGCGACGCCCACTGGTCCGCGTGGGAAGCGAGGCGCGCTGATGCGCACGCCCGCCTCATCGCAAGACGCCACGAGGATGGCTATAATCCCTCAGAGCGGGGGAAAGGTAAGGCCGCTGATGTCGGAGTCGGTCATCCATCTCGACTAGATGCACCGAGTGCACATGCACTTACCCACGCGCATGGTACTAGCGTAGGTGTGGGCAAGGATGTGTCCGATGAGAGTGATGACCATGACCCCACCGAGGCTGGAGTGGAAGCTGGACCTGGATCTGCAGTCGCAGCAACTGCACCAGAACCTGTGGTTGTTTTCGCTTGTCGACATCTTTACCACCGGCGCTGTGTGCTGGATGCCGTCAGCGCGGGCGGCCGACCCGCTGAAACAGCGTTTCGGCGGAACCATTTGGCCGACTGGTCGGGGATTGAGCTGTTCTGTCCGATTTGTACATAGTATCTTCTGCGAAAGAGTATGATTTTCTTCATGTCTCGGGATATTCTCTTACTTTTCTATTTATCTCGTTGCTTTTTTCTGCCCTAGGTGCCATTCGGGGATATCCCTAGATGAGATATGATTGTTTTGCATATAGCCATTTTTCTTTTGCTTTTTTTCCCTCTGCAAGCACTGTAATAGGATGGAAGTTACAGCCAGGTCTATCCCTGCCATCGTGCAGCTTGGCTCTTCCGTTGTCCGTGGGGACATGCATAAGTATGGAGGATGCATACTGGATGCATGTCGTTTGCATCATGTACATCTAGTTGTCTTGAATGGGGAGATGTGAATCGTGGGGATTGCCTCTTTCTCCCCTTCAGCTATTCAGCCCAGATGCATTCTTGGCGCATCTGCATCCATGCCCAGGCAATGTGATCAAAAGAGTGCTACGCAGGATATTATCATTTGGTCCCCTGCATGATTGAGACCAGAGTCCACATATATGGCACGGCCATGCTGTAAATGTGTCCAGGTGGATGCTGGACTGTGTGATAGGTGTCTGTGTCTCTGAAGATGACACTGTCATTTCAACTGTTGTCTTGAGTATTTGGGAGTATCATCTCCTTATGTAGCTGGGTTCGCTGTGAAGAATGTATAAATGGTACATGTAGACATGTACCACCAGGCATATATTTGTAGTGGTCGGTACTTAATATTGCGTATCCACTTTGATCATGTGTCTACATAGATCAATTTCGACGGCATGACTCTGGTTATATTCTTCATCTTCTAGTTCTAGACCCTGCTTCACTGGCCGAAGAACCGACTCTGAAAAATAGCAAAAAGAAGAGTAAAAAGCCCCAAAAAGCTTGATGGTCGAGAGGCTTCGACAGAAGCAGCCACCTCTCAGCCCGTTGCCACTCCGGAAATGTCGGCGGCAACAGTGCTGATTGGTGATGCTCTCTCAGCTGGGACCCCAGGGACAGTCTCGCATTGGCGCTTTTCTTCGTTTCGCAGAATCCCGCCACTCAGTGGATATTTCCGAAACAAAGGGTTTCGCTTCGGTTGAGTTTTCCGCTTATCTTCATACTCCGCGTATATCTATATGATGCCGTTGGCAATTAACATGAACAGATAATCGAACCACCTGGGCAGAGTCATTTGCTGACTACGGAGTATTTTACTCCCAACTGTCTACTCTAACCCCCAACCATCTTGTATCGCATATCGCAGGCTGGACCGGTTCGATCGGCAAGATCAGTGATTTGCCTGAAGTGAGCCAGGGCTCGGAGATGTCAGACTCATGGACGAGGTGTTTCAAGACACTGCCCCTTTGATATATCTCACAATATATCTCACATGGCAGTCTTGATTGGATCGCGTCTGGTGGAGGCATCACCATGTGTTGTGTTCCATTCTCTAATTCTTTTTCTTCTTTTTTGTTTTAATTTGTTCTTGGCCCTCTTTCCCCTGGGAGTCTGGAGTATAAAAATGATCTCCTCTCCCCGGCGTTCAAGGCCACGTCAATCGCCCTATGGTTAGCGGATTGTCATTCCTTTGTGTCTATTGTTCTATTCTTCCTATTCTTTCCCATTTGCAGCGTATCCATTCCTTTCTTCCGATTGTCCTTTCCTCAAGTGTCTGGGATATTTGAGACCTTTTCCGTCTTCGACAGACGTCCTCTTTTCAACTCTTTCAGTCTTTTACTTGAGATATCCCAGTAGAAACAATGCATGTGCTCTCCACTCTCCTGCCCTTGGGCTTGCTGGCCCAAGTCACTTCGGGGGCATACACCCTACACGAGGACTATGGTACTTCGGACTCATTCTTTAATAAGTTCAAGTTTTACACCGTATGTGCATGGAAACCTGTTCCAATCTCGCTTATATACAATATTAACCACATATACAGGACACCGATCCCACCAATGGCTACGTGCACTACGTTGACCGTAGCACCGCCTCGGCCAACGGTCTGATCAACACCAAAGACAACGGTGTCTACATTGGCGTTGACCATACCAACGTCGCCAGCAGGCCTGGCCGTAACAGCATCCGCCTGGAGAGCACCAACACCTACAAACATGGCCTCGTGATTCTCGACCTCGCCCACATGCCCAGCAGCACTTGCGGCACCTGGCCTGCCTTGTAAGTAACAACCATCCCATTCTATCTTTCAACCGTTCCCAACTAACCTGCTGCAGCTGGATGCTCGGCCCCGACTGGCCCAAAAACGGCGAAATCGACATCATTGAAGGCGTCAACGAACAATCCCAAAACCAAATGGCCCTGCACACCACCAATGGCTGCTCAATCCAGAGCACTGGCTTCACCGGCTCCCTCGACACAAGCAACTGCTACGTCGAAGCCAGTGGCCAGTCCGCCAACAGTGGCTGTAGCATTCGTAACGAGAACACCCAATCTTACGGCACGGGCTTCAACAACGCCGGCGGCGGTGTTTACGCAACCGAATGGACCGGCTCCGCCATTAATATCTGGTTCTTCCCCTCCTATGCCGTGCCGGGCGATATCCACTCTGGAAAGCCGAACCCGGCCGGCTGGGGCACGCCCGCTGGGCGCTTCGCCGGCGGCTGCGACATCAACTCGCATTTCAACAATCTGCAGCTCGTCTTCGACATCACCTTCTGTGGCGACTGGGCGGGCTCGGCATGGGGCTCATCAAGCTGTGCCAGCAAGGCACGCTCATGCAATGACTACGTGAAGAACAACCCCTGGGCTTTCAAAGAGACATACTGGCGCGTGCGTTCGCTGAAGGTCTATCAGGACTCCGGCAGCGCGAAGAGACATGATGAGAAGGTGACTGGTGCTGAAGAGCTGGTCGCTAAGCTGAATGATGATGATGAGAAGCACGCGCGACGGGCCAGGGCTTCAAGGAAGCATCGTCGTGAGCATTACCGCCACGATCATGGCCATACCTAAACCTTTGATATGGAGTAATGGCATGGTGAATTGTTTCTTGCGTTCGGAGCGCTTTATAAAGCGATGGGATGCAATTTCGTTCTTTTTTCTTTTTTGCATCTCGATTGTGATTTCGGCTGCCATTTGCCTTTTTTATTAAATCCGTTCTTTGCGTGGTTTCGTAGTCGTTGCTTCTGGAGTTTCCTCTACTCGTCTATCGGCTTGTACTGGTCTACGGCTGTGGGACACGGGCATTTGATGCCGTTCATGCTTTATGCGTTATGATGGGTCTGAGACCTTAGTTTTATGAATACCCTCTTCGAATTTGATGGCGAAATGAATATGAAAAAATCACATATCAAATTTCCGTAGTAATAGTAAGCTCTACGGTGAAATAGTTCAGTTTACACACAACCCCGACTCTGATATTAGAAGGATACGTCAATATGTACTAAGAATACCTATCATTCGACATTAAAATTAAGTCCAAACGCCAAAGCCATGCAATGACGCCGAAAAAGAAAATCAAAGCCTAAACCCCAGCACATCACGCTGATCATCCGTCAATCGCCCCCACTCCAGCAGCAACCGAAAGAAGTAAATCTCCATATCTTTCTTCCTCAGCGCCGTGTGAGCCCACTTCCGCCCTTCCTCTGCAATCCACTTCCCCTGCTGATCATGCGACTTCATGCGCATTTGCGGAGCAACGGGACCATTCACATCAGACATGGGAGCAGGCACACCTGCAAAGTAAGCAAGCGTACTCCACAGACCATGGAGACGAATATCAACAGGGACGAAGTGCAGCCAGGAGGTGACGCGCGAGTCGAACCACTGCCGGAACAAGCCGGTCTTGAAGGGCAGACTGTGGCTGTGCAGGAAGGGCAGGAAGCGGCCGCTGAAGCCGGCGCCGTCGAGGTCGAAGAGGAAGCGGTGTGCCCAGTGTGCTTGGAAGTCGACCCAGCCTACTGTGCCCATCTCGGCGGCTTGTTCGCCGCAGTCGCTGCAGCGGGCGATCGGGTCGGCGAGATGGACGGAGGTTTGGAGGTGGAGGTCAGAGGTTGGGGCGTTGCCGTCCATGATTTCGTAGCGGAAGGAGTTTGGACCGGCTGGGAGGAGGACGGAGACTTGGTTTTCGGTGTTGTTGTTGATTAGGTGAGCGAAACGCTGTCGTGGCATGCCTTTCCATTCGCCGAAGCGACTGAAGCCTTCGGAGGTGCTGCCGACCCAGTACAAGGAGTTTTCTTTGTGTCCGTATTCGGGGTCTGGGTGCTCCTCTGTGGGGTTGTATTTTACCTTATCGATGTAGTTCCAGGGACTTGGGAAGAGGATATCGTTGAATCCAGTGAGAGCACTTTGGCTGAATACTGGGATGAGTTCCTGTGAGACTTTGAACGAGGCCGGGGAGATGAGGAGACCGTGGAGGAAAGCGAGGTCGGGTTGGTGACAGATTTCGGAGGCGATGTTGAAGTTCAGCGGGAATTGGCCCATGGAATGGGGATCTACACATGACAAGCAGAGGTCACGGCGATTCCAAATTCGTTGAGTCCGCGCTTTGGATGAGGGCGGGCAAACTGCGCTCACATAGGGGTCGAAGACACCCCTCCACGATCTGTCTGTGAACACAGTTATGTTGGTCTGGTGGGCGGGTTCGATCGGTGCCCAGCTATCCTCTCGGTTGACCGTCCAAGTCGGCACGGTATGCTCGTTGGGGATCATTTCTTGCATCTCAGCTTGTCGCTTCAGCATTGAAACTTTCTCCCAGGGGACTGCGACGCGCGGTTCATCATTCAGATTGAACACCAGATCCATGTCCGGCAGATATTGAACGAAATTGTCAATCATCTCTGCGGCACCCTCCACCATCCATGCATGGGTTGGTTTAATGCCTTCTTGCACTTTGGTCGTGCCATTGCGAATTATAATTCCGCCGAGATCATTGAATGGATTGGTTGCCAGTTCATGCGTCATTGCCCGTATGTGTTCCGGAGCCAGGGCGCGGAAGGGAAGTAGATCGTGGTGTATTTGATCGAAATCATCTATGATAGCCGACGATCGGCTAGTGGCATATTGATACCATTGATCAAATCCTCTAGGCAAGGGTTAGCGATGAGATGAATTAATCACAGCGATACCAAACTTACGGGGGTGGATGCTGGCCATATCGTCTCTGATATTCAGAAACTGCACCTTCAAGTGTCTTGCTAGTAGACGCTTGAGCGAGGTATCTGTCATGCTGAATCCTGCCGTCATGGATGAGGAACTCGATTGGGTGTATGTGAGCAAGGCGATGCTTGCTAACTGCAAAAACGAGACCAATACCACATAAAACAGCGAACAGTATTTGTACGGCGATGTTGGTGCGGTACAATCTCGGTCCTTCGTCATGAACTACTCGCGCAAGCAGAAATAGTAAAGCTCCCATCAATGAAGCAGCCAAGGGGAGAACAGCATGCGTCAAGGAGATAAATGGGAAGGGCAATTGTCCACCGGTAAGAGCCGACAAAGAGGAGAAGTATACAATCAAGAAACCCCCTATGATTGAGACTCCCAGGATATCGAAATGTGGCAACTAGAACAATCAGTATTGAGCAACCAACCAAGCAGAGAAGACTGGTAAAACTAACCATATGCCAGGCAGACAAGACTAAGATGACCACCAACACCGATTGGCTGAAAGCAGCACGCGAATATTCTAGATCCAACACGGGCTGGCTGGCGAGTTCAGGAGAGCTATCCGGCATCCATCTTGGTATGATACTCCAGGCTAATGAAAGACCCTATAAAACCCTGTCAGAATGTGCATTTCGAATACTTTGAAATTGTCCACTCACCAATAGACCAACCCCAAGGAATGTCAAAGCGCGTTTTCTCCGTGCATCATCAAATTGAGTGCCGATTCGACATAGTTCGGTGATGCCAATAAGTAGAACAGAATCCGCAAACACGTTGAAGAGCTTATATGATCTGAGCCGCGATGCGCCATGTAACACAATAGGACAGATATAAGTTGACCGGATTCCAGCCGAGTATGATGAAGCCAAAAGCCCTCCGATAGACAGTAATGTGGCTGCAATCAAACCGCTAAAGCGGCTTTGCGTAAGATGATGGAAGCTTCGACGGGAGATAGAGTAGACCACCTGTAATGGCAGCATTTCAAATCGTTGCGTAGGGGCATATCTTTCTACTTGTCGCAATCGCTGATTACGCCAGTAGTCGTAGAGCGAAATAATGAAAGGAATAGCATACTGTTCAAAATACGGCGTCAATTGTAGAACATTGAACAACACTCAAGGGCTACCTACGGCATATCCGGCCGGCGCGCATTCGATGTTTCGCGTGATTTGACGGAAGGATTCAACTCGCAAGCCACATAGGCCCAGCAAGAGACCGATCTTGATCCACCAGGATTGGTATCGTATGCGCGGGCGATTCTCGACATCACCCAGCGGGAAAGATGAGGTTGATGCCCTGGAAGGAAGCTCAAACTGGTCTGCGAGAGGAACTATTGGCCGTTTAACTGTCGGCGACAATGGCGACGAGCTTAACGTAACGAAGCGACTCCATACTAAGAATGTCAACCCCGTAAGGAAGCAGACTAAAACGGATGTGCTAACGGGACGATCTGTACCGGCGTAATAGTCAGTCGGGTAGAGTTGCAGGGCGACGCCGGAATCCACAGCAGCGACTTACCAAAAGCAAATGTGGTATTGTAGGAGGTAGTGAGGAATAGCGAGCTTAAAAGGAATGTCCTGCGCAAAGAGTGCGATTATGAGCTTGGGTTTCCAACGTCATGAGACTTTACGGATACTCACCCCACACTGAGCTTAAGCCCAAGATCGGAAGATATATGGACCATGTTGCGCCCAATTCGTTTATGATAGCTCCAAAGCGCCCCAGGCCATTGCTGTGGTTTAAAGAATGGATCGAGTTTCTCGACCTTCACAAGACGGAAGAAAGAAGAATAACCTCGTGTGGATCTTCAGGAGATTGACGGCGTTTGAAACATGGCAAAAAGCAGGGCAAGGAGGGCCCGACGGACCCAGCTGGAGATATCCATTGGCGACTAATCAAAGGCATCCGGAGCGCTGATCCATCAGGGTTGCGTCAACGGGCCGGTTATTCGTGGGAGGACTTCTGCTACGCAATCGTGGACCTTGTTACCTTCCGCGCGGACTGGGTTGCTGGTTTGTAACTTTGGCCAATGATCAAGGATTTCTCCAGCCACCAATACCACAACCTGTTAACTCCATGGAGTTGGTTAGTTTTATCCAAGAGATCTATAGTAAAGGCTAGTCAGCAATAAATGCCCGGCCGATCAGCGGCCGGAATCAAGCCTTGGTCAACTTCGCGACCCACTCTATGTACCCTCAGCGTCATATCACATGTGGTGGGACATTCACTGTGATGGCATTGTAATGTACTCCATACCAAGCCATAAAGGCATGCGCTGTGAGGGAATCTCACACACATGGTGCGTATATACATATACAGCCAAGAACTAGAACACGCGTCCTCTTGGCGCAGAAAGAGTTGGCTGTCAGTTCCACGATGGATGTCCAACTTGACATGAGATAAGGATGGCCCGAGCGACCCATGGTTGGCGCCAATGCTCACTCTAAACACTAAACTCAAAGCAGCCCGTGCAGCTCCCAATTCGGCAACATCACGTCACTCCTAGTCATGTGATTTGATGAGAAGCTCAGGGCGGACTTTGCAGGCAGTTCCTGATACTGTGTTTAATCACGTGCCTATAATCACAATTTCTCATTATGTAATCAGGATTCCCGGAGCACCAGGGCGGTGTGGACTGCCAGGCGGTGTCAGACAGCAATATCATTTTTTTCTAACGGCTGGGAAGTTTTTTGGTCGCAAATCGAGATCAAGTGTTTTTCAAATCAACACCAGTCCGAAATCGCCATGCCTCGCAAGGCGATTGACTCGCGGATTCCCGCTCTTATCCGAAATGGTGTGCAGGAAAAGAAGCGCAGCTTCTTCGTGGTCGTTGGTGACCATGCTAAGGACGTGATTGTGCACCTTCATTACATTATGTCCAGTGTGGACGTGAAGCAGAACAAGTCGGTGCTTTGGGCTTACAAGAAGGACCTCCTTGGATTCACAAGTCACCGGAAGAAGCGCGAAATGAAGATCAAGAAGGAGGTCAAGCGCGGGATTCGCGAACCCAACCAGGAAGACCCATTCGAGCTTTTCATTACTCTCAACCAGATCCGCTATGTCTACTACAAGGAAACCGAGAAGATCTTGGGTAACACTTACGGCATGTGTGTGCTGCAAGACTTCGAGGCCATGACTCCCAACTTGCTTGCGCGAACCGTCGAGACCGTCGAGGGTGGAGGTTTGGTTATTTTGTTGTTGAAGAGCATGACCAGTTTGAAGCAGCTCTACACCATGTCCATGGATATTCACTCGCGATACCGAACTGAGGCACACGATGATGTGGTCGCTCGTTTCAACGAGCGATTCATTCTGTCTCTGGGAAGCTGCGATTCATGCCTGGTAGTTGACGATGAGTTGAACGTGCTGCCCATCTCCGGCGGCAAGACCGTGAAGCCACTCCCTGCTCCCGAAACAACAGACGAGTCATCCTCCGGTACAAAGAAGGAATTGAAGGAAATCAAGGAGAGTTTGGCGGACTCGAAGCCCGTAGGCCCTCTGCTCAGCCTGGCCCGCACCGTGGACCAAGCGAAGGCTCTTCTGACCTTTGTTGATGCGATCGCCGAGAAGACATTGAAGAGCACCGTCACCCTGACCGCAGGTCGTGGACGAGGAAAGTCCGCCGCTCTCGGTGTTGCCATTGCCGCGGCTATCGCTCACGGGTACAGCAACATTTTCATCACATCTCCCAGTCCAGAGAACTTGAAGACCCTCTTCGAATTCATTTTCAAGGGCTTCGATGCACTTGGATACCTCGATCACGTTGATTATACTATCCTTCAGTCGACTAACCCCGACTTCAACAAGGCTGTTGTGCGTGTCAACATTCACCGCAACCACCGCCAAACCATCCAATACATTCAGCCCCAGGATGCACAGGTCTTGGGACAAGCAGAGCTCCTTGTCATCGATGAGGCTGCCGCTATTCCTTTGCCGTTGGTTCGCAAGCTGATGGGACCTTACCTGGTGTTCATGTCCTCTACTATCAATGGCTACGAAGGCACGGGCCGGTCCCTGTCTCTGAAGCTGATCCAACAGCTGCGGGAACAATCCCGAACCGGACTCAAGACAGACGATACCGACGTCGCCGATCGCAGCACAGGAAAGTCGGCTAAGGGTACTGATAAGAACCTTACCGGCCGCACCTTGAGGGAGATCACTCTTGCAGAGCCCATTCGATATGCACCGGGTGATTCCGTTGAGAAGTGGCTGAACAAGGTCCTTTGCCTTGATGCAACTCTCCCTAAATCTCGCATGAACACACAAGGATGCCCTCACCCGTCGCAGTGCCAGCTGCTCCAGGTCAACCGTGATACCCTGTTCTCCTTCCACCCTGTTTCCGAGAAGTTCTTGCAGCAGATGATGGCCCTCTACGTTGCCAGTCACTACAAGAACACACCCAACGATCTCCAGCTTATGAGTGACGCCCCCGCTCATCAGCTCTATGTTCTCGTCCCCCTATTGATGAGGAGGCCACCAAGTTGCCCGAGCCTCTTTGTGTTATTCAGGTCGCCCTTGAAGGTCGCATCAGTCGCCAGAGCGTGCTCAACAGTTTGAGCCGTGGTCAGCGCGCAGGCGGTGATCTGATTCCGTGGTTGGTCAGCCAGCAGTTCCAGGATGAGAACTTCGCCAGTCTCTCGGGTGCTCGTGTCGTCCGTATCGCAACTAACCCCGAGTATGTGGGTATGGGCTACGGCTCTCGGGCTATGGAGCTTTTGGTCGATTTCTTCGAGGGCAAGTTCACCAACTTGGAGGAGGGTAACATTGCTGCTGAGGAGGAAATGGTCCGTGTTACCGACGAAGAGCTCGCTAGCTCTAGCCTCCTGGATGACAACGTTCACGTCCGAGATATTCGCTCCATGCCTCCACTCTTCGGCAAGCTGAGCGAACGTCGCCCAGATGTTCTCGACTACATCGGTGTCAGCTACGGTCTCACCCCATCTCTCCACAAGTTCTGGAAGCGCGGTTCCTTCGTTCCTGTTTATCTGCGCCAGACTCCCAACGAACTCACTGGCGAGCACTCCTGCGTGATGGTTCGCACTCTCTCCACCGGTGAGACTGACGATGCCTGGCTGAGCGCCTACGCGCGAGACTTCCACAAGCGATTCCTCGCCCTGCTGTCCTACCAATTCGGCCAGTTCCCGTCCGTCCTCTCTCTGAGCATCTGCGAGTCTGCCAACTCCGGTGCCAAGAAGGACCCGAAGTTCACACCCCGCGTGCTGAGCAAGCCCGACCTCGATGCCGTCTTCTCGCCCTTCGATCTCAAGCGTCTGGACAGCTACGCCAACAACCTTCTGGATTACCACGTTATTCTTGACCTGATCCCTACCCTCTCTGACTACTACTTTTCCAACCGTCTCGAGGGCAAGGTCAGCCTTTCTGGTGTGCAGCAGTCCATTCTCCTCGCCATCGGCTTGCAGCACAAGAACCTCGAGGACCTTGAGAAGGAATTGAACCTCCCCTCCTCCCAGCTTCTCGCTATGTTCCTCAAGATTGTCCGCAAGATCTCCACTCACTTCCGTAATCTGATCGAGAACCACATCGAGCAATCTCTGCCCGCTCAGAAGATCCGTCTCGAGACCTCTGAAGCCCACGATGATGAGCCCGAGGTCAAGCTTCAACCCCTGCCCATCAGCCTCGAGGATGAGCTCCGCGAGGGAGGCAAGAAGATCGAAGAGGAGATGCTCGCCAAGCAACGCGCTTTGGCTACCTCTAAGCCGTAAGTTACAATCCCGTCGTGCGTTTTACCTCGAAACAACAATAACTGATTTCCAGCCCACAGTGAGGGACTTGACGGCTCTAAGCCATCCAAGCGCAAGAAGGTCGAGACCGCGCGTGATATCTACGACAAGGAAATTGACTCTAAGAGGCAAAAGATGATCAAGAAGGGCACCGAGGGCCGCAAAAAGCGCTGAATGACTTGGTTTTCTGGGCAAATATTTCTTTCTGCATTTATGTACGGTGTTCGGTTTGTTGGGTCTCAAAAGACTTTGTGTTTAGTATTTCTCTGTACTCTTCAGGGTTCATGTTTTCAACAGGATAACTATCTCTTGTATATATGAATCATATGTTTATTACACCTATAACATTCCGAGTGGTTCGTAGAGATAGACGAGATAATTCTCAAAGGCTGGATTCACTTGGCTACATAGGTAAGCTTATGCAATTCGCTATCAAATAAAAATGAATGAATACTACATGTAGAAGCGGCACCAACTTCTCCCGGGAACTACGAGTCAATCAAAGCTCATCGTGCTCCACGGTTTGTTCCTCGGCCTTGATATCAGACTCGGGCTCGACAGTCTCAGTTTCAGATTCGACCTCAGCTTCAGGCTCAACCTTAGCTTCCGGCTCGGGCTGTTTTTCAGCCTCGGGCTCAGCCTCAGCCTGGACACCGACAACAATCCCCTCAGGCAACTTCTCCTTAGCACCCTCACCCAGTCGAATGCCATCAATCCAAGATTCAACAGCAACGGCTCCAAAGTCCGCATCAGCACCGCTGAACCGACGCCACCAGCCGCGACGCGCGTTCAGCGCGATGAGCTCGACCGTCTGGTCATCAGCCAATCCCAATGCCTCACGCAGGGTCTTGGAGCCAGAGTTGATGGCAGGGACCACAAACAGCGGGAAGAGATGCGTGCCACGCTGGGCATGCTTGTGACCGATCTCAGCGAGGCTTGCGAGCGCATCGGTCGCTGGGGCTGGGAGCGCGGCCTCGCTCACCTCGGGGAGGATGGCGAGGACACAGGTGCCGGACTTCGGAGCCAGACAAGCTGTCTCGAGGGACTCGGGAGTAGAGAGCGTGGGAATTGGGGGTGCGGGGATGGGGACCTGAACGGGCTTGGAGGAGGGGTCAGTTTCATCTTGTTCCTGGGAGGCAGTATGCTCGAGGTCTTCAGCGTCGTCGGCGACGGTGGTAGGCTTGGAAGCGGGCTTGGACTTTGGCTTGGGCTTGGGCTTGGGCTTGGAGTTCGAGGTGGAGCGAGCGGACGCGTCTGGGTTAGGTGCAGCGGCTTGACTCAGGAATTCGGTGATAGGCTTTTTCTTCAGATCACCAGTGTAGAGCTTGGGCTCAGCATCGCCGCCAGGGACGAGGACAAGCGCCGGGAACTCGGTCACGCCGAACTTCTTCACGGAGGCGGATTCCTTGTTCCGAACTTGAGCGATATCAATTGCGCCAAGGAAGTCGATCGCCAAGGCGCGGATCAACGCGCCGGTTGTACCCTTTTCCGTGAAGAGGATGGCCTTGGGGCGGTCCTCGTTCTGGCCCAGCCATTTGTCCAGGTCCTTGTCGGTTGCGCGCTTCACGTGGTTGGGAATGCGATCGACGACGGCATCGACGATGCCTTTGGCGCTGCGTGCGCCTTGGTAGTCCTCGACGCGGGGTTTTCCGGGTTTCTTGGACGGTGTCACGATCTTCAGAGTCGGGAAGCCCTGGACGCCCATCTGTCCGCAGAAGGGTTTGTTGTTATCATCGTCGCAGTTGATCGCGGCGACGTTCGCGAGTCCGTCGAGGTTTTTCGCGGCTTTTTCATAGGCAGGTTTGAGGCTCTTGCAATGGCCGCACCAAGGCGCGTAGAACCTAAGTAAGGATTGTAAGCAAGGTGTCGGAGGGGAGAGGCAGAGAGCTAGAGAGCTGTAGTGCGGGACAAGCTTACTCGACGATCTATGGAGCAGCCAATCATCAGTCAATGCGCATTGAGAACAGAAGCAAAAGGAATCACTTACTGAAGTATGATTCGAGTTCGCAATGAGCGAGCGGTAGCTCACGGAGTCCAGCTGGATCACCGGCGAATTCTTGGTGTATAGTCCGTCGGCGTCAACAGGCAACGCTGCGAAGAGCGACGCAACAAGCAAAAGACTAGCACTGCGCAGCATGATGAATACCACTTCAAGGGCAGAGAGATCAGGTTCAGCGAAGCCGAAAAAGGAGCAAAGAAAAGACAGATTGTCCGATTACGCAAGGTGTCCTGAAGCTCTTGGCATGCGGAGGGTATTGGGGGTCACTATACTGCGAGGCACTACTGCTGGGTATATTGGCTGAATCAATGGGCTCGATCTTTCTATAACTTGTGCTAAATAAGTATTTAATCCATGCTATTCTGTCGGAAGATCCAAATATCAATGTTTCTGAACACAATTGCATCTGCTGTGTACCTGCGAGCTCGTATGCCCAACCCTCCCGAGGTCCCTTTCCTTTCTTTTGATAAACACACATCGCAGCAATGACTAGTCCGCAAGAGAGCCATGACTTGGCATTTCTACCTCACGAACTCTTCTGGATGATCCTGGTCTATCTTGATCCAACCGAATTAGTCCGCTGTCGTCGCGTCTCACGTGCCTGGAACCAAGCTTTTAGTAACCCTGTCATTCTACTGCCGCTTCTGAAGAAACAGTTCCCATGGACAAAAGAAGTGGAAGATCTGGGATCGGAAGATGTACTCCAAGATAAAACCCATGGCCGTCGTCTTTTTGACCAGGTCGCTTCACGATACAGTCACTTAAAACGAGGCAAGCCCCGCTCGATCCAGAAGTACCGCCTCTGCGATGACTTTGGAAGCTCTGGAGACCGCGAATGGTACCAAGTACAGCCATGGGAGTCACACGCCAGTCATGTGAGGCGCTTCGTTGATCGTCAATTCGCCGAGGCTCTATGGACTGTCGAGGACGGGCTACTGGTCTACCCCAGCGCCGAGCATCAATGTCTCGTACTGATGGATTTAGAAACAGACCGGCAATTTATGGTGCCAATTATCATCAACGGCAAGGTTGTTCGTCGGGTACGGCTACAGAAGCGCTTGCTCGTTGTTGAGTGGGCTGAACCAAAGGCCTTTCACTGGCTGAATGACAGCGACGGTGTGCATCGCCACTTTGCGTCCTCGTTTGATGTAACCAGGAGTGACAACGAGGGCTGGAATATTATACCGCGCAATGAATGGAAAATCATGTTCTTGGGACATCCGCTGAGCGAGCGGGATCGATTCTTCTCCTCGCATAGCAACACGCACTATGTGATTTATATCTGGCAACCCAATCGCAGCTTGTACACTGCAGATGAAGATGCGCCTATCGAGTCCCTGTTTGTCTGGGATATATCAAAGACCTCATCTTATCGACCTTCATTGGACCCCACGGGACGTCTGAGAGAGGACTCGCCCGATGACTCCCCGTCAATCGTGTCAAGGTTCGGATTCCGAGACCTGGAATTCTTTGATATCCGACAACGAGGCTGTCCAAGTATCCAACGATTGGAGGTCACAGACGATGCCCAAGCGGTCGAAATCACAGAGAATATTTGCATCCGGCCGGAAGACCAACCACCCGAGCCCTTTGGGTTTCCTGAGCCCATTATTACAAGCATACCCCTGGCTGGAAATGGACCCCATTGGCGCCGGGAATGCAATGATATTCTACCGCCCTACCGTGGTAACTGTAGCTTACAGGCGGAAAGTATGAGCTTCGATGGGTTCATGGTGGACCCTTGGTTTGGGGTCATTGCCCAGCTGACGATACTCCAACCAAATTTTGGTTTTTGTCTTCACTTCGATCCTATCAATTGGATTGGAAATCAACGTATTGAATTGACTATCCAAACACCATGCTCAAGCGTCACTCGTGTCAATTTGGATTTTATCGGCCGAGGAAAGCTCGCTGGCTGTGAGAGGTACATTGTGGGTGAGAACTGCAATCGGGAGCTAGTAATTTACCGCTTTGATAGATGAGTTGAAGATCTGGATGATAGATCCCAGATGAGTCTTGGTATCCATTGTGCTTGGTTTGACTCACGTTGGTCTACTGGACCCCTACATGCATAGATACATAATGTCTTATGTGGATGGCGGGCTAGTTCCCCTAGCCGATATATGAAGCAATAATGATCAATCCAACTTTCTTATTTTCTCTGGTATACAAGGAATGCCCTAAGGTGGTTACGATGGCTTCTCCTTCCACTATGACCATCCCAACACAATAGCTCTCACACTCACCCAGAACATATCATTAGGACTCGGTAATACTGCTCACCTGTACATCCTAGGTATGGAGACCAAGTCCGGCTAAAGAACTATCTCATAAGACAGTCATGCTCGGGAGCTTAGGGGTTTGAGATACAAGGTAAAGGGTATGGCGAGCTCATAGGCTCGGTTACCCACGAGGTCTCGCTTTTCAGGGCTTTTTTCATCAATAGATGCAGCCAGCACCACATTCGTGTGTCAATCTATACTCATCTCTACAAATATAATCTTGGGAATCGTGATAGTACCATGAGGCACGTCGACAAGAGTCGTATAGACTCATGTGCCCAAGACAAGTCGTGAATGATCCCCAGAGAATAATCCTCTATATGCGTATCGTTAGCCAGAAGAGTCGATCCTCCAATGAAGCATTACTGAAGAACCCAGATGAAGGTGCAAAATTACATTGACATTGGTACTGATTATCTTTTTGGCTATTTTCTGGGGTTATTTTTCAGTACAATAAAGATCCGTCGCGAATTCCCATTTCCAGCTCATTATCATCACGATGCACCACAAAGAGTGCAGACTGAAGCAAAATCCAGACCGAAGGAACAAAAGAAAAAGCAAAGTCGAAAGCATAGTACAGGCTCATCTTGCGTCGATCACTGGTTCGAGGAGACAATCGCGAACTTGCATCGAACACAGGCCTTCACGCCGCAGCCAGGGCAGGTAAGGAGAAAGATAGGCATCCAGAAGTTGCATGCTTCACAGTTTGGACGACAGTACTCCTTGTGCCAGAGTCCAAGGTGAGAGCACAGCTTGGGATCAGTTTGAGTGTTGACCGGTTTAGCAAATGGGATCGAAAGACGAGCCTCTTCGAGCCAGCCGCAGTAGATTTCCAGCAGAATGCCATTCATCTCGGCAGTATAATCAGCCAATTTGTAGCGTCCATGAGGATCGGCGAGCTTTTGGTTGAAATATGGAACAAGGGGGATCATCAAGTCACTCTCCAGCTGGGCAGAGTTTTGAACTTGGTCGACAGCAGCATCTGCCTCTTGGGTAACTTCCTTGAAAGCTTCAGCGGCAGTATTGAAAGCTTCAACGGTGGTTTTGAAAGCGTCAGCGGTAGGGTTGGAAGTCGGATGCTGGGTGGTGAAGTGAGAGTCGTTGGCAGTCGAGGCATTGGTCGAAGAATTGCCGGTTGAGGAGTTGCTGCGAGTCGACTGGGGGCTGGCAGTAGACCGAGAGCTCGAATTGCGATTCAGGTGAATTTGATCCTTGTCATTTTGCGCAGACGCTTTGGCGAATTCATAAGCAGATTGGTTGAACGTGTCAGCGGGATTACAGGTGAGATCCTCTGGTTCTGTGAAATCTTCGAAGTTTGTGCCAGCACCAAAGTTGAGACCCTCCAAGCCTTCTGCGACAACACGATCAATGATTTCGGCATAGCTCGTGTCTCCGTTTAGGTCCCCCATCGCTTCCTCAACATCGCGCTTCATTCTAGCGCGCATCTTCTCCTTGCGAAGCTCTGCCCGGGCACGCTGCATTTCAGGATCGATGTCTGCCCATTCTTTCTCCCATTCGGCATAATCGGCTTGGAATTGGGCACGCTTGGCCTTGGAGTCGGCCGAATCCGGGTCCATGTGTACACTGGATCCGAAACTGCGCATGTAGCAAGCGAACTCATCATCAAAAACGGTATGGCTACGTTGATACTGTGGCCAGTTGAAGTGACCTTGGCGGCGTTCTCGTCTGAACGGACGACGGTAAGTTTTTTCGTAAGATTGGGCCGAGTAGTCATTGTAGACATTGAAATCATTATAGTGGTTCGAGGGGGCTCGGGATCTCCTGCCGTTCTCGTTCAATCTCGAGTCAAGCAGGGCTCGGCGCTCTGGATCACGAAGAATCTCAACAGCATCTTGAACCTGTTTACGATTGGTTATTAGCAATGACAATCATACACAGGATGTCCTCTTGATGTAGGAGATCTACCTGCTGGAATCGCTCAATCGTCGCGTCAGCATTGCCAGCCTTGTCTGGGTGGTGCTTCAAGGCAAGTCGCTTGTAGGCAGCATTGATCTCCGTGATACGGGCATCTCGTTCAACACCCAGGATGGCATAAGCATCAATAGAAAAATGGACGGTCGACATTGTTGCTGTCACACAGGTCCTGATAATAGATGTTAGTGTTTTGTTTTGGTTGGATTTATATGTATTAGCTCAAAAATAAACATATGTCGTGAATTGTTCAATGGAATTGAATGAGCAGAGGACAATATGAAGGGGAACTGAAGGAGAGGGCGCAAGCCAGACACTTCTTGCGAGGAAGGCGTGGGAAGGAATCCTCTTGGGATGACGGCTGCGTCCAAACTCACCACACAAACGCTGCAAATTAGACTGAAAGGGCCAATGCGAAAGCCCAAGGAAAAGGTAAAAATAAGGAGGTAAGATGTAAGAGCGAGATTGGTGAGAGGAGAATGAGAAGGACAAGAGGATTCGAAGATGCACGCGAGTGTAAAAAAGAACACAGATCACGCCAAAGGAAGCTTCAGCATAAGATTGAGAAACAGCGTGAACAAGAGAGAAAGAGAATATGAAGAAGAGGGAATAGAAGAATGAGAGAACAGAAAAGCGTGGGAGTATATAACCTCCTCGATCTCAGGACGAGGATGCGGAACTAAACCTGTTCAAGAGATAACCCTATTGTATACTCCCACGATCAATGATTCTATTGTTTGAATCAAAGGATCCCATTGGACACACGAGCTTATGAGTCAAGAGGATGCCCTCCTTGAACAAAGGGAACAAAGAGAACAAAGAGAACAAAGGAATTGAACCACAGGGTTAGGGCTATACGGAAGGGGAATAACCCTATGACTCTATTACCACTTTTGTACATTTGGGCCAGAATTACTCCGTACAGAATCTCAGAGTGCTATTGGATAGCAAAAGCCACCTCACAAGAAAATCGTAAAGTCTCGAGGCTTAGAAATGCACACAATGGCCATGACTACATGTACATATGATCGCCGAACTTGTCATATGCATAAAGACCCCAGCATCCCACAGGGCCGAAGGTTCCATTGAACAAATTCAAAAACGTAGAGAGGCTAGAAAACCCGCTAAGGCCATACAAATGAAAATTGAAATGGATTGACTCTGATTTTACACAAACTGAAGGTGGATCTAAATATGAACAAGTCTACACTAAAGGCGACTTCGTCCGGTAGAAAAAACCCTCTACATATCCTCACTGGCGGTGGCACCGGTGATAATCTCAACCAGCTCTCCGGTAATGGTGGCCTGGCGCTGACGGTTGTACAAGATCTGGAACCTGGAGAACTGTTAGAAGGCGTTCTGGAATACATCAGAGGTATCACATACTTGTTGATCATCTCACCAGCGTTCTTGGAAGCGTTCTCCATGGCGTTGCGACGAGCAGAGATCTCGCAAGCATGGCCCTCAGCCATGGCCCAGAAGAGGTTGTTGGCAAGAGCATACTCGCGGAGGCTGGTAAGAGCCTCGTCATCAACCTCGTAGGAAGAGATGTTGGCTAGATTGAAAGTTAGCTAGCACGCTAGGAAAAGTTTGGGTGTAATGAATACTCACCGGACTGGGTAATAGCCTCCTCGGAGTAGGCCTCGAGGGAGACAGCCTCGTAGCTCTGAGCGTTGACGAAGGAGTTGTAGATGATGCGCACACTGGCATAGTCCTCAGGCAGAAGAGCGATCTGGTCGGCAATGGCCTGGGCATCAGCGAAGGTGGGGATATCCTTGCAGACGTTGGCGAAGCTCAGAACGATCTTCTCAGGGACGGCACGGGACAGCTGGGCCTTGGCCTTCTCACCGAGAATGGCGATGTCGGCGTTGGGGTTCTCGGCCAAAATGCGACGGGTGGCCTTGCTGAGACCGGAGTGAATACCACCGCAAAGACCCTTGTCGGAACTGGCAACAACCAGAAGAGTCTTCTTGTTCTCAAGAGGCTTGGTCTCGGCCTGCTCGAAAAGGGTGTTGGAGGTCTGACCGTAGACGCGGGATTCGCCCATGGCCTTCTGGGCACGGGTGAGACGAGTAGAAGCAACAATCTTCATGGTGTTGGTGATCTTCTCGATGTTCTTGATGGACTTGAGACGACCCTCAATCTCACGCAAAGTCGCGAAACCGGCGGCATTGGCGGGGGTAGGGCTTGATTTCGCAGTCAGCAATCGTCGTTCTCACTTGTTCTGAAGTCCAGCATATTTTCCAATTTCGATGGTGTCGAGGTGATTGCGTCGGAGTTCGTCGGGTGGAAGGGTACTTCGCACGAGGTATCGGATGAAGACTTACCGAGCGACGGCAGCACCACCAGCCCGCAGGGCCGGGCGGACGGCACGGGAGAACATTATGTAGGAGATTTTGAGGGGAAAGGAGATAGGCAGGTAGTGACTGCGCAGGGGAGGGGAGTGACGAAGGTTAGACGGGGATTCCTCGCTGGTCGGGAAGGAAGTTGAGAACCAGGGAGGTTCTGTCTCCGTGCTGCCGCTAAGCCCGAAGTGGTAAGCATCTACGGTGTGCCATTCCGACTTCTACCGCAATTGAGCCTCAGGCATCTATTATTTACATAACATCACTTGGCGCCTCAGGCATGAAGTCTGGGAGTCCCTCAAGGCCTCTTTTCTCATTGCATTCCTCCATTCCAACCTCTCTCTCTTTCCTTTCCTTTCCTCTCTTCTCTTATTACCTCTCGTATCTATCTCTTCAATTCTACTCGCAAATCCCCTTCTGTTTATGTCTCATTGATACAGCATATCTCTTAACCCTATTCTTAATCTTCATTGGTCAGAATTTCCTTGCTTTCCTCCTTCTATCAGGCGGCTCGATTTGCCCGACTCGGCGCACGAGCAGGCTTCACCTTACCAAAACATCGTTTCGTCTCATCATACCCTCGGTTCCCTTTCACTGGTCCAAGGACTACCATCATGAGCTCTTCGGAGGACGACGCACCCCTCATGCGCGCCAATGGACGTGGTAAAGGTGAGTTCCTCGGGTGATTCGGCTGTGCTTATACACCTATACATGTTGTCGCGGACCTTCGCTCTCCTTGCACATCGTCTTCTTACTCTTCTATCTCCAATACCCTCTCCGGAATTCCATTCTCCTCGAAACAAGCCCTCAAGCATTTCATCTCACTCTTTGACGTCACATTCTTCATACTTCCATCGCAACTTGAACAACTTGCTTACATGGCGCATTCTACACTTCTAGTTTCTCCAAAGTCCCCCGAGATAGTCATGGGAGATTCCGGCCCTGCTACGAATGGCCATGTTGATCCTGGAATATCTATCCGATTCGGTCCCGTGGAAGACAAGGACGTGAAGATGGAGGACGAAGAAGGCGACGCGCTAGGACCCAGTAAGCGCAAGTCTCGCACCAGTGTGGGCGAAAAGAAGTCATATGCAGAAGCAGAGAGTAGTGAAGAAGATGAGCCTTTGGTACGCCTACCCCCATTGCGGGATGACCTCTGTTATTCCCGCTGCGACCACAGCGTCGCTCTCGGTTGAAGCGTCTGACCATTCGACAGAGCAAACGCCGGCGTACGTCCGTGAAACATGAAGACCCCGAAACCGATGATGATGTGCCCCTGGCACGTAACGGACGAAAACTCCCCAAGCCCGCCGAAACATCCATTGGGGATGAGTCTTCTGATTCAGATGTTCCCATCGAGCGAAAGCTTGCTGCGCAAAAGATGAATATCGAACAAACGGCGGAAAAAGATGCCAAAGCTGCGCGCAAACCCGCTGCAACAAAGAAGGAGGCTAAGCCTGCAGCGGCCAAGAAACAAACGAATGGTGTCAAAAAAGAGCCCGCTGCCAGCAAAGCTGCTCCCAAGAAGGTAAAGGCTGAACCCGCTTCCGCAAAGAAGGGCAAAGCCAAGACTGCTGTGAAGACAGAAAGCCAGGATGCGGAAGAAAAGGAGGAGGAGGAGGACGAGTACCGCTGGTGGGAGGACCAGAGCAAGGGCGATGGAACTATCAAGTGGACAACTTTGGAACATAACGGTGTTGTGTTCCCTCCTGAATACGAACTGCTACCCAAGAACGTCAAGATGAAGTATGATGGTGTTCCGATCTCTCTTGAACCCGAGGCCGAAGAAGTTGCTGGTTTCTTCGGAACTATGCTCAACTCAACTCACAATGTCGAGAACCCTGTCTTCCAGAAGAATTTCTTCAGTGATTTCAAGGATGTCATCAAGAAAACCGGCGGAGCGAAGGATTCCAAGGGCAACAAGGTGGATATCAAGGAGTTCGCCAAATGCGACTTCAAGCCCATCTTCGAATTCTACGACGCTCAGCGCGAAGAGAAGAGAAATTTGCCACCGGCGGAGAAGAAAGCCGCCAAGGCACTGAAGGACGAGCAAGAGGCCTCGTACCAGTTCTGTACGTGGGATGGTCGAAAGCAGAAAGTGGGTAACTTCCGGGTAGAGCCGCCTTCTCTGTTCCGTGGCCGCGGAGAGCACCCTAAAACTGGACGTGTCAAAACACGCGTGCTACCTGAGCAGATCACCATCAACATCGGCAAGGAGGCAAAGGTTCCTCCCCCTCCTCCTGGCCACAAGTGGAAGGAGGTCAAGCACGACCAGGAAGGCACTTGGCTTGCTATGTGGCAAGAAAACATTAATGGTAACTACAAGTACGTCATGTTGGCCGCCAACTCCGATGTCAAGGGACAAAGCGATTACAAAAAGTTCGAGAAAGCCCGTGAGCTCAAGAAGCATATTGAGAAAATCCGCAAAGATTACCAGAAGAACCTCAAGCACGACATGATGGTTGAACGGCAGAAGGCCACCGCAGTCTATCTTATTGATCAATTTGCCCTACGTGCTGGAAATGAGAAAGGCGAAGATGAGGCCGAAACAGTTGGCTGCTGTTCTTTGAAGTATGAGAACGTGACACTGAAGCCTCCAAACACTGTTGTCTTTGATTTCTTGGGTAAGGATAGCATTCGGTTCTATGATGAAGTGCAGGTCGATCTGCAAGTTTTCAAGAACCTGAAGATCTTCAAGAAAGCGCCTAAGAAGAACGGTGACGAAATTTTCGACCGCCTTACGGTATGTCCCTTGGCTCTTTTGATCTTGGTCATCACTGACAAATGAAAGACTTCTGCCCTCAACAAGCACCTTGCCAACTACATGACAGGTCTGACCGCCAAGGTTTTCCGTACCTACAACGCGTCTTATACCATGGGTTGCGTTCTCAATGAGATGAAGGCCACCGGTGGTACCATTGCTGAGAAGGTGAAAGCATACAACGATGCTAACCGTAAGGTTGCCATCTTGTGTAATCACAAGCGCACCGTTACTGCGGGCCATGCCAATGCAATGGAAAAGATGGGTGAACGGGTGAGTCAATACACTCCACTCTCATGGCCTCTACAGAGCTAATCTATATTTCACTCAACAGATTAAGGGACTCCGCTATCAGAAATGGCGTCTGAAGCAGCAAATGCTTGACTTGGAGCCAACCTTGAAGAAAAAGAAGGGTGCAGAGTTCTTCGCGATTGATGAAGATCTCGATCAAGAATGGATCCAAGAACATCAAGCGTTCCTGATTGAGGAGCAGCGAACAAAGATCAGCAAAAAGTTCGAGAAAGACAATGAAAAGCGCGTTGCTGATGGCGAGAAGGAAATGAAGGCTTCCGAACTCGAGGAGCGGCTGCAGGTCATCAAGGAGCTGGAGAAGAAGTTCAAGAAGGAGAACAAGACCGGCAAGGTTGAGGCTGAGGCTAGAGGCGCCACGGTTGAAAAGCTCGAGGGCGCCATCGCCAAGATCGACCAGCGAGTCGAGACAATGACCGTCCAGGCTCAGGACAAAGAGGATAACAAGGAGGTTGCCCTGGGTACCTCGAAGATTGTAAGTTTGTCCCCTTTTATCAGTCTAGGTTCACCAGCTAATCATTCACATCAGAACTACATCGATCCTCGCCTCACGGTTGTCTTCAGCAAGAAGTTCGACGTTCCCATCGAGAAGTTCTTCTCCAAGGCGCTGCGTGAAAAGTTCGAATGGGCTATCAAGTCCGTTGAGGAAGACTGGGAATTCTGATCTGCCCATCTCCCTCACTGCTCACTCGTTGTGCCTTCTTTTCGCGCCCATTACTTTCTTCGTACAATATTTTCGGTTTCGCTCCATGTGCCCTAACATGACGAGTTGCCTTTCTTTGCTTTGTTGTTTTACGATTTTTTTTTTCGACTCAACCGTTTGCCGTTCGCATGCTCGAGATCGAATTGCCCCCGTCATTGGGCATGTTTTCATTGTTTTCGTTCTGGGGGTTTCGCTCAGATAAGAGCCTGTTTTTAGTGGTGGTAGTGGGTACGATACGGGCGGTATACTACACTGGTATACATGAAGGGAAAAAAAGAAACACGAAAAAAAAACCCCAATCCGAAAGACCCATCGAATCAATTGACTGGGTGACTTGGTGATATGCATACATGCTCATGCATGGTAGTTGAACACTTTGCACAGTTTCTGTTCGGCTGTCTTTGGTCATTTCGGTCATGGGGTTTAGAAGTCTCAGACATAGCAGTTCATACAATCGTTTCTGTTCCATCCGGTTCCACAGCATTGTAAGGGGGTGTGAGTCTTGATGGTAGTATGTGGTGATAGTAAGGGTAGTTCTGATACTATACAATTCTTTCAAGTATAACACAGTATTTCCATGCCACTGTCTTCATGGGTTGTCCAGCAGCGCCTGTCGCCCGCTTTTAGTCTGGAATTTTAAATCGTGATGCCTGAGCTTGAGTTGTGGGTATGTCCTTTGTGGAACCTGCACAACATATCTGCAGGGTTCTATGCATGATGCAAGTCAAGAGTGGGACTAGCGTTTCAGTGTGAGTCCAAAGGTACACGTTTCTCCGTTGTATATGATCGTGTAGATTACATACCGGATCAAAAGTACCAGTGCCAAATACGTAACAGAACGTCGACTTATAGTGGAAACAGAAGTAGAATATCCAAAAATGATATTAAAGCCCAAGTCAATGCCAATGCAAGGTTATGCAAAACTTGGAAATCGAGAGGAACCAAAAGTATAAGCACCAAAACAAAAGAATATATGCAGGAATCAGGAAGAAGAGGAACCATCCAATGGAACAGCGATTATCAATTACAGTGCAAGATTGATTCACATCTAGCGGTGCTAGAAGGGTCTGTCTGGACAAAGAGCTTCCGAAGTAGTCGAGTAGAGAGGTGGGCAGAGGACAGGAGAGGAGAGAAAGTGTATGTAGATGGAGATCATGAAAGGGTTCGTGTGGTGAAATCAATGCACTCTTTTCGGACACGATGCAATGCAATGATTGATTTCCCTCATCGAGTAGGAGGAAACCGTTAATAAATCATAGGGGGAAAAATATAAAAAAGTAAAATAACCGACAGACGGGATATCTTCAAAATCGAAAAAGAAGGAACACAAAAAAAAATCCGAAAGAAGGAACAAGCCTCTAGCATGGCCACCAGCCCATACGTTTATAGCTATCCACGATTTCACGGACACTGTCCGCGTTGAAGGCCGGGTACAATGGTTTCCAGCCAGTCTCTTTTTCAAATCTCGATCCGTCGATAGACATATCCTGGTCCTTGAGAACATCGCGCTCAAGGAACGGGCTGATCGGGCCAGGCCGCGTGATGTTGGCCTGCTGAACGAGCTCAGCCCAAGTCTGCAAACCAACCTCGTTCAAGTCATCGACGACATCGTCGAGATTCAACTTAGCCAGCTGCGAAGCGAGCGATCCGATAAACGAGACCTTGAGGCCAAAGACCTCGGTCAAGGCAATAGCGACGTGCTCCTGTCTTGTGTCATTATAGTCAACAATGTTGAATGAAACACACTCGTTGGGGTCGATGGAGCCCTTCGCGGCACGCCACTTAGCAGCCTCGAACAGCGCTCTGGCGGCATCCTTGACGTGCACAGTGTTAATTTTGAGGTCCTTAGTGTGCAGGAAGACCAAATCCTGCTTGAGTTCGACATAGACGGCAGCAAGACAAATACCCATGGCGAAATAGCCCGAGTCGTAGGCGCCGTAGACATGGGGCAGGCGCAGCGAGCAGTACCGCAAGTCTGGAATTTTACTGAGTTCGTCTGCGGCCTTCAACTTCCAGGCAGCCAATTTGTGCCACGGGGCGAGCTTGTCAGTCTCCTTGCGTGGTGTGGAGCCGCTCTTGTAGACGTGCGCGGTCGAGGTCTCGACAAAGGCGGGGATGCCGCGTCGGGCGATTTCCTTGCCGAGGGCAACGGTCAGGCCGCAGCTGCGGACTTCATAAACATCGTCGGGTTGCGAGTGCCGTGTCTCGCCGCCGCAGTTGATCACATAGTCGAATTGTTCGCCATTGGCGCGGTCAAAGATGCGCGGGAAGTGTTCTGTGGGGAAGCGGGATTCGGGTAAGAATTTGCCTCAGGCGGGAAATTGGCCGGACCACTCACGTTCACGGCTGGCATCTGCCTGGACGAATTTGTCCTTGGAGCATGCCTCTTCGAATTCTGGGGCCAGCCAGGCTAATTGGGGCAGGACCTTATCCACCAAACGGACTTCCGAGGCTAAATTGTTCTCGTGGATGTATAGCGCGAGGTGTCGACCGATGAAGCCTGATGGAAAGGGTTAGACAATAAAACCAAAACAAAAGGGGGAAAAGAACATACCGAGGCCACCGACAATCAGAACGGCGGGTTTTTTGGCGTCGGCCATGTTGAATGTGAAAGGGAAAAAAGGACTCCCCGCAGGTGCAAAAGGTTGAAAGGGGGGAAAGGCGAAGGACGGGAGGAAGGAGGGGGCGGACTAAACGGGCAATCTAAAGGAAACTAAACGCGAGAGAAAGGCTCCAACGACGAGTATATGGAATAAATCAAAACCAGAAGGAAAAACTCAAAATAAAAAGACAAGGAATTATTCGGCATTCTCATATCCCCTGCCAAGCCGGTTAATCCACGACGGTGGTGATAGTCGAGTGGGTTACAGTGGGAACAACAATGATTTGAGGAGAATCGAGTCTCTACCTGTGACGTTGGTGGTAGATAGTGTGTGTTAGTTGGATAAGTCTGTGAGAAGTCCACTTACTGGTATAATACCACTCCATATGCTGGACATGATCCTCTACGACTTTATATTTCCCTTGTCCATTGTTGACATCCCTGCGTCCCATGGTTCCGGGTTTCGGATCACCCGAACCACCCGTGGACAGGTGCTAAGCCTCTCTTATGCTTATTTTGACTTACAGACGGCATGAGCACCTTGACTTGATTTGGTTGTTTCACAGAAGGCGATCATGTCATGTCGTGCTCGTAGGTCCTTGAAATGGTTAGTTAGGATGCTATTAAGGCCACCAAGTACGGAGTATTGGAAGCTATATTACGTTGTACTCCGGACGGAGGCACAGTATATGAAAGTTATCAGCAGCACAAAAAAGAAAAGAAAAGTGGCTTTTATTGAGACCATGATGCAAAATGAGGCATTTGTTCTTGCAGCTGCCGATCCAATATCTGCCGATCGATCTCTTCTTCATCATTCCGACTCACCATGCTTCTCGACATGCTTCAAATCTGACTTTTGGCGCCTTTCAAATTCGACTCCCTCTCAATCGAGGTTAGTGGTGATGTTTCACGAGGTACGGTCTTAAGAAAGCGGACTGTTCCATTGCAGAAGCTGTATATGACCGAACAGCAAGGAAACTGTCAGAAAAGACCGAGCGGCTTGTTAGCGGGGGGCGCTTGCTTATTCACGACCAACTCCATGGGGTATCCACTGAGGGCCGTCAGACGAACATTTCCAAAATGATTCACAAAATGTTGACTTGGCTGAAGATCTACTTGGCTTATCATCCCGTTTCCATCAACATCGGTTGTGCACGGAGTACATGGCGCCTGTGAATGACGTGCAACAGATCATAGCGGCCCGCGATTGGAGGAGATACTCCAATGGCAAGACCAGTGGTTTTGCAATTGCTGCATAGCATTGTGGATCTGCTCATCGCTCTCCCCTATTTGTCGCTTGTGAAATCGGGCAATCTGCCAGTCAAATCTTCACAGAATCCTTCGGGGATATTGGAAAACCTCTAAGTGATGCCCATAAACAGACCGACTAAGTTCATGATCAATACTTCATACACTTGACTGCATCAATCTTGCTGCTGCAGATATTCCTAGAATCGTAACCTGCATAGCAACTACTCGTGATACAGCAAAGCAATTATCAACATATTGCTTTGATGGATTTTTCCAGCCCATATATAGCTAGTGCCATCCTCCAACTATTATGGAACAAGAGAATTAACACGGGTCGTCATTCACGACGGCAGCAACAAACCAACCTTGAACTGATGTTTGAATCGTGGAAAGCTCAAAATCTAGTAACAGACCCTCTAGTGTGGGATTAGTGGCTAACAAACCTGAAATACCAGGATTTGGGTATATACTTTGTCTCTCTGGAAGAACGGCTCATATTCGTTGTGTGTGTAAGTCTAGGGTGTTGGAGATGTGAAATTTATATTGTTATGACGTATGTACAATCTCAGATAGCGTTTAAGACCCAACGCACACGCTGTCGGGGAAATGTACTTAATTTGGATACAAACAGCGGGAACAATTAGGCGGAAAGACTAGATAGCGAGAGATAGACATTCAGTCAAACGACCGAGAGAGAGAGAGAGAGAGAGAAAGGACCAATAAACGAGTCTGAAGCTATGAAAGATTTCCCAAGGGATTTTCGGTGAGGATCTTGGAACCAAGCGTGAACATGAGAAAGCCGAGATTCAACTCAGCAAAAATACACCGGAAAATCGAACCCAATGACACAATAGCTAAAACATGGTATATTCACAGTGTTATAACAACTGCAAGAGTAAGCAAAGATCAGATCATACAAACCTATGGAATCATGATGCGCCTAGACACTTAAGCGAGTTTCTGAGCTCCTTGATAGCCGTGTCGACATCATCGAACGTCAAGGCAGAGACCGCCCAACGAGCATGCTTCTGTGCCAACTGCACCGAGTTATCGTCTATGCCGTGTGACGGCTGAGGTGGAATATAGGGAGCAGGCACAACAGGGGCCTGGGCAGCTGGAGCTGGTACAAACTTCGGAACAGCCGGAGGCTGGGTAGGAGGCCGGACAGGAGCACTGGCACTTGGGGTATCATAGAAAGAAGCAGGGTCTGCTGTCGAGGCGGACGAGTCTGTAGGCGGCGGGGGGAAAGACTGGAATGCAGTCGGAGTATCTGGAAGATTGGGTACTGAGGGGGAACCGCCGCCAATTGTTGCTGGGGTTGAGGGGAGCTCTAGCCCACCCGAGTTGGAGCTGTCAACATCCATCCATTGCGGGGGAGATCCGGGGGCATTGCGAGGAACTGAAGGGATCTCGGGTTCTGAGGCGACCGGGGGACGAGGTGCTGATGTTGTGCGTGAAGGGTGGAGTGATTCATCAAGGATCGATTTCCGGGCCAGATCTCGTCCAAAACGGTCAGACTCGTCTGGGATCTCTTCGATAGAGGCTTGTCTTGGTTTGGAGGCCTGCTCGGCTACCGACTCGTCAAATGCTTGCACATCAGGCTCGTTGATAGGTTCTTCTTCCTGCTTTGGGGCGGGATTTGTCGCATTAGGATCTTCGCCGACTTTCAAGGCCTTCACAATCCGAAGAGCGTGGAATTTAGCAAACTTGATTCGTCCAGCAATCTCCGGGTCTAAAGCCCCCCAAATTGAACAAAGCTCAAGAAATGTTGCTGCTGCTTGGAAAGTATCTGCTGTTTGCCTTTTAAGACAGTTAGCCATTTATAGGGCCAAATAGCATATACAGATATCTCACTTAGTGGCTTTGTTGGCATTCATGGCAGCCTCGGCGCGGCTGAAGACCTCTAATCCGAATTGCTCGACGTAGGCGCTCGCCGCAACAGTGTCTGTGACTGTCTCATTTTCTGGGTTCTCAACTTTGAACTAGTTTAATCCAATATATCAGCCACGAGGCTTCAAGCATAAGATGCTAAACAGCAACGCTAGGAAAGAAAAAGCCGACTTACTTGCTCCAGCTTATCCACAAGGTTTGTTGTGTAAATTTTTATCTCGTCGTCGGCATTGTGGAGACCTCTTTCGATGATTTGGTTCACAATATGGAAATTGCCTACAGAATTGGAGGTCCAATCAGTTCCAATATTCGGTTGCGTGTTGCGCGGGGCTTTGCAACTCACACCAGTATGCAACCACAGGCTTGACCTTCTCGATCTGGGCTGCCCTAATTGCAAAGCGACCGATATCTGCAGATCGCAGTCCAGCTGGTATGTTACTCGCCATAGCTTGGGAGTTTTGCGGTGTCGAGGAGAGGATAAAGAACAGATGACGTTTGGGGGTTTCCCACCGCCCGTGTGCGGGGGCGCTAAGCTATCGTGGATCTTATCTCTGGTCTATATAACGGGTTGGCCCTGGGCAGATCTATACACGATTTTTGGGTGTACATTCTTGTATTTTCGGACTACGGAGTATATTGGGTATCATTCATCTTCAATTGCCCACTGTCCAATATCCACTTTCTCCTCGGCCAATGCCTCCACTTGGAAATGATCCTCCGCCTGCCCTCCTGGACCTCCGATGCGCTCAATAACAATCCAGACACCGCGTGACATCGCACCGGGAAGCAAATCAAAATCTTCCACCCTTACACCCGATGCAGCATCGCTGTGAGTCCCATCTTCCGATGTGGCTAATATCTCTTTGTATGGACCTTGGCCCAGTTCCACAGTCATAAGCACAGGAGACGGGGCAACAGCGCGAGAGCCGATGGTGGACCGCTTGTTTCTCACAATAAGTCGGATCCGCGTCAGACGAGATACCTGCAGCGAAGCTAGCATCCGATCCTTGCCCGGGGACAGCACACCCACGTCCGACAAGATGGTGCGTCGCCCAGCAGACTCGGAAGCCAAGGGCTGGACAGTACACGGGATCGTAGATGAGATCCACAACGTAAACTGACCGAGCTGATCAGGTGCAAAAGTGGAGCAGACAATGGTGTAAGTACCTTTGTCTAGGGATCTTGTCTCGGCCAGGGCACACCCTCGGCGATAATCGCCGCTGTCTGCAATGATGTCTCGGCTTCGTACGCGCGATATGCGCTGTCCATTGGACCAGAAGATTTTCACATGAGCTGCTAGCTCTGCTTCAGTAGCCTCGAGTAGTATGGAGACATCTGTGGGTTCGGAAATTCGCAGACTGAATTGTGGATTGGAGTGGTATCGAGGTGACTCGGCGTTTCCGCCTGCTGTCATTGCTGTCCAGGAATTACTTGCCTTGGTCAAGCAAAGGTATTTGTCCAGTGAGGGTGCCACGACCACAGGAGAGGTTGAGAATGCCGACAGAGTAAAGTTCTGGCTGGCTGATGGGAGTGACTGCTCCGAGATCACTGCAGTATAGATCGACTTGGGAGGCATTTCCAGCCTCATGAGCGTGTTGGGAGAGTCTACATATGGTCCACGATGGAGCGCACCATCACTGAGCGATACCCTTCGGCCATCTGCTTGGAAAATGTAGATGCTGATGAAACCTAGTTCATTTTCCAATTCATCAAAACCGGGTTGTTGGTCTGTCTTGAAATGCTTGCCGAGCAGCAACCAGACTGTTCCTCCAGAATCACTAGAGATGGAGAATTGCGGGTTTTTCACGAAGCAACCGGCGATGACTCGTCCATACGATAAATCCCAGGTGAAATGAATATCCTCGCGGTATTTAAACAAACCAGGATTCCAATTGAGGTAAAGATTCTCAAAGTTTTGGAAAACTTGTTCGCAGTCCATCCAGAAGGTGCCTGGAGAAAGAGGAGATTTACCATTGAGTGTGAGTGAGTCCAGATCAGCCGCAAGGTTGCTTTGTATATGGGGCTCTGCGCCAGCCCATGGGTTCTTTAAAAGAAACCGCCGACGACCCTGAACCTCTTTCAAATCCAAGATGGCATAATCGTGCTCGCCCACTAGCCCCAGGCCTTGTTCTTCACATTCGGTCAGCTTCCCAGTGCCGATCGTCAAGACCACATCGCCATGGTAGAAAGCATTATATAGACGTCTCCATATCTCATCGGAGGTGGAATCGCCGTGATGTAAGAAGACTTGTTCCGGAATCCAACCGGTCAGCACCCAAAGGTCTGTTCCCGAGTTACTTCCTGGAAAATCATACCCTCCCCGGACCTTCAAGTAGGCTTTCTCCACAAGAGCAGGCCACAGAAAATTGAAGTTGTTGCGATCAATGACATGCAATGAACGAGATGTCTTTGACGATGGCAATCGATCGTCTATCACTACCTTCCGGAAAGATCCGTTAAAGTAGAAGCGGAATATGTACTTCCCAGAATGCGAAATTATCGGGTTCTTTTGTCCGTCGCATGGATACAGTGTCGGCGATGCATGCTGTTGGAATCAGCTGTGATGACTTCTCCGCATGGAATTGATTCATTTCATACCTCCCCCAGACCTCGTTCGGATCGAGAAGTTGTGGCGCAGAGACTTGCCACCACTGAACAATCCGTCAGGACATCTTGCACGAGATCCGTTCGTCCCGAAACCATCATGACTGGGTCAACTGGATTATGTGCCCGGTTGGCCGCGTTCCTTGTCTGTAATAGATCATGAGGCCGTTTCCAGCCTGCAAAGATATCCCTCTGGCATTCAGAGAGGTGCAGATCAGGCGCATCTCTGTGGCCAGTTAGACGAGTTCAGGCTTCCTCTATCATCGCCACTTACGTAAAAGTCTGGCCCTTATAGGTAAATTCATCTAAAAGTGGTGCACGACTCCATGGCGGAAAGATATAACCATTGAGTTTGGCGCCCTCGAGGATAATGATTTCTTCGCGGGTGGTGAGCTTCCGCGTGGATAGAGGCGGCCGTAAGCTAAGCAAGGCTTTCTGGGGCCCCGCACGAGCCACGGTCTGCCAGTCGGTAGCAGCTTTGATCCCTTCAGCCTTGGTCAGCAATTCCTTGCATTTTGTGTCGAGCCGGGTTTTCTCGTCGGCAGACGCCAGACGCAGCGCCCTCATGTAATGCTCGGCGGCATTGATAGCTGCGTTCAATGCCGCTTTCTGCGAGGTCGCCGTAGCTATGGCCTCTTCAGCCCTCTATGCAGTCATTAGCATGGATCATTTGAATATTCGTGCCTGAACAAGGTACCAATGCTTCAGCTATATGAGATTGCGTGGATGCAGGTCTAGACATACTTGGTCGGTCGTGGAGCAGACAATCAGATAATCAGATCGACCCGCCCAGTAGATTACCGGATCTGGCTGGAGCCGAGAAATGACGCGAGCAGATCGGTTCCGGTGAAGCCTCCGAGGGTGTCGCTACATTGTCAGGTGGTAGAGACACAGAGATGCATTAATATGTTTCTCCATTGGGCTCTAGATCAGTATATCCAGCAACACATGAACATTCCTCTCAAAGTGAAGGAAATACCAAAATGTGATGTAATGAAGGTCATGACATAAGCTCCTACCGACCAGCTGACGCCGAAGTGGACCTCGGTTGGTTTAAGGTGAGAGCGCCGAGGTGCATCTGTGCAGTAATTCCGGCTCATGGGCTCGGTCTCTTTTTTTTTCCCTTTGGACATTCGGGTGACTTCGGTATGTTTGATCGTCGTCTCTGTACATTCTCCTAATCCATTTGGGCTCTCTCTTTTTCCATTTTACCTCGTTATTCGAAAGCAGTGTAGATCCCCGCTCCATATTTCTCCTACCGGCCGCTAAGAGAAGCGAGCTGTCTCTCCCTAGATCTTGTCTTCTTTCGTTGGGCTCCCTTGATTTCGAAGATTCTCCGCCGACATCATGACTGGTCAATCCAAGCCCGTGCTGTCTCCATGGGGTAGTGCCGTTGCGGGTGCAACGGGCGCTGTTCTTGCGAATGCGATGGTATACCCTCTTGACCTGTGAGGCTCCAAATAGAACATTGCTCCAACAGCAAGGGAATTACCCGCTGACTATCTTCCTCATTATAGAGTCAAGACAAAACTACAAGTGCAAGTCAAGGAGAAGAACGGTCCTGCCCCAGCCGAAGACCACGAACATTATGAATCGACAATGGATGCTATCACCAAGATTGTGGAGAAGGAGGGCCTCGGTGGTCTATACTCTGGAATGACTGGATGTCTTCTGGGTGTTGCCTCAACAAATTTCGCATACTTTTATTGGTACAGCGTGGTAAGGACGCTTTACATGGCCTCCGCCAAATCGCAACAGTCCCCCGGTACGGCAATTGAGCTCTCCCTAGGCGCCGCCGCAGGTGCCGTGGCCCAGATATTCACCATCCCGGTTGCTGTCGTTACGACACGACAGCAAACACAGCCGAAGGGTGAGAAGAAAGGATTGATCGAGACGGGCCGCGAGGTGGTCGAGAGCGAGGACGGCTGGTCCGGCCTGTGGCGTGGCCTGAAGGCTAGTTTGATCCTGGTCGTTAACCCGGCTATCACCTATGGCGCATACCAACGCCTGAAGGAGGTTATCTTCCCAGGAAAGAATAACCTCAAGCCTTGGGAAGCATTCCGTAAGTGATGGTCAGTTTTCAGGCTCCACAGCGTTTTGCTAACTCTCATGTCAGTGCTCGGTGCCATGTCCAAGGCTTTGGCTACGATCGCAACCCAGCCCCTGATCGTCGCCAAGGTTGGACTGCAGTCTCGTCCCCCGCCTAGCCGCAATGGCAAGCCATTCAAGTCCTTTGGTGAGGTCATGAAGCACATTGTGGATAACGAGGGTCTCTTTTCCCTATTCAAGGGAATCGGGCCCCAAATTCTTAAGGGTCTTTTGGTCCAGGGTCTACTGATGATGACCAAGGAGAGGTATGTGTCCTGCTTCCAAGTAAACTTCTATGTTTGTGCTAACTTTCGCCAAGGATGGAGCTTCTTTTCATCGTCTTATTCGCTTATCTCAAGAACATCAAGAAGGATAAGCTGCGCAAGGCAGTAGATCTGGCAGCTGCAAAGGCAAAGTCCAGCATGCCTGCTACTCTGAAATAAGTGTGTCATAGATAGACAGAGATGTCTTCCTTCTTGGTTTCCAGTTATGTTTATCTATCGGCGCGTTGGTATCTCGGTTGGCAGTTCTATTGGGTTTTGGACCGCCTAGAGACTTTCTTGTCTTTGTTTCCTTGAAGTGCCTATCATGATAGAACCCGGTGCTTCTAGCTGTTGGATGTCATATAGATCTGTACATGATCATGCTATATCGATGTTTCCTCGGACTTCATCCCCTGCTTATTTGCCAATATGTGCGGCTAATTATGCTTAAAAGGAGCTCTATGGGTGTAAATGTAGACACCTACATGTAGGAACCAGGATATACGAAACTGTAGGCTTGTAAAGAGGTCATCACAACGCAACCGCCAGTCTCCCCGACGATTCCAATTTTGGACGTGGCCAATAGGCTCTTAGGGCAGAGCGAATTGAATCGTTAAGAATCGGGCTAACCATTCTTATTCACACGCGAATGGATTGTATTAAAATACGCATGGGTGATGTGGTTGGTCTTTGTTTACCAATGAAGGCACTTTCTTAAGTCCCCGAAGGATCGGTGGTTGCGGCATGGATCGTCCGTGCAGATGATCGCCCTTCGCCTGACCGATGTTCTACCCCAACAATCACCCTCACCAAACCCTCGTACAACCCACAAATACTTGTCACAGAAGTGGCATGGGACGTGATGCGATGGCCGCCATGGAGCTCCGAGTCGACCAATGACGAACAAAAACAAACACCCGGCTCTTGGCCATCCTCCGCGGCGAACAACCCGAGCTCCGTCCTCGATTGGACTGCGTTTACAGAACCTAGAACTCTCGTCCCAACCCTCGTCCTAACAAGCGGCATTCTCCTCGGAGTGCGATTCCACCGCAAATATCTACGACGCATCCGCGACGCGCCCAGTATCTCGTCCTCATATCTCCGACGGCGCAGCATCTTCGGCCAGGTCACCAGTGTCGGCGATGGCGATAACTTCAGAATATTCCATACCCCCGGAGGTCGCTTAGCTGGATGGGGCTGGCTTCCGTGGAAGAAGGTTCCTACCGTGAAAAAACAGCTCAAGGATAATACTGTATGTCAACTTTCACCCACCCCATCTTCTCACACTTTGGGCTTGAAGCCGGGAACAGGCATAACCATGTCTTGGAATATCACGTGCTACAAATCTACTCTGATATCTGAATCTAGCTTACACTCTTGCTCGATTCCAGATTCACATCCGTTTAGCCGGCATCGACGCCCCCGAGTTAGCCCACTTCGGTCGTCCCGAACAACCTTTTGCGCGCGACGCGCACACCTGGCTGATATCCTACCTGACCAACCGTCGAGTGCGCGCCCTCGTCCACCGCCAGGATCAATACTCGCGCGTGGTTGCGAGTGTCTTTGTCCGGCGCGCATTTGATTTCCCGCCATTCCGTCGGCGGGATGTTTCGTACGAGATGCTGAAGCATGGCTTGGCAACTGTATATGAAGCGAAGGTTGGGTCAGAGTTTGGCGGTGAGGAGATGGAGAAGAAATATCGAAATGCCGAATGGTGGGCTAAGAAGCGGAAGAAGGGCCTTTGGAAGGATTATGGCCGTGTTGGATCCGATTGGGAAAGTCCGAGAGAATATAAAAATCGGATGGGTCTGGGAGATATCACACCTCTCGAGAAGGGGAATGGAAAAGTGAAGAAAGGACGGAAATAGAAGGAGTGCGGTAAGCTGAGCCTTGTGAATATGACTATGAGCGTTTATGTTTTGTTTCTCTGGTTTTCTGGCATTTACATCTGCATGTGACGAGACGGCACGACTACAATACCAATGTATATGTATGACAGGTATGCGAAAAGCATGATTCAACCGATTTCTTTTGAATGCTGAATATGATACACCAAGTTGCGTTAATCTATACATGCATGGGAGGCAGTGTTGCCCCCATATCAGGCCCCAATGGCTATACGGGCATAAAAGACTCGATAAATCCTCCCAAGTGTCTGGAGGAATATAAGAAAACAGGTAAGTATACAGGCCATCATTCATTCTCAGCAAAACTGCCGCTCGACTTCAGCAAACAGCTTTGGGCTGATTTCATCGGAGCTGTTACCCTCCACACGGAAGAGACACTGCCGACGGTCATAGTGCTCGAGGAGGGCTTTGCTCGTCTCCTCAAACTTTCGTAGACGCTGCTTCCAGGTGTCGATCGAATCATCCTCTCGCTGCGTTAGCGGCTCTCCGGTGACATCGTCTTTGCCCGGCACCTTGGGTGGGTGGAAGTCTGTATTATATACTCGCCCTGAGGGCTCGTGGACCCAGCGCGATGCAATACGGGCGAGGATTACGGATGGTGGAGTGACCAGCTGCACGACAAAGTTAACCGGCACTAGGCTGTCCAAGCTTGTTGCCTGTGTCGCGGTGCGGGGAAACCCGTCGAGGATGAACGAGGCAGAGGGATCAATTGAGTAGGCCGAGGAGGCAGTATCGGCTGGAGAAGAAGATTTCGGGGGTGCTGATGTGGATTTGTTTGGTGGGAGGAGCCAGCCTTTGGATTTCATATCATCGGAGATCAAGTTCAGAATCATCGAGTCGGGGACGAGGTTGCCAGACTGCATTGTGGCCTCAGCTTCCAGGCCTGTGCTCCAGTTAGTCCCATGATATGGACTGCATGCGCAATTGATTGTTGTGCCAATGCTGATGCTTACCAAGGGGAGTGCGTCGGCGCACATTCTCTCTCAACAGATCACCCGAGCTGATTGAAGCCAGCTGTGGGAATCGGGCTAGCAGTCGCTCGGACTGTGTGCCTTTTCCTACTCCCGGTGCGCCAATCAGAATGATGCGCGCAGCCTTCCGGAGCTGCCTTGTTGCGTGCGACATTATATGTGATGACTGTGTGGAGAGCTCCGGGCGGAGGTTTTGAGGTTGCTGTTCCTGGCGAACTCAACGGTTCAAATGTTGGGACGCGGGAGGAACCACGGGAATTATTATGGGCAGAAAAAAGATCACAACAGCATAGTGGTTTGGAAAGAAGAGAATGAGAGTTCCAAGCTGGAGGTTGGGGTCAGGAAGTAAGCAGTGGCGTATCTCCAGAGCTAAGACTATTGAGAATGTGATTCTGTGGGGGAGCTGGATTCTTTCGGCTGTCGGTGAACACTCCGAGGAAAACGGGATGCTACGTACGATGTATAAGCCAGCACTCAAGCCCTTGAGTCAATTATAATCAAGTGTTCTGAGATTGACTGGAGAGGAGGAGGAAGAGATCGGATGGTTACATATCTGCCTTTACCGGTATATAAGCTACTTTCACATGTCTCAATGTCTCTGCACATGCCCTCTCAACCGCTCCATTTGTCGGGGAAATCCCGTCCAAACCGCAACCCCAGGCCGCGGTGGAGCGCGTTCCAGATTACGTAAGTGACGCCAGGTCTTTCACGTGATTAGGCGCGTGGCACGCGTTCGCGTTGGGCAATTTAGTGATAACGGAGATACATTCTGTTTCTGAACCACAATACCTCCAACCATGATTCGACAAGATGCCCATCGGATCGATCCTAAGCGACGAGCTGTGATTGATCCCAAGAAGAGACAATTTGCTACCCCAACATATAAGCAGCAGGACTATGCGCACCGTCTGAACATCTACGATGTCCCTCCTACAGCGGAGATTACTCTTGAACAATTTGAGCAATGGGCTATTGACAGGTTGAAGAGTATGCAAATTTATACGGAAATGGTGATCTTCTAAATACTAATATCAAGCAGTTTTGGCCGAAATCGAAGCATGCTCTTATCGAAACAAGTCCCCCGCCGAGACGGCGACCTACATTACACCTCTCCTCCAGAAATTCCTTCCTCTTTCCTCCAACACCTCTTCACCATCCGGCGCCGCCGATCCACGATTGAAAAATGAACGTCAAAAGGACCATTATTCTCATTTCATTCTCCGGCTGGCCTTCTCGGCCACGGAGGACCTCCGTCGACGATTTGCCCGTGCCGAGACCATGTTGTTCAGATTCCGTTTCCAGCAAGATGACTCGAGGGAGAGACGTGCTTTCATTGAGAGCCTGAATCTTGATTGGGAGCCTGTTGGTGATTTCGAGAAGACGGAAATAGCAGAGAGTCTGCTCAGTTCGACACCAGGACTGCGTCGCTTGGACGATGAGACCTGGTATAAAGTCGACTGGGAGAAGGTTCCGGAGCTGATCGACCGGCGCTCGGTATTCCTCAAGAAAGGAAAGGCCTATGTTCCTGGTAGGGAGCAGCTGAGCATGATTATGGCTGAATTCACCACCCGTTTGGAGCGTGCACTCGAGGTATGTTCACCGCGATAGCTCGATTTCTAATTAAGACATGGCTAACTTGATTTTAGCTCACGAGCCGTGCCCTCCCCCGACTGGATGAGGATGATCGTCTTACACCTATTCTGAACCATCTCTCGAAAAATTTCGGCAGCGCCGAGTCAGTATACTCGGAAGGAGAAGGGTATGTGGACGGGTCTCCAATCACGGCCAGCTCTATCGACCAATTGGCCCAGCAGCATTTCCCTCTCTGCATGAAGAGCTTGCATGTCAACTTGCGCAAAAATCATCACTTGAAACACTTTGGTCGGCTGCAATATACACTTTTCTTGAAGGGCATTGGCTTGTCCTTGGAGGAGTGTATCCTGTTCTGGCGTCAGTCGTTCAAGGGCAAAACTGATGATGAGTTCAACTCTCAATACAAATACAATATTCGTCACGCCTATGGTGAAGTGGGTGGTGATGTGAACCGCCGCGGAAAGGGCTATACTCCCTACTCGTGTCAGAAGATCCTGGGCGACTCAAATCCCGGCATTGGCCAAACGCACGGCTGCCCCTACCGCCATTACTCCGTTGATAACCTGGTTGGATTCCTCCAGGCCACTGGAGTAAGCGACAAAGAAGTTCTGCGGGGTGTGCGTGAGGACGTTGGCAAGATGCGGTATCACATTGCGTGCAACCGAGTTTTCGAGGCGACACACAAGAACGAGATCAAGAAGGTTAAGGAAGATGGATCATGGAGTCAAACTGACCTTGACACTATTGTTCACCCGAACACTTACTTCAAGCGCAGCTTCCTCCTGAAACAAATGGCTAGGGCTCCCAAGGATGCTTGAGCGTTTCGCATCTTCACATGTCAAATTTCATGAGGTCATGCCGGGCTGTTGATGTATTTTCGCGTACTGTTCTATAGTCGGCGTTTAGAGGGAGCATAGGTTTGGACAGAAGCACATCTTTGAATAGGTTTAATTGAAGCACGAGAATATTTGTCTAATAATTATGGTATACAAAAATGGGAGTGTGACCACAGCTGATTCCCAGAGAATCGGAAAGGATCAGAATGACCTCTCAAATCCAGGTGCCCAGCAACGGGTCAAGTCGATCTCCGCTCAACGAGTAGACAACTTTGCCATGGAATGACGAAAGCTGTCGATAATAATGTGTTTGCACACATTGTAGGTCGGCGTGAAATTGAAGAAGAAAAAGAAAAGGAACTGCGGATGAGCCGAGTTTTTAAATGATATTTTGGTTCGGAAGGCGGTAGGGACCAACAGTGCTGCAACCTGGCCTTAGTCGTGGACCGGACCTCCACACAACATACACCTCCACCTTGCTCATTCAATCCCCAGCTATCTACGGGGACTCTGCTTTCTTTTGAGACTGGATTATGCTCCGGGTGGCTCTCATCTTTAGTTTATTGGAGTAGACCCTAAATCCCAAGGTTACCCTTGACTTGCGACCTCTCACTATCCGCATATACCCCCTCCCTTGGTCAACATAGAACCAAGTACCGGAACACCACCCGACAACATGGATTACGAGGCACTGAAGGACCAATGGAGTGATGTGGAGGACCGCGATGGCATCAGACTCAGTTGGAACACTTTCCCGAGCACTCGCATGGTTCGTGGTAGTGACCTATACCTTCACCGCATCATCCACTAAGACTTGATATAGGAAGCGTCCCGCCTGGTCGTTCCCATCGCTGCCGTTTACACCCCGTTGAAGGAGAAGCCCGATGCCCCGTTGCTACAATATGAGCCCGTCACCTGCAAGCAACCCTGCCGAGCTGTGCTCAACCCATATGCGTACGTGATGCGGTGGTCCGATGTATACTCCGAATGATATGTGAACTGACATTTGAACAGCACTGTGGATGTGCGCGCACGAATCTGGATCTGTCCCTTCTGTCTGTCGCGCAACCCTCTTCCTCCCCATTATAAGGACATTACGGAGAACACGATACCCCCAGAGCTCCACCCGCAAAGCACGACGATCGAGTACCAATTGGCACGACCAGCCCCCGCTCCCCCCATTTTCGTTTTTGTCGTCGATACTTGTCAGGAGGATGACAGCTTGCAGGCTGTGAAGGACTCCCTCATCATGAGCCTGTCTCTCTTGCCCCCCAATGCGCTGGTCGGTCTGATCACCTTCGGTACAATGGTAAGAAACGAGGATATTCACTTCGGCGGGTGGCATTTTGTTGACCTTGATATATAGGCCCAAGTTCACGAGCTTGGTTATACCGAGTGCGCAAAGTCATATGTCTTCAGAGGAAACAAGGATTACTCCGCCAAGCAGGTTCAAGAAATGCTTGGCCTGGCCGGTGGTGTGCGCCCTGGTGTTCCTCAACAACAGCCCGCTCGACCCCCTCTTGGCCCGGCTGCGCGCTTCCTTATGCCCGTTCAGCAGGCCGAGTTCCAGATCACCAATGTCCTCGAGCAATTGCAACGCGATCCCTGGCCAGTGGCCAACGATAAGCGTCCCCTGCGTTGTACTGGTGTTGCCTTGAGCGTTGCTGTTGGTCTGCTTGAGACTTCCTTCCAGAATGCCGGAGGTCGCATCATGACCTTCACTAGTGGTGCAGCGACTGAAGGCCCTGGTCACGTTGTTTCACCAGAGCTCAAGGAGCCCATCCGATCGCACCACGATATTGACCGGGACAACATCAAGTACTACAAGAAGGCTGTGAAGGTAAGTTTCTCCACTTATGGGCGCGTCTATCTCATACTAATTTTGGTTTAGTTCTACGATGCCCTCGCCAAGCGCGCTGCCAACAATGGTCACATTGTTGATATCTTTGCCGGATGTCTTGATCAGGTGGGTATGCTGGAAATGAAGAACCTCTCCAACTACACTGGAGGCCACCTACTTCTCACGGATAGCTTCACATCGTCACAATTCAAGCAATCGTTCGTTCGCGTATTCGACAAGGATGCCAACGACAATCTTTTGATGGGTTTCAATGCATCCCTTGAGGTGCTCACAACCAAGGAACTCAAGGTCACCGGTCTGATCGGCCACGCTATCTCACTGAACAAGAAATCAAGCTCTGTTGGCGAAACAGAGTGCGGTATCGGCAACACCTGTGCGTGGAAAATGTGCGGAATGGATCCTTCCTCCAGCTATGGCATTTACTTTGAGATTGCCAACCAAGGTGGCCCAGCTGCCGTTCAACCAGGTCCTCAACGGGGTGTGATGCAGTTCTTGACATACTACCAGCACTCATCTGGGCATTACCACTTGCGCGTGACTACCACTGCGCGTCCCTTGAGTGGACCCGCGGGTGACCCTACCCTTGCGCAGTCCTTCGATCAGGAAGCTGCTGCTGTCCTCATGGCCCGTATTGCAGTGTTCAAGGCGGAGGTTGATGACGGCCCAGACGTACTGCGCTGGGTTGACCGTATGCTAATCAGACTTTGCTCCCGATTCGCCGATTACCGAAAGGATGATCCCACATCTTTCCGATTGGAAAAGAACTTCACCTTGTATCCCCAGTTCATGTTCCATCTCCGCCGCAGTCAGTTCTTGCAGGTGTTCAACAACTCGCCTGATGAGACTGCTTTCTACCGTCATGTCTTGAACCATGAGGATGCCGGTGACTCTCTTGTCATGATCCAGCCCACCCTCGATTCATACTCTCTCGAGCAAGAGGGGGCTCAACCAGTCCTGCTTGACTCTGCTTCTATCCAGCCTGCCCACATTCTCCTTCTTGATACATTCTTCCACATACTTATTTTCAATGGCGAGACTATTGCCGAATGGAGGAAAGCCGGATACCATGAACAAGAAGGCTACGAGAACCTCAAGGCGCTTCTTGATCAACCCAAAGAGGATGCTAGGGTTCGTCTCCACATTCATTACTATCTGTTAAGCTTTTTTACTGACCGATGTCTCAGGATCTTATTTCCGACCGTTTCCCCCTACCCCGTTTCATCGTCTGTGATGCTGGCGGCTCTCAGGCCCGTTTCTTGCTGTCCAAGCTGAACCCATCGACCACCCATACCACGGGCGGTTACGGTGGTGGTGTCTCGTCGCAGACCATCTTCACTGATGACGTCTCGCTGCAGACATTTATGGACCACCTGATGAAGTGAGTATCCCTTCCACCCTGAATATAGATGATCTATGCTAATAATATCTCAGACTCGCTGTATCCGGAACCAGCTAGGTGTGATGAGACCATGTCCATGAGAGCAAGGGCGGTCTGTCGTCGACCCTCGGGTCTTGTGTATCTTTAGCGGTGATTTAACTCTTTTGACGCGATATAGTAGTAGATTGAATGGATTGATACCATTACACATGAAGTGTCTATTTATAAATTTTGCCAGTCTGGTGTTGTACGTAGACGGGCCCACATGAGCCTCGGAAATATTAAACATGATACCGAAATGAGCTAACGTCACGATAAGGGCTTTTACAGTCATGTGATAACGAATTCATGCCCTATGTCCCAATCAGGTCACTCGCTTAGTTGAGCACTGAGGAAGTGGGTCGCGCTAGTGCCGCGAGCGTCCTTCAAGTTTAATTTTTTGCTCCTACTTCTCTTCCTTTCTCTAACCACTCTCTTCGACAACCAAGGAAGATCGACTACCTTTCGCACTCGCCATGCGTAAGTATCATCTACTTGGCATCTTGCAAGATGGCGACTAACATTCCCTCGTGATCAGCTCCCAAGTTCGATCCCAATGAGGTGAAGATCATGTAAGTTCGAAATTCTCCACAGATCTGGATTCCTCCAGCAGTACCCAGCCACAGCAATACTAACAATGTTTTTAGCCACCTGCGTGTGACTGGTGGTGAGGTCGGCGCTCAGTCCGCTCTGGCCCCCAAGATCGGTCCCCTCGGTCTGTCTCCCAAGAAGATTGGTGAAGATATCGCCAAGAACACTGGCGACTGGAAGGGTCTCCGTGTCACCGTCCGCCTGACCATCCAGAACCGTCAGGCCGCCGTCTCCGTTGTGCCCTCCGCTTCCTCCCTTGTCATCAAGGCCCTCAAGGAGCCTCCCCGTGACCGCAAGAAGGAGAAGAACATCAAGCACTCCAAGTCCATTCCTTTCGATGACATCATCGAGATTGCCCGCACCATGCGTGCCCGCTCTATGGCCAAGGAGCTCCGCGGTGTCGTCCTCGAGATCCTCGGTACTGCTTTCTCCGTCGGCTGCCAGGTCGATGGCCGCAGCCCCAAGGATGTCTCCGATGATGTCAAGGCTGGCGAGATTGACGGTTCGTTCCATCAACTGTTTTCGTTGTCGGGTCATTACTAACAATCTCTTTAGTTCCCGAGGAATAAATTATTCGCTCTCGAATGCTCAAAAAAGAGGAGGCCTCTCTGATTTCTAAAGCGTGCTTCTCTTAATGCTGAGATGCTGAGATGCTAGTTTCAGAATACGAATGGTTTTCCAAACCACACAAAATATTCATGAGTCATGACCTATGATACCTTTCCCTAATTTGCGAGTGTCCAATTGGAACAAATTGACCAGCTCGCTGCTTGTTCTCTTTTCTCGTTCCCTTCCGGTTGTATATTTCTCCCTTTCTTTCCCGATCCCTCTCATGATCCTCTTGCTTTCTCCATTGGCGATGAGGATACTGAAAGGCTATGCCCGGCGCAGCCGACAGTCCGTCTTTGATGGAACCCTCACAACACTCTGGCCCTTACTGTTCTCTCCCTACGGGGTTTGATCATACAACAACGTGGTATAGGCTTATTTTAAGTGAGGAAGAGAAAACCAGTCCTATTACTCACCGCGGTATCCTTGGAGCTTGTCTCCGTGGGTACAGTGGTCCATATATCGGGTCTACATCTCTTGCAGATGCAATCTTTTCTGTCTGCTCTCGTAGGCCGTAGTCTAGTTAGTTACCGACCGAAATCAATACATCTTCCTGGTCCTTTTTCTTTCTCCAATTTCCACCTAGCGACAATTTAATTTTGAGATACATTGAGTTTACTCATAATTGGGATCATCAAGTCCAGGCAGTCCCCTGCAGTGGCGGTGTCCAGTGTCCAAAGTACCCCGACATCCCATGTCTAGCACAGAGCCAGGCCACCCTGCATGCGGGCTGCCAGCATGCATATACATATGCAGCGATGTTATTCTGAATACGGAATCCGATGTAGATATGATATGGCTATCTCGCATCTAAGACTTGGTCCTTAATTTGAGGCTGGACTATTTGCCACCCAGAATCTTCAAATCCGTTCCCTCACCTGGTTGATATATACTCCGTATACTCCGTTCTCCGTACACCAAACGAAACGACTTCCAGCCACGCGGCAAGCCTTCTCTGGGAAACGGAGGACCGTTCACATGGGTATCTAGGCACCCAGCATAGATATACGTAACACCATCGCTAGGAATATATATGCAGCCAGCCTTCGCTCTCCCGGGTCTGAAACATCCCAACGGCCACTACACCCAACAGAGCTGATCCTCGAGCCAACCGACTCGTATCCGAGCGCCGGTGCACCAATGAAAATTCAGATAAAAAACAATAATAATATGTGTTGGCTGTATACTCCGTAGGCTGTGCTGGTACGGAGTAAGTACGTGGACACATTCACGGTGCCACTCCTGAAATGCAAGTGGATTCCCGCAAAGACAACCAATGTAATCTTGTCTCTGGATTAATATATCGTCAGTTGTATCTTCGCAAAGGTACTCCGTAGAGACAAAATTAATGTGTAGCAATTATCTTAGGGCACCAGACTCCACCGATGATCCTCGCCCATCATCCCTGATAAAGCGACGTGCGTGCTCATCCACACAGTGGGGGTCTGATCCAAATTGATGTGCTTGGTTCACGGTTCTGGACGTGTACTATGATATCTGGGTCCAATGGAGTCGGGGAATATCAGGTGGATATTAGGATTCCTGTGACGGAAGTGTGGTTTCTGCTGTCATTCACTCAATAAAAAAAAAGGGAGAAATCGGGGAAGCAAGTCCTAAAGATTGAGATTGAAATGCAGTTTGCCTTGTCGAGGCTAGATGGCATAGTTGACAGTGTACCACCCGACATGCTGTACAGGAACGTTGTGCAGGCCAAGAAAGGATGGGACACACAGTGGAGTTTGTCGATCTCTGCGACCTATGACATGGGCGATCGTGGAAATCAAAAGGAGGGAAGGTTTCGAATATTCCCTGCGACCGTGCTCGAGGGAAAGGTACGGAGTACTCCGTGGAATGCGGGCGATAGGAGTGCTTTGTGCAAGAAGCTGCAGGCTTGTAGTCCAAGGCACCATAGCAGGCGAATCCTAGTACGGAGTGCTTCGTACTGGTCCATATTATACGAATCAAAGGACAGACTTAGGGGCGAAAATAGCCCCAGGGCTAACCAACTGGCTGCAGGGATCGTGGGCATCCCCAGAATAATCCTGCATAGGAAAGGATCGGAGGCGAGACGAAGGGAGGCAATGGATGTACCGTCGAGCATTGGCTTTTCCGTCCGAGTCTGAAGGGGGCCAAACCAGAGACCAGTCCTGGAGAGTCTTGGAGTGATCATAGTAGACCGACTGAAGGTTCAGCCAAGTCTCGTAGTCCCCAAAGCGAGAACGGGCTCGATCACCAGCGGGGGCGTCACCGATCACTAGTCGCCGTGATGGAACCAATGACTCCACTGGGAATGACGAGGATGGATTCTCGTGAGGCTTTAGCCGTTGGAGTGGATCTGGTGGAGAGAGGAAAAGGAAACAGGACTACGTTTTCTACACCGTCGTCCCCGGAACAGTGAGGCGGATGATCTCTACAGGGAGTAGGATGTACGGCGTAGTCTCGAACATCCTTCTCGGAGGTAACGGAGACTCTCATCCCATCTCGGTTCTCTTTGCACTCATCTCATCATTTCCATATATCGATTTCTCCTTCCCCACCTTGATCCACCGTGTCCACTTGCTTTGGCGCAAAGCGCTTTCTCACCTTCAACTGTTCATTTCCTTTTCATCTTTCTCAACTCGGTAGGCATCTCCTTCCTCCGTCCTCCGTCCTCTACTCTGGTCGTCTCTATTCGTCTATTCTTATTTGATCGGAGGTCTCCCCTGACTCATTATTGATCCCCCTCGCACCAATTGCCAAGATCGGCTGTTATTGGTCGTCTCGGACACCAGCATCGTGAGCTGGACATTCTGTCTCCCTTGCGTCTCAGATCGCCCTCTTGCTTTCTTTTTCTTCTTTTGACTTCTCTTATTATCGCTCCACATCCGACTTCACATCGGAATTGGATGACGGTGTTCTGAAATCGATATCCAAGGGCTGCGTCCAGAACTAAACTGGCTGCACACGCTGCACTGGATCTGGAGTTGACTGGTTTCACATAATGAGGTGTCGGAAACGGTTCAAGGATGCTTCATGAATGTTCACTTCACTTGACGTGTTGAATCTTCGGTCCCCTTACTGGCCCTAGGTAATCCGATCCCCGTCCTTGGGTCAAGAAAGCAAAGATGTATCCGACCGTCGCACCGTTTCCACCGGTCCAGCCGCACCATCGCATGCACCATCATCATCCCGAATCCCTCAATCAGCCCATGTACGATGCCAACGACTCTCACCTCCCAGTTCGCAATGACCCCTCCAAACCATTCTTTAATCCAATACCACGTCCGCGCATCCAACTCCCCCATCCCGTTCAACGCATCGATGTCCGCGATGCCTCTGGCTCTAGCTCCACTGGAAATGGGGCGGAACACACGTTGCGAAGGAAAACTCCAAGCGGTACTTTAGCTGCGGGGTACGATGGGACGCTTGGCGACACCATTCAACCACCAGCGACCAAACATATCTTGGTCTCGCCGATGGAATCGGGCCAGTTCCTGTCCCCTCAGGTCGGGATGCAGTCCGAGAATTGGCAGTTCATGCCGGACCAGTCAGCTACCAAACAAATGAATTTTCCGCCGGTCTTCAAAAATGACCCCGCAGGCAACGCAATTCCCGAAGTCATTCAAGATGCGAATGGCACGAGTTGGGTGCGTCCAGTTAACTATCCTCCCGGGGTCGACTCGATGTTGAACCAAAGTTTGCCTTTGCAGGCATCTCAGCGACTTCTCTTGCAAAATGGGCAATACGTTCCCACGGTGTTGCCGGCGACCCTGCAGTCGTGTCTCGGACCGACCGCTTCGGCGGGAACCGGTCCATTTGGTCCATATTGGCCAGATGGAGTGTACATCCCATACCGTCCTGCGGCATTTCGTGATGCCCGTTTCGAATCCCCGACATCCTTTACAAAGCAACCAAACCAGCCCTTTTACGACCTGAACCAACCAGGTTTCCACCAAGTCCAAGTTCCGCTGGGTAATCACGCAGATTCGGGACTAGCTTGGGGCAATCCTATGCCTAGTTTGCCCACCCGAGACCCTTTGATGAAACCTCATTTTCCACCACGCCACTCTGACCAATTGCCTTTCCACGCCCGCGCCAACCGTCCGCCAACAAACTTCCCACCTCCGCAAATACTGAACAACGAGCCCACCACTTGGTCGAGTCGCCCACCAGCACATGGATTCCAGCCACCAGGGCCTGCCGTAGCAGCGAACGCGGAATTCAAAGAGAAGGTGTTGTGTTGGGCCCACGGTGTCTATGTCGACCTACTCGCAACCATTCACCAGGCCCGCCGCAGCAGCATCTCCCACGGCACTGCTGACGGACACACTAGGCTCTTGAAGCCGAGTATTTATCCCAAACCTCCACGACAGCCAGGTCTCGATTTTTCACAAGCCTCTCCCCCCGATCTCACTCGTCATAACAGTTATCCAGCAAGTCAATATGACCTGCAACGCCAAAAAAACAACGCTATGGGAAGCCATAGGTCTCACGATCCTACACATCCCGCAGTTCTTCCCCGAGCCAACACCCGTCGTCCATCATTGAACCAATTCACTCACAGCAGAGGGTCTGATACCCACATGCTCGGCTTGCGTGACACGGGTGTGTCGCCCTTCACTAGAGCCCGTGGTTCTCTATTCAATGAAGGCTCACCCGTATCTAATGCCGCATCTGCCTTGGATATGCTATCTCATCTGTGCGGGGAAAGCCATTGGGAATGGATCGACGGAATGCTTCTCGGAGGATGCCTAGCCTATGGCTTGGGGGATTATCACAAAGCCTTGCGTTGGAACAACAGAATCATCGCTCGTGACTCGACGTGAGTAATTTATCGACTATGTGATAAATTGATACTAATAGTTACCAGGCACGTGGAAGCTATCTCCAACCTCGCTGCCACTCTCCTGGCACTCGATCGCCGAGAGGAGGCTTCGCAGCATTGGCTACGTGCTGTAAAGCTACGGCCAAGCTTTTTCGAGGCCGTCGAGCATCTAATCGGGCTACTGTGCAATGCCAACCAATGCAAGGAAGCTGTCAATATCATTGATTTTGTACAAAAATCTCTCCGTCATCCCAAGGATGGCGATTGCTTCAAGACAGATGAACATGCCAGTGAGCCCGAAAGTGATGCTGAAAGCAATGTTTCTGATGTGTGCATGTACGACAAAGCATCTTTTGAGTACGATGATGACATGGGAAGAACTCAAGGAATGGAAGGTTGCTCGCCGGATGCCAAACCTCTTGGTTTCGCGAGCAGCGGATATGCAATTTCAGGTGCAGAGAACGGAAGAATGTTGGCTTTGGTCCATGCCAAAGGTAATATGCTCTATGCTCTTGGTGACAATGCGGGCGCTGCAGCTGCGTTTGAGGATGCCATTCTCATCGCCGCCGGCCGAAGACGTCACGGCATCCAGAGTATTATCAAGCAGATTTTTACTGCATTCTCCGGCCCTCCGAGTAACGGATATCCTCAAACTGAGCATGAATCTCAGGAGAGCATTCTACTTTACCCCGACAGAGCATTGCAAACCGCCCAGCTTGTTTTCCAAACAGGTGGAATGCCACCGGGGCTTCAGTTCGTTGCCGAGGGTATTGCCCGCAATGCAGCCACGTCCACCACTAGCAATGCCCTCCTGTCCTTAGCAAAAATTTACCAGGATGGCATGACCAGCGTGGGTCCCTCGGGAGCACCAAGATCCTCTCCTGGTGTGCGGGAGATATTGGCTCTCTATTACCTTTCTCTCTCTTTGCAACCTAGCCCTTCAACTGCCAACAATGTGGGAATTTTGCTGGCTGGTATTCAAAACAACCCACCAGCAAGAGGCTTAGTGCGACCGAATGGCGAGAGTCAGCACCCTGAAGTGCCTGGTGTGGTTGCCGGAAGTGGAATATCCTTGGCATTGGCCTATTACAACTACGGGTTGCAGCTCGACCCGCGGCATGCTCATCTTTATACTAATCTCGGTAGCTTACTCAAGGACATTGGACAGCTTCACGCCGCCATCAAAATGTATGAGCAAGCAGTTCACTGTGATGGCAATTTCGATATAGCCTTGGCAAACTTGGCCAACGCTGTCAAGGATAGTGGCCGGGTCAACGATGCAATTACATACTACAAGCGCGCTGTCAAAGTAAACCCTGAGTTTGCGGAGGCGGTTTGCGGATTAGCAAATGCTTTGAATTCTGTCTGTAACTGGGTCGGTCGGGGTGGAATCGGCAATGCGCGTGGCTTCCGCGACCGATGGCACGTTGATGAGAAAGGCATGCTTCGGGATTCCCTTAGTATCGACACCGGCTCTGGATGGATCAAGCGCGTGGTAGACATTGTTGACCGACAGCTCAAGGAAGGCGAATATTGGGGCCGTGGTATATTGACCACGAACATGGCAGAGCAACTATGTCTGCAATTAGCTCCAGCTTTGGAGTCATCTCGTTTTGCGTCTAGTCAACGGATGTCTCTGACAAAACTTTTCCAGTCCTGGGCTGGAAAAAAATGGGAGGGGTCTCGAATTGTACGCCTCATCGAGCGCGCTATCCGGTCCCTCACTTGGCAGTGGTATCAAGATCGCTATATCTACGGCAAAGACTACCCTGCTTCCAAGTACCGACGTCCCCAACTGCCTGGAGCTCTTACTGCCCCGAACGCTCCTACAGTTTTGCCTTTTCACACGTTCACTTGTCCTTTGTCGGCAAAACAAATCCGCCAGATTTCCCAGCGCAATGGACTGCGTATCTCGACCTCAACTCTCCGACTACCTTGGCTTCCACCTACAGTCTTCCCTCCGCCCTCCCCGCCTAGTCCGTACCTTCGAGTGGGTTATGTGTCATCTGACTTTAATAATCATCCTCTTGCCCATTTGATGCAATCTGTTTTTGGGTTACATGACCCATCACGTGTCAAGTCGTTCTGTTACGCTACTACGCCAAGTGACAAATCGGTGCATCGCCAACAGATCGAGAAAGAGGCTCCTGTGTTTCACGATGCAAGTGGATGGCCTGTTGATCGACTAGTTCAGCAGATTGTCGCGGATGGAATTCATATCCTAGTTAACTTGAACGGGTACACGCGAGGAGCTCGTAATGAGGTCTTCGCTGCACGCCCTGCGCCTATCCATATGTCGTTTATGGGCTTTGCAGGCACCCTCGGTGCTGAATGGTGCGACTACATCCTCGCGGATCAGCTTTCTATTCCACCGGAAACACTGAGTCCCGGACGACGCAATACGCGGATTGAGGACCGTCTTCTAGAAGAAGATAACGGTGAGGAGCTTGAGGATTGGGTATACGGGGAGAAGATTGTTTTTACCCGCGATACCTTTTTCTGCTGCGATCACCGACAAAGTGCTCCGGATGCTGGCGAAAGACAGGTCACATGGGAGGAAGAACAAGCGCGGCGCTGGAGAATGCGCAAAGAACTATTTCCCAAATTGAGTGACGATACTATCATCTTGGGCAATTTCAATCAGCTTTACAAGGTCAGTTCCTTTGTGACATTCTCCACATCCCATATCACATAACTCATTTTCTTCTAGATTGAACCCACCACGTTCCGGACATGGCTGCGCATACTAGCGCGAATCCCCAACGCTGTTCTCTGGCTTCTTCGCTTCCCAGACACAGGCGAGCAAAATCTCCGAGACATTGCCAAAGCCTGGGCTGGAGAAGAGACAGCATCGCGCATCATCTTCACGGACGTAGCCCCAAAGAATACACATATCGCGCGAGCGAAGATCTTAGACTTGTTTCTTGACACGCCAGAATGCAACGCCCACACGACTGCCACAGACGTCCTCTGGAGCGGCACCCCGCTAATCACTCTCCCGCGCTACAAGTACAAAATGTGCTCCCGCATGGCGAGCAGTATTCTCAGTAGCGCGCTTCCGAACTCTGAGGCTGGTCAGCGTGCCCGCGAGGATCTCATTGCGTCGTCTGATGAAGATTACGAAAACAAAGCCATTCGTCTATGTCTAGACCTGCAGTACTCTGGTCACGAGGGCCAACCCCGCGGCCGGCTGGCAGATATTCGCCAGATGCTTTTCCGGGACCGCTACCAGAATAAGCTCTTCGATACAGCGCGCTGGGTGCGTGATCTAGAAGATGCTTATGAGGCAGTCTGGTCGCAGTGGGTCAATGGCGAAGAAGGCGATATCTGGTTATGATGTGCACTGCGAATATACCCCTTGAGCGATTTTTCCTTTTTTTCCCCCCTTGTGTTCTTTTCTTCTTTTTCATTCTGGCCCATAGCATCTGGATTTCCTATGATTCTTCTACTGTCTTTCAGCCCTCTGGGGTTGGATCATCTTTTTGTAATGAATTTACTTTTTTGCATGTGGTGTTTGTGTGATGTACACGTCCATTGGGAACATACACGAAAGAGAGGGCCTATCGGTTGGTTTATTGGGCAGGCGTTGTTTTCTTTACATTTTTGTATTCCGGGTCTCTGGGAAGGAGGAACCTGTAGTCTTGGAGGTGTCTTGAATAAACCCAACAGCGAAGCGAGTCAAGCACACATAAGTCAACCATCACCTTTGTTCAGTGTAGTTGGGTCACTTTTTTTTTTTTTGCTAACGGTTTATCCCCCAGTCATTCCAACAAGCTACATACGATGACGATGTATGTTTCGGATTCTGGTAAGCTTTTCCATCCCATGTATAGCAGCGCGGTCACATCCCTACATTCATCCATGCAATTCGGTTTGTGCCTGCTGCCTATCTGACGACGGTAACCCCGAATTCCACCATGCAGAGACCAAGCTATCCATATGCACGGCCTCAGCCCCTAACAATCCTGTCATGATCGGCATCGGCACATCGCCCCCAACACCCAATAGGGTCAACGCCCGTTTCAGCTCACAATCGCAATCTAAGACACCCATCAACAGACTGAGACATTTAAGGCCAATAAACAGATATTGATCTTGGCGGGCCTGAACACACGCCTCGTGTTCATCCAGTATGAGCGTGACGCGGCATCTCACTTCCCTGGGCATCTTTAGGTACGATCCATGTTCCGTGGCTCAATAATGCACATCCTCTATACACGCCACATCTGTGTCGCGTGTAGTAGGATGACAGGTCAATTAAGTTCCCAGCCATTGAGCGAGAGCCGTTTAGACCCGGACCTAAGTCCAGGACCGTGCCCAGGCTCCCGACGCCAAAAGAAATCCAACAAAGAAAACCCAAAATGACAGGGCCAAAACGATAGGACCGAAACGGCCCAGTGACGCTGACAGGGCCTGAACTAGGATGTCTGCGTATAAGCAGAGGCACGCGCCACGCCTTCAGCTCTGTTGCGCATTGCGCTGGACAGCCTGGCTGGACAGGTAGTGGAATGGGCGTAAAGCCACAGTCCATACCGATATCCATTCATGTGCGCATGTACCTATCCCGGTCGATACCGCATGGCAATATTATATTAGAAGCCCGCGTCCGCTCCTCGGTCATGGAGGGTGGTAAGACATGCGCATATCCGTCAGATGCGGGTTGCCAGGTATGAAAGCCCACATGGCTCGTCCACGAGTGTCGGGGATTTTGGAAGGCGATGGGAAGTGTCTTTTTTTGGCAAGTGTATATTCCAATATACCCAAAGTACAGGATAGTGGGAGGATTTAGTGACTTGGCTTGCATAAACAAGTGGAGAAATGACACTTAACGCATTTGATATCTGGGCATTCCGTACTCCATACTGTGTATATCTGATCTACCATACTTAAGCGAAGATGAAGATTCAACTGTACCACGCAATACTCCATACGGAACACGGAGTACAATAAACCTAATTACGACCGTTTGTATCAACAGCCTTCAAAGCGAATTAAAACAACCAAATAAAAAAGAACGAATAAAATCCCCCCCCCCCCCCCGCAAGGATCATCCTTCCAACTCCTCCGGATTGTCCAACGGCACGACGTAACCCCCTTCCATCTCCCCGTGGACGTTGCAACTGCTTACCAAAACACGCAAAGCCCTTGCATGCAACGCCCTCGTTGTCTTAGAATCCTCGTCCCGGCCATGGCAAGCCCCGTTCGCTTCACAACTCCCACGAGAGGCTACCATGCAGCCCACCCATGTGCGGTATCATATCCGCCACCCATTCCCTTCCAGGATCGCTAGTGCCATCATCAAGCGAGGCCGCGTCGTGCGGAAAGGATAGCGGCATAGCTGAATCGGTTAAGCAGCGATATGACTGGTGTGGCGCGGGTGGAGAGTGCGCCACGGGCAGATTTGTGGCGTTGGATCGGTCGATTAGCCGCTCATAATTGAGAACTTGGGAAACGAGAGATGGAGTGGGAGTTGGACTGTATTTCTGGCATTTGGAGTTGTTTTGGCGAGGTTTGTTTTATTGTGGTGAGATGGTTGGGGTTAGATCTATGTTGTGTATGTATATTGTATGTGGTCGAATGGATATATATAGTTGTACATTGAGGGAGTGTAAATAAGCGTCTAATACGAAATATGAGTTAGGGGAGATATGTTAGCTTAATTGCATGGGGTTTACGGAAATGACTTCCTAGAGTTTGAAAATGAGTTGCTATTTCTACCTTGTAGACGGAGTATTCCGCACGAGAACAAAGGATCCAACTGAATTGGCATCTGTGCCTTGTCTCGGAAATACCAGTCCTTCATCTAAACTACCTGGATCGGTTCACGTGCCCAGACATCCATTTACTGGAAATGGCCACGAGAATAATAATAACAAGCAAGAAAAAAAGAAAAGAAAGAAAATAAAAGGAAAAAATAAAAAAGAGAGAAAAAGAAAGAAAAAAGCCACACGCCTAGGCCGATCACGGAGATCCAGATTATGCGCCCAATCCTCAGACTCGTGAATTGTAGACACGAGACTCGGACAACACCGACTCCCTCGCCAAGATCCCCCGATTAGGAAAAAGCAAGTGGCACAGTCAAGCCTCAATCGGGGGTGGCCGTTGCGGTACGCGCCCCCTGCTCTTCATTCAAGGCCCTGTCTGCAAGCCCACCACTAGTCTCTAAGCCCCTGAAACGAGGCTCAAAACAGAAAAGCCCAGAAAATGAAAATGAAAAAGGGGGAGTAGCTGGGTCACTCCGTCATGGTGTGTCCCCATCTCGCTTCGACGCGTTTCTCCGGAAAATATTCGGGTTGAATGCGGAGAAGGGCAAATTGCTGTGGGAACCGCTCTCAGGTTCCACTTTGACACCCCTCCTTCATCTCCCCTTGTCTGTCTGGTAGGAGTTGGTCGGGGAGATATGTTGTATATCACATTCTTTTTGTACTCACATCGTCTGTGATGATATCCCTGTGCAACTGGGTAATGGGAAAAAGAATGAGATAGTCCCGTGTTACCGACAGACTGGGTTCTTTCGAAGGGTACCTTAGCGGGACGATTGAGTTTGGACCGGATAGATAGGGTTGCAGAGTCGACGACCTTATTCCGATTATTGGTCATAGATTACGATGGTCCTGGATCTTGGATTTTCAGACCTGCACATGGGAAACACGCCTTTCCAACTTTTTCAGGAACTGGATCTTCTCGGAGCGGGGCCTTTCTCTGGTCCGTTCTCTCTATACGGAGTACTCCTCTCTATACTCCATACGGCGTGCTCCGGGGACACGATTCCTCTGGGCTTCTGTCAAACATGAGTGTGAAGTTTTAGTGACAGCTGGAGTTGGTTTGCATGTGTACCAGGTACGGGGATGCGTAGATTCTCGCTCAACGGTGGATCAACGGTATGCAGTAAGTTGGTATTGCTATATACATGATGGGTGCAAGGCAGATAAACGCTTCCAAATTCCAGTAGTACAGTAGGACGTAGCAGAAAAAAAGCCAGCTCTGGTTTTGAACTTCACTAACAAACCGTGTCCAGGTGCAGTGTGACGGTTGCTCACAGATCGGGCACCATGGGAGTGGTCCCCGATATCTAAAGCCCGAGCAGGTGGCCCACCAATGACCGTCCAGGCTGGGGTGTCATGGCCGTGGAGGAAATGCAAATCGAAAGCCAAACCAACAGAGTTTACAGTTCAAAGGCCAAATGCAAATTCAAATTCCATTCAAATTCAAATCAATGATGATCATGTCGCGAACGGAGGATGTCCTACTTGGACGTACTGTAACCCCCGGAGATCACGGGTTGATTCCTTTATTTTCCGTTTTCCCGTCATACGTCAGTGTTCAGTACGAAGTATGGAGTACTCCGTACGGAGTATACGGCATACAGCTCCCTGATCTACCTGATAATGCAACAGATCACAAAAGTACCTAGGTACATCACTCATTACCCGTTTGGGTAACCAGGTTGTAAAAGACAGGGGTGCTACCAATCGCTATGCCCGGGCTGTACGGAGGACTCCGTAGCAAGATGACACTCACAATGAATTATTCGTTCATGGATTAACATTGAGGCTAAGCGAACCTCATAAGCTTGGAAGCCGATGCCCCAGGAAATCCACGTGACAGCAAAAAGGGGGCGCAAGGAACGGTGCTCAGACCCCCCCTTCTGGACGCCATGCGGCAGGCCCGACAGTCAGGAAGCAGCTGCGAGACCGTTCGCTCTCCACTTTTCCGGGTACCCCGAGCTTTCAGGTCTTTCTGTCGATATGCCCTGGTTTCTCTGGGTGCTGGGATTTGAGTGGTTGGGGGTAAAGGACCATGGACTTGTTCTCTTTCTTTGACCCTCTCCTCACCCCCTCCGCGAGGGCCATGTGAAAAGAATCCGGCAGCCGATCTTGACAAGTGCACGGGGACGAGGTGATCAGCGGTGATCCCTGCAGACAGGGATTTATCTCAAATACTTGCCGTGTCTCTGATTGGCGAAGGGACAGGGGCACAATCCATAGTCTCGAGGACTCAACGGTAAAACAATAAAGTGAAATAAATTAATTTCCCCTATAAAAAAAAAAAGGACAGAAAACTGACAGGTCTAATCTCGGGTACACCCTAGTCGATACTGCATCCCAGCACGACGGGTTCATCCTTTCAGCAACGGTTTTTGGTTCCCAGGAGTATGGAAACCCGATCTGGCTGTCCACACGAGGACTGTCCACATGGCGGATACTCCGTAGATGGTTCTGGTTTCTTGTTTCACTCCAGAAACTAGTTGTGAGAAACCAGAAAAAGGGGGCAGAGATTAATTTGGAAAAAAAGCATTCTCCACATTCTTCGAGGCTATACTAGAGGTTCGATTAATAAACGAGTTAATCTATATAAACGCGATGTGTGCCTTTTAGGAAATAGATTAAATCCAATACCACATAGATTAAAGATGGTCTTAAAGATGGACGCCCATATCCGCCTATCCTGAACCGAACCGATAGTCCCACTGACAATGACAAATACTGGGGGGCCAATCATCATGGAGTCCATGCATGTAAGGTATGGAGTCCTCTGTCTCCAGTCTGGTATTTTTGGAGCATTTTTACCTGAAAAAAAAGCAAAAAAAGGTGTGGCTTGCGTTTCAACGGTTTCCACCGGAAGATCTCTCTCGCTGCTGCGACATGCCTAACCGGGTAATCTGGACACTTTGCACTCGTCGATCTTTCTAGACCGATCTGGCCCTTCTGATGCATCCATTACACTTCTATGATTAGAGTGGACATACGGAGTAGGTGAAAAAGAGACGGGACGTAGATTGACCTCTAGGTTCTTTTCGGGGTCTAATGCCCGTGGTACATCGACGGGAGTACTCTGTATAAACGTATAAACGGACTACTCCGTACGGAGTAGTGGAAAAACATATCCGGAGTACGGAGTACTGGGAATAACGTCACGCCCCGTGTCTTTGCCGACTGGAGAACTCCAATAGTACTTTTTTTTGTCTTCGCTTCAGCGTAAGCCACGACCTTTTTTTTCCCGTTTCCCACTATTCCCCCCTGCGGCGTCATGGAGGATCCACGGGCAACTGTCAGTGACAGGTGGCAGGTGGCCCATGCGTTCGTTTTATTGGATTTCGCCCCCTCTCTACGGAGTAGGGAGAGAGGAAAAAGAATTCCAGAGTAATATGGGAGAAGTGAAGTACATGGAAGTCGACCGTGAGGGTGTGAACCATATGGCAGTTCGATTCGTGGACAGCTGCAAGGCACATGGGAAAATCCCCCAAAGCCAATAGTATCAGCACTCAAAATGTGAAATCGCAAATCTCAACTCTCAAATCTGCAATAAGAACTGGAAACCCCGATCTGGGTCTTCAGGGATACGTCGGCGTTGTTCGGGGAGGGTCGAAGCTTCCTGTCATCGCACAGAGGCATGGGTTTCCCCATACTATTGAATCCAAGAATCCCAAAGGAAACATGGAAAAGAAAAAGAAAAGAAAGAAAAGTAAAAAAAAAAAAGAAGAAAAGAAAGAAAGAAAAAATACCCATTAATCTTCACGGACGGCGTCCGAGTCGAGCAAATTTGTCAGTGATAGTCTAGAGGGTGGATCCCCAGTGCAACCGCTCGAGACAAGAACCCCGATCGGCCCAATAAGATCTCGGACTTGGCCGATTGAACATGGATCGGGAGGCCCTCGCTCTTGGGAGTGTTGTGCATGGCTGGCTGAGTGGGAATCTGGGACGTCTAACCGCCTGTCACTTCCAGGGCTCGGAAGCTAGATCTGCCCCTGGCTGTTTTGGGTTGACCCCTTTCTGTTACGCATGGGCCATAGATGGTTCTGACGTCTGACTTATATTGTCCTATATTTAACTGTTAGAGAGTTGGTCTAGAGCATCCATGATGTATCCTGAAGGATAGGCAAGGACTGGAGAGAAGAGGCTCTAGAAGGACCATCCCCCATGGGACTCCAAGAAAAAGAAAGCCAGAGCAAAAGAGGCCAAGTCAACAGTTAGCGCCATGATTTGGAATTCCAGCAACGGGGCTCAGGTCGATCACTCCGATCACTGTTTTACGCGTCTTTCCTCAGCCCGGATTCCCGGTACTGAAGATCCCAACGGAGCATTTTTCCACTCCCCACGATCTATAGATTACAATAGTGCGTATTGAGGGTATTTTACATTTTACATTTTACCTGGTACGTTTTGCATTTTCTATTTTACGTTTTCCATTTTCCATTTTATCGTCTGTTTTTCGATTTTCCCTGATATTAGAACCTGTATTGTTCCGAACTGTCAGCTCCGAGATCTTGGATCGTGATCTTCCATAGCGGGACCTGGTTTATTATTTTATCTCTTATTCTCTGCTCTTATTATCTTCTATTTTTTTAAAATTCTTTTTTAATTAGATTATTTGATTTAAATTCGGTTTTTCTTTTTTTTTTTTTTTTTTTTTTCTTTTGGACCCGTCCCCCTGGTACTTAAGACTGGACTGTACTCTGTAAGTCTATACTACGCTTGCCTTGGGACTCTTATATTATTCCACCTTTCCCTCCTCCATCGCATACTTCTTATACTTCGACCACTCTCCAACTCTACTCTCTCCTCACCTCCTTCTCTACTCTTTCACAATGCCTGCTTCTCACCGTCGTGGTCCTTGGGTCCCCGAGGAAGATCAACTCCTCACCCAACTGGTCCGTGAACAAGGCCCAAACAACTGGGTCCGCATCTCGCAGCACATGCACTACCGTTCGCCCAAGCAATGTCGCGAGCGTTTCCACCAAAATCTCAAGCCCTCATTGAACAGGGAACCCATCTCCGCCGATGAGGGTCTGATGATTGAGCGCATGGTCAACGAAATGGGAAAGCGCTGGGCTGAAATCGCCCGCCGTCTGGGAAACCGCAGCGACAACGCGGTGAAGAACTGGTGGAATGGCAGCATGAACCGCAAAAAGCGCGGCCTGTCTACCCCCACCACTTCCCGCACGTACTCTGGCCGCATCGAGGCTCCCTACACCCGCGCCTCAGCGATGAGCCCAACCCGCTCCCGCTTCTCTGTGTCTTCTTCTCGTCCTTCCTGGTCCGAGTCCATCGAATCCGCTATCTCTGAACAATACTCCCACTCTCGCCGAGAGTCCCTGGCTTCTCCAGCCCGTCAACTCTCCCCCATCTACACTCTTCCCTCCATCAACCGACCGATCGAAACTCCCCTCATCTCGCCTGCTTTCTCAGAGGCCTCCAACGCCACTTCCTGCGAGCCACCCTCCATGGTCTCGGATCACAACTCTGTCTGCTCTTCTTCGCCCCGCACTCTTCCTTCCCCGCAACTCCTGCCGCTGCCAGTCGACCTACGTTCGCAGTATGAGATTCGGAGGCCCAGCGTGCATGTCCTAGAGGACTCGCCTACCTATCCAGCTCGCTCTCTAGAGTCGCTGTCAGAAATCGCCTCAACGCAGCGATGGATGGGCCACCAGCCTACCCTGGCTTCATGGCACCAGCCTATGGACTTGCCTAAGCCTTGGATCCCTAGACCGGAGCCTGCTCGTGACATCCGCATGGGAGTGAACAACTTGCTCAACTAAAAAAAAACCCAAAAAAACCCCCCAAAATCACTTAAACCAAAAAACATCACCCACATACCCCTGCATTTCTCATGATTGTTACGAGTCTCATTCAGTTTACCTTGTTTTTCACCCCCGATCTTGTTCTATACTCTTGATTCCCCTTGGCGCTCGGGTCCATTGATGGCCTTCATGTACATTTTGCCAAAAGCTGCCCCTCTCACTTTTCCTTGTGTCTATGTTATCTTCTAGGGAGATATTTACGATTTCCTTTTGTATACTCTTAATGTGTATTACCATGATTCGGATCTTGAAACTCTGTTCTTTTTTTTTGAGCCTCGGGCTTTTACGATTGAGTTGTTTGATTAGGCATGCAGTCTGGAGAAGATTGGGCTGTGTTTTTTTTTTTGGGATGGCATAATACCCCGTTTTATAGCGATGAATTTTCAATCTAATTATAATCTCTCGACCGAACACGCGAATTCCTTACTCTCGAGTATACATGACAAGCACTACGTACCCCCATGTAAGACCCTCCCCGAACATGCCATCCCCCGCTTCAGCTAGCGTCTCATATTCTCAACAGGGAATGCAGCTCCTTCGACCGTTTATCCCCTTCTGGCCAGGAATGTGCCACAGCACGCCGTACTCACGAGGACAGATGCAAGGGATGTACGCGCGCATGCGGTTCTGGCCAGAAGTCACGACCCACCCGTTTGACAAGGCAAGGCTTCGAGACATCGGCAACGTGGTACAGGGAGTTTGATTCCAGGTGATTCTACGGAGTATACGTAGGTCTTCCGTCAGGGAAAGAAAGGGATAACCGAACCGTCCTGCAAGACTAGTTCCTGCTCTATGCATCCGATCCCATTACCTGGACCCGGACCGGGGAGATCCTGCACCCTGCGGATGGGACATGTACAGTCAAGAAAACCTGCGTGACAAGACAGATTTAGGGGAACGCCGATGACGCCAGAAAAGCCCCCAAAAAAAGAGGCAAAGGAAACTAAAGTCTGTTCGAGAGGTTCGTCCGCAGGATAATCAAACGGTCAGCTCGTCCGTCCCGATTGAGCAAGGCCTTTTTTTCGATCGGTCGTGGCCGAGAGACGTGCCTTTGGGAGGGGGTGGCGAGTTTCACCATATAGTCGAAATAAGCCCAAGTCTAGACCGAAGCGAGCACGGTAAAAAGAGAGAACAAGAAATCAAGTTCAACGTCTGAAAGATCGGACGCCACAGCCCAAATACAGAACATGTTACGGAGTACGGCGGAGAAAGAGACTGGTTCCCGCCTATCCGCTACATGCACGGAGGACAGGTAGGAATTCCTTTTTGAAACTGTACGATGTCTCCGAGTACATTCGCTCGCCCACGGGATGAGCGTTGCAGTCAGCCAATCATCGCGAGATGCATTAGGACGGATGGGTTGACGGGATGAACGGCGGGGCTCTGGGTGGGGGTGACTTGGTTTAGCATGGATCGTGGAGGTGTTCGTGCATGCATGCAAGCCGTCTTTTTTTTCGCTTTCGCTTACCTCTGGTCGGGTCGTGCTTTCCGCTACAGGCGTAACTTTGGGCTTATGGTGGCCGTTGAGATGTGATTTGGTTTTTATCTTTCAGATCATTGAGACGATATGAACTTGGCTAACCGCGGTTATGCCGCGTGAGGTTTTTTTTTCTGTTTCGTTGCACAAGAATCAAGGTTATGGGACATGATCGTGCTCGTCGAATGATTCCTTGCAAGACTATCTAGGGACAGGTCGTTCGCGCACAGCTCCATCATCGGCGGCAAACAAAAAACCGGTACCTCTGGCCACAGTTTGTTCAGCTCGAGACGTTGATCGGGTGTTGGGTACGAAGTAGGCACCTCTCGCTGAGTGAGGTCTATCGAATCAGATGGGGCAGATAGCGCTTGAATGTGATGAAACCTGCGCCAAAAAAAATTAGCGATATTTGGTGCGGAGATACCACCCATAGCGGTGCATCGACATTGACATTGTGAAAGGATCTGCAGATTCCCAGTATTTGGAATCTTTTGGCGTGGTACTTTTGTATGGTATACCTGTACGGTGGATCCCGGAAACGTACTGATGTCACCGTACGGACCCTGTCAATATCATTTCTCCCCCAACGGTGTCTACGGAGTACATTTATGAAACTACAACCAAAACCTCGGAAACGAAACAAAGAAACCCGACTGCCTGGAAAAGAGAAAAAAAGGAAAACTCTAATCCCGTGTTCCAGGGCAGAGGTAACTCCGTCAGAGTTTCGCGTCGACAAACCACTGACCACCACCCGGCACCTGCACACGATGACAGCAGAAAAGGGGAAATGGAAAACGGCGCCAAGCCCAGATCGGATTTTCTTAGATGAAACGAGCCGTTGGAGTCGCTTCGCGGATGTGGAGACCGAAACTGGCGCTACCGTGGGAGGCGAAAGGAAAGGATCAGGGGGCTCTGACAGTAATTAATATGTACGGAGTAGTCAAACGGGATACGATCTCCATTTCCAGTTTTGTATTTCGCCCTTTTAGGCTGTTTTCGTTTTCGTATGGGACAGTGATCGTGCAAATGTAGATCGAAATTCCCGTTGCACCTCGATCCATGGATTCGTCTTTATACCGTTACGTTCCAAGCCCCCGGATCCTGCGATCGACGGGAAACACCACCGTATAGAGAAGCCGGGTGACGCTCAATTTTTGGGCTCCATTTGTGTGCGCAAGAGCGATCGAGATCTGGAAGTGGTACGGAGTACGGAGTACACCGTTACAGAGGGGTATCTATAGCGTATGTACTCTGTATTCCCTGTACTCCGTGCTCCATTCGTTGTACTCCGGGTAATCTCGCCTGTCACTTGACGTTGATTAATTAAAGGAGAATTATATGAGACACTAAAATTAAACTAACACGGAATCCTTCATTTCTGATTATATTGTCTATCGTATACGGAGTAGTTTTATATCAATCTTGAAGATCTATCACAAAAAGAACCTGGGCATTACCCTAGTCAAAACGCCGCAATAACCGTACTCCACAATACAGTCTTTTTGGGGCCCAAGGTTGTTTCCGCGGAGAATGTCGGTGCAACGACACACTAACCCTAACTCATCGATAGCGTGGAAAGGTACCCGCCTGTCGGTAGGAACGATGATGAGCCTTTGACCTTTTTTTTTTTTTTTTTTTGCTTTTTCTTTGTTAATCGTTCCTTCTGCTTGCTTATCCGCGGACATGGTCTCATATCGTGCAAATCCCCGCTCGGGAATTTCACGATGTCAAACCCTCATCTTTCCATATGGGAGACATCGTAGGCATCATGTAGCCCCCCCCCCTGATGGGCTCTGGGAACGGGGCCCTTCATTTACTGTTCTGGGAACGGGACCACCGTGGCGTCATTGGGCGGGTGTTTGGGGGCCTGTCAGGGGTGGCAGGTCACGTGGAGGGAAAGGGTTGAAGCCTCTTCCTTGTTTGTTAAATTAAGCAGATTTGTTCTCGTGATAGTGAGACCTTTAGTCCGAATCGGGGATTTGAGTTTCGATGAGGATGCCCATTTGGCGGCTGCCTTGGTCATTCTGGGATTTTTTATGTCGGGGAAATGGTGCATACGATCCTCCACATCTTGTACAACGGAGCACGCACAGACAACCGGTCAGGGGGTTTCTTTTTTGTCGCAAAGACCTACGGAGTAGTAGCATGGACCTAGTCCTTCCTAATGCGGTTCAGGAGGTTGGTGTAGATTGATTGGGTGTGCTTTGTCTGGACAATCTTGGCAATGGCGACATGGTCGCTCTCGGCTCGAAGGAATATGGGGATTTGATATCCTAGTATGTACCTAGGTACTAACTTGGAAGGAGTCCTGATACCCTGAATAGCTGTAATTTTGCCAGGAGAGAGGGATGGGATAGGCTAGCTTCACTAGAGTCTCCTACTACTTTGAGCTAAGGTGCATGCACGGAGGACGGGCTAACGGGATAAACGAGGTTATATGACCGAAGGACGAGTCATATCAAAATCTCGCTGAGACGCCTGAGCCGCCATTTACTTACTGGCGGCAAAAGACAGGCATGCTCTCAATCGGACATGCAACCTCAATATCCCGCCCGCCCTCGTACACATCGTTCTTGTCCCACAATTTCCACGAGGCCCCGGCTGGTAGATAGACCTTGATCGTGCGCTGGCCGGGCTCCAGCACAGGCACAACTAAATACGTTGCTCCAAACATATACTGAGTCTCTACCTCCCAAGCCCGCTCGTCTGAGGGGAACTCGTAAAACAAAGTCCGCATCACGGGCGTTCCCTTTTCATGAGCCTCCTGCATCAGACCCCGCGTATACCCACGAAGCTGCTCACGGAGATTGATATACCGTTTACAGATCTCATAAACCTCATCTCCATACGACCAGATCTCATTATTTGCCCCGCTAGCCGTCGGTTGCCCCTCCGGCTTCGGCTCGCGGTCACCATGCAATCGCATGACCGGACAGAACGCGCCCCATTGGAACCATCTCGTGAACAGCTCGCGGAACAGGGGATCGTCGGGGTTACCTCCATGGAAACCACCGATGTCCGTCGTCCACCACGGGATGCCAGCGAGACCCATGTTCAGGCCCGCCGCGAGCTGGTTACGGAATGAGCTCCACGACGACGCGATGTCACCGCTCCAAACCAGCGCTCCGTATTTCTGGCTACCGGCCCACGCACACCGCAGGAGGTTGACGATGTTGGTCTGGCCTTCTGCGGCCATGCCTTCGTAGAACCCCCGTGCGTATTCTTTGGGGTAGATGTTTCCGATTTGCAGGTTGCTGCCGGCGTGGTAGCGGTAGATGTCAAAGTCGTAGATGGAGTACTCGGGCTCAGCTTCGTCGAGCCAGAATACCTTGATGCCTTTGTCGTAGTAGTTTTGCTTGGCTTTGCTCCAAATGAACTTTCGGGCGGCCGGGTTGGTTGCGTCGAAGTGCGTGATGTCGCCGTCGCATTGCATTGCTACGCGCATACCGCGGTCATGGCGGATGAGAAGACCTTGTTCGAGCATCTCCGGGAAGTTCTCGGATGCGTTCTCGACAGTTGGCCAGATAGAAACCATTAGTTCGACTTTAAGCTCTTTAAGCTCCTTGATCATAGCCTCTAGAATGGGGAAATCAGGGGTTAGTGAGTCTGGATATCGAAACGATACACAACATAGCATAAAAACTCACCTGGATCTGGCCAGAACTCTGGATCAAAGCTCCATTCGCCTTGATGCTTCCAATGGAAGAAGTCGACGACTATCAAATCCAGAGGAACTTCACGACGCCTGTACTCGCGTGCAACATTGAGTAATTGCTCCTGGTTCCAGTAACGCAGCTTGCACTGCCAGAAACCAAGACCATATTCCGGCATCATCGGGACATAACCTGTCACTTTGGCATAGGCTTCTTCAATTTGGGCGGGTGTATCACCCGCCACAACCCAATAGTCCAATGCCTTGGTCGAGAACGCTTCGAAGCTCATGACGTTTGTTCCTAGAACCGCCCTTCCAATGCCAGGGTTATTCCACAAGAGTCCGTATCCGAGCGACGAAACCGCAAAAGGAACACTAGCTTGGGAGTTCCGGTGCGCCAGCTCAAGGTCAGTACCTTTCAGGTTCAGGTAGGGCTGCTGATACTGGCCCATGCCGAAGATTTTCTCTTTATGATCGAGAGACTCGAACCGCATAGTGAGATGGTAGTCGCCGCCCAGGATTGGACGCAGCTCGCGAGCTTCGACTGTCAGTGCACTGCATTTAGGGTCCATCGGGTCCTGGCGATGGCGGGCATACTCCTCTAGGAGTTTCTTTCCATTCGAGTCATAGATGATAAGCTTGCCTCTGCGGGACACGGTTGCTTTGATATTGCCATTGGTGATGGTCGCTTCTTTATCGGGGGATATCTCGACGTTTGGGCTTGGGCTGGATGGCTTGGAGGAAAGCGCCCAATCTTCCGTGGGTATAGATGCCTGTCTGGTTGCTCGGATGCGAAAGGCGTTCTCGCCCCATGGCTGCACCCAGAGGATATGGTCGTCGAAACGAAATACGAGCTTGTCGTCTTCGGCGTAGAGCATTGTGCTACACGGGATTGCTGTTTGTGACTCGTTAGTCTGCTATTGCTGTTTCGATAGGAACAAGCGGAATTTGAAGGCAGATATATGCTCGATAGATGAGAAGAGCAGACCCAGATTCTAGGTTAAATACCTAGGTATTGAGGGGATGACATTGTACCCCTCACGATGCAGATGCTGTGCCATGGCTATTTACGAGGACAACTCCCGTAGATCCACTGCAGGATGTACCAGGGACGACACTCATTTGCTCAGGAACTTATGAGAGGTCTCATAGCTGTCAGGTGGAGATGCCTGTCTTTAAACGCCTTGAGATAATAGGTAGCACGTGTCGTGAGATTAGCCTAAAGTCTACCTTCCAGATAGGGAAAGGACGCATGTCCGGGACTTCCAAAAGAGGAATCCAAAAGGGGAAATACGGTTATAATTTGGGGGATAGACGGGTTTGATATCGACTTGAAAGACCTTGGTTATCGAACTCCCTGGGTTTTCCTACGCAACCTCCACACATATACTTCCCTCGGGATAGAATCCAAGCCTTTGAATGAAAGATGCAGCCATGCCGACAATTGCCTAGCATATTACCTCGCCTAGGGCAGAACCATCCTAACTATACCGTCGCAAACTAAAGTTGGTCCTTTCACATTTGACCGTACTAGTGGAACTTAGCTAAGTGGCTATGTTTCAGATAGTTTTCACATCGATATATCAAGTAAAAGGTACACAAACGGAAGGTGTATAGGTTGTTATATGCTACTTTTGGCTCGCGGTCTGCTTTTATATCTGCGACTAAGCGATTGAGCCGATCTCAAACAGGAGATAGAAGAAAACAATACCATGATAAAAACGGCGGTAGGGAAACCTTGTAGGTATAGGTACGTATATTGGGTAGATAGCTGCATCTACATTATAGCCATGATCTCCATGATACACATATGGCACATACCCATAATAACCCGAGTTGAGTTCCGAGATCACGTCTGGACAAGACTCCCATTTCCTGCAAAGGTCTCCTTGAAAAACAAAGGCCAAAATGACAGAAAGAGCCATAGCCAAGGTACCACTTCAAGACTTGCCCATGTCGTACTTTGTAGAACATATGAGAGAAGAGTCATGTCGGAAGTCTTTCATCAATTCAGGACAGCCAATGCTAAAATTCCTCCATCTGATGGGCTGACCATAACACACCTGCCAGATATCTTGGACTATGGCTTGAACTCGGCATCACCGTCTTTCGAATGGCCGGATATGAGGATTCAGGTCAAGGATAATACCTGACAAAGAGAGTCCATTGCTGTTGTCCGAACTATAGCGTATGGGTTTGATCGGAGCGTGTTTTGCTCCCATCTTTCTGCATTTGTTTTCCCCGTTGATATTTTCTTGCTGATTGATATGCTCTAGACAGCTCAAAGGGTACATATGTACAGAGTACATAGAGACATGTTTCGGGGATCTCATTGTCCAGCAGACCAGGCTATCATTCGCGCCCTTTCAACTCTGGTTCTTTATATATCGTTCAGACGCTGAACTATTTTCAGCCTCTTCGCAGTTCCCTCGCACTTCCAGCTCATTGGAATAATTGTACGTTGATACCTCCCGGTACATAGAGGGAGAGGAAAGGGTTGTGATATTCTGCCGACTGGTGTTCCCCGGAAAAAGGACGCTATTCCTCATCAGGCGACAGTCAAGCTACCGCGGGCACGGTTTTCATTGTGCATTGCTCCTTCTTCCCTACCTTCTCGTCAGTTCTATTTGAATTGGTAGCAGAGATTTATTTCCAGCCTTTCAATTCACAGCCCTGACCATGGCATTCAACGGGGCCGCCTCGGCTCCCACCGCGGAGATGGACATCGACATGGACCTCGATCTGGGACCTGAGCCTGAGCCCGAGTCAATTCAGATCGTGAGTGGTTTCTCTTGTTAATCCACGTACTCGATCCCCCACTGACATGTGTCGAGTGCTAGGAAACAACCTCGAACATCGAGCCCACCCTCGATCCCCTCACCGATGAAGCGGTCTATGAGAAAGTGCATGTTCGCGGCGTCGATGAAATGACCACAGACGATATCAAACAATTCGCTCGCGAATGCTCTGGACAAGAACCAGTACGCGTCGAATGGATCGACGACACCTCCGCCAACATCATCTACTCCTCCACCGAGGCCGGCCTCCAAGCTCTCACAGCTCTCACCCAAGTCCCCGAGGATGAAGACGCGTCTACCCTGCCACCTTTGCGTCTCCGATCGGCTAAACTCCCCTCCTCCCATCCTGATTCCGTCCTCCAGGTGCGATCGGCTGTCAAATCAGACCGCAAGCAAGCACGCGCCCATGAGAAGAGTCGCTTCTATCTTATGCACCCAGAGCACGATCCCCGAGAACGCCTGCGACAGGAGTTCGCAGACAGGAGACGTAGTGACGATGCAGGAGAGGGGGATTACAGACGGCGCAGGTTCGACGACCGCGAGCACCGACGCCGCCGAGATCGCGACGAGGATGACCACTTCAATGCCGATATGTACGATGACAACGCTGGCTCAGGTTACTCGGAACCTGGGCGTGCCCGTGGAGAGCGCAAAGGTCGTGGCCAGAAGGAACTCTTCCCAGAGGACGAGAGCCGATCAAGTGGACGTCTCCGGAATCGCAGTGCGTCACCGGGTCGAGACACGCTAGAGGAAGAATTGCGGGGTGACCGAGGGGGACGTGATAATGGCAGGCGGTTCCGTGAGAGGTCGCCACGATACGGTCGCCAGAACAAGAGCAAGGAACTCTTCCCAAGTGCAGGCGAGAGCGAGTCAGGAACTCGCGAGCTTTTCCCCAATAAGCCCACATCCAGTTACATCAAGAAGGAGTTGCTGCCTAGCAAGTCCAGTCATCATCGCCGATCAGATGCATTTGACGCCTCTTCCGTTCCAGGTAGCTCCGAACACCGACGCCAGAGCAATGTCGAGCTTTTCCCTGATTCCACCAACAATGGCGCCCGCATTCGTGGAGCGGCTGCCGAGGATCAAGGGTTTGCCATCCGGGGCGGTGCATCGAATGGCATGTCTATCAAGGGCATGGGTGCGTCGGTGCGCGAGCTGTTTCCTTCGAAGTACGACAATAACAACAACGCCAATGCTGGCAAGGAATTGTTCTCCGATACGCTGGAGGGACGCGGTGGTCGCCGGCGCCGAGCCGAGGATATGTTCAGCTGAGTAGACTTGATCGATTCAACGGCCTGATTACTGTGCATTTACTTGACTGTTGGTTTCGTGGGTAGCATGATCCGGCGTTTCGCGAATGGGATGGGAAAACGAATTGTCTGATAAAATTTTCATAATGACATATACTCTGCTCTGCTAAAGGATGAATTACCTGCACACTTTCCTTCACTTAAAATTTTTCTTAAAATATCAGATCTAAGTGCGCGTACAGGGCTCATGGATAATCTACACAGTAACGTGGCGATGATGCCGTGCGCCGCGATAACCTCCCCCCAATCCACAATCTCTCCGTGGCATCAGATGCAAGGATGGCTCCCTCCACAACAGTAGAAGCACTAGCAAGTGCCCTAGTTGCTCGGTTTTTGCGCACCAATGACTATCCAGAGACACTGAAGGCTTTTATTCGCGAGGCCGGCCTTGCTCCCGACGTGGGTCAGACCTCGGGCGATGACACCAACAACTGGACCATCCAAAGCTTGCTCGAAGAGAAACAAACCTATGACCAAAGCGTAAATTTTGAACGATATGGCAAAGATAACCAGCAGTCAGCTCTATGGAGCGAGCCAGGTGAGTCATATTCTTTCGCCCAGGAGAAAAATCTCCCTGGGAGTCGACTTTACATGTCAAACTAGCTCTTGTTCGATTATCTGACAGACTCCTAGCACCATCGAAACCGGATGTAATCCAGACATCAACATCGGCAAACATCCTTGCTGCGTCAGTGATGCAATGGCAGAACCCCAGCGGCGAGGCTGATGAAGCCGCTGCAGACGCTGTATTAGCGCAGTCTTATATCGTCTCAACGGGTGCAGACAGACATATGCATTTGCTCAAAACAGCAGAAGGAAACGAAGCTGTCAGATCGTTCTCGGGTCTCTCTGATTCGCCGATTCTTTCGTTTTTGTCCGTCGTCCAGGGCCGGTACATCCTCATGACCAACATGTCCGGCCAGCTGCTCCTCCAGCATGGATCCCAAACACTGGACAGCAGGAAAGATCATAAAAAGTATGTGGTGAAGGTAGTAGCCTACGAAGACAGGATAGATCCATCCAAGTTGTGGGTTGCCACTGCCGGGTGGGATGAGAGTGTTCTCATATATTGTCTGAATATCCCAGACCAAGCAGACGCCTCAGCTCTCAGAATTGGGGAACCCGTTGCACGCATTGAACTCCTTACAAACCCAGAATCACTCCTTTTTGTTCCGCATATTGACACCAACGAGCTGCTTCTTCTCGTCTCACGCCGAGACTCGACTTCCATCTACTACTATCAAGTAGAGTCAGCTTCGGAAGAAGCCGATGCTTCTCATGCAAATGAGGGAGTCGCTCGCCTACTCGGCTCCCAGAATCTTGCTCCCCATTCCAATGCCTGGGTTACGTTTTCACCGGCGCATATGGCGCTCAGTCCCCACGACCCGGGTCTCCTCGCAGTAGCTACATCGACACTACCCCATTTGAAGGTCATCATCGTGCGCCTTCTGTTCCCAAAAACGAAAATAGCGGGACAGATTAACGCATTTGCTTCTGAAGACCCAGTGACACAAGCGTCTCAAGCAATGGCAGCTCTGGAAATACAGAACCGGGAGGACGCTGCCATCCTCGTACAGGCGAATACTTTCGCACCCCAGACTGCTTACTCCACACCCCAGGTGGCGTGGCGGCCGAATGGGTCTGGGGTCTGGGTCAATGGGGATGATGGTGTGGTCCGCGGGATCGAGACCAAGACAGGGAAGGTCGTTGCTACGCTGAAGGGTGGCCATGACCCGGGCTTCAAGGTGAGGACTATTTGGTCTGGATATGTTGCTGTACCCCAGGAAGAGGGTGACTCTATTCGGGAAGAATGGGTTATTAGTGGTGGATTTGATAAACGATTGATCGTTTGGAAAGTATGATCCATGGAGATCAGTGTACATAACAGAGAAAATAGGATAATATGTGGATACAATAAAAGTGGAAGCAAGTATAAAATGTAAATGATTTGATTGGAAACATTGCTATATATAAAAATGACTTTTACTGCTTACGGGATGTAGGTCTCCTAACCATGAACCCTGTCGCGATCGAGAAGAATCAAGACAGGATATATAGCAATCGAGGACTTGGGGGTTGATCTTGGCACGTTAAGAAAAATCCTTCAGCAATCGCGCATGAGAAGAGCACGCAGCTGTACACACATATGCCGGACGGGGGTTGGGGGAAAAGGGGGAAGAAAAGCCTAAGCTCGAGGGCCGCAACACTGTCGAAGTCAAACCCTCGAGTCTGAGAAGAAGAGGAAAAGGATATAGCAGAAAGAATTCCGCTTGGGGAAAATGGCACCGCTGTGCACATCGAATTAAGCCTGTTGATTTCTCGATATCAAACAACTCGAGACTCCTCGCGCGAGGAATAAGCAAAATCCAGGCCTATTCGACACAGCGGACCGTCCTTGATCGTTGCACACGTTATGTTCACCGGATCTCCCGCGCGCTCGAGTTGCATTTCATGTTTCCCATTTTTTTAGACTGAGTTCATAATCTATGCGACCTCACGCTTACCCTCCTTGCGCTCCTTCTGTTCAATGGGTCAGTATTCCGTGTTATGGGTGGTGGGTATTGGATATTGGGTTCGGGTTGTGGTCAACGTACGAGGGCCTTCATGGTGCCGTGGAGAGCGTGACGGTGGTTGCGGCGGAACTTGGGGTCAACACCGTTGAGGGAAGGGTAACGGTTGGTCTTCGGCTTCTTGATACTGTTCACGGATATCTATCAGCGATTCGGTTCTTGTTGGAGTTGTATGATGGGTGGTTTGCGAATGCAGTAAACCGAAGGAGTTATCCGAGCGAATATTTAAGATGTGATCTCAAATCATCACGCTGGAGAAACCCATTCGCCCACTCGCATTTGCTTCCCCCACATCCATATAATCGACTGGAAAAATTGCCGGGGAAATGTAACGGAAAGGTGATCGAGGGTATTCAAAGGTAAACGTACCCGTTACGGTGAGCCTTCTGGCTGCGGTGGTGCTGGGACGCGTTCTTGGACTCTGTTGGTGAAAATCATGTCAGCGACATGGCGTTCTGGTTTTTTTTTCTCTCGCCAGTTTGCAGACTAGCGAGGGTCATAGATTCGTGGTAAAAACGTACTGGCCATCTTGTCGGATGTTGTCGCTGATTGACGGTGGGATGGATGGGGAGGAGTGTGAGCTGAGACGTCAGGCAAGAGGCCCGGCTAGGGCTCGTTCCGTTTGTGGGATCTCGCTTATCGGGCGGTGTACATACTAGACCGTCACTAAATGGCTATTTACTTGCATGATTGTCAGAGACAACGTCATAATATTTCGATGCAGCAAAGTCTCTGGTAGTCTTTATGATAATGATTGAAGATCCTATGTTCAAGTCTTTTTGGCTTGTGTTTAGGGGTCCCTCCATTTGCAATTTTTTCCTTGACCCCATTCTGCCGGTCACATACACGTGACCTTGGTTTCAATCAATATCACGTGAGGCATATAGTTGCTCAGATGATGGACTGCAAGCAAAGAGCTTTCTTCAAGACTTGGAATTGAATATCGTATGAAAGCAGCAATTCCAGCACAAATATAAACTGGTTGTACTTGGTTGCCGGCAGGAATCTTCATATCAAATCTTGTCGGTTCCAACATGGCTCACCTTGAAGTTGAATTTTGCAACGAAGTTTGATATCAAAATGTCCCATTCGTAAAATAAAAGATTAATTACTTGGGCGATTCTTTTTCTCTTTATTTCCTCATAGAAATATGCATAAAATGGCCAGAGTAAACACTGCAAATATTGGCCATAGTCCGGCCGTTGGATTCCCGTGCCACGTGACGAGCCGCTAGGGAACAACCGGCATTCCGACTTCGACCTTTGCAACGCAACTTCAAGAGGGATAATCTAGCCTTTGCACGTCGTCCACCACTGCAAAATGAGCTCTTTCCGCTTCGCTCGCTCCGCCCTCCGGGCTCGCCCTTCTTTCCTCGGTGCTCCTGTCCAGCGCCGCGGTTACGCTGACGCCGTCGCCGAGAACATCAAGCTGTCCCTGACTCTTCCTCACCAGGTGCGTGAACCAACTCCGGCTAGCATCCCAACATTATAGCCGAAGTACTGACTTGATAATTGTTTGATAGACCATCTACCGCTCGACTGGCGTGTATGTTATGCCTCCACTTGCACCCGTGTCGACGGTGCCTGTGCCCTTTTCTTAAATACTGACCGACCTTCGCGATTACAGTACCCAGGTCAACATTCCCGCCGCCTCCGGTGAGATGGGTGTCCTTGCCAACCACGTTCCCTCCATCGAGCAGCTCAAGCCCGGTCTCGTCGAGATCCTTGAGGAGGGCGGCGCCACCAAGCAGTTCTTCCGTACGTCCGATTCTTGCGCTTTGAGACATGCCGCAAATCTAGTCTCGTGTCAATTGGAATCAATTCACTAACAAGAGCCTTGCTGAATAGTGTCCGGTGGCTTTGCCGTTGTCCAGCCCGACTCCCAGCTCAGCATCAACGCTGTCGAGGGTTTCCCCCTTGAGGATTTCAGCGCTGAGGTAGGTCATACTTTTTCGCGACGTCACAACTCCAGCTGACTGATATTTTCTTTTTAGGCCATTCGTGCCCAGATCGCTGAGGCCCAGAAGATTGCCAGCGGTAGCGGCAGCGAGCAGGATATCGCCGAGGCCAAGATTGAGCTTGAGGTATGGATCCGTGCTGATAATTGGACTAGCCGAATACTGACTTTTTCTTGAACAGGTTCTCGAGACCCTGCAGGCTCACGTCAAATAGACTTGATGTACATAACCATTTCGCCCCAACCATGAACCTGTAGAATTATAGCAATTCTCCCTTTCCATCTAATTATACTTGTTTCTTCTATTGTTTTTTTTTTCTTCTATCTGCATTTTATATGTATGGGAGAGACGTGAGCGCACCTTCCAAGCTTGAGAGTTGAGCACATGACTTGCCGTTTCATTATCGATCATCGACTCTCATCTCCAGCTAACCCGTGCAGACATGCTATCCACCAAATCACTCAAGTCAGACCCTCTTGGAATCGTGGATACTCGACTAATGATGGCGGAATCACCTGAGGATAGATTATTCTCGCCTTTCTTTTCGCCATTCACCGCGTTTGATGGAACTGTCGACAAGCAGCCAGGCCGCCAGATCGAAGCAGATGCAAGCTCAAAGCGAGCGCACCGAATTCTCGAACTTCGCGAGTCTTTCCGTGGTTTTGATTCTAACCGAAAATGTCCTCGGCTTGAGTTGGATGTCGCTGTGGATAAATACCACACCCTTGATGGCCTTGCTGAACCGTTAAATCCCCAAAACACCCCTGCGTCAAACAGCGAGCGAGAAAGCACCGAGGGTTCCACGATGTCCCTTGGTTGCTACAAAATCGAGAATATGCGGACGAGTCCTTCATCCCAGCCCGAGGAGTTTAATTTTGATTGCTTTCAGGATTCGCCAGATGCAAGCTTTGTTTGCCAAGATGATGGGACCGAATCGCTGAAACCTCCAACGCTGCGGCGCCTGTCGCTTGGTGATCGGCATTGGATCAAGTCTCCAGTAACTTCTTCAGCGAATCATCAGCGGGCCTCGAATGGCAATACCTTCAAAAAATCCGATAATCCAAGTTCGGTAGTACGATCTGTTCGTTTCTCTCCCCCTGCTATCATCCCATCTCCACCCCCTCGTGCGATGCGGCGTCCCGTGCCTTCGGTCGAACGAAGACAGGATTACATCGCCTTATATAGACAGAAAAAGCAACACCAGAAATGGAAGGTCGTTCGTCGTGCAAATCCTCGAAGAGGTCCCCGTGCAACGGCTCCAAGATGGCGCAACATTTGGCAGCGCATATCCCAAAGGATCACAATGTGTGTGTTTCTTCCCTTTCCAGCTTGCCATATCGTGCATCACATCAGAATTCGTTCGCCCCTCGTGTTCGTTCCGGCGGTGATGCTCTGGAAATGAGAGGGGGCCATGCGATGGGCGCTACTGTTACAGATGACTCAACTACTGCGGAACATCCCAAGTATAAAATCCCTGATTTCCTTGCTGTTTCATTTTCGCTCTACAGAATTCAAAGTGCGCCTGGTTCATCACCTGAGAAGGTACCGAAGTACGCTTTCAAATTTCGGATCACTCAAACCTACCTCCCTCGACATCCCTCTCCACATTTCCCCACTACTCTCGAACACATCGCCTGCCGTCCAGTCATTGACAACTTGATGTTCCACGCCTGTTTCATCATTCCTGCGTTGGTTGTCATGATACCGGCCACGGTCATATTCATTACAACAGCACTGTTGACCGAGACCCGTGTCGGCGCTGTAATGGTCCAGCTTGGCAGGGCTTTGCTGTGTCTAATGACGAATGTGCTCATTCTTATACTGGCCAAGTGTGGTGTTTCTTGCAGCTGTCAGTGGAATCCGGACACCTGTCATTCTGTTGAGTAACTACACCTCTGGTGCTGGAACTGAGAAACCGAGTGAAGCCGACCATGGTCAAGACGAAATGCGGATGAGCAATTAAAATTCGTACTTTTTACGATCACAGTTTGTACGCAGTATATATATTCTTCGGGCATTTTTGGTGGTTCGCGAGTGATTGTGGGTTTGCTCCATACATTACATTTTTGCAGTCGAGAGCGACTTACGAGGATGAACTACCTAGCTACCCTACAGATATCATATAGCAAGCGGTGTATCATGGTTTTATATCGTTGCATAGGGAATTCCAATCCACCATTAGCTCATATAAAAGTCCGTGGAGCCATGGGGCGAGATAATGGTGCTATTCTTATAGACTAATGTGAAGTTATAGCTTCCTGAAATCTACGCTTCTTATTTCCCGTCTTACAGGTTTTGCGGAAGATAGAAAGGTATAGGTAGTATCATTGCGCTCTATCCATGGACTTGTTAGGTTTACCTACTCCCTATAAAGGCAAAGCAATTATACATTCATACCTAGCCATGTGCTTGTGCCCTAATATAGTTGTCGATCCTCACTCATGTAGCTCTCCTAGTTTCTCTGGAGCATCAACCCTAGTACCGGAGCCCTCTTCCTCGCTGTATATCAGCTCAAGGTTGCCATCTCCACGATAGCGATACTAGATGTGAGTATATATTGCGAGTTATCCGGAGCTATTAGGAGTCATTAAGCTCACGGGCAACGGGAGAGGCGATATTGATATCCTTGTGGAGAAATATACGATGATCGCAAACACCCAAGTTCTCCATAGTACGAGGTCTATCAATTTGTGAATTGCACAAGGATATTCACGATATCTCAAATAGTTGTATGCTGTTGGATCAGTGTGTTTGGTAAGACTGATAGTATTTGAATATTCGGCGTCATCCAAAAAGAGGGTCTTAGCTGCTTTGAAATTGTCACATCCTTTGACTTCCGTGGTCTGGAGTTGCCTTGACAAATCGAGGACGAAAGATCTCATATGCACTTGGGAAGCCCCCTTTGTTTTAGTTGCCGCCAGTAGCACTGTAAGTATTGGGGGTTATCATTTGCCCTTGTCTCAGTGATCGCTAGGTGAATATCATCGAGCAAGGCCAGTTGAGACACAGCCGAAGGAAACCGATAGAGCTGGACACTCAGCATATGCAGCTTCAATTCATAGACTCTAGCAGGTTGGATAACCCTAATTGATCTTGGGATGATAGAGTACAAAAAGGAACCAATGCCCTAGGATAACCAAAAAGATACCAATAAAGTAAAATGAATGATGCGAGATATTCAATAGGCCAAAAAGAGGGACATGGCTTTTTCTTTGACTCAATTCATACTCTATGTCCGATGGCTACTAAACGTTTGATCATCACTACATATGATGTACTCCGTACATGTGTATTATCTAACGTCTCGGCGCTTCATCCCACCTAGACGGCTTGGGAACTCCGGTGCAGGCATATTTACTTGACTTTCCAATAAAAATCTGACATTCAGAACCTTCAAGGCCGTGATCTCAACGGTCTTCGAAACGAAAACAACGCCTATAAAAACCATGTCGGTGGCAACTGTGACAGCGTCCTTGTACCCAAACACTATAGCTCTATCAATCGGCTTGATCCATCTTATTTCCAACCATGGCTCCACGGTTTCCTGAAAGACAAATATCAGCCCAATGCCATCTTATTGGAATAATTAGCAGATTCCGAGCCCCTCAACTGCCTCAATTACTCGAAAGGGCACCTTTCTCAGGCAATGGAAGCCCTGGCCGACGTTCACGGTGCCTTGGTCATTTATATTCACATTCTCCCCAAGAAAATACGTATCGTACCTGGTCGTCCGGAGAAGACTATTCTGATGGATTTTGACATCGCAGAAACCTTCTCGACGAAATAATCCCAGGATCAGGCCTGCAAGTTCGAAGTTGAGATCCTTAGAAATTTGGGGATACAGCTGGTGTGTCTTATCATTTGAACATTGGATGATCACCTCTAATGTAGCAACTAGAAGGAGGATCAAGAGAAAGCACTTTCTCCCAATACTCCGCATTACTAGACACGGCTTTTCTAGCGATGTTATCATTCCTATTTTGGTCATGCCACTACCACGGATAATCAGACAAAGGCTGCATGCCAGTATCAAAGAAGATAACCGGGGCAGTTGTGAGAAACTACGGATGATACCTTCTTGTTTCTTCGCTCCAACCATCATCCGGCCTCACCTTTTCTGAGTTCTTCTTGTTTGCTCGGACTAGGGACAGGATTATTTCTCTATATTAGAGTATATCTGCTTCTTATACACGCATGTATCTTCTATCTGCTCTACATCCATCATTCTCGAGAACCCACCCATTTATTGTAAAAAAAGAACGTCACCATCATGTTTCGTAACGACAACCTAGCCTTAGTAAAAAGATGGATGTTCTAATCCACGCAAAAAAGAAAGAACCGACGGCTGCATGATTCGAACATGCGCCTCCGAAGAGAATTGATTTCTAGTCAATCGCCTTAGACCACTCGGCCAAACCGCCTTATTGATTGCTTCGCCACTAAGTGGAATATGGGCGAAGGGCCAAAATGGGCCAAAATAGCGATTAATAAGCGATACGTTCAGCCCTAATTTTCCACCACGCACTCCACTCAGGTGCAGAGGTGTCTTGGCAAAGTATTGCTGACTGTTTTAGAAGCCCTTTTTGAGGCATAATAGTGATTTGGATCAATAATTTGGAGAAATGAATATGTGTGATAGTCAAATATTAAAAGACATAAGGATAAAAGCGTTGTTTCAGGGATCCAAACATGCTCTGCCCCATAATACACATAATGGCAAAACAATCAATAAGGCGGTTTGGCCGAGTGGTCTAAGGCGATTGACTAGAAATCAATTCTCTTCGGAGGCGCATGTTCGAATCATGCAGCCGTCGGTTCTTTCTTTTTTGCGTGGATTAGAACATTTATCTTTTTGCTAAAGCTAGATATAGACCAGTGGATATTCTACGCATGCCAACATTGACAGTGGCGTCGAAAGCTGGGCTGTGTGAGAACTGCGAGCACCTTCAATTTTGTTTTCTTCAACTTTTTAGGGGTTTGCTATCAAATTCACATACATCTCCAGTCTGTTTATTAGGTGGCAGCAGCTGAAATAAATAAAAATGATTGCAAAATATATATTGTGTAGACTTGGTAAATTTCAATATCTTCAAGAAGAAATGCGCAAAACAATAACAATAGAAGTCTATGTCAGAGATACAAATTTTCAGATGGCCTGAACCTCATTTCGTTCAAGCTTGGTCCATCGCAAGAGTAAATCCTCGAAGCTCTCTGGTAGCGCGGGTGAGGTATTCACTACCGGGGAAGAATCCGAACGAGAGCCTTCTCCTGCTTCGTCCCTGCGTTGGATTCTAAGATAATGGATTCCGTGATCCGAACCGTCAGAGCCTTCATACTCTGATGTATACTTTTCACGAACAGGACTAAATGACACTGCTTTCCCACCCAACACTTGTCCGAAATTGTGATCCGATGGCACGAAAGACCCCCCTTTAGCAGTGTTGGGGATTTGGGATCCCACAGGAACCTTCTCATGGTCTCTATCTCCCACGTACCCGACATGCGAGGGCTTCTTTGACCTAACTCCACCGGAACCTGCCTGTTCAGTCCGGTTTTCGGGAGACTCTAGAAAGTTCCCATCGTTGGAAAGCTTGTCAGACTCCCATGGTGCTTGTGGGGACTTTTGAGATGCTGTTTCACCATTTTCCAACTCAAATCCCAAGCCCGGCGATTTGGCAGAGTATGCGGCCTCTGAATAGAACAATAGGTCAGTATCCGGGACAAACAATTGATTGCGTAGAATATGTTCTAAACCACCGAAGAAATCATATTTCGATGAAACTTACCAGGTGTCTTGTTTGAGGGCAATGTGGGACAGTATGAAGGCGCTGCAGGAGAATAGGAAGGCACTGTAGGGGAGTAGGACGGCGATGCAGGAGAGTAGGAAGGCGCTGTAGGAGAATAGGACGGCGACGCAGGAGAGTAAGAGGGCGATGTAGGAGAATAGGACGGCGATACAGGAGAGTAGGACGGCGATATAGGAGAAAAGGCAACAGGAGAATAGAGCAGAGGTGACTGATCAGGCTCTGAGATAATATCGTTTCGGGTGGTAGACTGCTTGGAAGGGGCTGGCACCGATGGCGACGATGCGTCTTGACATGAGTCAAAGTTGAGATCTTCTGTGCGCTTATAGCTAGTCTTGCGATGGACCTTTCTCTCATCCTGCCTCAAGGCATCTTCATCCAGCGGTTTTCCGAACAAATCATGGTGTGACACCGTTGGAGATGTTGCGAGTTTCTCAGGGAACGATACTCCCAGACCAGCAGTCCGAGGAAGGGTGTTCACAAAGAGCTTCAAGGGAGCCTCGGAGTTTGACGTCCTCGAACAAATTGCTTTCAAAATTTCATCACCTATGGGCTCGTCATGATCGGGCTGACCTGGCTCAGTGAGAAAAAAGCGGGCTCTAGTCCAGTCTGAGATTCCGAGATTTTGACATATCGTGATACGTAAAGTCTCGCCTGAAGTAATTTCAGATATATCGACTAGACGAACATCAGAGCTGTCTGCAGTGACCGAAACCCAATTCCTCGGCTTTGGTTCCTTGTTTACCTTCACCGACTCAACAGAAGATGGTATCAGATGCTGTACCTGATGCTGTTGTCGGCCTGGCATAGGTGGCAGCGGTGCTGGGATTGTTATTGAAGGCAGGGTCTGCCTCATGCGCTGATCCAAGCTGTGTGAGACTCTATTATGAGCGAGATCAGGGAAAGTCATAGGCGAGGCTGCGCGAGCCTCGGTAGTCCCGCAAGTATCGTTCTCATCACTAACAGAATCCAAAAGTTATTTCAAATCATAAATATGCCGGTCCATTCAAATATGACTCACACTAGCAGTGATTTATCAAAACTCTGGAGAACGGAATGGCCATGTGCGAGTTGAAACCGAATGATCTCGCTGTGATGTACACCCAAGACACCTTTTCTGATCCTTGAAAAGCGGCCTTTCTCCAGTTTTGATTTACAGGAATCAATTTCGTGAAACATTTTATGGATCAGCATATTATACTCATTGAGCTCAGCTAGCTCGCTCTGCTGGAAAGGATTTGATGCCTGGGGATTTTTCGTGTTGTTTATGCTAGGAATATGCTGCGCCTGTTCATACTTTGGCGGAGCAATATTTCCGCCATTTTTTTCGAGTTTCTTCTCTTGCAAAAGTGTCTCGATCAAAGCACGCTGGTCCTGAAGACTCAATGTCTTGTGGCTATGGTTTGTTTTAGAATTGGGCGATCAAGTATCTATGTAGAAACGTAGACTTGCCTGCGAACATTCCCAGCAAACATGATAACATTGAGTAGAAGCAGCATTGTTGCCTTCAGTCGTTCCAGGTTAGATTTCAGGGGATTCAAGCTCGGTTCCAGCAGAACCAATCGAACTTTTCCGGTGACCTGTTGCAAGCGGCTTTTACCAGATTGATCAGTCGCACTGACAACTCTTTCAATTTGCCTCAAGACATCGCGGCACTGGTCTAGTACACGCTCCAGTGTTTGGAAGGCCTCATCTGAACAGAGCTTCGATGACTCTTCTTCCTTCAAGCTGTCGCCTAGCTCACGCAGAATAGCACTAACAAGTGCAACCTCATTTGACAAGAGCTGTATAGTTTCGCTGGCATTTTGCACTTGCCGGTAGAAGGTGAATAGCTTGACGGATAATTTGGTCCCCAAGTCTGCGACCTGAATGATGCTGGCCGCAACACCAATGATCTCCAGGCCAGACATGTCGGCCTTGGAATACCTTGAGCTGCACACAAAACAATAATTGAAATCGAGACAGACTTAGTCGTTGAGTCTCGTTGCGGGGCGCATAGTTAGCGTTATGTTAGCGTTTCGTCAAATTCCCACGTGAGGACATCTTCAATCGCTAGACCTACTGACGAAAAGCGCCCAGACCACTACTACAGCTAACCAATAGAGGCTTTTTGTTAAAAAAGCTGGTATCTCCTCTAGTGAGCTTCCGAGTGACACGGCAGTCAGGGGTATTCATACAGCGCTTTCAGTATACATGGCGGCTTCTATGACCCAGGGTGTCAAATATATATTTATCAAATAAAAAACGAGGTACCGAAGTAAATTCTCTCAAGTGAAGTATAACAAAGAGTGATAGTCTAATGCAAGAATTCAAGAAAGAGACTGTGTACGAGTTTGTGGCCATCAAGAGCGTCGCCTACCATTACAATCACTACAAATGGTTGAGGCAAAAGCCTTTCCATTGCTCAAGATAAATCAAGATCCAAAACTAGTAAATTGCATTTCTGCTCAAATGAAACCATTCAAACGGCAGCTCCAATGTATTTCAAAGGATAATAGGGTAGATTATTAATACCAATATCAGGCTTATTGGCTCGAAGATGAAGACAAAACGACCAGAGGGCAACCAAAAACCCGATAAAATATCCATAAATTCGCTGACATCATGAAATAAGGAATAAGAAAGAAAAAACAAACTAGCCACGGTGATCATTTCGCCTTAAAAGCTCGATCAAGAAGAGAAAAAGAAAAGAAAACATAAACATATCAAGAAGACATAGTACCGTGACAGGGGATCATTCGTATCAACACGGTGCTTGGGCACATAAATCGTTTTGTACATGTCATAAGCTGAGTCTGTTGTAGACGCAGAAAAAAAAAGGAAACAACCGAAAAATCTAAGACGATACTGAGGCAGCAATCAGGTAAATTCTACGCCATGCTGCTGCTGCTTTTCTTGCTTAGTCCTGGCACGTTCCGCACGTCTGCGGCGACGGTTATTTGCGTATGAGCCACTCATCTCAGTGCCCGTATATGTAGGCGAAGTGACACTGCCGGGCCCATAGGGCATGCTGGAAGGGGCAGGGATGGGAGGAGGTGGCGGCATTTGGCTCACTTGAGATGGTGGGGCGCCGTATAAAGCGGGAGGCATGCTACCCGAGGGTGCTATAGATATTTGAGGAGGTAGCTGTGAAGCGGCGGCGGCGGCTTGTTCGCGTCGCATTTGCTCGTCTTGTTGACGTTCGAGTTCTTCCACACGACGCCAGCGATCATACCCAGCGTCTTCGTTTCCGGACAAGGAGCCTGCACTGCTGTTGCGACGGCGAGAGTTTCTTCGCTCCTTGCGACGAGCTTCACGGCTCGCGGCCGCTTCTTCTTCAGTCAATCGACGGAGTGTCACATGCCGTCCGTCGTTATGCATTTTAACTTTCACAGATACTGGTGGTGAGACATAATTATCCTCTCGGTGCCGACTGCTGCTTCGGTTGCGGCGGGAGGCTGCACTAAGGGCTGTGCCGGCAGCCGCACCTGATGCAAATTCTGCTCCATCAGGGGCAAGAGAGTGTCGTGAGCGAAGGGGTTCAGGCCTCAAATCACCAGAGTAATCCCGGTGGCTTGGGAGCATGGGGGGCATATCTGAGACTGCGCTTTGGACAGCACCAGATGCGAGAGGCTCCGCCGTGAGAAGAGATTCTCCATGTGAGGCGTGCCGACGTGGAGGACGAGTTAGGTCGGTTTCAGTGAGATCGGTTTCGCTGTACGAGCTGGCTCTTCTTCGCGGGTAGAAGCTTTCTCCTCCCTGTGGTCGTCTTTTGCTGTTTGCTCTCTGCAGGGCCTCATCTTCATCTTCTCGACGCCTGATATCCTCCACCCGCTGTTTCTCTTGATCATCCTTTTTACGACTGAACATCCTCTTTAGGCCGGCAAAAGCACCAGCGCCTAGCACGGCGTCTCGAACCCCGTGAGAAGCATTTCGCTTAGGAGGCTCGGTGAAATATGTGCTGTTATAGTAGTAAGATGAACCTGGGCTTTGTGACCTGCTTGGTGGACGGCTCGGTGGTCGATTGAGCGGCGTGTGGTGAGTCGGCTCCGGTCGACCGTCTTCCATCCGACTGAGGGATTCATCAGTATGACTGGCACTGCGCGAATAGGCAGGTCGATAGCGACCTGACTCAGTATCATCTTCTCGCTTCTTCCGACGGTCCCAGAATTTCTTGGCCATAAGACCAGCCCCAGCCAAGGCACCAATCTCGAGGAGCTTCTTGCCGAAACCACCCTTACCATGACGCGAAGCTTCATCAGAGTATTTCTCATCGGAGATGGATGTACGAGACTCCTCATATGCCTGGCTTGGATGGCGACTGTTAGGACGCCGTCGGAACATGGAAGCTAAGCCAGAACCCATCGCGCCGGCGGCGAGAGTTTCTCCTGCGTGATTGCCATGGTGCTCTGAAATCTCCGAAGGCCCTGTGTAGCGACTGCGACCACCACCAAGCTCACTTCCCATGTGGTAGCCTTCGGTATCATACCGGTAGGACAGTATAAAGTAAAGAACCAGATAGCCGAAGACCGTTAGAGCAAATAAAATGAACAGGACCTTGGGCGAACCCCAAAGCGTAAGCCCTAATGGAATTTGGGCAATACCAAGGAGCACGAGAGCACGGCCCAACCACCGGTGAAGCTATGACATATTAGAACAACACATACATCCTCCCCTCTTGAGAAGTCACTTACCACCAGTTTCAAAGGGACATGGACTCGCTGTCTTTTACTCTCTTTCTTGTGCAGGAACCAGCCCCACAGCACCTGAAAGACGACTAAAACGTAGATTGCCAGGCCAATTCCATGATGGGGGTTGGTCAGGCTTCTTTCCGGCCCAACAGCGAACCACCCAAGTACAAACACGACCGTGCTTAAGAGCAGCGTCATGATCTGAAACCACACGTGTATTTTAAATGCCCAGTATGGATTCCACCGAGAGTAGTATCGGATTATTAATGTTGATGATGGCACAAGGCCCAAGAATACGATGGCTGCAACCACTCCATGCGCAATGATCATGGGACGGTACCCAGGCATATCCTTGAAACGATTACCCATGCCTGCAACGTGTCAGTCAAGATAAGAGATCTGGGAAAGGGATGCAGGTTCATAGAAAATAAAAATAAGAATTTGACGCGTCAGACTAACCATTGTATCGCATCGTCTCAAAGTTGACACCCATCAAATTGGGCAACAGAAAGGTATTTCGACCGGAGTCCCAGGTGCCATCTCCAACCTGGAGGGTGTTGGAGGCGTACGTGCTGCTCCCCGCAGCGGCAAGTCCCGAGTCTGACATTTTGCGGATAATTCTCGACGAACCACGCGATCTTCAGTCTGGAATGTCGTATTTACTGAAGGAGATCTTGCGAGATCTCCCGATCTGAGGAATGCACCATGCGACAGTAGGATCGGGAACTCAGCTGGAATGCTCGATGGTAGATGGCCGACTTGATTGTATATTGACCGGTCTAGATGGGTTGGGGGGTATCGTTCCACAAGATCTATGTAGGGCTCGAGAGGTCTTCGTCAACTGGAAGCTCAAAGATAGAGCGCAAGGAGAGGGAGAAAAGAATGTCGTACAGTGTCGGAATGCGAAATCAGGATCAAATTGCAAAAGGGTCTGACAACGTAACTTGATATGAAAGCAAAAACGCACGTCGTACAGGGCCTCGGGAAAGAGAGGAATCACAACAAGAGGCTGACCGATTTCCCCAGTCATCTGTTTTCCGCCAACGCATTACCGGGCCAACCAGTAGCTGACTCAGCACTGGTGTGGGGACCGCCTTCCTAATGTAGCTAGACCCTCGGCACTTTATCTTATCAGCTTTATCCTCAGCTGATCTTATCAAAAGATTGCGTGCTGGGCAGGGCCCGAACCGTCACATGTAACTTCGCTTCTTCCCCTCCCCCACGCTATGGAATGGGTATAAACACCTCCAGTTCAACATGACACCTCAGCTAGAGAGATTTATTAAAGCTTTATCCCGGTTTGTGACCCGTTATCCCCCCGAACCCGACTGCAACCCGGTATACGAGCGTCACTAACGATCCTATCCTAGCCTTTTAGGATGGGCATAGTAAGTTAACGGATCAATCCTGAGGTCAGATATCATGTATATCTACATTGGATTGCTGACTGGAACGCAGTATGATCTGTTGGTCGGGATCATTCTACCCACAGCCCATCGGAAATTGGAACCGCAAATCCACGGTCGGCCTATCTATTGATTTATCCACTATCAACCCTCTGGGCTTTGCCTCCTACACGATATACACTGCAGCCTTCCTCTACTCCCCAGTCATTCGATCACAATATGCGGCCCGTTATCCTGCTTCCATCGAATCGACCGTCCGGTTCAATGACTTCGCATTTGCGGCCCACGCAGTGATCTTGTCCGTTCTGATGTACACGCAGTTCTGGCCATCCATTTGGGGATTGAATGTTTCCCGTTTCCAAAGGGTCAGCTGGACAATGGCAGGTCTCTTTTGGGGTTCTATCTTGGCTCCTTTGGTGGTTGTGGCGATTGTGTTAGTGCGAAGTCCGGATGGAGGATACGATCCATCGTCTTGGGCGTGGATTGATGTGGTAGGTGAAAATAAGCCATTTCTATTCCATGAGCCTTTTTGTTTTGGATTCATGGGCAAACGCGTAAACAGAACTTAACCTGTCTCCAGATCTACATGTTTTCGTACATCAAACTCCTGATTACTGTCGTGAAGTATATGCCCCAGGTGGCGTTGAACTACAAGCGGCAATCTACGGAGGGGTGGAAAATTGGCACCATCCTTCTGGACTTGGCTGGCGGAATACTTTCCATGGTCCAACTCGTACTTGACTCCAGCCTTCAAGGTGACTGGAGCGGTATCACTGGCAACCCCGTCAAACTACTTTTGGGTAACATTACAATCTTCTTCGATGCAGTCTTCTGCATCCAACACTACGTTTTATACCGTGATACCCCTGATTTGAAGAGAACACCTGGACCAGGCGAGCACACACCCCTTTTGGTCGAGCAAGATGACGCTGTGAGAGTGTAAGTATGGCACGAGGCACACACAGCTACACATGGGATAGATCTAGCACGTTTGGGGCGGATTTCAAGACATCGGGCATATCTCTATTTTTGCCCTTCATAGAAGCAGTGTGATGTCCGGGGGCTGATCTTGAATCTTTGAGACAGTGTGGGGACGTCTGACCAGGGATCTCGGGGATCTATCGGTTTTGGGAATCTTGTATATAAGCCACAATTTGGATATATGATAGAACCAGCTCAATTGGGAATTCGGTACTTCGACTTCCAGGCACGGTCATAGCACGTTATTCTTGGGCCGAGGATATCCGGTCTCACTCGAGATCCCTTACAAATGTTTCGCAAAGGACAGACTCAGGCCCTGTTCTCAGCAATTTCTATTGTCGCCCACGTTGTTGTCGCACAGTTTCAATGCAATCGTTACAGAATTAGAGGAGGGACTGCATATACGCCGGGATTTAATAGACTGAAGCCACAATGAGGCTCATGCCGATCCAAAGCGACACCGCTCCCAGTTCAAACGGCCCCCATATTTAACTCCCCCACAAGCTGATATGAATGGTCAGATCTAAGGGTCAGCTCATATTTACGCTCACTTGCCAATCAGAACCAGGATATGATTTGTTCAGACTGGGCGGAACGGCGCTGCCGTCGGTGTCGGGCTAGTGGCTTCCGGTAATGCCAGAGCTGAAGTCGAGATATCCACATTCTCCCACACGGGCTCATTTTCCCGCACCGTATACGGAGTACCTAAGTCGAGTAGCGATCAACGGCATATCTGAACATGTCAGTATGCAGCAGGTCGGCAATGTTTATGATATCGATCCCAGCTCCCTACCAGTAAGGGACCCCGCCACGCAGAAGATGCTACCTTTTGCTTTAACGTTACGCCCAAGCTGACTCAACCTTTGAAAAAGAAAACCTGGAATTGGCCATGACCCCGGGCTCAAACTCTCGGGCATTATTATTTCTGCAATCGGCGATTATGTGTATAACTTCGGGCACTTGGATCATGGCCATCAAAATGCGGCTCTCTATGAACCTGTTCCACGTGTGAGGTGGAAAATGTACCAAGAAAGCCAAAAGGATCTCACAGAATCCCACAGAAGCGGATCCTGGTCATCCCTGAAGCACTGGGCGACGTGTGGCTTGCTACTGGCCAATGATACGAGTGCGTAATGCAAACCCTAGGAATATCATAGTTAATTCATGAAACCCTCTATAATCTGCCGGTAGGTCTAGCCAAACGTCGTCATCTTTCAGCCCTACCTCCCAAAAAGCCTAGGGGCCCCATAATTATACGTGGAACTCCAATAGCTGCAAGTCATGACCTGACCTGAGCTGGGGGGGATCGTGCCACGAAGAAAGCCCGAAATTTTCCTTCATGAATCACTTTGAGTCAAAAGAGAAGAAAAAAAAGTAAACATCCGAGGCAACGGTATCAGCTGTCCTTGTGTGAACTTTCAGTAATACGGGGCAAAGTGTGATCGAGTTTATAGCCAGCACAGGAGTATCAACGTTTCAATTTCTGCGGTACGCCTGGAAGGTCATGATTACAGCACTGCCTCTCAACTCCTCGAAGCCATAAATAACCTAGCACTTCACAACTGCTTGTGTGCTAGCGCAAAAGAATCTTGAAATCCGCAAAAGGCGAGCTCAGCTTCAAAACCGCCAAAACTTTATAACAGTTTGGCTTCTCGGCCTTTTGGAGCAATTCTTCATATGCACGTCTGTCCGTCGAAGCACACATCAAATGATATGAAAGCATTGTTTTCTCCACATCTCACCCTCAACTGCCCTAACTGGGACATTGAGATATCTGTTCTCAAAGAATTGTCCGATAAAGGCATCTTGTCCCCCAATATAACCAACATGTACCCGAGTTCTCGCAAGTCTAAGATGTACACTGTGCCGCACAGTGGTGACTATTCCGAGCCCTTAGAGGCCCAGCGTATGGGAGGCCTGACCGAACTCCCCACCAACACTCCATCCAACTCCCACATGTCCGCTTTTCAGGAGATGAATTTCATGGACCAACCAGACCCTCGAGCGTTTCTGATCCCGGGCAATTATTCAATCGGCAGGAGGGGATCTACAGGAGCCGATACAGTGGGCTCTCAATATGCATGGTCCTCTGCGTCCAACGCGGACATCCTCTCAAGATCCCCTAATATGTCCTCCTATGACAACCCCATCGGCCATGGAGCAATGTCGCCCTTCATGCAGGGTTACTATCCATCTGACTCTTCAGATATCCTCAACGACCCAAATTTCCAGGGCTATACTCCGCAACAGATCGATAAATGGTGCATTGACAGCAATGCCGCGGGAGACCTCTACCAGTCCCAGCCATACCCAAACATGGGCTCTATGCAATTTTCATCACCAGAGATGCAAACAGAGTCCTATTCGACATTTAACAACGGCCTCAATGCCAACGAACATTGGCTCCCATGCCCACCCCACTCCTCAGTCGACCTAATCCAAGAATCCTTCTTCTCACCCTTACAATCACTCTCAGCCCCTCGGTCAGTTCCAGCACAAACATCCCACCCATACCAGTCTACACCAGCTACCATCTCAGTAGCATCCTCTCCTCCACACTCTACCTCCGACCCAGACTCCCCACCACCCGCAGCAGGAGGCTCCAGCTCCGGCTCCGGCTCCAACGCAAGCGACCTACGCAACTACGGCATCCCCACAGGCGATGGTAACTGGCGCTGTGCCTACCCAGGCTGTTCATCGCATGCCTCGTTCCGTCGGGGCTGTGATCTGAGGAAACACTTCAACCGTCACAGGAAGTACCTCTTCTGTCGCTACGAGGGATGTCCTCAGTCCGCGCAGAATGCCCTGTCTTCACAAAATGGGTTCAGTAGTAAAAAGGACCGTGCCCGCCACGAAGCGAAGCATAACCCCGGTGTGCTTTGTGAGTGGGATGGCTGTGGAAAGGTATTCAGTCGCGTCGACAATATGAAGGATCATGTGAGGCGGATCCATCGAAAGGGTCAGACTGGGAGGGCTTGACTTTTGGGACTGCGATGAGATGGTACCATCGTTGGAATCCAGCGGGCTTGGGGTATCTTTGTGATTCTGGATCACTTGGATGGGAGTTGGTTTTCATCCAATTGTATGACCACCGGTAGGCATTACGGAAAAAAAAGGTATGGCGAATCTAGAATATGGGTGGTTCTTTCTGTGTATTATTTGTTCCCTTGGCGATGATTGATATTTTGGTTCTATAAAAGTATAAAAAACATACAAAATGAATGACTCTATTAGGAAAATGCTATACCTATGCATGATGATGCAGAGATCTAACTATAGCATTAAACTCGAGCATTGCCGAATATGCGGTCTACTACTGTCGGAAGCAGGTAAAAAAGCCTGTCTATTTTTAACGCTCGCCAAAGCCTTGGGCCAGAACACCATCTAATTGGATAATATCAACGATTGTAAACAGGTCCAGATCTACCAGTGAACTTCTCAGGTCCCGACGCGTTTACACGGAAATATATCAGATGAAACGCTTGTGCTCCCTGGATTGGTGTTCTAATCAGAGGCTGAGAGTGTGACTTTCTACTAACAGTATGATACAGCATCTAGCCAATCATGTTCAGATGGCTTAGTCGTTAAAATTGAGGCTATGTTAAGGGGCTGAGAACCGGTATACAATCTAAGATATAGATGGAACGTAGATGAGTGTAGCGATTGGCCCATTGCATTTTCATTACAGGGTATCCAGGGAACAAAATTCCGAGTATTGGTAACACAGTATCCTCGGTCCTCGGATATTGAATCTGCTGGGTCGACGGTACTTTGACCACCTGCCTTCTACGATGGGGCTTTACCAGATCAATATATTTGATCTCTGTCAATTAAACCCATTTCAATGAAACGCAAACTTTCATTTAACATCTATCACACATTTTAAACTCGCAAATACCAGGTGTACAAACAGGTAGCGACGCCAGCTATACAACCCCTAGGAAGCTGCCACCGAAGAAGACTGACAGGATGCAGCAAAGGCTATCAGCCGCGTGATAATCGGTGGCAAATGCTGTGTATCACAATGGCGCCCCGGATGTACACGAACTCCATGATGAACGGTCAGTCAGCATACTAGATATTGCACCAACCAGGGCTCTGAAATGCCAAAACATTGATATGCCAAGGATATAGTGAGGCTAGCTGTGACACAATCTATAAAACCACGCTGATGAATCCGAACGTTAGTAGGAATCGATGCTTAAGTCCCGATATTTGAAACGTCAGGGCAACCCACAGTTTCAGTTTTCCCACGTGTTGGGCCGAGAAGCTTAATTCCGTAACTTTATTTGCAACGTCCACTCGTCCGGAAACAGAAGCAGTGTATTAGTCTTGCCCGTCATCCATCCAAGATACGTATAAAGTGCCCGTGAAACAGATATGAAACCAACAGGTCCCCGGAACCACAGCACTGCTACATCTTCCAGATATCCCGTCAGTTGAAGGCAAAATTCTGGTCACCGTTCGCTTGAAATCCTTGCATAACATGGCGGCCATTGACAGGCCCATTGAAATAAGTGTTTCCCGGAGTCCAGGATTGCAACCAAGCAGGAGTCCCCGCGACAGGCGGCGGTGAGTTGACATCATCTACAGGAGGTTTCTCTGGAACAGTCGCATCGCCAGCGGGTTTTTGAAGCCAACGTACAATAACTGATCGAGCAAGCTTATAGCCCTCATCTTCGCAACCCTTGAACTTTGTCATGTTGGAATGGTCAGCGTTGATACTGCAGTTCTCATAGCCGCGCAGAACCGCCGATTGCTCTTCGACAATTTTCCCCACCACGTCGTTCATCTTCTTCGCTTCGTAGAAACAGAAGATATTGAGGGTGAGGTCGCCGCGGCGAAGCATAGTCTGAAACTCGTTTCCAACACGTTGTAGATCGTTCGAGCCGGGGTTAAGAGTCCCCACGATTTCCCTGTTGGCGGAGTGAACCATGTTTACATATTTCGCGAGTTTCTCTCCGTAATATGCGAGCGATGATCCATAATGGGGTGTGCCCATGAATATTATCCCAATGGCGCTGGAGGATATTGCCCATAGACCGTCTATGGAGTTGCTGAGTATAAAGGCTTGCTGACATACCAAGCCACCTAGACTGTGTGCGATGAAGAGGATGGGTCGGGTCGAGCATTCGGATCGATGGCTGACAAGTGCATAGGCTAGAGATTGACCGTGGTCATATAGTCGGTCTGAGGAGGTGATCGATGTGAACTTGAAGACGTCGACGTCGTAGCCGAATGTCATGATGCGGGCGTTGGGGAAGTCCTTGGCCAGAAGGTCTTGGGGCCAGAAGGTCCCATTCTCATGAGTCCATGTTCTTTCGCGGTTGCCGGTCAGACCATGGACGAACACAATGCTAGTTGGATATCGTTCAGTTTGGGGATCTTCTTTTTGCCTTAAATGTTTCGACTTTGGAGCGACTGATGAACTCACTCTAGATCAGCATTTGAGGGATCAGATACCACCTTCATCCCAATTAGACCTTCAGCCAAAGGTCTCGGAGTTGTCAGTTAGGTAAGCTATACATTTACCTAAAAGAAGACTTACAAACTTTGTTCTGGGACATTAGATTTCCTTTTGATCTTGAATAGCTTCATGAGGACGGATCATATAACTTCACACACAAATACCAGACCGTCCTGGAAGATAATAAGATGAAAATATCGCAACAGTGAGAAAAGAAAAGGACAGACTAGTGGGATAATTGGAGTAGATTGAAACACTCCTGCATGCTAAGCGCCCGCTGGTCGAACACGTACCCTTGACCAGGGCCGAGAAACCCCGCTCCATAGAGTGTACGTAGGCTCTTCGTACAGCCCGCATTCTTAGAAACACTTGTTATCCGCCAAATTAGAATTCTCGCTGGTAACACACAAACACCCCGAATCAGATGGCGATGAACACGCAATTCCACGGGGCGATATCCGGCCGGAACGTCGTGGCAGCTCCGACGGCGCAAACCCAGAACTTTTATTTCAACGATGACCAAAGTAATACGAGCCTGTGATTTGTTTTTGGATAGATTAAGGCTAAGCAATTGCTCATTCTTTTCTTTAGAACCCACCGAACCATCTAGCCCTGTATCTACGGTCCCGTTTTTGCGGGACCCGGATTTCGTGGATCGAGGGACAATCCTTGAACAGATCAATCAGAAGTTATCCAGACCAGAAGCCAGGGTCGCCCTGGTCGGCGTTGGGGGAGTTGGGTAAGTGGCACAAAGGACGCTGGGAATATCACTCCCGATATGTTCTTGCTAACTCAAAACCCCACAGCAAGTCTCAGCTAGCCATTGAATATTCGTACCGAGTGAGAGAAAAAGCCCCCGCAACATGGATTCTCTGGATCCACGCAAGCAATGCCTCTCGTCTGGAACAGAGCTGTCAGGAAATCGCAAAGCAAGTCAAGATTCCCGGTCATACAGACCCCGAAGCCAACATGTTCCAACTCGTCTGCGCGTGGCTTCGAGATAGCCGAGACAAATGGCTCCTCATCCTCGATAATGTCGACGATTATCGTGTTCTCGAGCAGTCTTCACCACCACTGTGGACATATCTTCCAAAGAGTCGGACGGGCTCGATCTTGATCACGACTCGCGCCAAGCAGGTCGCAACAAGACTCGTTGAAGACAGTGATACAATTACCATCGATGCAATGGATGAAATTGCTGCCTTGAATTTGCTCCAGAAGAAACTTGGGACTGGGACTCGGGCTGAGGAGCTGATTGCGCTTGCCCAAATGTTGGATTTTATGCCGCTTGCTATTACACAGGCTGCAGCATATATCAAGAGAAAAGCACCGCGTGTTTCAGTTGCTAAATATATGAAAGTATTTCAAGAAAGCCCCAAGAGGAGTACAGATCTCCTTACACGCGAGAACCAAGGAGAAAGTCTTCGACGAGACTGGGAGGCAAAGAACTCGCTCCTGATCACATGGCAAATATCATTCGATCATATAAGACAGGAGAGACCGTTGGCAGCAGATCTTCTATCGATGATGAGTCTTTTTGATCGTCAAGGAATCCCTGCACGTATTCTCAAAGGCCAGTATGATCGAACAAGTGCGATTGACCATGATGGAGATGAGGAAGATTACCATGTCATTGGCTATCCTAACGACGAAGAAAACGGCTCTGTCTTATCATTTGACGATGAGTTCGAAGAGGATATCCAGACACTGAGGGATTTCTCTTTTGTCTCTGTAAATGCAGACAGAAACACGTTTGCAATGCATGCACTGGTGCAACTTGCCACGCGATACTGGCTTGAGACTCATGGAAAACTAGACCACTGGAAGCTGGTATTTACCGAAAGTCTACTGGGCCAATTTCCACATTCCGGCCCCAAAACTAGGGATCAATGCCAATCGCTGTTTCCACATGCACAGTCGGCAAGTTCATTGGGGCTAGCGAGACTTACAGCCCCGCAATCTGTACAGGGCATAAAAGCCATAACACAATGGACTTCATTGCTATGTCGGGCCGCAGTGCACGCCGATACGGGGGGCAGATGGGCGGAGGCTGTGTTATTGGCGACAAATTCGATGAAAGCAAGGCACAAATTCTTTGGGCCAGAAGATCCAAGGACACTTGAATGCTTGGATATTATTGGAAATGTGCAAGCTAAATGCGGTCTATGGAAAGAGGCTGAGGCTACCAGGGTTCGAGTACGAGAAGCGAGAGTCAGGGAGCAAGGATTGGAAGATCCGCACACGGTGAAAAGCATGATGTTTCTTGCATCGTCATACTGGGATCAAGGCCGATGGCAAGAGGCCGAAGAATTGAACTTGCAAGTGTTGGAAATTGGCCAGAGGGTTCTAGAAGCGGATGATGTGATTATTCTCACGAGCATGCATAATCTGGCAGCGAATTACTTCCATCAGGGTAGGTGGGGGGAAGCCGAGAATATGCAGATCCAAGTGATGGAAAGCCAGAAGAGGACTGTTGACCCTCTTGATCTTAGCATCTTAACAAGCATGAATACTCTTGGAACAATCTACTACATGCAACAGCGGTGGCAGCAAGCCGAATCCGTTTTGTCGCAAGTAGTAGAAGCTCGACAGAAGATCCTAGGCCCAGACAATCCCGATACGCTAGCCAGCATGGGCAATCTTTCCGGTGTATACCTGAAACAAGGCAAGCTGAAGGAAGCCGAGGCCATCGAGCAGCCACTACTGGAAACGCGGAAAAGTCTGCTAGGCATGACCCATCCAGACACGCTATTAGGAATGCACAATCTGGCCGCTATACGAAAAAGCATGGGTCAACACCAAGAGGCCGAGGCGACGATGGAAGAATGCGTGAAATTGAGAGAGCAGACGATCGGCGCCCATCATCCAGATACGATTCGGAGCTCCACGAGACTGATGGAATGGAGAGCCCAGAAGCTGAGTTTGAATAAAGAACCGATACAAGCAAATTGATATGTAACGACGCTGTTGGGGTTGAATGTCAAAAAAGGCGCATCAAGCGCGAGAATGAATTTCCTGTCCGAGTGTAATTTTGGATATGTTCCACGTATAAAAATGGGTGACTGGAGGTTATATATCGGCGAAGAAAGAAACAAAACGATTGACGTAGATATACAGTGGATATTGAGTCCAAAAGAATGGACGTTTCATGACACCCTGGCTGGGCAATGGCCAGATATAAAATATTGGAAATAAGGGCGATATAGTGAAGATTGTAGTGAAGATTGTAGTGAAGATTGAAAAAAACACACACTCCGGTTGAACGAATGGCCCATGTAACATCATGAATTTCTAACAATGGACAGGTGGTATCATTGCAGAAGCACCAAAACAAAAATACCAAAAGGTAAAAAAAAAACACAGCAGAAAGGTATCACAACTGAGAGATTCGTCACGCGTAAAATTGCGAAGTTGCCCTGAAGAGGGATTTTGAAGATAGCATGTTGCACTGAGGCGCTAATCTGGAACATCCGGGGCACACAGGGTCGAATGTGCGGCGGAAAGGGTACAGGCCAGCCGCAACGGGGCAGATGGGAAGAACATGGCTAAAAAAAAGAGATGGCAATGCAAGATGTGAAGCGAAAGAATTAGAATAGAAAGCATTAAAACAACAGGCTACGCTTCATGTATTGTTCATCCTGCGTTTTCTCCCGCGGGCACTGCCAAGCGGTCTTTGGGCGAGAACATGTCGGAGAATAGGATCGTCTTTGTTCTTGTCAACGTGATGTACACGAACATGTCTATAGATGAGTTCAGCTGAGGTCAGATTGAGTGAGGCTCGGACCGTAGTACGAACCGTTGAAGATTGTCGGGTCGCGGGTATTTGTGTTGCTGGTCTGGACAGAAGGGACAGACGTAGCCGGGAGAGTTGTGAACGAGGCCATGGCGCATCATTTCGTTCTTGCGCTTGAAGCCCTTTCCACCGACTGCGCGTGAACAGCCCTCGACAGGGCAAAAGTGCGGGCGCTCTTGTGAGTGCACATTGGCATGAGAGCTGCTAGTTTGTTAGGCAAGAGATTTCACTGATAAATGATCCTTCTAGTCTTACTTGAGGAGATACTGAGTTTGGAATGGTGCAGCGGTGCATCCAGGATGGGCACATTTATAACTTCCCACAGGGCCGCCATTGGCCTGGGGAGTGGACGCAGCGAGCGAATGACGATCGCTCATACCCGCGCCCACATGTTCCGTGGGCGTGGGATAACTGGTTGCAGGGCTTTTGGCAGTCATAGGGGAAGCCTCGTACGGGGTCTGAGCGGACAGCATCTCACAATGGGGTGTTCCGGGCCAGAAGGATGAGTGTGAGGCCGGAGATGGGTTAGTAGAGGCGTCCTTCATACTCACCGGCGAAAAGTGAGAAAAAGGACTGGCGGGGATGGGAAACTTTCCCGGAAAAGGACGGTCGAATGGAGAATCGTTCCCAGATGTTGTTGATCCGGGACAGGAAGTGAAAGGGTAGGGAGATGGCATTGTGTTGACTGGTGATGGACCGAAGTCCGTCAACGCGCTGAGAGCCTTTTGAATCGACGGCAGCTTTTGATGACTGCCATCTGGAGAATTTTTGAGGCATGATCCAGGAGATCGTTGGATTGGGTTGAGAGATGACGAGGAAATTCGAGGGTTGACACCAAGTCCCGGGGAAGTTTGAAGAGGAGGCAATTCTGGTGAGAACCGGCGGTTCGAATCGCTGATTGATGGAGGCCGTTCCCTTGGAGCAAGCTCACTTTTGACATCCACAGCTGGTTCAACAGGCTTGGATGGGGCCGAGGTTGTTATCAAAGGCGGTTTCTTCTCAATCTTTGGTTCTGAGGCTGGTCCGGAAGGAGGCTCTATTATTATTAACCTTTCCTTGGGCCGAGGATCGTCCCTAGTTGGATTTGGCTTTTTGTTACTTCTGGGATCAAAGTCGGGCGGTCTATAATTCTTGAAATTCCCAGGTTCGAGTGGACCATTCCTTGCCGTTACAGCCATCTCAGGGTGTTGCGGAGCTAGATACCCCATCAGCACTCGGTCGCCCTCATGAGTTGCAATCCGAGGCTCCCGGTGGTTGGGCTTACGGGTTGCACCCGCTGTTTCGGCATCTTTCTGGCAAGTTGGAACAAACGGCGGTAGTGATTTGCTCTCTCCATAGTCGGGTTTTATCGCCTCCAAGGGCGGTGACCGATTAAACACATCATCCTCGTCATACATAGCGGACATCATTAATAAAATAGCAGGTGCATCTGGCACCTTGCCTTATACTTGATGAGGGTCTGACAGTCTGTGACAATCACACATCAGAACCGGTGGCCTATAAGATGGTTAGAGAGCGAGTTGGATAATGGGATTTCCGATCTGAGGTTGCAAGAGAGAGAAAAACAAAAGCATATGAATCTAAATGTACAGAAGAGAAGACGCAGTCGAGTCCGACACAATGCAATTGCCTGTCAAGGGTTGAGATGGGGAGATGAGGGGTTGCCAGGATGACCAGGAGGGGGGACCAACAACAAAACATCAGAAAACAAGCCAAGAAAAATAGAAACCCCCCCCCAAAAAAAGAAAAAGCCGTCGAAGGCCAGTTCGAGGTCTGCAGAAAGGGTGCACTTACCCAAGCGGAAAGGTGCCCAGGTGGACGGGTAGCAAAATGGGTCCCGGGATGAGGCTCAACAGGTCCGATTGTCAGGACTGCGCCATCTGCAGATGATTGATACCAAATGATATCACCCGGAAGCGTGCAGGGAAGAAAGAAAGACTAGGGGGAGAGACTTTGAAAGGGAGGCGGTTGAGAGATATACACGTCGATGCCAGTATATTACCAGTATCAGATGCAAAGGGAAAAGAAGAGGAAAAGGAGATCGAAGATTGGGGGGGGAAAGACAGCTATGCGGCTCTCCAGCGGTTTTCGGGCTCCACACAATAGATTACCGGGTTAGTTTACCGTATGGGTCGGTTTTCCTCTATACCTCTGTTCTCTCTCTCTCTCTCTCTTCTTTCTCTCTTCTTTCTCTCTCCCCTTCAGATGATATTCTCACCAACTCGGAGGATTTGAACCTGGTCGCACATAAGCCAAGGAAAAAAAAAAAAAAAAAGAGAGAAAAGTTCCCCACCGCTACTCTTTACTATTCAGGCTCCACCATTAAACTCGGAGACAACAACCGGGGGTGCACAACTCTCTGTGAGTCGTGTGTTGCCCCAGTCGCTCTTATACCCGGGTATAGGGGAATCTGCAGAGGGCCCACAAGGTCTGTTCATTCTCACTTTTCCTCGTTTTGTCCCGCCTTTTCTCTTTTTTTTTTCCCAACTGCGCTGGCACGCTAAGGTCGAGCCTCGAGCCGTCAGTCCGAAAAGGATCTTCAGGCTTTCCCGGTTTGGTTGTCAACGCGCTGTCTGCGGCAAGAAGATCGGCCGGCCCACGTTGTTTCAGAGCCTCGTTACTGGACTTGTCCTCCGTACTCGGTACTGAGGGTAATCTGACCCTGAAAAAAAGAATTCCAAACACTATATCATCCTACGCTATGCTACCTGCAGATATGTGCTGTCCAACCTCACCCGAAACCACCCTAAGTTGCTTCTCGAATTCATCCCAGCCGCATCCCCTCACACTAGTGAATAGTGGATAATTTAATTTAATTTGCCCAGAATAGGCTGCTATTGAAAACCCTCCTCCCTACCGGTTCGGGGTAAATCCCAGAGGAAAAAAAAAAGAAAAGAGACACCCAAGTGGGTTTCTTCACTCAGCCTCACTTACACGTAGAGCCGCAGGGCCAGCGAAAAAAGCCTCACCTTTTCCCCTCTTCTACCACCAATCATAACTCTCGTCACGACGGTCAACGGACATTCCACCATGCGGTATTCCATAATCCTGCGCACTGTTCCTTCTGATGACGCGGGATTCCGACCATGATGCCCATTTCGCGCTAGTGCATGTTGCAGTTGCCGCTTATCTAGGGAGTAGGGAGTAGGGAGTACTCCGTACCTCGCGTTGGGTGGTTTCATATGTCGCTGGACGGAGGACGGAGTATGTACTATCGCGGTACGGAGGACTCCGTACTCTCGGTATAGCTGTACATTCCAATCGGGTGAAATGGCGTACATAGACGTGATATGCTCGCAGGATATTCGTTTCTCGATTCCTTGACCGCATCAGGGCAAGTGCTTACTCCACACGTCAGGCGCCCAAAGTACCTGGGAAGTTCTAGAGAGCCTATCTGTACTTCTGACCTGTGGGGGTTGTTTCACAGGGAACACTTGGACATCCTGGATACGGTGTACATGCAGCTATCTCCATGGGACACATACTCGGTACACGAAGGTCTAGAAGCTCAATTCTCTCCCTATATACGAAGGATTTCGACGCGATGCATTGCGGCTAACGCACGGCTTAACCACACAAAAACAGGTCTGATGCTCTACAACTTCCCAGCACTCTTAACAGCCCGAACCCTCCCCCAAGCCTCCTCAGCAAACGGCTTCGCCCTCTTCGCATACTCCCCAGCCCGCTCACTGCTAGCTTGTCTCGCAGCGAACCGGGCCGCAATGCCCTGCATGATCACGGATCCCCGGAATGCAAAGAACGCATCGCCCCACGCCACGTCCGAGCTCGTCTCGTACCCGCACGTCTCGGCGTACCAGCCAATGCACTCCTCACGTCTCGGTAGCCCTGGAACAACCCCCGGCACGAACTGTGACAACTGGCTGTCTCCACCATCCATGATATACGGGCTAGTCAGATTACAGAAGTCCGAGAGTGGATGTCCTATCGTGGCCATTTCCCAATCCAGAATTCCAATCACACGCGGCTCCGTCTTGTGGAAGATCATGTTATCAATCTTGTAGTCGCCGTGGACGAGCGTGCCCCGGTCAAGCGGCTGGGTGCTCTTTTGCGAGAAGAACGCAACCATATCGTTGAAGTGGGGGAGTTCGCCGACGGGTTCTTTGGTGTCGACATCCAGAACGGCGGATTGCGCCTTCGAGATTGTGGTGAACGTTGCGATTTGGCGGTCGAAGAAACCCGTTGGTCTGCCGAAGTTCTCGAGACCGACGCTTTTGGGGTTTACCCTGTGGAACTTGGCGAGCGTTTGTACTGCATTCTTCCAGCTGGAGGTTCTGGTCAGTATGCAGGGGCCTTGAAAGGGGGTCTCAATCCTGGAGCCTCAATTGATAACCTACAGTGCTCTCCGCTCCTCCCCACTCACACCGGGCATTGATGGGTCGGTAAAATGTCGCCCGTCCAGGAACTCCATGATGTAAAATGGCGTGCCGATCACGCTATTATCCTCACATAGACAATAAGCCCTTGGGACGGGTACATCTGTATCTCCTAGTGCACGGATGATCTTGTACTCGCGCTCGACCTTATGAGCTGTCTTCGAGAGTAGCTTGCCAGGGGGCTTCTTGCGCAGAACGACCTGCTTGCCATCGGAGGCAGTAATCAAGTAGGTAGGGTTTGATTGACCAAAGCCGAACTACGGTCCGTTAGTCGATATGGTTGCTACAAATGGTTGACCAGACTCGCCTGCTTGACATCGAGTGGAGTCTTGACCTCGGGCACATGCTGGTCAATGTACCTCTCCAACGAGGGAATATCTATAGGCTGGCGCACTGCTCCCGCCATTATGAGCGAAGTTTGGAAGGAAGAAAGATATGTATTTTGCACAATGGCCACGGGTTCAATATGTACAAGGGGGCGCAATTCACAAATGCTCACAGGTTACCGGGGAACCTCGGTCCCTAGACATTGCCCTCGGTGTCGCTCGAGTGGGGCGAAGCAAACAGAGCAAACTCCGGCGCGTCCCAGCGGTGAAACGCGAGCGTGGAGCTCACCGCAATTTTTTTGTCAAGCTAGGGGGCTTGATCACCTTAGCCAATTAATTGTGGATACTGTACTTGACTCGATTTCTCGATTCCTCAATCCTCCATTTCACTCATCATGACCAAAGAGAAAACTCCTTCCCAAGAGAAATCCCTCCCGCACAATCCGCCTTCCCTGCCATCCTCGCCGCTGCCGAAACGCGCAAAGCCCGACACAATGACCGCCCCCGCCGTGACCTCGATCCAGCAGCAGCTGCCCCCGCTGCTGGTTAAGAAGCTCGTCGAGTCTGCCCAGGCTCCTACCCGCGGTTCTGCTTTCGCCGCTGGTTACGATATCTACGCTGCGAAGGAGACTGTTATCCCCGCTAAGGGCAAGGGTGCTGTTGATTCGGGAATTGCTATTGCTGTGCCCGAGGGAACTTGTATGTGACTATACATTTTGATTGAGATCGCGAACCGTGGCGATATTCTCTACTTGGGAGGGCCAAGCTCGATCGGGGATGAATGAGAATACTAACGATGAAACTAGACGGCCGCATTGCTCCCCGCAGTGGTCTTGCTGCTAAGCACTTCATTGACACCGGTGCTGGCGTCATTGATGCTGACTACCGCGGTGAGGTCAAGGTTCTTCTGTTCAATCACTCTGATGTCGACTTCCCAGTCAAGGTGGGAGATCGTGTTGCCCAGCTGGTTCTGGAGCGGGTGAGTGCTAACTATCAAGTCTGTTATATGTTGTGTCGATATGTCTAACTGTTTCTAGATCTACACCCCCGAAGTGAGCGTCGTCGAGGAGCTCGAGGAGAGCGTCCGCGGTGCCGGTGGATTCGGCAGCACTGGTAAATAAGCTTGCATCGTGGCAACACAGTTGGGAGGATATGGAGAATAAAATTTAGATAGGCCCTGAAAAGATCAGGGACCTAGTTACGATTACATGCATTCGAGACTATGAATGAATGAAAAAAAGAATTCATGCAAAAAATTATTCCATGCTCGACTCAATGAAATCTATGTACAGACCGAACCGGTTTTTGATTTAGAGATGTCCACCATCCCGACTTCATCTAATGCATTGCCCAATCCTTCTATCATGCAACCATCCCACGTCAGATCGAGACCCCCAGGAACTATCGCAAGTCCTTGGGAAGATCCTCCTTCTTCCAATCCTGCGCTTCAAACTGGATCTTGGGATCCCGCAAAAAGTGCGTATTCCTCACAAGCCTGACCTCGGCAGCTTTAGTCATGCGCAGATAATCCCGCTTCTCCAATTCCTCTGCCGTCGCTTCTCCATCTCGCGCGGGTACAGCAACTGCCAGCTCTGCATCACGAATCTCCAATGTCCGTTCCAGAACACTATGCATACTGGAAAGGACCTTGACAGTTGCTTTTGCTAGTGGCAGGTCCGTTGCCGCAACGTTATCGGGTGATACCCACGACTTGGTCGTGCGGAGGCCATCTACCGCTGACACGGCTTCGCTTAGTCGTGCAACGGTCAGCGCTGCGAACATGTCGCCCGTCCCGCTGAAGAAGCAGTCCAGAGCTGGCACATCGACGCGGAAGAGTCGCGGTGACCCATCTGAGCGCGTCGTAGAACCAATTACTGTGAGGAAGTTCTCTGGCGGTGGTGGGGTTGATCCTGATTGGGAGAGCTTGAAGAGTTGCACCGAGGTGATGATCACATGCGGCACCGAGTAGATCCTATGGATAGCCGTGATGGCCGAGGCGAGAGTGGCCGGCGAAGTGATTTTGATGCCAGAGAGAGTCCTATATTGTATATTAACACTGACCTGTGTGGGGGGTCATGCTCGGAGAATATCTTACTCAGCTTCGAACTGGTTAGGCAGAATCAAATCCGCAAATGGGATGATTTTCTTATATGCTGGGACTACGTCGTCGTTGACATATAGACGGCCTTGATCGCCCATGACTGGGTCCAGGACTGATACATAGATCAGTGGGCTGTATACTTGGGGGCTTGGATGTCGAGATCTACTCACCCCAGAAAAATGATCCGGGTTTCTGTTCTGCTTTCTGTTGCAGGTCAATGCCGATAGTGCCTACTGATTCCACGGCAGCCGCACTCGGGGCATAGCCCGAGAGCATGACATCGAAGTCTGTGAGGTTACTCTGGCAAAGACCCTGGTAGAGGTCTGAGATTTCCTGTGCGGTGGCACGAGTTCCTTTAAATTGACGGTAGCCCGTGTGATTACCTGTGGTTCCCTGTGAGTCAAGGGTGATAAACCAAGGTTAGGTTGCAACGTACTGAAATGGACGGTGTTTAAGGCGGCGACCTCGCAGCCCAGCGATTGCATGACGAATGTTGCCATTGTGTTTCCGACATGGCTGGAGAGAGGGATGTTAGCGATTTGATCACCCCCGATGGCTCTGTAGATATCTGATAACTGGGGTTATCAGAGGGGGCCACATACCCATAAACTACCTGGTGGAGTTGTCAGTCCGGGAGTCCGATGGAGGGGTAGTTTTTCACTTACATGACTGGCTATCGCCAGAACTCGGGTGTCGGGTACCAATGAATCCATCTTGATCAGTCTGAAACAAAAGAGAATGTATCCCAGTCCATATGTATGTTATATGCTATGACTCTGTGTGGGGGAGGGGGAAATGATTTGCCGAACCTCCTCTTACCTAATTGGCCCCAACACCGACGTCGGGTTTGTTATCAGAGACACCGTGGAGGTGCGAATTATTTTCTCATTTCTAAATGCTACAACGGTATAGTAGAATTGTAGAGTCAATTGAAGATATGTTCTGCATCGTCAATCGTCTTCTAACCTTGCTATAGCTCAAGACCCATGTCCCAATCTGAAACCACAGGATCTGCGTCCAACAGCCTCATCTTCTGCGACAAGATCTCCTTGCTTCACGATGACCAGACCTCACGGTGAATAGACTCCTTCGGTCTTGTTCGGTTCTATGTGTTTCATGAAGTCTCAGAGTGATCCAGTCTCGGAATGCGGGACCGGTTGCGTGGGAACCGGTGGCCGGAAAAGTAGGTAAAATGAAGCCCAAAGGAACACAGGGAGATTGACGGTACATATGTCGAAGCCACACACTGGTCTCGACCTCAATTCGGAAAGACTTCGTACAGAAACTTCGTACAAAAGCGACTGCACGTACCAGGCCCCTGAACCGGAGCTGAGAGATGAGTTCCACCGAACGGTCTAGTCCCGGGTCTAACGGAGCAGAGCCTGCTATTTATGGTGTTAGTGGTTCAATGGTAGTCCAATGGTATGCCCTTAGCACTCGAATGGTGCTCCATTGACAGAAGTACTCCAGTGGTTCCTCGCGCACTGGCACAAGTTATCGGCCTTGGCTTCCTCGTCGGAGTATTATGCTGATGGCTAGACATTTTTAGCTTTCCACTATTCTTCACCTCGTGCTCCATTTTGGTTCTGATTCTGATTCTGATTCTGATTTTGATCTCTATTCCAATCTCGACTTCCATTCCAACTTCAATTTCGAGGATTCTTTTCCTCAGTCGCTCCTTCAATGAAGTGCTAACATTCATTTATCCCACCATGTCAGAGTAACCACTCACGTTCTTTGTTTCCAACTGCCACGGCTCTGTCACTCGTTACAAAGACTCTAATTGCACCCATTTCACTGCATCGTCACTCATTGATACATCATACTTGACTGTCTGCCATGTTCTCGTCTCGGTCTCATTCGAGCCGAAAACATCACGTCAAAATGCCTCGTCTACACGATATGTACAACCTCCTAATTCTAATTACTATTCTCTGTTTATCATCTATCACATGCGCCCACTCCGTGGAAACCACTTCCGACTTGAACGTGCATGCACGATCGGCCTGGGACCCAAGTGGAGAGATCACCGCCGATCGTCGATTAGAAGCATCCACAGAAGGAAACATAACCGTGCACCGGCGAACAATCCTCACAGCCTCAAGCTCCACTTCAACGGATATGCCCAAGCCTTTCGACACGCTAGCCTACGACTTCGCCAAGGGTGCCAGCTGCATCGATTTCTTCGCCAAATGGCGTGCCGACGAAACCATCATCAACTGCAACGCCGTCTCCCTTCTCCTGGAGAACTCAAATGCCTTCTTCCACTCCCTCAACTCGGCAAATCGCACCACTCACATTCTGGATACATCCTGCTCGGCAAATGTCTCCGAATGTGCATCCATCATGACCGACCTTGCAGCCCAGCTGGTCAAATCCGAAAACTGCGGCAAGGACTACAACAACGGGAACTCCGTCGTCAAAGGCTTGTATCGCGACCTCGTTGCTTACGAACCCGTCTACCGTGCCACCTGTCTCAAGAACCCATCAACTCAGGATTACTGCTTCGTCAACTCAGTAGTCAACAACACCACCTCGCCAGATGACTACAACGTCTACTTCATGCCGCTCGGAGACCGACTCGACATGAGCGCTACGCCAACTTGTAACAAATGCTTGAAGTCGACGATGGAGATCTTTTCGGGCTGGGCTAAGCGAGACGGCCAGGGTCTTGCTTACACCTATCTCCCCTCGGCGGATGTCGTAAATGCGCGCTGTGGTGCTGGATTCGCGGCCACTAATATCACCGTTGGTTCCAGTGCTATTACCAGTGGGGGTGGTCTCGCTGTTCCCCTGCCCAATCTTGGTGTTGCGAGTGCCATGGCCTTGGGACTGGCTGTGTTGACCGCGTTGTCTTGATCTGAATTCCTTTTGGTTTCTTTTGTCCATACACACTCCTTTCTTGTTTATCTTGGAGGATCCGTCTGCCCGAATGGGTACGGCCACGGTTGATGTCAGCGAGCGTGTCTTTTGTTTTCTTCTTCTTCTTCTTCTTCTTTTGATTTGATCGTCTGATCTGTAATTAATATTTAGTGAAGTTGTTTATATTCCTCCGTGTGAGTTATTCACTATGCTATTCCATTCGCATATACTTTCCTCGCGTAGCTGGTCAAATTCGACTCATTTTCTTTGTCTAGATAAACCCGTCGAGATTACCTGATGCAAAAAAAATGATAGCAAAGATCTCAGAACCATTCAATGTATTCCTGAAACACCAATAACACACCAACAAATCATCGGATATAAGTAAACACAGATATAAACAGGGCTAAATCGCACCTAGCACCGTCGTTATGGGCGCATAGAACACTTGCAAAAGATCATCACATCTGACGAGTCTGGTAATATGTAGCATCAAATACAAACAGCAAAACGCTCACAGGGAATGAGTTTCCAGAAACCCCAAAAGAACACAAATCATCAGCTCCTCCTCTTCAACACATCTCCCATAGCAACACCGACAAGACTCTGCGGTTCACCTCCAAAGTTAGTCCCAAAGGTAGCGCCAAAGCTAGCTCCGGGACTCATGGGGACGGGCGACGCCGCACCGGATGTGGGAGATTGCCCCGCGGCATCTTGTTCTCGCTTCACGCGGATGTACCCTAGTTTCGCGAACCGACCGACATGTGTCCAGAAATGGCGGCCGGCGGGGTGTGCGGCGATGCGTTCTAATAGATCGGCTGTTGCTTCGCGGACAGCCTGATCTGGATGGAATAGACCCATGCTGAGATAGAAAAGACCGGCCTGGTTCTCCGGTGCTACGGTTAGGAGTTGGCAGATGCCAGCGTAGTCCTTGACGGAGTGGGAGAGGGCGATGTAGATGGAAGCAGCTTCGGGGTGAGAGAGTTTAAGAGTGCGGAGGCGATCATGATGGTGGTGGATGTCTGGACGTTGGATTGGGCGTGCGGGGAAGTACATTGCTGCGATGTCTTGGATGTAGGAGTAGTAGGAGCGGGTGTTGCGCCAGCCTTCGATTCGGGAGACTGATGCTGAGAGCTCGCGCTGTTTCGCCGTTTCGTCGGTCCAGACGTATCCGTGTCCGCGTAGAGTGGTTGGGTCGCTAGCATCGCTTTGATGGCCTGTTGGGCTGTCTGGGGAGAGTTCTTCTCCTGGGCCGATGATATAGAGATTTGAGGCGCCGTAGACTGCTTCTTCAAAGGCTGCAGCAACTCTGGTGAATTTTGTGATATATGCACGCCATTTGGCGCGCACAGCATTCTCGCCATGTCGTTGGCTGATGCTGCGGAGGATATCTTCCATAAATAATGTGTCGCCTGTCGGATCCCCAGTCGTATTGGATACGTTGTTTGGTAGCAGAGAATTTTGTTGCTGGAAGAACAGAAGTCCTTCTGTTATCGGTGCAGGTTCAACATGGCTTGAGATCTTGATACGACCTGTGGGTAGGTCGCACATGATATCCCACCATTCAGGATGGTTGGCAAAGGTTGGGTTCGTAACCCCTGCAATAAAACCAGGCACTTTGAGAAGATCGTCAATTTTGGACAGATCAGTATATGGGAATGCGTGTCGGGTGAATCCACGCAGGATGCCACCGGATGCGAGGGCACAGGCCGCCAGGACCGCCTCCGCCACTTCTCCCGATGGCCGGTTGTGCCCTAGAAACACGACACGTTTCTGAGTGAGGATAGCGTTGACAAGGACAACAACGGGGTGTGTGAATGGTCCACTCGTTGTCAGATGGGGATGTGGTGGGAAAGCCAGAGGGGATGTCGCGTGAGGTACAGCGAAGGTCTGGATGAGTTTGATGAGGGAGAAGTCTCCAACAGTCTCCGGCCAGATCACCGTCGGGATTTTGACGGGGATTGGGATATCATTGTAGACCACCCTCGACTCGTACTCATGTGTATCCCGCGGTAGGACGTATCGGCTCATTTTCTTCGGTGATGGTGGACATTCCTCGTCCTCGAATTCTTCTTCCTCGCGCTGGCGGATCATTTGTTCAAATTTCTCGATGAACATATCCTTTGTGTTGGTAGATTGCAGGATATGGCGCTCAAGTATTGACATCTTCGGCATCAACGAAAGATCCATGGCGTTGACAGCATCATACAGGGATTCCAGTGTTTCGGGAAACGGTGATTTGAAGTAGTCCTCTAGCGCCAGAAGAAGTAAAGGCTATATAACAATCAGAATTGGCTGGGTAGTATGATCACAATGACTACTGTCGCTTACTTTATAGATGTGTAGGAACGAATGTCGTGTACAGATAGCCATCGCTTTGACTACTGCGCCTCTGCTAGTTATTAGTACAGCGGAATTCGGATAAGAACAATATGACATACCGTCTCACAGTATTATCTTGCTTAGTATTGACAAGATTCAGCACATACATCAGGGGTGGCCCTTCACCACCCTCGTCGTCACTACTGTCGGGATCATCGGAGGCCTCATCCAATTCGTCATCCTGAGAATCGATCCCCTCCTGATTCGCAATGTATTTAGACTTCCGCTTCCTCTTCTTTTTTCCACTCGTCGAGTCCGTTTCTTCATCACCACTGGTATCCTTGTGTAAAAAGAACATGGTCCAGTCCTGACTCCGCACGTGTGTCTGATCCGGTAGCATCAGCTCGGCAAGCATGCTCTCGTCGCCACTAATGGCAGCGGGATACTGGTGTTCCATGATCGGGCCCCGATCGATATGGAAGGACGCAACCAAGATGTATTCCACATGGCGTTCTGGCGAGTCGAGCGGGTACTGCGCCTTGCAGCGGCGAGGTCTAAAGCCTGAAGCCCCATGCTCCGTGGACCTTCGTCTGAAAGAGCTATGTGAGCTACTAGGTGAGCGTCCGATAAAGGAGGCCGCAGGGGAGAGTCGAGGAAGACCGCTATTCTGTCGATTATGCGAGGCGGAGAGGGAGTCGTTCGACGGTCGATAGGGTAGTGTTGTTGCCATCTTCCGGCTTCGATAGAGAGGATTGCTCCAGAAAAATCTATAAAGCGAGTATCATACCACCAAAAGCACAGTGACAAGAGCCAATGATAACAATAATTGAATTAATTGACCGGAATTAAGTGTTCAGGGGCTAAGAGTAAGAGGGGTTAAGAAAAAGGACGATTTCTCCACAGTGGAGAGGCGATAAGCCGATAAGAATCTCTGGAGACGAATATGACCTATCAGCTTGTCTTTGGCTGCAACTGCATCGACATCGTAGATCTTCATCTTTCTAGGCAATGGGAATGGACATGTCCGATTTATGGAATTCTAGAACATTTGCCTACGGTACGGGGGGAACTGTAGACCGCTTCCAGGCCTTCTATGGTGTACAGGGTACGGAGCACACCGTACAAACTTCGGTATATATGTGCGTAGCAAATGGCAAGGTTAGGACCTCGAAGTATTCCTAGGCAAAGTCTTAATTTCTGAATGAGTCTATATTCATCTTGTCCTTTATCTTGAGCCCCTAGAAAGCTGGTTGATTGGTGTCAAGAATATAAGCGCTTGTATGGAGTACATGTCGTACAAACGCTAGATAGGTTTAGGTACAGCAAAAAGCAAATTAGGAGTATTTCACTCCATACCTGGAGATTTTATAAATACCTTTGACAATGTATGATTTATCCCCCAAAACCAAAATAGACCGTACCTCGCAATATGAAATCTCCCTCTTGTCGATCGAACAAGGCGGTGGCAAAATTATGGTTGTTATGGGGGCGCCGCTTGTTTACATCGATAAGCAAAGCGTCATAGGCTGTTTACATGGACAATTAACCACTTCCGCCAACACACGTTTCCCATCATGGTATGGTCCTTGTTGGGCAGCTATTATGTCTATTTCCAACCAACTGACATTGATCTAGGCCAACAACCCCATATTCAAACCCTCGCCACTATCCTTTGGGTCCCCAAGGGCGTCGCCCTTCCGGCGCCCGTCCACTCCCAACTCCCCGCCCTCAGCCAGTCGCACAGTAGGCACCCCAGGGAGCTCGCCTAGTCGGGGCTATACCCCTATGGTGTCACCCAGCAAGCTCAATCAATCATATACAGTGGAGCATGGTGAATCACGGTCTCCGAAGAATGATCGGCCTATTCCCCAACCAAACTTTGGCAGAGAGCTCTCTCCCTCTCCAACAAAAGGAGCGCGGTCGCCGGGCAGCTTATCTCCAATTATGGGGACCAGGACAACTGGCTTTGCAGGACCAGCCAGTGACGCAGCCGGGAAGTTGCCGGCACACCAAGTGAGGGAGATTAGAGAAGCTTTCCAAGTGCTTGATCGGGATAACGACGGACTTGTAAACAAAGATGATGTGATTGATGTGCTTACCACGTTAGGTAAGAAGGAATTATATATTGCGGCTTGGCATTGGGAACTAACTCAATTCCTCAAACAGGCCAAGACTCGTCTGCGTCTACGATCGCGCGCTTCTTCCCACCAGGAACAGGCCAGACTATGAACTTCCCGAATTTCCTCAATACGCTCTCTGGACTTATGGCATCAATGTCGCCCTCACAAGAGCTTCTGAACGCCTTTGCTGCGTTTGATGACGATGACAACGGGCAAATTGACGCCGCTGAACTACGTGATGCTCTATTACATACAGCCCCTGAAGGTGGAGAAGAACGATTAACTGAAAGACAAATCGATGAAGTCTTCAGCGGATTTACAGGGCGCCCAGCCTTCATTGGCCGGGGAGGAAAATCAGGTGGGTTGGGTAAGAAGGGTGAGGTTTTCCAATACCATGAGTTTGTTCGCAACGTTATGGGCGGAGAAAACGGCAATAATACACCAAGAGAAGCAGATGCAGCACATGTATGATCTATCTTCATGACTGGGGGCTTGAATTGAGTCGGCGTTACAGGTTATGTCTTATCTACCTAGGTCTCTTAAGGGTTTTGGCAGTTTGGAAGGCTGTAGGAGCAGCCAGTCATACAAAGGCTCTCATGAATGATACCTTGTACCATTAACTGTTGAGCAAAGATCGTATGTGTTTTTGGATAGAAGCAGTGAACTAAGTAAATCGTAAATTTACAAGTATACCGTCGGAGTAAACACCTTCCGCATTTCATCGGCAGAAAAGCTCCAGCCACCGCGATCTGATACATTTCTCCGTCAGTTGTGCTCTCATATACCCGTTTCTCAAGGGTGTATGCCCAAGACCCTCCAATGCAGACTTAATTGCAGAAAATATGGCCAACCTTCAGCCCTCCTGGGTTCTGGGTGTTCCGGGCCCCGACACATCCGCATCGCCGCGAACAATGCGAACACTCCGGAAGATCCAATCCCACCAAGTGCTGTCCACCTCCAGCGCCCTAATTGCTCAAACTCAGACCTCTCACCACTCTGGTCCCTATGAAAACCAGCTTGAATCACCAGCAGTTCCTGGGACTGCAACACGTGCGCGCGCACATCGCCGAGCTCGATCAAATAGCGATGCGGCTTCTCGTGAAGCTCGAGAAGTGGTGATAATACCCCCTGTGACCCAGAGACGACCCGCTCGCAAAACAGGGTCAGGGATTGGGATCAAACGGTCACTCCTAGAGAACTTTTTGCGCGATGGACCGCAACACGAAAACCCCAACGAGGGACTTCGAGAGCTGAAATACCTTGTTCTGTCTTGCAGAGTCGATGCTGACGGAGATGGAATGGTGAGGGTTACCTACCTGGATCTATCTTGCGAGATTACTGTCTAACATCACGGAAATAATAGTCGCCGTACCGAATCTACCTCTGGTTAATCCTTCTCGACATTCCTCCCATGCCTACCGACGATTACCTTGCTCTTATTCACCGCGGCCGCTCTCCCGCTTACGCCAAAATCCGTAATGACACCTTCCGCACACTAGCCACAGACCCTCTATTCAAACGCCGAGTCACCGAAGCAAGCTTGATTCGACTACTTAATGCCGTGGCATGGAAACTTCATGATTCCAGGCCAAAACCCCGGTCTCGACCGACATCCTCTCGACGTCGCGAGATGGAGCTTCGAATGGATGCACCGCCCAGCATCGCAGAGCAATCCATATGCGATGAAGAGTTGAGGAAGCCCACGAACAATACTCCGATTGACACAGCCATGTACGTCCAAGGCATGAATGTCTTATGCGCACCATTCCTCTATGCTGCCCGTAGTGAGGTGGAAGCATTTGCATTGTTCCATTATTTCGTCACGCGCGAATGCCCTGGTTATATCCGTGGAGCCATGGATGGGGTACATAAAGGTCTTCGTTTAGTAGACCGATGTCTTGAGATTGTGGAGCCCAAACTTGCCGCATATCTGTTCTCCAAGGGAATGCACGCTGAGCTGTATGCATTCCCATCAGTATTGACCCTTTGCGCCTGCACACCTCCACTGCCCGAGGTGTTGCATCTATGGGATTTCTTGTTCGCATATGGCCCCCACTTGAACATCCTGTGCATTGTCGCCCAGCTAATCCGCATGCGCGACCAAATCTTCGAGTGTCCGAGGTCAGTTCTAGCTTTCTGTTGTTTCCCCTTGTTCTTCACAAAAGCTAACTCATGACTAGCCCGAATAAAATTCTTCGCTCATTCCCTCCCCTTGATGCGAAGGAGATCATTGCACTGACGGTTCTTATCGTCCGCAAGATCCCAGGGGAACTTTATGCAGAAATGATTACCCATGCAAAATAGATTGGGCATGACCCGAGCTCATTGAGAAGCTCCTATCGAACGAGAAATGGATGTCATACTACCTGGGTTTCATAGCGGAGTTTTGGGTATGATTAATCGCAACTAATGGACATGGTGACTGGATGGGATATGACACAGGCATTGACGAACACCTAAGATACACTTTTTTTGAATGAATTGATGATTTTACACAACTATTTGATACCTTATAATACCTTAGGATATGACTTGCTGCTCCTTTCTAGGGTTTCGATCTTTTGCTCTCGTGGAACATACAGGTGTCCCGTTCATCTAAGAGGCAGAAGCCCTAAGAAGACATCCCAAGACAATCGGCACAAATTCCATTTGTCGTCATATTTTAATGCATCTCACATCTCGCATTTCGCACGTTAGGAGCATGGAATTGGTTTGTACAATGCTTGTTTTCCACAAATCAAAAGAAAAGAAAAAGCGGCAGGCAAACGGAATCAGACAAGGCATCATCCTCTTCGTTCAACCCGTCTGCATGGTTTGGACTTCTTTCATTCTCCGGATTATAAGTACGACCCTCCCATCGATCATGGGTTCTGCAAACCGCTGTTATTGTCAATGTCCACATTAATCTACAGCATCTATTGCCCGGTCCGAGAAATCAATGTTTTCAATCTCAACAGCATTAGTTCTCCTCCTAGCATGCGTTTTGCTATGCAGAGCATGGGCCAAGTTAGAACAGCTCCGTTGTGCACAAAGGGTATCAAAAGACCCAGCAATATGCCGGGAGATCATTGCCGGCAAATTAGAACACAATGGACTACCAAATATCCTCTCGCCACATGAAGCACGGGCAATTCCAAACCGTCGTCTTCGCATCGTCTTTGGAATCGACAATGCTTTCATCCGAGCCGACAGTGTCCATGCTACCGCTTTCGTCGATCGGGTCAGACCCTTGATCAACCTGTCCGCAAAGGAATGGGCCAATGTATCTGAATTTGCCAGGATCACGACAAGCCACTGGATCAATTACGGCTTCCCCAGGGATAAAGACTGCAAGAATCATTGCTGCGAAGGAAAGAAGCATGGTGATCGTCGTCAGATCAATGTCGCCAGTCTTTCGCAGTTACTTTCACTGAAAGTTGTGCTGTGGTTGATGTTTGACCGGAAAGATCAATATCAGATCTGCGATGGGAGTCTGCTTCGGCTGGCACAATCCATCAATCGGGTCTGGGTATCCTCGAAACTCGACGACACGAAGGCTTATATTCCGAGGTTTGAGGATGACCCAGAGCTTCGTGCATCGCTGTTCGGGGTGTTCGGGGAACACTTCGGTCCCGAGAATAATCCGCTCAACCTTATTTTACCTTCTTTTGAGACTATGTGGCGCGTTGTCTTGCGAGCCTTTTTGGAGATCGGGTTTGTAACTGGGAAGGAGATACCTGCGTGGTGGGAGACGATGCTTGCTTTTGCCGAGCAGCCCAGCAAACGTCAATTCGACTATAGGCCTCCCTCGAGCAATGCTCTCAAGGAAGACGCAGACAAAACTCAGAAATTACCTAGTGCAAAGCACATTGTTCAGGAATCGCTTCGGTTATACGTTCCCACGAGGAGGATACATCGAGCATATCAGTACCGGGCTACAGAGACATCTTGGGAGATCAGATCAGCCGATATTGAAGGGTGCCATTTGCGAGCTGATATCTGGGGTTCTGACACAGAGAGATTCAATCCGAATCGATGGTCAGCTTTGACACCGGCTCAGAGAGATGCTTTTATGCCCTTTGGCTCTGCGCCTTTTGAATGTCCTGCCAAACCAACTTTCGCTCCGAGGATGATTGGGATATTGGTTGGCTCTTTGCTGGCAGCTTTGGATAAGAGTCAATCAAAGGCTTGGTATTTGGATTGCGAGGATGGAGAAGTGTTAGAACAGCTCGAGTCTGGGGAGAGGTTGTGCCCGCATAGAAATGCCTACATGGATTTGTATCTGGTACGTTCTGTGGATATTTGAGCTCAATTCTGTGTTATGTCAAAATATCATGGGGGGTTTTCTTTAATTACTAGTACATATTAAGTTTATTTAGAGGTGGAGGTCTGGAAGACCAGACACATCAAGAGGGCTATCAGCAAAAAAGACATGAGAAAGGCAAAGCACGAGCAGCATGTATGTTTGAATATTGATCACCTCAACTCAAACTAATACATAGCCCATCTCATGTAGGTGCGGACGTCGACAAATTATGAACGGATCTTCTCAGTCCAGAGCCATCTATCACCAACGGCTTACAACTGTTGACCGGCTTAGCCTGCACTGTCATTTCTTCAGCCCATGACTGGCCCATTTCCCCGCTGCCTTCCACCCCCGATCCCACGCTCGAATTTGTGTCTGACCCTCCACTTGACATCCTATCAAAGCTCCCAGTCCTCATGATGTGTGCTCCCCGATCGATCTTCACCCGAATCCTCGAACCCATGAATGTCAGATTGTTAAACATGGTCACTGCGCACTGGGCCTCCTCGGCTGTTTGCATGGCGATCAAGCCGCGGATCTGGCCATTGGTGGAGTCTGGGACAAATATGCTGCATTGCTGGACGGTGCCGGCTTTCTGCAGCAAAATCCTTAGGTCGATACATGTCGTAGCTGCATTCAAGTTCTCGATCGTGAGCCCGCGCCGGTCTGGATGGAAAGATGGGGAGTTGGGATCTATGCCGTTGGCGCGGAACTTGCGAGGGTGGTAAGGGTGGTGATTTGGGATTGGGATTTCTCCGTTTGGCGGGTACAGGTGCTGTGGTGGGGACATCGAGTAGCCTGGCATCATGTTCCAATGTGGCTCGTATATTGTGCCGTTCATAACTGGGGATGGGGGAAAGCACTGCATCGGTGGTGCGAGGGGGTCTGGCATCATGGGTATGAATGATCGGAGGGGCATTGGCGCGGGTGCGATCATCACGCCGTAGTCTGGGTAGGAGATTGATGGAGGGCTTGAGTGGACGGATCTGGCAGGCAGAGATTAGTCGGTTTGATACTTCCCGTTCAGGAGGGTGTTGGAACTCACTCTGGTGAGACGGGTGAGGGTGGGATTGCCATGGTTCCATTTACTACAGGAGGTGTGGAGTGGCCTGGGATGTAGCCTGAATGCATGATTGCTGAAGGACTTCTAGTCGGCCCGGCAATGGGCTTGGTGGGTGTGCTGGTTCGCGAGAGCGTGACGACCAGACTCTGGCCATCCCATCCATTAGTCGAGAGTCGATCTGTGATGGTGTTAGGGCAAAGGACCAAGAACCACAGGATGAGCAGCACATACGGTACGTGCGCCAAGCTTCGTCTTCGTTCTTGACGATGATCTGCCCTAGTCCCGTCGGAAAGCCGTGGCTATCATCGTATACTACTGCCTGCCGAATGTGGAGTGCAGTCTGGCGCACCAGATCCTTGAGTTCTTGCCAGCGACAATGAGGTGGAATCTGGAAGTCCGGTCAGTCTTTCAACACACATGAAAGCAAAGTCTCATAGCAATATAACTGACACCTTGAAGGAAAACGACGAATTCATCGTCCGATCTGCGCGATCTGGTGCGAGGTTTATCACGACCAAGGAAAGGCATGGCTGCCGATATCTCAAACAATGCACCCCGGAATTCCAGTGCCGAAAGCGCGCTAGCTCAGAAGAATTTAAATAAAGGATAGATGTCGAAGCTTGCAAATATCCCGGCCCGTCGGCGTTGCGAAACAGTCGGGGTTCGACTTGTCCGACCCAGTGTATAGTCGAGTCCAGAACCTGGGCAATTATACTACCAAAGGTCCGTGTGAGCTCTGGGTATATAAAGATGGTGATACCTTTGAGTTCCCAGTTTCGCTTGGACTGGGACCAGACAGACTATCAACATGCAATTCTTGGGGGAATCAGATCGCACAGGCCAGCTCACCTTTTTTTTTTCTTCTTTCGCCTGACTGCAAGTCAACGAATTGGTCGGACCGACACGCCTGCAGAAGGGAAAAAAGAAGATAAACCCCTCCACGAGCTAGAAGAGCATCAAGCGGGTTATAAAGTGTCAGAAAAAAAAAAGGGAACGCGTCAAGGTTTCACCAGACAGATGATATGGGGTAGTCAATTAATTATCTTAGGGCTAATAATCCGCGATAGTTCTATTCATGGCTTGCAAGCAAAGGCCATGAGGCCCAGAATACTGCACCTTCTGGACGAATGGCGACGCCAAACGAGCCGCAGTAGCCAGTCACAGCTGAGAATAGCAGTTCGCGGGTTTCTCGTCCATGTTGAGATATGTCATTTTCGCCATCTCAGCGCTGCCGAATGCCAATAGAGTGGTTTCTCCCCTATAGTCCCACTCAAGGGCATTGTATTTCATTTTTTTTTTCTTATTGAAATAAATCATCTCTGTAGACCCGTGCGAGACGAGAGGCAAATCACTCTTAAGTGTTACACCGCTAGATCCGGATCGGACATGCAGGGTGGACCTAGGCCTATATTCATCACATTGGATGTCTTTATTGGATCGGGGCCAGCAACGCCCTTAAAAAAGCAAAAGGTGTAAGGGAAAAAGGAATAACAGTCTTAAGGAGGGATCGTCGATCAAAGCGGGGCTGGGGAAACCTGAGCAGTCATACCGTGCAGCTCTGAGGGTGGGTTTCTTTTTCGGGGCTATCAATTACAGCGACTATTGAAATTCCTGCGCGCTGGTCGGGCGAAGAACGGAGTACGGAGTACCTGCAGCGAATCTCTGGCGAGAGCGCGTTGGATCATTCTCTCCAAGGGCGAAGGACGTCCGCGACGGGACTCACATCGGAGACTCTTGCACTGAATGCGCACAGACATCGTGTCGACCTTGGATAGGGACCTGATGTCGAAAAATCGCCCTATGGGTCACACTGCAGGTCCCAGCAATCTGCATTGGGCTTTTTCTCGTTGAGCCTACGGAGTATACGGAGTCGAATCTGTATCCCGCAATGCTACCTGTATATCCTACAGGTGTCAATTGTACAGGTAATTCCCTCGGCTCAGCATTTGCAAAATCGATCTTTATTCGACCTTCATTAGCGTTCCCTACAAACCCCTTGACCTGTGTTAGCTTGAGGGGTTATGAACTATTCCGCATATGGGACATGGCACAGGGCATGTGTGACCGTCAAAAGCATATCAAAGTGAAAGCCCAGCCAGATAGAGAGCTTCCTCCCTCTTTCCATGATTATCATGTACCGTGTGTAGGACAGGGCTGTACTATGACGATATGCGCCCAAAGCACTGGACTCCAGGGGCCATCACATGGCCAATCTCGTTTATGTACAGAGTGTATCTTCTCCGGCTATTTCTACTGGCGAGTAAGTAAGTAGTAGCAGACATACCTTTCCGAATATCGTTGCCTTCTCGAGTCCGCTGCTGCCCGTTGTTGCCCACGGGGAAACCTCAAACTCTGCGTGTGTCAACGGAAGACCCTTACATACCACATACTTCCAAGGTTACCACCTTTCCCCCGGGCTATTGAAGAGACTGACTCATATAAGCGTGTGGGCTGGGCATGGCATGACTTGCTAACTTTGGGGACTGTGTGGATTTCAATGCCCTGGGTTGTTAGGCAGAGTCTTTGGGTCAAAATTCGTCCTAATGCCTCATGCTTCTTGATACGGGCTCAGGGAAGCCCATGGCAAAATTAGCAAATCAAGTACTGAGTATCTACTTTAGCTCCATGTACAGAATAGATGTTTGCATATACACTGTAGACCGGATTATGCCTGGCAAGTCTTGACTTTTCCGGCTTAGTGTCCCCCCCCCCCCCCCCCCCCCCCCCATTGCCATTTTTTGCCAATTTTTTGCCAATTTTTGCCAGTTAGAACAAAGCATCCAAGGACACAGGCACGGGAGGCGTCGGCTCGGACGTTTTGGTTGTTATATAATCATTTGACTGGCGCGACTTAAGCCCTCTGATTTGCTCATGAGCACGGCTCGGTAATTGTACAAGCAAAAGGCCTCGGGCGCCGACTCACTGAGCCGCACCTAAATGGCATCCCCACTCGCTACGCACAGCCTGGGCAGAGTCAAAAAACTTTCCATTGTAGACAACCGTAAAAATGACTGAGCTGACCATCGATGTGGCGATACTGCATAGGAGAGGCATCTAGTGAGTGTTACGAAGTCTATGCGTACCTATGTCCTAGTTCAATAACACTGATGCCGATGTCTAAATGCAGCCCGAGCCTACTACAGTCTATGAGGTATTAGAATCATCTTGTCTCACTTCGTTTAATTTTGAAGATATTAGGCCATACGTCCGAGTTGAGGTTTCCCGTGAGCTATCGTAGAAATTTCTACTTTCCTATAGAACTTCGTAGACTCTGCTATGGTGTATCGGTGTGGGATTACTGCGAGAAACTACACCCTATTCTGACTGATCCCAAAAGTCTCGAGCATCTAGGCCTGCTCGTAGTGGGTGGCCTAGGGGTTTCAGAAGAGAAAAGACCTATTCGAAAAAGTAGCCCCAACCACTGGGAGCTGAAGCGTGTTGTGTGTGGCAAATACGTCAACTAACCGCGAGGCTCGTTAGGTATAAGCAAGGGACGCGGATCTGTGAAACCTCATGGGGCATCGGCATTTTATAAATCACATTGCGGAGAAGCTTGCTGAGTCTGGGCATAGAATGGGGCTACCCAAGCATTACTTTGTAACACGCAGTTTAATGGAAAACCTGTGCACCAAACAGCGGTCTCGCTATCTCCGCATATGTATATAGAAACAGTAGGAACTCTTATCAAGTCATTTTCATACTTACCGCTCGTCATTTATTAACATTAAGTTGCCTTTTTATTCATATTCCAACCTGTGTAATCTCGTTGAGGAAAAGCCTAAGCCAAGGCAGAACACAAGACCTTTACGGTCACATTTGTTAGACCCAACAGGATCTCAACATGTACCATGTTGAATAACATTATAAGGCTCTCCTGAGCAGCCGATCCCCTCGTTTTCAAATCCTGGTTCCACGATACCATAGAGGGTCTTAGGCTCGCCGTAATTATTGCATTCATTGATAGTCAGATGATACCCGTCGATATAAAACTCGGCACCACAAGCACCCTTTTTTCTGATGTCCGACCAACTTGTGGGCAGTGCAGGCGTTACCCTTGTCGGGGTTTCAAACAACCCACCAATTGTTGTTATCGCTGGCTTGATGTTGTATGTCAAAGTCGATTTGAGGGACACTGCACGGGATTCCAGGCGTATATCGCTGGGTGGACTGCTAAAGAGATGGGTTTTCTTCCTCCTTTTCTAACATTTTTGAACCACCAAACGCACAATATTTGCTTTTCTATCATTTTCATATACTTGACACTCTTATTAAAAAGCCAACTAATAAGTAAACAATCCCCTACTCTTGTACGGAGTGTTACATTAGTATGCGGAGACCTGCATGAACCATAGGGATTCAGATGAATGGCTTCCACATGTAGATCTCTTTGGGTGCTAACTTCTCTCTTACTCTTGTACAACTGAATAGCCGAATGTGATTATAGGCTGACAGCAAGGGTGTTCATTGATTTCCAAATGAAGCTTTATGGGTTCAGGAATATACCCACATGTACTCTATGCATATCCATTTAGATGTAGGCAAACATCTACGCCTTCTATAATCCCTATATCAAACTACTGATACTATCTATAAGATTATGCTACGCTTGACAGAACTACCTACATTTAAGTACTAACAACTATATATACAAGGTTTCTAGTTAGCTCTCGCAAATACCTCTAATCTCACCAGCTCAATTTCAGCCGTCATGAGTGAAAGACAAAGCATTCCAATCCTAGTATCGTTGTCGGCGAGAAATCACTTAGCTCATTATGCCCCTATTCCTACTATCACCAACTGCATATACAAGCATTCCAATCACCCTTGCAAATGTCTCGAATATCACTAGATCAGAATCCCACTCACTTGGTCGTCCCCTGATCTGTCGTGGATCCTAAGGGCTGAAGGGGGCCACCATTCTCTTGGCAGACCAGATTTCAGCCCTTGCGATTGGGAAAACCCACTTCCCTTGCTCCCCCGGATGCGCCTGCTTGGAAAACCCGCTGGCTGGAAGTAGAAATTGAGGAACTGGAGAAGTGAATCATGATTGTAGAGATCTGTTCCAGTACAGTCCCATGACTTTACAGCGCTAGCATAGGGAATTACCTGGTTGTCAGGTAGCACAGCGCCCTACGCAAGGAAAAGCACACTTGGGCATCAGCCTGCTCTTTGCTTCCATGAAGGCGCTCAGGGCCGGAAGAGTTACATGTAGGTATTCATGAAGGACTCTAACATCCCTTTCTCTCCAATATCCTCATTGATTGACGAAACATCTGTATACAGTCTTTCAATGTTATTATATACAATACGGCCCCATATTCTCCCATGCACGGTCCGGTTTTGCATTCCAGGTTTGAATTAGCTGCATAATCCTGCTTCTGGTGTAACTTAAAAGTCACGGACCTTAAGAAGGAACGGCTGCAGGACTGTGTCTTCCTAGCGTTTTTGACTATAGTGAGAGTCTGGTTGCGACCCTGGGGTGCTAGCAATCTAGATGCGATCATCCGGACTTATATGTATGTTGTATTTGAATTCTGAATCAATATTTGGGATTGTGATGACAATGCGGCTGAAATGAGACAATGCAATAGAGATAGATATAATGGGTGATCGCTGAAGGTCAGATAAAGGAATACAGTAGAGAACCTTGGTAGGCTTCATACAATGTAACAGTATAATGCAAAGGGCATAGTGTAAGGGGAAAGAAAAGGATTGCTGAGGAGGAAAGTGGTTGATTCAACATACAAGGGACATGAGGATGTGCTTGATCCGGGGAGCAGATCAAGGTGCAAGAGTTAAGGATGGAGAACATGATCTATGGCCACAATCCCAAGGCCGACCGAGTGGTTCTCTCCCGCACACACATCTTGGTCGAGAGTCCGGTGGATCTTGCCAGAACCGCGGGATCCCGAACTGCTCTCTTCGCCTCATTGATGGTATCTCAGACATGTGGAAAGATCCAGTTGACCAAAGACAGTTGGTAAAAATATCGCGTGGACGATTCTTTAGACCGCGATCAATGTAAGGTAGACAGTGCAGTACCTGCAAAATCTCACAATGTCACGGGAAATCGGCAGAGCATAGAGCAAGACGAAGGTGAGAACAAAAAAGAGCGTCGGAGGGAGCGGGTGGCATAGTCTCCACCCAGAAACAAAGTCGTGTCCTTGTGACGAGTAGGGAAATGGATTTTTTGGTTCAAAAAGGCGGTTCCGATGGTTGGTCAACCGCCCACTTCTCCGTGGACTTCCCCAGGTCCTCCACTCTGTTCATTTACTGATTTCCAGGGTTGGTTGATTGTAGATTATATTCATATTTCATCGTCCGAAACCGACTTTGGTGGCGCAGCGATTGCAGTAGTAGGAGTTCATGCCGAATTGAACGGCGCCGCAGCCTGATTGGCCCAGGCTGAGAGATTGTTGGCAGCGGGAACAGCGAACAATATCGAGGATCTGTGGAGAAGTGGCAGACGGTCGATCAACACCGTTGGTTTGAGGTTGCGTTATTTGAACTGGGGAGCTCATTTTTGGAAAATTCGAGCCCGATTGAAGATCCGAAGAGAGGAAAGGGGTGAGTCGCATGGTTTTGAGTTGATCGGCTGAGCCCCGTGATCTCTCGGTTTACCCCGGTTATCCTTTTTTTTTCTCTGTGATGATGAATTGACTTGGAAGACTGGAACACAATGGAACCCTGGAGGGGAAAATAGGAAAGAGAAACGCCTCAAATTTAGGGAAACAGGGAAATATCCAATGGGTTTTTAAGGTGGTTTCGAGCCCAATCTTTCGACCTTAAATCCCCTCTATTACCATCGGGCTTGGCCTATCTAAGCCGCTTTTATGCGCTCACCTACATGTTGTCTGCTAACTGGCATGAGCACAACAGCTGTGTTATATTACTTCGACGTTCATTCCGGCACGCTGTATAATTGGCGCCCTTGGCAGAAGAAATGCAACGTCAGAGGCACAGTTAGTGGACGCTAAATCGGCCAACGATGAGCCATCTGGGACGCCAGTTCACTAGGTGCATCGTACCTTGTAAGTTTCCCGTTAGGCCCACTGAATTCTCGTTAAAAAAAAGAATCGGAAAAAAAGAAACCCGTTAAGGGTATTATTTCCTGTCCTATGAAACTGCAACAGCAGTCCTTCATTTCAAGGTGACGCGGCCGGAATAGGCAATCAACGTTGTACTCCTTGTGCATCACTATCACAAGCCTTCCAAGGTTGTTTAACCGGTGTTTGCGTTGTCAATCAGCTCCTTACTTGACCAAATGGAGGTACTATGAACTGAATTATACATTCTCCCCACCGAGATAGTGCAAAATCAATAAATAAATCAGTGACGATTCCCATCGAAGATCATGCAATTCCCCGAAGGCTTATCACGTCCCCTTCTCCATCTTTTATGAACAGAGTACTCCGTAGGCTTACCATGATGGCGAGATCAAGACATGCACCGGGCTCAATTAGGACCGTTTCATGTATATTGTACGAAGACTAGATTGCCTGCAGGTAAGATTGAATAAGGTGTGGCAAGAGAACCGTGGGAGATGTAATCCCCTGCGAAATCCCACGAATAGACACCGGCGATAAGATTCGCCAGCGACGTCATTTGCGTTCCACCTCTCTTTTCTGTTGCAAATTTGCTGGCAGTCAATTTTCTAGGCTGCAAATTAATCTCGACACGAAAAGTCCCAAAGCCAAGATCATTCGTCGCATTTGTCGCAGTTGTCACGATCTCGGCCCTTGCCCCGCCAAAACAAAACAACCTTGGAACCTCCTGCCCCTCACTATCATCCCACCAAAACACATCATGGCCACCGCACACCCCAATCTCTACAGCTTCCCCAACTCCGACGCTCTAGCTACACAATTGCGCAGCTACGTCCTCCGCTCCCAAAACTCGTCGCTGGCCCGCCACGACATCTTCCGCATCGCTGTCTCCGGTGGTTCCCTGCCAGCTGTCCTAGCCAAAGCCCTCCTCGCCCCCAGCAATGGCACCCCGGAAGATACCCCTCAATTTTCCAAGTGGCACATCTTCTTTGCCGACGAGCGCGCCGTACCACTTGACCACGAAGACAGCAACTACCGTCTGCTGAAGGATGAGCTCGTCGCCAAGATCCCCGCCGAGCTCGGCTCGCCCGTTATCCACCCCATCGACGAGAAGCACGTCGAAGATGACGATCCCCAGGAACTCGCCGATCTCTACCAAGAGGATTTGATGCGCGAGTTTGCCGCCAAGGATAGCGTTAAGCTGCCCGTCTTCGATCTCATCCTTCTGGGCTGTGGTCCCGACGGCCACACTTGCTCTCTGTTCCCTGGCCACGATTTGCTCCGCGAAAAGGACGCTTGGGTTGCTGCTGAGACAAACTCCCCCAAGCTTCCTCCCAAGCGTATTACTCTCACTCTGCCCGTCGTTACCCACGCTGTCAGCATTGCCTTTGTGGCAACTGGCGGAGGCAAGAAGGAGATTCTCAAGCAGATCTTTGATCTCGAGGAGGGCTCCAGTCTTCCTTCTGCTCTGGTGAACCAGGGTGCTGGTAACAAGGTGAGCTGGTTCACCGATCATCCAGCAGTCGAGGGTGTTGCATTCCCTCGTCGTGGAAGTCTTTAAGAACGTGACATTCCATAGATTTATGATACTGATAGCGAACGGGGAGCTCTTTCACCGTCCTGCAGCTCTTTAAATTCAAGGTAGTCATGAATGGTCCGGTTCTGGCAAAATCAAAAGTTGGACTTTCTTTTGACCTGCAGTATGGGAGGCCCGTGACTGCAATCTTTAAACTTGAATTTCTATCATGGAGATGCTTCGTTTCTATCGTCTTCCATCCGTACATGGTAGTCTTCACAAAAGCCTAGAGGGCTTTTGTATGTCTATTCTTCCCCAGGTGCCCAGGTGTTTTGTTTCTCGTAGTAGGCATGAAATCCTTACGAACATTAGTTTTTTGAAGTATCCCGAGAACTTTACGATCGAACTTTTTGATATTGCAGCAAATTCACGAGAGAGAAGGCCTGTACCCATCTCTCTGGGCACGAATATGAATCTTGATATGACTATATGTACAAATGTAGGGTGTGGTATATCCCATCTCCAGGGGACATATGAAAGTGTAGCCGTATACCCAATAGACTGCGAATTATCTGCCTACCTTTCCATTCAGCAATGAGCTCCTGGGCTTCAATCGATATAAAGATGATAACCAGTATGCGATGATATTCGTATCACCCCAATGAGCTTCAAATTCGAGAAACTCGTTGCTCTAAGGCGTAATTCATTCGCAAATTTGCTTGCGAATCGATGTTCTGGGAAGGCCACATATGATTCCAGGCCCTATAGATTTGTTGAGTCCTTAGGCCGTCGATTACATCGTCGACCACCCCGTCGCCGGTTACCTCGGCGATCAACCAAAGGCCGATTACATCGTCGCGATCAAAACGACGATAGCTTCCAAAAGAGAAGAGGTATCCCCCCACAACTTTTTCTCTGCGAATCCTTCTCCATCCTTTTGATCCTTCGCATCATCCATACACCCAGCAGACAGCGTTGTGCCCGCGTACTGTGCTAGTTTGTCATTGATTCCGTCACGCTCAAGAGCTTTGTCGTAGCTTGTCGACTGGAATCTCAATCTCAACATGGAGAAAGCCATGGCTGATGGCAAGGCTGGCAAGTCCAGCTTCAATTTTAATCCCGAGGCCGCTGAGTTTCTCAGTAGAGGTCCCATGGACCCTGGCTCCCAGACCAGTTCGAATGGCCATAGAGACTCGGCCTTGTCTGGCTGCGACTTCTACTCCCCCAACCACTTTATCAACCCCATTGATGCCATTGGGTAAGTCTCATTCTCCGAGAAGCTTGCAAGCCATCGAATCAACAAGTCGACCGACAGTTCTGAGTTGATCCGTACTGACACCTGCTGTGCTTTATCAGTCTCAATCCCAATCGAGTCAACAATCTTCTCTCCGATCCGGACTTTGTCGCGGACTCATCGTCCCAGAGCAGCCAGAATACTCTCATCCAGACCCCGCGAGCTGATCAACACGTCACAGTCGAGAAGATCATGCGCGGTGTGGACTATATTGGAGAGCAAAACGGCTACTTCATATTGCGCAAGCATCCAAATGAGTACCACGGGGGGAACAATGGCATCGTTGCATACGATGCGCGCCACCACAGGATGGTAGCCTTGGCTGTGAATGACTCGGCTCTAAACGATGGTGACATCCTCGTCGTAGCCTCTTGGGAGGCTGGATCTGGCGTCATCACCGGTCATGCAAACGGTAATTTGCTGGTGTGGGATATCGATTCTGGGTAAGTGTGCAAAGACCTCTTATTTTATGCTGGTCAGTGCTAACCAGTAGCAGTAACTTTGTCCGTCGTCTTGTGGGTCTGCATGAGGCCGTCACTTGTATTTTGATGGTCGACAATATTGTCGTTGCGGGCGGCGCCGGTGGCAGTATTTGCGTTTGGAACCTGAAAACCTCTTTCCTGATTCCTGTGAGGACTTTGAAGGGCCACACTGGTGCTATTTTGTGTATGAAGGTGAAAGAATGCTGTCTCGTTTCTGGAAGCGCCGACAAGGACGCACGCTTCTGGGACATTTTCAGCGGGCACTGCATACAAGTGCTTCGAGGCCATCGGTCTGAAGTTCGATTCGTTTGCATCGACTCCATAGGCATCATGACCGCCAGTTCGAATATGGTTCAGGGCTCAGGGTCCGATATCAAAGTGTGGCGTTTTGGTACCCATGAATTTGCCGCTGGGTATGTGAAGTATCAATCGGTTTAGAAGCCAAAACTAACAGCAATGCTAGTATCCCGGAACGTCAGATGCCTGGTCCCCAATTTCTGAGTCAGTTGCAGCTGTATGATGATTGTCTTGTTGCTGGTGGTCTAGGCGAGCTCCATAAATATGACTTTGCGCAGGGAGGACTTTCTATCTTCACCGACAATCGCCGCCGCCCCATTGTTGCCCTGGACGCCAAGGGCCCAATTACCATCATTGGTACAGGGGATGGATCCGTAGACTTGATAGATCAGCGGATCTGTGCAAAGGGGGAAAGCTGGACCCTAGGTACCGCCGACAAGATCTGGACCGTGAAGATCGTTGATAACTTCAAGTTGACGGCGGTCTGCGAGAAGGATCGCTGGGTGACCAAAAGCACCTGGTGCCTGTGATCTTCCCCACGGGAAGCAGATGTGGAACTCGACACATCTGGGGACAACTATCGGTTGCTGCTCGCGACAATGTCGCGAATAAGAGGTGGTGGTCGGTTCGGGTACATTCATTACCCGCCTCTTTACCATCCATATTCAATTTGTTTTTTTTTATCAAGGACCTGATATCATCATTTTGACCGTACATCATGTAGTTGATGATTGATCATAGAGTAAGAAGCCATGAGATAGTTGACTTGAGATTCCGAGGGCGGCAGATCCGACAGGCGGTCAGGTAGAAATCGAGCCATAATTAGCTGTACGAGATAGTAGTTCAAAGGCTAAATGAATGAGAATTAACGCGGATCTCAATGAGATCTAACGGGGTTTCATGGGTTGAAGTCATGATGAGGTGAGGTGAGGGGAGATCAGTTCCAACGGTTATATAAACACTTAACACATCATCATAGAAACAGTCTAGAATACTTCAATCCCCAACGACATGTATAAGTATTGTTAAGCTCTGCTCATTTGGTGTTACAAAGGAATTCATAGTTCCTATGTTCGTTTGATGTTTGGTGCGATCTCTGCTTGCCTGCATAACACTATAATCGACTAATGAACTATCAATACTGCCCGGACGATATAGCAAGTTCTTTCTTTCTGTCTAAAATACAACTTATGAAGTCAAGTTCATATGTTTCAAGTTGACTGAGGTTAGTCTATTAATGGGACCATTTTGAGATCGCAAAGTCTATGGATATAACACAAACTTGCCCTTAGAAGCCGTTTGATAGTAAAACTAAAAGATCAAACTTATACCTACATAAAGTACGTATATTTGTAGACCCCTGTGGGCCTATGACAACAAAGAAGTCCATTTTATGATGGAATTACACATGCTGAACTCAAAGGAAAAGCGTTAGGTCAAGATTCTAGCGTGCTACAATGGAAATAGTTAGAACTAAGCCAAGATTACTTTAAGAGGAAATGTTCCAGGAAATAAGTATACAAGGATCAAGGCTACACCACACCAAGATTACCCTTGCTGTCGGGGCATTGATGCTTGCCTAACCGGGCGATAATGTTAAAACAAGGGAATTATTTGGACCGAGGGAGTACAGGAGCGCAGGTTAACAAAATGTAGCGTTAGTTTCGGATATTACTCTACCAGCCTATAGAGGATGCTCGATGTTGTTGCTCAGGTCTGACGGTGCTTGTTCTTCTAGTGCAACCACTCCTTCATAGGTTTGATCGAATAATGAGAATCGATTAGTATACACATAATCTCTTAACCAATTAACCACGTCCAGGCCAACCGTACAATTCTTATAACCCGAGTCCGCGAAGGAAATTCAGTTTATCAGGACAGTGTAAAACATGAAGAGAAGCTTATTGGGCTCTGGTCTCACATGTATGAGGCGTAACGTGGGATATATAGAAGTTTTGAATGCAGCTAATTCTACAGCGAGGCTGACTCACAGCCTTGGAAAGGCCTAGGTCGGCAGCGCCGCGTACATAATATCTGCCTAAGATAACAAGACACCCTTGTCCGAGAGTCAATGGAGGCTCAAAACCTCGTGCAAGTTAGACCTGAGTTGCAGAATTCTGAGTTTGGCCTATGGAGCAATACGCTACGATAAAAAGGCCCGGGTTCGAAGTTGGATAAAGCCAGTCCATGAAGGGAATTTTGATTGCGGAACGTCGATGGCATAGTATAATGCATCGGTGCTTGATTTGAGGTATGATTTTTGTGCACTATCTTAAACTCGCCGAGGATGAAAAGTTCAGCAGCATCGGTCGAGGCTCGTGAATGGGCTGCATATAACACATAAATACCGTAACACAAGTTGAACTGGTGATACAGTTCTCTGTCTTGTTGTACTGAGGGTAAGGATTCAAGGCTTGGAAAGGCCAGTGAAAATCGTCAATACATTTAAAAAAAATATATATATAAGTAGGTCTATCTGCAACGCCGCGTAAATTACGGTTAAAAGTTGAATTTCGGCATCTTCAACTTGCCATATAGGGCCCTCGTTGTCTGGACATAATGTCCAGTCAGTTAACTGCTACTTACGGAGGGAGAGCTCCCCTTGTTCTCGGGGTGACTTGGTCAGAAATGGGATTGGCTTTTGTTCTCATCGTCTTACGAGCAAAGACTGCCTCGGTGTGCCCACCTCGTCAGATATCCCACATTTCTTCGGGTGTGTTCGGGCTCAGATGGGATTTTGTATGGGTGATCGTTGCATTTGTAGGTAACCCACTATGCTTTTCCATATTAGCTCGTCTTCATGACTAAATATGGAAAGACCATCGCTCTAGTCTCGCAAATCTGTCTCACAGTGAGCGTCCGGTATGGACTTGGCAACCACCAACGTCTGCTCTCCCATGAAAATCTTGTCAAAACGAATCTTTGGAGTTGGATCGCCCAAGTAATCTCCATTCTCGACTTGGTATTCGCGCGGGCCGCCGTTATCGCACTGCTGCTTTCAATACAAAACCGAGTTGGAGCTAGGAGTCGTTATCTTCTACACCTTGTGGGAGGAATCCAAGCAGTTATAAATGTGATCTCGGTTTCTCTCATTTTCAACCAATGCAGTCCGACTGCACGCTTGTGGGATCCTAGCATACCTGGAAAATGTGACGGGATTACTATGTGTTCGCGAATCGGATATGCCCAGGGAGGTACGTAAGCGGAAAGGATCAGTCCTTGCGTCCATTCTACTGTCGAGATATTGACGCCTATAGGTATCGGGGCGGCTTGTGACTTCTTCCTAGCAGGCTATCCCACGTTTATCATTGGTAGATCTAAATTTATGAAGCGGTCCACCAAAATTGGGCTCTGTCTCATTATGGGAGGTGGCTTAATGTAGGTTATCACTAAAAGTCCATGACAGGTTCAAAGGGGTTGACATCACTAGAGCAGGTAGCGCCGCGATAGTCAAGGGGACATCTATTTCGAATATTACCGAGATTGCCGATCAGACCTACGCTATCGCCATCCTTAATATCTGGGTCATGACAGAAATGTGGTTTATTATCATCTTCGGTTCAATACCAGTCCTGCGCCCATTCTTTGTGCGGTTTACTCAGGATATCAAAGGTGCGACTGGCCATGCTTCAGAAGCTCAAGGCCTGTCGTACGGCCCTCAAGGCGAACATCAAACTCGAAATGGGCGATATTTAGAGTTGAATGAGCAATTACAGTTTCCTGGCAGCGCCTCTTGGTCCTCACACACCTGCGCATCCCACGTCACCGAGCAGTCTGAAATGGGGAGAAGACATTCTTAGCAATTGCAAGAGTTAACAAGCAGCTGTCATTTATTGTCTTAGGGTCGGATATAGCGAGGTCATCTGGGAATTTGTTTTATATGACATGCTACGGGGATAGAGGCTAGTGTCCAGGCGGGACTATGCCAAACAACAAGTCTTATGGTGGACCATCATTCTATCCCACCCCAGATGCGCTGAAGGAGGCTAGCTTAGAGTCTGGCCTTTATTTACGGAATACTGGGATTGAGTTTCAAGTTCTGTTAACTGTAAGTTGGGACACCTATTGCATGGGGGGTGAGAACTGAAGCGACAGCTTTCATGTATATATGAAAAGGTAAGGTTGAATTTCAACGAATTAAGGGCAAAATGCGAGATCAAAGCCCTTCTATACAAATCTCTGGGCCAACCTTCGTTACAGATGGCTGTACCAGACATGATTGACAACAGCATATATTTCAACAGGTTTCTATGGAAAACAGCTCAATGAGATCCCGAAGTGGGCTTGCTGGTTATAGTTATGAGCCTCGTCCTCAATATACACAGCCACACAGTCACCACATAATGCATCTGCATACATAGATAAACTGTTGAGATATTCGAGTTGAAAAAACATAGATCGATAAAGCAATATAGATTCCTATATGAGGTCATAGGACATCAACAGGTTCTATAGTGTAGTGGTTATCACTGTGGTTTTTGAAGTTACCCGATTGGGTAGTTAATCTACCACAAACCCCGGTTCGAACCCGGGTAGGACCTTTCTTTTTTGGCTTGGACATAATATGTCCCTTTCTTTTTGAAATAATGCAAGCTAGTTTTTGCTCATTTCAAGTTTCGTACATAGTTACTTAGGGTGGTACATGACAGGGGAGTAAGAATCGTCGAATGATCCTGCTGAAGTTAAATTCCAAGGCACACCCTACATTGTGGAAAGGTAAATTGACGGGGGACGATCACAACATTTCCCCATCTCTCCGCCAACAATAAAGAGTCTATTTCCCAAACTCAACGCATGATGCCAATTCTTGCCTTATGACCTTGTACTGTCATGCCCATCCCGACACGTTCGGCTTCGCTGCGCGAGCCTCGTAAACAGGTCAGTACCCTGTTTCCATATCCCAGCGAAGCTCCCCACAGTTGTCGCAAGTCGCACTGTGGCACCCATCGTCAACAATTACCGAAGGACGCTATACTAACTGCCAAAGACTTCCAACATAGCACGACCTGCCACGAAAGCTTCCCCTCCACCAACCACGGCCGCCCCGAGCCAGGAAACCGCCCGAGGAACGAATGACAAGAACCGCTCACCATCAAACCCCTCGCCGGTCGAGGGTGTATCTCTCAAAGACAATGCGCTCACTACTCGGGGAAGAACTTTACTTCCCCAGCGCAGTAATACCCCCCTAGACAATGGCCGTGGAACAACACAGGGGCGGTTCCAGCCACCCAGCAAGATGAATCCACGTGGGAATCCGTCGCCAACAAGACAACCCGAGAGACAGCCGGTGAAGAACCCAACACAATTGGACTCTTCAGCAATGAAAACTGCAGTGGCATCTACTCGCCGTCAAAGTATTATACGACCTAGCACGCTGAAGATGCCTGCAGTGAAGACAACGGTCCCTTTGTCGAAGACCTCAGCGCCCTCAATCCCGCCGCCCTCGCCCCGCAAGCAGCCAGAAAGACGATTGCCTGCTCAGCCCTCCATCCCTAGACGACCGCAATCGCCTAAGAAAACAGAGATGCTACCCCCACCGCGTACTGCGCGTTCCTCCTCCCTAAGACAACCTATTGCCAGCGACAAGGGACCACCGGCAGTAGCCAGGGTGCATACACGAAACAGGAGCCAGCTGGTACAGAATACAAAACAGATCGAACCAACTCCTGTAGTGGGACAACGTCCACGACTACTATCAAACCACCAACGGCCATCTTCCCCCACAAAATTCTCCAAACCCCCAACGCCGACACCTGGAGCCGAAACTAAGCCTGGCAATCTGCTGATTCCTTCATCCTGGCCGGATATCGCAGCTCTACAGACCGAGCTGCTTCAGCTCAGTCTCTTCCATTCGAATTCGGTACAGAACCATGCGGATTGGAGGTCTGGCTGCGAGTCACGTCTGCGCAAACAGTATGACGGCATCGCCAGCCAGTATCGCTCAGTCTTGGCAGATGAAACGCGGCGGCAGTGCCAACTGAATGTGCAGGCCCTGAGCCTTTGGCTTTCTAATTGTTGCGAACATCGCGGCCCACATGACTTCTCCGAGCAGGTTCAAATCCTATCACAGATTCTGCAAGATGTCTCGGACATGGTCTCTGGTGGTGGGGGTGGTCTCTACTGTCAGGTTGTGAAGACCTTCGAAAACTGGCTTCATCAAACAGAGGTCATTCGTCACAACCGTGGACCGCAGGGTGTGGATGTCGGCATTTTTATTGACCCCCTGGCCAGGAGCTGGAAGGAATCACTGTATGCTTTGAATACTAAACTGGAATCATGTGCACGACAGCTCCAGCTCCTCGATATTCTGGGGGTTGGGCAAGTAGAGCGTTTGGAACAGTCGGCTCTTGCTAGAGCGGCTCGAAATTTGGCCGAGTTGATCCAACTCATGGCGCAGGAAATTCATGCCATGCAGACATTGGAGGCAGAAGTGGTGCGATCAGAAAGAGCTACTGTTAGTCTCCTTGCGACGCGGCTGGCAGGTTCTACGAGGGAAATGAAGGCTCCCCGAGTCGGAGCATGGAAAAGTTAGCCCGCAGTTTGTCTGCTTCCATGGCTTATTTTCTAACTATACCTATCATGTGAAAATGGAAATGATACGAAGACCGAATATACATCCTTCGGGGTTCACAGGCAGTAGCTTTCCTTTGTCTTCATGTAGACTGTCTGTACCTTGTTCTAAGTACCTTACGGCTGATCAGAGCAAGTATGGTACCTGTCCTGAGGTAGCTGGCTGAGTCAGCCAGCGTCATCGGGCTTCGGAGTGGTCTGGATCGTGGAGATATCGCGAGTCTGCTTGTTTTCCCCTCACATTCTTATTTCCTCCGGGCTCACTTGACAATTTATTTTATATAGCTTTGCTATTTGAACCTTGACATATCTTATGATCTACCTCATCCGGAGTGAAGTGAAATCTATCCGTCAGCTCTCTTCCTGACGTCATCTACAGCAGCTTCCGTTTTGACAGGCGAAATTAACCCGCAAAGAGACGGTCTCCACTTGATCGTTCCCCTTCGAGATGATCGCCGATCATACCTAGCAAAAGATCAAATTTCTCCTTCACTCGATCATTGACCATGAAAGACTCAATCTACGATCGCCTCTGGCGCCGGGAATGCGGGGAACAGTCGCGGTACGCCGGCCTTCGGGGCATTTACGGATCTAAGGAATGGGTCGATAATCTCGACATTGTGAATGAACTCGGTGGACACACGGGATGTGTCAATGCTCTAAGGTAGGCTCATAGCTGTCAGACTTCTTTCCTTCCCTCATCCTAACAACTGGCCAACATGTCTACCTTCTGATAGCTTTCCATACTAACGGCTTTGCAGTTGGTCGAAGTCTGGGCGTCTTTTGGCGTCGGGCTCTGACGATCACTACCTCAACATCTACTCCTACCAACCCGAATCCTCCAATGCCCCATTTGCGCTCAACACCACGGTTTTAACCGGTCACAAAGCCAACATATTCTCCGTCAAGTTTATGCCACACTCAAATGATAGAACTTTAATTACCTGCGCCGGCGATTCGCAGGTGCGCGTCTTCGACATCGAATATTCAAGTGGGAACAGGACTGATGCTGCCACATCGGCATTTGCGGCATCTACTCGGAACCGACGCTTCAATGAATTTTTCAATGGTGCGCGGTATTTGAGTGACGGCAATACCAATGCCAGAGTTTACCGAAGCCATGGTGATCGCGTGAAGCGAATTGTCACGGAGTCATCTCCGTTTCTGTTCCTCACTTGTTCTGAAGATGGTGAGGTCCGCCAATGGGATTTACGGCTACCATCTAGTGCATACCCTCCCCCGCGCGGCGGCCAGGGCTTCATGGCACACCGGCCGGGACTAGAACACGATGACTCCAATGTGCCACCGCCACTTATTTCTTACAAGCCATACAGCCTGGACCTCAATACCATTTCCTGCTCGCCAAGCCAGCCACATTATATTGCCTTGGGGGGTGCCCACCTCCACTGCTTTTTGCATGATAGGAGAATGCTAGGCCAGAACAACACCGCTGCAAGGAGTAGTACTACCCCAAGTGCTGGCAGTCTCGCTGATGAGGAAATGAGCAAGGCGACACGGTGTGTGCGCAGATTCGCACCGGGTGGCAAGGATCGCATGAAACATGTTGATGATGGACACATTACTGCATGTAAAATCAGCGATGCAAATCCAGATGAGATGGTTGTCAGTTGGTCTGGAAATCACATATACAGTTTCGATTTGGTTCGTAGCCCAGATGCCCGAGAGACCCAGAATAGCAACAAATCGACTCTTAAGGGCAAGAATGGAAAGCCCCGCCGCAGTTCACGGAGCCGGAAGCGCAAGCGTCAGAAACCCACAACGCCCTCATCGCAGGAAAGTGGTGGCCGCCATCAATCTCGGCGGCGCTCGGAACAGCCAGATACCTTCAGGATTCAATATGAGAATGGGGAGGCAGAGGATGTCCCATTTCCGACGACCTCCGATGATGTCCTAGAGACTCCTGAGCAAATGCTCGAGCATGCTCGGTATTCTGTGCTAAATGAGGCCCAGCGGTTGAGCATGCAGATCGCAAAAGGGCTGGTAAAACTTCGAAGGACTCTGTTTTCCCTAGAAACGACAGTTAGGGAGGCGACAGGATCAGATGACGTGGAGCCTGAATCATATGCGAGATGCTTTTCAACCGCCCTGGAACTTGCTTCTACATATCTTCCGGAGATGGACGAAGTCATGCGCCAGTGGAGCTACCCCATGAACCCGTCACGGGATACTGTCGTTTTCCAGCAATCGCTTCGCCGCAATCGGCAGTCATCGTGGAGGTTTGTCCAAGCCGCTGGCACACTTGCTCATGCATTGGCGGACCAAACACAAGATCTAGAAGATTCGAACTTCCAGATGATCAAGCCTGCACCAGGTGAAGAGGGCCCGATTGACCTAGAAGCTCAGTTTGGGTATGAATTTCTCCGAGCGATTCTTCTCTGGCTCCAAGGTGGAAGGCAGCGTCTTTTGGAAGGGTTCCAACGGCACAATGCACCTCGAAGATTACATGGACGGTTCCCAATCCCAGATGAATCCGGAGAGGATGCCATTGAAACTATTTTAATTCCCTATATTATGGAGTTGGCGCGTGAGACTCCAATTGTGAATGTGGATGCGTCCAGATTCGAACATGATAGTACGCGGATCCTGTTCCAGACTCAGCGGGCGGCCGTGACTGCATTTGGGAACGCCGTGCGATTGCCATTGGAAGACTTAGGGGATTCAGCTGCCACGTTCGACCGGCCTCATGTTTCTCATCCGTCCTCGCAAGTACGCTCGCTCGATCGTGCCTCTGCAAAAAGGTTCTGGATTCTCCGCGTGGGCAGAGGAATTTTAATGGAAGCAGGCAGTGAAGTGAATTATACCTTCGTCAACAATGCTTTCGGCGGGCTATACACTACAGCAGACGAGTCCGACAGTGACTCAGAGATCGAGAGAGACCAGGCCGATATTGACCCCGATGTTGAGGAAGAACGAGTCCAACGCATCGAATTGGTCAGAACAGGTGGTTCTATTTCCAGTCAGAATGATCCTCGGCCTGGAAGTCCCCAAGGTGGCACAGCCTCTTTGAACAGTCGGAATATCACCATCGAGGATGATGACAACGATGAGAATCAGGCAGACTCGACCGACGATGAAGCTGGGAATGAAGATGAAGATGAAGACTCCAATGGCTGGCCCGCGAACTCATCCTCGGATGAAGATAGCGAGGGATCTGATTCTGATGGAAATTTGACACGGCAGTATACCATGCGAAAGGCACGCCATAGAAACATTGAGCGTCAGGCTCCATGCGTCCCTCATGTTCGAAGCTATCGCGGCCACTGCAACGTCAAGACTGTCAAGGATGTCAATTACTTTGGATTGAACGACGAGTACGTGGTTAGCGGCAGTGATTCTGGTCACATATTCATTTGGGACCGCAAAACATCCAATCTGGTCAATATTCTCGAAGGCGACAGCGACGTAGTCAACGTTGTTCAAGGTAACTTTTCTCTTATATCTTGTTTTGTGTCGCGCATGTCGGAAAGACATTGAGTTAATACCATGATTTAGGCCACCCCTACGAGCCAATGATCGCCGCTTCAGGAATTGACAATACCATCAAGATTTTCTCACCGGACCAGGATGCCCAGGAGAATGCGCGCAACGGTGTTAACATTCTCGACCCAGAAAACCCGTCTAACCTGTTCGGAGCAAGTGTATCCGGTGTTGGCGGCCTCGAGAGCCGGAAACGAATCCACGAAAGCTACCGTATCATGAGCCAAAATGACGTTGAGAGTCGTGGCGGTATGAGCGAGGCACACATCACTGTACGTTGGCTCCTTGCACCCCTGTAGCCTTTTCCCAGGTAGGCTTGCTTGCTGACCTCCATTCGAAGCGGAGTATGCTCGAGCGCCTGGCTGCCAACCTGAGGGGACGACAAGGCGGCCTTGGGGCTGGAATTGAGGGTCTCGGTGCTCCGGGGGAACATGCAACGGTTGTTCTCGATGATAATTGCTCGGTATGTCCAGGATGTTTGGCGACCCGCGGACTATGGGACTAACCATTTGCTAGATGATGTGATGGAGGAGGATGCGGGGATCTCCCTATATGCGCCGCATAGTAGCAACATTATCAGTCCCCCATGGTTCGGTGCCCTTGGGATATTGACATGAACTTTACAACCACCGCCCTTCCTATATGGCACAGAAACTCTCCTAAAGTCTCAGGTTGACTTGTGTATATTCTCACTTATTCAAAGTCCATAATCCCATTTTTACATAGATCATTTTATATTGATGAGAAGCTCCCATTCTACAACGACTCATGTATATAGTTGGGTCGCTGGCCATAGGAGTTTTGAGCAATGAATTTTGAATGGACTTCATTTTCGTCTCGCAGCCCTAATAAATGGATTATTCTGTCCCGGGGAAGCTGAGCATTTCTAAGATCATTCCCCAGTATTCAATATCTTGTTCAAGGCGATAAACAAAGGATAAAGTGTTCATGCCATCAGTGTTGCGTAGAATTTGTCGATCATCGTTTCGGCAGCCGAGGAAGCCAAATCCAATACCAAGACGTGCGTTGTCCTCGCGCTGTCCTTGCAACGGCTATGAATAGTCCTCGAGAGAATCTCGAATTGTCGCCGCGGTTCTAAGTGGGACTTCTGTCCACCAGAACAAGGCCAGAGCTATTTGATAATGATATGGTATTTATCATCGCATGAATTGAATACAATCAAAAGCTGGAAATTGAAAAGGTGTTTGATTATACCTACCTACGTGCGTAGGATAGATGACTTTTACTCTTTGACCAGTTGGCTTGTTCTTAGAAGAACACCCCTCAGTGGGGTTGTTCTCATTTGCAGAGCTATTATCCGACGATATATCGTTATTTGTCTGCACCTGTACCAAAATCTGAGATTGATACACATATTATATAGCTCATGGGATTGTTTCGCTCCTCGAAGTGTTCATACTCCCCTATATACTCACTCCATCGCCAGATAACTATCGCCCACGTGATCCGCCTTATCGTCGAAATTTTTGCGATAAGGAATTGCCCGAAATTATCGATCTACAGAGGGGCAGAGCACGATCTTGATTCATAGAACATTCTTGTGGCATTCTATCAAGGCTCTAAAATTAGCTGTTGGAGTGCTTGAGTCTACAGTCTGCTCTCTCTGCAGTCTTAATTCTTCTGGCCGTGATATCACAGTCTGATATCAAGTATATACTGCACTTTGCTCTGTTAAAAACCAGACAGTGTACAAGAGATTACTGCATATCTGGAAACGCAAAGAGCAAATATACCACATCATGTCTCCATCACAAGTGCTACACGCTCGCAACGAGACAACTAGCAGGCTCTATGCAGACCCGCACAATCCCCACCTTCATCTTGAACGAGGCCTTCAATATGAAAAGCTGGGCTTCCCCGATTTGGCCGCTGCAGATGCATACCATGCCCTGGCACTGCTAGAGTCAGTGGTTGACCCAGACGAGTGCGAGTTCCATGCCAGACGGAAGATCAATCCTTCCCAGCAAGTCCCCGGGAATGAGGCAAATGAATCTGATGACGAAGATGAGGACAACACCGTCCCCATCACCCAAGAAGAATATGATGCCATCATTGACCCAGTATACACACTTCTTGTACGCAGTCTCGTCCGCTGCGGCTGCTACCGCGATGCATTCGAGTTTGGCGTGCGCGGGTTGAACCTGCTCTCTTCTCCGGCATCACTAGCTGCCCTGAACGAGCAGATGGATCTCGTCAAGAAGTTCTACAAATCCCGCACTGGTTCTGAATCCGAGAACATCGATCTGAAATCAATCGATTCCAGTGTCCTCCCCGCACAGGGCTTCGCCCGCCGCGTCCTCTACCCCTGGAACGAGCACGAGCCTGACCGTCGCTCCCCAGAGACCCTCAAGATGCTCAACGAGCGTCTAGCAGACATCGCACCAAAGTGCGAAGTCCGTGCAGTGGCCTTACCAGTTCTCCACGCCTCAGCCGAAGAATCCAGCATGGACGTCTCCGTGCAACTCGGCCTCTTCGCGAAAGAAGATATCTCCCCAGACGAGATCATCCTGCGCGAATCCTCGCTGCTCACAGCCACCAATCGACTCCACGACGACCTCTGCGATGCATGCAATGCACCACTCCCGGAACTCTCAGCCGCCGAGCCTCCCGTCGCCTGCGAGGGTGGCTGCGTAGATATCATCTTCTGCAGCCAGAAATGCCATGACACAGCGCAGGATGTCTACCACGGCGCGATCTGCGGTCTCGAGGATGGTCTCGATTCTATTGGCAAGGATATTGCTGATCCTAAGGATAAGGCTGATTACCTGTATCTTCTTCTGCTGGGCAGATCGTTTGCCATGTCCGCTACACAGGACAAGCATCCGCTTGATCTTCCCGAAGTCAAGTACATCTGGGGTGATTTCCACGACTTCGATATTGAGTCTCTGTCCACAGAGAAAGAGACAATGCCCGCTACAGATGATACTGCCACTTTGCCTTTCTCTTTCCAGCTCAATGTTCTGCAGCCGGAACGTTTCCTCGATGAGATGGGTTTGGATCCTTATGCTGTTATTAATCGCTACGATACATGGGTCTTGAACACGCTGTTTGCTAAGTTCCGTGGAACGGCGTCGGGTCGGTTGTCGACTTGGGATGGAGGCCCAGAGCTGTGTGCTGTTCATCCGTTGTGGTGTCTTGCTAATCACTCGTGTGATCCCAACGTGACTTGGGAATGGAGTAGCGAAATTAATTTCCGTGCGCGGAGAGATGATGAGACGGCTGTTTGGTCGCGCGGGGCTGAGATGAAGGAGCCTAGACGTGGGGGTATTGCTAAGGATTCTGAGATTCTGAATCATTATTGTGATATTGGGTTGTCGGTTCAGAAGAGGAGAGAGTGGGCTTCCGGGGCTTTGGGTGGGAATTGTTTGTGTCATAGATGCGTTTGGGAGGCTGGGGAGACCGAGTAGGATTGTGTTTATGGGTTGATGTATATATGGCCTTGATAGATCATGATGAGATACCCTTTTGATGTGGTTCATATTGTCTTTGTAGAGTTACGATTTACATATAAGTTCAAATTGGCCATATAAACTGGTCCTAGGAGGCATGATCTCCCTGTAGACTTGGTATTTGATAGATACGACACTGTTCATTAGAAGATCGAGGGGATGGAATACCGGGGGAAAATATGAAAGCGCCATGAAGAACCGATTTCCTCCTGATGAATATCCGTTAATTTCAAATTTCCTGCAACGGATTGAATGAAAGAAATACAGCGTCGTATTTGCATTCGAGATACGCACTAGTTCGTTATGAACACAGAGGTATGAGTTACGAGTCACTCAGCAATGCCTAAAAGACTGAGCTCAAAGCATCAGAGGCCTTGGTACCGATTTATCTACGGCGTGGTGGTGTTCGCGAATAGCTTCGACCCCGTGATTCTGCCCGACGTTTGGGAGTAGGCGAGCGAGAGCGAGAGTCTGAAGCATGGCGTCGACGTGGGGGTGGTGACACGGATTTGGACGAGTTTCGTTTCGCGCTGCGTGACGCCGGCTCACGCCGAGGCGGAGGTGTGACAGATCGAGAGATCGATCGGGAGTAGCTGCGGCTTCTCCGGCGGGAAGGACTCTGACCTCGGCGAGGCGGGGTGACAGACCGAGAAATCGATCGACTAACCGATCGACGGGATCGGTAAGGGCTGCGACTTGGGCTTCGCGAATCATAGGAGCGTGAACGCGCTCGGCTGCGTCTATCCGGAGTGCGGGAAATGGATCGAGATCGCGAACGAGAGCGGGATCTTCCTGCGGGCGTTCGGGATCGACTGTAGGATGCGTCACGACGGCGACGAACTGGGGACCGAGAACGTGAAGGTGTGTAGCTTCGGCTGCGGGAAGAGGGAGTAATGGAACGGGAGTAGGAACGGCCGCGGTCCCTAGAAGGAGAGCGAGAATATGAAGGAGAGCGGGAACGGCGGGAGTGAGGGGATCCAGTGCAAGTAGAGCACATGGAACGTGATCGATCAGATGGCGTGCGTGAGAGTGACCGAGATACGCTTCGTGTAGGCAAGGCAGGCACAGTGGGAGGCGGGAGATTTTTGAGGTTTTCACGCATGTCCTCTGTCAATACACCCATACCAATGCTGGTGAAGTAATTGACGGAGAACCTGGTGTGGCGTGGGTTCTCTGTCGGGAAGAGGCCTTCGAAGCTTGGTCGCAGGATTTCATCTCTGAAGCGGGCCTGCAATCCAGGAAGACCAAGATTCTCCGCAAGGTTTTGGAAGAGGATTTTGATGAAAATACGGCTGCTGGATGTGGTTTCCTCCTCGTTGAGGTGAACCACAGATAGAACATGCCAACCAATGGCATCATTGCTGATCAAATGGCCGAAGAATTGGGCAATATTGCGTAGTTTGTTGGTCTCGTAACGATGGATGGTATCGTAGTATTTGGCAAAAGCAGCCTCAAACAGATCTGACCAGAGTCGGTTGATCTTGGCGAACCGCTCTCCAATCAGACCGTAGAACTTGGAATATGTTCGTTCTTGCGAGCAGCATTCAATGATCATGGACGGAAGTTCGTGTTCCAACCCGGCCGGCAGGTTGATCTTCATCAGCTTGTGGCAACATTCTTCAAAGTCAATGCTGGACATGATTGTGAGGTAAATTGTCCGTCGGAGGTTGACTAGATCTGTGTTACTCTGATCCTTGATATCCATCTGCACCTCCTCTGCATCAGACTCTTCCTCTTCTTCGCTTTCGTCTGACCTGTCTTCGTCATCCTCGTCACTTTCGTCGCCAAGGATCTCGTTCTTCAACTTTTTGTAAGCCTCCTCATGTTCTTCCCACTCCGCGTCGTACTTGAAGATGTTAAGGGTGTCTTGCGTTTCCAGCTCATCATCCAAGCCAGCACGGTGGGTGATCTGGTCTTCCTCTTCCACTAGATCCAATTCCTCCTTGATGGCAGGATTGTTCTTGTAACGATCTTTGCGCACCTGGAAAAGAACCTCGATCATGTATTGCACACGTTTGTCGATATCGGCCTCATGTAAAATATTTCGGAATTGATCAAAAACGGCAAGTGCGATAGGAGCATTCATTTCTTCCAGATGTTGACCGACTTCTCGAGTAAGACCGACCGCAATTTCCACGCTATCGTCCGTGGGTTTATGCAAAAGTAGCAATAGGATCTGGGCTGCCAGCATCTCGTGGGCGACTTGTTGGTTGCAGAGGTGCGCAATAAAAGTTGTGGAGGAAATGCAGACTGCCTTGTCGTTTCGCTTGAAGGCTTTGCGGAATTGAATAATCAATCGAGTAAGCAGCAGATCACCAACCTGCGGAAGTTTGGTGTTGACGATGGCTGCCATTGCGGCGTAGATTGGAGTGAAGGGCAAACTGGCTGCCTGCGCCTTCATGATAGACCGACAGAACAAACCTCGGCCCCTCACCAAGTTCTCCGCAAAGAGTTCCGGAACAATGGACTTGATGTTGGAAACATTGATTTTGTTGATGAGGCCATTGATGGATTTTTTCAAAGCTTCCCACGCCATGCGCTGGTACTCTTTGCTTGTCTTATCGGTGATTTGCGCCTGTAACATACGCAGTCGAGCTGGGGGAATATATGTGCCACCGGATCTCATGGTGAGTAGTTTTTCATATTCTGCCTTCGCTGAAGCCTGTTTTTCTGCGTCTGTCATTGGCTTCCGCGTCGATTCGCGCTTCTCATGTTCGCGGAAACGCTCAGTGAGCTGGCGCTCTCTATCGTCCCCATTTTTGGAGTCGGCATTGGAGGCATCAAGGCCATCTTTGATAGAATCACCGGGGGGCGATCGGCGACGATGTGGAGAGGGGGAGCGAGACGGAGGTGAGCGTTTTCGAGAGGCTGCGACTGGTGAGAACGACGCGCCCGGAGGAGGCGTGGGCACGCGCACCGCAGACTGGAGAACGTCCGAATCAGACATTTTGAGTCGTCAAAAAGCCTTCGGAGGTCAAGGAAGGATTCAACGTACACCAGAGGAGCGGTGGTTGTGAAGCTCAGCCGGACTGAGGTTGCAAGGTGATTCAAGGATGCAGCAGGAGAAAGCTCTAGCGCGATACACGTGACCAGAGGCCAACTAGGAACATTGATAGCTCCTGAGATTCCTCGCCGGTAGTTCTGTCCAGTCTAGAATTCACCGACGCTCCTTCATATTTCCTTCTTCTTTCTCTTGCTATCGCTCCTTATCAGAATGGTAAATCTCTCAGTCTAATGCAATAGACAGACCTTACTGACTGCTTTAGCTGGGCCAACTTGTCGGATCCGTCATGCTTTTGGTCGCAACTGCGATCTTTCTCTACTACACTGCATGGACACTGTTGATGGTATGAAAAATGGACCCAACAACTCTTACTCCTCACTAATATTTGATTCGCAGCCCTTCGTTGACCCCGGTCATCCTCTTCACGATATCTTCCCGCCCCGTGTTTGGGCCATCCGTATCCCCGTCATCCTCACACTCTTGGGTTCTGCAGTGGTAGGCACTTTCATTGGGATTGTTATGATCAACAGCAACAAGAAGAAGGCAGCCAAGGCCAAGGCTGCGGCCAAGAAAAAGACCTAAGGGACCGCAGACATCATATCAGGATAGAGGGTCACCTCTATGACAGCACTCTGTACTACCACTCCGAACCTCTGCGGCTATCAAAACACATCTCAGTTAATTAATTTTTCGTTATATTGAGCGCCTCATTAAGACTTTTATACTGGATGTACCTTGCTTGCGCCTTGAAAGTCGGAGAAGAACAGCCATGCCAACATATGGACCAGATCCCTTAGTAATTCGGCCAAAACACAAAGGGCCTGAAATTTGTGGCCGCAAAGAACAAAGATTATCATTCGCTGTTAGGCCTTCGCAGTCCATTCAGATAACGTCGTCATCTTGCCCATGCCACAAATGCCCCGTGACCTCGGCTGAACCAACGATGACGCTTCCCAGCCACTCCTGAACGGCGAGCCAACTTTATCAATAAACAAGGAAAGGCCAGGAAGGAGACGGCTGTACTCGGCTATTGACTGGAAGCCAAGTTCAACCATGTTTGGCCGTCTGCAGAACCAAGTCAGAGCATGTAAGGGAGGCATATGAGAGGCAACCTGTACTCCGTACTCCGTACTCCGTGATGACATGGACTCCTGCCCGCAGGAGAGCTGACTAAGAGCCTGACGTCTTATCGGGGTGTTTGCATGATTTGACAAGTTTCCCCTCATCGCATTGTTAGCTACATGTAGCCACAAGGTCTACTGTCGAGTTGGGATTGGAGAACAGAAAGAAAGATAGACATAACATATTCCGAAGTAAAGACCGGGAATCCGATCATGCCTCCACTAGGAATGACTGTGTCAGAGGGCTGTTCCGTACTCTGACTCAGGCCCCTTATTCCACCCTATTCCACCCTAAACCCCCCCCCGTACCTGACTGGTGACCTGGGGTCAGCTTTCCCCCCCCTCTTCTCTTATCGCAAACCATAACATCATCCTTCTTCCTCCTTGACTCATCTTCGGTCTTCAACTTGTCGATGCAAGTCACTTAGGATACCACTTTTTCTGCACCAGCTTGGAAGATCTCAAGCTGTTGCTGTATTGCGCCTATCTATCAAAGCTTCCCCGCGTATCTAGAGTGATCTCCGCTCTAGATAAGCCGTGAGTGGTAACTGCAGTTCACTACCCTGGCATTTTGAGGGATACTGTGATTTCAGGTATGCATACCTAGTTCTCAAGGCCCTTATGATATTACGTGGCCACTGTGACTGATCTAAACACGAAAAAAAAAGTTATCCCTATTTTTAGTGATACCTCCTGAACCTCCCGCTGCCCCGGTTAGGATCTCCTACAAAGTTGATCCTACATCTCCGTTCTCAGACCACAAACAAGGTTCTGAGAGCGGTATCACTCCTTTGTCTATCTCCTGCCTCTTACTGAGGCATCCTCTATTTGAATGCCCCCGGCAGCGCCTGACGATCTTATCCGCCAGCACAGCCGTTCGCTCGAAGACGACAGGGCCTTGACCCCGGATCCGAGCCAGACCATACCAGAGCATGGGCCAATTTCGAAGGGCAAAAAGAAGAAAGTAAAGAAATCCAAGGGAATCAAGACGGTACATGAAACACCGCCGGATGACATGTACGTATCCACTGGTGATTGCCTGGTTTCCAATGAACGCGCACCATTAACATACAATCGCATGGATAGCATTCAACCATTTCCTTCGTCGCTAGAGGAGCCACCCCCATGTGCAGAACCCGAACCTCCTATTGAACACGATGTAGCCCCATCGATCTCGTCACCTGCTCTGGATGTTTTTGATTCCCTCGATGAGCCAGCAGGTGACGATCTTGCTACCCGCACCGATACCTGGGCGCAATCGGTGCCTTATGGAAAGAGCCCTCCCACCGATCTGATGGACGGGCATATGCCTAATGCATCTCCCTTGAACTTTCCAACTATCCAAGAAAGGGGTGACTTTAGCCATCCTTCTTCGGCATCTCCTCAACCTCGAACCGTGCCGTCTAGCTACGGTAATGGGTATCGGAGTAGTTTGAACTCGAGGCAGCAGTCTGTGGACAGGAGGAAGAGTCATTCTTACGGAAGCCCAATGAGCCACCAAGCACCTCTCCCTCATCTTCCACAGGCCCATTTCTTTGGAGCACCGGATATCGATATGCTTCCAAGTCAGAATCGACCACTCACGGACGGAAATTATTCGTTCTGTAGTTTCGATACGCTGCCCAGTTTATCTCCCAAAGCCTCACGAACAGGAATGAATGTCTTGCTAGTTGGGACAGATAACGCTGTGGAGGTCCTCGCTGTCGAAGATCGCCGAACGCGGCTTATAGGCCAGTTAACTGGATTAAATGGTCGGGTGATTGAAGCAAAGCTGTTGTCCAACCATCCGTCGAGCGATCCGTTTGCATCATCCCGGCCACATGTAGCTGTCATAGTCCACGGGCCAATGGCGCCACACGAGGAGGAAGGTCGTGTATCATCTGCAACATCGGACGCAAATGAAATCCCCCCTTCGACGATTCGAGGCCACTCGAGCGAAAGACGCTCGACGCGAGATGATGTCCAGTTCTACCAGACCCGAGTTGAGGTTTACTCTTTCAGGACTGGTGAACATGTTTCCACGCTGTTTGCAAGCAAGCCTGTTCCGTGTCTGGAGCACCTTCCGGGTCTCGCATCGTTTGCGCCATCACCTGTGGGCAGCTTGAAGCTTTTCACTGCTGGCGCGTATGTTATTTTGGCCTCTGGAGTCAGTGGAGAGGTCTACATTTATAGACATGCCACATCTCCGGAAACAGTTCCATATCAGTGCCTAGGTAAGACTTGGACTGGGGTTCAGTCCAAAGAAACCCGGCGTTACTCGGCTTCCTCAAGTTCAACTACTGATCCAGAGGGGGCTCGCACCGATTCTCCTCATGGTTCTTCCACCCTTGAAAGGCCCATATTAGCTGTACAAGGAAGATGGCTAGCATTCGCTCCACCATCGTCAGCTTACAGAGGATCGATCCAAGGCAGCGTTCCTTCGAACTTGATTCTTGGCAAGGCTCCGGGAATCGAAACCCGTAGTCCTCCTGCTGTGCCATCGGTGTCATGTGCGACTGATGTTGGAGAAGGTGAAAGCTTTTTCGATAAAATGGCCAGAGGTGTTGCTCAAGAGCTTGTCAGAGGAGCCCGCTGGATGGGTGATCAGGGAATGCAGGCCTGGAACAGCTATTGGAATACCCAACAAGCAACCGGCACCTCTCCACGCCGGCCAACTCAGACCCCAGACCCGTTGACGCAAGGATATGGACTATTTCCTCCAACCCATGCTCAGGATACACAAGCATCAGCCGCAGAGCCTGATACTGTATCCATCATCGACCTCAATCGATTCGAAGACGGCACAGATATACGAAACGTGTTTATCCACCCAGTCTCAACATTCCAGGTACCTAATGGTTGCAGCTTCTTGTCTCTTTCCCCGAACGGCTTGATGTTGTTCACAGCGAGCAAGAAGGGTGATGTTCAATATGTGTGGGATCTTATGCAACTCAAACACTGCCGGTCCATGGCTTTTATGGCCGACGATCAAACGGGACAGACTCCTAATGTACGACAGGTTGCCCGGTATGCACGGTTGACTACCTCTCGTATCGTTGATGTGATCTGGACGGCACCCACTGGCGAGCGACTCGCTGTCATCACACGCAAAGGTACTGTACATGTTTTTGATTTACCCCGTAGCGCATTCCAATGGCCACCATTCCGCCGCGGAAAGTCTGCTGCAAATAAGCCGCCAACTATCGACCCCTTGGCAGATGAACCCACTGGTCAAGCTGTTAGCGCTAACCCATTGTCGGCGGCTATGAAACTGGTTGGCGGTAAGACGCAACCTTTCTTCTCTGCCGTCCGGGGTCGTGTCCCGTCTACGGGTGCTGCATTTCCTAACATGAGTGGATTCGCATTGCCTTCTGCTGCCGGCGTAAAAAGTGGAAAGGTCGTCGCAGCAGGTCTAAGCAAGTCAATGGGCGCCGCAACAGGCACGGTCAATACTCTGCGCCATGTTGGAGAGAACCGCCTACACCTCCCGGGACTGGCTCGAGACCCTGCACCTTCTCGTGTGGCGTGGATCTTTAGTAAGGGTCTAATCTTCCTGGGTGTTTTGGATGGCGGGTACTTCAAAATGTACCGCCTCAAGCGTGCTACTGTATCTGGTCATAAGAATCGACAACCGCACTCTGTTGTCGGCGGTAAGGAGTCTCAGCTTAACCTACCGGCCAACCTACAAACCCCCTGTGGACCGGCTCCTATGACCACTTATGACCCAGAATTGGTAGTTCAGGCTTCTATTGCTCTCCCTTCGGTCAGCTCTCAACCGTCTAGTGGCACGAGAACATTTTGTCAGCCACTCTCGAAGGCCGAGATTGAAACAAATACCCCATACCAACCGTTCCACACGGACCAGCGGGTTGGTCTAAGTGTGTTCTCCTCTGATAGTGATGCAAGTGATCCTAGTGGACAGTGGGTTTTCGGAAATGATATCCCGCTAGTCAAAGTGCACTTGAGGTCATTTAGCAGCTCCAGTGACGACCATGGCGACGACGACAATGAAAATGCTGCCATCCATGGACACTCGCTTGGGGCTGGCGGAGATATAGAAAATCTCATCACTCTCGGAAACAGCACTGGCAACGTTGAGGAAGTTGTTATTACTACCCGTCGCAAGAAAAGACACTCCACTCCGCTCAAGGCCGATGACGGTTTCTTCGAAGATGATTGCGAAGTTCTCGACTTTGCTCGTGACCGAGTGTGATTGGAACAATGTTTCGCTATTTGAATTTTTCTTTTGACTTTCTTATCCTTACACTATCTGCATTGAATTAGAAATTGTGATTATACGGCCTCGCTTATTGCAATCGGAGTTTGGTTTCCTCCTCTTTTCCTTTTCTCTCTGGTTTGTTGCTTCTCAATACTATCATTCTTGCGTGGAACATACTAAACTCTTGCATAAACCCATACGATCTTTCCGTCAAATTGGGTGGTTTCCAGTTCTTTGATTCTATGGCTTTGCTTTTGCTTTCGATTTGATATTTCACGTCTGATATCGTTCACAAACTCAAATACCCAAGTACCCAGATCCAGTCTCGAGCGACCTGGGATTTCTTATGTCCTGATAGATCGGAAGGTTCGGCGATGATTTACAGCAAGGTTGGTCTCTTTTTATTTACCTCCCCAGGCAGTGGGATGGGCATACACCTTTTCAACAAGCCCTAGGCTAGAATGGAATACAATTACCAAAACACAGATAGCTGCCAAGCACCAAAAAAATATATTCTATTCTATGTGCGAGTTTGCCTCTCATGCCTAGAATCAGAGGTGAAAGGCTGAATGCATTTTATCAGCCCTGTTCCATCCCATCATTGTATACGTGTACCCTATACTACATGTAATAGTGACAGTGGCCAGCTATGTAGGTATGAGTATAAAACGAATAGCAATTATATCCAATGGCATTTCGATATCCACATTGTTGTCAAAAAAAAATCCCAGATCCAAAGGCAGTCTAACGCCAGCTTCTAATTTCATCACTCATCACTATCTTCATTGATTGCTTTGCCCTGCTTCTGAGCTTTAGGTTTTGACCCACTACTGAAGAGAAGACTAGCATCCATCAATTCAAAGTCAGACCCATCATCACCAAAGTCATCGTCCAAAAAATCAAATGGATCATTGCTTTGCTCGGGCTTGCCGTCTGGAGACACTAGAGAGAAGACCTCCCTGCCAGCAGGATTTGAGGCTTTTGTAGGACCTCGTCGAACAGGAGGTCTAGGTGGAGTTTCCAAAGATTTCTGCTTACGCCGAGGCTTCTTTGCGGTAGCACTCTCAGTCATTTCATTCGACTCGTCGAACGACAGGGGTTCGCGGGCCAAGATCTCTTTGAATCGGCGATCGCAGTCAGGGCCAGCCTCATCCATCTTCCGCAAAGCTTTTACCATGCGCTGCGTGAGCAATCCGTGCTTGACGTTCTTTGTGGGTCTTTCAACCAGCTGCAAACGCGGAAAGGCATCGATGCGAGGGAATCGAATGAATTGCGGAGATGTGGCTCCGACGTTTTGGTAATGGTGTTCGAGCTCCTGTTGCTCGCTCGTGCTGAGAAAGACATCTTCCAGAAGCGGAACGTCCACAGGCTCGGGTGTAGGTGTCCGGGGTCTCTTTTTGGGGGTAGCTGCCTTTTTGGTAGTGGCTTTTTTCTTTGGGACTTTGTCGCCAGCCATGGTTGAGGCTCGAGTGAATCCTGTCTCCACATTATCCGGCATATGAAAGACCTTTGGGGGTCGCTTCGGTGCTCGTCCTTTGCGCTTAGGCTCGGGTAGTTCTTGTTGCGAGTTCTCTGGGGGGATCTCGATTTGTCGTTTATCGGGTACTGGGCGGATGCCCGCGGGCAGGATGCGAGCAGAACGGTCGTCGTGAAATGTGAATCGGGAGCCACTGGCGATCATTTGTTGCATTTTTTCATAGTTGTCTTTGGCCTTGATGTAGGAGTCTTCTTCTTTGCCTTTCATTAATAGCAAGGTGATATTACCGGCTCGTTTACGACCGGTTCGACCCATGCGCTGCAACATGCGGATGGGCGATGCCGACGAGTCGTAGCACACAATGAGATCGACTTCTCCAATATCCAATCCTTCCTCGCCAATCGAGGTGGCCACGATGGTGTTGTATGTGCCTTTCTTGAAATCTTCAATGATCCTGAGCTGTGTCTTCTGGTCCATGCCTTCGGAGCCTTTCGCACTTGATTGACCCACAAACACATGAGGCCGGATCATCGGTCCATATCTTTTGAGCACTCTTGTGACCTCTTCCGCACTGTCGCGGAAATGTACGAAGATCATGACGCGAGTCGCGGGTTGACTAGTGCCGTCGGGCGTCTCTTTTCCTTCGCCTCGGTCCATGAAATGATTCAAGATCACCGACTTCAGATATTCCAATTTTGGATGGCCAATGAACTCCGGGTTTTTGCTCCATGGTTCAAGGTGACTGAGCAGTTTCTTGAAATTCTCATCCTGCAAAATTTGCTTTTGGTACTTGCCGCCTCCGCCTTTCTGTCCTTCGGTGCTGGATTTGAAATGAGCGACATGGCGATAGAATGGTACAATACCATGGTACTTGAGCAGATCGATGGCATGGGCCAAGCTAGCAAGAACAGTGAAAATAGCGTTGATTTTGCCCTTCAGCCCCATATTGGCATTTCGACCAACTTCCGACTGCATCCATTGTTGCCTCGCCACAGTAAGCCCATACGCAGTCAGACCCATTGGGTCACGTCCCCAGTATGCATTGAGGGTCCGAAGTTGGTCGAGCATGGGCTGCAGGGCTGCAGACATGAGGTCCATGCAGAAGACCATCTCATCTGAGTTCTCAAATATTTCGATTTCGATATTGCGAGCGTGAACATAGTCACGAATGTCAATCGAATTCTCCGTACGGATTTCGACTCGTGCTATGTCCAGGCCATCGATGACCGCTTGGACCGATTCAACAGTCGAGCCCGGGGTTGCTGTCAGCGCGAGCACACGAAAGCTCTTGTTGAAGCGTCGAAGAAATTTGACCACCTCCACGTAGGCATATGCACCCGTCGCGCGATGAGCTTCGTCAACAACCAACAATACGACTCGCTTGGGATCGGCGATTCCGGTCTTCAAATCGTTGATCAATGTTTGAGGGGTCATGAAAAACACCCGCTTTGCTTTCCATTCTTCGGCGCGAATACCCGGTGATGCTCCTCCTGTCAGCATGGTCGACTGCGAGCGTGGTATTCCGGCAATATCCAAACAAGCTGATACCTGCTGCGAGACCAAGGGTTTTGTTGGTGCTACAAAAATGATCTGCGAGTCTTTCGTCCAGCGAAACCAGTTGAGCATGATTGTAGCTGCTATGAATGTCTTTCCCAGACCCGTCGGCAAGGCCACAAGTAAATTGTGAAATAGGCCTGCCTGAGTTATATTGAACTGGTAATCACGGGTTTTCCCTAAATTTGTGGGGTATACCCAGGTATTCAATGCATCTTTCACAAGTTTGTGCTGGGTTGGTGGTTCGTTCTTCTGGGGAGGGCCCCAGTCTTGCTCACGCGGTGCCGAAGCTTCGGGGTTTTCAGCAATCATGCCGAATAAGGTGCTCTGTCGTAAATGCGGTTGTCTAATAGGACCAGCAGGTTGATTAATTCGCGATATTGCAGGCTGAACTGGCTGTGCTACCGGTGACAATAATGGTGAAGAATCAAATGCTCCTTCAGGTATGTCCTCCAGCTCAAAAGCGACATCCACCGGACCATGGGTGTTTGCCTTCTGTGGTGGGGCAAGCCTTTGCGGAGCAGTATTGTTTGACAGCCCCGGTCCTTGAAAAGCTGCTCTGGTTGTTTTCTCCTCCTCGAATGAATCCAAGGACGCTGCGATAGCGGCCATCAGCTCGTCATCGTCGGGAATATCCCTTTCCTGCCCACCACCTTGTGCTTCGGCTGCAAATCTTGGCGGAGGAGGTTTCACGGCAGGCTTCTGCCATCGTGGGCCCCGTATTCGTTCCGGGCTTGAGGAGGGTTGGGTGAGTTGCGTGACGAACATGTCATTTTGAACAGTGGCATGTTTCAGCACATAGCTTTTGTTTTTGGGGCGATCCTGGTAATCTTCAAAAGCCGAAGGTGATTCTCGACGCCGGGATGGCAATTCATCATCCTCCATATCAGAGAATGAGTCGATCGAAGACCCGTCATCGCGATCTCCGCGCCCTTCCCCGCGCTGATGTTCGATGCGACGGCGTTTTGCGGGGCGGGAGGGTCCATCGGGGGTTCCTGGAACTACGAAGTCGTCATCATCAAAGTAATCCGACTCGGAATCAGTCGACATCGCGCGAATGGTTGGAACACATTGTCATTGTTCCCAAGACATGCGTCTCGCGTCGCGTCGCGTAATCAGGTGACACTGTTTGTATGGTTTGCACTGAACCCTTGGAGATGCCCAACTTCCCAACTTCCCACTTTGTCTCTCCAAATGCCAAGTTCAGACTAAACGGACTAGGTCTAGTACATCGTACGAGTGCCTGTGCGTTGTCTTGGAGTGAGTTGGACAGTCATTCTTCAATCTTAGGTTCTATTCTGGTCTCATTTTCCGTAGAATACGATCTTTTGACATTCCATCTGACGAGATCGTCGCCCCACGATTGCGTGCAATGTCCTCCGTACTACCTGTGCTATGTTAAGGTTGTCCTTTGTGTTCCCTCTGGTTTTTGGGGTCCCTGCTGCCGAGCTCTTCAGTCCAATAAGAATGGCAACAATGCTCGAGCACAAAATAGATTGGTCCCTTGCTCACACGCTAATGCCCGGCGTCAATCAATATTCCCCAATTTGACAGGTCCACTCTCCCCAGAGTCTCAATTTGCGACAAACCAGAAACCCCCTTCTAAAGGGGGAGATTATCCTGCACGATTCTCTGGCCCGGGGAAGCAAGGTGATCGCCCGAGGCATGGGCTGGATGGACTTGGTCGGTCGAAATTGAAGGATGGTGGTGAATGACCCCAATATACTCGGGTTCAATCTGAGACATCACGAATAAGAACAGGCGCTAGGCCTGATTTTGACTCTGGGGATATGTTTGAGGCAAACCCCATGTCAGGGTCAAGATTCTTGGTTTGCTTTGTGTGTTTTGCTATTAATATCTAGGTATTTAATCCTCACTTGTCTCCTCGTTCCTCATTCCACCTCTGTCACTCTCACCGTTGCTACCTTCAACCACTGTTTCCTTTCGTTGGTTTTAGATTCTCTTGATATCATTTGATTCAATATGAAGTTCAATATCCTTGCTCTGTCGGCCATTATCGCTCTCGCCGCTGCCGCGGAGACCACCACCGCGGACGTGTCAACCACTACCCTCACAGCCGAGGCTGAGTGTGCAAAGCAATGTGAGCTATCTTTTCATACTACATTTACATCTCTGTACAAAGTACGATGTACTAACGAACGGTCCAATTTTAGGCGACGCCAAGGATATCTGCTGCACAGCCAAGTGCTACAAGGTGCCTTGTCCTAGTGACAACCAGGCCAATGATACGAACGATTGTGTTGCTGCCTGTCCCCAGGGTACTGGTACCCCAGCCGATGCGGACAAGTATGCCGCCTGCGAGCAATCCTGCTACACCTCGCATTTCTGGGGCGGCAGCGGTAATGCTCCAACTGCTACCAACACTGCCGCCGCCGCCACTGGTACCGGTAGCACTGCGACCAAATCCAGCTCTGACTCCTCTACTACGGGCTCCAAATGTATGTTCCATTGAATTCTGATTTGACAATGGAGAAGTCTGCTAACACTGGTCGCTAGCCTCGGACAACGATGATAGCAGCGACAGCTCCTCCAGCTCGGGCACTGCTACCTCTTCAGGCTTCTCGCAGGAAACAGATAATTCCGCTTCCAATGTCAAGCTCGGCGCTTCCGCTGCTGGCCTCTTTGGCCTCGTTGCTGCCGCCTTCGCTCTGTGAGCAGATTGAACTGGGTCTTGGGTTTACAACGTTTTAATTCAGCATGGTCATACGGGACTTTCCCTGATCTGGATCTATGGGGAGTCCTGTTGACCTTGCAATAATCTTGCATTCTTCTGTGTTATAGTGTCTTGGATATCAATTGGAGCCTTTGGTGAATGGAATCTTATTACCTTGCAACGGGTGTATTATGATTTTTTTTTCTTTCCCACCTATTGTTCATGCATCTGTGGAGTAGTCCGAATCAAAAATGTGTGCTTGGAATGCGCATCCAATGTTGATCACATGGCCCGTTGCCGATCAAGGATCAGGAGACTGTAGAACCCCCCATGAACCCCCACATTTTAACGGCCCTATCCACGTATTTTCTGCTAATTGTTAGGCAGCCATGAGGTTCTTTCAATTTTACGCCTTTGCAGGCGCCAAGGTTACATTGTAGGATTGGAGTATGCACTCATTTGATGCGGACAGAGTGAAGTGACTTTCACCGCCCAAAGGGTGTTTATCGGGGGAAGAAATATATTGTTGATCACTAGGAGCACCGAGCAGTCTTCACCTCTATGTACAAAACCAACCTGGACCATTGGCATATTTCCTTGATCCCATCCAATATATATTGTTGGACCAACTCAGAAACAAACAAATTCTTGCCTCAACGGTGGAGATCACCTCGAAAGTCCCCACAATGGATGATACCAGTGCAGAATTCCAAACGCTCTTCAGCGCAATGTCCGCTTTTGTAACGGACTGCATGTCTGGACACGACCCATCGCACAACCCAGCTCACGTCCACCGAGTGGTAGCGCTCGCCAACAAGATCCTGAACGCAGAGCGGGCGCTGCACCCGCAAACGCAATTCAATGGCGCCGTCGTCAAGCTCGCAGCACTCCTGCATGACATCGGAGACAGAAAATACCTCACCAAGCTGGATACAGCATCGGGCGAAGAGCTCGACCCAACGACGATGGTACAACACGCTCTCCTTGCGCGGGGTGCGCCTCCAGAACTCGCATCTCGAGTGCAGACAATTGTGTCCCACGTTTCCTATACGACCGAGTGCAAGGATCCAGCTTTGATCCGGCGCTTGATTGACGAAGATGGCCTTGTCGAACTTGGAGTTGTACAGGATGCGGATCGACTTGATGCCATCGGGGCTATTGGAATTGGGAGATGTTTCACTTTCCTTGGGGCTGTCGGAAAGAAGTACTGTGTTGATGGGAAATGGGAGATGAACAATTCCATCGAGCACTTTGAGGACAAGTTGGTCAAGCTGGAGGGGATGATGAAGACTGCCACTGGAAAAGAAATGGCCAAGGTACGAACAGAGAGGTTGAAGGTCTTTGCGGGATGGTGGGAGGAGGAGATGGATCTTGCTTCTACTTCTATCTAGTATATAATTGTATTGTCAGCGCAAATTTGTCATAAACTTTCTATGCATACAATGCATATATAACGCACGCTCCGGAGATGCTTATTTGTAGATCTCCTCAAGATACCTTGCGATTTCAGTGGACCTAGTGATCGTAAACACTTTCTTAGGGAAGACAAACATAGTCTCAGTTCCGCAAGAAGTGCAATAGATACACCTAAGCGGGAGAAGCCTTCTGCTTCTTGGATTACAATAATTTAGGGATCCGATAGCTATGTCGCCAGTCTCGTTGATACGATGACATAACGGGATATATGGTGCATTGTACTAAGAGCTAAGAGGACCAGCGAAAGCTATCTTTGAACATAAATTCATAGATTTATCGTTGTAGCCATCTATATAGTTTTCTTCCTTCTTTGTCAAAGTTGGTTTAATGTTGTTGGTATAGATCACATACTGCCACGCCATCAACATGACATATGCACGCACCTCCTCCACCCAAGATCAACACCGCTGTCCCCTCCGCCAGAGAGTATATACAACCAACCTCGCAACCATGGCTGATGCACAATTTGATAGCGCGCTGTGAGTATTCTGACTTGAAACTCACCTGGAACCAACAAATTCCCCCACACCTAATCATGGCATCTACCATGACAATCCCAAATCCAGACCCAACCCCGCCCCGATGCAGTCGGAGAGCATTGAGCTGACCAGCCTTCTCCAGCGACCTCCTTCGGCGCCTGAACCCGCGGGATACCAAGAAGAACCTGCAAGCCATCACCACAATTGTCCCCGAGCTCACCGAAGACCTGCTCTCCTCCGTCGACCAGCCCCTGGAGATTCGCCGCTGCCCCCAGACAAACCGCGATTACCTGCTCTGCGACTACAACCGTGACGGCGACAGCTACCGGTCACCATGGAGCAATGAATTTGATCCTCCACTCGAGGATGGTACCGTGCCCAGTGAGCGTGTGCGCAAGCTTGAGGTTGCCGCCAACGAGTCGTTCGATGTTTACCGCGAGCTGTACTATGAGGGAGGCGTGGGGAGTGTGTATTTCTGGGATTTGGACGATGGATTCGCTGGTGTGATTCTCTTGAAGAAGGGTATGTTTTGGACCGAATGCGTGTTACTCTGAATGTTCGAAATTGCGACTGACTCGTCCTTTTGATTAGGTGTCACCCCGGGCTCCCAGAGCTCCGGCGAATGGGATAGCATTCACGTTTTCGAAGCTACCGACCGCGCTCGCATGTCCCACTACAAACTTACTAGCACCGTTATCCTTCACCTCGCCAATAAAACCGAGGCTCTTGGTGATATGGACCTCAGCGGCAACATGACTCGCCAGGTGGAGGTCGATCTGCCTGTGGAGTCGGATGCTAGCCATGTCGCCAATGTCGGCAGGTTGGTCGAGGATATGGAATTGAAGATGCGGAACTTGCTGCGTGAGTTTATCTCTCTGCTCGCTATTGAATGGATCGAACAATTTATACTGACCTGGGCTTTCACATGACAGAGGAGGTTTACTTTGGCAAGGCTAAGGATGTGGTCGGCGAGCTCCGAAGTAAGTGGATGGACTTAAAATCAATACTGCCACAATATGCTAATACTCATTTAGGCTTGGGCCCACTTTCTGATGCGAACAGAGACCGGGAAACCCAGCGGGAGATGATCATGTCCATGCAGAAGTAGTCCCGTTTACTGTTCCGACAAATATCATGTTCGGCTAGGCCGAAGAGCTAGAATTGTTGCATTTTCATTGTGTATAGCTTAGTTCTGTGAACATGCTCGAGTATTGAAACATACACATTGCTGTTGAAAATTGGTTGCTTGGAACCATGTATTCGGTATTATCTCACCAGACTCAATTGTATTCGTAAGTCTCAATGCCAGTGGCTGCAGAGAGCCTGGGTATCATAAACGCATGAAGTAACCACCACCGATCCCGCCAAAGTAATCAATGGCTCATCGTTCAATCAACCTGCATGTCCTCCGGTTCATTCGCTGGCTTGGAATCCTTGCTTGCCTGAGAAGGCTTTTGCATCTGCTCAACAAATCCTCGAGCAGCTGCCCATAGTTCAGCCTCCTTGTCTTTCCCAACTGTATCTTTCCGGCTGTTGAGACGACTGATATCCAGCGAGTTTGAAGCGCGCAATTTAGAAGCCGCAGCTTCGTTTCTGGCTCCGGCTTTTGTATCGCCTGTGCGCGAGCCTTTCTCAGGCCCTACGAGAGACGATTCATCTAAGGAGTAGACCTGACGTCGTAGATAAACGTCAACCGAAGAAAGAAGTGCAAAATACTGCGCACTTGCTTCTTTGAACCGGGATTTGTGCGAGTCGAGAGATCCATCTGTCGGAACGGAGGAAGAGGAGCCTGGTTTGGCGTTCGTTAAAGCTTGGATAGCGAGACCAGCAGAATGCAGAAGTTTAGTTACGTCCTGATGAAGAATAATCAGCCAATGGTTCGTAAATCAATTGATTTAATCGTAGTACCTTGTCCACCTCATTCAGCTGTCGTATGCGATCGGCGGAGGTAAAGCTCTGGACATCTTGCGGGGATGCACTTTCGCCCATATTGATCGGTCGCAGATAGAATGGAAGAACAGATCGTCGTATCCGTACTATGTCAACCACACCAGCTCCGAAAGTAGGTAAGGATGCTAGTTCAAAATATCGTAATGATGATCGGGAACATTCCTAATGCCATCACGTGTGGAATCTGGGGAGGATCTTAGTAATAAGCGGTGAGGTCGGCGCCGGGGGATATCAAATTCGGGATATCAAAACCATCCCGCCAAGTGCTCAAGGTCCCATATTGCTTCAGTAGCCGATTTACTTCGGATCAACCGAATCGTTTGCCGCCTCTTTTAATTGTAGCGAACACCAGCGTTTGTCGCCGCTGAAATCTCGGGTTTCCACCAATCTGGTCCTTTGAAAGCACAACCCTCATCGCCGTACCTAGGTAGGTAACCATCGCGATTAGTCGCCCATCGATTAGTCGTCCGTCGATTATGTCGGCGCCAGGCGGGGCTCCTAGCCCTGTCCCACGCAGTGGAAGCATGGGACCAGGTAACCCAAACAGTAATGGGATGGGGATGTCTTCTCAACCTCTTCCTGTTCATCAACCTCCCACACCTGGACCAAGTGCACCACCCAGTGGTGCTATGTCCCAGCAAAACCTCAATCAAATAGTAAGTTTCGGCGTGATTTCTTTAAATGTCTTTTGTTCCGTTGCGTTTCTCCTTGCGGCCTTTGTCCCTGTTCTCTTTGCCTGTTGTGTCTATTCCCCACGTGTCAGACTGAGCCGAGTTGAGGAGGCTCGTTCTCACCAACATTCAAACCATATCTGCCGCCCATTGAATCTCGATGATGGTGGTGGAGACCCATAACGAAGGGTTCGAGGTGTTCTAACTCAGCATCCATGGCATTGTTGATATGACAAGCCTGGGAGTTAGTTCCCTGTTCAAGCGCTGTTGTATCCTGTGGATGGCGACCAAGGTCGTTGACGGAGACTGCGAGGCATACCACTCCGTGCTGACAAGCCGTGCGATGAAATGTACCACGAGCCCTGGAGATGCCTATTCTTGGGCTTCACAGTCTGTGTATGGCGACGGGAGGAGGTCAAGAAGGATGATCGAATGTGTTTCAATGCGGTAGTCGACAAGCCTTTGGGTTTTGTGCTCATATACTATTGCGATCTGCGGGAGATCATCGAGCTATATGATAAACGACGACGACGGATGAGTTCTCGCGACACCGAACAATGTGGTTGATGCGACATGCCCTGAATTTATGATCAGCTGTTTTTTCGTTGCCCATTGCAGCTCATGGTTGCTGATCAATGGCTTTGATTGAGCGCCTGAGGCAACGCAGTTCAAATCCAGATATCTGGCCGGAGCCTGCTGGTGCATACCTCAGTTTGCGAGAGACGTGATGGGTTGCGAAGGATTCATTGATGTTTCGGACCTTCCAGTATTGGAAAGCAGTACCGGTACTTGGGCGCCGACATAATCGCTAGGGTACGTGTTCAGGCGACCTATTGCAAGGCTGCGCTGTCGCATCCCATGTCGCGATACTCTTACACGGGTTTCCTCTCATCACCCTCTCTCAACTTCATCAACATCTTTACCATTTATGCTCATCATCACTTATCACCTCTTTGATTCGGTTCATCACTTCGTTTTATCTTTTCATCTGTTTCTATCATTCTTTGTTATCAATTTCGACATTTGAATCTCAGAACGTGCGTCCTGAGATTGATCTACTGCCCCGCTTGTTTTTCTTGTTCCAAATCACCATCTTTCCGCAAGTCAATCGACATCGCTGGCACTATGGCGAAAGTGACAAAGTCCAGAAGATTGTCCAAGAAGAAACAGAATCTGAAAAACAAGACTGCCCGTCGTCAACCAGCTGAACCTGTTGCTCAAAATGATAAACCTTCCACTCCTTCCGCTCCAGCTTTGACGGGGCCTCCTGAGCTTCCATCTTTGACAGAGGCTTTGCCTACTACCTCCCCTGCTGTCGTACGTGCAACCCCTCTTCAGAGCGGTGCTTCTGGCTTCTCTCCTCCGGATCGCGATGTTTCTACGAACAAGGGCCAGCGTAAAATCCGCCTGCGCCTGCTCCTGCGCCCTCCCATCATCCCAGACCGTGGTGATGTCGAATTGCAGCCTGAGGAGCAGTCAAAAGCCCGTGAAGCAGGACTCCGACGCGCGAGAAGGTCTGAAATCCATCAACCCGTCCCGGCACAGCCATCCTCCGTCAATCCTCTGTCAAGCAGCCTCTTATCAGAAGGTCCATCAGCCCATGAACCTCAAGTTCAAAGCGCAAGAAGTTCTGTACCAAATCAACCTAGCTCAACAGAACCTTCTTCCGCAAGTGGTTCATCTAAGGATCCTCCGCCGGCAGGGCCACCAACCACTGTAACTCAATGTCGACCCGCAAGAAGTTCTGTACCAAATCAACCTAGCTCAGCACAACCTTCTTCCGTAAGTGGTCCATCGAAGGATCCTTCATCAACAGGGCGAGCAAGCAGTGGTCCATCATCAGGCCTTCCATCATCGGGACGTCTATCATCAGAGCCTCCATCAACCACGATTCCACCACCAGAGCCTCCATTATCAGATCGTTCATCATCAGTCACTGGAAACCTTGATAACGTTACATTGGCTGTCGGTCAACCCATTTAGCTTGTCTTTTGCGTTCTTTGTTTTGTGCATTTCTTTGTTATTGTGCTCAAAACAACTTTCTTCCAATCGTGCGCTAACATTTGATGTTGTATAGGTCATTGATTATCTTGCCAAAAAGGGCTACAGTCGTACTGAAGCCATGCTACGAATGGAGTCTGCTAATCAGGAAATTGATGGGCGTCCTCTCCCCCAGCTGGGGGAGGATTCTCGCCCCAAGACCAGACAAGGATTTGGTAAGTTGGCAATTATACATATTCAACCCAACATGAAAACTAATGCATGACCTAGATTTGCTGAAGAATTGGGTCGAGGAAAACCTTGATCTTTACAAGGTAAAACACAAAATGAGCAAGTGTAGAACTTCATGCTAACGGACCTACAGCCTGAACTGCGGCGTGTTCTATGGCCCCTGTTTGTCTACTCATTTTTCAACATGGTCACATCGTTCTATCCTCAAGATGCGAAGACATTCTTTGAAACCAACAAGAACATGTTCCTTCCTGAGCACACCGACGATATTCGTCACTTCGAGCCTATCAGTTTACCGGAACACCTGCAAGATAACTCCATTGCCAAGCTCTACCGAAACAACAAATACCGCATTGTGCTTAGCAACCCCGCTTACACCAACCTGCTCCAGTTCCTGGAGAGCAAAGATAAGGAAGGAGGTTCTGTGATGAACGCAATTCTCAGCAGCTTTTGCTCGATCAAAACCCTGGAACGAGCCGCAGATGACCGCTTCAGTTTCGCTGCCATGTTAAGCCAGATGAACGCGGATCAGACCTCCCCTGCTGAAGATGAAGGAATTCCTGGCCATCATCCTGGCTCTGCTTACACTGGTGAAAACCCGGCCATGGCAGGCACTTTGCCCCGTCTTAAGCTCGGCAAACTTCCTATGGAGCAGCTTCTGGAGGAGGATGTGCGTGCTGAACTGGCTGAGGAAGATGCTAAACAAGCTCCCCCCTGGCCGTAACACGCTCATTCAAGAGTTCGATCAAATGATCAAAAATGAAGAGGATGACGAAGCGCCTTCTCGTGCTGACATTCCATTCCCTCCTTCTACTGCTCGTGACGTTCATATTGAAGTGCAAAAGGTCATGGAGCATCGCGATCGATTTGAGATTAAGTCTCGCACAGGTGGTGTTGGCCCTGGCATCAGTGTCTGCATGTTCACATTCCACAACAGTTACGACGGGTATGTTTGCTTGAACGATTTTCGAACCTAGAGCTTTACTAATATCTACATAGTATCAATTGCATGGACTTCTCAGAGGATAGCAAGCTTGTTGCTGCCGGATTCCAGCAGTCATACATTCGAATTTGGAGCCTGGATGGCAAGCAAATTCCAGCTGCTGTTCCTGATCTTGATGTTGCGCCACCTGCCAATTCTCGCCGTCTCATTGGTCATTCAGGCCCCGTTTACGCTGTTGCATTCCAGCCCTGCGCAAACGCTCGCGACAATGTCTCCGAGGGCGATAGAGTTCCGACCAATGCACGCTGGCTACTTTCGTCGTCTGCCGATAAGACAATCCGCCTCTGGTCTCTTGATAGCTGGCAATGCATGGTAGTCTATAAGGGCCACGATCGCCCTATTTGGGACCTGAGCTGGGGACCCTTCGGTTACTACTTCGCCTCTAGTGGATCTGACAAGACTGCCCGTTTGTGGGTGAGCGACCAAATCCGCCAACAGCGTATTTTCTGCGGCCATGAGCAAGATGTGGATGTCGTCTGTTTCCATCCCAATTCGGCTTACATTTTCACCGCTAGCTCCGACCACACTGTCCGCATGTGGGCTGTATCGACTGGTAACGCTGTTCGCATGTTCACAGGTCACTCTGGAAACGTCACTGCCATGGAGTGCAGCCGCGATGGCAAGATTCTGGCATCCGCTGACGACCAAGGCCAAATCATCCTTTGGGATCTTGCCCCCGGTAGACTGCTGAAGCGCATGCGTGGCCACGGCAAGGGTGGTATCTGGTCTCTGAGCTGGAGTGTGGAGTCCACCGTGCTGGTGTCCGGAGGAGCTGATGCTACTGTTCGCGTCTGGGATATCGCTGGTTCCCAGGAGAATGTTCAGGGCCGTGTCATCGCCGAAGGTGGGACCGGCACCCGACTGGATGCTGGCGGAGCCCCGCCCACCAGTCAGAACAAGAAGAAGAAGGGCAAGGATGTCGTGGTCACCGCTGACCAGATCAGCGCGTTCCCCACGAAGAGATCCCCCGTCTACAAGGTCAAGTTCACCAACATGAACTTGGTGATTGCCGGTGGTGCCTATTTGCCTATGTAAATGGCACTTTGATTCTTCTTCATGCATGCCACGGCATGCTCGCTTATCTCTCAGAATACCCTTACGCCTCATTGTTTTATCAATTCATTTTTAGGATCCGCGCACGATCATTCGCGACGGATCCCGGCGGCGTTCGGGATTTTGAAACCCTCATTGTCGGTGTTTTTTTTTCGGGTGGAGTGGCACTTTTGTGCCTGGCGGCTTTTTTCTTTCCTCTTTCTTTCTGTGCTTTGTTTTAGTTTTTAGTTTCTTTTTGCTTTTCTCTTTGTGTTGATGGCAACAGGGTGGAGGGGATCTCCTTTCAATGAGGGCTGGACTGCCGACTGCCTCGTGTGGAAGGACTTGACCTGGGCGTGAGAAAGGAGACCCTTTCACCCTGTTGCCGGAAATGAAAGTTATTGCTTTGATTCATTTTCTAAGATATGCCGTAGTAAACATGTAGCTATATGTCATCGATTGATCATACATATGATGGCAGTAGAATAGTAAAGAACGTTGCTTTGGTAGACATGCGTTTGCAACACAAATGGTGCTTCATTAAATGTCATTACAAAAAAAGCATACAAATAATCGAGAGTTATTTCAAATGTCCCGTAAAGCCACCAGGAGCACCTGTTCCTTTCTTCATTGCAGCCGATGCCTGCATATCCGCGACCTTAGGCGGAAGCACCAACGCGCTCCGGTCATTTCGCCGATAGAAATCTGCTAAGATTTGTGCAGTTTTGGCCGGCTGATCTTCATGGACGAAATGGCCCGCTTCAGGAAAGACCTGGAGTTGATATTTCCCTGTGATTCAAAAGTGAGCATAGCGCCAAATAATTGTAGATCAAGGACAAAGAGAATTTGGAAACACATACCTTGCATCTGCCCAATCATCAACTCTTTATCTAATCGATCAGTGCCAGCAAGTAGCAGTAGCTTGCCGCCTCGCGCATCGAGGAACTTCCTGCTCAAGCCAACGAACCAGTTCTCCCAGAAAGGTTTCGTTGCGGAGAGGTTGGTACGCCATACCCAGGGACGTGATGAATCGCTGGGCTCGCTCTCTTCGTATAGGAGGGATGGAACCGAGACACGGGCGGAAGTTGTATTGCGGATTGTGCGGGAGCGAGTACTGCGTTATCCGTTAACCATGAGTTGAAAGGAAGGACTGAGTCGGAGTGCAAACATACTGCCATTCAATCCCCGATAGAACTGAGGGGAACCGAGTTGGACGTGTCATAAGATACTTCTCCATGCTTTGGAGAGCATCCATTGCAGAGCCTTTCGAGAAAGAATATTAGTATATTAGAGACAGTAGATTCCCAACCCAGTGTACCTTCAACGACATCGAATACCGCGTATGCCAACAACTTCTGCCCCAGCTCTCCTTTCTTAGCAACATCTGTAATCACTGCACCGCCGAGACTGTGTCCGACAAGAATAATCTCGGGAAGATTCTCCCAGCCCATCCTGGTTTGCGTCTGGTAGATCACATGGACTAGATCCCGACTCAGGGTCTCGAGACTGAGATCGAGCTCGACCTCTCCGGAGGACTCGGATTGAGCTGCAGTTGATATAGCCGGAGCTGCATCGTCCGTCTTCGTATCCAACGTTGTCATAACAGTGCGGCCATGGCTTCGAGCATCCAGTGATAAAATCCCCGCCTTCGGGAGAATCTTCCGAATCTCTTCTGCACATGTTGCGAAGGATAGACCGGATGAGCCGGCTCCATGATGCATGACAAATAGCGGACCTGATTCGGTCGGTGGTGTTAAATAGACATGGTGAACAATATGAAGATTGCCCACTTCCTCCGGCAAAAAGAGCTCCTGCTCAAAGAAATCCGTCCATGTTAAAGAGGTTTGAGATGACTGTCTGTCAGTTCCATATTAGTCCCATCTCATGAATTTTAGCCGATTGACACATCTCAATGATCCGAAATCGGGCTGGGGGTTGTAAGTAAACGAACCGTCGTCCCGTTCGGGCAAATAAATGGCGCGTGGGCGACGGGACCAACGTCCCGGTCGACGAGACCGAAGAAGCCGACGAACCATCCTCCCATGCATCTTCGGGGTGAGCCATTGATTCAGGCATCGGTACTTCGGATGGAAATTGGGCCAATTTCGCTTTGGCAAAGGATTTCTGAAGCTCGCTCATCTCAAGTGGATACCACGGCTGCGTCGATCAAAAGGAGGGGTCACAGAATTGAGGGCCGGTACGGAGTACACATATGTTCTCTGCCACAACAAATAATCCAATGAGTTATGGCTTTTAGAGGAAATCATCGAGGGCATTCGGATGATTTCTGTGTCGTCAGTTACCGCTGACTAATGTCGCGATTTCCCGAAGAGGCATCTTGTGAGAACTGACATCGACATTCGCCAATACATCAGAACCCTGCAATATGTGTTGTGGCTTGATATGTCCATAATAGGATTAGTGACTCAAGCTAAAGTCGCATATAGCGAAGTATATACGGTGTATGTGCCGACAGCCATCATCTCACATCGCAAAGTAGTGGCGACTTTGGTCTTCGCTGCACATCCCAGTCTACAAGTATCACATGTAATGCCATCAGTGAAAATCTTGTCCAAGGCAACATTCATGTATTCATGGGTAGCAATACATTCTCAGTTCGAATGAGTGGTTATCATGTAGGGCACATCTATGGAGAGCTTTGTGTGGCATACCACTCGACATCAGAATCGATTTGGACACATAGCTTGCATCTTATGCGCAAATGGTACCGGGTCATTGCCACGAGGATTCTCAAAAGACAAATTGGGCCGATGAGAGAAGAGAGGGAATTTGATTTAGTCAGGTAGATAGGCCATATATATCCACGGACAAACGCTATGTCAGAGATAAGCAGGAACAAAAGACCCATTGGAATCACGCATCATGATATGCGTACGCTAAATTACATTGAGGATGTGAAATCTGCAGCGTGTATTGGCGTGGAACAGACCTGAAGGAATTTCCCTTGATCATACGCTCGCAATGACCGGGTGAGACCAGCCCGATTGTACGAAGTGTCGGCAAGCATTTGCATACGTTCAACCAACTTAACGCCGGGGAGGAGGTGCAGTACTAAACTTTGTATCTGCCATAAATACAGCAATAAGGGCAGCCTGGCAGGAAAATCAGTCTTTGGATTCCATTTAAAAAGACACGAACTCACCAGAGACAGGTCAAACCCTTCCCCCACAAGGATTTCCAGCACTTGTCGGGGTATTAGAGAGACATCGTATTTAAAAGCAGCTGTAGCTGTGGGCAGAGTCTTGTTCATCGTTATGCTTTCACGCACATCGACCACTCTCTGGCCCCCAACAGTCGCAGAGAATCCCTGTCTCGTAGGAGAACTTGTGTCTTTCACTTCGACTGTCACAATTTTGTCGCTTTCACTTTTGGAATCTGACGCCATGGTGTTGCGAAAAGAGAGCTTATAGACATTCTTCATATCAACTCTGAAATCGACAAGCTCCTCGTCTTCCTTGCCGGGTAAACGCACCCGCAATGGTCTTTTCCAGGCTAGAGCTGTCGCACGAGACTGGAACATCGGCAGTCCCGATTCATCGCGGAATTCACGGGCTGGAGTATCCCCGTATTTGTGGCCAGTGACTGTGAACACGGTCGAGTCATCCCAATATCTCTTGATGGTGTATTCATCGGGCGACCGGTGGTCATATTTGGGTTTCAAGTAGAGGAGAGATTCTTCGCTGGCGATATGTTCTTGTCGAATTCCAACGGGCTGTGCCAGCCTTTTGACAGCCGTATGTACCGACTGGTAGGGTGTAGGGAGTTGATACATGGGGAATTGTGCAGAAGGAAATCTTGCAATCCCGACATGTGTTTGATGGAGAAGGGATCGACATGGCCCCCGTGGTCGCCCGACACGTACTCCAGTCCTACGATCTTGCTCATCATCGGGATCGACTGGAGGACTATCGCAGGATCATGGAGAGGACACTGAGAGGGGAAACCCACTGTACCCCTCATTTATCCCCAATGCAAAAGATAAGCCAGCGGATAAGCCCTTTTATAAAGCCGCTGTTTCCCCTGTGTCGGGCTTGTCGATCTTCTTCATTCTCTTCGCTTCAAAATGGAATATCGCTTGTGGTTGGCTGGGAAAGAGCAGGATGGGAATGCAGACCTGTGAGTGACGGAGACCGAGACATTGGAGCCCAGCACTGATCCATCGACAGCATCCCAATTGAGGATCCAGCAACCGGGGAAATCTTCGCGCAGTAAGAGAAACTCGATGCAAAATATTGGGTTTACAGTCTAACAATTGACAGATGTCACGCAGCCTCCGCTGAGGATGTAGAGGCTGCCGTCTCCGCCGCTCAAGCAGCATACAAGTCCGGCATATGGTCGCGTGCGAGTCGTCACCATCGCGCAGATGTGCTGGATAAATGCGCCACGCTTCTCTCCGATGCCCTTCCCGAATTTATCTCAACAGAGTCGAAGCAGACAGGTCGAGTCATTCGGGAAATGAAGGCCCAAGTCCCATCGTTAACAAGATGGTTCAAATACTATGCCTCGCTATTGAGAGTCGAAGAGCGATCTGTTCTCCCAACGATGGGAAAACTGCATAACTTTGTCGATCGAGTGCCTCTCGGAGTGGTCGTTCAGATCACCCCGTTCAATCACCCATTGTTGATTGCCGTGAAGAAACTCGCCCCAGCGCTTGCCGCTGGAAACAGTGTTATCATTAAGCCTAGCGAGCTTACTCCATTGACAACCCTAATGCTGGGCAAGATTCTTGGCCAAGCGGGTATTCCCGATGGTGTGCTGAGCGTCTTACCTGGGTATGGAGCCATCACCGGCAAAGCGCTGGTTGAGCACCCCTTGGTGAGAAAGGTGGATGTGACTGGCGGCACCGCGGCCGGTAGAGCAATTGGAAAGATTGTCGGAGGAAATCTAGCAAAATACACTGCCGAACTGGGTGGAAAGGCGCCCTTGGTCGTGTTTGAGAAGGCCAATATCGATACCGCGATCAACGGGATCGTCTTTGGAAGCTTCATCGCAAGTGGACAAACCTGTGTGGCCAGTACCAGGATTATTGCCCAAAACACGATAATGGAAGAGCTGTTGCAGAAGCTCAAAGCCAAGATCGAGAGCATTACGCGACGCATTGGGGCTCCGAGCAATCCTGAATCAACTATGGGACCGCTTATCTCGGAGAAGCAGTTGCGCAATGTGGAGCGTCTAGTGAATAGCGCCCTTGATGGAGGAAATGCGGTTTCTCTTGTCGGCGCAAAGCGAATAGCTTCTCAAAGTCTGCTTGATGGGTTCGACTTCGAAAAGGGATACTTCTATGAACCCACGCTACTTGCATCCGGCAAAGAAAGCAACAGCATTGTCAAAACATCTATTTGGCGCGAGGAGGCATTCGGTCCTGTTATTGTTGTCGCCGGCTTCGACACCGAGGAAGAAGCAATCGCCTTGGCAAATGATACCGAATTTGGATTGGGGGCTGGTGTATGGACACTGGACCTTCCCCAGGCCTTCCGGGTCTCCGAGCAAATTGACGCCGGAATTACCTGGGTGAACACCCATCATCGAAATGATCCCAGCAGTCCATGGGGAGGTGCAAAGTCTGCAAGTGGAGTTGGGAGTGAGAACGGGATTGAGGCGTATCATGCGTATACAACATCGAAAAGCACGATTATCAACTTTGCCTCTCCTGATGAGTCTCTGGCTGCAGATGACTGGTTTGGAGATGGTTCTAAGAACGTTCGATACGGTTGAATGAATACCGATGCTGGCTTCTTTAGGATCTCGCAGTGGGATTTTTTACATCCTTAGAAAGCATTCTAATTCAATCCAGTATAGCCTTTTATCAGACTACTTAAGATACATCAGGTGCAAGTCACAATGCTTACCTCTACCTACTCCATGAGTTGCATATAATCTTGGCCTCTCTTTTGTGTCATAAGACAAGACTTGAAGTTTTTTATCATGTTCTATGAAGTGGCAAATAAAAAGCAAACAAAAAGGACGTGCTACCTGGATATTCAGGATATAGATCTGCGTCACGAACACCCGGAGCAAGGGGAATGCATGATGTCATACCCATCTGCCCCAGATAGTATCAGGTTACGCCCAGGGCCATTTCTTCAAACCTCCCAAATTCTGGGATTTAATTTATTTCAACCGATTTAAAGCAAAGATCGACATTTTATCATCACCATGTCCGTCTGGGGTCATAAAAATGACCCAGATAGGCCACGAGAGCCAACTGACTACCAAAATGGGGAAGAAGATCGGAATGCGCCAGAGGAAAGATTTGAAGAACCTACGGAGCGCTCAAGATTGCTCCCCGAGAATAATAATGAGGGATTTCTGAGCCCAGATGATCCAGCTGTATGTCCAATACTCAAAAGACACATACAAACTACCACACCAATGAAGAGTTATAGTTAACTCGAGAACTAGGTATCTCCCTATAATCTATGGAGCGTGCGCATGTTACGCGGCGTATCTCTGATCGCATTGGCCCTGAGCTTTATCTGGTGGACATTCCTGCTGGTCTCAATCTTCGTCAGTCCGCCGATGATCCACCCGCGCGGATCGGGATTCTTTGCTTTTGCATATACAACTTTGGCAACGGGATATCTCGTGCTCGGACTCTTATTCTTTGCGGTACCATCCAAGCCGATGACAATATGGGGAATTATCCTTGCTCTGTTACTTCTGGTGGATATGTGTATCATCCTCGCCGTGCCACGGATTCGTCTTGAAGAAGGCTGGGTCGGGATCGCTTCTGTCGTCTGGGTGGCCTTGATCTCCATATACCAGGTCACACAGAACCGAGCAGTGGCCTGGGGTAAGAGGGAGGAGGAAGAGCGTCTTACAGGCCGAGAAGAAACACGGCGCTCGTTGTTGGAGTGGGTTGCTGTTTTCGCAGAAACGATCTTACTCGCTGCCATGGCAATTGCTGCCTTTTTGTTCACGACGACACTCATTTTGCGTGCTTGCGATGTCGGGCTGGATCCTCCGGGTGAGCGTTACTTGGTACATGGAGACTCTTATCAGGTTCATCTCGCCTGTGTTGGGAACAATACCGCCGACAGCCATGCACCGACGATTCTGCTGGAGGGCGGCAATGGGCCGGTTGAACATACACTGCAGCCATTCATCAACGATGTATTCAATCGTGGGTCCATCCCTCGATACTGTTATTGGGACCGACCTGGGCTCGGATGGTCCGACAACGCGCCCTCGCCACACTCTGCGGGCATGTCAGCAGACGCGCTAGCAGAGGCATTGGCACTTGCAGGCGAGACTGGTCCGTGGATAGTTGTTTCCGCCGGAGTTGGCAGTCTTTATTCGAGGCTGTTTGCCAGTCGCAACCTTCTTGAAGTTCGCGGCATCTTTATGATCGATCCCCTCCACGAAGCATACTTGGGACATCTGGGACGCCCCGGACGTGGGTTTTTGCTTTGGCTCCGTGGTATTATTTCTCCACTGGGATTGGATCGGCTTGTGGGGGCTATTGTACGCGGCCGTTCTCGCCAGGATCGCGTGATGGGACGCTCGGCCTATCAGTCTGGGAAATACATTAAAGCAAAGCTCCAGGAAAGCCTTGTGGCTGCTAGTATGACTGCCGCTGAGATACAGTCTGCTCGACATATCCAGATGGGTCATGCTCCGGTGGTTGTTGTGAGCTCTGGCCAAGAGGTTCGAAAGGATCAGCAGTGGTCAGAGCGACAGGAGGATCTTTCTCATATCACTGACAATCTTTTGTCCTGGGATGTGGCGGATGATGCACCTCATGAAGTATGGATGACCGGACTAGGAAGGGAGCTATTGGAAAGACGTTTGAAGGAACTTGTTGAGAAAAGCCAGGAATAGGAGCAGGGAGAATAATTATTACCGGTGGTTTCTTTAGCTGCTCGGGATCTTTCATTTTACTACTTCCACATGGCTTTGGCCGAGGCGAGGTGAAGGAGTGTATGCCTCTTTGGAATCTGTCAATTTCACGTGGGCTTTATTCAGGAGTTTAAATAGCATGCGATGGCCACTGAATGCGGCTAAATGTAAGTGTCAGACGTTCTTTTTCCGTAGCCATCTTGCCACCCTATATCTGAGTAGAAGCCTGGCTTCCTCAAGCTAACCCTCCGATAAAGACAGACTAAGAGACTTGGATCCGTTGTGGTCAGCAACGCTAGTAACCGTATCGTTGCCAAGGAGAAGCTTTGCTATATCGAGATAACCCCGGAATGAGGCGAGATGAAGAGGCGTGTCTCCGTTGTTACCAGCAATGCTAGAATCTGCCCCGCTGTCGATGAGAAGCTCAACAACGTCAATATGACCTCTCCATGTGGTGCAGGCGAGAGGCGTCCATCCGTAGTCGCTGGCAGCATTGATATCCCCACCACTGTGGAGCAAAGTCTTGAAGTTTGATCATTCCGTAAAGACCACTCGCTGATGGCTACTCGATTGTTTCCAGTCCGGTTTAGCGGAATTCGTGACGTCTTTGCCCTTGCAGGAATACCAAAGATGATTGACTAGAGCGTAAGAAGCCTGCATTGTAGACCGTTCTGCTCTGCTTCCGTCACCAAGGTGGCCGATTCGCCAGCGACATATTGACTCATGTAGTGAGATATTCATAATCTCACCAGGGGTGGGATCGCGTTTCTGCATGGCTACAAGACCTCGATGGAGCTCATAAACTCCTATCCTGAGTGTTGTTTCGTCTCGATCAACTGTTCGTAACTCCATGGAGGAATCGATGTTGGTTGCAAGGTCTATCGATGTCTCAAAAAAGTTGGAATCACAAAACAAGGACATTGGGGCTGCCCAGGGACCGTAAATGAGCAGAGGGTCAAGAGAAGACCCGCACATTGTTGTAAGTTAGACTAATGTACGGAGTAGTTGTAGGGCACGACTTTACTCCGTATGCTGCTCATAGGCGACAGTCATCATATGGCATAGACCTCCAAGGGTGCCAATTCAGATCCTTACACCATCCAAGCTTCTCAGATCTCCAAGGAGCAAGAGGTACTTCTCCCTGCATGATGGGAGTCAGGTTTGGCGGGATATCGTTGTACATAGTCCCAGTCAACTCCCGTCCCTCCTGCGGGTGAGGCTGCCTTGAGAGACGAATCATGTTAGATTACCCCTCACAAATATGCATGCTTATAGGTATAGTTCTCATATTGCTAAATTCTAAGCCATAAACCTCCCTTGGGGTAACTGACAGACCCGTCGACCTTGTCTACCTGATCTACCTTTCAGTTCTGAACCATCAAATCCTCACCACACGACCAGGGATCGATGACGTCTCGGACAAAAAGGCGATTCACATTCACAAAGGTGATTTTTGTGTTTCCTGGGCACGATGCGGGGAAATAAACCGAGGGATCTGGGAGAGTGCGATGAAACCGAGGGAAAGACGAAACCCGTCACTCTAAACTAGCTCCCTTAAACCTCTTAGCAAGCTGCTCACTCTCAGGGCTTGGAGATATGGATCGGGGTAAAGTGGAAGATAGGGGACTGCGACGTCTCCGGGTTTGGGAATCCGGGCGAGAAGGCTGTGCCGGGACAGGCCAGGGGCGCTTAGGGGGCCGCTCACCACTCTCTTGAAGAATTGTCATCAACGTCGCCCATCCTGGGGTATTCACGAGCTGCATGCCCTCGGCGGCGGATTTTGTTTTGGCAACACGGCAGAGGAGAGACTCCTCATCCTATTCATAATCTTGTTAGGCTCACATGCATGGAGGTACAAACTAAATGATAGAGAACAGACCTTGCTGAATGTGCCAACTCCGTGCAAGAAACACAGGATGTGGAAGTCGGAAATGCCTTGGATGGCTTTATTGGGATCACCATGGGACATGAGTTTCTGGGCAACGTGTCGAAGCTCTTGACTTTGGCCGACAACTTCGCGGTTTTCGATAGGGAATGTACTGTTGGTGAACAACGGACTTGATTCTGTCGGGAATCCATGGGTGAGGGTAACTAGGAGGAAATCGACTGGGAAACTCGGTTCTGCGCTCTCCTGAACGCTTGCACCGTACTCATTAATTCGTCGGTAAAAGACTTCAGGGATATATCGTGTCCTGCTTCCGACATCTTCATCATACTCTGATTGCACGAGCATCACCGTTGGGTCCGCGGAGGGTTCAATAATATCTCCTCGCACCATCTCAACTGCAGACACAGAGGCTTGGTATGAGCTGATAGCAATTGCACCTGTTTCGTCTCCGGTGAGCACACATGTTACAAAGTCCGAGCCGAACTGTCCTGTGTGACTCCATTTCGTGGACTTGGGGTTTTGTGCTTGCAATCTTGCAGCAAAGACAATTTCAAGTGAAGACAAGAAATAAGAGTCAATGTGCCGCTTGCAGACCACTGAACCGTCTCCGCGACCTCCATCAATTAGGTCAGTAAAGATGACACCAACCTTCTGCAATCCGCAGAGTCGGGCCACCTCATCTACTTCCTTCTCATTGTGCCAGTCATGAAGTGTGACGCCATCGACTTCACCCGTTTGTGGGGGCTCATAGATCGCCTGCACAACAGCTTTGACACCTAGTGGTACTTCGGTGTACTCTTCGTATGTCCCATATAAGAAACCCAGTCGTTGGGCGCCTGACTTTCGCCAGAAATCAAGGAGGGAGTTGATCAAATCGGGTGAGGAGAACTCCACGTGGTCTACCATACGGAAGTCCTGTGGCTGCAGACTGATTGCGCTTGGTTGGCACTTGGTGCAAATTCCTTCTGGCCAAGGCGAATGTCCTGATGGGCAGTCGGGCCGCACTCGGTAATATGGTTCGCTGAGAGGAGGCATGAACGAGGTTCCCATTTCGGGCTTGTTTGTTGCAGCGTTGATTTTGCGCAAATATGAATGGAAAGAAAGGTGCTTTATCTTTTTCTCTGCCATGTTTTTCGCATCGTAAGGCTCGAGTGGCATGCAATAATCACACATGCCCCGAGGACCATGTCTACACATCTTGTGGTCCATGCCACGTTTGATTTTGCCATCTTTCTTGTCCAGCAAATTATCTAGCGGAGACTGCTGTACGAGCTCCCACGGTGTCTTTGTCTTGCCGGGAGCGGAAGGGATCGGTTGTGACCTGATCGGAACCGTCTGTTGCTCGGAAATTGGCGCTCCATTCAATCGTTGCTCTGAGGTCGTGGGTTTGTTGCCGTTCGAGAGTCCATTATGTTGTGTCCGTTCCTTGTAGCCAACGAAGAGCTTATCCCCATGCCTTGAAACCAGGACCGCGTGAGTGATTCCTTCTGTAGACCCCAATCTGATATGGATGCTTACTTGAGACCGACTTTCTGCAGCGAAACCCCTTGCAAAGCTTCTAGTTCTCTCTCCTCACCACCTGTGCCGATCGGTTTATTTGAGAGGGAAATGGATGAAGGTTCGACATTTTCTGGGAGGTGTTCTAGAATCTGATATTGTTCACTTCATTAGCTTGAAGGCCTCACATTACTTTCATTTCCTTCCTAACCAAGAGCCAAACATACCTTTTTTTGGAGCGATGGGAAGAGTTCCTCCGGGCTGACTGTGACTCGAAATTGGCCGTTTCGACTCTCGAATCGCAAAAGGATAGATGCCATGTTGGCCTCTGAAAAGGGATCGCACTGACAAAGGAGAAGGTTGGCAGTATCTTCACCGTACTAGGATCATAGGTATGAAAAGAAGACACATGCAAGAAGGGAAGCTCGATTGGAAGCTTCCCTGGTCACGTCACAGATGCCGGGCGGTATGGTACTTGGCTGACAGAACACCCCGCGCTGGAAGGCGGAGTTTTGGGTAAAGCGCGGGTAAAGTCGTGACCATGGATACCGACATTGCTGCCACCAAGTGTTAGATGTAAATAAATACCTAGGTAGCTTGCTGGCATCCAATATACAGAGTAGTGTCAGTTTTGGGGTCAGTATATCAAACATTTTGAGACCAAATATCAATTACCTAGGTACAACCAATCATCTACAACGTTTAATACGTTAGATACCTACGGACCGGGTACCTACTGTACCTACATGTAATCATCAAAGTTCAGCTGTTGGCACGGATTATTACAGAAATAAATCATATATAAAGTACAATAGGTAGGTAGTTAGGTATGTAGTATTATTCCTTAGTTAGGCTATTGATAGTTGTACTTTGGAAGATAGAAAAGCGAGTGGGATATCCATATCATCGTAAGAAGTCGCAACGCCTGAGAGAACGCCCCAGGGAGAATAACAGAAAAGGGAAGAGCACAAGACACATGTCTATTGAATGACACACTTCTTGGGCAGACCGCATGGTCCTTCATTGCTCTTCTCCGTCTTCGCAGGTTCCTGAGTACCCTGCTGCTCCTTGGGAGCCTGCTTGACAGGTTCCTCAGCAGCAGGAGTCGAGCTCTCCGGCTTCGACTCGGCACCATCATGCAGTCACTGGACCTTGGAAACGGTCTCGTAGAAGGCCTTACCCTGAGCAGTGGCAATCTCAAGCTCAAGCTCAGAGGGCTTACGGGAGCCGTCGGCACCCTGTAGTCAGAATGGTCAGCAAAGGAAACGTATCGTGAGGTTGTTATATTAACTTACAGCGAAGGTACCAGCACCCCAGGGGCTGCCACCGTGAATCTCGGTCAAGTTGCTCAACTGGGCAAAGACAGTCTTGTAACCGAGAGGAACGTAGATGAAGCCGTGGTGAGCAAGAGTGCTCATGGAAGCAAGAGCGGTAGACTCCTGACCACCACCCTGGGTACCGGTGGAGACAAAGAGACCAGCGTACTTGCCCCAGAAGCCACCGGTAGCCCAGATGCCACCGGACTTGTCCCAGAAGGTCTTCCACTGGGCAGGGAAGTTACCGTAACGGGTGGGGATACCGAACAGAACAGCGTCAAAGGCAAGGAGGTCGGCGGGCTCAGCAATGGGGTAGCTAGCCTTGGCGGGAGCGTGCATCTTGCCCAAGATTTCCTCGCTGAGGGTCTCAGCGATCCTAGATATTCAAAGGTTACTTAATGCTATAGGAAAAAGGACCGGTACGACTGACTGGAAGATCTCGGCCTGACCACCAGCGGCCTCAATGCCCTTCTTCTCGGCCTCGGCCAGGGCCTGGATGTGGCCGTATGTGGAGTACTATGGGGAGTATTAGCGAGGAGGTGGAGGAAAGATGAAGCCATTGGGGGACGTACGTAGACGATTGCAACCTTAGGAGCCATGATGAATTTTTTTTTCTAGTATGCGGAGGGAAAGTTCTGGAGGAAAAGGTGAGAGAGAAACTGGGTCTTTAAGTAGGAGGGGCGGGGAGCTTATACTGATAGACACCCCACTAGGAAAGAATGTACTCGGTACCTCGGGAACGGTGATTACAGTACGGAGCACCAAGTATCTCTACCTGATCTTTTAATAATAGATTAGCAAGCGCAATAAAGCTTCGCAAAGGCAAATAGTCATCGATGACAGAGCTGGTACGGAAGATAATTGGCTAAGAACGACTCCACTCCGATATACACTGCCAGGACAGCTCGGGCGAGAACGCCACTAGCGCCTTGGCTACACCATGCCTATTTAAGGACTAGCCTTATCGTAATACCAATACCAGCGCAGTCTTATCCCAGTGAGTTCATATAAGAACCTTTGTATCAGCATGAAACATTTTACTAGTGCAGACAGTGGGGTAGTGGAGACTCTCGCCCGAGCTGTCCTGGCAGTGTAGCTCTGGCCTTAGTGAATTCTTACTGAGAACTGACAAATGAAAATTTATGCGCTAAGGGTGGGCATCCTCGGAATACCACCAAGTAGGACCCCAAACCATTGTATGAGGAGAGGTTACAGTACCTCGTGAGGTCATCTATGATCTTCTTTTGGTCTCCGGAATCAGAAGGATATACGCCTAGCTGTGCTCCTCAAAGTATGATGTCATTCACTTGCCCAAGGTTGACGGAGCATTGGTGAGCAGCATACGGAGTACTCCGTCGGCCAGATGGGAAATGATCCCCACTATGCGACTCAGATTAGTGGCTAAGCTGACATCGGTGTGCCTAGCTCCAGTGGCTGAATACTGACACTAAAGAGAATTTGGTTGCACGGTGCTAGGGGTCTATTGTCTAACGGAGCAAGTTTAGCAAACGGCAGACATGGCGCAAAGGCTAGGAAAGTGATGGTCTACATTTATCACCGGAGGCATTGAACTCAAGAGGGAAGACGGGGTTCCTTGTAAATATTTTTGCATCAAATCCAATGGGGTATCGCGGGGCTAGCGCAAGAACCGTAAACGAAAGAAACTAAAGACCCTTGCCGAAGCAAAACCTCACTCCATGCCATGCAATGTCGCCGAGAAAAGAATAATGTGGTAAGACGGGGGAATCCACCTAACCCCTTCCACGACCGCGGAAGCGACCACGCCCAAACCCACCACCCCGTCCACGTTCGTTGCGCCATTCTCGTTCCCGCTCCTTCTCCCGTTCTTGTTCTTCACGAATGAGGGCTCGTTCGTGCTCTAGTTCTTCCTCCGTTTTTTCAGTGCGCATTGTAGGCCGGGGTAGGTTCTCCGTCCAACGCGGGTGGGCATCAGCACATGCTTTGCCGTCGGGGCAGAACCCGGCCAGGTAGAAGGTGCACAGACGTCGGCGGACATGTCGCTTGGCACAAAGTGGTCCCAACTCGCAATATCCGCGGTCGTAGTGCTCGCAAGGCGGCAGGCGTGCCTCCTCGCGGACGTGCTGGTAGAGGCAATCATCACCATTGGTGCAGTATCCGGATCGCGAAAATGACTGGCATTCTGGCATTCGGCGAAGGTTGTATTCGTGAAGGTATTCGCATTTCAAGCCCTTCTTGCATAGTCCTTTGAGGAAATGTTTGCAAACCAGGGACCCGTGTGTTGTAGATGGCGCCATTCCGGAAGCTGTGGTAGTTGATGTTGTCACGCGAGATGGAGTAGGATGACGATCTGGGCAGGCGGGTCCTAATGGGCAGTGTCCTTCACTGTAAGCTTTGCAGACGGGCACATCGCTGGCGAGTCCGAAGCCGAAGCTCTTGCGCAAAAAAGGTGTAAAAGAAAAGTCATTATAGCTTGGATCGCGTGTCGGCTCGGCTGATAAGATGTGCGCAGCAGCAGCGCTTTGGGTATCGGCAGCCATGTCTTGATGGAGCTCAGGCTAAGTGTTGAGGGTAAAGAGATCGAGGGTCTTTGCGTGATAGGTAAATAAATGTACCTGACTGCGCTGTACACACTCTCCTTATCGGTAGATTATCAAGGGTCGCCAGTATCGTAGCAATCGCAGATATCAAATTTTCTTGGGCTGAGATTGAAACGGAGAAGAATATTCAAGGAAAGAGTATCAATTGATGAAGGAGGAGCTATCCGAGATGTTCTCCGGTTGCCGCCTTAGAAATTAGGTGGCAATACAATGTTTGCCCTGTTTGCATCCGACATACGTCGCAGGCAGTACGAAGTATGTACGTACAGTTTCACTTGAATTTGATTCTTATATTCAAGCAGGTAATTCTTAGGGTCCCCTAGATTCGCTTTCTCATCAACCGAGAAGTCCCAATCATTGTCCTCTGAGAAGTATGTCAACACTATTCTCCTTGAATACATGAAAAATGGAGATATGATACCTTGAATCACTCCATCAGCGATCGATGAGGTAAACACAATCTTTTTGATGGTCGACGCCCTCGCTGCTGCTTTCAACAAGGCCAAAGTTCCCTTGAAGGCCGGAGAAAAATATGTCTCTTTCTTAGTTCCATGGGGAAGAGGCGATGCAAGATGAAGAACATAATCCACGCCATTTAACTTCTCGTCGAAGGCCACCTCATCGGCGAGGTCTGGGAAGTTTACTGCAATCGGACAACAGTGCCTCCAATTCCTGAGAAGATTTCCAAAGACAAATTCGCAGTCAATAGCCACCCGTGAGAGCTTCCACTCCAGTGGCGCGGCCAATGAAGCCAATGAAGCCAGTGGCTCCGGTGGTAGATCAGTTCATTGGACATCTTGTTGAATATCTCATCGATGAATACAACACCCATCTACATCGAGCTGTGATTGACAATGTGTACTATTAGTGAATTTTTGATCTACCATCTAGCCTATTTGTAATCAATAATTTCTACTCGCCATGATAATAGCGTTAACTACGCCAAAGAGCTCTAGTTGGGGTCTAAAACCTCCGCCTCTGCAGAGAGCTGACGTACAACATATTTGATGGCAAAATGTTGTGAGCCCATCACGTTTTGCAAGTAATAATACCTACATAGCAATTGAAGGGTTGGAGTGACTAGTTGTAGGATATGGCCATGAAAGTTGGGACCCCAGGCTGATGAAATGATCAAGAAATCGTAGCAGACGTCTATTCAATTGTCTATTAAACTATCTTCCCGAGATCTCACAGCTATTGTAGAACATTCTATGAAATATAGAGTAAAAATATGATCAAACTGCCAGGTGATTGCGACAATTGCACATATCACTCACTACACACATGTATGCGATGATAGGACCTGAAGACTTTCAAAATGCATAAAAATGAACCGCATCAGCAGCTAACAGAGCTTATATTCATCGATTCAGGCTATTCCCTTCAACTAAATTTACCCATCAGATATTGTTTCCGATAATCCTTTCCTCAAAAATATCGGCCTCCTTCAATATCCCTCTGTGAAATACCACAGCTGGAACACTAATGGGGTACTCTGAGAAAAATAGCTTGCTAAGGAAACCACCGGATTGTCAGCCTCCTACAGTATAGCTGCAGTTTGACTATAGGTCTACTTCTCCGAGAATGTTCCCAGTACTAAATTCGTTGGTAGAACCTCACTAACACTTTGTACTGGTAACAATTCATCTTGTCGCCCGCACGTTCAAGAATGATTAGGCAACATACCAATGCTCAATACTCCGTAGACATTGACAATATATCCAATCCATTATTTGATTCGAAGGAAATGGAGTCTATAGTTTGCACTCACCACATGCCCCATTTTTCGAACGGCATCAACTCTGATACACAAACATACTAATTAGATATTTACAACAAGTCTTTGGTAGGTGAGTAGCTCATGGGTAGACAGACCGAACGCGTTCAGGACATGATCTTGACCGAGGCAGCGTATCGATATCGCCAACATCCATCCAAATCCCCGACATGCTCCTTGATATCTATTTGAGTCAGTGGAAATGAATAATAGCGGGGGTATTGATCCTAGTGAGCTTCAAAAGGTGTATGATCTTTGCTATAGAGGAGAGAAATCCGAATTTGTGAAGATTTTCGTGTATTGAAACATCAGTATTGTAGATAATTCCATTGTGACAGGTGCGTTTCTCGCGTGCAAAGACACCGCCTTTCTTACGATCCTTGTCCTCTACTCTCTATCCCAAGGCCGTCTGACTATTTATCATGCGACGTAGTCAAATGGGAGGATCTGCAAAACGCAGTTCAGAGTGTGCATTCTAGACTTGATCAGCTAGCGAAAGACCGGACCACACGCATCCCTGCTTACCGAGGAACCCAAGTCGGTATAGTTCCCCAGCCTCATAATATAAGCTCTCAATAGGCGAATCGGGGTTCCTTGTAAGCGACTTTGAGCATCAACCTGGGGTAAAAAGCAAACCTACATTGCCCCTATTCCAGCCAAGTCTTGAACTCCGCACTGATCATCCATTATTGAACTGGGCATGCAACACGAGATTGATGTTATATCATTTTCTTTTGTTGAGCAATATTGTCTGATGGTTTGGCGTTGTGCGTACATATTTTCAACCACGAGGTGCATTGCTTATGCATAACGCTCCACCCTCGCGCTTTGGTTGACAACCTTGGAAGTCTGTCTTCTCGGATTTGGTTGTATCCACTGGTTAGATCCCACGCGAGTCATACAACGATGGCCCGTCGGCCGAATCTGGGATCCCAGTTGAGTGATCCCAGTTGAGTGAGTAACAGTCGGTGCATGTGAGGCAACCCAGATCAGGTTTGCCCCGCATCCAGAGTGCAATGGCTACTGCATACCGTATATTCTGTACAGAGGGCTCCGTACTCCGTACGCAGTACGACATTGTGCTTCTGTGCGTTTGGAAAAATGGTGTGCATATACAACCCGCATTCCCCGCATCTCAAGCCACTGTCGTGTCCAATTGTTAGATCAACCATTCACATTGAGGGGACTAGTGAAAGTGACCTCAGATGGTGCATCTGCAAACTGCACCACTGTCTGCCTGATTAGTGGAAGCGCAACGAGACCGTGAAAGCGACGAGGGGAGAGGATCCACGTGATGTATTCCAAAAAAGGAAACGGGGAGCATTGCGTTGGGCACTTTTCATTTCATTTGACTCTCTTATTTTTTACTGTACTTTTGTTTCCTTGAATTTATTTCCGGTCCTTTCTCTTGTTTCCTTTATTCCTCGAGTTCTTCCCCTTTCGATCTCGACATCTTGACAATGTTTTCAGCTTCCAGGTTCTTCCGCCGACGCGGCGCGGATCGTGACCCCGCTGCCGGGGCTCCGTATGAAGTACCTTTGTACACAAACGCAGCATATTACCCAAATTGGAGAATCTATCGAAAGGAGCCACCTTCATCATTGCGGTTGGGATTCATTTCACATGTGTTCTACGCATTTGCCTGGTAAACATAGCCAATCACTGTTGTCCGCAGGACCGATTTTGTGTACATGGCTGATGCGCTAATCTCAAATTGGTTTCTTGCAGGGTGAAAGAAGATGGCACGGTTTATGTAAGTCTAGTTGAAACCTTCCCAAGTTGCAAAAACACTTCAAATCAACAATGGGATTGTATACTGATGATTGCACTATAGCTCAGTGATGAGTGGGCCGATACCCAGATGCCCGTTGACGGCGCTGAAGGTTGTCTTCGCGCTTTTGTTCAATTGAAGCAACAGTACTCTAAGATGAGAGTCATCCTCTCCGTGGGAGGTGGGGGCAAAGGAAGTGAGAACTTCGCCGCTGTAGCCCATAGTCGTTCACGGCTGGACACCTTCGTTCGGACTGCGCGGGAACTGGTGGATCAGTTCGGAATCGATGGGATTGATAGTAAGATCGCGTTCAATACTGAATCCTGAAAGGGCAATCTGGGACATATCACTTATTCTACCTGCTATACAGTCGATTGGGAACATCCGTCCGATTCCAAGCAGGGCAAGGATTATGTTCGTCTCCTCGCCCGCCTAAGGGAGGTTCTACCCGCTCCGCGATATGTCCTTACAACCGCCCTTCCTGCTGGCCAGTGGGCACTGCGCAACATCGACCTTTCTGCAGCACAAAAATACCTCGACATGATTAATCTCATGACTTACGACTTCGCTGGACCCTGGGAGTCCGAAACGGGCCATCAAGCCCAGCTTTATGGCTCAGGTGTATCGGGCGATTCGGCAGTTTCGTATGTGACAGGACAGGGAGTGACCCCTAGGAAGATTATCCTTGGTGTGCCAGTTTACGGGAGGTCGTTCCTCGGGAGTAATGGTCCTGGTCAGCGGTACACCGGACACGGTGGTGAGGATGGTGTCTTTGACTATCGCGATCTGCCCCGACCGGGAACACAGGAGTATCATGACAAGAATATCGGTGCTGCATTTTGCGTTGGTGCCGATGGCGGGTTCGTGACATACGATACCCCAGAGACAGTAAAGCAAAAAGCGGAGTTCGTGACTTCATCGAAACTTGGCGGGTTGTTCTACTGGCATGTTTGTTCCGATGCTCGAGGACCGCGAAGCTTGGTTGAGACCGGATATAACACTCTGCATGATATGTGAGATGTTTTACTAAAGCGACACAAAAACAAAAGTCGAGTTCTACGACGGCGCTCTGGGTTTCTTTGTGAGAAATTGTTATGGGTCCAAGAGCTCTCCATGGATCGACGCCTGTTGCGATCATGATATATTAACAATTGTTTTCGAGACGCTATGATATTGTAACTACATGATAGGAATTATAAGCTATGCAGTAGATCGTGTTGTATGATCATAAATGCGACACGCCACTGAAAGGAATCGACTTTCATAAGACAACCGCAGGCCGAGGTCCATTTCGACGCCAAATTAAGTATCCCCGCGTTTTCAAGTCCTCGTGCTCAACCCCATTCTTTAAGGGGCTTCAAAGATAATCTTCAGATCTTCTCATTGTACTCCGTAATCACTGCCGAATAACAGCAATCATGGCCTCCCCAAAACCTGCAACAGTAGACAGTGGTTACATCACCGAGCCCAGTCCACTGGAGAATACCTATACTTCAGATCCCAGCCTCGAACGGACACTGGCATGTGAGTTCCCCCATGAATGACTGGGACATTTCTTATTAACTCTTCAGGGTATCTACCATCTGCCACATTGCAATCTGTACAACCGCATCTTGTCCAGCTCGGTGCCGAGGCTATCTCGGAGCGGGTCCGTGAATGGAGTGGCGATGCTGAACGTAATGTGCCATATGTGAAGAGCCATAATGTTTGGGGTAAACGATATGACTATGATCGACTGGTTACTACTGAGGGTTGGAAGCAATTGGGAAAATGGGGTGCTCGGAATAAGTACGATCTTCAAAACTGCCCCTGAGACCACATATTCTGACTTCATATTAGAATTGTCTCATCAGGCTACGATAAAAGCCTGGGAGTGCACAGACGGACGGTCCAATATGCATTGTGAGTATTTGTCGTTTGCGAAGTTCTTGGACAGCCACTCATTCCAGGATTCTAGGAACTACCTGTACTCGCCTTCCTCTGGTCTCTATTCTTGTCCGATTAGTATGACCGATGGTGCCGCTTTTATTCTCTCACCAAGACTCAAGCAGCTCCCATCCACACATCCTTTCCACGTTGCGTTCCAGAACTTGATCTCCGAAAAGGATGATCACTGGACCTCAGGCCAATGGATGACCGAAAGGGCTGGTGGCAGTGATGTCCAAAATACCGAAACCTGGGCTACATACTCACCATTGACGACTCCCTCGGGTTCAGATCCGCTGGGTGATGGCGACTACCTCATCAATGGATTCAAGTTCTTCTCCTCGGCAACGGATGCACACGTTACTCTTTTGCTTGCAAAGACAGCATCCGGAAAGCTCAGCACGTTCCTTGCACCTCTGCGACGAACCGTAGTGGGACCTGACGGTGTATCTAGAGTTGTATCCAACGGTGTCAGAATCCACCGTCTGAAGAACAAACTCGGCACCAAGGAACTGCCAACAGCCGAATTGGAATTGAAGGATATGCGCGCGCATCTTGTTGGTGAGCTGGACCAGGGTATTGTGACGATCGCGCCTTTGCTCAATGTCACACGCCTCCATACCTTCATTGGTTCTCTAGCTGGCTGGCGTCGAGCCATCAGCATCACCAAGAGCTTTGCGAAAGCAAGAACTACCGTTGGTGAGCCCCTCTGGTTGATCCCAATGCACTTGCGACTCCTCGCAGACATGGAAGTGAGACACCGTGGTGCGATGAACCTTGCATGGTTCGGGGTTGCGTTGTTCGGGCTGGTTGAGGATAAAGCAACCCCATCCAGTAATCTTCCACACCTTCCTCAGCCCGGAAAGGAAGCCGAAGTAGTATTCCGGACTTTGACTGCCAGTGCCAAAGCAGTCATTAGTAAAATGGCTACCTTGGGAGTCCAAGAATGTCAGGAGTCTATGGGCGGAGTCGGCTATATGGACGAGGCAGATGAGCCTGAGTTCAACGTTTCTCGCATCCTGCGCAATACACTCGTCAACTCTATCTGGGAGGGTACTACCAACGTGCTAGCTAGCGAATTCGTCCGCTATCTTCTAAGGAAGGACAGTCTGAAGGTGTTTGGAACATGGCTGGAGCGAACTTTGGGCTTGATTCATGACGCGAAAATGCGGAATGTATTGACCAAAGCATGGTCGACTCTGCGTGCCCGTTTCACGGCTCAAGATCCCGCCGAGACTGTTGCTGATGGTCGTCGCTTTATGTTTACTTTGGTTTGGATTTTGTCGGGCGTTCTGCTAGCCCTTGATGCTGAACGTGACCATGAGCCCGTGACAACTGAAATTGCGCGTCGCTGGGTGCTGACTGCTGAAGGTGGCGTTGGAGACCAGGTCTTCCGTGACATTGTTGCAGTTAGTGACGGTGCTGGTGCTACCTCAGGAGGAGAGGACCATCTGCAATGGGACTGCCGTATTGCCTGGGGAGTTGATCTGCCAGCAACTCGGGCATCTGGTCACCGGTCCTTGCAGAAGGCCAGTTCGAAGCTTTGAACTAGCCATCACGAGGCGCGACATTATGTATAGCAAACAATGTAACGTGCTTTTTGTAATTACTGAATATTCAAGCACATGCCTAGTTTCAATGTCTGCTTATACCACAGAAGCTGTTGAAACCGAACCACAGGTAGTTGTCTTCCTATCATAAATCTTCCTATCATACAAAATCCACCGGTCTTGGGAGCTGGGGGAGAGGGATCTGCTCCTGTCTCTGAACATGCAATATTCGGCTATTCCACATAATGAAGCCTCCAGTTGATCTCATAATTCCTCAGCTTTGTGCGGGGTTGAGCCGGCCAGAATATCGAGCAGCAATATCATTGACAGCAGATGCATTACTGACTTCCACCGAAAATCACCGAACAGGTGCCGTGAAGTGATTAGATTGTTGCTGACTGAATACTTAATCCTAGCGACGGTGTCCTCAACCCACAGGATATTTGCTTTGGGTTGTCAGACATATACGTTCAACTCGACCATCTCATCCACTCTATGTGCCGGGCGAATAAGGCCACTGGTTCTGACGAAGTGATGTCCCTATTGATCGCCATGCAGTCTGAACCTCCATTTACAGCACAGCTTGCCGTGGAGCTCAAGGATGTAATCCGCAGAGGTTCCCTCGCTTCGTGATTGGAGTAAACGAGATTCCTATAACGGTGAGTGGCAAAAAGGTCGAGACCTTGATCAAGCAGATCGTTTCGTCTGACCAGCTTCCAAACACAATCAGCAGCACCGTTGCAAATCATGAGTGTTCGGATCACTTCAGACAGTTTCATGATCTTGAGGTGAAAAAGGGGAATAGAAGTAGGCTATAGATGGTATGGATTCTGGATGATATAACCGATCCTGGGTGCCCAGGTGGTATTTCGAAACGAACGTGGGAAAGCAGAGTTTTAAAAAAAGAAACGAAACAAGGTATAAACTAACAACCAACCATCTCCTCCGTAACGCCAATCTTCGAATTTTGTAGTCTTCATATATTGAGTAGCCAGGAGCCGCTCCAATCAAACCCAGCCCCTTCCCAGTTATTGCTGAATGGATCTAAATTGACCTCAAGGGAAGCAAAATCATAAGTATCCACTGGCTGTCCGGACGGTGCATCAAGGGGCCGAAGTGGATCATTCGGATCGTGGATCTCCGCCAAATTATATGTGGGCGCAATTCCTGCATTTCCGTTTGTGGGCTCTGACGAATGTCCAATGGATTTCCATTGTCTGCAGAGTTTTGTGTCGAATCCTTCGAAGAACGACGCTGCGTCCGGATCGAGGGTAGGTGATGGCCCCTCGAACGGACCTAGCTCCCGAACTTTTTCAGTTAATTGATTCAGAGCACGCAAGGGCCCGACCGCCGACAGCCACCTCTCGGATAGCTTTTGTAGGGAGAGCTTCATGACTGTTAATTCATGTTCGGCGGTGCTCTGCAGATGGGTGTAGCGGCAGCTAGAGAGGAGGGACAGGCCAGCACATAATGGATAGAAGGCGAAGACGGGCCCAAGATATCTTAGCTCATCACGAAGCAAAAGTTCCTCGTATATCCCAGCAATGAATGAAGATGCGATTAATGATGCTGCAGGTGGTACACCACCAGGTGTAGGGGAGCGATGAAGAATAGTAAGCACCACAAAATACATGATCAGCATCTGCTGTATTTCGAGGTTACAGATGCCTGCATCTTCTTGAGCAGCGACAGATGATCGTAGCTTCGGAATGACCTGTTTCGCCCATCTGTAGACGGCATTCTCAAGATCAACCTGTCTTTGTCGGGTGATTTCTTGTCGCAGATGTGATTCAACGGTGTCGCCCAAAAGTCGTGAGATCGTACAGTAGGCCAAGAACAATCGAGATTTGAAATTGTTAACAGGAAAATCATTCAGTGATGGTGGAAGCACATCGCTGTCGCGTAAATTGATGGTTCTTGGTCGGCCAACGCCCACCGAAATTATGTTGTCGCGCACCTGAGAATGTTAGCTGGTATTTCGCGAATCGAGTATCCAGGCAGATATTTACCACTAGGGACCACCACAGCCTTCTCCGAAGCCCACGATCTCGTGAATTTGGCGACGGTTCTTTATGTAGCCCGATCTGAAAGGCCATTGCACCAGCTGTCCGAATCCAAAAGCCACTCGTATCGGTAGACACATCCTCAGGCCCAACCGGATTGTACCAATGCAACAGACAGGCGGCCACGATAGAAACCAAAGGATTATCACAGCCACCAAAGAAGAAAAGCAGTTTTGCTCGGCGGTAAAATACTTCGCTGGACCCGTAGTCCAAATGAGCTTTGGAGACTCTGCTCCCAGCGAGAAAAATGGCTTGCAGGAGCAGCATTGATCGCGGCGCACTCTCGTCCAGCCATTTTGGGTCCACAACCGGTGTCCAGGGTGCACAGTGCGTATCGAAACTTGCCATTAGCTCTTTTTGAACTGTTATTGGAGGCAATTCAAAAGCCCCTTGATCGTGGAGCATTTGTAAATCAGACGCTGAGGCTTTGGGGTTGGTGTATGTAGTCTCGCGACCGGGTTTGACCATATTTTCATCAAACGGGACGCTGCCGCCCACATATTCACTGCGGCCGCGATAGCTCTCTTCCTTGATGAATGGCTCGCCATTATTGGCGATGGTCGGTCCGACATTAGTTTCAAGGGCGTTTATCCCATGAGGAAGGCTTAGAGTGTCCCGATGTGAAGCCAATTGCACCTCTGGTGACTCGGGGGGAACCTGTGAGCCCCGAGGTGTCTGATTTAAGGGAGCAGAGCTTGACACATTGCGCCCTGGGGACAAGCTGTTGGTGAACCTCTTGCGCTTCCTTGTATATGGCCTATAAGATGTTAATTTTCTATTATCTCGTCTCCTCTTTGGTGGATGTATTTACCTGCACTCCACATCTGACTTTTTGCAGTTGGTGCATGGGTCTTGCGTGGCGAAGTCGCACCGCACCTATAACCATTAACAATTGCTCAGGGATACATCAGTGGGGCGCCAATGTGGTACCTTTCTTTTATGACAGATGATACATGCCGAAGACATGGCGCTATGGCCGACAGCGTAGTTCCGACTGACGGTGATGGTTGGAGGAAGAGGTCGAGAGTGGGGTTTAGCCGAGGCATGTGAGTCTATGAAACGGGCAACCAGCAACATTTGATCTTCTACAACTAACTCTTTCGTGTCTTTGAACATGGCAGGTCTTGAGCAGGTGACAATAGATTCTTCGTCTTATCCTGGCATCTCGGTGGTTACAATTAATCGCCCTCATAGGAAGAATGCCGTCGACCCCTTAACCGCAAAAGCGCTCTACGAGGCTATCCTTCTCTTTGAGAATGACACAAAACAAAAAGTGTGCGTCCTAAAAGGTGCTGGCAGTAGCTTTTGCGCCGGAGCCGACCTTCATGGCGTTGCTCAGGCAGATAAAAACATACCCAGCGACAACCTCCAGCCAGTGAGCGGTCGCAACTTGGGGCCCATGGGTCCCTCCAGACTGATTATCAAAAAACCTGTCATATGTGCTATCTCTGGATACGCGGTTGCAGGAGGCCTAGAACTGAGTCTGCTTGCAGATATGCGCGTGGTTGAAGAGGACGCAATTTTTGGTGTCTTTTGTCGACGATGGGGTGTGCCTCTCATTGACGGAGGCACTGTCCGGCTGCAGGCAATTGTTGGGCTAGGTCGCGCATTGGATATGATCTTAACTGGTCGGCCAGTAGGCGCCCAAGAGGCACTGGCTATGGGACTGGCCAGCCGTGTCGTTGCTAAGGGGGAATCATTCAAGGAGGCTATCGAGATTGCAAAACAGCTCATCGCCTTCCCCGAGTTGTGTCTCAACACAGACCGACATTCATGCTATTACAGTGCTTACGAGGCATCCTCGTTTCAGGATGCTATATCCCAGGAGTTCAATGCTGGAAGCAAGGTGATTTCGCAGGAAGCTATCGCAGGTGCGGCCAAGTTCAGTAAAGGCTTAGGACGACATGGCAACTTCAAGGATCACAGCAAGCTGTAACTAGCACGGGATTCTGTGAAAATATGTGTTTACATTAACAAATTAATTGATTGGATATCTAACCAAGTATGACTGGCGGTGGCAGTCATGAGCTTTTTATAATAATACAAGCTCGGTGAATATCCCCATCAGATATATGCAGTATGACGCGAACATAGAGACTCGTCCAGACGAAGCATCTAGTTGGTCTTCTTTTCGGTCTCACTCAAGTCCTCCGAAGTGAATTTGACACGCTTGCCGTAGACGAGCGGGGTACGAGAGATCATAGATCCAACTGCAGATCCAATGTAAGCCCCGACGAGAATCGTGATGGGGAATGCCTGCCAAGGTCGGTCCCTTTGTGCAACGAGTTAGCTCAGTCTTTGGCAGTTTAGGTCTAGCATGGAGGTATAACTCACCAGTCAAGAGGAATAGGGATAGCACCAAACCAAGCTCCCAAGCCGGTACCTAGCGCACTGCCCCAAACTGCATCGGCAGGACGAGCAATACCCCAGACTTCGTTCCACACGGCGCGATCCAGACCGTGGGCATAGATCAAGGCCGTCGCAGATAGAACAGCCATGTGGGCCGCGCACAGAATGGTCTCAAAGTTATGCGTTGTGAGCGGGGCACCGAACAGAACGAGCAGGACAGTCAAAACTGGGGTGGCAACGGAGAAGGTCAGGGAGAGCGAAAGCAGAGCCGGCTAGAGTAAACGTGTCAGTATCATAGCTCGAGATTTTCTACTCAATTGGAGAGATATCTCATACCAGTGACCGGGACCAAATGCACGCCCAGCCATTAGCATGCTGCCTTCGTTTTCCATGCTTTCCATGGCGGACAACACCACCAGAGCTAGATGACCGAGGGCTTGGCTTTCCCTCAACCGGGGTGGATGTGCTGGTCTCTGTCGGCTGTGTTGACCCTGCGGGCGGAATACAAAGGATCACATAGAAGAGTTGCAGCATGGTGAGCCATGGTAAGGTGGAAGTAAGCACTTTGGCGGGATCAGCTACCAAGGCATCGAAGCGAGTAGCCCCCAATGCCAGGAGGAGAACTGGGTGCGCAACTGAGTAGATCCGAGCTGCGGGCGATGGGAGGATGTTGACGGGTGGAGCGGAGGGCTTTTCAACGGAGGCTGGTGGTGTCAAAGAGGGAGCCCCCGGTGGAGCAGATGTATCTGGTGCCATTGGAGATTTAGGCAGACAGTTTTCTGTGTAGGATAAACCCTGAGCACCTCCGGCTTATTCGGGTTGGAAATGGGAGGGTCTTGGATGGGGATGGTCGCGCGATCGTGATTGGTGGTGCTCTCAGTGCCTTGTCGCCCAATCTCTCAGGCAGAACTATCTGCCCTGTTCTTCGGGTTGCAGGGTCAAGTTTTCGACGACTTATGAACATAGGCTAATCAATTAATTCAACTGCAGTGATATATATAGATACCTGTTATTCCAGTCAACTGGCAAGGTCCTGGGACCACACCTTCCTCCCCAATCACCGCATGGCTTTTGGCGCCACGGAATAGATAGATCGTAGTTGTTCGCATATGTATCGTTTCCAACAAAACTTATGATCATAGCTATTGCATCTTTGATGCCTTGCAAAATCATGCTGGGTTCAGAAAACGGCAGTACAAGGGATATCAGGTCATAGAATGTCTTTGCGATCCTCAGGTGTTGATGATGTTCTTTTGCCATTGTATTGCTTCAATATATCCCCGGTGGAGGATTGACCGAGGTAAGGAAATCAATCAACTTTTGGTAAAATCTCCGAACTCATCAACTAATGATTCTCTTTAGTTCAACGGAATCACCATCACAGGGACTGGGCTACTCAAGTGTTGAATCTACAGTGGTTGCCATGGGTAGTTGTAGCGTATGTCTACCCCTACCTCCTAGGTCTATTAAGTCTAAAGTACACGGCTTTCATCCCATAAATGAGAGCCGACGTCGTGATAAACACAACGAGGCAAAGGTTATTGCGGAGGGTAACCAAGATCACATCTTAGAGTCTGATTTGATGAATTTAACAGATCGGGAACAACCAAATTCCCGATATACCTGGTAATGACTGGGTGATATAGTAGATTTACATGCCCCATTTGAGGTTCAGATATCTGCTTAGTCGTATGAACTGGTACCTCGCCGACTCGTTAGGGAACCCGAAAACTTCTGACCACCACGCTCTCCTGGTCTTTTCGATGACGACGTCACCCAAAGATAAGCGTTTATCCGCATGTTCTGAGCTGATATCCTCGTCCCACTGTGGACTGATCGATATCCTAGGATATCGCTGACACAGCACTGATGCCACCGGCGGACACCTACATTTACAGGAGAAGCGCGGACGAAACCTTGGAAAAACAACATCCCTATTCTCGCCATCGGGTTTATAACAATAAAAGCCAGACCGAAACCACAAGCTAAAGCTAAGGATAGGACGACACCGGGAAGAAACAAAAAAAGATATCAAGACAGACCGGCTGCAATCGCAGAGAGACAAGCGTACATTCATTTCACATGGCAACGTGATCAACTGAAATCCGGAAGGGGGCTAATAATATGAATAGGACATCGGACCATTGCGAGGGGAGGGCGATGTGGGAGAGCAACGGAATAAAGAATACAAGGGAGGTCATTCAGAGGAGGATCGGAGGGCAGGACACCATCCGATCGACATTCAAGGGATGAGAGCGCAAGAGGGCCACGGACACGAGGGCAATGCCCATTCATCACGAAATCAGAAAAGACGAAAAGAGAAAGAAACAGAAACATTCTTGTCCAACGCCTCAGACGACGCCGACGCTCCGTTAATGAGCCACCCCGTCTCAAATGGCCGAACAAATCCTGCACAATTGAAAATAGGGATGAAAGGTGCAATTCACAGCGAAACAATCATAATAATAATAAAAGCAAGAGAATAAGGACAATTGGGGAGAAGCGTAGGAAGAAATTCAAGCAGCCGAAGTGGACGGTTCAGCGGCTTCCTTCGGAATTTCTTGGGATACCCTTGGCTCTGATGCCGGTACTGGCTCAATGGTCGTCGGTGAAGCAAACTGGTTCGCAACAACAGGCAGAGCTACTGGCATCTCAGGGCTATGCGGCTCTTCGGGAATAGATGGGGGAAGGCCAGCACCAGGCAGAGGAGACACGGGCGAACGAACATGCTCTTCCTTAACCTGCTCATGGGGAACTTCGACTGCGGCAGGGTGGCCATTCGTCGACTCGGTAGTAGTGGGGGAAAGGGGTTGACTGGCGAGGGAGGGGTCGCTATCAAACTGAGTGGGGCTCTTTGCGCGCTCACGATCGTCTTTCACACCGTCCCGAACCTGAGCGACCTTGGCTTTGAACTTTCCAAACAGACTTTTCCTCTCCTGCTCTAAGCCCGTGGAGGGACTGCCTTGAATTCCTGCGTCTAAGCTCAGAGGTTGGTTGGAGAGGTCTGCACTTTGATAGTTCCCGCTGCCAATTGAACTGGTACTTTGTTCGGCTCGGGGATTGGTGGCCACTAGTGGTGGAGACGCGAAACCCAATCCAAGTTGCTCACTAGTCCGCTTGGACGAGCGACCAAACCGCCAACTTCGACGGTTTTCGTGGCGAGAGAAATCTTCAGGTTGATCCATGTCAGAATGATCAGTGAAGGAAGAACGTGAGTTCATGGAAGGTGTGCGTGACTTGTTAGGGCGCAGAGAAGATTCGGTGTGAGGTTGTGGAGTGCCCTCCGCAAGAGCTGGGTTCGAATCACAAGGGCCTTCTCGGTTGCCAAGCGTCGCAGTGTTTAGTGGTCGTGGGGTGGTGTCGCCAACAGCAACATCCATTGACCGGTTCTCGTGCTTGCGTTCCAGATCAGCATTGTGATCTACGCTACAGGCTGGAAGAGAATTGGTTGAGCTTTGTGCGCTTATGCTTGCACTACCGGGTATACGTTTCTTTTTCAAACGATTCGGCTGTCGATGCTCTTTAAGCTCACCATCGGGGGGTGGTGACTTAGTGAAAAAATTCGCAAGTTTGCGCTCACGACTAGGAGTAACAACTTGTGGGGGTGCAGGGAGTGAGGTTGGAGCAAAATGGGTGTGGATATTCTCATGCGGCCTGCCACTTTCGCTCATGATAAGACGTTCGGCGGCAGCTGGAGGCAACGGACCATGTGTTGATGTATGGATATAGGCGCTACCTTGAGTCAACGAGGCACTTGATCGATTGGGGTTTCGCTCCTCATGACGCTGCTCAGGTGTGTGCAAAGGGACGGTTTGAGGACCCAGATGAGGAACAGGCTGAGAGACTTGCTGGGGAACCTGCTGAGGAGTTTGTTGAGGGACCTGCTGCGCGACATGCTGAGGAGCCTGTTGAGGGGCTTGTTGATGACCCTGCTGCGGGATTTGCTGGGGCTGATGAGGGGCCTGCTGAGAGATTTGCGGAGGGGGCTGGTGTGGGATTTGCTGGGGCTGATGAGCCTGATGAGCCTGATGAGCCTGTTTAATCTCTTCGGGTTCTTCGGGCTCTTCGCGTACCGAAGGCGTCCGACTGGTCGACCGGGAACTCTGATGAGAAACCATGAGACTGGAAGTGTTGTTTGAAGCAGCCTCGTTGGCTCGTGCGTAGCGAGCAGACGTTAAAACAGGGCCCATCTTCGAGGGCAAAGTATTGCTTCGGTGAACACCGCCACCAGCACAGGCGGTAATGGAGGTGGGGGTGACGGGAGTTTGAGCATTGTTTGAATGGCGGGAGTTGCGCGAAGAAACGGAGACATTTCGTCGGATACTATCCAACTTGCGATGACCTTCTGTGGTCGCACTGGCGTTGGAAACTGATCGTCTAACGCTCGGGTGTGCTGTGGGACGTGGAATTCCCGCCTCAACCTCCTTCATGGTCTGCTCGTCGGCAGCCGTACCACTCATTCCGAACAGGAAATGATCTTGGTTCTCAATCAAGAATATCAACACGTCCTGGCTCAATTTATACTCTTCTGGCGACATATCATGCTGAGGATGAGATAGCATGCCCGGTTGGAAAATTGCGGACAAATTAGCCGACGGCATGCGGTTTTGATCGGACTTCGAGGCGAAAACTGCTAGAAGATCGAGAATATAAAGGAGAAGCTGCTTGTTCAATGGTGGCAGTTCGATGATAAGGTTCTGATAGGTCTCCACAGCCTTCGCGTGATCAAATTTGTCGGCCTCAGCTATCCCCTTGTCTTCCAAAACCTGTCGCTGGTAGATACGAAGCGGCTCACGGAAGCGCTCGTAAAACTCCAGCGGCACGATGGGCTCGGGGAGCTGGTTCAAGTATCGGCGAAGTACATTCGCTGCATCATGGACGGTATAACCGGACCAGTCGAGTCCTTTGCCGTATCGCTCAGGGGAATCGAAGACCTCCTGTAGATCCTTAATACGTTTGGCAGATCCGTTGAGACGAAAGATGCCCTCCACATCAGTCGCTATCCCAGCGCAAGTCAGCAATGTGATTCATCGAGAATGCGACAATTGATGCGAACCTTTTTCCTTGAGAAACACGCCACATTTTGCAACAACGATGGGGACATATCCGTAAATGAAACTTTCGCCGTGATCGTTGGTCAAAGAGATTGCCACATTGGCATACTTTATGCTGACATTGAGTGGAACTCCGAAGATGCCGCGGGGTGTTTCTACTGTGACAAATAGGTCAGCATACCAAATTTTGGGATGTCGAAGAATTTCAGCAACGCAATTGACGAGTGCGGGTAGTCTCCGACCCCAACATGACGAACTGCGGCAGCCACCTCCTGTGCGACGAGGGGAGTATACGCGGAGGCTCACGAGGGCTATGAACCGTCGCGAGCCGGGACCCTCCAGGGAACATCGATGCGGTCGCCTTCGTCCCAATATCGCACCAATTATGACGTACCTTTCAATTCATCCTTCCTGGTACTTCGCTTGAACTGCTTCCACCATGAGGCCAAATCTCGCTTCGATGGTGGGGAGTTGGCGCCGACCGGGTCCGGTGAGGCGGGGAGAGGCTGAACGGGGTCAGCACCCGGGTGCGACTTGCCGACCGTCACCATGGCGAGTCCGAAGAGCGACTCGAGATGAAATCGGGAGTACGGGAAATCGAAGTAGCGCAAAGAGGTGGGTGTCGATCGAGAGATTCGGGAAAGTTGAAGGGGCCCTGCGTCACCGCCCTCGTGTGAGAAATCCTGGGGCTGGGCCCAAAATAGCACAGGCACCTTTCGAGGTGGAGTAGAGCAGATATGGGATTCGGGAAGGAACAGAAGACGAAGAGAATGAGAAGAAACAAAAAGACAGAGGATGTGTGTGTAAGTATGATGGATGAAGGGATGCGAAAGGGCTGAATGGTCAGGGTTTCGAAAGGGTCAATGAGTCGGGGGCACGAGCCAAGAGCCGAACACATATGACACTGATTATTCTCTTTTTTTTACCTAGGTAACCTTGGAATGACCATTCTGGAGATTTTTCAGGGGAATTTCATTCTTTTTGGGACCATGAGACTATGAATAGCTGGTTCATAGAACCAAGGTTCCTGGGAGGAGGTCAAAATGGGTCAAGGTCTCCTGTCATGTTGAGTATAGATTAAATTAGATGTACAAAGTACTCCGGCTTACGGAGGACACAATTAGGAAAGGGGCTTTTTGATTAAGACTTCTATGCTACATGGGACACCTGAGTCTCCTGGAGAGTCTGGGATTTTTGTGAAGAACAGTACAACATAGTCTGGGACCGACGGGTCTCGGATTGTCTGGAACGTGTCTGGACCCTTTTAGGGGCCTTTTGGAGATTGGTCGCTTATATCGGGTTTCATATCTTCCGGATCAGGTACCGATTTTCTTCGTTCCAATTTTCTAAGTTGGCTTTCTGGTCCACATGCCACTGAACGGAGTATACTATTTTACATGCATCGGAGGAGGGAGTACGGAGTATACCTATTGCACTAGGGCTATCGCGGCACGATGTCTCGGGTACATCCTGAAAGATTCTCACCTAATTTATTGATCTCCCAGGGGTATCATGAGTTTCTATTAAAAGCTCTTCATAAGTCCTTGTGGGGCATATGTTCTACATGATTTGGATGGCCATTCTAAATAGTACGTAGAATAGCTTATAAGGTGTAAGAAATACTCCGAGAATACAGTGGATATTCTATCCTGGGTCTAGAAAGGTCTAGTCCCGGGCACGCAAGTCTTGACCACATATAGGAAGTCATAGAAAGGGTGTAGCCTGTTCATAGCGTCATGAAGTGAGGTTAAAGAGATATTGGTGACGTTGGGATATCACGTGGAGCGGGATTTCTATTACCAGAACGTTTCTCCGATCGGAGAAACCATATCCTCAAGAGCTAGATGGACATCCTCGCGATATATTCCTATTTTCTCAATACTACGGGGTAGACAGACTGGCTCTCACTTCAATGCAAACCAATCCATTCTCTATGAGCCGTATGGCCGGTCAAAACAACGTTCACTGCAAAGATAATGCAAGCATGACAGGTTGATCATATTGTGGCCTTGTAACTAAGGCACGACGTTCTGAGTCGGATGGACTAATATTGTTCCGGCACCCGAGAAGCTCAGAACCGGAGCTGGCAGCTGGCAGGACACTCGTGGAAAGCATCCTACCATCAAGCATCTTGATTTCTTTCATCAATCACAATGGAGTCGTAAGTATCCTATTTGAACATCTCTCACAGTCTTGTCTCATCAATGACTCAATTATTTCTCCCAACTTATTCTCCGAGCAAACCGCTAATACCCATGTCACAGACTTAACGCAGCGGAACAGCGCGAGTTCGCCTCCCGCATGGAGCGGAAGCAGATGAAGGAGTTCATGACTGTATGTGTCTCTAGTTAACCTCTTTTATGACTCAACTTTGCACTTTTCTCCATTCCATACCCTCGATCCCGTTTGGTTATCAACCACCTGTCTTCTGCTCGCATCAAGATCTAACATCATTTCTTTCCAGATGTACTCCAAGATGGTCCAGCGCTGCTTCGATGACTGTGTCAACGACTTCACCACCAAGTCTCTCATCAACCGCGAGGAGACCTGCGTCATGCGCTGTGTCGACAAGAACCTCAAGAGCTCCGCCCGCTTGAACGAGCGTTTCCAGGAGCAGAACGCTGCAATGATGCAAAGCGGCTCCATGTCCGGCAACTAAGCGCCTATTTTCATGAAAAGAAACACTGCAGAGGAATTTCCTCCATTTTGACAACATGCATCGGGTGAGGCAGCCCGATTCACCCGGTTGTCTTCGGCCTGTTGGCTTTGTTTGGAGGATTCGGATGATGAAAGCATGGTCGATGACCTATTGGCGAGGAAGCAGACAGGATCGGCTCCTTTCCGTGTACCATAGTGACTAGCACGGGAGAGATTTACCTCTCCTCTCCCGAAGCTCAAAATACAAGACTTGATCAAACCAAAACTAACAAAGTGACCGTGTAATTCTGGGTTACAGATCCGAGCTTAAGATGAATTGACTCCTTCGAAATCTCGAAATCGGGTTCTCGCTGTCAGTATCCATTGGTGGCATGGAAGCCGAACAATTCGCGTCTATATCCCTTTATTCGGCGGACAGCATTCGAGTCGAAACTCGGTCGACGATGGCAAAGCAGTCTCTGTCTCTCCATCCTCGGTCTATTTGCCTTTCTTGCAAGCCAAGTTCAGTGATCCACAGTGCTATGAGCAACCCGATGTCGTGATATCCCACGGGAAAACCCACAGGTGTTCCGAGGTCGGCGACACGATACTTTGTTATGGTATAAAATCATGTTGATTTCATGGCATGATAGAACAGCGAATACAAACGCAAATAGATATAAGAAGGCGTGGCAACCTGTCTTTTAATTATGCCCTTCAGGACTATATTGTAACCTGGGTGAGCACATGATATAGTACCTCGTACTCCGTAAGTAGGTAGCGTTTCCCGGGGCTGACACCGTCCGGAGACGGGGATCGGGAGCATTTCCGATCACGCAGATTGAAATAGACACCGAAGATACCTCTTACTCAATTTCCCCAAGTGGGGAAGTGAGGAGGGAAGATATGAGGGGGACTTGTAGCTGTCCGGATCTCCAACTTGACGCTTTATCTCCTTCCCCCTCATCCGGCTCCACCCCCACCGTTCCGATTCAAAAACCCATCGCTTTCTCTTCTCTTCTCTTCTACCATCGTATTCTTGATGTGAGTGATGAATTTTTTCCCTGCTCTCTTTTCTTGGCAGGATTCCGGAACATTGCTAACAGCGTTCTAGTGTTCTAATTTGGAACTTGATCACTATACACAATGGCTGACACAGTAGGAAAGGTAGATCATTCTATTCCTTATAGCTATTTTCTTTGCTCTGCTTGATCATGAACAAACCCGCTGACTGAAAATCCACAGACCATCACTTGCAAGGTAAGCTTCAGTCGACCACCCCGCGCATATGACGTCGGCCAGCGCAGCCCACATCTGTGAGACGATCGGTATGAACAATGCTGAACAATTGATAGGCTGCGATCGCCTGGGAGGCCGGCGCGCCCCTGTCCATTGAGGATATCGAGGTCGCTCCCCCTAAGGCTGGTGAGGTGCGCATTAAAATTCACCACACTGGTGTCTGCCACACCGGTAAGCCCCGCCATGAGCCCCGCCCCGAGAAGAAAAACAAACAACCGCGGAAAACTTCTGGGTCAATTTTCAGCGCAACTACTGACATCCCTCAGATGCCTACACACTCTCCGGCAAGGATCCCGAGGGTGCTTTCCCTGTCGTCCTCGGTCACGAGGGTGCCGGTGTCGTCGAGTCCATCGGCGAGGGCGTGACCTCTGTCAAGGTTGGCGACTATGTCATCGCTCTCTAGTATGTCTTCAACTCGTCTCGGCATGACTGTCCACTGACAATTGTAGCACCCCTGAATGCCGCGAGTGCAAGTTCTGCAAGTCTGGCAAGACTAACCTCTGCGGTAAGATCCGTGCCACCCAGGGTAAGGGTGTCATGCCCGATGGCACTTCCCGCTTCAGGGCCCGCGGCAAGGACCTCCTGCACTTCATGGGTACCTCCACCTTCTCCCAGTACACTGTCGTCGCCGATATCTCCGTCGTCGCTGTGACCCCCAAGATCCCCACCGATCGGTCTTGCTTGCTCGGCTGCGGTATCACCACCGGCTACGGTGCTGCTGTCGTGACCGCCAAGGTTGAGGAGGGCTCCAACATCGCCGTCTTTGGTGTTGGCTGTGTTGGTCTGTCCGTTGTCCAGGGTGCCGTTAAGAACAAGGCTGGCAAGATCATTGCCGTCGATGTCAACGATGGCAAAGAGGCCTGGGCCCGCAAGTTCGGCGCTACCGACTTCGTTAACCCCACTAAGCTCTCTGGCAAGACCATCCAGGAGCACCTCATCGAGATGACCGATGGTGGCTGCGACTACACCTTCGACTGCACTGGTAACGTCGGTGTCATGCGCGCTGCCCTCGAGGCCTGCCACAAGGGCTGGGGTGAGAGCATTGTCATCGGTGTGGCTGCTGCTGGCCAGGAGATTGCTACTCGCCGTAAGTTATTACCCTAGTTTCTCAACTCACCGTGTATACCTTATGCTAATACATGTTACAGCATTCCAACTCGTCACCGGTCGTGTCTGGAAGGGATGTGCCTTCGGTGGTATCAAGGGTCGCACACAGCTGCCCGGTCTGGTCGATGACTACCTGAACGGCAAGCTCAAGGTGGATGAGTTCATTACTCACCGCCAGCCGCTGGATGGTATCAACAAGGCCTTCGATCAGATGAAGGAGGGTGACTGTGTCCGCTGCGTCGTTGACATGAAATAAATGCAACGGTTGGGTCAATAAAAACAATTGATGTGAAATATGAATTTAATTATGTCTTGGATTCAAGTCTTGCTGTATTGTGTTGTAGAAAAGTCCTTGATACTGTGTAATGGGGAGAGCATCGGTCTTTGTAGCGCTGAGATGGACGTCCAAGGTCCTCAACCCCTCCATTCCGCGGACCTTGAGGACAAAGCTGTGGACACTATTGTCTGTCCGATATGCTGCTGAAGGCAATAACCAAACCGTTGAATAGTACTAATCTTGGAAGTGGACGTTTTGTCCCAGATATTGATCTGCACAGAGCTACGAGCAACGAAATCTCTATGCAAACTAAACCTCTGCCCCCAACCTCGCTAAGGTTCCTGGATGCAACACCACTGACTTTCTACAACTTCCTCATTACCAAGCGTCACAATACCATCAAATCATCAACTTATCGTATATCTCCTTCTATCTCTCAGTCCTTGATTACCACCGCCATACCATAGACAAACGCCAGTTTCAAGACTGTCTTTGGACAACCAACAAACACACATCCTATGTATGTATATGATTCCTCTCCTACCCAAAGACGATATACTCAGTCAAGATGGTCAACGGATATAAACGAGAGTTCAATGTACTACGACATACCAGACTCCGACTCTGAAAGAGTCAGATGCAAGCTTGATTTTGGTTCCCCGATCAAATCGAGAACCAAGACTGCTGACGGCGTTAGTCACGCTCATCGAGACATCTTTCTATACGAGATTCGTCGCAGAATCAGTCATTCTGAAAAGAAACCCGAAAAAATCATAGCGATGAATCTGGGGATGAAAAATTCGATTACGAAACTTGCGGGCTTGGGAAATCTGAGAATAGTCCATGGACTCCCCGGCGTTGTCCCAAGGATATTGGCACAGGTTCATGCCAACACATAGATGAGTCCATCTTGACAACGCCATGAGCTGTACTGGGTCGCAATCGCTGATGGTATGTCCCGGTGTACTGAAGGACGTGTCTTTCAGAGTAGGGATCAGATGTTGAACTGGATAATTGCCTTTTGCAAGCTCCCAAAAATATTATGGCGTCGACTTCCAAGAGGCTGGTACGTTGATGGCGATTCTGAATGCCGCATGACCAACAAATGGGCCGAAAGCAGGGGTTTGATGATTGAAATATCTCCTGGGTACGGAGTAGGCTTCGCAATCAAATGCAAATCTGCGCCGGCGTCGTGAGAGGATCAAAGGGTAAGAACATGTTCCGTTTTATCTGGGATTATTCAGGCTACTCCGTACAGTGATGAAAGACGCACAATCACTTGGGTTGGATGGAGCTGAAGAATGTTAGACATATGTACTCCCTACTCCATACTCCGTACATCAGATACAAATGTACTTCCAAGCATGCAACATTCTTCAAGGTTAGCCCAGTACTCAAAGAGTAAATAAATACACCCAAAACCACCGCAATTTCGAATCTACATCCGAAGAATTAAATCCATCTGGGATAGGTCGCGAGTAACCTGCATTTAATGCGCGTTGGACTACCAAATCCCTCTCCATTCGTCGCGGGGATGACATCTATGAGGGGTCATGTACCTTAGTTGTAGTCCAGAAGATCTCCATAAGTTATCTAGACCATCAACTGATTCAAAGACATCTATACCAGTATATTCATCCAAACCTCCCATCCAAACCATACAATACCTCAACTCAACCCTCCACCCAAAACAACCCTACCCCGTCCCAATTCGCAATGCCCAGTCCCCCTCCTCAATCCCCCGTAGTCCCCTCACCAATCCACCCCCTCCCCCGCATAACCGCCGATCTCGCCACCAACGCCAAACGCAACCTAACCTCCGCCCAAGTCCACGGCGCCAAAACTCGCAATGTCGAATACCTCGTAGATGCCCAGTTCCAGCACTGCACCGCCCTCATCTCGATCGGCGTCCAGAGCAATTACACTCCGCTAAGTCGTCGCCGTCGCTGCCTGGGTCGAAAACCCTGTCTCATGGAGGAATACTGGGTCGATGCCGAGTACGGGATGACGGGGGATATCTAGCTTTCGCGCGTAATGGGCGCAGATGGGGGATTAGACCAGTCCAGGTTTGAGGGTTGGATGCAGGTGGAGTGGGGATGTTTCTTTGATACGGTGATTGTGTGTGTGTAGTTACGGGGTCGACTTTTGTAGGGATGATTGCGGGTTTTAAGTTGTCAGAGTGGATTTACCTGGGGGATCCTAGGAGGAGGGTTATTGGGGTTGATGCTTTGGCCATGGGTGGGGATATGTGGGAATAGGTTTTGTGTCTTGCGAGGGATCCGGTGAGGATTGAGCTTGGGATGCGATTGAGTATGTGGCTCGGATAAGGTGATGAGTATTACGGATCCTGTGTATGAGGGGAAGGGCTTTGCTGGGATGATTGATATGATACGTCGTGGGGGGAATAGGGAATATCTTGTATGCGCACTGGTGGGCAGTTGGCGTTGGGTGCTTCTGAGACTTTGGAGAAATTCAATTTACGAAGAAATTTACGAATGGAAAATATAATAGTAGCATGTATAAACTTCTGTCATTCAAAGAGTGACTATAGTTAAAGCGTAAGGATGATCAAACTAGCAAAGCAGAGACATCGTTCTCTAGAACAGCTTGTGCTCAAGAGTCATCTCGGACTCGGGCTGGAGACCAACGCAAGCACGGAAGATGTTGATGAGAGCGGAGCGCTGCTTGCCGAGGGCGTTGACAACGGGAGTACCGGGGGAGTCAGAGGAGCCTTGAGCATGTAGCTGAGAATGCTCAGCACGCTGTGGAAGCCCTTGAACTCGGCACCCTCGCTGTCAGCCTGCCAGCTGATACGGGTCATCATCTCGGCGAGGACAACCAGATCGATGATCAGGGGAGAGGCCAGAAGCGAGTCCTCACAGATGTTGAACAAGCTGATGGTCTGGTGGCCACCCATGAAGATCTCGGCGTAGTACTCATCCAGAGCACGCTTGTTGTCACCGACAGCAGGCATGTACTTGATGACGACGGTGTGGTCGGGGTGCTCATCCTTCTCGTAGAGAATGTGGTTGGCAGCGACCATATCGTCAACAACGTTGGACTTGGAGATCTCCTTGGAGCGGAACTGCTTCTGGGAGCTCAAGTTCTTGCCATCGTTGTTACCCAAGTGGTTGTAGCTGGCAATGGAAGTGAGCTTGATACCGGCGTTGATCAGGAAGTCAACAAGGGCCGACTTCATCTTGGTCTGTCCAGACTTGAAGTCATCACCGCCGATGAAAGCACGACGCTGCTCGGCCAACTGAAGGGCACCGGGAACGAAGGTGTTCTGGGGGGAGCCGTTGATGAAGGGAGTATCCTCGAGGATAGCGGCAACGGCGAACACGGTAGACGGAGCAACCTCCAAGTGACCAGCCTTGATCGAGTTGATCAGGTTGTCGGCGGTGTCGTTGACACCGGGGATGATATCAGCGTAACGCTCAGTGTTGGCGGTCCACATGATGATCACCTTATCCAAGCCGTTCTGGGCCTTGAAGTCGCTGTGAAATGGTTAGCCGAATATTCCTGCTTATTTTTATAGAATGATCGCTTACCGAATATCCTGCTGGATCTTCTCGACGTGAGCCCAGGAAGCCTTGTCACCCTCGAGGATGTTATCGGCACGGTCCTCCTGGTTGGCAGCGATGAAGTCGGGGTAGTAGATACTAGGCAGGGGCTTCATCTCGGCCATCTCCTTGCGGACCTGGTTCTTGAGGGTGGGCTCGAGAACCTGGGCACGGTCCATGGACTCGGCCAAGTTCAGACCGCTGATATCCCAACCGCCAATGACCAAATCGTTAGGGTGGGCCATGGGGAGCAGATCGTGGAAGGGGATGTTGATCTCCTCGCCGGTCTGGGCGTCAGTGCCCAACTTGACAGTAGAGCCCATGACGATGGAACCGTAGTAGTTGGAGGTCTGCTTGCCATCGCGGGTCTCCCAAGAGAGGTTGCGACGGTTAGCCAGGATACCGGCAGTGACGGTGGAACCGTTGTTTCCACCCCAACCGACCAGCATCATGCCGACCTTGCCAACCTTGCGGTTGACCTTGAAGTTGTAGTTGGTGGCCTTGGGAGTGGCAACCAACTTGTTGTCCGCAGTGCGGGTAATCTCAGTAGTCTGATAGGCATACTTCGATGTGATCTCGTCCTCAGTGTAGACAACATTGGGGGACTGGACAGTGAAGAGAGAGGGTTGGCGAACCGACCCGTTCTGGGTGCCATTGGCAGCATCCGAGCTAGCGTGAGGAGCCATTGCGAATCACAGCGGGATAGAGAAAAGTGTATAGTGGGAAAGCGTAGCTTTAACGGATAAAGGGTGCGCAGTCCGATGCTCCTCCACGGTTGGATGAGCGTCGGCCGTTGAACGGGTGGTGCCGGCTAATTAGAGTTAGTCATTGGACTTTCCGTAGCTGCCTCTGCAATTGAGGCACTGGCAGGGACACTCACGAGTTAAGGCTTGTCGCGAAAATTGTGGCGGTTGTATGTGACCACTGTCTCGAGGAGAAGTGATCTGACCTGCTGACAAGGTTTATACGAACCTAAGATAAACGGACAAGAATGCGTGAGGATGAAGAGGAAGAAGAGAAGAGGGGAGAGGAAATGACAGGAGGGGGTTTATATGGGCCTCCGCCTGTCCCGGTGTGCTGTCCCCCGGCTTCCCCCTTTTTCAGTTTTATTTTTTTTTCCTATTTTTCCCTATTTTTCCCTATTTTTTTTCATTTGGATTTCCAGTTTTCGGTTTTTCTTTAGTTTCGAACTATTTATTGCTCGTCTTATTATTGGTTACAGGCTGGTTCACCGTCTCTTCTCCCCATTCGGAGTACCGCAGACAGGCCTTTGGACACGGTGTTCCTGCATTGAGGACCTCGCATAGATCCTCCGTCGTTATACTTGCTCAATGCAACTCTCCCCAGATCAGTCATAGCTAGTGACTTAGGATCAGCAATTTAGTCTCCAATCTCCATTTTTTTTTTCTGTGCCGAGCAATTTCCGCTTCCGGTTTCCACGGGTTTCTTGACTCGGCTACAGATTTAAATTGCACTCTCGGATCACTTTGGGTTAGGGCATCGTGCTGTTTGCATGGCAGTACCACCGAGGTAGTGCTCAAGGGCCAAGGGTCATTGGAATGCATAGAAGATATGTAGACCCCAGAATCTCCCACGAGCCCTTCGTTGGACCGTGCTGTGCAGAGGGGCAGACTCCGCGGGGCAAATGGCGGTCAGCCCCGAACTCGGGTGGGATTCACAGTGCATTGAACCCTGTTCACCTTGGATTCTTGTTCATTGGTGATTGGGTGATGGGGTTCATTCAAATACAAAAAGTACATAAATCTCCCCCAATCAAGAAGCATAAATCCTGCTGAGACATGGCGCCAGGCACCTGGAAAGTTTCACCGTTAGCTTCGGTATACAATCTCACTTCTAGACCACTGTATCAACCAATGCTCAATGCTTGATAATCGTACAATTGTAGTTAGAATCCTGAGAAACCTCAAGTAGAATCCGTTGAGCCATGGACCTTCAACTAGTGCCCATTATGTATCGAGCCCCACAGCCGCAATATCTTCGCAGTCAAATTTTCCGTAAATGAGCACGATTGCCATTCTACTCTTTCTTCCATAATGACCATCCAAGCTTGCGCCTTGCCGCGCTGTACCAAACCCGGACTCTGGGCCTGCTCAGCATGTGAACCCCCCAAGGCTTGGTACTGCAGCAGGGAGTGCCAAAAGGCTGACTTCAAAGTCCACAAACGCACCTGTGCCCCCACAACCCCCTACAACTGTTTCATCATCCGGGCCTCGCCCGCTACCGGCGCTGATCAGTCCATCATGGCTCGCATCGAGCCATTCCCTCTCCAGTCCTATGGAGACTGGGTCCTCGAAATGAAGGAAATCCAGGAGAAGCTCGGCTGGCCAGAAGCTATCGAGGCCGGCAAGTTCTATCCCCCGAACGAGGATATTGATACATGGTACTACTATGCGTACAAAGCATTAGACTTTCCACAGCGCCCCGAGAACGAGCTGGCCACTCGTTGCTTGGGACCATTCGCCAGGGGTGATGTGGTTGTGGTCAGATCGTCGCCCGTGGGTATTGAGGATTACGATGAATTATTCACAAAGATGGACGTGAAGAAGGCCATCGAGTACTGCAAGACTGCCAGTTCAGAGAAGGTGTTCCAGGACCGAGAACGATCGCGCCTCACGAAGAACTTGCGGATGCCGCCGGATTTTTTGAAGGGCGTTCCCACCGTCAACATCAACCTTTGAATTCGCACTTTGTGGGCCTTGAAGGTCTGGTCGGTGATGGTATCATTTTTGATTTATTGTTCAATCATGTTTGTTTGATATCGTCGACTGTGCTGTTGTTTAATTCCGTAAAGGCTTGCAAATCTTGGGTACCGTCACTGCTCGATTTTCGGGCTTTCTTCGTCGTTCCCATGTTATCATTTTGCTCGAATCGTCTCAAAAACAAATGAGCGTATAGATTCTTCTTCAAAAGTTAGAAAGAGACAATGTTGTCTATCAACAGCAGGCAGCCATCCAAGCTGTATCCCATTTGTATCAGCCAATGATGACTTCTGACTCTTCCGATGTGCAGAAGACTTTGTAGCCATTTAGAGAACGACCTCTAGTCAATTTGCAAACAGCCTTATCCCTTAAAAATCAATCCGAATCATCGATTTGATGAACAATCCATTCGTGAGAGGAGTCTAGACATTGAGCACCTGCCTTGGAACATTCTGAACAGATATCAAAATCATAGCAAACCTGGCATGTGTGGTACAAAGTGTTCAGACAGATGTATCGAACACACACATCACAGTACGTGGTGCTCGGAATGAGTTGAGAATACTCCTCATCGGGATCGCTTTGAGGGACCTCAACATTGCTTTCTTTGGCCCATCGGAGAAAGAGTCGGGCGATCTCACGGTTCTGGCTTCTCGCTGCCCACCAAAATAAAGACCGACCCAAGCCGTCTTCCATGTCAATATTGCAATCAGACAACGGTATCAGCCGTTTGACCACTTCCTCGTGCCCATTTCGTACGGCCATAAACAGTGGTGTCGAGAGAAACCGGTCCATGGAATTCACAAGGGCGTTGTGTAGAAGTAGGAGGTTTACTACTTCAATGTGACCCCGGGCAGCAGCATCGGAAAGTGGCGTTCGTCCAAATTGATCTCGAACATCAATAGGAATCTTAGAAAATTGTAGAATTGTGTCGACTGCCTTGGCATGGCCACGGTATGATGCTACGTGCAATGCCGTGCTTCCATCTTCACATGCGATTGTGACGTCGGCGTCACTAGCAAGAAGCAACTTGATCACATCAAAGTGACCGTTCCAAGCGGCCATGTATAGAGGTGTCCATCCGTCGTTATCTACGGCCGTGACATCCGCGCCGTGGTCGAGAAGTAATCTTACGATCTCGGTATGTCCATTCTGGCATGCGAAACTGAATGGGGTGGTTCCATCGTCACTTGCAGTAATAATCGCGCCATGGGTGAACAGTAGCTTTGCCATTTCAATATTGCCGTTTTCCGAGACTATATGCAGAGGTGTCCAACCTTCACCATCTGCAATGTTGCTGTCTGCGCCGTGCTCCATAAGAAGCTGCGCAATTTCTATATATCCACAATGCACAGCTGAATCCAATGGAGTCCAACCATTATTATTTGCAATAGTGACGTCCGCACCTTGCTCGAGAAGTAGCTTCACCACCTCCGTGTGTCCCTTTTTGGAAGATATATTGATCGCTGTCGAACCGCTCTTAATTGCAGTGTTGATATCCGCACTGTGTTCGAGAAGTAATTTCACCACCTCTGTATGCCCGCCCTCAGAAGCTGAGGTTATTGGCGTCCAACCCTTCTGACTGGCCATGTTGATGTCTGCGCCGTGTGCGAGAAGGATCTTGACTACCTCTGTGTGTCCACTCTCCGAAGCTGAGGTTATTGGCGTCCAACCCTTCTTAGTGGCAATATTGATGTCTGCACCGTGAGCGAGAAGTATCTTAACTATCTCCGTGTGCCCGAGATCGGAGGCTAAGTTTATTGGCGTCCAACCGTCATTAGTGGCAATGTTGATATCCGCACCGTGTGCGAGAAGTATTTCGACAAGCTCTGTGTGTCCGCTCTCGGAAGCTGAATTTATTGGCGCCCACCCGTTATCAGTGGTAATGTTGATATCGGCACCGTGTGCGAGAAGTATCTTAACTATCTCTGTGTACCCGCTCCCAGAAGCCGAATGTATTGGCGTCCAACCGCTATTAGTGCTAATGTCGATATCCGCACCGTGTGCGAGAAGCATCTTGACCACTTCTGCGTATCCGCTCTCAGAAGCTGAATTTATTGGCGTCCAACCGCTATTGTCTGTAACGGTGATATCGGCCCCATGTGCGATAAGTAGCTTGACCAACTCCGCATATCCATGATGACAAGCTAGGTTTATTGGCGTCCAACCTTTGCTATTCGTAACTGTGATGTCCGCACCGTATGCGAGAAGGAGCTTGGCCACTTCTATATGTCCGCTCTCGCAAGCCGAGTTTATTGGCGTCCACCCGTTCTCATCTGCGACGGTGATATCCACACCATGTGCGAGAAGTAGCTTCACCACTTCCGTACAACCATTATAACAAGCGACATCAATTGGAGTCGATCCGTAATTGTTCGGGATGTCGGCATCGGCGCCATGTTCGATAAGTAGTCTGGAAACCTCCACATAGCCATGTTGTGAAGCTGTAAAAAGGGGCGTACGTCCAAACATATCGCCAATGGTAGGGTCCGCACCTTGATCGAGAAGCAATCTGACGATCATTAGGTGTCCATTCTCACAAGCCGCGCCTAAAGCCGTCTGTTCGTCGTGTCCTTTTTCATTCATATCATGCTTTCCCTCGCTGAGTAGGAGCCCAACGGTATTGGCAAGTCCTAGATAGACTGCATAGTATAGGGGGCCAGCTAAATTGACCTCATGCGTTGCCTCGGTTTCTTCGCGCTTAACGCCGTTGAGATCGAACCATTCCTTCCACAACTTCCAGCTCGGGTTGCTGGTATTGAAAAGCTCATTCGTGAGAGTCATCAATTCGCAATCACTCATATCGCCCATAGCAGCATGTTGATACCAAGCACCTGCCGCGTAATCTCGAAAGGAGCTGAGGATTTGATCATGCTGCGCATCGGAAGTTCCCTCCCAGGCTATTTGGCAATTGACGTAGCGAAGACATTTGTTGGCAAGTATTGTGCTCTCAGAAGTTGCAGTGGAATGTCTCAAAGTCGGTGCGGTGACTTGTAGAAGGAGACCATGGTTGGGAATATTGCGAAGCAAGTACTCCCTGACTGAAAAATGGGTCAAATGTAACGTTTTCAAACCAATGGTGCATCGTGCTTCGGGGCTTCGGATTTCAAGAAGGGATCCGCAAAGGTCCAATAGCTCTGTATTGATATAGTCCTCGTCAATGCTATCTGGAAGCTCATCTAGTAGAAGCTCATCGCTGTCGTCTTGAACTAGGAGCGCGGCAGTGATCTCACTGACTGTTAATGGCCGTAGGCTGAAGGCCGTCCAACGAAGCAAAGAGAAAGCTCTGTCCCGGTCTTCGTCTGCGAGTCTTGAAATTTTGATCCAGTTTCGCTCGTATATGTTGTCGAGACCAGCTGGAGTGGCATTGATAGCTTCTTCTAGCTTCTTCTGGCTTTTACCACGACGTAAAGTGTCCTGCTGCAACTTAACCCACAAGAACTGTCCATTACAGCGATCAGCCAATTTCTGGGTAATGTCTTCCTTCATTGCATCAGTCTTCGTTGATAGCCTTTCGCTGACAATAGTTCGAGCATATGACAACACATCATTATGGACATCCTCGGGTGTAATCCGATACTCAACAACCGAATCGAAGATACCCTCATTTGAAAGGCAGTGTCGAATTTCTGTCTCGTCCCGGCTAATGATCAGAACCCGAGTAGGGGTATCCGTAACGACCTTTCTCAATGCCCCTAAGAAGCGCATGATAGAGTCCTTTTCATCAAGTGGAAGGGCTTCTCTCGCCAACACGCATTCATCCAGCCCATCCAAGATCAATGTACAGCCAGGAACAGCTGATACTGTTTCCTGGAGAAGCTTTACGAGTTCTCCACTCGTTGCCTTCTGTGCTCGAGACTTTTCCCACGTTTCCCACCTATCACAAATGGATTCAAACGATTTTGGGTGAGAGATGAGTTGGGATAACCATGATCTTATAGCGACAAAGGGGTCCCCTCGGCTCTCAAAGTCGGACGAAAAAAAGAAATGCGCGACAGGCACATCCATCGTGGGTGATAGATGTTCGATGATTTTTGCACACAGTATGGATTTCCCAAATCCAGCGGGGCCATTAATCCAGAGAACTTTGGCACATCCGGAGGGGAAATCAGGAGAAGCCCAATTGATAAACCAGGGCCGCTTTAGGACCCATCCACAGGAGCCTTCAACACTTCGCTCGACATACGTTTCATAAAGCTCATTTGTCACATGGTCACCAAGCAACCATGCTCGTAACTCTTTCCTTGTCTCACCTGGCACAGTGAGACACGGCTATAAAATCCAGGGAAGGCATTGAAGACTTACGTTCAATTTCACCATCTATTCTCTCCAGAACTCGTTTGAGTTCGATCATCCAATCTTGCTGGTGGATGAGGTCCACTTGGCCTAACTATCAGCGTTAAACTGAATAGGTTCGTGAACATTTACATACCTTTCTCGCCCCTCGCAGAATCACCGCCATTTATGGGGATCAAGCTGTGCAGGTTGTCTACTAGCGATGAAAGTTGGGCAACTTGTGCGGTTCTCTTCACTTTGTTTCGCCAGGACCATTTGAGCTTCTGTCGTTTTGATTCGACGCGCATGTTGGAATTAGGATGCCTCCCAGAGATTTGCTCTCTAGCTCCTCTCTTCTCCGCCTCTGGTGCGGGTTTCTGAGAGGGTTGATCCCCATATAGACAAACGTTTTCGATGGCCAGAAGGAGGTCTTGGATATTCGACAGTGTGCGTGGTTCATCAAGAAGCTTATGATGGTTATTCGCCAAACTGCCCTGCTCGAACCCGATAGTTTTGCCCCATCTTTCAAGGCGGATTTTGTGCGTTTCGAACTGAGTGTCCAAAGAGTGAGACTCGTTCTCGAAGTCCTTCCACGACTCAAACTTGTCAACAAGGTCCAAGCAGGTATTGAAAAGCCCAGCTATTCCAAGGATTCCGATAGCTAATCCAGCTGGCTCCATATTGGCAATGAAACCGTATCCTCTGGGGTATGGCAGAGATATTGGGAGAATCTCCAACCGCCTATGTTTTCATTCAATGCGGCCAGTGCGGGGCTGCGAATAGCCCCCAGGTGAGTGGCGCAGTGTGGCCAGCAACCACGTCGCCCATTATGGGCCTGTGAAGGACAAACACCCCAGATATTTATGCAGTCCTCTGCCGTTCTGATATATGGAAATAAACTCATTGCCTATCGACAAATTTGCGGCTATGACAGAGACCAAACCCTAGGAAGCAGCCGGTCTTACGTGTTGACAGCTTTTCCCGATCTAAATGGCTAATTTCTGTTGAAAAGTCCATTCATCTTCTTTCCAAAGTTGACTTATTGGAAACAGATGCTCACACTTTCAGGCTTTGATTCCACCATTCTCCTTAGACTCTGAGGGTTGATCACCCTGTGATTGGGCATTGGATTTGCTGGGCAAGCGCTTAGCCACGCTAACAGGGTCGAAGCACCCAGTAGACATGATAAACACCTCATCTATATCTTCCAACGACAGCCCCGCGGTTTCGGGGAAGAAGAGATAAATGATCGGTATCATGGCAACGTTCAAACAAGCAAATATAACGAAATATTTCCATCCAATGGCGTTGAAAGCGATCGGTGTGACTTCGGCAATCAAAACACTCAGACCCCACCATATACCAGAGCCGATACCATTGATCGTCGTACGCAGACTGAGTGGTGCCATCTCAGATGCATAGAGAAACGGAATTCCACCGACCCCAGCAACCATGCTGAAATGGAAGAGGAACATGAAGACCACCGCTGCGTACATGGCAGTCTTGTTTGTAGACTGAGAACTGAGCCCAGCCACCAGTACCATGAAGATTGTATTGAGCAATGCGCTTGATATCATCAAACAACGGCGGCCGAATCCTTCGATGGTAAAGATGCAGAGTATGCCACCGAAAACGCCGGAGAGTTGATAGATTGCTGCCAAAATTCTTGAAGTAGTTGAGTCGAGGTGCAGGTGTGTTTCAAAAATAGTCGTACCTAGCGAATCGATGAGCAATTGCAACTTGACAGGGATTGATAGGTCAAATACTCACTGTAGAGCGTGATAGAGTTCACGCCTGTCAATTGTAACAACACCAAGCCTCCTACTGCGAGCGACGCACGATGAAAGATTCTCTGATGTCCCATCTGAAAGACTTGACCCAGAGACCCTTTCCCGGCGATAGCCAATGAAGACTCCACATCCAAAATCTCCTTTTCCACAACTTCATCGTCGATTTCGGTGTCTTTTAGAGCTGCTAATACTTCACGGGCTGCAGAGACTTGGCCCTGGCGAAGCAACCAACGCGGTGACTCGGGCAGGTGAGAAGTGAATATCATCACCACCAAGCAGAATATAATTGGCAATGCAACTGGAAGACGCCAGCTCGCGCTGTTTGGGGCATACGACATGCCAAGATCCACGAGCAGTGCTAACGTAAGGCCCATAGAAACGAAGACACCTGTAGTCCCAACATGAGCGCCGCGCTTGGTAGTCGGTGATATTTCAGATTGCCAAATTGGTACAGTGGCTAGCTGTCCTCCAGTTCCCAGACCGAGGATAACTCGCGATACAATGAGTTGTGGAAGGTTAAAAGAAGTAGCCATGAGGAAAGCCCCGATCAGCTGTGTCACTGAAGCAATTATGATAGTTCGACGACGTCCAAGTACATCGCCGAGCCCAATGCAGGCGACGGCTCCCAAAAGTCCACCCGCTGCATACAAGGCGACGACAGTACCCTGTAATGTCGATTTGTGTTGTTTCTCTGAAGGGTGGGCACTGCTCACGTCGATTTCGGGGAATTCGGCCTCGAACCAGGGCAAAGTGAGGACTCCCCCAGTAAGCCTTGATTATAGCCCACGGACATAATTGATGGCATGACCACGCCAAGAAGTGCCACATAGTTGAGGCGACTGCCTCGACAGCCAAGAAAACGTGCCATTTGGCGTCTAAGATCTGGGGTATAATAGAGTTGTGAATTTCCTTTTAGCGCTCTACGTAAGTCTTAAAGGAGTGTATAAGGAGGGCTTGCGCACTTGAGGATTCATAAACATCCCTACGATTGGGTCATGTCGCTGATCAGTTCGATCCTTGCGTTGTTATTGCTTTCTTGCATGCCATGATTGACTGCGGCGTCTAGAAACGATGGAGAATGCTCTGCCGGTGCACGAAGGCGTTGATTAGCATAAGGATTATCTTAGATTTCAGATAGAGGTGAGGATGGAATGTTGATCCTTCTGCAAGGGGTGTAATTAATGTTCCAAGTCATCTCGTTGGCTGTGGAGTTGATGCGACATTGGATCTTTGGAAAGATCTACACAAATCACAATCTTGCATTGCTAGTACTTCGTACCTAGCCCTTTATCTCTTGTTATGAGAGATAAATTGCTTCGGGGATCTTCACTCCATTGATTTGTTCTGTCTCATATTGGATCGATTTCAAGGGATCGTTCGGGTTATATATCTCCCAATCGAATAGCTTTCTCAGAAACGTAAAAGCACTTCCAGAAATATTTTTTATTATGCTTGTGGAATTGAACACAGATTTTGACTAGGATGAAGCAACAGTGACAAAGGTCTACCTGGTATAACTCCAATATAGCGAATGTAGTAAAAGATTGAGTCCGTCTAATCTTCATCAAACCTGGGAACCAGGCTCATATTTATATGTGCCTGAATTCTAGTCTGATTCCAGCCTAATGAGAAGAACTCGATTCATCCTATTTCCATTGCAGCATGAAGTATTATATTGCATACAAAAACTGCATAAGCCTAAAATATGACATTGCGGGCGGGTAGGGTGCATCATGCAGGACTTAGGGTCGAGGATCGACGGGATTCGAGATAGCCCACTGGACTAGATTGCTCGTCTATGACCACGTAATTGGCAGAGAATTGGACAAAATCCCCAACATTTTGTGCTAAGTCAACTTGGGGGGATCGTTGGGAATATATATCCGGGTTTAGTCGCTTTACAACGGCTTTCCATGTGCTTTTGTGTCATGGCTTCCGCGCGAAAGCACGTTAGCGATCCAAAGAAATGTAGTATGTCCAATTTAGACACTAACTATACCCAAGAGTCGTATATTCTCAGCCTTCCAACAGCTGTAGGTTGTATGGCACCGGATTAAATTTCCCCGCAGCGGGGAGGATTTTGCCGGCGCAAAGTCGCGAGAAAACCAACATCCTCGTCATGCCGGGTGCAAAAAACCCCCGATGCTGGTAAGCAATAAATGATTCCAAGATGCGAATTTTGACCCCTGACGTTCTTCAGTGATCCATGTCGTATACTGCACCATAAATGTGATCCCGCCCACTCCAAGAAATCGCTCTTTTCTAAACGTCAGTAGGTGACGGGATCTTGCCACAATGCGGTCGATGCGCCCGTACAGGTCGGGAATGCACGCGAGGTAAAAAGGAAACGAAGTTCCGGCAGTCGAAGAGTCGGGCGACGCGCACAAACTTTCCTCGCAATCAAGTGTGGCTCCGGCCACCACCTCGAGGTGGGTTTGTCAAGTCCGAATCTTTGAGACTCGAGCTGATGTCGAGCTATCATTTAGTCGACTTTATACTCGAATCTGGAAGTGCAGATGTGGAGGCTTCAGCTGAGAAAGCAGCGGATGATCTGTCACCTGCAAGAAGTCTGCATAATCAGGGCGAGTCTGCTTCTATACCGGAAAGACCGTCGTCTAGACCCTCATACCCTGACGTTTTACCGCAATTTGAGGCTGCAACGGACCAGGTTTATACAAGAGGTAGTGCAGGGTCATCTTCTTTCCCCGTGGGAACCCCTGAACAACCATGTCAACGGCCATGGCCCTTGAGAAATCCAGAGGAGGCGCGCCTGTTGCGGCATTTTGTGGACAACGTTGCACCCTTCGTGAGTAATTCTATTTTTATTCAGATGATGAGCCTTACTCTAATTCCAAAATATCAAGTTTGATTGCACGGATCGCCAGCAGCACTTTGCTATCCATATCCCTTATAGAGCACGCCGTTGCGAGACATTATTCAATGCAATAATGGCCATGTCAGCTCGCCATTTAAATCGCACAACAGACTTCGATCCTTTTGTGTCGGACCGTTACTACCAGGCGTGTCTGGCGAAATTAATCCCCGCACTGAATGACCACGGGGTAACGACGGATGACGATCTGCTAGCTGCTACGGTGATCCTACGCTTACTGGAAGAATTTGATGGTGAGCAGTGGACCCTATCCGCACCGATGTGTCAATGGATTTTTTTAATGACGATCGCAGTTCCACTTGCGGGGACTGATATTCGAGGTCACTCCTTCGGGACGAAGGCTTTCATACGGGGCCCAACACTAATGACCACTACTCCAAGTCTGCGGCAGGCTGTTTACTGGAGTGGCCTACGCCAGGAGATTTATAACGCACTTAGTCTTCAACAAGCCCCCGATATTGATCTGAGTTGCCTGAACTTGAATTCCCACTTTAGTTCACTGGGTCCAGATGCGGGTGATTGCACATGGGCGAACCAAGCAATCGCTCACTGTGCAGATGTTTTGTTATTTTGTTTTGGAACAGCCCCTCGCTCGGTAGAAGTGCATGCGCAGCTAAAGGCACAGAATCAGCATTGGAGTAAGGCGCGGCCGGATTCTTTCGATCCATATTTTGTTGGCGAAGAGATGGAGATTGGAGCCACATTCCCGGACATTCGTTTCGGGTGTGCCTGGCACGGTATGTATTCAGCAATATTCCTGGGCTATCATAAACTAGGAGTCTTTCTGGGTGTGAATCAGGGCTAATCGCTTGAGATCATAGCTATCGGCAATCAATATAACGATCTTGCACAGATTCTACTTTCAGTGCATGATCCAAGTCTACCCACAGTTGGACCTCTGCGCCCGCGGTTGGTCCAAGAAGCCGATGTAAGTCGCCGCGAAAATGAACAGTTCGGTCAACCAGATATTGACAGTTTATCTAGGATCACATCCGTAAGGGGGTTTGGACAGTGTGTGGAGCTTCATTATCCAATTCCTCTGTACCTCCAGCCATGGTTGTTGGATGTATGGCTATTCATCTCTGTAAGCAGCGGGCAAAATACGTTGTCTAAAGTATCCAACATAAGAACATGTGCTTTGATGCTGACTAGGATCCTAGGCGGCGATCGGTTCACGGACCCACGCGAACGGGACCTTTTGATTCAGGTTCTCATCCAAACGGATACGCTTCATGGCTGGCCGACCCATGAGCTTCAGCGACAACTTCGAGAGACGTGGGGAATGCGATGAGTGACAGAGATATCTAGGTAAGTGGTACTTCATACAATATGCTTTGTATACCGGTATACGGTATACTTGGTGCATCAGAACAAGGATGAAAGGAGCCCTTGTCTCTCTGGCTTGGGCCGCGTCTGTGCTGGAGCCACAATCGCAATAGATGATCGTCTTGCTCCTTTGCACGCGATCAGGACCACCATACGGAGTACGGAGTACTGGTATGTTGTTCATTGTATAGTGACAGACCATAGTGTACTCTATATAACTTGCCTATTCTCACCCCGTTACCAGAGTTACGCGAGCCTTCAATCCAGATCATCGCAAACGAGTTTGACGCGTGCTCCTTTGCGATCCTCGGTACTCCGTAGAGACGTGGGTACTTCTGTTTTTGGCCAAGTGTCAGGGCCATGCGTGACCCATGGCGCTTTCTGAGGGGAATGCAGTGGCCAGCGGCTGGAGCGAGCTCGGGGGAAAAGTCAGCTCCGTGGATCGCCAGGCAACACGGACAAAGGGCACAGAATCGATCGCTCTGTGTCGCTGTGCTCTCTCAATTGCTCGTGGATCAATTTGGAACTCTCGCCACAAGATTTCAACTGAGCATGCGTTCCAGGGGGGAAGTTTGTCTGCAGAGTTCCATGTCAAAAGCCAGATCGAGAGTTTCCCCTTGATTTCATCCCCACTGATCGAGAGATTCCAAGCCCAAGAATCAACTGGACAATATGATTGGCGCTGGTGGAGGATAGGCCCGGGAGCACACACCAAAAACCGACCAGTCGCATTGCAAGCAGTCTTTTCTTTTCGGTGCGGTGATGTGCATATGTCCCCGAAGAGACCCTGTGCGCATTATTTTTTAGTCTCCACTGACGGCTTGCGTACTCAGGGGACAGCGCCCAGAAGAATAAAGTGATTAAGTGGGGATAGCAATATGGCGACGAGAAAACACAAGCAATGAATAACCACCACCTCAAAAGTGATATACCTAAAAAGCAATCTAAGCAAGCCGTCGAACGCCCCAAATATTGAAGCATCAAAGAACAGTGGCCATAACCCTCCGAAAGGCTCAATGTAACCCCTGAATACACCACACTTACGCACCCCCTTTCCGCACTGGAGACGCTACGCCACTAGCGCCAGTGCCCACACTTTTAGCACACTCCTACTGATCGGCCATATTCTCCTGGGGTTGTCTCAACTTCACCTTTTCCATCTTGAACTCCAAATTCAATACTCCGTAGTCTTGAACCGGGGATGGCCCACTGAATTCAATGTGCGCACACGATGGCTGATATGAACATGGGCGAGTTGCCCACCATCAAATGCTCCAATTGTGGGTGCAATGTCGAGATCTCCTCGATGGGGGATCACACTTGCATCCAGAAGGATTTTGGTAGGGCTCGAAGGCTTTCAAATACCGATCTATGTGCTAATATTGTTCATAGTTGCGCCCATTCCATCTCCGCCTCCATCGGCGGGGTTCGAAGCGCCAGACCGACTCACCACGATGACAAAGGCTGGCCGGGGCGGGCCTCCCCCGGCGATTGACCCCTCTGCTGCAAGTATGTCTCTAGTCGCCATGTGGGGAGTTGAGGGATCCGCGACTGACCCTAGATCTAGATCGAGCATTCCTGCAGCCAAATATCCCAACACCAGCTAGCAGTGTTCATCCATCACCTATGCCCCGATCGCCACTGCGCCCGCAGCCCAGTCCGATGGTCCGCGACGATGAAACCATGCTCAAATTGGATTCGGTCTTCTCATTTCCCATGCCTGGAAACAGGTCGCCGACCGAAGTGAGAACGCCAAGTCCAATGATAGACGCGCCTAGGCCTAAATCCCGACCATCCGTTTCCTCACTGGGACCGGGGCTGAGCGGAATGCCGGATAATGTTCAGCTTCCACCCAGCCCAATGCCGCCTCCAAACCCCGCAGATACGAAGTCCGCCGATATTGATCATGCTAGGGGGATTCGGCGGTGAGCCAGAGCAGCTATCGGACTTCTTTCGCCAGCAGTCGCTACGGCGAATCCATGGCGAGATCTTCATCTAACAGCCTTTCGCGAGGCTTCCGGTCGTTTATGGAGGACATTCCACCAGTTCCGCCGGCGCCTCTGCGCACCAGTCCCAACAAGCCTTCTTTCAGCCGCGATTCGAATGCTTCAGCGGCCTCATCTCGGATTAGCAAGGAGGAAGCCAACGGATTCGACTTTGGGATCCCGACAGGCCGGAACTCTCCCATTGAACTAGACGATCTACCCGAGGAATCCCCTCCGGCGGACTTCAAGGATACTACTGAATACATTGCGTACCAGCCTCCGCAGAGTCACCTCCATCCCGCGACAGCAGCAATAGAGCCAAGTACCAATGCACCAAGAAAGAGTTCAAATGCAAGTACCACGAGTGCATTTTCCGTCACTAGCTTCGCGCGTGCTCTTGGATTGGAGGACCAGATGAATCACAATGAAAGTTTTGGGTCGTCTTCTGATTCATCGCCTTCCGACGCCCGAAGTGGGAGTTCCATGTCCAGCCTTCCCTCCGATGTCAGCTTCAATCAACACAAACCCATCGATCCGCTCAATATCACTCCTTTGGTGAAAGAATCACCTCCCCGGACCCGACAGACGATTCTAGAACTACCCGACCGTGCACGGAGTACGATGGAGGATGTTCCTCCCATCCCGGCTGCGTTTTTCAGCCCGGATTCGCCTACCGATCCTTCAATCAACAGAGGTGGCTTGTCCTTGATTGCAGAGAGGCATGTGAAGCCTCTAGCCCAGATCGCAGCGAAACCGAAGGAATCTATCCCATCTAAGCCGACACAGCCTCAACGATCATTCACAGCACCTGTCCCACAAACACCTGTCCCGCAAACACCTACCCCGACAACAGCACGCTCGAAGGGGAAATGTAAGGGTTGCAACGAAGTAATCACAGGAAAGTCGATATCCTCCTCGGACGGCCGTCTCACAGGTCGATACCACCGTGGCTGTTTCGTTTGCTTTGAGTGTCACTCTCCTTTCCAAACGGCCGATTTCTACGTCCTCAACAACCGCCCCTTCTGCGCACAACACTATCACGAGCGCAACGGATCTCTCTGCGCCGGCTGTCACACCGGCATCGAGGGCCACTACTTGGAGACCGTCGAGCGCAACCCTGCCGGGCCGGATCGCCGTCGATTCCATCCACAGTGTTTGCAATGTCGCACATGCCACGTGCTTCTCAAGGGCGACTACTTCGAGTGGAACGGCGAAGTCTTCTGCGAACGGGATGCTCGCCGAGCTGCAGCCGCCCACTACCCACCACCAGCTCCTGGAGCCCGCCGCCCGCTAGGCTCGTCTCCGCTAGCCCAGCCCGGCCAATTCCCTCCGGGCCCGTATCCTCCTGGCCCAAGACTCGGACCTGGACCCCCTGGACCTGGATACGGACCTGGGCCCGGGCCCGGACTCCACCCTGGTCCCCGATTTCCCCCCGGTGGCGGAGGACGATTCCCCGAACGACGCACCACGAGGCTCATGATGACCTGAGAAAAGCCCCCATGCTCGTTCTATTTTCGAGAAATCCTTCACACATTTCCCCTTTTCCGCACCTGCGCTGCGGTATCTCATTCCTCATTCCTTTAATATTGCGATATACCCTCTGCTATCCCACCCATTTGGCCTTCTTTCGCTGGCAATGGCGTTGATCGTCTGTTTTCCCCCTCCCACCGGGGCTACCATTCATCTGTATCCATTGACAAACCCCGTTTTGTGAATCTTAGCCTTCATCCGGAGTGGTGTATTTTGTTTTCTTCATGCCGAAATGTTACAAATGTATTCTCTATCGGCTTGGTGTTTTGGCTGGCGCGTTGTTTCTTTTATAGGATTTATATCTATAATATGAGAACCTGTGATATTGACATTGATAATGACTGCTTTCAAGCCGGCAATGGCTGCTTTGTATTTATAATAAGGTGCTGAGTTGCACGTTATGTGTAACAAAAAGACAGGCGCGCCCCGAAGATGACACGACTAACCACAGATCCTCAATTTAACAACCAACCCGCAATCATGTCTCATTATATCATTATGAATATGCCATCACATCCTACGCGAGAAGCTAAGCCCTTATCTCGACTTATGTTCCTCGAACCCCATCCTCTCAACAGGAGTAAGATACTTCCTCTTCAAGAACCAACCAAAGCAAATGGCATAAAGCGCCACCGCCAAGATCTCGATGCGTTGTCGAAAAGTGATTCGATCTAGATCTGGATCCGGAAGTCTCACCCCATCCGTACCTTCCTTCTCCCAGTCCGCGCAGACCTGCCGGAATCGACCGGGCTCATCAGAAATAACGCCGTCGATGTCATGTCTAATGCACCAACGCATCAAGTTCGGCGCATTCACCGTCCAAACATAGACTGCACGCCGAGCTGCGCGCGCCTCTTCTAGGAATCCTCGGCCTAAGGGCCCCATCAGAATCTTCTGGTTGATATTGAATGATATTCCGGGTACTTGGAGGAATTGACGTGCATAGCTCACGTCAACACATATTAATGTCACTGCGTATCGTGGTAGATGTTGTGCTCGAGCGGGTAGGTAGCGTGAAGACCAGCAGCCGAGGATGACTCTTCTGTGCCAGTCTGGCCCGATCGTGGATATAGGTACCGATTCGATGGTTTTGGAAATCAGTTCCATGATGGTGAAAGGTTCATTGGTGAGCTGGGAAGAGGGTGAGATGTTGGCGTTTGGCAAGAGCTGGCTTTTGAGAAGGAGCGGCCGTACCTTTATGTCCAGTAGTATCCAGAGATGTTCCCGACCTGGTTGTCGGAGATATTCCAACACCTCCACTAGCCGGGGCATCGGCTCATGAGGTGCTTTCAAGGTTCGTAATGTCTTGAGATACTCCCAGTCGCAGTTGGCGACTTTCTTCTTGACACCGAAGCATCGCAGAAGGCTGGGGTCCTTTAATCGATGAGTGTGGCTCTAATGAGCACAGAGTGTATGCTTACGTGTGATAGGACAACAACTCCATCACGAGAGATGTGAAGGTCGAGCTCGAGTGCCTGAGCTCCTGCCTGGATAGCTCTGTCGATTGCTAATATAGTGTTCTCGGGATAGTGGCCCTTGAACCCTCGGTGGGCGATAGCCTGGGGCAAACGAGGGGAGGAGCGATCGACAGGGGAGTGGAGGAAATGGCCTATGGGCGATATTACTTAAGTTGTCAACCCCTAGAACAGATACCTACTCACCTGGAATATCATGTGAATGTTCCTCTCGAGCTACGGGTGATATGTCGCCCATATTGACAGGTGATATAAGAGTTTCTTTCATGAATAAACCAAAGAAAACAGAAGAGGACCCTAGATATGGGTTGACCGAATGACCATCGGAGTTTGACGGAGATAGACCCCGCAGCAAGTTCTCCTGTGGGCTGTGGGCTGCTCACATTCACTTGTGAGGCTGACAGTTTTCTGCACTAGAAGACCATAAGCTGAGGATCACTGATGAGCTGAGTTATTGAACATAGTCATCAACGGCTAGGAAGAAAGCTGTTCCCTTGGAGTTCACATCCGAGATGGAGTTCCTGTGGAATTTTAGCCCGATTACTCAGCGCTTTGGAGCTCCAGCGGGGATGTCTCCAAATTTCTCCAACTCGATTGACAACCGTGTTCGATTCGGGTTGTGAGCTTATTCTCGACTGAACTAGTTCTTGAATCAGAGTGGGTTGAGAATGGCCATTCAACAATGGATCACGCCTTTGAAGGGCATTGACAGCCTCAGCCAAACCGAGGCTCCTATGCCCGCACCAGGGCCAAACGAAGTATTGGTGGAAATACGCGCTGTGGCTCTCAACTACCGCGACGTGGAAGGTAAGCCCCTTGCTAGAAACAGGGATAGATATCATATGCTAAATGAAACCCTTAAAGTAACTAATGGCGAGTATAAGCACCATAAATCCGCCGAACAAGATGCCACTATCGTACCTTGCTCGGACATGTGTGGAGTGGTGAGCCAGGTCGGATCTGCCGTGACAAAATGGGCAGTAGGCGATCGAGTGCTTTCGACTTTTCTGCCTGATCACCAAAGCGGCCAAGTGACTGAGAAGGAGCTTAGCAGAAGTCTGGGGCTGCCACAGGATGGGGTCCTTGCAACCCATCGCCTATTCCCCGATTATGGTCTGGTGAAAGCACCCGACTTCATGTCGGACGAGGAGGCGGCTACGCTTCCTATTGCTTCAGTTACAGCCTGGATGTCTATCAATGGCATGCGACCGATGGGGCAGAGCGGCGGAAAGGACGAGTATATCTTGCTCCAAGGAACTGGTGGGGTGGCTATTGCTGGGTTACAGATTGCAAAGGCAGCTGGCGCGAGGGGTAAGGAAATTGACATGTCAACGTTCATTGGACGATCATGCTGATCCTGTAAACAGTTATTATCACCTCCTCCTCCGATGCCAAATTGGACCAGGCCAAACAGCTCGGTGCTGATTTTACCATCAACTACCGTACCAACCCAGATTGGGAAACAGAGGTTATGCGGATCACTGAAAACCGTGGCGCTGATATCATCCTGGAAGTCGGTGGCGCTAAAACCTTACGGAAGAGCTTTGACTGCATTGCATTCGGAGGCTTGATCAACTGCATTGGCTACGTATCGGGCAAGATCGATGCCGATGACGACCGTCTGAATGTCAACTTGTTGACGCTGCGTCGGACCGTAACGCTCAAGGGAATTATTAATGGGCCCAAGGATCGCTTTGAAGAAATGATCCGCTTCTACGAGACACACCAGGTCCACCCGGCAGTCAACCGGGTCTTTTCATTCGCTGATGCTAAGGAGGCGTTCAAGTTCGTGGAAAGCGGCAGCCACTTTGGCAAGGTAGTGATCAAAATTCAATAGAGGCACTTGTGCATTGAAAAATTATGAATTTCATTGTCATGTCAGATTATTCCAAAAGAAGTGTGAACATTCATTGCTGGCCATTGCCGCTCGGCTTCAGAATCCCGGTCGCAATTCCCAGATCTTCTTCCAATTTCTTCCCGCCGACTGTCAGTTGCTGGCAGTCTTGCAGCACGAACAGGAGACGAGCCCACTCTGTCTCGCTTGGGTTGCGCCATCCATGCATCGTGGCCCGCTGGACTGCGACGTCCCCACGCTTCATGATGACTGGCTCGGTATCCTCCAGGATCATCTCGATTTCCCCCTCCAGCACAACACCGTAGTCCAGGCTTTGTGTTCGGTGAACAACGGCCTGATTGTTCGGGGCGAAGTCGACGATGCGACATACAGTTCCCTTGGGGTTGACGAGGCCCAGCTCGTTCGATGCTTTCACTGCCTCGTGTTTTTTGACATCTGCATCATCGTTCAGATCCGCAGGGAATTGGGATGTTGTGTAGATGACGCTGAAAGCCATTCCAGCCTCCTCGTGGGAATCCCACTCGCCCGGAGTCGAGGAATGGATCACGGCCCTCCCAGCATCATTATGGCCTGTGATATGCCGGGTAATGCCCCGCAGAGGTGAAATTTGGCCAGGGTTGGAAGTCATTGTTTGGAAAGAGCACGATAAGAGCCTTGGAGATTGGAGGGGATGAAACCTGTGAAGATCAGAGAAGAGGAATACCCTCGGGCAGTTTTATAATCATCCGGAGGGGCAATGATTCACTCCGTCGACTTGGAACACGCATGCGCGACGTACCTGCTGCGGGGCAGGCGCATGACGGCGATGCATCTCACCCCCGCAGCAGGTGCATGGAAGACGGTGCATCTCACCTCAGACAGCGGTGAGCTGAAGGAGGGCCACATATTCTTGGGTCATGTTCGAGGAGATCAGGCTACAGGTCAGATCTGGCTGGCTGAGTGATCGTCCTTCGTATTGCCACTTTGGGTGAGGGCGAAGGGGTCAATGATAGTATCGTGTTGAGACGGGTTGCACAAAGGAGAAGCGAGAAAGCAGGTCCGTTTAAAAGGAATGCCTCGATTGCTTCATGTCGCATTCTTAGCGATATCTCGGTGATTGAATTGTCCCGGTGCCGATCACACGTTTTTGAAACGGTTTAGCCTCGGCCCCGGCATGGACCCTGGGAATCCCAACACCCAACTGTTGAGCCGCTTACCCCAGGATCCCCCACGCTTTCTTGCGGGGAGAAGTCCGGGGAAAGGATGGTATTAGTCACTGGGCCGTGTAAGCGAGGCTGGAGAGTTGTTATGGATATCAATGTTCATTTCGCTCAAGTAAGTACATCGGGATGAAGGTTGAAACCTTCTATTACAAGAACCACCGGAACTCAGCAGATGCCGGCCCATCTCGCATCCGCTCCGTTGGAATATCTCGTGCCTGGAGCGTGACTCCTCTCACGGCGATCGCGTCGCTTGTTGTCCAGCCACATGTAGAGTCCCAGACAACCTGCCAAACAGGCGCCGGTAGCACCGAATGCACCCACGCTGATCAGCGCAGGCATATACTTAGGTGCATCTTCCTTCCGGAACAAGTTGCTGCTGACCAAGCCCATCAAGTTGGCCAATGGCACGCCAATACTAGTCAACAGCACGCGGCGACCCTCGTGGGCGATATTGTTGTTGTACCAAGTACTGAGCAGGACGGATGGAGCGGATGTACCCCAGGTCATCATAAATGTGGCAAAGTAGGCTACCTGGATGTTACTCTGGACATCGTCGATGGATGCATAGATCATGAACCCGGCGAAAGTGAATAGGAAGCCTAGCACGATGAAAGGTGATCGGAGTTTGACCCAATCAGATGAAAAGGCGAGAACCAACAGCATGACCGCTCCTGTCACATTGGGCGCAACAGTGTACAAGTTGGTTTTCACAGTGGGATAACCCAAGCCTCCGACGATCTGCGGCATAAAGAGCGCGACACCCTGCAAGGGCACACCAAGACAGATTTCAATACACAGGAATGCATATGTGGTGGGTTGCTTGAAAATACCCAGGGCCTCGCGGAAGCGGAACTTCTCGTTCACTACCGCGCTGGAGTCAACCTGGATTCGGTGGAAAGCCAGCGTCTTCTCTTCTTCGGTTAAGAACTTTGCCTCGGCGGCACTCAATGGGAGATAAATGTACGCAAAGATGGCGAAGAGGACTGTGATGCCTCCCTCGATGATGAACAGGTACCGCCAATTTGGGAGGCTAGATCCCTCAATTTGGAACACTCCAAACGCGATAAGTCCGGAGAAAGCGCTGGCGATATTTGATGCGGCGTAGAAAATAGCCAGGCGACGGGCAAGCTCTCCACGACGATAGAAGGTGGTCAAGTAGTAGATCACCAGTGGGAAAAACGCCGCCTCGGACATGCCCAGGAACCAGCGCAGGGCGAACATGCCACTGAAATTGTAAGCTGCCGAGGAGAGTATCGTGAGGGAACCAAATGAGAACATCAGAATTGGAAGTACGCGTGCTGGGCTGAACTTCTTTCCAAGCATCGAGAATGGTGGTGCAAAGATCACGAACGGTACGAAGAAGATCGATAATAATAGGTTGTACTCGTTCGGTTTGAAGTTCAGATCTGATTGCCGGGTTCAATTAGTCTCTGCGCTTGTTGCTTTCTCCCAGGACCTCACTTACCTTTACTCATTCCGTCCGTCTCCGCATTACCCAGATTTCCTTTGTCTAGGGCATTGAATAGGTCTGTCGTTCGTCAGATCTGAACCAGCGGTTGAATGCGGTAGACTTACACATGATTGCAAGAATTGGAAGAAGACGAAAATCAAACTTCCGACAGAGACGTCGTTCAGCCTTGTGGTCCACGACACGAGTCACATCGTCCATAACACCTGGAACAGAGCCATAGCCTTGCAATTTGTTGGGCTCCTCGATGGTGTCCAATATGTCCGTCTTCTTCGCCGTGCCATCTGGCGACGATGTCCGTTCCAAACTCGACATTTGGAAGTAATTTGCAAGGAGGAGATTATACAGCCAACGAAGTATACAAAAGGTCCCGACAAAGTGCCTGCACTACCTGTCGAAGTTGTAGACCACCAAGTGCGAGGCCGGACCGTCTTATCAAGAACAGAGAGGTAACATCCCTTGCTCTAGACAAAAAAAGAATGTTGCATCATGCGCAGAGTCGATATCGGGAGATGTCACCCCCACGCTTCTCCGCATCGTCGAAGATTAGCAGCGCCAAAGCGGCAAAGATCGCCGCGTCGAGACGGTTGCATCGATTGCTTATAGGCAAGCCCCATGGGCTTATCGGCGGGAGTTGCTTTGTACGGGGTAGTCGGTCCAGGATCGCGAGGATAGCATTTGCATTTTATCGCAGAGCATTCCTGTTTGTTTTTTTCCTCCCTGTCTATCCCGTGCAGATCGTGTCTCACCGATTTATTCCCGCCAGCATTCCTTCTAGAGATTTCTATGCACATATGACGCTCTTGTGAAGAAGCTTGATTTGATGAAAAAAGGGGTTCCGATTCCGGTGTAGGGTTGCATTCACTGACTTCACCACATCGACTTAAGCCTATCCACTCCCCGGTCCAGAGTAAGCCACCGTGTTAGAATATCAGGGCTGCGTTGCCTGGTACCTCGTTCCCCGGAAAAGATATCTTTATCATAAGGACCCATCTGGGCACCTGGGCACGGGGCTGGGCATGCCCTATTAGGAAAGTGTAGATCCTTAAAGCCGTTAGCGCACCTCTACAGATAAAGCAATGAAATCCTCCATTGCCCTCATTTTCAAACCGAATTTGAATCACTTTATCTACCAGTCTTAAGCTAACTAGTAGGCTCATTTCGGCGAGTGAAGGGTATCATCATATATAAAGAATGATTCTATCCAAATGGGAGGCTGCTTACCATAATTTCTCCACGACTAACGGGCGCATTGCAACCTCATTGGGTCGTGCAGTTCTTGCGCACTCAACTGTTTTCGGGATGACATTGGTTCTTATATGGATCCTCAAGATCTGTGTGTAGAGAGGTTGGTCAAGCCTCTAGCCTCCACCAACTGGCCTATCGCCTTCCTACGAGCTCATTCGAGAGCTTGCATATAAAGGACTGGTAGGCCTTTATGACTCTTTCTCAACGATATGTGACTCACAAACGGTATATTTACTACATTAACGATATAAGACCTCGTATTCCCACTGATGATACAAAAAAGAGCCCGCTCAGACCGCATTGACATCTTCATTGGTTTGCTACGAGAAAGACGTTCAGCCGATGGAGAACTATTACTGGCTGTGTTTGAGAGCGACTTAATTAGCGTGGGAGTCATTATATTCTCAAGATTGACATGGCTCTACATCCTCGGGATTAACTCCTCCGAATACCGGAATTAGCCTGGATAGCCTCCTCCGCACATCTCTTCTAGCCATCTTCCCAGCGCGACAAGGGGGGCGTGATGCGTATACATCCTCGTTTCCCGTCTCATTCGCGCTTGATCAAAAGCACGATAAATCTCCCCGTTGGGGCAGATAATATAGAATGGTCCATTCTCCAAAACGGTCAACAATTCCTCGGCAACTTGGCTAGGATACCAGGCTCCGACGGGCTTCTTGATTTCGTGTTCATCAGTCGGACCCACATGACCCATTAGGCCTGTTCATGTCCCTTATGGAATGAGCAAGTGGACGGAGATATGTATTGTCGATGGCTTAGAGCGAAGATCATGGGCAAGATGCTCAGGGATTATCTTAATCGCCGCCTTGAAAGCATTATATGCGTGCAGTATGTTTTCACCTAGCGCGTTTGTGATAACTTGCTTCGAGTCAGTTGCGATGGTACATTTGGGCGATTTTGATTGTGAGACAACGAGCAATGACAACATAGCATCCAGTCCGTTGAGCAGACCGAAAACATTCGTCTTGAATGTCTAGCTGTGTCGAGGTGTCGCTTGATCTTATAAAATCACACATGTACCTTTGGCCAGTAGTGCGAGTCTAGCCAAGGGCTCATCCGACCCCTGTCTTGTTCTGCTTGTGGCCTATACCCTCTGATGATTGGGGTCGACCTTGAGACTTGTTCCGTTACCAAACAGCGCTTCAATCCATCTTGGTAAAGCAGACAATTAATAGAAAATGAAATCGAGCCAGGGCGTTACGCAACTCCTACTCCATTGACCACAATCTCAGAAGAATTATGTCCTCGCCTCGGCTAGCCGCCTTCTGCCCAGACGCGAGGCTGCACTAGGCTCTAAACGAAACATTAGGCTGCTACAATGCCCTTTTCCTCTTGTTCCCCAGTTGATTAGTATCTGGAGTGTTTCCGTATCCACTTATTGATGTAAATCGTCTCCTTTTGTAGAAGATATAATGTGTCGCGACTACCTCTGTTTAACCTCCAGAAGCCCTCGCTCGTTCCTCTTCTGCATCGTCGCCAATGTCGGCCCCGGTAGCGCCAGCCGCTCTCTGGCCGTGGCCTACCGCCAGGGCAACGACAACGACATCTCAGTATCACCTCTGGCACGCGAGAGGCAGGTCGTGGCAGAAACCCTCGCGCTGATCGAAGTCCTCTCGGATCCCGCAAACCGCGCGCCGCTTGAGGCCGAGAGGACACTCGCAAACAGCTGTTATCGCCGGTCTCCGTGGGGCAACGAGGACGAGTTTAGTGGGCGGCCCAGCATTCCAGACAAGGCGCAGCCCCCCTTCTCCGCGCCTGACGGCTGGCACCGGTGGGATGCGCAACTACAGCCCGAATTATGGCCTGAACTGCCGTGGAATGATGATGGGCTCAATGAGTTTCCCTTTACAACGACGTGCCTCTTACTAGGGCTGTTGCGTGACAATGGCGATGGCGATGCCAATGCTACTACCCGCGACAGCGCGCGTCCCGGCGACGTCCAGCTCCAGCCGCTGTCCACTGTATTCCGTGGCGACTGCACCGAGTATGGCCTTGTTGTTATTGACATCTCCGACTTCGACAGTGGTGTCAAGTATGGCATAGTTGGCTTCCCCGTGCGCTACATGGCCGAGGTTTGGCACCACGATCCTGACGACTGGGATTACGTTGAAGACGACCCGCCTGTGGAGGAGCCTGATATTGTACCTATCACCCCGCGGCCTCGAGTGCCGTTGTCTGTTCTTCAGTGGCTACGGAAGTACGACTGTTATGGGGTCGTGGAAGAGGACTCCAGGGTCCTCAGACTGGAGGATATGCCGCTTGTTGATGCTGCAGCCTTGGACTGTACGTCTGGTTTCAGGCCACCTATCCACCTGTGGTGTTAGGATGATATGCATGTGCTGACTGGGGAATGGTAGATATTTGGCCGCCGGAGCTCGAAAATCGGGCTGAAGTTGAAAGTCAGGATAGAACATCTTCGCAAGGTGTTATCTCAAGCATCTCCGACTGTCTGTGAATTACTCGCGCTTCCCCATGCTCACATATATCTACTCTATTTGCTGACTTACGAAACAGACTTCTGGTCTTCAAATGCCACCACCGGCGCCGAAGATGAATCGACCACGACAGCCTCCTGCTTGACTACATCACACGAGCTGCCGCGAAGCGCGCATGTGGACGGCGCCATCGATGATCTGCTTATTCTCACACAGGATCCCGAACTCCACCTTGACGAAAGGACAATCGATAAATTTCAACAGCTCACCGAGTTCCGCGATCAGCTGCGGCGCCGGCTTGAAGAGGTGCCCGACAGCTTGGGACCGTCTTCGGAGGCTTCAGGCCATATTCTACGCATTGCGTACGCCGGGTGCATGCACCTGAACTGGGTAGCGTTTAGATACCTTGCACCCGGCTTGATCGCTGCCGCCGTTGCATCTGACGAGCTTCGCGGCGCGTCCGCACTCAGCCTTTGCGTTGATAACTTTGACCTGGAGGGATGCGAGGGAGAACTCGGTGATCTAGCAGCGGCTCTGGCGAATTCCACGACCCTCAAACAGCTCTGCCTTTTGCAGAGACCGGACGGGGACAGTGACGACGCCTCAGCTCGTTTCTGCACGCAGCTGCTCCTTCGGGGGAGCGCATCGGGAGACTTGGGCTGGCTCCGCGACATAATCATCTATCCGACTTACGCGTTTTCGACATCCTTGCGCAACCGCAAATTGCTATCGCCATCGACTAATAGTGTTGATTTGACCGTCCCCGTCGTCCAAGAATTTCCCATGATACACATGTTCACGTTTCTGGGTGATCAGCGCGAAGATGGCGCGGACGCGGACCACCATCATCGACAATACCAGAACAGTTATGGTCACTACTACGACATGAGCAACACGCTCCTAGACGCTGAGAGCTTTGCTGTTCGATTTCTATCATACCTCCGTTCCGTGGGTTCGGGTTCTGACAAGGCCATCTTGCGATTCGCATACGGGCGGGCCTCCTCGTCACTTACCACCACCGACAACGACAACGAGAAGTCGCCGCCGTCGTTATCATCAGGAGAGTTCGGCGTGAGTCCTATTCCCGCCGGATTCTTTGGCAACCACGGCGCAGCAAATGATCAGTCAAGAATCAGAGTCAGAGATCTACACCCTGGCAGCTGGGTGCTTCTTCTAGCCCAACGAGGCCGCAGTTCATGCGACGACGACGATGTCCTCCTAAGATACTCTTTTGTCAGAATTGGTCGAAACTCTGCGGAAATTGCGCCCGAGCAACAGCAAGAAAGCCCCGCCTCTGTCCCGAATGTCGTCGAAGTAATAGGCGGGCTAGCAGAGTTCCTGCGCGAGACCGTGCGGGGGATCGATATTTCCGCGTACGAGAAACGGATCGAAGAGATAGAAAAGGACCTCCGTGCGCAACAGGGTTCAATTAAAACGGGGAAACGGTACATTGGCATCGGCGTTATGGCCGAGACCAGTGCCCAGGCAATACTTTCCAGTTACTGTGATATCCCGGTACTACCTGGGTAACTGTTCCAGTACAAGTCAGCATCGAATACAAGAGAAGTGGACTATTTCCTTCTAAATCATACAAGAATCGACAGTAGTGATGGTCAATTTGTTTTCTTGGATATAGATTAATTGTAACTACTTGGTTCCAGGAACCTGCCAGTTGACCGCACACCTATCAATACGGCATTCGTCGGATTCTACGAACCCCTTCAATCTGTCTTAATTTTAATGCAAACTGCCTCTAAATAAGTCGCCATTTGGTGAAGGCTTACTCTCGGCCGAGATACATGTAGTCCAAGCGGCCAGACTAGCACAGCATATCTCATAGTTCTCTGGCTTTGAATCGAAGTCGAGCTTGACCGTCAATCATGAGCTAGCTTTCGCGTTCGGTTGAATGGACAAATTGCCGTTCACGAGCGACCACAATAGACCTAGGTTTTGGAACGGTATGGCCTTTTTCGGAGACTGATCTTAGGACCGAAGTTCTCATCCAACGGTGCCAAATGTACCCCTTTTCGAATACCATCTCAGTGGGGCATGGCGTGCTTCCAAATCTGATCGTTTATAGGACATCCTTGCAAGCCGCACTGCTTAGCTGGAACTTAGCTGTTCGAAGTCCGGTTATGGCGCATGGAAACCCAACTTAGGCTATTCTCTGCCGCTACCTGCCAAGTTAGGATAGACGACAAATGCACATTCAAGCAGGATTTGGCACGAAAGCGTGGTGGGGCTCTACAGAGTCGATGAAAGGGGAATATCGCGATCGCCATGAATGCTGACGTGCTTTGTGCGACAGCAAATACAATAAATAGTTGCTCGCACTGAGGGCTCAGAGATCGTACGAACAAATATTGGTATTACTATAATTCGCTGTGGAAGTTCCCAGTGCCAGCATGGCGTTCGATCGTATAGTTCGGTTCTACCGGTCGTGCCTGTTCCAGATCATCATCGTGGGACTGGTCGCCTTTTGCGAACCCGGTATTTGGACTGCTCTCAATAACCTAGGAGCAGGAGGAAACGCCAAAGTAAGTCTCCTTCTGGCCGTTTCTGCTTCATGGGATCCCCCTAACAATCATGTAGCCTTATCTAAACAATGCTGCCAATGCCTTGACATATGGACTCATGTCAATTGGCTGTTTTCTTGCCGGCGGCGTCACCAACAAGATCACAGCGAAATGGACTTTGTTCATTGGAGCTGCGTTCTACACTCCATATGCCGCTGGTCTTTACTGCAACAACCGCTTTGGCAACGAATGGTTTCTCCTACTCGGCGCCGCGCTTTGTGGCATTGGTGCCTCGCTTTTATGGGCCAGTGAGGCTGCTATTGCGGTTGGATATCCGGAAGAGGAGAAAAGGGGACGGTAAGTCAACCCCCTCATCTGGTGTATTTTCTTCGGCTGAGTGTGTTAGATACGTTGGAATTTGGATGGGCATCCGGCAAATGGGACCGCTCGTGGGCGGTGCGATATCGCTTGCTCTCAATATCAAAACTGCACAGGCTGGCAAAGTCACCTACACAACATACCTAGGACTCGTTGCCATTTCATCTCTTGGTGCACCGTTTGCATTGCTGTTGTCGCAGCCACAAAATGTCATCCGAAGCAATGGCACCAAGATTCCGTACATGAAAAAGACGAGCTTGGTTATTGAGGCTCGCGCGATCTGGAAGCAGCTGTCGAATAAGTACATGTTGCTACTCATCCCGGTCTTCTTGGCTGGACAATTTGGTGTCACTTATCAAGGGAACTATCTCACAAGTATGAACTCTCCGTCCTATTTTACCGATCATGAATGGCCTCACTAACAGATTTGTAGCATACTTCACCGTCCGATCCAGAGCTCTTGCATCTTTCCTGACAGCCGTGGTCGGCGCTACAGCCAATATAACCACGGGTCTGCTACTAGATATCAAGGCCCTCTCCCGACCAGCCCGGTCCAGAGCTATGTATATTTTCATCCTCACATTCGTCACAGCAGCTTGGATATGGATGGCTATCGTCCAGACAACACTGTCGCGCAAGACCGACCCACCTGCGTTCGACTTGGGGGATGGCCCATTCTTCAACTCCTCTTTCACCGTCTACCTGTTTTTCAAATTCTTCTATGAGGTGTTGCAGACCTACATCTATTGGCTGATGGCCGAGATCAAAGGAGCACAGGCAGACGGAGATATCGCAAGAACAACCGGCATCCTGAGATCGTGGGAGTCTATCGGCAGTACGATTGCTTATGCGGTCGGCGCCACTCACTGGCCAAATTTGAATCAGATGATACTGGGATTCTCGCTTTGGGCCTTTACAATCCCATTCACACTGCTTGCGGTGTTTGGTAATTTCAATCAGCCCCAGGACCTCGAGGAGGAACAATCTGATACTAGTTCCTTGGAGGCGCAGAGGGTTATGGTTAGTTCTGAAGGCAAGGAATAAGGTGCATTTTGCTTTTTAGAAAAATAAACGTTGCTTAGAGCATGGAATCTTACAAAGAACCCGTTTTGTTTTGAGTCTAATAAGGTTGCTTCGAGTTTAATAGAGCACAAGGACTATGGATGACGCTTTATATTGCGAGTAATCTAGAAGTGTAAACTGGGTATCAATGAATATATATTGTGTCAGATTCCAACTTTCCTGCTCTCGTGGTCTTTCCCAGTATTGATATGACCCAATTACACCATAGCAGGCATGCCCTGAAGCTGCATCTATCCACTCCCCGCACTTTCCATTATCCAGATGCGCCAAGATTGACTATCGGCTATAAATTACGTTATCGTTGAGGATGTGAGGCAAAAGGAAGTTTCCAAGGATGCTTGTGTCTAGATTGGCTGACTACCTCCCACAACTGTGACATGTTTCAACTCACATATCTTGTCCTGATTGATCTTTCGTCGTGATTATCGGAGACAGTATCACTGATGACTCAGGAAGCACGACAAATGCTAATAATCGCTAGGGGGATTGACCTGCAATCTATGCAGTAGCTGATGAACACAGTTGGCCGGAGCTTCTCCTAGCAAAAACGCAAGAATATTCCTCCATGTGCAATAAAGCCATGCCGAACCAACCTGCTGGCGGAAATTGTATTCTACAAGATTGTCTCGGTCCGAACGTGATAAGCCGGCTTGATTGAGACGTACTGGCACAGTCTGGAGTTCGATATACGATGATACTCGAAGGCGTGAGTGATATAGGCCTTGCGGATAGCGATACCACTCCACAGGCGAAGATTCAGAAGAGACTTGTTGCAGCCTACAAAGAGATCGCAACGCGGATACGTGCTCCGGGCATACCAGTATTGAGAGCCACCATCACCCCATCCGGCTCCTCCCCGGACTCAGGCTACATCCATCTTTATTCAAACGAAGAACATGAGAGGACCCGTCAACGGATCAACACGTTCATTCGGGAAAGTGGTGTATTTGATGCGGTATTGGATTTTGATCAGGTGTTGAGGGATCTGCCTGCGCCATCTCAGTTGCTGGGGAAGTATGATTCGGGAGACCATCTTCATCCCAATGCGGCTGGATATCAAGCGTTGGCGGATTATTTCCCTCGCGAGATATTCTCATGAATCCTCGCAGACAAACTGCCAGAGTTCAAGGACACAATAGTCACTCTGTAGAAGAACCCAATGTGAGTATGTACATATTCCCTTTCAACTCGTGAAGATATAAAAACCCGAGTGGTGCCATCAGAATGACAGTCATCTCTAGACACGACGTTTGAAGCTGCTTCGAGAGCCTCGCTTCTTTAGAAGGCCGCCCTCAACAAGAGCCTGCTTGCGTCCAGGTCCAAAATCCGGCTCGCCACCCAATGAACCGAAGATATCACCAATATAGTTATTAGCCTTGACACCTGCACTAAAGGTAGTATCCCACCCATCCAAGATACCCTCCACGACTTTGATACCGGCAATATACAGATTCTCAACAGCAGGCTCGAAAGCGCCCTGCTCCTCCGCTTCAAAGAGGTTATAGGCCGCCGAAGCACCCGGGTAGGGACGATCAAAGTCAGATCCCGTACGCATCACGATAATGCGAGAGAAATCAGTGAGTTTGTGAATTGAAGACCGAAGCAGGACTTCAAAAGTCGCGTTATCCTCCTGAGCGGTCGAACAATACTCGCCCGTTCCATTCGTCCACACCTTGGTAGTGTGTTCAAACACCGAGCCGAGGATATTACCACTGAAATATACGTCCGTGGTGGCCACGTCGCATTCAATAACACTAGGAGGCAAGGTTGCAGCCTTGTACTCGCCATCGGAGGTCTTGTACCGGGCGCGATAGGCCTGAGCTGTCGCGGAGTCAGAGAGCTTCGCCTTGCGCGCAAAGTCCGCAGCGATCGTGCGCAGATCGGCGTTTAGCTCGAAGACCTCTGTGCCGTAGATGTCGGTCGGATACTGGCCTGGGAAATTTGTCCCTTGTGCGATATACCCAGTGGAGTAATTTTCAGGGAGTTCCCGGATGTCAATCTCATATTGCAGGGCGACTTGGACTGCGTAACGAGCAAAGGTTGCTGACGCAGTGGTTGCTTTCTTCGGATTGACGCCGGCAATACCGGCGACGAAAAAGTATGTCTTGGTCAGATCAAATAGAGGCGAGAAAGCGACGGACGTGACGGTCGCGGCGGCATTGATCTCGCCTTCGCCGGTTATCAGCTGGCAGACTTCATAGTCCTCTGTGCAGTAGACATCTGGGTACAGAGGTGACAGGCCTGGGATGGTGATGTTGTGGGCAAGTAAGTTGAACTCAGGGATATTCCACCAGGCTTTCGCTTCAGGGGGGAACTAGTATATAATTTAGCGATACTGAACTTGTTACAAATCCTCCTTGGCAGTGCATACCATCGATACGATGAAGACTTTGGGTGCAATGGGCTTATTGGAGCCCTGCTGGGCGGTATCACTGGCTCCTACACATAGCGAGGCACCAGTGAGCAGCAACGAAGCCGCCACAGTCTGAAGGAGGTGCATTGCGATGAGGGGAATTGAGTTGCAATTGAAACTCCGTTCCTGGATACGACTCTACCGCAGTCTTCTATTTGTACTTCGTATAGTTGTAAAAATTCTGTACCCCTTGCTGTTTGCGGTGCGGTACGCACATTGCCGACCAGTGGACATGCTGGAACCTGATAGGGACATGATCAGCATCCCTCCGCGGAGCAATCCATCTGAAGGGCTCCGGAGATTCTCCTATTGGCCTTTTTACATGGAACCTCATTCGCGTGAGATAGTAAGAAGGTATAGTATCAATGGTGGTTTGAAAGTTCATGCTTCATGTTGAGTCCCCGACTGGCTCAATCCAACCGAATCAGGGTCGATCGTCACGCGATTTACATCTTTTATGATGAATCTTACATTCGGGTATCTGAGCTCGGCGACAGTTTCACATACCGTAAGCATGAAGGATCAATAATTTGAAGGTTTGCGCAGAGGTATACCTATTAGGGTGACCCTAAACCTGGACAAATGGTGGCAGTTTCGAGGATTGCTCATATACGGGAAGCTGCCTAGAATTAATAATTGTATCATGTCATTCGAGTTGCAGATAAAGAAAGAAGCAAACAGTAGCACTGGTATGTCATCGCTGGTATATCATCATCAATTCCGTTCTGCTGGAAGACGATCGCTCGAGACCAACTCCGACCGAAGCTCATCCAAAAGTGCGTATATATTTGAGTGTCCCTTCTTCACAGCAGAATAAAACCCCCTGTACTCTTGTCCAAAATCCTTCCCATCACAAAATTTCTTTCATCCACATATTCCAAGATGTAGCTCAAAGTATCATCGGCGTGGATCTTACTCCGCTGTCTGTCTATGGTAGTGCAATGCCATTGCGTCTCATGTATCTCACTAATCGAATCGTTTTGCCTTGTGTGTAAAGGTAATATCGTGTCTTGCCCGCATGCGAAAGAAGTGCATGTTTATATATCACGCTGTGTCCCCAAATTAGAACAGCTGCAAAAAGTGACGACGAAGGCTGTCAAATGGTTAAGGTTAGTGCCACGAGGACCTTATTTGTACCACGCTCACGAGCACCGACCCAATCAAAGACTCCACGTGGAAACAAATAATCTCAGTTGATAGGCGTGGGCTTCCATGGATAAATGCGGCAAAGGCAAGTGGACGCGCCATGAGGCTCGCCCAGTGACACCAGGGCCTTCAAGCCACCGTGTGACTCCAGACGTTGACCGTGGAGCATGACGCATGTCAAGCGTACTTAGAATAGAACTCTCAGTGGGATGTGGTGATGATCCACGGAGATTAATTCGTCGCTGGCCCTTCAACGTCATCTGACGTCATCTTAATATACTTCCAGATGGAGGAGCAACAACAGAATAAAATCAAGGTCAAACGCTCGAAGTCTGTAGTGTTTATTTATTTTGTGTTCCTCGAGTTCATCCTTTGTCATCGTCAAATAATATTCCACTCGCATCGCATCACTGTTCAAACAGCGCTTTTCCTCTCGATACCTCTCAGCCCAAGTCCTATACACAACCATCATCACCCACCATGCCGTCGATGCACGAACGTATCCGCGAGGACCTCCTCAACAAAGAGCTTGCACTCTGGACGGCCCTTACATCTGCTGATCCTGCACCTGCGATCTGGAAACTCAGCAACCCCGAAGCCAACTTTTTGTTCCCTCAGATGCCAATCATTACACTCGAGGATGAGACGGCTTTCAAGAAAGCCGTCCGACCACCCTTCCACCGATTCGATGGCTACCAGCTCGAAGAGGTCCGTGTCATCATTGTTGACCTGATGGCAGGTGTTGTCACATATAAGGTCCGCGCTGTGCGCGGGAAGAAAGAATATACCGCATCCGGCTCAACGACTTGGAGTCAAGGCTCGGATGGCGAGTGGACACTGGCTTGCCATCAAGAGACATTGATGTGAAGAATGAGCTCTGTTGTATATCTTCTTCTCTGTTATTCTTTTCTTTCTCTTCCGTGATGCGATGGACTGCGAGGACGTGATCTCGGCGATCGGCGTGTGGTTCCGTGATATGATGCGATGTTTCACGAGTCAACGAATGTTTTAATGCCATGCATAGTTGAATTTATGAATTTCATGAACATTGACAATTTGACACGTGGGTTTTGAGACACAGATTTGGATCTCGTAGATCACCGAACTGTCCGATGATCGGAAGTATAGTATTTAGACTTAGATCTGGGCTCTGTGTTGTACGTTGTCCGGAGAGAACAATTCAACGGAGGACATCGGATTCCGTATTCCGTTGATCTCACATATGGGATGCTATCGTATTGCAGATTACTCCGGACTGCTTGGCAAAAATTATTTTCTCCTATTTCTCTCTCCTTTTGCCCGTCAGATATCTCTTTGACTCACCGCTTCATGAGATGCATTGATGGTGCAATGGGATGCAGCGGCTCAATAGTGCTATGCCAAGGGTGCTTTCAATGCGCTCTCTGCGCCTCCTTGCATTACCGACAGATTTTGACCAGGGGATGTTCAACACCCTGGCTTCGGATCACCAAACACGGTTCCCAATGAGTCACGTAGCGTGATATTCCGAGGTTCTGGAAGGCTATTGACAGGGGTTAACCGGGGGCCAATCTTATAATAAATGAGACATTAATAAGCGGCTTCTCTAGCTTGGGGGCCAGAATGGGCAGATTGCTTTCTATTAAATCCCGGGGTTTAATATTGGGTTCCCGGGCTTTATTTTTAATTCGAATTTTCGGTCAGATCATTTGAATCTCGTGAAATCATCGTGGCACCATGAGAGTTTCCGATCAAGCGCCATGGGGTCTGGAATGGCGATCGTCCACGTATTTCATTGTCGCGACAATGGCAGTGGCCTTGCTGACTGGTAAGGTTTCCAAGCGTATGAGCTAATATGGACTCTTTAACCAAGCCCACTAGATATGTACCTCTACGGCTTTCTGGTGCCGCTGCTTCCTTACATTCTCGAACACCGATTGGGCCTTGATGTCTCGCTTACCCAGCGCGTCAGCACCGCGCTGTTGTCCCAGAGTGCCCTCGTTATGGTCGTGGCGAGCCCGTTGATCGGGTCGCACGCGGACCGTTCGGGTGCAAAACGGAGTTGGCTGCTGACCGGACTTGCGGGTGCCCTGGTGAGCTCTTTCGCACTCGCCTTGGCGAATTCGTGTAAGTTCAATGTTGGCTGCCAATTGCCGATGCTAGCGCCAGGGGGATTAACGTCGGTACAGTGTTCACCCTCTTCGCTGCACGTCTTATACAGTCTGCCGCCAGCACGGTCATCTGGGTGGTCGGTTTTGCTACCATTGCAGATAATGTCCCTGCGGACGATCTAGGCAAGATGTATGGCTTCGTAACAATCGCCATTGCTGTAGGTACATCGGGTGGTCCGCTCATTGCAGGGGTCCTATTCGATCTCGGTGGGTACTGGGTGGCATGGTCGAGCGTGCTTTTGGTTATTTTATTTGACGTGATCTTGCGATGCTTGATGCTCGAGCAACCACGAGAACACAGTAAGCCCGCTCGCACCGGAGATGAGCAAGATCCAGAGCAGGATCCGCTCTTGTCCGCATCAGCTCAAGGGCCAGGGACAAGCGGGAATTTGGTGGCTGAGAAAACGGGCATTCATTTCTATTTGTGCATGTTTGGAAACGGCCGTTTCGTGGGTGGTGTGATTGCTTATTTCTGCTACGCCGTACTAACCACCAGTTTCGATGCCACGCTTCCTCTCCATGTGCGTGATGTTTTTGGCTGGGGTAGCTTCCCCACGGGTTTATTGTTTGCTGCTTTTCAGAGCCCCGCGATCTTCCTTAGTGTTCCTGTCGGCTGGCTGAAGGATCGGGTGGGTACTCGGCATCCGACCACGATTGGGTTTGCTCTCCTGATGCCGTTGGTTTGGTTGATTGGAGTCCCTGGGGATGAACGGTTTCCCTGGGCAGGCCCGGATGCATTGGGTTCGATTGTATATGGCGGAGCGATGGTGGGCATCGGGATCGTGATATGCCTGCTCAACGGAGTGGGGATGATGGAAGCCACTCGTAAGTTCCTCTTCAATATTTTACGTTTTGATTTAGTATTTTATAGTATGGTGTCTCGGTTTCTTTTCTTGTTTTGATTTTGGGCCTTTATTTTCTCTTTTCCTTTTGTTTGCTCTCTTGTTTGCCTGGCGGCTACTAACATTTGCGCAGAGGCCGTTGACGAAATTCAGGGTGAGAATCCAGGGATATTCGGTCCCAACGGGGGATATTCCCGGGCAATCTCAGTGTCCAGTATTAGCTGGACACTCGGGATGTTTTTTGGCCCAATAATTTCGGGATATGGCACGGAACAACTCGGGTATTATGGCATGAACAGTGTGCTAGGTTTGTCCGCCCCTGTTCAATTTCTTCAAGTCACCACGCTAACCATGCATACTAGCCGCGATGTGCGGCCTCTGTTCTCTGCTTGTGCTCTGGAATTTGAAGTCGTCGGTGCCCCAGCGTCCAAGTAAAGCAACTCCCGATGCCGGCGCGGAGTGAGATCCAAAGGATCCGCGTTTGGTTATTGCCCAGATCCCACCATTGTTTTGCATTGGAAGCGAAGCGAGGAGAAGAGGGCAAAAACAAGGAAATCCGAAATTAGGTCGGACTTTTAAGCTTAGCGCGGCAGAAGGACCAAAAGGGGGGCTAACTAGTAGGGGTGTGCAGGGAGGGCTGCATAAGACAACCTAATTAGTTACCGAGTTATACACCTACGTATTCGCAGTCCAGAACACTTAACCCCAGATAGACGGAAAAAAAAGAAAAAGAAAATACCGTGAACCGGAAGGAATTGAGTGGGACTGGGGGAATCGGTGTAATCGAGATCCCCGGGGCCAATCGTCAAAGTGGTCCACGTTGAGGAAAAGAAAATAAAGTAGCACAAACGGCGCTGTCATTTCCTTCGGGAATTCGGTCCCTTTTGAGACTCCGCCGAGCTGCCTCTCTCCTACCTGTCACTCTGCCTTCTTTGTTCTGATATATCGGCTCTCGTAAACTCAACGCCACTCGTTACGGACGACTTGGATCTCTTCCCAGCGCATCTCCAGCAAACTCTGAACACAATCTCACAAAGAACCGTCTCAAAATTGTGATGCATCTCGTGGCGACTATGACACGCGAGACTCCACAATCGGAACCCACGGATTTGCCGAAGGATTTCCTGCCCCGGCCGAGCCATCTAGTTTCATCGTTAGTTTTCTTTAGGCGTATTCTATATATTAATGCTCGGGTTGGAGGATGCGACGATTGTAACCGTTGGAAAACTCTTCAATATAAGCTCATGCCAAGGAGGATATCATCACGGCACCTCGCTCTCGGAAATTTGTGAACTTCCAAGAAAAAAAGATTTTGACACATTTCTATGCCATGGAGCCAATCCGTCCACCACAGACCATCGCCATCGCAGGTGCTGGCATCGCAGGCATCGCATGTGCACTAGCTCTGTCCCGCGAGCTGTCTCCATTCGTACCGGGGTTGAAAATTACCATCTACGAACGCCATGATGTCCTATCGACCTCCGGTGGTGCCATCAACCTGACTCCCGTCGCCCAAAGACACCTAGCACAACTCGGTGTACTACATGAATTGGACCGTATGGGACCGGAAGGAGGAGCCGATGTCGATGCGATCCAGCTTTTCTCCATGCGTACCGCCCGTCCGATCGGTTCCATCAACTTCACAGACAGCAATGGCAAAGGGTTTGGTGGATATAAGGGTAGGAGAGTGATGCGAATCTCTCTCTCTATGGCCCTATTGGCCGTGGCGGAGCGGACTCCCAACGTTGAAATTGTCTTCGGCAAGAAAGTCGTCGGTGGAGAGGAATTCGCCGATAGAGCCGTCTTGCATTTCGAGGACAGCACCGAGGTCTCGGCGGACTTGCTTATCGCCTGTGACGGTGTCCACTCCGCGGTCCGGACACACTTCGTGGACGTTGGTCGTCCCGCCGAATACACCGGACTGTCTTTCTTACAGGCTACGATTGATTCAGACACACTGTCCGCGCCTGCTCACTTCAAGTCATCCTCGCTCAACATCTCCCGCCACGGCTCGATTCTCGCAAGTTACTGTGATCGTGATCACGACCAGCTCTTCGCCGCGGCCATTGTGCAATTCAGCCAGGATGCCCTGCGCCACTATCGCCTACGACAAGGCCAGGATTGGGCCACCCAGCACAGAATCCGCTGCGCTCTCCGCCAAGAGATCAGAGACCGCTTCGGCAAATGTGTCATTCCTTGCATCAAAGAGATCGTGGAGAGCAAAGCAGACTGGATGCTTTATCCCGTATATCAGGTTCCTCCCGGCGGACGCTGGTGCTTGAACCGAGTCATCTTGTTAGGCGATGCCGCACACGCAGTATGTCTCCATTCCTAAAAAAAAGCAAAAACCACACCCCACACCCCTTTTCCTACTAACACGTTGCACAGATGCCCCCACGTGACGAGTCCGCTGCATACGCCCTGGACGATGCAATTCTGTTTGCTCGCATTCTCGCACACTACCGCTCAGAGCCTCTATCAGAGACCTTCGATGCCTACGAGTCCGTCCGTCGTGACACAATCAACCACGCCTTCAAAGAATCCCGCCGTATGTGGGAGCGCAACCGCGAGATGGGCTTACTTGAAGGCCGATTGAAAGAGTGGATGATGACCTTCCATCTCAAAGCCCGCGAAAGCGAACGCGAGGCTGCGTGGGAGTTCGACGCAGCCAAGATTGCTCTCCCCACGCCAGCACCGAGTGAAGACGTGGTCTCTTTGAATTCCTTCTTACGTGATCGTACACTGTGAAAAAGTGCCGTTGCGTTTTTCTTTTCTTTCTAAAAAATATTTCGGGGGCGTTTGGGTTTGGCTTTGCATCGGTTGGAGCGTGTGAATTCATTTCAATAAAATCAATACCCGGTAATTAGCTACCTGAATATATCTAGATCGATTTGTTCGTGGATATGTGACTACAGTTTTGGCCTTTTTTTGGATTGTGTGAACTTGCATTTGCTCGTTTTCTTCTGTTTACTGTTGTGGTGCGATTTTCATTATGGAATTCTATACAGAAACCTCGCTTTGAACTTAGCACTCTATTCGTGGGCGTTATGCATACTTTCTTACTTTTCAACGTTGATGCATCACAAATAACATAAAATAGATACAGCTCAAGGACTAAAGTGACAGATGTCAAAATTAAATTAACTCGTATCCCACGCTGCACATGCTGAAACATGCAACGTGGCTCCTACTACGGAGTGGATAGCTTCGCTTAGAACGTGAGGGTCTGGCCAGCAGTGCCAACCACGGCATTCTTGACTTTAGCCGAGCCGAGCAGGCTGTAGCTGTAAGGGACAGATGTCAAGGTGCCTTCCAAGGCAGTGTTCGATGCATCACCAAAGTCATTGTCTTTGGACACAGCATATCCCGAGTCGGTGGAGTAGAGGGGCTTCTTGCTGCCAACGAAAGTGTTCGACTCAACCAAAAGCTGGGCACCTTTGCGGGTGTTCACACCGTCGGCGACATCCAGGAAATAGCTGTTGTAGACGTGGCCGGTGCCGAAGCGGAAGGAAGGAGCGCGGGAGTTAATGTTGTACCAGTAGTTGTTGTTCTGGGTGATGTGCAGGTGGCCGGTGTCCTCGTCGCTGTTGCTGTTCGAGTGTCCGACCAGAGAGGCTTTGTAGTGGTCGTGGATGAAGGTGTTGGAGACAGTGACGTAATCGGCAGCATGGGTGAACTTGTTGACATTAGTATATTGGGGTCGTGTCTATTGGAATGTCCAGTCATTGGAACTCACATCTAGTAGACCATCGTAGTAATCCCTGCCATGATCCATGTCAGAGGAGACATCGCAGTGGTCAATCCACACATTGGTCGATTTCTCTGAGTTGTCCCAAGTGAGTTAGCTTCTGCCGTTCTGGGTAGGGTTGTTGTCTTGAATTATACTCACGAACACCAATAGCGTCGCCGTTGCCGGCAAGCACTTTCTTCACACCCAGGTTGCGGATGATGACATTGGTCTTCTCTTTGACCAAGCTATTTCAGGTTAACATCACGACGTATAGAGATTTGGGAGGCCAACATACAGGCCAAAGCCAGTCAATATCGCCTTCGAGTCCTTGCCGAGGATGCTGGTGTTGCTTCCAACACGAACCTGATCCGCGGTTTGCGTGATGGGACCGCTCACGACGACTACTTTGGCTGAATCGCCCGAGACCGCGGCTGTGAATGCAGCGTATGAAGAGACGGTAGTGGTTGTACCACCAGCACCACCCTTGGTGCCTCCGTTTTGACTCGCATATCCAGTGGCGACCTAATTCGGCGCTATATTAGAATCAAGGCCAAGAGTTCCTTGAATCACAGCCGTATGAATACTCACATCGTTAATACCAGCACGCTTTCCTAGAAGGTGGGCCTCATTGCTAGTTGCGGTTGGAGCTCCAAGTACAACGCTGGACAAGCAGCCGAGCAGGGCCACTGCGATGGAATCGAGAGGAGCCATTGTAGTCAAAAGATATCTTCGGGGTATAGAGCAAGGTAAATTCACGATTTGCTTTGCAGGAGTCTGTCTGTGTTGGTTTCAAAATATTGAGACGATGAAGTATCCGACCTAAGGTCTTTATATATCACACATAGGCAGTGCGATGCCATGGAGGCTTCTACCTCTGATACAAGCCAATCTCCCTGATTCTAGCCAAGAAAGAATCTCCTTGCTGGATAATTTCTTCTATCTCAACCGAAACAACGCTTCACAGAGGTGGACTTAAAAGGCGCATTTCTCCGACGCGTCAAGTATCATACTGACACCTAGGGGCTTGCACCAGGCTCCCCAAGATGATATGCATACGGTATCCTCTGAGACCCAAAGCTTGGCATGGCCTGAAGAAGGTCGTGGGTCCTACAACGGGGTGAAAATTTCCGGAGCCAAGCACACCGGCACGCTCATCCGGATGGTGTCAGACGAAGCGGTTTTGGATGGAAAACTGTCGATGATCTACAGCCTGTTCCTTTGCTCACAGGACCTCGCGGAAGAATTTCCACAAATGGGTTGAAACATGGCCCTGCAAGAACGACGATCACGCTAAGGATGTCAGAGTTTCAGGCTAATATATGGATCTTGGCGTTTGGAATGCAGCTTCGAGGGGAAGTTCGACTTTTTATGTAATTATGTGGCAGCTGAGAGCCGCTAGGCTTTGATCGTTTGATGTCCCAAGAGCTGGATTTGGGAATATGTTTTGATTGGTCTAGCTGCGATATCAGCAAATTGTTCTCGTGTGCTCCATAGAACATTCGAGTCGTACGTTCGAGGTGGAGTGCGAACGAACAAAGAGGGGCAGCAAATGGCGTGACCTCTCCACGAGAATTTGGACTTCTTTTTTCAGATCTGTTCTTCGACGCATCGGCGATCCCCCTGAGGCCTGGAACGTAGCGGAATATCCCCCGCAGCACATCCACCTGTTTCTTCACGCTCGCACGTGGCTGAGTAAGCCTTGTTTTGCCTGCAGCTGTGCGGGGCAAGCGAATCGGCTTCAAAACGCGTCTTGACAACGACACACAAAGAGTTGGACCGTTTGCGATAGGCGGAATGGCAGAGACATTTTCATCCGTCCCTATTGTGGACTTCGCTCGGCTGAACGATCCCGAGACGAAAGTGGACGAACTGTCCAAGCTGCGCAATGCGATTTTCGTCGTTGGCTTCCTATACTTGACCAATACAGGACTAGAGGTGCGAGCGGCAATACTAAGATGCGAAGGATCAAACATTCTGACTGTAGATGGAAGTAGAGCTTGATTCGCCGCACCCATGAAAGTCTACCCGACCTCTTTGCCTTGTCTACTGAGACTAAGGAGAACTGCAACATGATTAATTCACCTTCATTCCTCGGCTATACGCGTCTTGGTGCGGAGACCACTGCGACCAAGACTGATCTTCGCGAGGTGAGATTACCTCTTTGGGGATGCATGCAGCTCTCGGACGCTGATCTTTTAATTTTTCCAGCAATTCGATTTTGGCACACCCGGACAGAAGATCTGGACAGAACAGGACCCTTTTTGGGATAGACTTGAAGGACCTAACCAGGTTGGTGACCTCCTTGGAGGGTTGGCGCAGGATTTACTAATTCCCTATAGTACCCGGACCACCCAGGAGCTCAACAATTAGTCGATGAATATATTGCGAAGACTGATGATCTAGCGGAATCATTCGTGCGCCTCGTAGCAGAATGTCTGTCTCTTCCACGGGAGACCTTTGATGGCTTCAAGGGTAATATGAGTCGCCTCAAGTTCGTCAAGTACCCACCCTCCGCAGCCAACTCCCAGGGCGTTGGCCCTCACAAGGACTCAGCAGGTCTCTTCACCTTCCTGTCTCAGGACAACGTTGGAGGTCTCCAGGTTCTCAATAAGAATGGAGAATGGATTGATGCGCCGCCCATCGAGGGAAGTCTCGTCGTCAATATCCAACAAGGATTCGAAGCGATCACTGGAGGCATTTGTCCAGCCACAACACACCGTGTCATCGTATGTCAGCCTTGCTATTGCTGATTTTACTTGCTAATCCCTGCTTCCGCTAGGCCCCAACTTCCAAGACCCGTTATAGCATTCCGTTCTTCCAAGGCGTGAGACTGGATCTGACCTTGGATCAGCTCAAGGAGTCCGCTGCTCACATTGTGGCTCGGATTCCTGTCTCCGATGACAAGAAGAAGCGAGCTGTTGATGTGCCAAGTGAATTCCTCTCACCCTTGTATTCTTGCGTAAGCGTTTCTACTCCACCCAGTCCCTACGTCTGAGAACTAACAGATCGCAGTTCGGTGAAGCTCACTTGAGAAATCGCATCCTGAGCCATCCAGATGTAGGCCAACGATGGTACCCTGAGCTGTATGAAAAATACTCCCAGCAGGTTTTGAAATAGCCTAGACACGCTAGAAAATGAAACTATGAAAGGCTACTGTACCTACCAATGTATATCTGTGGAATAGTCAGACTCGGGCTAGGCATCCTGCCAAGCAAAATTCTGACACCAAGATCCCATCCAAGGAGAAGATAAACAGCGAATACGGAGTACTTCGTACCGAGTATGTACAAAAGACAAACAGTTTTCGTGTGTTGGGATTCCGACTGCATTGTGTCTCACATCCGAGGGCATCCCACCTTGCCTTTTCCGCGGGGTAATTGTCTTTGTCTTTTCCTCCACTCTCAACGATGGCCAACATCAGCTCTGCAGCCCTTGACGCCCTTCGGGGCCGCTTGAACACTACGGCTATCTTCACGCCCGGTTCGGAAAATTATGAAACTAGTATAGTTCGCTGGTCGGATACTGGAAGAAAACGGGCGGTATGGCACGAACTCTACAAACGAGATGGTGGAGACTAATTTGCTCTAGGGTGTGGTAGTCCAGCCTATTGATGCAGCTGATATTGCAACCGCAGTGTTATGGGCACAGGAGCATGATATCAACCTCGCCGTGAAAGGCGGGGGTCATTCAACCGCCGGCACAAGCTCTAGCGACGGTGGTCTGGTCATTGATCTGTCGCGCATGGCTCATGTCACCGTGGATGTTGAGCAAAAGACCATCACCGCCCAGGGTGGAGCGACCTGGGAAGACGTCGACGAAGCCGGTGCAGCCCACGGATTAGCAGCCGTGGGCGGCACCGTGAACCACACCGGAGTTGGAGGACTGACTCTAGGGGGTGGTTATGGCTGGCTGAGCGGAGAATACGGCCTCGTTATTGACAACCTCCTGTCAGCGACCGTGGTTTTAGCCGACGGTCGCATTGTCACGGCATCTGCCACCGAGAACGCCGATTTGTTCTGGGGTTTGCGAGGCGCTGGCTACAACTTCGGCGTCGTGGCGGATTTCACTTATCAGGCTCATGAGCAAAAAGATCCGGTGTACGCCGGTCTTCTTGGGTTCACGCCCGACAAGTTGGAAGGTGTTATTGGTGCATTGAACGAGTCTTTGGCCAATCCCGACTCTCGCTTCGGTGCGATGTGCGTCTTGTCACTCGCCCCCGATGGCTCTGGGCCGATGATCATGATGATCGGATTCTTCAACGGGTCTCGCGAAGAAGGCCAAGAGAAATTCGCCAGCTTCACAGCCTTGGAGCCAGTTATGAACACCATGGATATGATCCCATACTCTTTGGTGAACACTCTGCTGAACCCGCAGACAACGTACGGCGATCGCAAATCTTTCAAGGGCATTTTCTTCGAGCCCCCATTGGACCCTCACTTTGTGAGAGGGATTTTCGATGATTTCACGGCCAAGATTCAGGGTGAACCTGATCTCATGACCTCGGCCATTATCCTTGAATTCACAGATATGCGCAAGATCTGCCAAGTGCCGTTGACTGCGACAGCGCTTGCCAGTCGTAATGCCACTCAGAATGGACTCGTCTTTCTTAAATGGACTGATTCAACCAAAGATTTGGAGTACCGGACTTGGGGGCGCGAAGTTCAGGCTAAGTGGAAAACTGAATTAGATGCTAGAACCAAAGAGCAGGGGGTACCTCAGTACATCAACTATGCTGAACGTGAGTCCACAGCACACAGAAGGAATTGGGCTTGGATGGATGCTAACATTTGTCTAGCTGGTGATTCGGTTGTAAGCAATATTTATGGAGAGAACCTTGAGAGACTGCAGGGTATCAAGGCCAATTACGATCCCAAGAATGTCTTCCAAAACATGCATCCGATTCCAACGGGCGCATCTGCTAGCCAGAAGGAATAAGACGAGCGATGATTTCCACGGATCGTGTTCAAATGACGATGGGAATTTCGCTGGGGATCCTCTTGAAGCTTTTCTATTCTCATGCCTGAGCTTTCATCTCTTCAACACGATGGCGGATAAATGAAATGAACTAAGTGAAAATGGCCCAAATTGAGTAAATGAACATTACTGGTCGTAAATACTTCCCAAGTCACAACCGACTTATGGGAAAAGATCAGAAGAACACAACAGGGGGTTGAAGGCCGAGAAAGATACGTATATACATGGTCATAAAAAGAAATCCCCCAAACCACCTAGAGCCGGGGGAAAATATGATATTTGACAGCCTTAACAGTAGTCCAGCCCTCAAGAGCCTCCTCACCCATGTCTCGTCCAAATCCACTCTCTTTGACTCCACCGAATGGAACATTGGGACTCAGCATAGCCCACGCATTGACAGTCACCTGGCCAGACTCAAGCTCCTGGCTCACGCGATGGGCACGGTTAACGTCGTTGGTGAAAATAGCAGCACTGAGACCGTGGTGGGAATCATTGGCTTTGAAGATAACCTCTTCTTCCGTGGTAAACTTGGCAATACTCTGTGATTTTCACTCAAATTAGCATTAGAACACCCGAATATTCGAACGTAGAAGGAAGCATCCTTACCGCAACAGGACCAAAGATCTCCTCCCGCATGATCGTCGCATCATCACCAACATCTGCAAATGCAGTATTTTGAACGAAATACCCCTTATCACCGATCCGCTCACCACCGAACAAAAGTTGAGCACCAGATTCCTTTCCTTGGCGAATGAAATCAAGGATCTTCTCGTGCTGAACACGGCTAACAACCGGTCCCTTGGTAGTGGAGCCATCCAGCGGGTTACCAGCAACAGTCGGCGCATCGGCAGCAGCCTTCTTATAAGCTTCGACGAAACGATCATAGATCGAAGCCTGGACATAGATACGCGATCCAGCCGCACAGATTTGTCCATTATTGGCTGTGATCCCGATGCGAGTCCAAAGCAGGGCGTTCTCAAGATCGCAATCGTCAAAGACGATAGACGGTCCTTTACCGCCGAGTTCCAGGCTGACCTTCTTGAGATTTGTTCGGGATGCAGCTTGCAGGATTTTGCGTCCTGCGATAGCACTACCAGTGAATGCGATCTTGCGTACATCCATGTGTTCGGACAGAGCCTGGCCGGCGCTAGCGCCCTCGCCGGTAACGATATTCACAACGCCAGGAGGGAAGCCAGCTTCTTTCACCAGTTCGGCAAGTCTTTGAGCGTAGAGGGGGGATAACTCGGAGGACTTGATGATCAGAACATTGCCACTCACTAGCGCAGGAGCTAATTTCCAGATTGTGATCATCCTGTACTTGTTAGACATTCCGGGGTCGATGCTCAAGTCGACTGGATAACTTACAGCGGCGCATTCCAAGGGACAATCGCACCGCAGACACCCAATGGCTCACAGTGGGTATAGGCTATGCCACCGTCCATGTCGAGTGATTTGCCATCGATCTTACCCGCCCAGCCGGCATAGTATTTGAGACAACCGACAGCCTGGGGAATGTTAATTCCGATCGAATCGGTATACAGAACGCCCGCGTCGACGGCCTCAAGCGATGCTAAATCCTGGGCATCGCGCTGCAGCAAATCTGCAAGTTTGAGCAGTAGCTCAGCTTTGGTAGCTGCAGGTACCGCTCTCCATATCTTGAAGGCTGTCTTTGCAGATTGCACGGCCTTGTTGATATCCTCTGGCCCCGCGGCGGAGATTGTCCCGAGTTGTTCCCCGGTTGAGGGGTTCTCGACGGGCAATGTTTGGCCAGTAGAGGAGGGCACGAATTCGTTGTTGATGAATAGTCCCGTCGGAACTGGAAATAGTAAGCGATGGTCAACGATGTGTTGGGAGAGGGCTTACTTGTGATTTGGCGGCCCTCGAAGCCTGTTAGGGTGAGTGTTGAAGACATTTTTGGTTATATGTAACAGGACTGAATCGAACTGGATATAAAATCACCTTCATAATATAGGTATTGGGCATGGCTTTTGTATCTGATATCCTCGGAACGTTCCGTTGTGCGGAACGGGCCTTGTCCGCGGGTCCCGAGGGAGGACAGTTGCACGTCGGAAGAAGGAAGATGGTTTGGAGATAGAATAATTAGCGTTCTGTGAATATAGTATCTTGCACCTACCTAGCTACGTAGATGGAGGGTCTAAGAAACGGAAGCCAACAAGCAAAAGATAATGAGTCTCCCATAAAAACGCTCTAAACCGAGGTGCTTGTCGAACAATCATTTCACAATACCGATTCTCCAACGTATTGACATGCTTTGACGGTGACGGCAAACAGATAGCTACCATGTTATATGATAAACCGACATAAAGCTTCCAATGTGACCCACGGGGACTTTGTCCACAGAGCAATACATGATAGCATGTCCGACAATTGTGTCCAGCTTTCCATCTATGAGAGGATAACACTCAACATCAGAAGATTGGCTTGCAATTGCATGCATTACTTAGCTTTCCAGAAAGCCCAAGCAAGAACAAGCAAGCCCTTGATACCAGCCGACAGCCACAAAATAGGAGAAATCTCTCGGGTGACCTTGGTAACCCACCCACCAACAATAGCACCAACAAGAGTAAGCACGAAAGCAATAATCCGCCGGTCGCGTTTCACATTCCTCACAAGAAACAGCTGTGGATCAGACATCAGGTCACAAAGAAGACTGGTGATCACCACAGTCGGGACTTCGTTGAATCCCAAGGCACGACTCGCCACAATCTGGCCAGCAGATTGGAGACTAAGAAGCACGATCGGGACTTCCTGGTCCCAGGGCGGTACTGCGGGCGATAGTTTGTGGTCGAGTACGCCAGAGACGGCCCCGCCTTGGACCAGCCCAGCGGTAAGCAGTATTATACTGGCCTGGAGAAGGAAAGAGAGCATCAGGGACCCGCGTCGTCGGGCGCCTAGAAGTGAATGTAGTCGTGAGAAAAGGAAGGATCCTAGGACGAAACATGCGATGGATGTGAACGATCGAACCCAGCCATATGGACGGAGGTTCTGGTGTGATGCACCCAGTCCGACGAAGATAGTGTTTCCTACAAGATGGCATTGGTTAGTCGAAACCTATAGGATTGAGCACCAGGTGATCATACCCGTTTGCATGGACACAAAAGTGTTGTAGGCTATAGAGGGTCAGTGATATGGCAATTGAACAAGTCGACGTCGGGTCTTTTTCCTACCGCGGTATATTGTGCTGTCCACAAGTCCTGATGTCAGACAACAGGCGAAAAGTAGGAGGTCGGCATGTTGTGGCTCGAGTTCATCTTTCAGCGCAGTGGAGAGACTACCGAACGTGCCTTTTTCATGGTCCATTTTGGATGTTATCGACTACAACAATAGAGGAACAAGGGAGATGAAGATCCGAAAAGACACTGGAACGATTGGAAATAAAAACCAACTGACAGTGACATTTTATTTTTGCGGCGATTATTGAAGGATGGGTCAATAAACTATGAGATGTGCCAACTTCCTCCTCTCCCCCGGTCGATCGCATCATCATCTCACCTAATAAAATGCACCCCAAGACGGAGCCAAGGCATAGAAAAAAACAAAATCCGGACTTCCGTGGAGATCCAGAAATCTGCAGGACTTGAAGCGTAATAAACATAGCCACAATCACATGTCGCGCATATCGCCCGTGTCGTTCTTGATGAACGGGCTTGGATCAAGTCGATTCCATATCAACTTAGTCTCCGATGCGTGCCTAGAATGCCAAGGATGACTCGGTGGAATGGAAATTGGCGAGTAGCTTGGCAGCAACTTTCTCCTCCTGGAATCTACACATGGACAGGACTTTTGTCACACTAGGTTCCTCATGGAGGGGTTGAGGTACGACCCGTTTTGCATGGACGCATAGCCTTGTGGCAGCCAAGAGTCACAGGTTTCGAAACCCAGACTCCCGATAGGACGAGACGAGAGTTTTTGAAGCCAAGATTCACGGATCAATAGCGCATGGTATGTAGGAGGAATTTGCTCCATTCAACCCTCCATCTCAGCCTTGAGCACGTCGACGTCTAATTCAGTCATCACTCCAAGCACGACACCCAGACTCTCCATGAATCCATTGACAGAAACGCGCAGCATGCGGTTGGTGGTTGCATAGTAGGTTGTTTTCAGCACGGTTTGGGACTCCTCGGGATCTTGCTTCTGTTTCTTTTCTTGGGGTTCAGAGCGGCCTTCAGCGGCCGGAGCCTCGAGGGTAAAAGTCCGTCGCACAAAGGGCGATAGCTCGGCGTCAACTTCCAACGTGCGGAGAGCGCATGAAGCTAGGCGATTGGTAGGGAGGGGGAGGGAGATTGTGCTATGTCGGCAGGTTAGTATAATTTGATCTAAAAGCATCTTGGTTCTTGAACCTATTTTTGGTGGGGGAGGGGCTTACAGCGAGTAAGGAAACTCCACATTGCTGGGTTCTGTGGGAGCCATGGTCTGGGTGGCGAAGTTTCAAAGAGGGACGTCCTTGTGAATTCAATTTCCACAACTTCAGAGCAGGGGAGAGGGGCGATCCGAGGATGTGGTTGGTGAAGGCGACGGGATGGAAATGATGCAGTCGGAGTCCTGGAGCCTCGGAGGCACCAGATGGCTGACTCAGCTACTTGGTTTTCTGGGCAGCCCAACAAGGCTAGTGAGTTTAGCCTCTCTGCCTCCATGTACTGTGGCAGGAGTGTACACAAGGTACGATTGCATGAAAGTAAGCATTCATTCGCTACACAACACGGTAATAGCGCCGTGGGTGTTCTTTTTGAGTGATGATCTCCCGGTCTGAAGAGCTTGGCGAACGAGGGTCTTCGTGGAACGGTGCATTGGTCGAGACACAGACCCCATCCCTCAAGCATATCGCCGCCATGCAGAGCTATCTCCCTTGAAAACAGCGCAAAATGCAGGGGTCTGCCATATGCAGTCAGCTTGCCAAGCTATTTCAATTAGATTAATTTCCTCTGTGAAGATGGGCATCGCCGTGGAGACTGCACCTCAAGTTCCCCGTCGTCAACTTGCCCAAGCCAATCTGGGGAAGTGCAACACAAACGTGCATTACCAATATCTTGGCCTATCTTCATAAACATGTTATTTTATGCACCACCTGGGACTCCTCATTGATGGGAATTACCCTAACGCCTCCTCCACGACTAGTCTTTTAATCTTGCGCAATATATCTTCCCCATGGACTCACTCAGCTGAGGTCATCTAGGATCAGTACGACGCGACGAAAGATAAGGGTATTTGGATGTCTTGGCTTGCGGTGGAATGTTACATCCCCGAAAGACCAAGGCTTTTTTGCCTTTGAGTGAGAGTCTTTTTTCCTCAACGGGCAGGCGGACGTTTCCGTGCTGGGTTGGGATCTAGGTGTAGCAAAAGTAGCCGGGGTAAAGGAGTTGAAAATATAAAGACCTGCGTTGTTCTTCGAGTATGGACATGTAGCACAAGAAGCTAAGTCTCTGGACAAGAATCCTTCTCTCTTGCTGAAGTTCCAACTATGACTATCACGATCACCGTCGAGAAGGATGGATACTATGAGGTCAATGGCCTTCGACAGGAGCCTACCGTGTCTCTCTATGTGATCCCAGCAGCGTCCAAGTTGCGCCGCATGCTGAAAGACACCAAAGACCTCATCGTATGCCCTGGTGTATATGATGGGCTCTCCGCCCGCATTGCCATGGAGGTTGGCTTCAAGGGATTATACATGGTAGTAACTCTATTTTCTGACCTCAAATTGCTGTTTACTAACAACATATGTGTATAGACTGGTGCTGGAACTACCGCCTCACGATTGGGGATGGCTGATCTTGGGCTGGCCCAACTCCATGACATGAAGACCAACGCCGAGATGATTGCAAACTTGGATCCCTTTGGCCCTCCGCTGATTGCAGATATGGATACTGGCTATGGAGGTTGGTCGCCAGATCTCTCTAAGATCATATACTTGTTATTTGTCGAGAAAAGAAACTGACTTCTTTCTCCTAGGTCCATTGATGGTGTCCAAGGCTGTCCAGCAATACATCCAAGCAGGCGTGGCCGGCTTCCACATTGAGGATCAGATCCAGAATAAACGTTGCGGGCATCTCAATGGCAAGAAAGTCGTTGGACTGGAAGAATATCTCACACGTATTCGTGCCGCTAAGCTGACCAAAGATCGCTTGCACTCTGATATTGTTCTGATTGCGCGCACCGATGCACTCCAGCAACATGGATACGATGAGTGCATTCGTCGTTTGAAAGCGGCAAGGGAGATGGGCGCCGACGTTGGGCTGCTTGAGGGGTTTACCTCGAAGGAACAGGCCCGGCAAGCAGTCCAGGATCTGGCACCGTGGCCGCTTCTTCTCAACATGGTGGAGAATGGAGCAAGCCCCCTCATTACCACGCACGAAGCCAAGGAAATGGGCTTCCGAATCATGATCTTCTCATTTGCCACGATCACGCCGGCGTATATGGGCATCAGGGCGACTTTGGAACGCCTCAAGACAGAGGGGGTAGTCGGTGTTCCCGATGGACTAGGGCCGCGGACAATCTTTGATGTTTGTGGTTTAATGGACGCCATGAAGGTTGACACGGAATCTGGAGGAGATGGCTTTGCCGAGGGTGTTTAATGACCAGTATGGACATATGCATCTCGTTTTGTGTTTGACAAGCAATGGAGTTTCTTTAGCTAGCTAGATATACAAATTGCAAGCAAATGTCACTGTTTTCGATCGCTGCATCAGCTCAACCCGAATTATAGCTCAAGCAGGTCCTCACTATCGTGGAAGTCTTCTGTGGCCACAAATTCATCCATGGGAACAACTGGTGGAATCTTCTTCACAACTTCCTTTTCAATGACCACCCATGTACTGTTTCGCAATATTTTGTATAAACACGGCCATAAGCTTACTTCAACAAATCCATCTGAAGTTCCCTCCTCTGCGACGTCACGCATTCGCTCCTCTCGGAACTGCATTTTGTGGTGACTACACCAGAAGGCGTACGTGTCTTCCTGGCAATCTAATTTATGTTTGAGCTTGACGCAGCGGATAGCAATATCGAATAGTTGCTGCGTGCGCTTTGACCTGTCAGTGGCAGCATAGCGGCCGAAGGATCTCTCCACCTGTTCGATGATCCAATCACACCGGTTGGTTAAATTGGCGGTTTCTAATGACATGATGGCAGTGCTCATTGCACATCGCCAATGATGAGCAATATGGGGGAGCACTTCTGGTATTAGAATGGGCAGTCACGACGATGCTCATTTTTCGAGCGCTTACTTTTTTCTTTGATCTCGCTGTTGATCTTCACAAGATAGCTACCCAAAGCAGGCGGACAACCAACTGAAAATCCATTCCAAAATGATCTAAAGATCATCCCTGCAACGTCCGACTGGATGATGTCTAACTCCCGAACATCACTGCTCGCGGACTTGAATCTTGACTGACCCCCAAAATGGTTGAGTCTCCAAGTGTCAAGATCGTGATAGAGTAAGCACATTTCGCGTCTGGCTTCTTCGTCGGTGAAGGACTCCATTCCAGCTTGTAAGCGAGCGACGGTGGTCGTTAGGATGCGGTTCTCCTTTCTAGCTTCTTTTGCGTCACGGAGAGCTTCATCAAGTAGTTCGGCCCGTCGGCGAGACTGCTCCTCTGCAAGAATTCGAGCTTTTTGGGATGCATCAGCGTCCCTTTCTGCCTTTATGGCTCTCTATTTCGGCTGTCATTCAAATGCGATTCTGAATCAAGGGAATCGCCAAGACAAACCTCGTGAAGCCGTTCAATTTCATCACACATGGGTCCATCGTCGATGCGATCTGATAGATTTAGTCCCCCCCAGTTGAATTGAAGTGGAAGAAGCGAGGGAATACGGGGTTGTCCCGATTTAGTAGTTGGAGGGGGCGATGTTTGACTGCCCTTGTCGGCCTGATCAAGTTCAGAATGCTCGGGGGACGACATTTTGCTGATAGGTGGGTATGGTAGAAGAACTTGCTAGATAAATTGCTTGAAACGTCTTGATCTTACCTACGGCACATTTTGAAATTTGATGACAGCAGAATTTGTCGCTGTTGTCAAAGTATCCCTTCCTCCGGCGCTCATTGCGGAAAGGTCTCCAAGTCGATGATATCAAACTTGCGAAACAAAGAAATCCTTGTTTGCAAAATTTTGCCCTGGGATTCCATCCTTCATACAATTGACTATCAAGGAAACTATTTTGAAGATTTCGAAATATAATACTTCCAAGCGGCAACTTCAACATGACGATCACAGAGGACCGGCCAAAACTCATAATGGGTATCGATTTCGGGACGACCTTCAGCGGGTAAGCGTCTTTCTGCTGCGAAGATACGAATCCACAACTGATTTTCAAAGTGTTGCCTGGGGGTTGGAAGACTGCCCCGATGATATCGAGCTTATTCAAACGTGGCCAGGTGGTGGTAACCGTGAGTTTAGTATAAGGAACAATGGAAATCTTCCAAACTAACTGATGTTTAGTGACGAGCCAGAAGGTTCCAACACTTTGTACTTACAAGGATCGAAGGATGAAATGGGGTTACCAGGCCGATCTGTCCAGCCATCCAATCAAGCAAAGTCAGGCCATCCAGGGATTCAAGCTCTTGCTGGATGAGAGTCAGAAATTTCGGTACAAGCCTGCTATTGAATCCCAGGCGATCATCCAGGATATGAACAAAACACCGATCAATGTTGCTGGTGATTACCTAGAAAAGCTTGTCACCCATGCTCGGGATATCCTGGCCCGTCGCTTTGGGACTGCCTTGCAAACTATGGACATGGAATATATTCTTACTGTCCCCGCTGTGTGGTCTGACAAAGGTAAGGATTCTACTTTGCAGGCAGCATATTGGGCTGGTATCCCGAATTCGAGTATAAGGCTCTTGTCGGAGCCGGAGGCCGCTGCGGTGTGTGCCATCCGGACAATACAACCGAATGCAATCGCGGTGGGTATTTTAGAAAGTCATGATCATGGGGCAGAATATTAGCTAACAAGATATATAGGAAGGGGACTGCCTCATCGTCTGTGATGCGGGTGGCGGAACAGTCGTGAGTCTTTCGTTTGTTGAACACTCGAGGCCAATTTCAATGACCAGTTGTACCAGGATATCATTACGTATCGCGTCAAGCAAAAGGATCCACTCAGATTCGAGGAGGCTACAAAGGGGACTGGTATGTATCGCATTCGGGTGTTCATCTCTCGATCTAACAATGTTCAGGTGCTGTGTGTGGTTCGGTGATGTTAGACGAGAGGTTTGACGCACTTGTTAAAGACCTTATCGAAAAGCAGTCACAAAAGCCGCTCCCCATTGGTACTGCAAGAACTGCAAGGCAATATTGGCAGGATTACGTCAAGCCTCAATACACAGGACCTCTGGACGAGGATGACATGTGTGAGCCAGGATATTGGGTTCCTGTGCCTGGAGTTTCAGGAGTCTCGAACATCGAGCTCAGTGGGGGCCACTTATACCTCGATAAGTAAGTATATCTTCCTGGCCTCAGTATCGATTCTGATTTTCCCTGATCGGCAATCAGGGATCAAGTCAAGGATATCTTCGACCCTATCATTGAACAGATTGAGGATCTCATCGCCGAACAGAGAACCAGTGTAAGGGATGCTGGTGATCCGGTCAAGGTAAACTCTCTAACGACATTTGCAAAGATAGAAATTGATTTCCAACAGGCTATCATTTTGGTCGGAGGCCTTGGTGCCTCGGCCTATTTGTTCAAGCGTCTCCAGGCTACTTTCAGTGGAATTGAAATTATGCAGCCTTCAAACGCGTACGTCCTCAACTTCTGTCAATCCGATAGCATGCTAATAGCAAAATCAGATGGTCAGCTGTCGCTCGGTAGGTATCCGACACATTGTCCTTGTTCGGTTCCTAATGCTTTTAGGGGTGCTGTTATCCGCGGCCAGGAAGGCAACCAGGTAGTCAGTCGCATTTCCCGATGCAATTATGGTATCTCAAGCCAAATCCCTTATGATCCCACGAAACACAATGACAATAGCGAGTTTCTGTGGTGCCCTTACGAAGAGAAGTGGAAAGTGCTGGGAGCTATGAACTGGTATATCAAAAAGGTCAGTACCATAAATTGTGTATTGAGAGAATCCTGGAGTACATATTGGCTCACTTATGGTATAAAGAATCAAACCCTAGCGGAGGGTGAGCCAGTAAGGATGAACTTCTACCGTACAGTTGGTATTCGTGGGTCTCTATCATTCAACACACCGTTGATGTTTTGTCAGAAGGCTATAGCCCCCGAAATGGAGGACTCCAGTATGTTCTTATCTGGTCGATATATGTCTCATACATTTTACTAATCTCACAAGGTGTCACCACCTTATGCGAGATGGTTGCAGATCTGAGCCGAATCCCAAGAGAGCTTTTTACAAAGAAACGGAACTCAAAGGGGGTCGAGTATTACCATATCAGCTACGATTTAGTCTTGACGCCAACTTCTGCTTCGCTGTTATTCGACCTGGAATTTAATGGTATCTCTTATGGATCTGTGAGATCTCGTTATTGAGATATATGGATTGGCAGGGCCGGATATGGGATGTGATAGCTGTTTGACGAAAATGTGTTCGCCCGGTGTCAGTGACGAGTCCTATTGAAAGCTGGCTAGCTGGAAGGTGGTTGATGGGTTAATCAAAAAGTCTCGAATAGCCATAGCAATCGAATCCAATTTTTTGCTACAGTCTGCAGGAATATATACCATGCCGTCTGAGTAATTCCACGCAATCACGTAGAATAGCTCATGCCAAAATGCATTGCAGATTTGATCTCAGTCATCTCTGCTGCCATGGAAAATATCCAAGCGCTGCAAACCCGAGCCTTCGAAAGTATCTAACGGTGCAACGAAAGCCATCTGACTCCATGAGAAAACCTGATTCCTTCCCCCGTACACAAAGACTTCGAAGCGACCGATAAAGACATCATTCACCCACACGCGACTTCCACTCATCTTGTTTGTGGAAATAGTGAGCTGTGATTTACAGGGGACTTTCACAACCTCGTGGCTTGAGGTGGTCTGGTTCACCCAGATCCGCCCGGGGTGATCTTCGTCAAAGCCATCCGACTCCGCAACTGAACGGAGTGGGTATGGCCATCCATCGGAAGTAAAAGTTAATTCACCATCTGACGACAACTCAAGTGTTGCATCTGAGGATTTCAACGAAAATGGGCCGGTGACCTGTAGTTCGAGGGTGTAATCCATTCCCTTGCTACCATATCCTAAATGTTGTGCATCCCGGGTTGATTCTGTCGCTGAATTTTTCCATGACAGCAACGGCCCGGAGTAATGATCTTCTTCCCCTGGGAGTCGTCGATCGAGGTTTTGTCCGATAGCTTGAGAAGACAATCGAGCGATCGATTGGGTCAATGTTTGTGTGTTCAGACGGGGCCCACGGGTACCAGTCCATGCTCGGGAAGCGACAACTGGAATGCCATCACGAATTGCATAGTAAGCCTCGAGTTGGGTAGTGGCATCAGGTCCGCTGTCATTCCATGCGGCCAAAAGAGCACCTGGCACAGCTTCAGCATCTGGTTGTTCGGTTGTATTCACTGGATTAAAGAGCTGCGGATCCCACTGCCATCCGTTTTGATCGGCGAAGTTGACAACACGAACATTGTTGAAGAATTGAGGATATGGGGCTGGGGAAATAGGCACATGATCATTCTTCAGCGACATGTATCCCCACCAATCCTCAGAATTAATGACCTTGTAGCCCTTGCGGGCTAGATCGACTGGATCCGACTGTCCGTACTGCCAGTGTTGAATCGTCACATTCTTGTCAATGGTAATGTCCGATGGCTCGTATGTGCCCCAGATACGGACCGTCTTGCCAGATGTCTCACGAACAAACTCGGCCATCTCGTTCACAAACTCAACATAATCATCTGCCAGGGTATCATCGTACTCATCGGCACCGATATGCACCTCCTTTGTGTGGAACCAGGGAAGGAACTCGGCCCAGATAGATTTCATCAACGGAATGGTATCCGGGTGGGAAAGATTGAGCAGGTCCCTCGACTCCAGTGCGAGCTCAGGTCTCCATTTCGTCACCGATAGACAATGCCCAGGGCTCTCAATCTCCGGCATCACCGTCACACCTCGCTGAGCACAGTGATTCTGGAAATCATCGAACTCCGCCCGCGACAGCGTTTCATTGGAACGCTGAACAAGTGGCTGGAGAGCTGGATCTTCGGGATGCAACGAAAACTGCGAGTAGACCTTATTCCACGTCACATTTGGACCGCGACTCAGCGGATAGTTGTCGGTCGCATGGTAATGGAACTCGGACATCTTAAAGAACGAGGCATAGCTGCACAGGTCTTTTAAAAACTCCAGTGAGTACCATTTGCGACCAGCATCGAGGAGGAATCCACGCGTCGCATAGGCGGGTGCATCTTCCACCCGTCCGGATTGTATGGATGACTCTGTCAACACGAGTTGTTGGAGGAGCGTTCGCGTCCCCCACCACATGCCGCGTGCTCCAGAACCTCGAATGCACACGACCCCATCTTGGACCTCCAGTTCGTATCCCTCTTCCGTTTCTTCTCCGTTCTGATAAGTGAATTGGCCCGAGTTGTCGATCCGATCGAGGAATATGCCCGACGCGTGTTCGGGGAAGTGTTTAACCGTGCGAAGCTCCCAGGAACTATTGGTCAGTTCCTGTAAATCGTCGCGAAACGTATTGGCAAAATCCGATGCTGACGGTGGAAGCAAGGTCAATCCATTCTGATCCTTCCAGCTCGCGAAATCCGCATTCAGGTAGATCGTTCGGTCGGCCGTTTCTAGGGAGAAGCCTTTGTTATCACCTGAACCTGTATTGTCGAAGTCAACTGGCGGTAGGCTCTGCAGCGCAGAGGCGACTGCGGCGAGAGAGAGGACGATCCACTGCATGTCTGGACATTGCGATGATCTTTTCGTGTGAATTGGTCCTTTTATGCGAAGCAAGGGTTTTTATTCCAGGGGCAGTGTTACATCGCTGTCATTCCAGGGCGTGAGGTGGCCACAGGATGCCAAAAGGGGTGCGGGGAGGCGGAGAGCATCTCCCAGCGACAAGAGTTGTGTCTTCACAGCTGCAGTGACTTGTTTTGCTTATTCTGATGTCATATGTGGAAATGGATAAGTATCACATTGCATTCATATGCACTAATATTACTTATGTGGCTTCACAGCTGCGACTGGACTGCGACTTGCGGTCAGGAACGTGAAACCATGCTTCATCGAAGCCCACATGTCGAGGCCACCGAGCTGTCACCCGTTGGATCTCAATCGACATGATTCGGGGGTATTCGTATCTCTCGCAGATCATTGCTGATTCTCTAGTGACAGATTCACGGTTAAACTGCTCCCCCGAATCAATTACTGAGCAAGTGGTTAGCGTCTGACATGATATTCCGTGTCCGACAAGAACACCTACACATATGTGGCACAGTCAAAATCTCCTGTTTAGTGGTGATATTCAATCGCGGGTTTCTGACATACAGTTTTGTCAGTTCAGCAGCAGTGGCCACCGCACGAATGATCTTGGCGAGGTGCCTATCATCTTCATGGTCACACGCGCGCTTGAAGATATCTTTCCATCCAGACTATATGTTTGGTCTATAGACAGCTAGTTCGTCGTGGCAAAGGCGTTGGGCACCACACACACAATACAGCATCAAGTCTGCGCGGCCTTTTCGTTCCAATAATCGACATTTCACGGCCACTGAAATCCACGACACGCTGTTCAGCACGGGCCGGAAGCACCCAGCAGTGGTGGAATGCATCATGAAAAAGTCGAATCAGATTTGCTTATCTGGTTTCCGTGCTAGCGCTGTCCAATATAGTTGGCTGGTGATTAGCTGCTGCTGCGCGCAGGTACTACCGAAAAGGCCAACCTACTGTTTGCGTTGACACATTCCGCGGTCTTCTCGTCCAGTTCGACATCTACACATGTGCGCTTCCTCGTCCGACGGCCCAAGCTCTACGTTACCGAGCTGCCGAGCCTCGAGTTTCCCCGCATCTCTGCTTAGTCGATGATCCTCGCGGAAGTGGTAGGGCCTCTGGTTGATCAATGACGCAGTATGTTGCGAGTTCGTATCCAATACAAAATCATCCCTCGTGAGCCCCTGATATAGCGCTTTGTGTCCAACCATATTCTACCACCGTGGGTATGGTCGTAACTTGTGAAGTGCCTTCCAAAGTTCCATTGAAACCCTTTACCAAGGGAGGAATGTGGAATCAAGAGCAAAACATTCGCCGGTATAATCTTGGGGTATAATTTTTAGTTCTGTTCTATGTTATTATCTCTTCAGGTTTATCTCGGGTCGAATTCTTCCACCTGCGAGAGAGATTATTGACAATTCCATAGATGTAAAATACGCAAAGACAAAAGGCCATATAATCCCATCAAGACTCGGGTATGTCCGGGTTCACAATAGCCTCCTGGACATGCAAAGGGAGAATAAAAGTATTTCCCAGACCTGCCCAATGAAGCGCATCAAGTCTAGCAAGTCCCAGTTTCACAAGTGGAAAGCTTCGACTTTGACATCGCAAAACCTGTAGCCACGAATGCACCAAGTGCTTTCCTCGTATAGCATGTGCCATATTTGGTGCCTGTACCAGCAACAGCATGAGGTAATTTGATATCGTGGCAAACCCAATTCGCGACCCTGCTAATGTCAGTACCCAGATAAACGAGATAGGAGTCACGGTCAGCTTACAGGAATACCAAAAGCCCGTGAAGTCACTAGATGTCAGCCGCCTCGTGAAGTTTACCAGTATAGAGGCGCATTTCTCAGCCGCATGTAGTGTGGCGTCCCCGGTGGCAGACTCATCTGTGATAGCAATCTCGGGTAATGGTTCTATCTCGGGAAGGTCCATGAAGTCCAATATGGATTCATCTACGAGTAGTGGTGAAGTGGCAGACAACTCTTCCAAATCAAAGATCAGTGGTGGCTCAGAGGATCGTGCCATCGGTCTGAGCATTGCGCGGTAAACGTAGACCACGAGCAACAAGTAAGCAAAATGGATCGATGTGGGATATGGGGTAAGACCATTCCCTGATTTGCTCCAGCTAGGGAGCCGAGAGGTTTCCGGAAGCGAGGAATACCAGCCATTCAGCTTTTCTAGCAAGTCACGACCTAACTCGGCCGAAGCGGCAAAGTTTGCGTTCAAGAGTTGGGAGGCTCGGAGGGTGCTAGAAACCAGTTTCAGCGAAAGGTTTCTCCGCCGACGAAAGGAAGAATGGGTACTATATTTGGGATTCAAAACTTACTAAAATGTCTCATGAATCTCTTCGCCGATTCGCGTGAGATTAATGAGATATCGGAATGGAATCTCCGTGTCGCAAGAACTGGTTGAGAATCCTTGACGTGGACCCACTAGAAAGTCGCCTTCGTCCAGTTCACTCACATCCCATTCTGCGGGATGGATGTAGGGTGGACGGCCCATCAGCAAACTACGCCATTTGTCTTCAGCGTAGACAGCCCACCATAGCCGCCGTCGAAGTCGTTTCTCCCACGCCGGTATACCCCACATACGGCATTCTATGTGAAGGCCGAGGGAGCAGGCCAAGCCGACAATTTGGCCGATAAAAGACCATAAGAACGGGGTATCGGCCGTCGATAGGCGAGCCTCATCTCTTGGCTGTTGGTGTGTGTACAGCAAGGCCGCTTGTAAGACGGCCAAGCGGGGGCTGTGTATCTCCTCAGTCACGAGTTCGTAGACCATCCGCCAAAGGCTATCAACCGGGGATGTGTGGTACGTGTGAAGGACACAGAGGTAGTCGTCATGGGCGACAAATGGAAATGAAGATGCATATATAGCCGCAAGCAGGTGCCCAGGAACCTTCTCCAATACTGACAGCTCCGGTAGCTGGTTTGACACCGCGGCCAATCCCAGCTGGGAACGGGAAATTATTGGCAGAGCAGGAAAAATATACTTAACAAACCTGTGATCTTGTTAGTTCTATGAAATTTCTATCTTATGCTGCGAGGTTACTTACAGAGCGACTAGTCTCCTTCCATACTCAGGGGGTACTAGATGATTCAGACGCTCCCGTGTCGCTTCGCCGATCCCAGCCCTCGTCTCATGCTTGATGCTGGCGGTCAGCTCGTCAGCTGAGATCATGAAGTGCACGGGAATTCTCTGTGCTGTGGGCACGCCTCCGGCATTGCGAAAGTGAACCTTGTAGAAATACTTCATGCCGGAATCGTCAAAACAACAATGTCTGAGAAGCCAAGGATCCGATTCAGCGGATGCACCAAACAGCTGAGCATAGCCGCTATCCAATTGATCAATGCTTTGCACAAATTGTGTCGGCGATCTCGCAGGACCTAAAATACCGGAGCCTGGGGATACTCCAGCATTACTTGGATCAAGCCCGAGAGACGGGAAAGGTGATTCGAGGCTTTGAGGTCCACTCCTTGCCAGACTGGATTCACGAGTGAAATTGCTGTCATATGTTTGTGCGACATGTGTATTCTCATCAACACTGGGGACGGCTACGGATGGCAGACTCTCCGAGGCTCGCGGTCTTCTTGGTGGAGGGTTATCGAAGGTACACTCGAGCTTGGCCGATCGGCATCGGTGACAGGGGCCTGCACTCTCGGTTTGGCAGCCTAGCTTGCGCACACGGCATTGATCACATGGGCGCTGACGTTTTGACCGATATGGCCGTACCGAGATGGGTGAATACATTGCTATTCAAATCGGCGAACGTGGAAATCCAGACTAACATGCATTTTATCAGGTCGTCTCAGTGAGGAATTCATCGGCCGACAGAAAGTCAAGGATGGCCGAAGCGAGTGGGCGAAGTAACAGCCCCAGACACATTATAAGCCAGTAACCTGTAGAAGTATGGAAGTTGGCCGAGATTCATCAGGTCCATTAGGTACCAACGTTGTCCTCTGCAGTCCCATTTGCCCAAAGCAAATGACGTCATCCGCCGAACGGCGAACCGGCGAACCACAACACGCCGTAGGGCCATTCTATACAGCCTCATGAACTAGAGTCCGATCTCTCTCTCAGTGAACGTTCCGACAATAATGACAGGAGCTATAAATGTTTAGATTCCCTCAGCTTGAGGTGAAGTGTCCGTCAAAATATATATCTCCGCATTATCGGACAGGAATCAGTTCCGACAATTTGGGCCACGTTCTCCAGCTTCACTTTCTAGATCATTATCAACTGATATCCCCTGAAAATGCCCGAATGTGGAGGCATGAGTCGATACGCGCACCTTAAGGCTGTTTTCACCCGACGTCCTAGCCAAGACACCGAGGTCAAGGAGGATTCGAGGTCCGAAACCACACTGGTACCGGAGTAAGACTACCCCAACCTTGGAAATATGGATAATGCTTAGGTAAAGCGAACTGCTAACCGGACGCAGAGAAACAAATACCCCTGAAAGTTACAAAAAGAGAGACGTTCCCCAGGATTATAATGGTAAGGACTTCGAGACCAAGTTATGAAAATGGAAAGACGGCTAACAGATAGGTAATGCGAATTTCAGTGGCCGATATGTGCTTTGGATCATGTTGTAGAAACAAGTAGATCCAGTTCCAGGTACATTTCTCGAGACAGAAACCTCCCCTATGTCGTACGAACGTGGAATATAGTCTCCTGCCAAACTCCCGGAGGAGCGGGGAAGGGGCACTATCCACGAGAGGGGAAAATGTCATTCTGACCCTAGCTTGCAGGATCGTCATTACATAGTCTGCATATGAATGCATGAATGGTGTTCATTTAAATCGTGGGGGCCTTCGCCTAATGCACTCTCAGTTGCTTGATGAAAGTGGCTGATCCCTCGCTTCCACTGAAGCGGCCGAGTACCGAGCTAAACACATGAGGGGGGTCGACACTGCGGGGACTCAGATATCGCAATCTAGACATTCAAAAGCCCTCAAACTACCCTTTCTCTTCAATCATTTTGAAATAAGGTGATATAACATTGTATCCGGTCCTTCCGCTAGTGCGCACTACTGCCAATCCATCCCCAACCAAGATGATCTTCGAACCTGCAGAGAGGATTGTGCTCCCAACCAAGGATCTAGTGTCTTATATCTTTGATGACCCACCGTATGATCAAGATCAGCCAGTGAGTGCCTAGTGTCGCGATGTCTTAACCTTGTTCCCCCTAGTCTAACTAACGTTAGATCTACGTCGATGTCCACAATCCCCCACGATCGATCTCTTGTAACCAAGCACGAAAGCTCATTCGCCAGCTGATCGCTGGCCTTCGAGCATCTGGTCTCCAACAGGGCGATTGTGTTCTCATCCATTCCTTCAATGATGTCCGGCTTTCCCATGCCCTGGAAATGCAAAGTGGAGTGATGCTAATTTATTTCAGATCAGCTACAGTATTCTGGTACTAGCCATCATCGGAGCCGGAGGAATTTTCACAGGCTCGAATCCATCTTATACTCCGCATGAGCTTGCTCACCATATCAAGGCGTCGCAGAGCAAGTTCGCTTTCTCGGAACCTGAAATTTTGGATTCTCTCTTGAAAGCTGCGGGAGAGGCGGGTGTACCGGAACAGAATATATGGATTTTCGACAATATAGGCCAATCCATCCCAAATGGAATGCGATCATGGAGAGAACTATTGAAAGTCGGAGAGGAAGACTGGGTACGATTCAACAGTCTGAAGACCGCCCAGGATACCACAGCGATGCGACTGTTTAGCAGTGGCACGACTGGGCTGCCCAAAGCCGTTAACATCACACACCACAATCTCATTGCGCAGCATGAACTTGTACACGGCATGGTCACACGTCCTTATTCCGTAAGTTCATCCCCGGAATCAGCTCCGGAGCTTCGACGAACGAAGAGTGTGGTAATCGCTGACACTGACATGTTCGAATAGATTCGCCGCATCATTGCTGTTCCTCTCTTCCATGCATCAGCAGCCCCAGTATCCCATATCTCAACACTGAAGATGGGATCCGCCGCATATATGCTACGACGTTTTGAGCTGGAGACTTACCTCGAAACCGTCGAAAAATACGACGTTACTGATCTTGGTATGGTTCCGCCTATCGTGATCGCAATCCTCATGTCACCCCTGTCCCAAAAGCGGCCATACCTTCAAAAGACCAAAATGGCAGCCTGTGGCGCGGCACCTCTGGATAAGAATGTCCAAGCCCGATTCCGGTCCTTGATGGGCGACAACAGCCCGTTCACCCAAGTATGGGGTATGACTGAAACGTCTTGTATTGCCACCATGTTCCCCCATCCCGAGCATGATGATACGGGCTCCGTTGGTCGGCTTATCCCAAATCTGGAAGCCAAGTAGGTCGCTTGTCTCTCATATGTGTATACTGTTGATGCGTGACTAATATCTACTTCGCTCAGACTTATCGACGAAGAAGGTAATAATATCTCTGCCTTTGGCGTGCGCGGTGAGATCTGCGTCCGGGGTCCAACAGTGACACCCGGGTACTTCAACAACCCAGAGGCCAACGCCGAGTCTTTTGACTCCGAGGGCTGGTTCAAAACGGGTGATATCGCATATTGCGACAAGCGGACTCGAAAATGGTACATTGTCGATCGCCGAAAGGAACTCATTAAGATCCGCGGCTTCCAGGTTGCTCCGCCCGAGATCGAGGCTGTGCTCTTGTCGCATCCGCAGATTGTTGACGCGGCTGTCATTGGGATCACATTCCCCGGTGCGGATATTGAATATCCGCGTGCCTATGTAGTGCGACGACCCGGCGATTCAGGGAAGAATATATCAGAGTCTGAGGTTCAACAATTCGTTCTCAAGAATCTGTCCAAATACAAGGCGCTCACAGGGGGCGTGAAATTTGTTGGCTCGATTGCGCGGAATCCAAGTGGGAAAATTTTGAAAAGGGTTCTGCGTGAGGATGCTAAGAAGGAGATCCAAGCTGGGCTTCTGAAGGCTAAGATCTAAACTGTCCATAGAGTATAGCAGGTGGGATATATTGAAAACATTTTGGAGAACTTCGGTTGGGTATAAATTGAATTGATTGAATATAAGCCGCGACTACTCCTCCATGCCACATGACATAGAAGTCTGAATCCCTTGATGAAGGAAATTTGATCGACAGCCAGCACATTACAACACTTTGTACAGGCCTTCGATATCATTCCTTCTTCAACTCCGGAAAGGAAATCGAAAGAACGACATTTTGCGTGTCTTCTCTCTCGAAACTTCCCGTCTCCCAACCCGACGTCCGTCCTTGGATCAGTTCAATATTGCGTCCGAATAGTAGCGGGCTTGCCAGACTGCAGTTACTATGAGTAGTTGGAATAAGATATGCGATCCACGACGAAGAAGGTGCGATTAAGCCCTGATACTCCCACATTGCGAAGATCCCACATTACCCCATCATACTGATCAGGGCTGCTCAATTACATGTGGACTTTATTCTCCTACTTGTGATTGCTCCGCGGTATGCCGGCTCTCAGTAGTCAAGGCTAGCCCAAGATATCAAGGCCGCAAACGGTAGCGTAGCCTGATGCAGCTCGTGCCGCTCGCTCCGCGGTCTCGACAACATATCATATGAGTATCAGAGTATCAGACGCAGTGTGAATGACAACGTAGGCATCAAAGCAGGTTTATTTGTACAGCTTTCTCGATATGACTGAACTCAAGGCCGAGCCGGGTGCGACCGATGATTCGAATGATATCACCAGACCAACTGAAAAGTTCTCGAAGGAGAGTACCACCGAATTTACTGTAGATTCACAGCTCCTAGATGCGCTGGAAAAACCACAGAAGATACAGCTTGTTGTCCAGGAAGCAATACTGCTAGCCGGAGGTGCAGCCGCCATCTTGCTACAAGTCGCCGAGCCCGGTGTGGCCAAAGGTGTGGACAAGCATAGCAATTTTGCCTATCGCCCTCTTGATCGACTACGAACGACCATGACTTACATCTACTGCATGGCCTTCGGTACTCGAGAAGAAAAGAAAGTTGTGATTGACATGGTACATCGCGCCCATGCTCCAGTGAAAGGACCGGGCTACAACGCCAACGATCCCGCACTTCAACTCTGGGTGGCTGCCACGCTCTATGCCGTCGGTACCGATCTATACCAACAGGCATTTGGCAAAATCGACGAGGAAACCGCGGAGTCACTTTACCGAGAGTATGCTATACTAGCCGTCTCCCTGCGAGTCCTGCCTGGGATGTGGCCTCCTAGCCGAAAGGCATTTTGGGCATACTGGGACTATCAAGTCGCCAACTTGGAAATTTCTCAACATGCGAAGAATGTTGCCAAGGATTTGCTTTATAGCGAACATGCTCCACTGTGGATCCGGGCTGTTCTTCCCCTTGTCCGTCTGACTACCACGGAGATGCTACCCCTACGTATGCGGGAGGCCTATGGACTTCAATCTACAGCCATTTGCCGCGGGGTGAACCGCATCACGGTGGGGGTTACGAAGGCCACATACGCTTTTCTTCCCAAGTTCATTCGGACCTACCCTATGCACTACTACTTGAGAGATATGCGGCGGCGAGTAAAGAAGCTGGAGGAAGCGAAGAAAAAGCATAGTTAGAACCAGGAACGAAGGTACATACTGGGGATGCTATGGATGATGTTAGATCGAGTTGTCTTTCGTTGATGTTGGCTGTGTTCTCTTCATGGATCGTAGCTGAAAAGATTAAGCTTGATTTCTCCGTGATTTTGATGAAGATGATAATACTCTCTCGCATAGTGGTGCAGGATTCATCAAGCCCTCAGATCATAGACGTTCATTCCCCGCATTATATGCGGGGAATGCGGGGAAGCCAAGCTCCGTGGCTGGGCGTCTGTTCCAAGAGAACCCCTGCCTCCTGGAGAATGAGAGGGTCAGAGCATCTTGGTGGGTTTGAATGAGTATTGTACTCCTGCCATATATATCTTCCGTGTCTCAGATGCCAGAATCTTGCCAGTCCAGATGAAGATGGACGCAGAATGACAATAGCTATCTCTCAGACCGTGGTGGAAGTGAGAACCCAAGGCCAAGAAAATAAGGGATTAGCCATATAGGCTACGTGGCGGAATTTGGGATGCGAGTCGGCTTCTTCCCACCTCGGTGGTCTGAGCGCGGATCCCCCAGACCTCAGACCCCAGATCTCAGACCGTAAACCCCGCTCATATCATCCCCACTCCGTCATCCTTCCTCCAGATTTCGGAAGACGGGTATCAAAATGGTACAAAGAATCAGAAGAGCTCCAACGGCCTGTTCCTGGTGTCATCGTCGAAAGGTGCGCTGCGATGCCTTGATTTTTGGCTCTCCGTGTACTCGCTGCCGGCAAGACGGTCGCCGGGAATGTGTGCTTCGAGCTAAAAATCCTAAACCGTGTGGAACCCAATGGGAGGTCTCGATGGAAGCATACAATAACCGATTGATTTTAGGACCCTGAGCTCGGCGGATCAGGTGCCACCCATACGCCAACCCCCAGACTCAAATGACGCGACTGGGAACCGACATAACTTGGGCCAGTTAGGCAGTCATCATTCAGTTACCTCACGCCCCCGGACACAAATTGGTAGCTGGGATCGCCTGGCTAGCAGTACATTATCACATCTTGCCAATGTTTTATATACAGAATACCTCTTCGTCGATTCCCAACAATTGCAAGATCTCCCTTCAGAAGACCTCACATTCCTTGAATCCAAAGACTGCTTGAGCTTGCCGGGACCCGACGCGATCGATGAGTTCATCCGAAAATACTTTAGGTGCATTCATCCAATAGTGCCTATCCTCGATGAGGTTGAGGTCTGGCGCATCTATCGAGACAACCAATCCGCTGGTCCCAAGATATCCCTTTTTGTGTTGCAAGCATTGCTTTTCGCGAGCTGTACGGTAAGAGTTATGTTACTCCTCTCGTGGGTTCCGAGAATGAGACTGAACTATTCTAGCTTGTATCCGTAGAAACATTACGCCAATGCGGATTTAAAGATCAGAGGGATGCAGGCAATCAATTGTACACACGCGCCAAGGTAGGCATTCTTCCAAGTCTGTTTTCAATTTCTTCCCTTCTTCTGTTGATAGGTTCTTATATAGATGCTATTCGAGTTCAAAACAGAAAGGCAATTCCACGCAAATGCACAAGGCGCCATTTTGCTTACACACTACGCATCTGGCCAAGATCCACAGGCCGGAAGCTTCTGGCTTAGAAGGGCTATACAACAGGCGAGGTTGATCGATGCTGAATCTTCCGTGACGCAGGAGAATGTCTCAGTATCTCTTAAAAAACGACTATGGTGGTCAATCCTCCTTCGCGACCGAAGTCTTTCCATCGGGCTGCGTCGACGTCCTCAGATCACCTCAATCAACTTCCATGGATGGAGTGACCACTTGAGCGCAGAGGACTTCTACAAAGAGTTGCGTCAATCCCCGGTGTACGACTATAATACTAAAACGCGACTATTGGCCACTCTCCAGAACCAATGCCAGCTGGCAGTGGTAGTCACAGACCTTGTGTCATTGATTTTCAATCTGCGAAGGACAGCAAGACGATACTTGTCCATGATTGAATATCAGGCCCTGTTGGCGAGGATGAAAAATATCACGAAGTCACTTGACGAATGGAAGCAATCGTCTCATCCTTTAGTTCCACCCACCGATACTTCACGATCCGAAGGAGCTGATGTCATTGCGAGGTTGATGTACATGACATATATGTTTTACTAGTTCGTATTCTCTTCACACTCTTCTCGATTCGTACCTAACGACGGAGTTTACTCCTATTTTTAGTGCAGCACGCATGAGTCTAGCACAATATGCCGCGTTTGTGCTGGAGGAAAACATGTTCTATGCTGGAGACACCTATAACACCTTACTTTTGGATATCAGCAATGACCTGCGAGAGTCGATTGACGGGTTGAGTCTCGTAATGGAGCATTTCAGCGTCAACGCATACACTGATGGTCTTCCATTGAGCGTGTGAGTCCTTCGATTGCCTATGTGTTCTCACAGCAACTGTGTTGATTCCCGACTATTTGAAGCATAGCTAACATGAAACCACGCATGGTAGACTGGTATATCTCAGCATGCCGCTCGTCCTCGCAGCAATCGACTTCAAACTGTCACCTTCTCGCAAGGAGATGGAGATAAGACAAAAGCGGCTAAACTCGCTAAGTCAAATCGTCCGTCACTCAGAGGCACTCTACGATGTCACTGATTGTGTGGCTATCAACACCAACCATGTCTTGCAGCTTGCCTACAAAACGACACAGAATTTATTCTTGAATAGGAAAAGACCACGATCCCTTTTTCCAGAGAGCCCAGTGGGGGATACCGCTTTATCTAGCACACAACCCCAGGCTCATACTCCAGATGGATCGATCTCTTTCAAATTCGACCAGCCGACCAACTGGCAAGATGCATTCATTCAGTGTCCAAGGGCCTATCTTTTGATATCAACATCGGTTGACTACAACTTATCAATCGGCAGACTACCGTCTGCCAGTTGCATTCCTGATATCATCCGCGACCTACCATGCATAGGTGCTATTGGTCGTCTTCCCTGGACATCTGAAATCGTATCTTTTGACTATGGGAACGGGTTTTTACACGAAGCGCAACAACCGAACTACCCCACTAGTGGAAGATATTTCTCTGACAATAGCAGCAATTCAGTGGACGTTATAACGATAGAGAGTGACTCAGAGCAAAGTCATTCCCAGCAGCAGGATGACCCGCTGCCAGAACCATTCCCTGAATATTCTACAATTCCACCTTTGACGGTGGGCGACCAGCTGCGAAATATGAACACAATCACGGAAAACCAGTTCCAAGATACTGCACCGAATTTGGACTTCATGGATTTTGAACATAGCCAAAACATACCTAACCATGTGACGGAATCTTTAACTTTTACTATTCCATTGGGACTCACGGGCCTTGGCTCACAGACAGAGATTCCGCTGGAGCAAACGGTCTTTGAAGACTACGATGCAAGTACCACACTGGCTTCGCCAACTCCTCAAGCAAGCAAGGCGATTGACTCGCTCCTTTTTGACACTTTCTTCCAAGAAGGATTTGAACAAGGCTGGATCGTTTCTTAGGGTAGTGGTTTAAAAATATCCAAAAGTTGCACAGGTCAACACCGTCATTTCGAGAACATAAGCTACATCACGATCCCTAAAACACCCGACCTGGCGGCTGCGTGGAAATGCATTTAGGCGGCAAAAAAAAAAAAACTAAGGTTGGGCCTAGGCACCCATCTACCCTGCAGCCACGGGCGAAACACGAGGCAATGTACCGCGTACTTCGTCTGCACCGTAAACTTGCATTTCCCCGATCATTCCGACCACAGGGAATCAATATTGGGCTTTGCTTGCAGTCCGAACTGACGCAATTGCTTGGCGAAGGCCCATATACTTGGTTTTGTCGGGTGCAGACTGTATCAAGGGCGGAAAAGCCTTGTCCGCCCATGATCGACAACCCCACGCCGAGACATTCCTCCCAAGGTGGCGCAGGCTTAGGCTGATCGCAAAGGAAGTGCTGGGGATAACCCCCGGTCTGGAGCACATGGGTCGTCTTCGAGGCTCAAAGTTGGGATCATCCTTTCGAAGATAAGAACTTGACACACAGCTGTTGGCCAACGAGAATCCACAAAGATCACCCCCTTACGTCTGCACATTGTTCGATGGCGAATCTGAAACTATCTCTTCAACCACCCAGTCCTGGCTCTCTAACTTCGTATGTTACATTCGAATGTTCCTAACCACCTACCTGGTACGGAGTACTCACGGAGCAATCTGTACGCAATTGAAAACGTTATACTCAATCGTGACGACGTATGCTATAAGTAGGCTGCTCAAATGAGTACCCCTGTTAATTCCATTTCTAGGAAGGCAGAGGAGCGGGTCTATCGATGTTGTAGTATGAGGTCTTCACCCCCATCCATGCTCTATGATCATGTGGTGATGTCACGTCGAAAGCGTGATAGACGGGTTAACCGTGGATAAAACCCAAGATCGCAACCATGGAAGGATTATCTGATTGACATGGCCAATGGGCGGATGGCTAGATGCTTGCCTGAACAATGAACCAGCCTGATGATCCCTTGGCATATGTCGGGTTGGCGACTTCAGCAGAACGATTAACCTCGCCGAGACCGAAACCACCGAGAGCGTGACAAGGAACACGACACTCGGCCCTTGGCAGTTATTGCTTTTCCCATAATCTTCTTGACATTGAGCCCGAAGGCTAGTTTGATTTTGATTTTGATTTTTCTGTCGCGTCTCGCAAGATCAATCCCGCGATGATTGGGACGATCGAGTGTGGCAGGTGAAGACCATGTAATTTTGCATTTGGGCCTATACTCATCTACTGATCGACATGCTCATTTTCAAGGAGCCGAGTGCCAAGATGCCCCCCCGTCAGGGTGAAGAGCCTAACTGCTAGTCAACGTAGTCCACGCCAAGAACCAGGATTTGAGGCTGTGTGGTCGGAAGTTCGCCGTTGGCATAGATAAGTCTAGCGATGAACCATTGACGCCGCTGGAGATCTTTCTTGGAGACTAGTCTTACTGCAGTGACCCCGGAAGAGACTAGTGTCTGTGGATGCGTCGATCCCCTTGGCGAAGAAAGTACCAAGATTCAGGGGCCAGAACAGGCGGTGTTGTCCAAGACGCCATCTCAGCCCAAGTGGCTACATGCATATCGGCACATCAATCATACGAACACATGGACAGCGGCGAATGACATTTCCGACTCCGTACAAATCAACGTGTCCCAAATTTCAATTCGGTCGCTTTCCGCTCGCTGATTCTGCAGAGTTGGGCCAATCACGCCGTCGAAAGCATAACCATGCCGCCAAGGAATAATGTGAGTTCATGCTGCGGATCGGTGGTTGGGAACGGAGAAGCCTAGCAATCGGCTCCTGACACAATCCACGGAGCCATGCTGAACCATGCTAAGCCATGCTAAAGACTGGGTCTCCGAGCGGAGGGGCTTCCGAGGTCCCAATTTTAGTTTGATTTTTAATAGAGTCTGGGGAGGCATTACGCATGCAGCGAGGATTCTCATCCCGCCAAGGTTATGCCGAGATTCTACTAGCATGGGATCTGTGAGATCAATCGATTGCTGTACGGGTATTGACAGCGATTGACTCGCTTATTCAAATTGCTGATTTGGTTTGCACGGGGGATACTGGCCATGGGAAGGATGGTGGTTGCATGTCTAGGGTGTGTGTGGAATGGGAAGCGGTCGATATAGATTTAGTTCGGCTTCCACAGTACTCGGCAGTGTAACCTGTACACGAGAGATGTAGGGACAAGGCAAGTATCGGTGTTTCAAGTCATCGGGGGATTCTCTTATCTCTCTTGGCAAGCATCCTTCCCATCCATGTCATAGAGAGGATCGGAATGGATACGAAAAATGGGGCATTCTTAAAGAGGCGCAGATCCGGTGTGTCGGTTCTATACATCTCAAAAATCTACTTCTTTCTACCTTGACAGTCCCAGAGTAGATCCACAGATTCTTTTATAATCTCCCATCGGACATATATATATTCCCTTTAATCACATCATGCATCCCCGGCCCCTTTCCCCATCAGGAGATATAGAGCCATTCACATCACCGCCGCCCCGCAACGTCCCTGAAGACTATCCCAACTATCAGAAAGACCTCAATGCGGTCAACTTTCGTTTGGAACGGCCCGATGAAGAAGTAAAATATATGCCCGGCATTTGGTCTGCCGCAGCAAGCACAGCAGTGTCTGTCTGCAATGCCCAGACTTCAGAGGATGACACAGTGCTCTCAACCCTGTCCCGCCACTTCCGCGCAGACATAAACACCACACATACCGATATCATCCTTATAATATGTTGCTTTGTGGGTGGTTTAGTGGATGGGTTATCATACAATGCATGGGGAAGTTTCTCGAGTATGCAGACAGGTATGTACATCTGAATATCACCCAATATGCACAATTGTCAACCACATGGCACTAACAGTAAATTAAATAGGAAACACCGTCTTCCTCGCCTTAGGTGTCTCCGGCCAACCTGCATATCCCGCCTATCTCTGGGCGAAGTCATTGATTGCCATCTCCGTCTTCATGGCCAGTAATATATTCTTCATCAATCTCCATCGGCTATTGAGTCCACGACGCCGCTCAACAATGATCCTCTCATTCAGCATTCAAACCACCGCCCTCCTGGCTACAGCAATCCTCATTCAACTCAGCGTCATCACACCCAAGCCAGAGGACCCCCGCGCCCCAATCGAATGGATGCAAATCCTGCCCATCTCCCTCCTTGCCTTCCAAGCAGGAGGTCAAATCTGTGCATCTCGCATCCTAGCACTAGATGAGATCCCCACCGTGGTTGTAACCACGCTAATCTGCGATCTCCTCGTTGATCCAAAGCTCACTGCCAAAAATAACCCGAAGCGCAACCGTCGCGCAGGGGCTTTCCTGGCACTTTTCTTCGGTGCTATGACTGCGGGTGGATTGTCCAAGACTACGGTTATGTCTTCCAGTATCTGGCTTGCCATGGGGCTGAAGTTGATCATTACCCTTGGGTGGGTGATTTGGAGACAGGAGGGGAGGGGAAAGAGTGTCTCGGAGGTGTGATGAAAGCTGGTTGTTTATTTATGTGTTATGATAGGATGCATGTACACGAACCTATGCATCATTAGTTCACGATACTTAATCTTGTTGACTATCTCGCAACGATTTAAATTACTATCTATGTAGTAGGGAAGAACCCAGTAAGAGCAAGCAATACGTAGTTGTAGTTGGCCAACAGGGCCCACTCACAGATATCGGATCTTGTTGGGACCTCTATGGGTGCCTGGGAAGTCAGACATCCTCTCCTTCTAGTAGATACCTCCCAGGTAGGTAGTCCAGATAGTGAGAATCACACGTCCTCACAGATCTAAATGACGCAGGAATGACGGGTAATATCGCTATTGACCTTGTGTTATTAAGTGATACCTTCTTCCACTTCTCTTCGACGCGCGTGAATCTGCAACACATCCCCCGGCCACAGTGCTCTATAATGAAAGATTCCCTCTACCAAATCGTTACGTGAGGTATTAGAAACTTAGAATAGTATGACTGGAATGGCCTTGATGCCTGGGTCGGGGAAGTCTATATCATCTCCGGCAGCTGCATGGCCGTGCGTATATGCCGAGTCGTGGTTACCCGTTTGGGATTCTCAGACCGTAACTTCGTCTTTCAGACCGCCTCAACCATGTGACCCCATGTGCATAAGTTTGACTGAACTTCCGATGAGCTGTCCAATCTTGTTCCGCCTTTCTTTCATCACCTTCGACTCGATCCTCAGTGGTCCTCTTGCAAATTTGGAATTCTTATTTATAGTTACCCGTGACCGGCATTTTCTCTCACCGAATATAGAATTTAAAACTTGCTTCGGGTACTTGATGACCACGTGGGCTAAGCAATTGAAGTAGAAATCCAAGACTGTGTCATCAATCGGCTAAAACTTCTCTATCAACGTCCACTCCCGCCGCGTGCGCGATTCCCGACAGGGTTGAATCCATATAAAGAACCAGAGCGATGCGATCTTGATCCAAACCTGGAAGCAATGAGGATTAGAGAAGAAATATGGGAAATTCTCATGTTAGTATCGAGGTTGCCCGACTTGGTATTCGGGTTTCGTATGGACCCTGCTTCGCCATGAACAAGTGAGATTCATGCATGGCATGGAAGCACGGGAGGCCCGTGAGATTATGCAGCCATATCGAGTGCAATCTAGGGGCGAAGGCCATGTTGCTATAAAATGCGCTCTCAACGCACTGAGCTGAATTAATTGAGAGGTCCGGCAGTACCAAGAACCACAGTCATATGATAGCGGGAGACTTGGAGGAATACATGATTCTGTACCATGCCAGGTAGCCAATCGATGCACATCTCTCCAGTTTTCCGTTATTGGAGACATTGATTCCGATCAGTAGCCACGGGCTAAAATGTCAGATGGGACCACAAAGAAAGCTCACGAATGCGGATCTTTTGGAGTCCTGCGAGGAGACCATTGACCATATCACATTCATCCACACGATTGAGGAGAAAGGGTATCTAGTCGAGCCCAAGGTCATGAAAATCATAGTCAACAACAGCCAGGTGGAGAAGAAACTTTATAATGCAAGCGTAACGCATTTACCAAGGTGTCACTTACGGCACCTGCACATTTCCATGCCGATAAGGTGAGCAATTTCAAAATAACAATCTCATATCAAAGACGAATCTTGATATGCGAATCAGAAATGATCAAGTTGGCATCATCTCTCTCCATGCCCTATGGATGCACTTGAGGAGATCCATCGAGCTGATCTGTGTTTCAGTGGAACAATCGTTCATTCTCAGATCGGTGAGTTGTGCCACAGCCCACCACCCGTTAGAATAGATGACGGTTGACAGTTCGGTAGATCTATGAAGTATTGTAAATGGAACCCTTGTAGTGCTTATGGGCTGTGCTTCCTTTGGTGTCCAGGATATTTCCTCAATCTAATATAAAACCTGGGGAGATCAGCCAACATCAATGTGTGACCTTAAAGACTACTGTTTGGGGTCAGCTGACTCCTCTTTGCTCGTCTTGCCATAAGAAGCTCTCTCTCTCTCTCTCTCTTAGAGAGTTTCCTGCCCTTCTTCCTTGCTCTATCAGACGAATGCAGGATTTTCAGTCCCCCCCTCTCTCTCAGTAGCGTAGAGTCTGGTCCTGCTTCTCAACTTCATGTGAACGTGCCCTATGCGTAATCTCGAACATTGTATGATGCACAGTTAGAATATTGCATAGTGACAGCTACACTAGTTGGCAATGAAGGAATAATCTCTGTCGAAATCGGAGATATTGGATGCTTGACAGCACCGGAATGAGGCTATAGAATACTGGAAGGGATGACGGCGGTGGCGAAGGGGGTATTTAAGCTTATCTAGACTCATGGTTTCAGCTGCAGCAAAGAGAAGTCTATGATAAGGCCAATTGTTTCTGCTACTAAGGGCAAAATTGTTCTAGTCGATGATCGCATGGTTGCATGATCAGAGTAGGAGTGATTGGAAGTATTTGAACATAATATGTAAATGCGTATATTTTTGACCATCATAGAGCGAAGAAACACACCATCGCTCGCCAAAACATTTTGTGGACCAAACTCTATAACCGAAATCTAGTCTATAGTTCTATATTTCTATAGTACTCAGGAGTGGCGTTCTCATTTGCTCTCCTCGGGCATGACGAAGTGCAAAACACCAGACTGGCCGCTGGCCAGACCCTTGCTCTCGGAAACGTAAATGCACTTGCGGAAGGTCATCATCAGAGAGTACAGGAAGCTCTCGTCCTTCTGCTCGTGGTAGTTGTTACCGAGCAAGGGCTGGATAGCCTTGGTGGCCTGCTCAGCCTTGTAGAAAGGAATGCGGCTGAACAGGTGGTGGATGACGTGGTAGTCGATAATCTCGTGGAAGAAGTGACGACCAATGAAGCCGGTGGTGCGGTCAATGGTAGCCAGGGCACCCTTGGTGTAAGTCCAGGCCTCAGCGGTGTAGTGGGGAACCTCGGGGTGAGTGTGCTGAAGGTAAGTGATAGCAACTATAGATTTGGTTAGTTTTCTTATTCCATGCTAGTTGAAAAGTGGGGATGAGGGACGTACTCAACCAGTGGTGAACCCAGAGGTAAGGAACGACGTAGAGGAAGAACACGTTCCAGGCGCCAATGATGGTACCGGTGTAGTAGACAATGGAGCCCATGATCAGAAGTCCGAGATCAGTCAAAGCAATGAGCTTCCACTGGGCAGGGGTGAACAGAGCGCTGGAGGGGTTGAAGTGGCTGGCCTTCTCAATTCCGCCCTTGCCTTCGGGGCCACTCTTGACACCGGCAGTCACATTCAGGAAGAGGTACAACTGCCATCCGAGCAGCTGGTGACCAATGAGCTGGATGAAGGAAACAATAGGGGTTTCCTCGGCAAGGTGCTTCAGCTGCTCAATGGAGACATTGCGCTTGGTAGCCAACTCATCCTCGGTCCAGGGAACAAAGACAGTGTCCTTCTCCATGTGACCGGTGTAGCGGTGGTGACGGGCATGGGTGATCTTCCATGAGAAGTATGGGACCATGAGGAAAGAGTGAGCGGCCCATCCAATGAAATCATTGATGCGTGTGTGCTTGGAGAAGGCACCGTGACCGCACTCGTGAGCAAGAATCCAAATTCCGGTTCCGACACATCCTTGGAGGAAACCGTAGGCAGCCCAGGCGACAATGCGCAGAGGCAATGAAGGGAGCAGGTGGATGTGGAGGGCACCATAGATCAGAACTGAACAGTAGATGATGTCCCGGAGGAGGTAGAGGAGAGAGGTTGCGAGGGAGGATTCAAAACATTCTTTCGGGATTGCGTCTTTGAGATCCTTCAAGGTGGGAACTTCGTGCTGTGAAAGTCAAGGATTAGCATAGGTAGACCGAATGGGTGTTCATGTGGTGTATGTGTACCTCTTGGGCCTGCTTAACAGGCTGCCTTTGTGTCACTGCCATTTCGAAGCTGTGAATCCGAAGCAATTGGGACGAGAGAAGAGTTCGGGACTGGAGATATTTTTATTTCTCTCTTTTTTTTTTTCTCCGCCCCTTCGCCCCCGTGAAAATATCCCCTAGGCTCAAAAGGAAAGGAGCTCTAGATTTTCGGGACTCCAAACCATTGACCAATCCCCTTTTTCCAATTGTTTTCCAGAAAACTGTCAAATTGGGAGCACTGACAGGGGACATGCATTCCCATTGGCCCATCGCGTCTCGAGTGGAGGAGATTGATCCATGGATCCACCTGCGCTAGCCTCTTTATTCTTTATTTCTTTTATTTCTTTTATTTTTTTTCAACGTTTCGGGGGCCCAACGGATTCTGGTCCATTGCACTGCCTTTCGACCGTGAACCCGGACAATTGTAAGGTATCACACCAGATACACCCATTCTCAGGACAAATCCAACTCACATTGAACCCCTACTATCATATAATACAAGTCTTCACCCGCGTTGCCTTTCCATATTTGTGTGCGGCGTTTGCATTATCCACAGCGCGGGAAGATTCCTACCCCTTTTCAAGACAATATAGGCCCACCAATAAACAAAGGTTGAGAGAAAAAAACCCTAAATATCGCCTTGGCGATTATTATCGTGTCCCTGGCGGCACTACTCCGTACATATCAGGGGGTCGCTCACGCGCCGGGCCGTGTTCGCAACATACATACTCCGTACATACTTAGGCGCCTGTGATTATCGAACATATGCTTGGGTTAGATAGGCAATACGCAGATCAGACAGGATCGCTTATGGAGTATGCTCAATTATTCACATGCAATCACGCTCTGGCCTTTGAAGGGATTGCTTTCCTATCATCTATTTGACCTTATTCGGTCCTTGGCTGGTCTTGGCTTAAGAGAAGCCAAACACTCGTTCAATCACCACTAAGTATACACAGCGCATCGTACCAATGAGGATTTGTGCTGAGTCGCTTGGACTGCAACTATATGTTCAAACAACACTTTGTCCGGAGCAGATAGCTCACAAACTCCGAAAAAAAAAATCTCCCCATCGGTGATCGATGCTCTAAAAATAAAGGGGGAAAAAGGATAAAAAAAGGAAATCCTGGAACTTCCCAAAATAAAAAAATCTCCGAGTGAGGCTGCAAGGGACATTCAAATGCTTAACCTCTCTATAATCCAGGCAAGGTGTTCTGAGATTGCCTCTTTAGTAAAATTAGAGTTTTTCGATTAAGTTGCCGCGACCTCGGTGAAAACCGGGCACGTGATGGCACTATCCTGCCGCCTTCACTCCCTTCGGACAACGCTCGGGATGTTCGTTGGCAAACAATCTCAACGTCCATCTGGGGTTGGTTGAACAGCGCCCCACAACCCCATAACGCACCAACCCGAATCACCTGGTGGATGCACATTTTCGCCATCCCGTTCGCCATCCCGTTCGCCTTAGCCGAACTCCCATTCACACGAGCCCTCGAGTACTCCGGATTCTTTCCATGACTTGTATCCGTAGGTTTGCCGAGCCAAGGGGTTCGCCGTTGGGTATCCGGGAGATTTGCCACATACGCCGCGGGAGATCTCATTCCACGGAGTTGCAACAGATCCACCAAACTGCAACGGTTGATGCACATCGGGTACGAGCGTTGTTTAGTGGGTCCCGGGTGGTCTTCCACATGCCTCGAGATTGCCAATGTGTCTTCTCTCACCGGTTGGTTCTATCACATGTTTGGACTCGCGCTATGCCAGAATCATGCTTACCCAGCCTCGGACAATGTGCAATTGTTCCATTTTCAATCCTACTCGCTTATTCTGAATTAGGCGTTTGAAATATCAAACTCGGCCTAATTGAAATATGGAAAGTGAGCCGGTTGAGTTTGAGAGATAAGATGATTAAGATCACTGGTCTACAACACACCCCCTCTACGCCGCCTTCAGATTGACGACGGAGATTTATCTCAGTATTGGGAAATCTTCCGGACTTACGTAGTGGTTATAACTCGGAATTCTTCTTTATTCATATTCTAGTTGTCAATATGTTGATCGGGATACAGCTACTACACATGTATCAAGTTTTCACGAAAAGAATTGCTTAAAAATGAAATAACCATACATTATATTGAGATATCAAAGATAACTAGGGGTGCCTTGAAGGAGCAAAAAGGCCCGGTAAATCCCTAGATAGCAAGGCCTTCAACTTATTCATACCACAACGAACGGACGGACTAGACCGAAACCCTGGAGATCAGATGTTCATCGCAGATTTCACTGGAGGCCCTCCGTTGCTTTCCACCTCGCTCTCGGAGTGATAAATTCCATCTTTTTCCTCAAAATTACCGTTGAGCTTTCTGAACCTCAACCAGAAAATAACTGTCTGTAGACCCAGTGCAACTGTGGGTGCGCCCCAAATCCACAACAGCCAGGGATCTTTTGTGACTGGGATCAAGATCTCACCCAGCGCACTGGACAGGGCATTCATAAATAGGAAAATCGCCACAACCACTCCTTTCATACTCGCCGGCGACCTCGCATATGCCAGTTGGTATGCAGTAACGTTGGAAAAGCATTCGCTCAGAGCCCCAAGAACAGTATTCGGTAGCTGCCACCAGATACTGATCGGGGCCACCTTGGCGCACGTCGAGGCATGATACCCACATGGCGATAGCGTGTAGACTTTCCATTGCACCAGAGTGCCAGCGAGACTGGATAACATCGCGAGGACAAATCCGAATGTGATGCGGGTGATGGGGCCAATGCGGATTCTGTAACGATCTAGAGTCGGATAAAGCACCCAAGTCAAGAACGGGATGAATACGATGATGGTCAGTGCGTTGAAGTTGTTGAGTAGGTCATTGGGGGCTCCATTGGTGACCATGGCTGCACCTTGATTCGTTCCAACTGAGCCTATACCCCCTAGGTTGAGATACCAGATGGGGAAAAACAGGAAGATATCGCAAGCACCTGGTTTGAAATGAGTCAGTTGCTGATGCCAAACAGCGAAACTACACGCCACAGTGCGCTCTTAGATATGTGCAGAGTGATATTTGATAGACTAACCGAGAGCCCTAGCAACATCATTCACCGCATCGTTAGTCCAGTCCGCCGTGATGCCGATGCTGCGAAGATTGTCTGGTTTTGCCACCTCCCAGAAGCCTTTGCGCCATATCTGACACTTGTTCAGCTTGAGTGCGATTGCTATGATCTGCAGCGCTCTGGTAAGTTCGGATCCCCCACTGGGCGGTTCTTTATGTATTCTTTTGCGTATTGCCAGAAGAACGATGGGCAGAAGCATATAAATGATCGCCGTCAACAGAAAAGCCAGCCAGTACCCGACATACTTCTCCGAATATGTAGTAGCCAGCGTGAAGAAGGCACCGATATTGATGACGCCGTAAAAGATCAGCATAATTCGTGTACCAGTGGCTTCTGGGTCGACTATAACTTTTTCACCGGACTTGAGCAGCTTAGTGTATGGGTTCTTCTGCCGGTTTTGATCGAGTAGAAGGGGTGCAACATTTGGTTTGAAAATCCCAGCACCGACGGCCAATACCAACAGCCCAATGATGAAGGGAGGAGCGGCATTGGGCGGTCCTTTCTGAAGAATCGCGGGAATGGCACCGATGATTTGAATGACATGGGCGATACCACAAATGACCACCCCGACCATGATAGCCTTGTACCGACCCACGTAGACGTCGGCCCACCAGCCTCCAAAGATGGGGGTCACGTAGGCCAGAAACAGGAATAGCAATGACAATGCGGAGCTTGCTTGGAGTCCCATCCCCAGCGCGCCTGCTGTTTCCTGGGTCCCTTGTGGAGTAGCCCCTGCTCCATTGCCACCTGTTTATGTCTCCAGTCAGTTCTGACCACTTCTTAAAAGAGAGTCACCGTACCTTTGGGAAGTGGGAACTGTACAAAGTTCGCAACAACGGACTTGACTCCATAAAACGAGGCCCTTTCAGCGAATTCAACGAAACAGAGCGAAAACGAGACAAGAGGCAGGCTGGCTGCAACTCGACGCAGCGTCTGGTCCTCGTGCTCGGTGGGAAGGGGATATTTATCATCGAGTGAGCTGGCTGTGATTTCAGACGCGTCGTTTTTTATTTTCTCTTCATCGTCCAGGGGATTGGCGGTTGGCTCCATTGATTCCTGGCGGGTTGGACAAGCATCACCCATGTTTACCGCTTCATCAGTGGCTGTTGCAAATGACTGTGTACGCATTGGGCTTTCGTTGAAAGTAGGCTGATGATAGCAATCGAAAGCGAGATATGCGAAGGTCCTTCGTGGATGAAGGAAAGAAGAGACCCTTATGTATGACGCTGTCTCACCATGGCACTGATCTTGCTCAGGTGATTGGATTAGCTGAGTCAAAGCAAAAGTAGCCCTACAATCCACTAACAATCAATTCACGAATGTAGAAAGACCGTATCACCTAGCCAGGGCTGGGCATAGATGTTGTCAAACTACTTACTTTCGCATCACTGGCATTGTCGAAATATGACTGGTAGCCTGATATCGGAACCCATGGGCCGAGTTTGGCGCTTGAGGGCACATTGCGGTTTGGACATGTTCGCACGCCAAATTGACCGAGAGAATATCCCTCAAAGGGTATGTGACACCAGAGGATTTGGGTACGTCGATCAGCCAATAGGTGGTAAATACAACATTTCTCTACTTGCCTGGTTGGTAGCTCTCCCTTAGATAGCCTCATTAATCGTGGATCGGTTCTTTGAGTGACAATCTGACAGCCAGGAAATTACACCTCCGTTCAATGGTTGACTTAGTGATGTGATTGGGTTTAATTTGATGTGATTTATCCTATCCCAGTCGAACACGACTATAGCACGGAATTTGACCATTCTATTTTCACTACCAGACCTCGGTTTGATTCACAGTACAACTCGTGGATGAAAGGCTGTCTACGGCCATCTACCAATACGGGTGGGCTTTTGTTTAGAGTCAGGTGACTCCTCCTTCCTCGCCGTGCTATAAGAAGCTCCTTCTTCTAGATAGTTTCCTTCCCTTCTTCTCTTCCGTAGACGAATATAGGATTTTTAGTCTCTCTCTCTTCTTGTAGCGTAGAGTCTAGTCCTATCTATTAGGTTATGAGCACCTTATTTCGCATATCTTGTGATCTTACGGTCTATATGCACCCCTTCTGCTAGCTTCGTCTACTAGTAATTTTTTTAGTTAATAATAAGCTTTTCGCTAAGTCGACAACCCCTCTTTTCTACTAATAATAAGCTTTTCGCTAAGTCGGTATCTCTTTTCTACTAATAATAAGCTTTTCGCTAAGTCGGTATCTCTTTCTCGTTAATAATAAGCTCCTACTAAGTCGACATTTTTTACTCTCGACGATAAGCCTTTATACTAAGTCGATAGTCTTTATATATTAATAGTAAGTTTTTCTACTAGATTAACGACTTTATCTTCTTTCTATTAATTATATCGCCTTCCCCGTTATATAATTATTCTTTTATTATTAATAATAAGCCTCCTAGCTAAGTCTATAATATAGATCTCCTTAAGGCCACTTCTAATAAGGAAAAGGAGTTCCGTATTTCTAAAGTTATTATTAAGCTTAAGGGTAAGAGTAACTTCTCGGTATAGAAATTTAATATTCTTAAGGCTCTTAGGACTATTAACTCCGGTTATATTTTATTTCTTAAAGGGTCTATTCCTAAACTTATAGCTCCCGATCTCCTCGACGCTTCTAAAATAGTAATTCGCTAAATACTTACGTTTAGTTCTAAGTTTAAACTAGAGGAGGTTCTTAGTAACTTAGTAAAGGAGAAGATTAGAGTAGTTAAACGTTTAAATACTCTAATACTATAGGAATTTAATAAGGAGAAAGATATTTAGGATAGAATAAATTCTAGTATCTATCTATATATTAGATTAACCTTTAAATTTATTCTACTATCTCTAGTTTTATATATTTTAGATACCTAAGAAATTATAGATATTCTAGATAAAAACTACTCTATTATCTCTTATTAAACTATCTTTATATAATAGTAGAGGCTTACTTAACTTCGATACCGAGAGAATAATACGTAAGATTTTATACGACGTTTCCGGGAAGCCCTTCGCGAACTAAAGGAATTTACGGGTAGTATTTATAAATAGTATAAGTTTTACTTTTTCCTTTCCGTAATCTCGGAAAACCCTTATTATAGTGCTTTTATCTAGAATATAATTATCTCTAATAGCTTAATAGATCGGATTTATTAAGAGTTTATATAGTCTAAGAATACTATTAGGGCTTATAAGATTAGTATTAAGGCTTCGCACTTAGCTAATTCTACTTTAAAAGATAATAAGTCCTTATCTAGTAATTCTAATAATAGTAAGAAATAGGATAATAAGGCTAGTAATAAGGATAAGAATATATAAGATTCTAGGAATAATAATAAAAGTAAGAAAAAGGACGGAAAATAGTAAGGTTAATAATAATATAAGCGTAAGAATATTATTTATTATAAATATTATAATACTATAGGTAATTATTTTACTAAGAGATATCCTTTAAGACCTACCTCGTTAAATACTATATAAATATAATAACTTACGTAATTATAGTAAACTTAATAAGTTCCTATACCTATACTTAATTAGATAATTAGTATAGTTAATAGTTAGGGTTAGATAGTTATAATTCCTTCTTAATAGTAGTAGAGACTTTAGGTAAATACTATATTTATATAACTTAGACTTTCGGTACTACTTAGACCTTCTATACTACTTAGTAATCCTATTTTTAAGTATAATAACCTTTTTTCTAATACTATTAGCTTAACTATTTTTTAGGAAAGTTAATATACTTCTAATAGAAATAATCCTACTTATTAGATACTTAATTCTAGTATTTCTACTTATATAATACTTTATCGGTCTATATTTAATAGCTTTTACGAATATATACTTCCTATACGAACTATAACTAATAATATTTTTTACACTAAAGGCTATAATAATATAATCGTATAATTAAGTTCTATAAGTATATATAAGCGTCTAGGCACTCTTCGTCTTAAAAAAGTATAGCTTACTCTAGCTCTAAAGTCTAGCTTAATTTCTATCTCGGATCTTAATAAAAATAGTATTACTACTCTATTTAAAAAAGGGGTTATAAAACTACTAAGCTAAGGAATTAAAATTACGTATACTAGTATTAAAGGTAAGTATTATTAGCTAAATTATCTTAGTATAGAAAGGCTTAATACTATATTAGAAGCGAATCTAATTTAATATACTATTCCGGTATCTATATCTATAGCTTCTATTTCTCGTTATACGAAACCTATTACTATTAACTTAGCTTATCGCCGCGCCTATTATACCGGTAAGGCTAAAGTAAGAAAGATAGAAACCTCGGCTAAGGGTATACGCCTAATTCTAGATATAGGAGTGATTTACCCTTATATACTATATATTAAAGGAAAAGGATATACCCTCCCCTTTAGGAAAGAAAGGGCTATTCGCACTAAACCCGGGGATATACTCTATATTAATATTTAGGGTCTAATTTCTATTACTTTATATAGAGGAGAGCGCTATTTTATAACTATTAAGGTAAGTGGGCCTAACACCACTATAAAACGTAGGAAGTAATAGTAAGGTAGAGCGTTTACCAAAAGAGCCACTATAACGACTAACTGGTCGTCATATCAGGTTACTAACCTAAATACCCGATATATACTATAAGATATGCGCACCGTATTCGTACTCCGTACGTTAGGTTGTAACATTATCTCCCCTCTTTCTAATGCCTTGACCCCGAGGTATAAGGAAAGTATAGAATATCCATAGGCAGCTTAAACGGTATGATTACCGTGCTAATAAGATATCGGTATATATATTTTAAGTTATAGACCCCTAAGTATATATCTAGATCTAGCGCGGGGCTATTTCTATAATATTCCTTGTAAAGACCGTAGACTCGAATTTGATATTAATTTAATATCTGTATATCTCGAACCTAGGGTCTCCGAAGTTGGTCGTCATATTATTAAGGCAAGTGGGCCTAACACCACTATAAAACGTAGGAAGTAATGGTAAGGTAGAGCGTTTACTAAAAGAGCCACTATAACGACCAACTGGTCGTCATGTTAGGTTACCAACCTAAATACCCGATATGTGCTATAAGATATGCGCACCGTATTCGTACTCCGTACGTTGGGTTGTAACAATAACTTTTATAGATAATACGTCCCGCTTTATATAGACTTTCTTACTTAAGTCTCGTTTAGAGATTATAGAATACTATATATAGATCGAGACCTACCTACGGATTTAACTTAACTATATAGTTAAGAGAGTTTATAGTGATAATATAGCTAAGTATAAACTACTCGCCGAATACCTAGTAAACCGGGGGGTTATTTAGGATCCGACTCCTCCTTATACTAAGTAGCTAAATAGTATAGCTAAAATTAAGAATCGCTATCTTATTAAACCTCTTATTATAATTATAGCGGAATATTAGCTACCTAAATACCTATAGGGTCTACTACTAAAAGGTATTAACTATACGATAAACTATTTATTTTATAGTAAGGTTTAGATAACTTCTTACGAAGCCCTTTTTAGTAGAAAGCCTAATCTTTTAAACCTATAAGCCTTAGGCTATATTAGGACCGGCGTACTAGCGGGTTCTAGTAGGTAATATAGAACTAGAGTGAAGGAATAGTAGGGTACTAGTATATTCGTAAACTAATCGCTAAAGAGCTAAGTTCCCCTAGTAGTCTCTATATAGATGACCTTTAGCGGGTCACGGGACTAGGTCACCTAACCTAATAGGACTTAGTCTCCCTAGTGCGGTCTCTAGCGGGGGGTTATACTACCCCTACTAGGTCACGGGTTCTAGGTTATAGGACTAGGCGGGATCTAGCCTATAAGGCACTCTCCTAGTAAAGGGTCGTAATATTTTCCCCCTCCTTAAAGAGCTACGTCCTCGTAGCTAAGGGTCGGGGGTCGAGGGTCTCTTATAGTCGAGATAGGGAGGGTTCGAAAATAGTATATATATCTAGCTATCTAAAAAAGGGTAATTTATCTTTATAGTAGAAGGTATAGATAGACTCGGAGCTTTAAGCGTTATCTCTCTTCGTCGCGTATAATCTGAGTTCTTTATATATTTTTCACTTATCTCTCTTCGAGTTATAGCTTTCTTCTTT